ATATATGTTTACTGGTAAAAAATGCGAGTGTAGTAAACGTCAGTGTCAATGTCTTACCGGCGATAGTTGTAACTGCAATGGCAAGTGCAGCATTATGTGTGGCTGCGAATGTTACAAAATCGTGAGGCGCGTTTGCATCGCCATTTTCATATGCCTCCCCGCCTTGACAGCTGCGATTTATTATTTTTATAACGTCTTCAACTCACCATCCGGCAATACAAGCCTACGCACTCCACTTGTAATGCAATAACGAGTTACAACTTTACTAACGTAGTTACAAAAGCGTTTATATCTATGCATGGGCATTGTCACGCGTCGCTGGCGTCTGCGACCTCTGTTGTCGTTTTAGGTGGCACGCCGCAATGCGTGGTTATACCTACCATGTTTTTAATAATAGGCTACTCCGTGTTATTCTCCTTTCCATATGCTGAGTATTTAATGGTTCATAAAAGCAGCCCCGTACAATTTCCATCTTTTTTGACGGGAACTATGGGTAGTTATTAACGGTGGTTTTGGACAGAAATTGAGCTCATGTTAATTATGTTAAGCAAAAAATGCAGACAGTGTTGTGTTATGTTACACCTTTCACGACAACTTCTTACATGATGAGTCTCTAATTGGCGTCATCGTTTACAGGGCGTGGTTGCTGATGATTCCGACACATTTCTATCTTTCCACGACATGGGTAACTCCATTGCATATTATCGCTCCATTGTAAATCTACATTCCAATTTCGGCACTACCTGTGATACTAACAGAGTGGAGTGTGTAACCTATGCCGAATTGCCTGACGTCGGAGGCAAAAATGCGCCGGAGATTAATACTTCCAGGCGCTCAGTAAGATACGTGTAGTAGTAATGTGAAATTAAATGGTTGATTTTTATAGACACGTAGCCCGCGTAACGCCGGGTAGTGTGTGCTCCAGGTAGCGCTCACTGCTACTGTGCAGGTTCACGTTGCTAGACAAAACATACCAAACTCATAAAAAAGTCCGCAGCTATTGAATGTTAACGAACGTCGTATAGTCTACATCTATTGCAAAAGTGCAAACCTTCCACTAGTGAATGCAATCCACTGGTGAGAGAGGCAGGATTCAAGCTTTCTAGATTCTTGATTGCCTTCTTGGCTTTCGTCCAGATCGTCGCTGGTAATGGCGTAGAGGCCGAAGTTGATATTGCTCCTGAAGATCCGAAGCCCGTTTCTCTGAGGGTTGCACCTGGTTCATGCCCCTTCAATGGCGGCAGTGAGCCATCAGGTGAAGTAGAAGGTGGAAAGGTTGAGGTACCTGAATCAGTTGAAGAGTCTGTTGAACAAGTTGTTGAGGAAGTTAAAGAAGAAGTTAAAGACTCAGCTCAACCAATTGTTAAGGAAGTCGGCGGAGTAACCACTTTCACCTTCCCTGACGGAACGGTAACGATGCATTCTATGCCTCTCAAGAAAATTTACGAGATGTATCGCCAGAATGTCCCTACAGTGCCTCCACACGACACCGCGTCCTGTCCCTACTTGAAGCCAAACAAGGATGTTCCAATTACCATTGGAGGTGTAAACAAGTCACGCACCCATGCAGAGCGTCTTTTTGACAAGGAGGATAGAGACGCTAATATGGAACTTGCCAAGGAGCGTTTCCAGAAAATCGTTTACCGCATTACCAATGCTGACGTTAATCACGATCGTCTGAAACCCTATGTAAAGATGATCCGCGGCCTTGGTAACAGAGATGAGCTTGAATTGCCCGAGGATCTTGCTGAACGACTTGGCGGCACAACTTGCGTTATCCTTCCCGACAACATCGAGGAAAACCTAGCTTGGAGGATTGCTAGGTACCTTGCTCAAGTTTTGGTCGATGAGTCGTACGGTCATCTCCCTAAAACTACCTTTGGTGAACTCGAACGACGTCGTCACAGGGAAAGAATCGTCCTTTACATTATGCAGACGTTGAAGGCACCTTTCTGGAGAAGGTACTATTAATAAATCTACAGTGTCCCGTTCAATCTTTCTTGACAATCTGCGGATCAACTGTACAGCTTGTGAAGCACGACAGTGCTTTGTTACTTGTTTATATTGATTTAAGCAACACACGTTGTAATTTTAATTATATAACTAAAAACACTATGACACCAGCGCAAGGAGCGGTTTTAGTGTTGTCTGTGCCTACGAGAAGATCACAGGTTTATTGAAATGGCAGGTAGTTCCCACCGTTAACTGCCGTGTGCCTCAACAGTGTGTCCACGACAAAGGTTCGAATTTCATAAGCCTATCGCTATCAAGGACTACAGCAGACATCGATCTGAGTAGAAATGATCAAATGGGCTACTGATCAGCACCGTCCACTCATATTGGCGTCTCTTTGAACGACATGGGAATGGGTGGTTAAGAAGCTGCACAAAGGTCGCAGTAAACGTATAGACAACTAAAGTGAAACACAAGCACGACTGCGATTGATGACAATCTAGCAGTTAACGCTTGCTGTGGTGATTGGGATTGCCAACATCACGAGACAAGGGAGCGTGCGATAAGCCCAATGTATTGCTCAACAGCAGATGGCATTAAGTGTTATCTAGGAGCGCAAAAATAATCTAATTGCTAAGAGACATCATCGAGTCTCGCCAGTAGGAGATATAACTACCTAACCTACAACGGTTTATGCACCCTCGACAGTGCGCCGTAATAGCTTCGCCGAATACACTTATGCTCAACATAATTATATAATAACGTTTTCGCGAGTATATCAGCCTTGCAATTAAAGCAATATAGCCTTAATACATTGAATTTAGCTTTGGTACGTAGTGCGACCGTTGACGGCGACAACGTGCTATCAACACGAGTCAATTGGACGCCACAAAATGTGAAAACAATAGCTTTATACAACCGACAAATGACATTTTTTGCGTTGCGGCGTGTCGTGATATCGACGATTACAGAAACGTAGACTCAACCGGGTAGCCAAATGCCACCTGTTGTAGGTAACGGCAGAAAAGTTCTCAGCCGATTCCCTGAGTTCGTGCCTCAAATCTACGGAAAAGACTCTTCCCAACTTGCCAAAGACTGTCTCCATTGAAGATGCGGAATAGGTTGCAACCGCAAACTAAAAAACAGCCGCATCCTCCCCTCCCAATGTAGGAAAACAAGTAAGGACCTACAGCTGTTACAATACAGAATCTGAAACGAGATAATCTCCAAAGATAACAATCTAGAAGATTGAAGACGACGCTAGTCGAATTGTTTAGTAAATGAGACTCAAATCTAAACATGAGTCAACAAGATAGTATACGAACACGAAAGCCGAGAGCAAAAAATAACGTTGGTGAGAAAAGAAACCACCGCCCTAGTAAAGAAATCCTACTTTCCCGGTATAGCCATACAAATACCCGATAGGGGAAAAGGATTTCCAACATCTCAGCAGACGGGACGGAACATGGCATAGGAATAGCATTTTAACGGCGAGTCTTCCCATACTATCCACAGCGTCTGAAAAAATTATTCCTTATGGCAGTGATACCAGCCCGTCATGTCCGCAGCATAGAGTTGAGGTGCCTTAATGAGATGGTTCGGCCAACGGTACGTCTTTAATCAACTCGTCCATCTCTTCGTCAAAGCCAGCCATGTTCAAAGTGATGTGGTTGCGGATGTATTGCTGCAAGATCTCCTTCATAGTCTTCTCATCAATATCGGGAGAGTTTAGATCAGCAAGGTGACCAACAAGGAGCCATGGAAGTTGGTCGATGATCTGATCGCTGATTCTGTCGAAGAAGCGATGTAGGATATCATCGATAATCTCTTCGGGAACGTCTTCTTGCCTGTGGTTAGCGAGAAGAACAACAAGATCGAGTGGCAATTGGTAATGTGGCTGCTTGGCAAGCCACTCATGAGATTCATCAGGTCTGTGCCTGAAGCGTTGCCACTCAAGTTTTTCGAGGAGATCATCAAGAAGTTCTCCAATGAAACGATCGCTGTGCTGATCAACCAAGAGCCTGAACCTTTCAATAGCGGTTTCCTTGGCCTCTTCAATCTCAATCAAAGTTAAACCGTAGATAGGACCAGTCTCTTCTGGCATCTTACCGGTTCCGATGAGTGTGTTGAGTTCCTTAAAGAACTCGGCGACGTTGTTCCACCAGGTAACAGAGTCGTGAAACGGATAGTTGTGGTCTTGCTCGAAGAACAACTCCATACGTTGCTCGACATAGTCACGTGATTTGGGATCGGCGAGAAGGTCGAGGAGATCCTTGCGACGCTCCTTGACCAACTGGGAATGAAGATCTTCAATGAGCCTTTCAAGAGGATGCTTGTCTTCATCAATAGGTTGGTAACTGTAATCTCCCTCATGATTATCGTTTTTGTGTACGAAGAGATCCCAGAAGCGTCCCTTGATAGGTTGGTAATTGACATTGTTAGCAATATCCTCAGCAAACAAAGCAGCGAAGTAGACAGCAAGCGGTATGAGTGACTCTTCAGGAATCTTGTAATCGAGAGGATAACAGAGTTTCTTGGCAATGTGTGAAGGAAGATGTGCAACAACACTCCTGTAACGCTCCCTGGTGAGTTTAGCCTCACGACGTATCCTTTCAGCTCTCACCTTGGCAAGTGATCTTGCAAGCCTACCACCTTGGTAGTCGATGCCCTTGGCGCCATGCTTGACACATGCGTCGGTTCTTCCTTCAGTACACATAGGGCAATCCGTTACTTCAGAGGTAAGCCATTCTTCCATGGCAAGGCGGGCCTTGCGAGCATCTTCATCATCTGCTTCAGATCCATCTCCCACTCTGGAGGGCCTAGTGTCACAAGGCTTCTTGCTAATCATGCCGTCTAGGTGTTTGAAGAACTCGGCGATACGCTTCCACCAGAAAGCAGAATCATAAAAAATATCAGCATCGGTTTGGAAGTATTCCAAACGTTTTCTGACATCTGCACGTTGCTTTGGATCCTTGACGAGCTTGACGATACGATGCCTACCGGTGACAAGTAGTGATTGAAGGCTTTTAATAAACTTGTCAAAAGGCGTTTCGATGCGTCTCCCATAGCGCACTGCATTATGTACCTTAGTAATGGAGGGGTGATTTTCGGTGACAAGTGTCCAGAAATCGGCCTTGAGACCTTCATCGCCATTCCTGGAGATTTCGTCAGCGATAACACCGGCAAAGTATACGGCGATGCGTGCTGCAAGCTTCTTAGGGATTTGAGCAGGTGGTGGGTACTTTGCAAGTTTCTCAGCCAGGCGTTTAGGAAGTTTTTCAAGACCTGCATTGAATACATCCATTTCTCTTACCTCAACAGCCTGGCCGCCGCCGCCGTTATGCGTGTCAGTGGGAAGACAATGTTTGCACACCTCTCCGTAGGTGACATCTTGGCCACAGATACCGGCGTACCCGGCGACAACTTGTGCCAGAGCTACAATAGCCAAAACCGAGCTGAATATCCTGCCAAAAACACGGAAGGAGATACTACTCCCGTTGAGTTTGGGATAAGAGACACCATATCCAGCCATCTTCGAAAAGTTAACAATGACCTTCTTTGATAATGTATGATACTTCGTGTAATTAAGACATAGTGTTATAGCAAAATCGTGCCACTGGATTTTGATCCTGTGTCACGTAAAAAAGACCCTAACAAGAATTGGGTGATCGTCACTCAACCACGTTCCTCGGGGATTCCGGTGTACCCGACGATACCTTGGTATGCCGCCAAAAAATATATTACACAGGGAAACAACCAATGACGAAATCCCGGTCACAATGTACTATGTAGCACAAATCTATGGCACCCAAGATTCTATGCGTAACTGAATCTGTAGTACCCACGAGATTTACACGCATGTAGCATATGACTATCCCGAAGCATATTGCGAGAAATTAAGAAACTTGACGGACGTCGATGTAAATTGATACAGTCGTATTTTTTTGTATCACTTTTGTTGGGAATGTACGGTTTCATACGGTGTAATGCCTATGACTCCCTGCCGTGCAAAGCGTGCGGCACTTGGATGAAAGCTTCAAAAAAATACTGAATAATATAAACAATTATAGGAATCATTTATGTTTGATTAGTTGCCTGCTGTGACTGACGCTTTGCTTCATAGGTTTGTTATTACGATCCTGGGTCAAATATCCCTTGGCTCAGTCAGGTAATTCAATACTTAAGAGCACCTTTTGCTACTGTTTTTAAAACACGATTTACGCTGCACACACTGCGCTGCTTTGACGAATTCGCCCGTTCGTGTTTACCGGGGTGGCTGAGGTCCTTGCCCCTACTTTTTTGCCCAGTAATTTCGCGAGCATGAGGTGAACTTTTTTCTCCGACATATTATAACAAAAGAATGGCAGTTGTCTGTTGGGTGTTACGTCTTTTATGATAGTTAGGTGAATTGAGCTGCATATGTCGCACGCGACAGCCTTCGAAACGCTGACTCCTGCGAATGTGTTATGTGAGGGGCACCGTGTTACGTGTTTTGGCTAGTTTTACTGCATTATAACTCTTTAGTTGTTACAGCCCTTCCGCAGGGTTCCTCCACATGCTCGCATCGTAGCTTGCTGGATCGCAAGCAACGAATGTGTTTATTACGCATCTAATTTCCTAACTGTAGAGTTTCTTAAAGGTAATGCCGGTGCTACCCAGAGTAAAATTATGCTGACTTTGCCATACTCACTGTTTGTTATCTATTCACCCCCAATCTACCGTCTCTCTCATACCCGTTCTATTTCGGGGAACTTCACGTAGCAGAATTCTACGCATATAGACACTAAGGCGAATACGTCGTTTCCCTATCCGACTCTCACGGGGATGTTGTTGCTACCCCCTGGTCTCTAAGAAAAGAGCGTTTCGGCATTGGGTTTCCATAAATTAATACAGTTGCATTACGACATGCGATCGGTGTGTCACAGGTGACGTAAACCGTAAACTAGCTGTAGGACGATAGTTTATCCGTATCAGAGCACTACGACCAGCTCTACCATAAGTTCCGACCACTCCATTGTATTATGAGAAGCGTGTGCGTGTCAAGATAGAAGTGTCTGTTAGATGCGTACGTAGCCATTGCAATCTACCGCTAACCTTGGTTGACAAACGCATAGGCAATAGATATAACATAAGTAGCGTTACGTGTAATCGGTACCAACGCAACAGTTTCCCTTCTTCCGTTTTCCGCACATTTCGCTCTAGTAATTTATGCCACAGTAAAACGCGTGTAATTAACTCAGGGGGTGATTCTTGCCAGCCTTCTGCAAGATTTGAATATTTGGCGTCGAACAGGGTTGTTTTTGCGACATGTCACTGGACAAAACCTATCCCATAGATTTTTCGAACGCATCATAGATTCGATTTCACTGGTCTCTGATGGGATTACAGGGTCAAACAGGAGAGCATTACAAAGCGAAGCAGAACATAATTTCATATCTAAATTATCACTCAAGTTCTACACAAACATAGCAATGTAGTCCACCTTTTTAATAACGATGTCAGATCAAGGGTATATAACATGATACTGTTTCGCATCCCGGAGTGGTTTTCTGCATATTGGGCACTCTCGTCTTTTTTTAACCCCTTCTATGCAATCGAAACAGTACATATGACCACATTTTGTGGAGTATATAACGCGATCATTTTCGTTTGGCATTTTGGCAGACTTGAACCTTGCAATGGTCGAGTAGCATATAGGACATCTGAATAAGAACTCTATGTCATCGATGAGTTTTGTGATTGCAGAGTCTTGATTTTCATTGTCCACGATGCTGTACGCACTAACAGTGGGTTTTGTGTGATAGTCTCTTGGGAAAATACTTTCTTTTGGTGGTCCCCAAAATATTGGTCCCACGAGTAGTTCATCATCTAGCAATTCATGTCTTTGCTGTGTTTCACCCACAGGCATTTGCCAGGGAGCTATCGTCCCAGTCGTGGTTGCTGGTACCGTACGATCGTTTGTTTGTATGCGATGGCACCCAGAGAGGTTATGTAGAGATGCAGAGCGATTCGGCGAGGCAAAATTTTGAAGCACTTGACTTGCGTGAGATGCTACCATATTGCGCGAGCAGGCACTTTGTGCCATATTTTCTCCATATCCGTTGTCGACCATATGATTGCAGCACTGAATGAAAGACTCTCGCCTTGCCTTTGGCACTATTCGGTGATTCATTACTACTCCGTGTTGATTTGGGACGACGCCTATTATTTCACAATCACTTTCGCTGCTCTGCTGGCGATCTGTTGGAGGGGGCGAGCCTTCCTCAACGCATGTACTAGGTGGTTCCGTTTCTTCAAGATCGATAACTACACGTGTATGTGGTTGTTCATCCCACGGCCCTTCGCTTGTGTTATCTAAGTTTTCCAGGCCTTCATCGGCCATTTGATGCCTTCCTTCAGTTGGCGACCTGTTAATGTGACTGTCCAATTCAAAGTGCGTTTGAATATTGGTTTCATCACTCTCGGAAGTTGTCTGTTCGCCATCGGTTTGATCATGTTCTGCCATTTGTGACGTAGATGATAGAAGACTAAGAGGTAATTCATCATCGTGATCGCCATCGCTAGCATCATCGTCCTGTCTGAGGCCGTTCAAGGCAGCACCCAGCAGGTTTAAATCTTCTCCCATGATTGAGAACGTTCCTGGCGTTCCCACTCTTGTGGGAGAGTTTGTATCGCTGTTGGATGGTTCCAATTCAATATTTTCTGGTGATACTCTGTGCACAATCCATCTCTGTCTTGCGCGTTTTGAATATTCGTTGTGCATGTGCTGCGTGTCATTTTGGTCTTCACGTGATGCGTAAGAGGACCCTAGACTATCCGACCATTCTTCTGGATAGTCTATGTCGTGTGGTCTCCGCTTCTCCATCGTGTATAAAGGTTACTGGCGCATGTTGCCGAGTAAGTCGCTTTGTGCCAGCACAGTTCCGTACTGCGAAATTACACCTATTCTTCTATGTTCTATTTATGTTTTACTGCTATATGTCGTAAATGGCGTGAACATTGCCATTACCACCATGGTAATGACAAATAGTAATGTCCACCTATACACTTACCGTCGAACAACCCTTTGGCTCCTTTTCCACGTTACTTTCGCTTGTAGTTTTGCGTAATTCTAGCAATTCCTTTAATGTGTTTCACTGTGAAATATAGGTCACTACATCATTTGTTTATTGCAGGGTACGGAAACACACACACGTGACACAATGCGCCTCAGATAATTCCTACCCCCGTATTACTTTGTAATATGTCGGGATATATGCATCCATGCGGTCTTTGTTTCGTTGTTTAACCGCGCGAGTGCGTTATCATCCACACACCGTGTCGAATTAGGCGTATCACGTATCATCAAATTTATCGGAGATTTCTCGAAACGATGCTATTGAATTATATATTTTAGCTTAGATATGTATAAAATAAATCTATCCTTTTGTACGTTGTCCCCGACTTGTTCCAGGGCGCCACGTCGCGTCTGATCTCTTAGTTTTTCTGTTCTACGTTTTAGGTAAAGGTTACGTTGCACGACCTAAGTATGTTATCTATGATGTCGCCGCGTTCGCGTTTTATTTACATGTTTTCTCGTTCGGGTGCTATGGAATTGGAAAAATGGTTGACAAATTCGCTATTGGTAAGTCACGTCAATATCTTATCTTTCCATATCATCGCAGAACAGTTCCAAATTTCGTAGAGCTTCGATATGGTTCCACAGCGTGTTGCAGCGACTGAAGGTCTAGTATCGTAATTTTTTTTTGATTATATACACATGCATATATAAATTCGAGTTATTGGCATCTGACATATTTTTCGATGGATATGCTCGGAATCGAAGGTTACAGGTGATGTCGTATCTCGCCACCCGGGGGATTCGTCCCTTGTTTAGGCATTTTGGTTCATCGCATGTTCGGATTTTGAACGCAGACAGTCTATGTTGCGGCATTCTGAGGACAAAACGATTCCTTTATGCGCAACATAAACTTCAAAATGATAATGTACAATTGGATGCATTCTTTGATCGTGGTGGTTTGGAGCGTGCAACTCCCTCAGGGGTGCCCACCTTGATGCCTCCCCGTGACGGTACCCCTCTGCGCTGTACTGAAGATCAATGGTTATATTGCCCGACGCGTTCTGAAGTAGATATGTTTTTGGAGTCATCTCCATTGCCCGATAAGCCGATAAATCTGGAAGGCAGCGTGGTCGTCCGTCTGGTTGACTTGGATGCTGGCGTGACGTCACCTGTTGGCCGTTCAGTGTTTTTTAGCGAATATGGTATACGCCGCGGTGAGTGTCTACATATATTGTTGTTTGGATCGTTTGTCTGCACAGTTTTGTGTTCTTTGGGTTACTGGCAGCTCCGTCGGCGTGCGTGGAAGATGGACTTGCTGAATACCCGTAGTGTCGCCCTTTCGCAACCTACGGTCAAGCTACGATCGTTTGCGGAGATAGAAGATGCTCTCGGCGTCAGTGATGAATCGGGTGCTTCTGCAGAATACCGTTGTGTCGAGTGCACAGGTGTCTTGGACTCCAGTTGCACGATGCTGGTTGGTCCACGTCCTCCATTGTACGGTTCTTATGGAAGTTCTTCCGGTTATTATGTGATTCGGCCTCTGAGATTTCGTGACGGTTCATGTGCACTAGTTAACCTTGGCTGGTTGGACAATGAGAGTTTGCTTCACAATTACGTATGTCCTGAGCTTGTGACTCTACGGGGTGTTGTGGTACGGGACGACATAGGCGAATCTTTGATTTCATCTCTTAAGCTGAATATTGTTCGTAAGTATCACGATCTGATGTCACTGTTCGGTTACAAGCTGCCTCCTGCGAATGTGTCAGTCAATCGCCCCCGGCGTTTGCTTCATGATGATTCACGTAAGGTGTTCAGGTACGTAGACCCTATAAGCATGTCAAAGGAGGTGCATTCAATGTCACCAGTGATAACAGGAAGGTATGTGATCAATGCATACGACGTGGTGTACCACGATGACATGACGGAATCCTCTATTTCTCCGTCACCCACGGAACATCGTTTCAAGGCCAATTCACGCGCTGGGATCAATGCCACTACCACACATCTTGGCTATGAACGTCGTCAGAAGTCGGACCATCTACTTTTTTATGCGGATCCGGACAAACATTCAAACTATGCGTATCAGTGGTTTTTGATGGCAGGTTCCATCGCCATGATGTGCATATATAAGCTATACAGAGTGCGTCGAACGCTTGGAACTATATTATAGCGTTTTAGTTTGTTCGCATACTTGCTCACACACTTTCAAGGTGCGCCAGGTCTATAAACTATAATATGAGCCATGCGATTGCAGGTGCTCATTAAGGTTTGTTTTAGCTTGACCTTTCTTTAGTTGCCTGCGTGGAGCGAATACATGTTTAATTTTTTTGACTGCATTTGAGGGTTTGTTATGGTTTGTTGGTATTACGCTTTCTATACTGATCTTTGGTTGTGGATTGATCCTTCTAGAAAATACGTGTACCCTGCGTTCACTGTACAAAGAAGGTTCTTGTGCCGCAATGCTCATAGAAGGCATACTTACGTATGCTTTAAGACGAGTCAGATCTATGGGCGTTATCATGCGCTCTACCGTGCGGTCGTTCCTGCTTGTATGGACCACATGTTGCAGTTCCGACTGTATGTCGAATGGATCATTGTATACTGAAACAATTTCACTTCCCCTCCTGGCATAATGAGATGTCTCCTCAGGTTCGTCATCTTCTTGATCAGTGTTTGTATCATTATCAGCAACGGTTATCCGTGTTGCGATGTTAATATAGGTTTGCATAAGTATTTCACCTTGGACTAACGCCTTTATAATGGCACGCCCGTTTATTATTGCGATGTCTAGGCGTCTTACGGTTGTTGATTGCAGTGATATAACACAAGTGTGGGTTATCTGGACGACAGTCGAGAGCACGACATCTGGAATTACGTTATACCTTTCCTGTAAATTATCAGATAGTATCAGTACATTACCATCCAATCCTTCTCTAAAATCAGAGATTGTTCGATTGACGATAGATCGTGCCCCCTTAACACTGGCACTTTCCGTTATAACCTCCAGGAAACCATCTGTGTTGGCCACTTGAAAGATGCTTGCTATAAATAGCATAAAGCTAGCAGCGAAATTGCTTCTGAACCTGGCTATAGTTTTCGGATGCCATACTATACCATTTAATTTTATTCCTCCGTTGGAATTGAATGAAGCATACATCTTATTTCCAACTGCTATATGTATCACGTATCCATTGCACCCTGTTTTCCTCGAACTAGCGTGACTTGCGATATTACTAGAGGGACAGGGGATTCTGACTGTTCTTTTCTTGAACGCCCCTATTCTAGCCACCACTTCCTGGGTGATTTTATCCGAGATATCACCGAGTGCGCCGTCGATTGCTGTGACAACATTTTGTATTGCGATTTTCGGAGCTTGTACCCTGCCTGTGGGCATCCAATCCCATACCCTTTTAAGAAAGCTGTTAACTTTTGCGGGCACTGGGAGGTTTTTCCATCTAAGAAGTTCCTTGTATCCTCCCTTTAGAATGGCCACGCCTGTACACGACCTCGACAGTATCCTGTAAATGTCTACACCTCTGTCAAGGGACTCTACAGATGTGGAATCGGTCATGTTATCGTAGCCATCGTCTGTCACTATCACCCATAGAGTGAACGTCTGATCTAGGTTTGTTCCCCTGAGAAAGTCATCAAGGTCTCCTTGCGTGAGATACTTAACGTTCATATCTCCAAAGAAGGAATCTAAAGGTTCTCCATATTTGAGATATGAACTCCTCACGTCGATGATGTTATATGCGTTAGTGTTACCTGCGAACCTTGATGGGAATATGAATGATTTTTTGATAACATTTGCATATAGATTTTTGACATATATTCTGAATAATGCATTGTTGAACGCATCGCTGATTTTTTCACTTGGTCTTGGACTCCTGAACCTTTTTCGTATCCACCGTGTGATGACCTGAGGTTGAGCGGACTGTGTTTCGGTTGACTTTTGTCCATTATTCGTTTTGAATATATCCTGTATCCCAATCTGTACCACATTTTTTGATTGCACGTCGTTGTTTTTGTATAGCATGAGTGGACTTTTGTTAAAGAAGAAGTTGGACATTTTGAGTATAGCTATCATCGGGAAGTCTGCCATTTCGCATTCCACATCATTCAGGGTGTCGTATAGGTTCCTGGATACGTTGATAAGTTCATCTGGTGTGAGTTGTATCATTTTTGAATTTGTAACTGCTTTTGCTATTGTGCAATCATCGATTTGGTCATCGAATAGGTTGTTGGTCATCAATGCGTTATCCTGTTTTTTAGCAAGTCTCCATGTCATATATCCTCTAACTCCTAGATATCCCATTTCGTGGTACATGAATGCAGTCATACACCCGGCGCTTGCAGCTATTGCTGCGTAAGCGTAAGCTAGTGCGAGATATGCACAACCGAACCTGTAGAATCCCATAGTAAGGAACCAGTTGATATTCCATGAATTGGAATCGGCAAGTCTTTCAAGATCTGTGGCTGCCTTTGGGAAGAAGAATAGAAATATGAGTCTCCATTTGGCAGCAATTTTAGTTGCATCGTTGACAATAATTTCGTCCGTTGCGCGCATGAGTATCGACGCAAATGTGCATACAAGTTTTTCAACCATTGCTGCAAGTTCGCCCACTGTAGGTTTCGGTTCTAGGTGTACCAATGCTGCTGCTACGTCATGCAATCCTTGCCAGTATCCCACATTGTTTACTACGCAGAAGGTTAGGAGCGATTGTTTCACGATATGTGCATCATCCGCCTCGTTAAGCCACTGTTGCCTCGATATGTCTAGTTGTATGGTATCCAAATCAAGTTTGTCTTTTCCCATGACTTCGTGTCCATGTTTTTCAATAACCATGCTAACGCGTTCGAGTTCGGATGGTCTACATTTTCCTATTTTGAGAATTGCAAGCCATCTGTATTTCGATGCGAAGAATCGGTGTAATAGCAGCGTCAGTCTTCGATTGATTTCTCTTGAGCATCCACAATCACAGGTGTTAGTGTCTTTGGGCTGTTCATGGTCGATATCTTCGTCGCTGTAGAGTTCATTGCGCACACATCGCTTTCTAACACGTTTTGAGACTGCAATCGTGTGCTCTATTGAACGATATGTATGTTTTTTGCGTTCCCCTGGCGCTAGTGCTGCCAGGTAGAGGCGTGTCCCCGTGCCGCTTCGGGTCATTATGTTTAAGGCGGCGTATTTATGTATACATATATAATTATGTTCATTGTGTAAGTCGTGGTCACAATTTTGAATATTTTGTATTTTCTTCGGTTACACATCACACTCCCCCATCGGGACTTACATTTTGTCTATTGCGTTAATGACGTTGTGGCATTTGCGGTGCGTGATGAAAAGTCATGTTTTAGCATTTGGATTTATTTGTTACGTCAATTCTGGGTGTCTACGCTTATCTGTGGCAACATTATTTTTACACATTGCATCGTCGTGTCTGCATTTTATACGGCCTGTCTTGATCATAGGTATCGTTTCCTGAGTAACGCTGATTGTCGTACTGAGAGTCTGCGTTGCTCCCCATAGTATTCATCATCCGCTGTGGTGTCTACGGAATATCTATGTATATCTTCGGCGAATGCTTTGAGTTCTGCAGCTGAGGAGTTCAATCTCGTTGCTACCTCTTGATTGCATGTCCATCCTGGCGATGCATATAGCCTCCTTGGTGCTGCGTATAGGCTGCGTTGTACAAGTCTGTTCCCATGCTGTCTCAGTGCCTCGTACATGACATCTGTAGGGAGATCTTCTACGCCTATTAGTTTTGCGAAGCTGAATGGTCCGTTTTGTTGCGACTCATCATTTTTTTTGTGTTGTTTGTTTGCATCCATATGTCTATCTTGTTGCACGTCATCATGTCCTCTCTTTTCTGTGTGTGATGTCACTTCCTTATCTTCTGTTTCTTCAATGTCTGTACAGCAGCATTCACAGAGCCACGTGATCTGTTTATCTAGCAATGCGAGTTTCTGATCGTTTTCGAAATCAGCCTTGAATATTCCAACAGCGTCAATATCGAAGTCCTCTTGCTCCAGTCTCGTTAGTGTATATGAGCGCAGCATGTTAGCATATACAGCTTCATCTGTTCAAATGTCACTTTAAAACACAACAAAGACTGATTATCATGCTCGGTGTAAGCCTTTCATACAACAACCCACATACGATGTCGGTCACCACAAACCGTGTACATGTATGATGCACCCTGAAGTATATACATCATTAGCTACATCTATCCACCATCACTCATATCCATATCGACAACATAGAGACTATGGCAATATCTCGTTTTGTACTTACCTATTTTGATATGGTCCATAATGATTTCGTAGGTGAGAATCGTGTTTTCATTTTTTGTGTGTAGCATTACAAAGGCATGCATGATATACTCTGGCAGGGTCATCCGTTCTGGGTTTTTGGCCTTAAATTGCCCAAGGGCCTGGATAAGTTGGCTTTTCCTTCTGATTGTGGCCTCGTCTATATTAGCATTAGTATTTAAGCTGATCTGGCTTACCGAGTACCAACGAATTATCTGCTACATCGTTTTCTTTGACAGGCTCTGACGCAATTAGCATAGCGGGATCTATATCTTGTGACCGATTTTCTGTGTGTACGGGCGTAATGGAGTTTTGTGTATTGCTGGAGCGTGCGCCTGTACCATCCCCTGTGAGTTCAAAGTATGAGTCCTGCTCTAGGCGTGTGTGTGTATGATCGTCGATGTACGACATGACCGCTGACATTTTGTGCAGCTGTATTTTTACCTTCCTTCTCCGCTTCGCTCCCGATAGCTTACGCTTTAAAGCACTTTGCTTATTTCAGTGTATTTTTGTGAATAATGCCTTGATAACTACAGCGATATGGTGTGCGCTGTTTACCTAAAACAATTCGTGTGTCGATATTTTTGGGAATCCGCGTCGAGTCGGTCGGCGCACACACGGGGAATGTGTAAGCAGATTCTAAGTGCCTTGTTAGCGCGATTCGGTTAACTAGGGTATATATCCGTCTTTTTCGGCTCTCTACATGCCTTATATAGATTTAGATATGGGGATTCATTCGCGTGCTCGCGCTCAATGTTTCGTGCAATGAAGACATTTGAATGAAATTATAAAGTCGTAATTAGTCATATTGGTCTTCCGACTTGTTTCCATCTGTTATATATTCGTCATCTTCAATTTCTGCCTTCTTCTGCAATGATTCCATGCGTTGTAAAAAACGGCGTCGTGTATTGTCGGCCTCTATTTCCTCCTTTTCAAATTTCTTCTGCCGCTTCTTATGTTCCTGAGTGATATTATAGCGCATTTATGGCATGGTTGCATTTGATCGTGTTGTTTTATTGAGTTAGGCATTTAACTTACCTTGCTGTCTAGGTGTTTGTTCACGGCTTCTTGGTTTAACAACGTCTTGCCCTTGCACAGCTTGCATTTTTTGACTTTGCCGCCTGGTGCAACTATTATAAAATCGGTTTCTGTATAAGTTTTGCTGTCAGTCACTGTTATTGCTAACCACTTTGCGGCTCCCCCTTCGACTCAGGTTCCTTTACCTGTTCGTTTTGGCTTTGCCTTTTAGCTTTTTTCACGCGATTTGTTTGGTCATTAACTGGTTTTTCCGTGACGTCAGCATCATGTGCGTCGTCATCGTCCGGAGCTGGCGCCGTACAAGCATATAGGTAAGCACGTTTAAACATCTTTTTATTCTTTAGTTATTTTATCTGCCTTGTCGGTTCGTGATCGTGTGGGAATCCACGTTTGGAAGGCCTGTTCCCATGTGCTGTTGTTGGCCCTCATTGCAAGTATTCCGAATACGGCCGACACATTAAGTATTTTTTTCTTGCAATGAGGAAAGTATTTCTGGATCTCTTTTATGCAAAAAAACCTAAATTCACCTTAATTGGCAGAGCTCGGGTAGTTACATCGTGCTGCAGTGCCTGAGTTAACGTGATATTCCTTTTTACATTCACGTCAACCAGGCCTCCAATGACGTATACCTTGCCCTCTTCTATCTCTTCCATGTACTCCTCGGCATCTGGCGTTAGGACGACTAGTTTGTCCTTCTCGAATATATCCCAGTAATCCTCACAGTGCTTGTGAACCTTCCAGTTATCCACGTTATATAGTTGCATATGTTTGTATATCGTGGTGTCCGTTTTGAATCCGGAGAAGATAAGTTTTACCTAAGAGAGATGTTGGAACTTCGGCTACTGTCTTACCATCGCCTGTTTCTTCTTGATCCAGCTATACATCTGCGCAAGTTGCCTGGCGAGACTTTTTGACTCCTGCAGTCACATGTTAGCACAGTAGCTTCCATATTACCTTTTCATCCATCATATCGTCGAATGTGAAGTTGACACATATGGGCATGCCATTTTCATGGGCTTGCTGTACATATGCGTCTTGCCCAGCCCTCCACTCTTCATAGCGTTTACGCTTTTCCATAAAGTATTGCTCACGTTCTTCTGCAACCAACTAAGTCAACCTTTTGTATAAATTACATTACATCTTATGGCACGTCAACGTATATAGGAAGCAGAAAAATTTTTTTTTTAATATTAAGATTAGACTCACCCTCGGTCATTTGTGCTAGGAACTGTTGAAGTTCCATACTTTGCTGTGTATTGTGTTCTTGTCGTTTTTGGCGCCGTCTTTCCTTGCGTCGCTCCCTGGATTTTGCTTTGGCGATTTGTTTCCTTTTGCTCCTTGGGAGTCTCGTTAGTTGTTCCGATGTGACATCGTCCTGGCAGTTGGTCTCCTTAATCATTTGTGTAGTGTTTTGAGTGCCAAGTATGATGTATCCTCCAGGGGTTTGAATAGTTGTACGAATTCTTCTTTCGTAATGTTTCTTTTTATTTTGATATTTTCGTTATTAAATAGCAATTCTATACCCTTTTGTCCTAATTCCCCGTCGTTAAGTGAGCCTAGGAAATGTTTGAGATCTGCTGTTGTCAATTTGTTTTGTTTCTGCCAGTCTAGAACCTCATAGAGTTCCTCGAGTTTTTTCGATATTATTTCGTTGGGCGTCACAAATGGCTCATGATCTATTTCTATGCGATCCTGCTTGACCTTGTTATTAATGAGCTGAACAAATTGATCGATATTGATGTGTTGAATATTATGTTTCCTCAGCTGACGTGATATTGCTCGAGTCTCAGGGGCCGTGAATACACATCCTAGTTGTCTGGCTACGTGGACGAATTGTTCCGCCTTGATTGTTCCTATAGTATTCGATTTTGTTTTATCTGTTTCCCAGGGTTTGATGCAGTTGCTGGCGAATACATCCGTCACTTCATGTATCATATGCCTAGTTAGAGTATCCAGATCATTAATTTGGCTCTCACTTTTACGTTGTGTGTGATCACCCATCATCACGTTGCAAGGTCCCTTATTCTGTGGACTTACGAATCAACCATTTTCCAGAAGGGGCATGATATAGTACACCTACGTGTGTTTCGGTATATTGTTCATAAATATTTCCCTGTGTGGAGTTGGGAGTGCATTGATAGTAATTTATTTGACGCGATGCGCCGGTGGTGGCTGTCACCGATACTTGCAGATTCCTATTCAGTCGAACCACACTCTTAGTGATAATTAATATCAAAAGTGTCAGAATCACAGCTGAGGTTGCTTCGCATCACCTGGGAGGCATGTTACGCGTCAAAATCCACGGGTCGACCTCCCACTTTTTCCTCGGTTGTAAGCCGTCATGATCGCGTAATTTTACCTGCATCAACTTATGTAAAACGCCAGGGATATACTGCAAGCTGTCTATATCTTTATAAGCTGTGTATATTGTTGTTATCTCAACCACAGCCTCAATTGTGATCTCAGCGTGTTGTTTCTAACGCGCTGTAATTCAACATTTTCAATATCGACCCACTTTACTAAGGATAGATTATATATCGCATCTATTGGCGGTAAACATGGCCCAGGATTCTTCTTTTGGTTCGGTGGATATGAACACCGCTCTGAATCTGCTAGTTTTGTCTATGTTAAATGACGTTAGTTTCTCTCTTTACTGTTATTTGAGGCTTGTTTAGCAGGTAAAGAAGGTGTGTTTCGGCAAATGTTTTGGTAACAAGTTTGGGGACGTACTGAATAAGAGCGAGCAAATTTGCTTAGCAAAATGTATGGACCGTATGTAAGTCATTGTTTTATATAATTCAATAATTACAGGTATGAAGCGCATACCATTCTGTCCCAAGCCGCGTCTGAAGCCGCCAGGAACATATCGAAGTCTCAGTGACCGTATTTACATTTTGACCTGGTCCGTCATTTATTTCATCGGCGTAGTGTCCGCCTTTTGTGTTTTAAAATCCAATTCAATAAGTTGACATAACACTATTAGCCGTCTTATGCTACAGTGTCGCTATACTTGACCTTGATTCGATCATGGGTATCAAGGGGTTGTGGGATGCCGTTGCGGCTGCTGGTGTTTCCGCTCGAGTTGAGCTTTTGCACGGTAAGAAGGTAGCAATAGACGCAAGTTTTTGGATTGGACATTGTCTTGCATCTGAGCTTGCGGTACGAAGAGGCAGCGACATATATGGCGTATTTTTTTTAAGGATTTGTTACTTGCTTGAAAAGCGCGTATTCCCAATTTTCGTATTCGACGGACGTACACCTGGAGCCAAGCGTCGCACATTATTGCTACGTAATATGTCAAGGGCACGTCGTACACGCAACCTTAAGTTGTTAGCATTTAAGGCATTGGCAGTACAGATGAAGCATCTTGCTAAGTCAGGCAATAAACGTTTGTTCAAACCTGCTAGCTTTATGAAACGCAGAAGCGCGATTCCAATGCATGAACTTCGCAAGATATCAGCTGATTTAGATGACTTAGAAACTGCAAAAGTGTCTGACCCTGGCCCAATGCTTGCACTGGAGGATGTAGAATCCCGCAATTCTACTCATGAAGAGCCCCTGTTCTCTTCCGATGGTGAACTGGAGGAAAACACAAGTTTGGATGCTGTGTGTGATTCTGACATGCCCACATCCAGCACGGGATGTAACATCAATATCTTGACGATGCCACGGTCGTATAGGTCGCTTAAAACGATGTTACAGTCTGGCGCCACCGTGGATATAACATCGAATACCGAAGATAGAGAAATAGATAGCTCATATTTCGATAGTAATCTTGCATTTCGTTCTCGTGGCAAGGGTACTAATCGTCCAAAGCGACGGATCGAGCTACCACTAGACTGCACGATAAATCCTGAATGTTATCAGCGTCTACCGGCCGATGTACGCTACCAGATAATGCAACAGATAAAGGACGCCTGGATGTACGATGATCGTGTCAATTTGCAGCGTTTGGAATCATCCTTGAGTGCATTTTCAAATCTTCAGGTCGAGAGTTACTTGCGTGATGTTGAAATTAACCGTGAGGTTGAGAAGATCAAGCGCTCGATTGTACATGATACCCTCGCTAACGGTATTGTGAAGATCGAATCCACTATGAATTTGGAAGTTTTACCGGGTGATTCTTTCGAAGGTGCTATTCACGATTACAACAGCTTAGAGTGCAGACCACGTCGTAAACGAGGTTTTCTGAACGACCTGAGTTTAAACATGCAACCTGAATTAGGTGAAAAATCGGTATTTAAAATGGTTAAATCAGAGCCAGTGATGTTAGACGACTCCTTATTCTTGGGTGACAGTGAACTTTTCGGTGACCTAGTTAAGTCTGAATCTGATGATGAATTTGAGGTCATTGACCAACGTCCTCCTGCAAAGTCTCTGAACGATTTCGTCGTATTTGAGGAGGCGGCTCTGGTAAAGTTGGAACGACCGGATGACATCTACGGAAAATTAGACACTGAATCTGTCAAAGTACCCATTGACAAGAGTCCATTGGATGAAGTGTTCACTTACTGTGAAGAGAAGGCATCTTCTGAAGTACCAGCAAAACGTAGGCACGAGGCAGACCTCTATGAAACAATAGACTCCCAAGATGACCCTTGTGGTTTTGAGTCCTTACCAGAAGCGGATATTGGCACTATTGAGGAGGATGACTCACCAGGAATTCTCTCTCCGAATTTATATAAGGCCGAGGCACCATTGTCTGCTTCTCCCGACGATTCGCAGGATTCTTGCAGCTCCACTTCTGCCTTACATGATGACTTGGATACCGCGGACGCCGATGTCGAGCCAGCCTATCGATTATTAGATACGTGTACCGATGCCAGTGTTTCCAGATCACCCGTTCCGGCCGATAACGGTTCCGAGGATGCTGCAGCAGAAAGTTCCAAATACTCAGCTACATCCTATCCTACGTCGGCATCCGGTGCAATTGTTGCTGCTGTCGAAGATGGTGCAGGAGATAGTGAGCGTCGTACCGACGAGAGCACCTACATGTACACCAATGAATGGGAATACCGAAATTTTTTGCGTATGGAGAAACTGTTTTCACACGTAGATAGAAGCCAGTACCGTATGGATGAGTGGGACAAGGTTCCTGAGTTGCTGGATCTTTTTGGTGTACCATTTTTAGTTGCTCCCTCTGAGGCTGAAGCACAATGCGCGCACCTAAACAACCTAGGGCTGTGTTTTGGTGTGATTTCTGATGATTCAGACACCTTAGCGTTTGGTGCTCGTCGTGTTTTTAAGAATTTTTACAAAGGCGGTGTGTTTGAGGTATACGTAGCAGATCGTATAGTACGAGAATTGGGCCTTGCTCGTGAGCAGATCGCGCTTTTGGCTATAATTTGTGGTTGTGACTATACTCCAGGTGTTCGTGGTATTGGTGTGGTTAATGCGCTGGAAGTGATCAAGGCATTTCCTACGTTTGATGAATTATACGAGTTCCGTCGCTGGGCAACAAGTGACTGTGATATTGCGACTGTAACTGAGGATTCTTGTCCTATTAAGCGTGCATACAAAGAATCTCATGTGAATTATCGTTTACATTGGTCTTTTGGAAGTGATTTTCCCAATCGTGAGGCTTACAATTTATTGCTTTCCCCTGTTGTGTCTAGTACTTTTGAACCGCGATGGAAAGCTCCGCGCTATGATGAGTTATTAAGTTTTATGGAAAAGCACTCATCTCTTCCACTTTCTGAGGTATCTACATGTTTGTCTAAGCTACGTTGCCAGGACCCATTCGACGGATACATTTTGGAGGACTTCGTGCCCGAGATCCATTCACATTCATCGCGTAAGGGCCGTCATAGCTTAAAGTGTAACAGAAAGCTACTACAGGATCGTATGCGTTCATTTCGTGAATTTTTATCGGCGCGTGAGCGTAGGAAGTCGCGTAAGGCGGGTGCATCTAAACCCGTGCCCCGGTCTTCCGCGGAGTCCCACAACCGTGTGGCTTACATTCGTTCAAAGCGTATGCTGGAGTCCATTGAAGGCCTTAAGAAAAGGGTTCAGGGTGATCGCGTGGTACGGCATTAGCCGTGGTAGTGTGTCGCCTTCTTTCTGTGATTATGGCGTTATTTTGTCCTTTATGTCACAGTATACTGTACTTTACGTCAAAGTCACCATCTTCTTCATTCTTTAGTTGTATGCGTTGCAGTTATGAGCTACCGATATCTTCTCGCTTCCATAGGTCAACGGTTTACAAGCAATTCCAGAAAGAGGTACCACACTCCCCTAATAGTACAAACGAGTTCGAACACGCGCCAAAGATCATAGGTTAGTGTTTTTTACCAATTATACCTAATATAAGTACAGCTGTATGCCCATCTTGCCACAACAAGGAAGCTTATTTCATGAGCATTCAAACACGCTCCGCAGACGAGCCTATGACTCAATTTTTCGTTTGTACGGCTTGCCGCCACCGGTGGAAGGAATAGAAACATTATTACAGTGATACGCTTAATATCGCATAATTATTCTTATCATGTCCGTTACATTTACATCTGTAGGTATTCTGAGCGCTTTCCCGTTGGGTTCACCGTTACGCCGGTCTGTGAAGATGATTAAGGTTTGAGGTAGATTGATCTTCTTTGCAACAGCTTGTAAGGTGTTGATACAATCTTCCCTTTGCTTTCCTGTGAGCATTTTGTCAAAGAATATTAACCTTGGGTCTACTCCAAGATCGTATAACTTGGCACATTTCGCGAGCTCCCCGGGATCGCTGCTCTCATTCTGTCTGCCTATGACAGCATCTAAGGCTTGTTTGTAAAACAAATGTGTTAAATCCTTTTTGCTGTCATTTTGAATTCCTCTCCACGACACTTTGCCAGGCTGTGCATGATCTACATCACTTAGCAGATCCTGAGTGTGTTCTTGGTGACGCACCTGGTTGATAATATCATACACGACACTCTTGACATCCGTGTGACTTCCTAGGGGTCTTAGTTTTAGAGAGATAGATGTACCATCTACTTTGTGAAATACGAGAGTTTTATCGGCCTTGTTGATGGCCTCCCTTGGATTGTACAACTGGTCGAGATAAGAGTTGAGTTGTGCGACAGAATTCGAGTTTTGCTGACAGAGCCCTTCTTTAAGATGTCGTGTTACGTCAGGATGTACCTGCTTATAGAACTCCGCCATCCATCTTTTGAGTTTATTTTTATGCATTGGCTTGTTGTTCTCTTGTTGCAATATTTCTTGCGGCCTCCTCTTCTATTTTCTTTGCGCATACTTTCGCGGCATGTCTCTGTGGCCTCACATTTTCTCCTGCAAGCTCGGTCTGTAAGTTTCCTTTAAACAGGGCAGCGCCCACGCGTAGTGGATCGCGCGCTGTATCTGTATTGACAGCATGTGGCTTCAATGCGCAGACAGCGTCTGCACATGGCTCATTTTGGTTAGCAGGCCGACCACTCGCCACCTCAAGTCCAATTTCCTTAAGTATCTCTTCCATATATTGTCTTTCTGCGAATTTTTGTATATCCAAAGTGTCTACGGTATCCCTCTGTCCAGATATTGGTTCTAGGAATACTCTCGATGCAACACTTCGGAGTCCACCGTAGTGTGAGACGATTCCTTTAATTACAACGCTCCGGTGCCCTGACAGTGGCAACGTCTCCTCCGTATATTGAAAGTCCCTGGTGCCAATGCTATAGATAAGACACTGGTGAACAGTGGGTATAGCAGATGTAAAATCTTCACCTCCAGCAATTATTATTTGTCCGTTGTAATAGATCATGGAGTGGAACGCCCTCCTTTCAGCAGGTCCGTTGACTGTAATTGGCAGCATGCTCCATCTCAGTTCTCCTGATTTATCAGGTCTGATAGCATAAGCCCTCGAGCTATCGTCTATTGTAACGCCTCCATATACAACGATCGGATTATCAGCCTCGATACCAATTTTCACCGCAGCGTGAAAACAGCGCGGTGGTGGTACAAGGCCACCAACTTCCACGCGCTTCCAGACGTTGTAAGATCGTTCGCTATTTACGTTCACTTCGCTACGGTTCAAATTAAATACCCATAGATCGTTGAATATTTCGGTTCCGTTTGTGCCACCGAATATTGTAAGGTACTCTCCCACCTGACCCATAGTATGTCCGTATCTCGGTTTCGGCATTTTACCGTCTGTCTTGAGTGACGTCCATGTCATTTGATTAGCATTGCTTTGAAGTGGAAGAATGTGTAACGTCATGTCCAATGCCAGACGTTTTCCTCCAAATCCTCCTGTGACACATAATAATGGCGTTGCAAGATTGGTATATATGACCGTTGCAGCGTGGAATGCCCTAGGACTAGGTGTACTCTTGGTTTCCACATGTACCCATTGTTTTGAAGTGTCATCGGTTTTTACGGTGAAAACTTCATCCGTCACCATTAGGTCATGGACGGCTGCATGTGATGTCTATTTTCTTGTGTTATTCACTTACAGTCTATGATATTTGTGAGGGATAGTTTCCCATCACATCCTCGTAGCTGTTTATCCGAGGGTATAGCTCCACCAAACATGATAAGCATGATTGATTTCTTGTGTGTTATGCCGCTGATGTCCGCGCTGTGTGCTGCAGCTTCGTACCAAAGTGTCTGTTTTCCTGGAACGTTAGGTAATAGCCCCTTGATATATTTCGTTTTAAACTCTGGTTGTATATTGCATCTTCCTGTGACATAATCATCGAGCGTTGCTGGGTTCATGCCATCAAAGTGAGCATCTATTTCCTCTTCTCTACTTATGGTGTCCCAGAACTTATCACTCTCACACATTTTCCACTTGCCATGTATTACCTGCCTGGATTCCTCAGCATTAATGACTCGTTCATAGAAGGCATCCTTATCTACGTTTTTTGGCACTGGACCTAGCATTATGGCAACTCTTTCTTTGAGTGCCATTTTATTTTGGTAAAGAAGCACATCGTTTTCTTCGGCATTTTTAAATGCTTGATTCAGCTTTTTTTCTACGCTTTGTTCCGTGTCGCTTGGTACATGAGCGAGTCTGCCATGTTGGTTTGTAACGGCAAGAAAGGCGTCAACTGAGTGACCAAAACGTGAACGTATAGCGCCATCCATGTTTATTTTTTTTACATATTTAATATTTCTTTATGTGTTTTATTCACCTTTCACGTTGGTGTGTTTTACAACATACCCATCGTGAGGTCGCTCCCGGATTCCATATTGAGTACGGTATCGACCTCATATAAGGGTAAGTCCCCATGGAATATAACATTTCCTCCGTAAGAATCTGTATATATAATGAATCCTGCGCGATGTGTATTTTATTTTGACGTTACATACCGCTATTTGAGGTCAATGGTCTGAATATCACCTTGAAATCCAGCGCTTGCCCATCAAATGCTATAGCGTTTAAATATTCCTCAGTCTTGTAATGTACAACGAGTACCGTATCGGTATGCCTAATGTATATCAGTGCGAGAGGCATGTTGAATGTTTCGTTTCTGGCTTCGATGTCGAAACATTGTGACATTTCTCTGTTCTCTATGCTGTATTTGCACAGCAAGTAATCATTTTCCGCATCATCGGTGTCTAACTTGTGGTTTAGAAGGTACACTGCCTTGTCTCCTGCTGCGATTCGCTGTAATAATGGGTTTCCGCAGAATGCGCCTTTAACTTGAGTGTCTATATGCCATACAAAATAACAGCTAGACAACAAAGCTCACCTGTAAGTGCTATACTCTGAGTCTTGTGAGCATCTCTTGCAGCAATGAGTAGCGATTGCAGCCCACCTGCCTGCAATACTACCACGCAATGGGTGTTATCGTAAACTGCGTGTTTATCGTCCCTTTGACATGTCCAAGAGAGCATCTGTCCTCTGCATGTCTCGATGGGCATTCTCAAAAGTGCTGTGAATACTTGTGTGTTATTATCCACGTGCACATATATCCCAGTGAGCCCATATATGTTAAGTGATGGCGCTAAGTTAAGAGCACTTTCAGTGTCACTTGACCAGTTGAGTGTTGTATTTTTTTCAATCCCTAGTATTCTGGATGCCTCTATATTGATGTTTTTGGCGAGGTCTGGTAGTTGGAAGTTAGTTCTTGGCAAAGTTAATGCTGGGTGTAGGTAAACTTTGATGGATGGAAGGGATAATTCCGTCAGCCGGAATGGCGGCGCCCTTGGCCTCTGAACGCTTTGTGGCACTTAAATAGCCAATTACCAGTAGTAATGAGGAGTCTTCTGAGAAGTCGGAGGTCGAAGTGTATAAAGCCAGAGAGGTCACCGTGAGTAATAGTATACATAGATGTACCAAACGTGGAGACCGGCTGTGGCTATCTCTGACGTGAGGTTCACCACCAGCGAATTGGCCGATAATCATGTTTGGTGCATCTGTGCTATGTTACTACTGCACGTCGGCCGTCGCAAGGCTGCGCGCGACAACCCATGACAAGCCTTATTCTAACACGCCCGTATGTATTTATATATAAGCTACGACTTTTTCGCACTGTTTAACATATTTTCGTGTTCAAGTGACCCCTGAATTTCTGGGATTCACCGTCTCTTGCCTTGTGCGTTATATTTCTTCTCTAGGAATTCCACACACTTGGCGATTAGTGCGTCTTCAAGTTTGTCTTTAGCTTCTATGTTAGACGCTAGATTACTGAAAGGTGAGTCTCCCTTCGCATCATTGGCGGTAGACGCATTGAAGTAGTCTTCTGCGGAGCGCGAAAACTTCGCTGCTGCAGGAATATGAAACCTTCGTTACACATTTAATGATGAAACTATATATCAACTGCAATGCAAAAGAGAGGGTTAGTTCACATAATACTATCATTTGACACAATCAGAGAGAAGATTAGCTGTTTATCCTCATTGATCAGGGAATACAGAATAGGTTCATCACGTGTGCACATGCGTCAATTTCACGACCAACGAGATCATGTTATATAACGGGGAAAAAATGATATATTCGCCTACCTGCAAAGTTGAAGAAATCTTTGTCATCGACCGACTGCGTTGTCTGTCGGTTGTTCTTGTGTGATGAAAGGTATCCATGCAATTCTAGTGAAGCTGTTGCTAATGCTGTTTGTTGTTCTTTATAGGCCGCATCTTTCCGTTGTTTCACGAGATCCTGTGCCTCTTTTGCTGTATTTTTTCTCCGTGTGATTCTGTGTTTGAAATGGCAGAAATTACACTCCACTCCATTTTTGCATGAATTGACCGTCTTATTTGCAAAAACACATGGCTTGCAGTACCCATTGGAATGAGTGATTGATCCAAAGCTAGGTATCTCTTCAATTAGAGTCGTATCATATTTCTCCCTTATGGTTTCTATAATATGAACTATGTTGATTTCCGTATTGTTTGTAAGACATTTCCTTAGTACGGCAAAGACTCGAGTGCGCATTGCATCTATGTCGAGATTGATTTTTTCTGTATCAGGTTGTATAGGCATAGTTTTTGAGTCTCTCTTGAACAATTCATCTACATATTTGCGGAAGACATCTACCATGCTTTGGGTAAAAAGGGTTTTGATCACTTTAAGCAGTTTGGCGTCCTGTTCGTCCACATTGTTTGAATGCGTTATTTGTCTGGGAGTATTGCCTTCTGCGCTATCTGACCAAGCGAAAGTGTAGGCATTGTCGACATGTGTAGTTTCTACCGAAACCATACTTGAGTATGTTGACCTCGCAGTGTTGACCATGCTGGATTCATTGCTATTTACGTATTCTCTCTCCAACATACTGTATGCTTTCGGATATTCGTAAAGAGATGAGAGATCTGAATACGGAGATAGTTTGCTACCTCCAAATGCCCTGCTTATGAGGTCCGAGCAGGTATCCAGCGGTACCGAATTAAATTCATTATCCATTTTGCTAAGTTTTCCTCAAAAATTCCTTGGATGTGTTTTAATATTACTCTTTGTAGCTATGCCTTTTTCGGCTTTTTTCAGTGCATTTGCACTGTAAGTTTTATGAAATTCTCTGATCCTGAACGGGGTCAGTCTCACTATTCTGTGTTGTCTTCCAAAGCTTTATGGATCCCACAAATGTTATACAATAGCCCTAAAACCTTTTGGGTCGTTTTCTTGGTCCTTTCAACCGTTATCTTGATTCTTTCGCTGATAGGTCCGATGACACGCCCGCTGTGTCAGCACATTTATGTGCCTTAGGTTTTTGGCGTTTTATAAGTTGTTTAAATTCTTTTTACTTTTACCACCCAACATTAAATACCTACTAGCGATTGTTGCGCGCCGTCTAGCCAATATAGCTGCCGTGTAGTGAGAAGAATCCACCTGTGACGAGCATGCATTCATGTGCGCGTCACGCCTCCCCTCTCTGTTTCTTCTTTCAATTGCGTATTCTCCAGCTCAACTCGATTCTTGTTTTGCGTGACTGCCATATGCGCTGTTGTGGCTTACGTTGGTAGTTATTTTAGGTGATGTCTCTAGCGTTTTTATTATGTCGGGTTACGACATCGCTTTAAAATTCACACGACTTGGCTGTGTTACGTCGCCTTCGGCCACACTTTAGCAACCTTCTGGGTATAATTTCTCTTATATCACCTATTTGATCCGCCACCGTTGGATTCGGGCCTATATTCTGCCGGCTCCAGCTGTGAGCCCCGGTCACTGTTCACTGCCGTTGTGCGCAGCGAGTTTCCGTCAATTAGAACGTTTTTATAGTCTATTAAGTAATTGTCTGCTCAGATAAATCCACAGGCGCACAACCCTTGAGGCATATACATGCTCTTAGACTCGGCTGCGTTATGTTACACTGATTCTATACGATTTATACTACAAACTACTAGCCAAACATCTATATGTTAAATGTTATTTGTGACGTTGTTATTCTCTCTTATTCTTGGCTTCTACGATAACGTGAGGTGTGTGTGTGTGTGCCGATGTACACGTCACTTAAGCGGTGTTATTCGAACATCCTTCTTCTTAACGGATTCTGCACTGTCCATTACAATGTTTGATAATTTAGTTGCGAATCTACACAGCGCCGACCGTGACCCTCTGGGTTACGCCATTAGAACATATCTAACACGCCGAGTGTTGATATACCTTTTCTCGGCGGCCATAAGGATAGCCCTAATCCTATATAGCAATTTTCACGATGATACATGTAGGTTTACGTACACCTATCTTCATTCTTAGTCGAGGTCAAGTTCACGGATGTGGATTACCATGTATTCACTGACGCCGCTCGGTTGCTATTGAACGGTGAATCGGTTTACCACCGTCATACATACCGTTACACTCCTCTTTTGTGAGTTCAGTGGTTAGGTAATTCATTCATGGATACAGGGCGCTTATACTGGTACCGAATGTGGTCATACATCGTTCTTTTGGGAAGTTCTTGTTCGCCACGGTTGATTTGCTGACGGGTTATATGTTGGAGCGTAGCGTAGAGTCCAGTAGGACCTTAGTGCAATGCATGTGGTTACTGAACCCCTTTGTCATCGGCATTTCTGCTCGTGGCAATGCTGATTGCATAATTTGCTTCCTGGTAGTCGCTACTCTCTACTTCCTCAGAAAAGACAGAATTGTTCTGAGTGCGTTTGCGTAAGTTACGTGTATATTCATTGGCATAAATTCTTCAGGTATGGATTAGCAGTGCATTTTAAGCTTTACCCCGTTATTTACGCACTACCACTGTTCCTCTATTTGTCTACTTCCGAAGTTGTTGGTTTAATAGGTATTATACCACTATGTTTTTTTCAGAAGTCTCAAAAGTCTACAGAAGCTTCGTTAAAGGACCGGTTGCGCTCGTTATTCTCTTTTATTAACCTGAAACTTTTGCGGTTTGCCGTCGTCAGCGCTGCTCTTTTCTTTTCGACAAGTTTCTTGTCCTATTATTTGTAGGTTCTCCATTTACGTACAACCGCAGTTATATGTGGCTTATGATAACATTTGTGTCATGTTTGCATAATGGTTTCCATTCCCATCATTTCCACACTGTTGTGACCCATCTGTTAACGTATGTTCAGCTACGGTTTCGACTTTTTGGACGAGACATACCTCTATCACTACATCCGCAAGGACCACAGGCACAACTTTTCCATTTTCTTTAACTACATGTACCACATAGTGGACTCTGGTCGTGAGGTATGTGCACTATCTAGTCGTGTATACAACCTGTTCTGCAGATAAACTCTATTATTTCGTTTATTCCGCAGCTGGCATGTTTGGTTGGATACGGTTTACTGGGTCACTGGGACCTCGAGCTTGCGATTTTCTTACAGGTGGGTTACTTTTCATTTTGATAAATAGGTTTTTTGCAGACCATATCATTTGTTTCGCTGAACAAGGTATGCACTTGCCAATATTATCTCTGGTGGATGTGCCTACTGCCACTTGTCTTTGCAAAGCTTTCGTTCGGGCGAGCAGCTGTTATCGTACAGGGCATAGCCATTGGAGGCTTCGTGCTGTCTAACGCCGTCTGGCTCTTTTTCGCATACAAATTGGAGATGCTGGGATACAACACCTACAACATGGTGGGTAGTGTTTGTCTATGCTTAATATGTTTCTAGCTATTGTGGTCGTCTGTTCTATTTGTCGCCACGCAGATGGCCATTGGTTGGGTGTTGTTGAAGCAGAGAGTCTCGACCCCCGTTCAGAAGCCTTCGTCGGAGTGAAGATGGTAGGTTGTTATCCCGTTTTAGTTGTACTACTAGATTTACCGTGTCATTATCATGCTTCGCCTGTAGTTTAGTCTGTTTGCGTGCACCAATCGATAGCTCGTATTGTTCTCACATTTACTTCAGCGTAGACAGCAGATCATATGGAGCATTCTGTTGTCATCTGGCATCACGTGATGGTATAATTCTGTTCTTGCATATATAGGGGGGGACTAAGTGTTTAACTGTGGTATCAAGAGTTTTCCGGACACTTGTTACTGCTGTGAAATTGTCATTGCTGACTAGTTGAGATATACTTCATTTTGTCAAAGACGTATCATACCCTGTTGTACGTCATTTAATTATATAGGTTATTCTGGGTCTTGTGTTCCCAGAACTTTGCTTACCCGTAGCCCCTTAGCTGGGAATTAAAAATCTGCGGATTCGTTCGAGTATCGATTAAAACGGAACCAGATTTTTTGCAACCAATACTGGAGATGCTACAGAGGTGGACCGCGACAATCTAGGCACCGTATCGAATAGTTGTTTATGGACAAATGAGTTTCCTTCACTAGTGATGTGTTGTTACGGCACATCTCTCTACGAGCTCCTGAGCTCACGAGGATAGAATGACCGTATTATCGAGCACACATAATGGTAGTAGTGTCGAAGAAGGTTGTGATATGCCAGCGATAGGTGTTAAAAGGTGCTACATATTGTTCCGTTATGCATCGGAGGCTACCAAAGACTCCCAACTTCAGAAAGTTGTCATTATAGTCTTTGGACAGTTTGATAGTTATAGGTTGGTTCTCCTAGCGTTTCGATGATTTATCAGCCCATGTTACTCAATAGACAGGTCTGGTTTGCAACCTCTGATGGTATCCTTGGTTAGGCCAGGCATAAGTCGGTGGTGTCTAAACCCAAGGTGGCACAACAATGTGTTGTAAAACGAGAAAATATACGGCTTTACTTGAGTTTTTTGCATTTTAGGAGATTCACCTCGAGTAGCAGCATCTCGGAGTGCAGCCACCGATATTTTAAGGGCGAAAAACGTAATATTTAACCAGCAACGTCGATATTGACAATTTCCAATAGACATCTGTACGTAGATTCACCAATCTCACCACATAGACAGGACAAAAAATGCTTGATACTCTACAGTTTTCTATAGTCACTCGCGCTGTGTCTATTTCAGCAAGGGCAGATGGTTATTTATCGATGGTATCAAGTGAGTGTTATGTCTATTGACGTTGATATGACTTATAAAGTCGAGTGTGACCATCATATTAACCTTTATTCTTCCGTTAGACAAAGGATGTAACTGATGATCAAGGGTATTAACTAGATGGTGAAGCCATCGGGTTCTATGGATAACACGTTATCCCTGACGGGATGCTGTTTAGTCTTAGAAACATCGATTATGTAGTACGATTTTGGAGACGAGCATGCACGCAATTCCCTTGTGATCTAGACAGACATCTTCCCATGGAATCTTGGGTGAAAGTAGGCGTATGTGAGGATTATTTGTGGAGGCGTGGTGTCACATCTCGCCATTCCTAGTGCTATATCATTTTTATATATACCGGAGTATCGTTTGGTATACCCAGATTTTATCTATAGCATTAGACATCGAAGCACGATATCACCTTCCTTGTCTAACCTTCTGTGCCATTGAATTCACACTCAGTGACGCATCCATTTCAAGATATTACTCTACATGTTCTCTGTTCTTCTGTAAGAATACATTTAATTCTTTTCTTAAAATTGCTGGAATCAACTTTTCCAAATTGACGGTGGCCTTCTTGGCTGTTGCCAGTTTCATTGTTGCCAAGGTCCACTGCAGCGATGACGCCGGTGATGACCAATCCGCTGGTTCGATTGCTGGCCTTCCTTTCAGGAAACAATTTTCGGATCGCGAAATCGTTCAACTCATTGACAAGAAGGTCACTCGTGAGCTGGAGGACGGCAGCATTGTTCCCGAGAAAAGCAAGGAAGCCCGATGGGATGCATACCAGCATAGAATCGCTGAAATGAAGGCCTCTATAGCACAATTCGATGGCGAACTTGCCCAGCTTCCCTTCGAGCTCGCTAAGCAGGCCAGCGAATACCCTACAAGGTCTCACCCACCTAAGAGTCTTGCAGCCAAGGTTGATGCCTTCTTTCAGAAGAAGAGGTTCTATGAATCACTTAAGATGCTTCCCGAAGACCTTGCTAAGAAAGCTTCCCAGTACGGATCCTTCGGCAAACTCCCCAAAGAAGTTGCCGAGGAGGTCAACTGGCATCTCGTCAACCAACGTTTTGATGGTCTGCTTGGCCGCATCCCCGAAGATCTAGCTAAGGAGGTTGCCGCATTAAAAGAAGGCGCTGACATCCCTGAAGAGCTTTCCAGGCGAATCTACAATTATTTCGACAAGAAGCACTCTCGCCAGTGAGCCAGACATCGTCCGCAGGACTCTCACCAGATCTGCTCAGATGCAGCATTATGCTTAGTAAATGACATTTGACTTTAGTTTTAATGTAGCCTATGCATTTGCATCTTAACGTGGTTTCATTGCCAGTACTGTTTCGATCAGTTGAGTTCTGCGATGCGATTGCGTATATCTCTCATCCTAGCGAACGTTTTCTCCATGTTATCTATGTTCCCCTTGAGTGTATCGGCAAGCCATTGGTCAACGAGACGTTTTACACATTCCTTGTAATTATGGAGTTCATCGGTTTGGTTGACCCTGTATGTGAGGGACTTGCACATTTTTTCCAAACACTTTATATAAACGCCGGTGATTAGGTCCGCAACATGCTGTACATCCGCCTCCTTGCGCTTTAGATGCGATAGTTCTGACTTCAAAGATAATACTCGCTGACGGCGTTGCCTTATCTCCTCTGTTAATTCTCTCACATGTTGCGCACGTATTCTAAGTTCTTCTACTTTATTGCGAAATTCTGGCAACGTGCCCAGAATTTCGGCTACGTTACCTTCAATGTTGTTGTATGCCTCGAGTGCTTTGTACAGACCCATCTGAAGGTTGTTTTTCATCTTGAGGTAGAATATTGCCTTGGAATCCATTGCACATAGATTTTTGACCAACTCTACAGTTTTCTGCGCCACGTCTATCTATCTGACTGTCATAACTTACATGTTTGTAGCCCGTGCCTTCATTGACGATCCTCCTGGCGGTTTTGATTGCATTGGCCGATACCGTGGTGGTTTCTTCTACATATTGCCTAATTTTTTCTACTTTTTTTTTGACATAGTCGCTTCCGTCGACCATTTTTGTTAAGCCTATCACCACCGGTTCCGTTTTATTGTCTAACGGCGCCTTTATGACAAGCTGTGGGTAGTCAGTGAGTGCAATTTTATTGGACTCTGTCGATTCCTCGGTGAAAGGCAGTACCATCACCGCCGTTGCAACGTGTCGGAGTTCCTCTTGCCCCAACATATAGCAGAGTAGGGCCTGTATAACGTATAAACTCGAATTTGTTTCATTCCAGTTGTTATTCGCATGATATTTGTGTTTTAGCCCGTCTCCTGTAACGATAACCGGCTGTGAGTAAGTGTATACATGATTTCCTGTTGTACGCATCTGAGTAAGTCGTCTAACATCGAAACTGGCTTGTTTGATGATAGCTATACTCGTTTGTGTAGCTGAATGTGCGACACATACGTTATCTGAGATGCGCATCAGTACGGTTGAACCTCCTTGGTTCCCGGGTTCGTCAATAGCGGTGTAGTTCAGGTAGGTGACATCTCTCTTTGCACCAGGTCGATAGAAATGTGATGTGAGAGGCATCACAAAAGTATTGTTTTGATACAATACTAGTTTCCCGTTGGATGCCGTCACTACCACATTGAGCTGCGGTTCCGTAGTCATGACTGTCAAGGCTTCGAAGCCGTTGCATCCTAATTCATCATTTGTTTCCAGTTTAAAAACTGATGGCAACAGCTTAACTACATTTGAACCTATATGGCTATCAAGAGTTTTGTTGGTCAAGCTATCTATCAACAAGGTGATGTCCTCAGGTGTTTCCAGACAATTCATCCTTGGTGCGTCTTTCATGCGGTAGCCCGCTGTCATGAGTTCCTGCGCCATTTGCACTATTGCCTGTTTTCTTTTGATGTTTCTTATACAGTTTGTGAGCAGGATCGGGCAGTAGGCAAATATAATGCCGTAGTTCGAGAGTACGAAAATCGTGACATCTCCCCAGGTAACATTTCCATTGGTATTCCAACAAAAATCTACCACTGCTCCTCTCGGTGCTGCATCTGGATCATAGATAGCACTTTCATCCCCCGTTCGGCACATTCCTTCAGTTAATTGCACCTCCATATATGGCACATCAATGCTTTGTTCCACGTTAAATATTCGCAACAAACCTCTCATTTCCAGATCAAATAAAATTTTATCTTGATCTGAGCATTCGTCACTATCATCTTGTTCTGCATGTTGATTTTTTGCGCCATTTTGGCTTCGCGATGGTGAGTCGTTTCCGCAGTCCACTCCATCGTCGCCATTGTCATTCACGTCCGTGGTCACATCAGAGATGTCTTTGGGTTCCATTGTCAAGATGCATATCACCTTAGCATATTGTTGATGAAATGCAGCTTTCACAATTTTGCAAAGTCTATGATCTCTGTCAGTTGTTCTTTTTTTGTGCATAACTTCTGCTCGTACGATGTTATTATATAGAAATGTTTGTGTTATTGCATCTGCTACAACGCTGGTTTCATCCATTTCTGTTGGGACGCGCACAACATACACCGCAGACACTGAGGTTAGCAATAACAGTGAACCATTTTGGTTTACTTCCATATGGTGAAAGTATCCATCGTTACAGACATCGTGTTCTGCGAGTACCTGGAATAGGTATTTGGAAATTCTTCCTCTCGCGTTTACATATTCACATTTTACCGATAGTAAGACAGAGCATGTTTGCATGAGCCCTTGTCTTTTTTTTACTGGTTTTTGTTCCAGCAGTGTGAATAAGGCGAATGCATTGTGGCATCCCAGAAGTCCATTATCCTCTGTAGAAGCAATTAGATTATACTGTGAGCTGGTGTCTACGGTTTTCAGCTTGTGGCAGCAAGTTCCTATGTCACTGTTTTTCAACCGTGTAACGGTAGTAGAATATTGTACGCATACTCGACTCTGCAACTCTTGGAGGTGAGTCCCTACCACATCACGGTTCCTTCCCATCTTGTAAGTTGCTTCAGTATCTTATCGTTTTCATTTACTGGTTAACTGTATATGGAATGCGTGTTCTGTAAAAGGTGCGATATGGTATTCCTGTATTTGCCATTTCCATCTTGCAATTAATCCGTTTCCAGCAATACCGCTTTGATAGATGACCTTTATTCCAGCTGCATTATTTTACCCCGATAATCAACTGATTCAAAGTATTATTACTAACATTCAGGGCGAATTTGTTATTCCTACATAAAAGTTATGTATGTGTATATGTTAGCTTGGTCAGAGCCCTTGTACCGTATCTTTTGCTGAATAGTCATAGAATGATGAAGTTCAGAGTATCATCCCTGAGTTTATGTTCCTTAGTTCGATTTTCTGAGTCGTTCGTTCCTCTGATACAATGGTAGAGAGTCCTTCGACTGTTTGCGTGAGAATTGCTTATTTCCAACTGTTTTTTAAAACCCTGATGGATCTACAATCATGTGTGTTTGTATTTCTCCTCTGTTTGAGGTTTTTGGTGTGTCTGTCACTCGACTCTCCATGGCCTCATGGGGATTGTGGCTCGCACCTTTTCAAGGTTTATGTCTCATTTGGTCCATTTTATCACTCTAAAGACCTCTTTTGATACTTTTAAGCCGTTTATTTTCGTGTCTAACCATCACAAGTGCCATGTGTTGGAAGACCGTTGCCGTAATTTTTACACCTTATATTGAAGTTCGTGTTCTCGTATTTAATTTGATAACTAAGTAGCCATTTTATTGGTACAGTGTGTGATGAGACTGTAACTCTAGTGGTTTTAAATTTGTCTATGGACGTTTGGAGTGTGCCGTTATCTACGTTGCACTTGGCAGCTGAACATATGGTTGGTTTTCTTCGGACCAACCTGCAGACGAAAACTTCGTTTATACTCTCACGTCATGTATAAACGATGACGTCACTTTTCAAGCAACTTGAAACGCTCTCGTCGAAGTCTAACAAGGCATACAGTCGCTTCCGAAGGTCATATGCTGGCAGTGAACATTACAACCGTGTTTTGGTTTGTGAGAGCTGGGAGTATATAGTGAACTTGGACCATGCTTTTTTAGAATGTGAAGGTCTATTTCGGCGTTGTCTATCGGATGTCGGTCCCGGTGCCGTAGCTGTTATGGCTGAACGGCCTTTAAGCAATGGTGATTCTTCTTATCCAGTGGATTCCGATGACCATGTTACAATATGTGAATCCTGTTGGGAGAGTAAGGAGATTGACTTTATGGTAGAATCAGAGTATGTTGAATTCAAACGTGTGTTACAACTTTTTCTGGACCTGGTTACACCGTGGCTTTTGCATGAGCCCTGCCAATCTCTGATAAGTTATCTTATATATCAGTATGAACTGGCTACACGTTTCGGAGAGATGTTAATTTTGTCATTGCTGCCTATACATGAAAGCTCGTATTTTCTCACGATAGCCGAGCTTGTGACCCTCCCCGAAGGCAGCGAGGTTGCATATTATTTACCTGTCAATTCTGCCAGCAAGCACAATTCGGGTGATGCAGCTTCTACCCAGGGCGTGTCACGTGCTGTGATAATAGCAGGTACAGTGAGATCTTTCAGCAATTATAAGCAGATAAGTGATACTGCGGAACGCATAGCGTTAGTGCGTCAACGTGGTGGAGCTTATGTACCACTTTATGCTGTTTTAAGTGTTGCTTTTATAGAGCAAAATCGTGGCAAGCTTGGTGATACTGAGGTTCGTATGTTGTTGAACGGTGCCTTTTCAGGTTTAAAACATCCTGAGAATGCCGCGTACTATTCTGCACAGCTTTGTATTTTGACGATGTTATTTGCGACCGTTACTGTGACCATTTCTGTACAGAAATCAGTAGTGACAGCATTACTGGACCCTTTGCTTTCTGCAATGTGTGAGGAGGACCTGCCTTCGTTCAACTTGCGTTTGAAATTGAAGGATAGCTTGTTCGTTCTGCTTGGGATGTTTAACCAGCAAAAGTACCGCTTGGATATCCTCCCGGCGAATACTACTCGTTTACTCCTCATGGCATTACACAAGTTCCCTACACTTGTGAACATGTTCCGTGCGACCGGCGGTTCGTCAGAGTCGTTGGACTTTTCACGATTGTGTAAGGTGTTGATTTCGTCGGTATTGAAAGTTCGCGGGAGCTACTGTCCCAAGCATATGGACAATGTTCCATGCAGCATACAATGTGAACTTGTAGACTCTCTTATCGATTTCTTCTTTCATTTGGATCATTCGATATTGTACTTGCGCGTGATGCTCTATACATTAATCGACGACTTGGTAATATTTTCGCTATCTTTTCAGCATGGTGATTCGCTGATCAAATGGGATGCTCAACACATGAGTGTTTTGTTGAACTCAAATTATGAGGAAAAGCTTTCTGTGTACAGTATGTTCTTCCGCAAACTTCATTCGATATCTCCTTCTGTTTTTGAAGATGTCCTGCGTAGGATTCTGCAATCACCAGATCTTGCATCTGATTTTTTGCCAGTGTTTATGATGATTTGTCACAGTGTGAGTCGCGGTTGTCCAGTTCATTTTTCAGTACTGGTGCACCGATGTTTGGGCAAGCCTCTGGATACTGATAAGGTCACACTACCTAAATCTGTGACTTCTGACAACCTTAACTCAACTCTTATGCTGTACACGAATGCTAAGCTACCTTCTAAGTCTCGACTGGAGCTTTATTCCATGATATCATCCGTTGTGGACGCTGACATATTATCTTCTGTGGACCATAATGTGATGCATGAGTTCGTACGCGTGAGTTTAGCAGACCACGAGTGTAGCACTCTGTTTTGTGCTGATAGACGTCTGGTTACTCTCCTACCACCTTCAATGGTTGCTGATGTTCTAATAAGTCACATTGGCTCGTTGCTTCCAAGTTCGGGGTTTTCTTTTACTATCCCCGTTCTGTTGAAAATGAAACACAAGAGCGCCTTGCTTGACATGGGACCTTTCTATGAGAAATGTTTCGAAACATTGCATCGTGACTCTGTTTTATCACGGCAATTGTTTAGTAGTCTTGGGCTATTCTGCGATATTTACAGTCGTGCCTCTGGCAGTGATCGTGAGTCGATGCGTCGTGCATCTCACCATTTTCTATCGCTTCTTCGTCAAGTTCATGTAAATCACAAACCATTGAAGGCTGGAAAGAAGGGTGTGAACCATGCCGATGCAGCTGCTAGTTCAGCGAATGCCGATGTCTCGGGTGCTCCGGCAAATCATGGTTCATCTCGTCGCTTGAAGAAGTCCGTGACGGAACCAAACCATGTCTCCGATACCAGCCCGAAACTGGGTGATATTTGTACTACGTACTTTGCAACTTCAGATATATCCGACTGTCTGAATTACAGTTCTACAATGTCCCTTATGTTTGGCATTTTGGAGTTCATGGTGCGTATTTCTACCGCTACTATCTATGTCAATACGTCATCAGGGGATGATTGTGTTACCACCACGGATGGTAATTCCCTCCTCTTTGGTAGCGACTCCATATGGTTCAACGAGTGGATCGTTTGTTATGGCCTTTACGAATCATCTGAACTTTTACGTCGGTCTACTAATATGGGTTCGGCTACTGCTTCAACTGTGTCGACTGACGATATGGAAGATGGGCATAGTGAATCTTCACCACCAACTGGAGATGACCTGCCACAGTTACCCACCATATTGTCTTCAGAAGAGTACCGCAATTTGTTTTCATTGACTTTGGTTGTATTATGTTACGCCATAAAGCTTTATCGCGGTTCGATTATGCTTGGAGAGTTAACATTTATGTTTGCACGTTGCATTTTCAAGTTCATGACTTTCCAGTCTCTGATGTGCTATGTTCCAATTAAATCCGAGGTTGATTCGTCGTCTGCAGCGTTGGGCATAGATATTGAGAAGATTCTGGATAGGGACTCATTGCTGCTTCATACGATGCTTGCGTTATCCAGTGAAGATTTCACCACCCTTTTCAAAGAAGCGTTGCAAATGGCTCCCAAGGCTGTTTTACCAAATATATCTCTTTGGTTGAAACATTATTTTGAGTTTGTACGTTTTGTGCGCAGCGCTGAGAATCGCCCTGGTATGCGTTTGGACCTGTATGGCAACATCAAGAGCAGTTATGTGGAAGTATGCCGTTCTTCATTTACTGTCTCATCGCACGGCGTCTTAGGTGACATGTTACCATCAGGTCTTTTGATGTTATCTGAGCTTCTGGAGGGCCGAATTGACGTTCCTGAATTGCCCCAATCTGTGGTCAATAATTACGAGGGTGATATCTCTACGCTACGCATTCCGTTCGTATCTCTACTAGATCTCGATGGTATGATGAAAATGTATAGCCGTTGTATGGATGTCTTATCATATATGATTCCTGAGTTATTGCGTCTTAAAGCATTTAACAATTCTTGTTTGATGTTGGATGTTATGGTGAACACCTTAGAGTTTTTGGTTGATAAAGATCCCCAGATACGTCGATCTGCCGTTTCTATGTTATCTCGAGCCATACAAAGCTATGTCGATACCCCTTGCAAAGCTCCCGTTCGTCTCGTTAGCGTTTGTGGTTATGGGTTATCGGCAGACTACAGTGCAGCTGTTGCTGCATTGGACTATCCCTTTAAGGGTTTCGAGAAGTCATTGAAGCGTCTATGCAGTGCTTTATTATCGGTCAATGCACCGTTTCCGAACGTTATTTTCACTAACCAACTGTTCGGTCATTGTACCAGCGAGCCTATAGTGTTGTCATTGCTCCTTTATGGCTGCGCCTATAGCGGCACGACCTTACAGTTTAACGTTGATGTCGTGCGACGTATATCTTCTTCGATATCATCGGATAACTCTGTTGAATCTTTGTCATCTGCTCTGGTTGGATTATTAAGGGTCGTGAACGAACTAGACTGTCATTCGCAATATCATCTAAACTCCTTGTTACGTTTTCTGATTCTCTTCGCTTCTTCTGCTTCCTGCATCACAATCACAGATTTACGTGGGAAGCATGGATATTTTGCATCAACTGTATGTCCAGCGGTCTTTGATGCTTTAGGTCGATTGTTTGATCGCATGTCTGACATCAATGAGTCTCTACAAAATGATGTACGTTCTATTCGTCAGCTTTGTGGTTTGTGCATCTCTATATGCACATTGGCATGTTCTGGAAGCGCATTTTGGTCTCTTAAACCTGATATTCATGCTGTATTTTTCGAATCTTTCGATAGGATTTTTGGATCTCTCGACGTTACCACTCGTCGTTCATGTCTGAAATACATAACATCTGGTTATGTCAGTACCAAGTGTGGTGTGAAGCCATTAGCAGCGTTATTACCTAGGCTACATTCATGTAGCGATCAATTGGCTGAGAAGTTAGTTATGGGTATCGTTGACACCGCCCCTACTGGCTTACTCTCTGATATCTTCAGCGCCATTTTACAATACGAAAAATCATCTAAAGGATGGTTCAAGATGTCATTTATAGTATTACAGCGGTTTGTATCTTCAGGTTATTTCATATCAGAGCCTAACATGTCATTAAAGGGTGTTGGATCTTTGTTGGATGGTCTGTTGAAGTTGCACAAGACAGGTGCAAATTCTGACGTCGTGAACGACGAAGATGTATCTTCAATGTCACACCTATCACACGTCCAAGTTTTCATAAGTGACCTTTACCGTCGTTTTGTTAGCTCTTTGGAAGCTATGGATATTAAGGTGTTGCGTAAGGTCGATACTGACATATCTCGTTGTTTACGAACTTTATGTCAGTTTTACGGATCATCAATGTTAGATTTCATCCGACCGTTTCTTTGCAAAATGTGTATTGTGAAGCATTATCTGGATTCTAACATCGACATCGGTCCTGAGGGTCCCCCTCCAGATGTAGTTGATTCTCGTAATGGCAGCTCGCATGCTACCAAAATACCTTATTCTAGCGCTTTTAGCTCGATTTGTCAACTGTTAATGCCAATATTCGACTCTGACAAAAGCTCATCGACTATGCTGCGGTTTGTCGAATTGTGTCTGGTTCTGTCTGGGGGTAACATTGCCACTGTAAATCGTACCCTTTCCAAGAGCGCAGGTGGCCGGTTGCAAGATGCATCTCGGGATAAGTTTGTATCGGAGCTATCGGCTGCATATGATGAATGGCTTGGTTATGGTATTTACAGTTGCATTACCATTGGTCGTTTGGATTCTTCTTCACCTATTCTCACTCGATGTATCGATCTTCTAAAGCAATCTAACGACCCGGTGGGCATTTTGTCGAAACTTTTGTTTACTTCAGTATCTTCATGCTGTAATGAGGATCCTAACATACCTCTGTGGATCCCACGTATGGATGTTCGTTGTTTAGGTCCGAGTAAACATCTGGATATTGCTTCTCGATATGAATCGACCTATGTCATTTACAATTTTATCCACAGCTTATTGGTATCATCTCCGGAACTGTTTGAGGTACCAATATCTGCTGAATGTTTCGTCAATTTTAAGTCACCTGGTTATCAGAGGTACCGATCGGTATCTCTTCTCTTACAGGGTGCATGTTTATCTGTGATATGTTTCAAAAATCATGGCGATACTGCGTCACTATCTGGTTTGAGTAAGAAGCGTAAGGGTCTGGTTGGTATTTGTGTACCTAATTCCGATGATACCGCAACGAGTGACAGTTACGTCTCTTCGATCGTTAAGAAAGCTTTGGAGATTGACGATTTGGTATACACATCAAACCCTCGAGATAACCACCCTAGATTAGCTCTAGGTGCATTATCGTTTTTTTCGGGTCTAGATAGTGACACCGTAGATGGTAATTACTGGAGCGTTACATGTGGTTTGGACTTTACTAAGCAGCCTTGGGTTTGCGAATACATATCTGCAGCTACTTCGTCTTTGTGCAAGAGCTCTGGGCATAAAATCGTATTAGGCAAGCGCGATATGGTATCTTCTGACAATATGAAGTTTAGTAAAGAGCTTTTCACTACTTTTATGAGGTTATCAAAGGTGTTTGCGGACTTTTTGATGAGCACTGGATCTTGCATGGTTTCTAAGAAGTTGGATGATTCGATATCTCTATCGATTAATCGATGTCGTAAGGTTATATGGCGTACTCTGCTAGGGTTATCTTTGGGTTTATCTGGTGTCTATACAGGCCATTGTTTTTCACTGGCCAGGTCAAATGTTGAGTTTGTGCAGCAGCATAAAACCCTTAGCCGTGTATCAGTCTTCGATTTTGTTAACACTGTGAAGTTATGTATCATTTTGATCTCCAGTTATGATGTTTCTTCAGATGATATTGACATCGAGTTCGTGTGCAGTTTAGCACGTTCTCTTTCGAAGTTTACGGCATACATGGTTGAGCGTCATCCTCACAACATTAACCTTTCGGCCTGTTTACTGACGTTAATGTTGCTGCTACGTCGTTCGTTTGGTCGATCCACGGGCGACGAGTTTTTGGAGGCTATAATGAATATGTTGGTCTTTTTCAGGTGTCCGGATCCTTTGGATGAAAGTTTCAACATCCCTTCTGAGGATTCGGTATTGACTGACACAGTTTTATCTTGTGCGTGTTGTGATATATTTGATGAATTACTACAGTGTAATTCTGATAAAGTATCAAAGTCGATTGTTAGCGGTATGGATACATGTTCATTCACGCGGGCTATCCCAGCACGTACGGTAACCCTTTTATCATTTTATGCAAGTGTGAGTTGCAAATACTACCACCTGTTACGTCTCGTGTTAAGTATCGATTTTACCAATGTGCTTAATGCAATGCGTGACGGTGGTCGTTTGATGAGTCTTGTTACTATAAGTCTGCATTACAACCGTATCAAATCTAAATATGTTAAAGATCTTGACCGGTTGTATTTTCTGAACGCCAACTTACTTTCTGACTTCGAAATTGCATCTATAGATGCTGCCCATCGCAAAGCTCGTAAGGCTGCAAAGGAATCTTCAGTTTCAACTCAGCAATCGACACCTAATAACACCTCTACACCGATTGATGTTATGGACAAGAGCCCATTTTTGTTTGAATATTTGGATAAGAATAAATGTTATCCACGGTTAGAGTTGTCATGTCGTTTATTTAGTGAGCGTGATTTATCATTTGGGAGTGACATTGGTGTGAAATGTTTCGAAGACTTGGCTATAGTATTCGCTGTGGAATACTTTTCTAAGATCAAGCCTAGCGATGTTGTTGAGGTATTATCGGGTCACATTGGCATCCTTAACCGTTCGCAAGGTACGGTGCGTAATATCAAGTCGACTCCGCAGGACAGTACTCGTTTATTGTTGCGCATCATAGTTTCTACTTTGAAGGAATACGGTAATGTTGGTGTGACCCAGTTTGTACTACCCCGTGTTTATGACTTTTTGAATTCGGTGCTCAACTCTACCCTGGACGAATTGTGTCCTGTTGTCGTGGCCCCCAAGACCAAGACTTCGCGTTCTTCAGTTATTCCTCGATGGAAGTGGTTCGCCAATGCAATATTTAGTTTGCGTGCTGTTAGTTTAAGTGTGGAGACATGGGACTCCAAGCAAGCCTCATTGCCAGACATGTGCCTTAACACATGGCTCCCTACTCTTGGAAGGGCTCTAGACGTTTTTGATTTCTTATCTGATGATTATGAGCTTGAATCATGGGAGATTGCTATAGAGACTACATTTTTACATTTGGTGGTATCATGTTCAAGTGAGGCTGAGCGTATCGAGCGTGTACTATCTGGTGACCTGGTATCTCGTTCAGAGAGTTGTAAACGCCATATTCTACGCATCCTTTTATCTTTATGGAGTAAAGCCAGTTTCCATCTAGGATCTACTGTTGTCAACATTATGCCAGTGCTTGGCGAGCTTGCTGACGACGACTCTCCTGAGGTACAGCGGCTTACGGAGACACTGAACGAACGTATTCAGTCCTTTTTGAACATGAGCTAGCCACGGGTCTACTTTCTCAACCGACTACCTCTGTTGACGCCAAAGTACCCCTTAGCGGTACATGTCCTTGGACGCTTGACATTACGTAATAGTAATAACTAACATTACCTTCATAGAGCATAGTTTTAAGCTTCACAAATGTGTTCTATGGTGTTTAATTACACGATATGTCTATTGTGTGGTTAATTCCTTGACCGCTGTCTTCATACGGTCTCGTAACCGTTTAGCTGCGGCATCCAGCCGCTCCTGTTGCTTCCTATGCCAGTTGTTACCTATATTTACCTGTTTTATTTTTGCATTGGCTTTTGACAGGGCTCTTTGCAATAACCGTTGGTGTGCCTCCACAATGGCATGTGCCTTTTGCGTGAGTTGTTGCATCAACTGCGCAGAGTTTGGGCTTGGCATCCGTATAACTATAAGATCGTCATCGTCTGAGTGTACAGTCCAGTCGTCACGTAGCAATACAAGTTCTCTAACAACCTTGCTTTTAATTTTGACATCAAATACATGGATATGAGTAACAATTGGCGATTTCATTACTATTTGTGCAAGATCTACTAGCATCTTGTTCTTTATGGGTATCGCTTCTAATTCATCCAATGTAATGGCTACCGGTTTCAGGTCAGCAATCGCCTTCAGAGCGTCTTCCTCAATTTCCACGATTTTATCAAGGTGTTCATTAATATCGAAATACTCCATGTCAGTATCTTCATCTTCAACTTCTGTTTTTTGTTGAACTTTATTCTTGTTCCCCTTTTTTGCCTTGGATGAGAACATGTTTTTTTGTTGCGATATTATTCCGTACGACACACGTGCCCAGGTTACCAACGCCACCGGTGCCGATCTTGGCGCTATTATCCTCCAAGCTCCAAATGGCATGAGCCGTGTTATCCACATCTCTTTATATCTTGAAGGTGGGTTCGTAATCTGGGACTTGCCCGTGATATATGGAGGTTGGTTTTGCGTCTCGGCTACCGAATACGGGATATCGATAACTCCTCCGTTCTACTTGTAACGTTCCACCTTCTTCTCGAACCAACTTGTTAGCCTTTTGTGTGTTCTTTTTGGCTACCGGTCGAGGTACTGTGAATAATTTGGGGTTCTGTATCGGTCCCTTGAAAGAAACCAATATATTGTCTACTCTATTGGAGTGTTCCAGTGCACCGCGTATTCTCCACGCACATAGACAACGGTACGGTGACTTTGCACAATGTAGGCTGCAGCGTGCTCCGCAGGGTCCTTCTTGTTGGAATCGTAGGCTTTGTGAATGCCGCAATATTCTTCGAGATTCCAGCTTAGCCAATGCTGCTGTGAGCAGGAACCTTCCTGCGTTTCTCCAATCTAGAGGGAACCTCGGTACTAGTGCTGCTGGTACCTATTAAAGTCCTTATATTATAGTCCGGTGTATCTTACCTTGGTGGTTGGATATACTGGGTCGTATAGATCTTTTTTATGTTGATGGTTCCCTGTATCTATTGTTGCAGTTGCTATGTTTATTACCTCGATATCCTGTAGGTTTTCTACCTAGTGGCGCTGCAGGTAACGGTGCCAGTTGATCCTTGGTCGGTCTCGTTGCGATATTCCGGGTGAATCTGAGACAACTTTTTATAGGCATCTTCATGCCTCTATACACACAAAAATATCACCAGGTTTGTAGCAACCAACACCGTAAGGGCTCCCAAGTACGCGGCGACATCGTGGCCCGCGATGTGTAGACTACAGTATAGAATGACCTAACTAAGAGGATGTATATACGCTAGATAAGGGGTGTTTTGCGATTTGACGGAGGTTATTATCACTGTATAACCTCTTTCTGTGCGTTTATTATCTCGTGGGCCAGTCGTCCCTGACAGAATGTGTTTTTGATATTGTTTAGCCTTGTATGTGACAGCATCACAGGTCCATACACGCTACCATGTAGATCCTTGTTGCCGTATGTGTCAGAATACAGCGTATGAGTAATGCATCGTCGCCTATCGTCCATGAGCAGCAAGAAGCAGTTGTACGGTGATATGTAAACACATTGGCCTCCTCCGCACGAGCTCGTATGTGCTACTAACTCGTCAGTATATATATGGGTAAGATCAGTTGGTCTGAATGCTACGTTGTTACGTTCCAGCGTAATTAGCATATGCAAGACCCGAGTACCCTTGTTCCTATCGCAGCACTTGCCCTGATAGCATACCACCGACCCACATAATAGGCATATCAAGGGGTTTGCTGGTGTTTCACCACAGGTTGGACACGAACGTTTCGTTGTTCTTTGCACGAGCTCCCAGACGTCAGCTGGTAAATTACTCTGCATATCCACATAGTTGTAGCCTGAAACTAATGGTGCCATAGTCTCATGGCCGGTAGCACGTACAAGTTCCAATTTCATGCGTTCCTCAGGACCAAGCATCGCCATGCAGGTTTTAAGTATAGTTTCAGAGAAACTGTTCACACCTGTGACCTCTGCCAATAGTTTGAACCTTACACTATCATGGTGTAAGTGCGCATACGATACTTTGGTGACTATGTCCTCACGTGTTTCGAACACGCTAAAGATCGTCCAGAACGATATATCCAGGAGCACATTCAATTGTTGTAACAGCGCATCAACAAATGCATCAATGTCCGGCTCAAAGTCGTAACGAAGATATCCTCGGTCACGTGCGCTGTTGTATACCCGCTCCGCCAACATCCGTGCTATATGTAGAATGTCACCACCGTTTGATATTCCACTCATTTGGTCTAGTATATTTTCCGATATGAAGTCGAATAGGTGTCGTTCTTCCGGCACTAGATGGCGTAACACTTCAAACAAGGCAAAGTTACAATGGGCGCGATAAGTCTGCTCATTCAACCTCCTTAATAGGTCCATACCCAGGTAGTATCGTTCTGGTTCCGTGTTACTGTGCACAGTTTGAGGCGAATGGCACGCCTTGTTGGAGAAGATCATCTCGGCAAGTGTATCCTCTTCGTCCCAAGTATCCACACTAGACATGTTATCCTGGTATTCAACATCGTTCCCCAACACTTGTAATATGGAATTGAATTCTAGATCGTCAACCCCGCTCTCTACAAGCGCATGTATATGCCGAGTCTTCAGCAGTGTAGTCACCAAGTTATACAGATACTTCCTCGCTTGCTCACCAATATCACCGGTTGGTTTTTCTGGCACTGGATGTATGAACGTGGAGACTATGCGGTGATGCGTTTCCTGCATCTCACGTGCCAAGCCAATCTGACGTTCCATATTAGCCAAGTAGCCCACATCAACACTCGGTTCGGCAGGAGCAACATCTTTACAAGGCTCATTTAACGATCCATATGTTTGTGAACCATTTGGGATAACACCCTTCATAAACACTTCATTAACATTGGTGCTATTGTATCTCTTGAACTCATCTTCATGTTCGGCAAAGCCTACCCAATTTACTCTTCCCAAAAGGTCAGATGGGATCTCGGCACTGTCGATAGATTCCTTGAGATAGGCTTCATATAGTTTCGATAACAGCTGTCTCTTGAACTTGAGTTTACTATAGGTATAGTTGCGGTCACTAGGCCCGTCATTCCCACCTCGCGCCTCCATATCTATAAACGCGGCGAAAGAACGCTTTATATCAGCCAGTACTACACGTTCCAAAACTTGCATCAAAAGCATACCGACACATTTCCCGAGATACTCCAAGCTCTTTTCCTTTGTAGGTGATTGCTGTATAAAGAAGAGGAGGAACTCCCTCAGAAGGTCCATTGACCACGAAGATGTTACATCCAAGCCGAACTTATCGTTGATGTCTACGTTCATATACTCAAGTGTTGGTTCTACGGTTTCTACTACATCTATATCCAGTGCTTCCGCAAGTTTGCACAACTGTTTGTCGGACATGGACTCAACTAGTATCGTAAGCGTTGTTGCGGGGCCATTTGTTCGCGGTGTTGACTTTGGGACGACAAGATCACCTGGGGGTAGATCGAAATAGTTCCTATCTAGTTGATAAACATCATTATTACAATCCCCTAAAGCATCATTCATTCCGCTGTTGTACATATTTCGCACAAGATGTTGCAGCAACGATGGACGTAGCGTCAACTGGTTCCGTCGGCAAGTGCAAGTGGCAAGTAGATAATGATAGAACATCCAGAACTTGGAATCCAACAACACCCCAGCATTTACATGGCGCCAATTTTGTATACCGTATAAGCAACGTTTGCCTCCGAATACCATGCGACAATATTCAGTAGTCATCTCGCGGCTGAACGTGTAACCTAAATCCACCTTCAAAAGATTACTCAACTCTCGTCTCTTAGTGGGTCGACTTGACAGCCAACTCTTCAACTGTTGTATGATATGCCGTCGGTCCAACACAGCATCCTTTATACCTTTAGGGTAGAAAAGCGCACTGCACTTGGGTTGGTAATCCACTGCTAAGTTTGTCTCTAAGCACTTGTTACATGAGAATTCAGATTCTTGTGAATCTCCTATTCCAAGATCCTCGAGGAAGCTGCGACCTTCGTTACTCGTTCTTTTCAGGTCATTTAAAGGTAAAACGACGTTGAACATGTACATTACATGTGGGTTCAAATTGAACCTTGCGTATATCGGTGACGGTATCCAATTTGCGCAAAATGAGTACCTCCAACCTGTAGAACATAACCTCTGTGTCTTGTTCATGTGATGTGTTTTACATCTCTCCAGTGTCATTGCATCCGGTACGTATTCTAGCGTGTAGTTACACAAAGCCTTGCATATAGGGCAAAAGAACTCATTGTTTGCTTTTTGGACACCAAATGTCATCAATCTTATCGAACACTGGCTCTTGTTGTGGTTTGTTATACACTTCGTATGCACCATGTGCCCGCAACAGCTGATCATTGATGATTTTAGGGGTAACGATGCTTTGGCATAAACTGTTGGTCCTGTTACAGACTTGGCGCATCTACGCATAACGCTATTTGTCGATATAAGGCACATGAAACTCATACGGTTATCATCGTCACTTCCTTGTTTACACAATATACAAATGTCTAATTCCGTATTACCAGAGCCCGCAGACTTCGATGGTGTAAGATCTAGCTCGTCAAATGACACTTTACTCTGTTCTGCCAATATATGTGCCATATATCGCTTTTGAAGTTTCTTTATATACTGCATACGGCTCTCTCCAGAAGTACTTTCAGCTCTTTTCGGATTGATTTGGAACTTTTCACGAATCTGTTGAATAACACGTTGCAATGCTGTGTTCATTACCTTATCATCTCCTACCCGTCGAGCAATCGCTTCTAAAGCGTCAACAAGGCGGGATGCATTTTGATCATTAATATGTTCCCTAGTTTCTAGGAGGACATTAATTGTTTTCAGGGCAGCCAAAATTGAATCATTCCATTTACAACCGATATTACCAGACCAATCAACACCGGCAAAGTATCTTATTGGCTCATTATTAGGTTCTTGATCTATATGTTCTTGCTCCTGTGCATCGTAGAACAATGTTTCTTGTGAGAATCCACAATCTGGGTCAGCCACCGTCTGGTTTAACCCTGATAGTGACTCTAGAAACTGCCACACCACTGTGAAACAATTTGAACTACCAATTGCATTCATTATTGCATCCTGCGTTTGGTAATATTCTGGTTCCATGAACTCATCGCTACGCGGAGCTCCCAGTAAACCGATATTACCACGGTTTGTTACCTCTTGCGGTAACGAGATGTCTGACGTTGTATTATGTGGATTCCACATTATGTCAATGAGACGGTAACTTTCACTTTTCGGTCTTAAGTATGCTTTATCTGAAAGTTCGGAATAGTTCACTGTAGCTACAGTTTCCACAGCTTTCACGATATCTGGATGGTGACGCCAATATATATCTACTGACCCCGTCACTTCTGCAAAATCAAGACGACCCACAGATAGTGCAGTTACAACGTCCATTATCAAAAGCGGGTACCCGCGACGAATAAGTTCGGGGTTCTTGGCGTTGCGTATAACCGACAACTTCTCAAGATGTTTCACATCATGTAATAAGATACATAACAGGTGCATAAAGAAAATTGCCCGAAATATCATATCACCTGGCCCATTATGTATGGATATTTCCTGCTCATACGCTTTCCTAAGGTCTAACCCGAATGCCTCTTTATGTAGTACCAGCAGTACATCTATGTTGTTCAACCCCGCAATTCGACGTAACCCAAGAAGGGCCACTGCTATCTGTAGTGCAGCAACGTCCATTTGAACCAATACCACTTGACGGTAGTATTCATTTTGATCGTGCATCGATTCTCCGTTGTAAACCCACAGGTTATGTTTGATTTCTTGTGAGAACCGCAATGTTGACACGGTTGCCCTCAATACATATATGAGCACCTCGTCATCAAAGGTTGTCACTATCGGATCGTCACGCAGCTCATGTGCAGCGGCACCTGATGCGTACAATTCTCTTACATGGTTAAAATTGATGATTGTTGTAAAAAAGCGTACGAACGGGATATGGAAGGTGCGGCACAACTTATTACTATTGAATCTCCATTTGGTCAGGTACTTTAGCACATAGTCGTTTATAGCTTTGTATAAACCACTGGCCGCCCTTACATCCGATTTGCAATAATATGAAAATTGCCTCAATGCTGTGTGGAGAGTATGCTCGCTTGTGAAGGCAATAGAATAGCCTGTATTTTCAAATGAGACATGTTCATGGGTTGCCATCTCTATAGTGTTCATCATGTTCATATCCCTGAGGAGATTGAATAGTGCAGTATATAGTTCAGGTTCCTGAAATATCAGTTTAACTACAGCTTCGTGTGCCATGAGGTATGAAAAATCGCTTAGAACCACTAGATATAATCCGAATAGACTACGATCAAATCTTGGAAATTGTAAAGTATCCAAATTGATATCACGTGAATGATAGTTCGTTAATGATTTCATGCATACATCTATAAATCCTCCAGCGATAGCACGTGTTGCGATATCCGGGTAAGTAAATAGCTGCACGGAGAGGTGACTGAGATGCCATTCATCAGTTTCTTCCAATGGCTCTATAACATCGGCGTACAATTCAGTGTAGACGTTTGAGAAGAGCATTTTGAACGACATTGAAGTAACCATAGTGAGATATAGCGAGTTGAAAGTTTTTCTGATATCCACTGGTAGTTGATGGTGTTTCCTAATCCATAGCTTGAGTTGCGTATCGCTCATGACTTCAAAGAATGCATACCTGAAAGCAGGTGTTACTTTCAGTATTTCGTCCAAGAACATCATGAGTAGAAATATAAATTGTTCTTGCATGACATCTAGGTGGCATACATAGGTTGATACTTCCTCAATAATTTGCCGTAACAGTTCCATGAGCCTTGAGCAGAATTCCTCACTGAATGCATTGAGCAATTGTCTTTCATCTTCCAGAGTAAGTGATGAGCTGTGTTTATAGCATGAGCCACGTATGTCCCACGACCCATTATCACCGCAGTCGCAACATCCTCCTGATGTTCTCGTAAGCCTGTACCTGTGGCCTTCATGGTTCGATCTGAAGAAGCAATCTAGGCATATAGCACACGTGTTATCTGATTCACAATCGTAACACTTGAATGCTACAGTTTCTTCCATCCATTTTGTCGTACAATGTCCAGTAGCCCCTGTATATGGTTATATCTGTAGACCACAATTGTTTAGACCATGGACGATGTTGTTGCACGTGATACTAATACGCACTATGATATATCTTTTGCGATGTAATATTGCCACGGATACTTACCTATATAATTGTCTATAAGCTGGTTGACCTTCAGTGGGTTCCCTTTTGGGTATAGGTATGTATATATTTCGCGAAAGATGGCATCACGATCATAGTTACCACAATATTTCTCACCTAGCATACGTATATTCAATGTTGTGATACCATAAGTGTCTCGTTCCCGTTTACCGCTTCCTGATTGCGTCATTTTGAGCCTATTTTCTACGCACATATATCCTGACATCCACCCATCGCAGTTCCAATATCGTCACAGCTCATTCCAATTTGATGTGTATATGGCCAAATTGAATATATAGAAGGATATAGATCAATAGGCCCGCTTGTTGACTTCTACACATATGCCGTGGTGTAATAGGGCAACTATACTAACACCACCCTTAATCAAATTACAATATAGGGTTTGATTCTATATTTTGTGTATAATCTGATAGTTGTAGGCAATATATATTGTCGAATCCTGATTGTACCACCTAAAAAAGTGGATATGAAAACTCTGAATGTTATTCGTGCGACGCTCAGTTTTCTCAACAGTACCACATTGTTGTTTTTATATATTATATGGGTGTAGAGTGGAAGGTGGCTACTAGGTGAACTTTGGGTACACGGTATCGTCGATTTACACCGCCGTCACGCGTTGTTACACATCGGTCAAACATCACCGTCGACGGTTTTATAATAGTCTTTTATGGCAAGTGATATTGAGTTAATTTGTGAGTCACGAAAAAATTTCAACTCGTCGACGATACGGTGGCATGCGCTCAAAGCGCCTAGCTACGTTTCATTCTTGGCTATCGCACGCCCTAAGGTCCAACAAAATTAGCATCTTGTATAAATGTATACCTTTTGTTTTTATCTCGGCGATCTATAGCTGTATGTGAGTCGCGCGGTTAGAGGGATGGAGGACCATAAATGGGACAGGAGTATCCACTGTACCACTACCTGATCAAACAAATATTCTACGACCTTGAGCCAAATCAACGCATTGTTGAGGATGTATTATTAATAATGAATCGAACTAACGGTACAGGAGGCTATGAGGCCGCCTAATATACCCCTTTAATTAGGACATCTACTCGTGATACCATAACTTAGAGCTACAATGTACATGTCAGTGTTAACATATAGATAGTTTGTATACTATTCGGATTATTATCATCAAGACATAATGGGATATTATACTTCAGAAGCTTAATCTGAAATCTTTTCGATCCCATAATCAACCATTATACTAAGGATATCATAGAGATACAGGGAGTCGATACTTTATGCCTACAACACGAGCGAATAGGCATAATATATGCCTACCAAGTGAGGGTAAGGTACGCCACTTGTTTGACAGTATGAGGTTCTCTATGCTAAGATTACGCTATATCAACAAAGAACAGCTAAGGAGATTCGACAGCAATGAACTGGAGGTACTGTTCAAGCTATACAAGGAACTTGCTAGCCGATCGGAACATGCCGGTATCACTAAGGAAACTTTCTTGCAATACTTTAATCTACCCGGCCTCTGGGGTGAACGACTGTTTCGTTATTTTGATACCAACGAATCAGGTTGTGTCGAATTTGAAGAGTTTGTTGCAGGAATAGCAGTATGCTGCCGTGGGACCCGAACAGAAAAAACAAATGTTCTATTCCACGTATTCGACCTAGACGATGATGGAAGAGTACAAAAATCAGAACTAGTTGCTATGCTATCAAATTTCCCAGTTATGGCAAATCATATGACAAAATGCCTACAAAGAAATAAATCAGAATGCAGCACTTTCCGATCTATCGACTACATTGCAAACCAAAACACGCTAGCCTGTTGGAATGATGCCGCAAACTACAGGTCGTTGTGCAGTGCTAGAACCGCATTGAAATATCGACCATATGGAGATGATATGGCCATGACTATAGAAAAACAAGTGAGCTACGATACTCTTGATTTGCGTGATCTCGCATCGTCAATAAGCAAACTCTCCTTTCAATCCGAACTATCCAGCGATACACGCTTCAAAAGAGACTCCTCGGAACACTACGATGATGAATCACCGACTGATAATGCACTTACTGAAAATGATAATAGCGTAATACCAATTCTAGACAAATTGGGGATACGGCGTGGATCGGGTGCCGATTATATCGGTACCAAAATATCATCTGATCTTCCCAACAGCTATGGAAGAGCTGGGGTCAGACGGTCAATTTCAGTGTCCAGCTTAGAAGCATCGTTAATGTCAGCATCACCAAGTAGCAGCCCACGGGATACCTGCATAGGCATGCCAAATGACGCCACTGGTATACCTTGTATACATGATCTAACATACACGAATAAAGACCTAGTACAGTGTTCAGGGGATGCTGGGCATATGTGTAGCTGTCTATACCGGAACGAACATGATGATTTCTGTTGCGTATGCCATAACGAAATGACATCACATCTCGAAGATAATGATCCACCTCCGGAAGCTGCCATGGCAGTAATACAACATGAGAAAATGGCATGTTGTGATGGTAGTGCAATGGACTTCTTGGTTGAGCAGATTTTGGAAGATTGTGAATTTAGTGCAAACGGTAGTTTGGACTTTGATGCTTTCAAGGCGTGGCTGGACAATAACCCCTTTGTGCTCAGTATATTCTCAGAATATATGCATGAAGAGGTATGGATATTATATGGTAACGCGTTCATGATGCCAGCGGAAAGCCGATCACTACTCCACGGCGACACATCGAACAATTGCCATTGCACGACGTCTGTGGATGGACCACTTCTTAGCAACACTTGCATCGATGTTACCACAAAGGATGCCAATGTACAAAATATGGTGCAACGGTTGTTCATGGCAGACTACGATTGCACACCAGCATTCAGTGGGTCGGTACGTTTAGACACGGTACCCAGTGGAGAGATGCTGCCGTATCCACAGGAGGCCTCTAACAACGGTGATATACACACCAAACCAACGTGTTATCAAAATTCGTCAACGGACGGGGTTTATGGCAATACTGGCACACGAATGGCCGCACCGCTCCCCAAGCAACCGCTCTCTTGTCCTAACTGCAATAACCCATTCTTAAAGTGCACTGTATGCTTGAAGAAACATGAATACCTTTCGTTAACTTTCGAGGGTGGCGTTCATATCGAGTGCAAGAGCTGTATCAGGAAACATCGTGGGTTCCGCTTTGCGAGGTGCTGGATATGTAACTGGAACTTCTCGGATACCATACGGATGGTATTGATGGAACGCTTGAAACATCGCACAATGCCACATGAGGACGATGCCGTAACTGTTTGTCCAGTGAATTCAAAGGATTCTCAGTGTAACGTCGTCCTAAGATCAAAGAGGAGGTCGCTTATACGCCCTACTGTTATACCTCCAACCGCTACTGTCGATTTATACGAAGCTTATAACTGCCCTCAGTGCCCCTGTATTGCGGTGACTTCTCGTAGCATCGACTCGGGGTGGCCAAATGCTTTTGGTAGATTGGCTAAAAAGGCCGGTTACATGTACAAGCGTGGTCGACGGTTTCGAAGTTGGAAGAGACGCTACTATGTACTAGTAGATAATATCCTCTACTACTATTCAAACGATAATAGCGCCAAACCACGAGGGTGTATATTTCTCGAGGGATATGATCTGGACTGTTTAGAAGTTAACGACTGGTCATCCATGTTTGGTTTCTCTCTATCGCATAGAGGTGATAAGCTTACCCGTCGTACACTCTACCTACCTAATAGAGAGGATTGTGTACAATGGCTAGAAGCTCTTTCAGAGGCTATGAACCAGCAGAGCCTTATGCAGCTGTACACTGTGCGTGAGCAGCTTGGTTATGGCAAATTTAGTGTAGTATACCGTGCTATACACAAGAGCACCGGTGAGGAGTTTGCCATAAAGATAGTCGATAAAACTAAAATCAGCTGTCAGGAACGTGAATTATTGCGTAGCGAGATTGCAATATTACGTTTATTGAGACATCGGCATGTTATCTACCTGAAGGAAGTATGCGATATGCGCGATTCGTTATACATTGTCATGGAGCTTGTGCGTGGAGGCGAGCTTTATGACCTTATAAACCAACGGCGCCGACTTACGGAAGCGCATACCCACAAGATTATGTGCCAGTTGTTACAAATAGTTGCTTACCTTCACAAATGCGGGATCGTACATCGTGATATCAAGCCTGAAAACATATTGATAACGGATAAGAGTGATGCCGCCACTATAAAACTTACCGATTTCGGATTGTCGACGTTATGCGGTCCTAACGAGCTTCTGACCCAGCCTTGCGGCACACTAGCATACGTGGCACCTGAAGTATTGACACTACAAGGTTATAACCAAAAGGCTGATGTATGGTCTGTAGGTGTCATTATGTATCTGCTTTTACGTGGCAGGTTGCCGTTTTCGACAAAGACACCAATCACTGTGGATATCTATCATCATTATCGAGTACGTTTTGAAGGGCGACACTGGGCTGCAGTGTCCACTTGTGCCAAAGACTTGATTTCACGTATGTTGAAGCCCGACCCTGCTGAACGCATATCTGTTTTTGAGGCTTTGGATCATTTTTGGGTCCAAAATTTTGTGGCCGTGCAACAGGATGAAGCAGCCTCTGCGGTGGGGAATGTGGAGCCTTCTCAAGATTTCATACGCTCGCTAAGCAACGCTACTGACAGTACTGTGGTCATTCCGTACAGTGAGAGCTGTATCCGGAACTTAACGGCGCTTCAGTCCGCCGAAGCCGAATCTGCGCTGTCCACTGTTGAGGAATGACAGATAAACGTAATCGAACACCTAACATCTTAGAGTTACCACGTGGCATATTAAGGTATATAGTGTCTTACGATCCATATTCTTGCGCACCGGTATGCCGAGAACTATATGCTATCGCACTTCTGGAACGCCCATCCTTTTACGCGTCGCGAGCATTGCAACTAGGGGTACGCTTTGAACGGCTAGCCAATAGCCTATTCAAGTTAGTGACACATATATCTATTCATATAGCATAGATGTGTGAACCTAAGGGTGCTAGATGTCTCCGGGTGGGACCGATGGAACGACCGTCTAGCTCAACGTCTCATACGTTGCCATAATATAGGCCAATTCCGCAGGTTACAGGTGCTATTGATGAGAGGATGCAACGAAATCACCAATACAACGATATACGCGCTGCTAGCAGCACTAGGACCAAGGCTATCTTACCTGGACCTCCAGGACTGCAGCAGGCTAGGGGCCTCATGTCTACCACCTGGACTAAAGAATCTAAAGGTATGTGACTAAACAGTTTATTAGTATTCAACAGTCTAATGATCATGGATATGTTCAATCGGTTAAGATACTTCATGATACTCCGTAACGCGAATTTTTATATCGGAGAAATGCTTAACATAACATAACATTTTGTACAGGTGCTTAGTCTAGGGTACCAACGCAGACGTGGAAAACTGGAAGATAAAGATGTAATCGTTCACATCACCGGCGACCAACATCCCGTGGCTCCAGAACTCGAATGGCTGTCACTACAGCATAGAGTAGAGGCGCAATCATTGGCCGGTGTCGAACGCTTGGCTCCAACCTTGAAGGTGTTAGACTTAAGAGGATGCACTGGAGTACCATCAGAAGAATACGGAAGATGCAAGTCACTGAGGATTCTGGAGCAGCTTCTTGTAGGCACGAATCTAACCAGCGATGTAATCAGCGAGATTGCGAGCTCATGCCTAAAACTCAGGGTACTCGATATATCGGGCTCTGATCTGTCACAGCAGTGCATACAAAGGATATGTGATAACCTCAAAGGACTAGAGAAACTGAACATGTCACGATGTAAAGCCCTCACAAATGATGGATTGCAACGTATACTGGCCTCGCTTCCAAAAATCACACTAATCGATGTATCACACTGCTGGAAACTCTCAGATTCACTCGCCAACCACATGCCAGCTATCGCATCGAAACGTAGGCATGGAGTGTACGAACTTATACATGTTGCATAGGTGAATTGACGCTGGGAGTGTACAACTGCTCATTAGATCATACACGCCTGGCCATTGCAATTGGCGATAGCAGGGGAGTTGGCGCACCACCAGTTAAGATTTTGCGCCACCAAGAGCTGCAGTTCATGCCTTCAGCAGTTAAGCAACCATGGGAGTACTAAAGCCGCCAAAATAAGGAGAGAAAGATACCATGTAGTGCCTTGGTTAAATTCATAAGCGCCACTGTACAAAGTATGAACTGCTTCCCATAAAATGGAACCTACTTTAACTTTAGGATACACTTGCCACCAGAATAGACATAAATCTCAGTTACCTCAACGACGCGAGCAAGGGTATCTGCAAGATGTTTATTCCAATTAACACCTGTGATGACTTACCCTGCATACGATACCAACGTATCTTATCAGCATTTTTGGTGATTACAAGACGTGCGTAAAACATAGATGCAGCTTCTAATTCTTCCGATGTAGGCCTGTAGCCTACAACCATCAATGTACAGAACTGAGATGAAAACCTTTGCTGTCCCTCGGAACTACATAACTTTAACTGGCGCTTCGCAACCACCGTACACAACTGTAACATTTTACAGCACACCATTTAACGATCCATCTCTGTCATCTCACCACATGCTATTTCCTGCAATGCCCTGAACTCTGGTGCTAAGGATTCCCGCGCTACAGATTTTGTCGCAATAAGATGCTGTATGGCATCTAACACCTCACAATGTTTCTGCTCAGCATTTTCTGGGAATACAAAAGTATCGTGGATGACACGATATTGAGATGTCGGCCAGCTGTAGGGTGTATGAATAGGTTTGCCAACAGTCTCAACACGCTCGATCCCAACAGCTCTTATAGTGAGCGGCATATAAGGGTCAGCCATAGCATTTTACCGAAGAACTAAGCTTGATTTCAGCCATAGTACCTAGCTGATTCTCACCTGTAAACTCATCACAAAGCAATAAAACATGACTGCCACGCATGCTCACATAATGCAACAACTGAGTTACATCCATACGCTTCATCCTGGACGATGTATGTTCACCACTAAATACCTGAAGATATTAACAACAATATATTGATATGAACTTACCGGTGAGATCCTATCACCGCAATAAACCACGGGCAATTGCCCATCCTTGTCGAAATCAGTACAACGTTTTCGATACATCTCCTCCTCCGCTTTTGCAGTGGCCATAGTCTCCTGTACAGGTGCCATCATTTCATCTGGATACATATCCTTGATGATATGTGTAAGCAGGGAGTTTGGAGCGTATCTCAGACACAATTCGCTACGACATAATGGTCACACGGCACGGTGTGAGGTGACCTGAGACAATATATACACGTTGAAACATAAGAAGAATGATTAATGTATATTTTTAGCGCAACTTACCTGGTCCACACAGGTCTTGCAGAAGTTGTGACCACATGCTGTCGTCACAGGCCTCAATAGTATCTTGAAGCATATCTGCAATAAATGAGAACTCCACATAATTGCATATTAATGTAAATACATGTCATTTTCGTAAAACCAACAAACGTTGACACTCAAAATTGTACTCTCACAGTAACCCATGAAATATTCAGAAGAGACCACACTTCGCATGTCTGCCACACCATGGGTTATTCCATGTGTAATTATTAGTTACATTACTGTGTATATAACACCAAGGCCCATAATCTAACGAATGTAACAGCATTGTGACAACCAGACACATTTCCATGACCTTATATTGCATATTATGCCAAAGACATACATATTCGAAGAAGGCGGCATTGATTCCGCAACTTCGTGCGGGTGTTACATTTAGATCAACTAGTTACACATTGAGCTGAAATTGTACTTTCAGCTTATTGGTATCAAATGTGTGACATGCTTACCGGACATTCGAAATCCTTATATGTGATCTTTGCCATTGCTTTACATCTCATATAAGCGCTGCGGCAGCGCCGCTAAAAGGTGTAACAATTCGCATTTTATTATAAAAATAGGTGTGTAATAGTTATACGTTTCAACGACGAGCGGATCGGTAGCAAAAATATATGTCGGAGAGCGACACAGGACGCCATGCATCCCAACATGCTCTGACTCATCGTGGATCGGCAGACAGAACAGTTCCACATCGCCGACAATTTCATAGAATAGACCCCACTAATTATATGATCAACAATTCTGTCATCGTGTATTGCGTAAGGATGATGTATGTCACGACTCTCGTATCAGTCACGGCGCCATCGATTCTACGGATTTCGGGAAAGGGTGGAGTATACACCTCTTTCTTGCAGCTTTTTGTTCCACACACGCATAAATAAGTGTGTTTTTGCAAAGAAAACATTCCAGATACAAACCATATACGGAATTATTTTATACACGCGGACAGATTATGTAGGTCCGATTCATAAGGCACACATATATTTCCAAATGAATAAAAACAATATCGTAGAACGGTTCACAATTATATATAAAGGACAACAAATTGCAGAACGGTGACTGTGTGGCACGGCATCACGGTCAATGTTGGATAGGTGGCGTTTCCTCAGACGTCTCGTCTAGCTATTTATGTTTAAGACCTTAAATCAGATATTCTTTATTCATAATTACAGACAAGAGAACTCGTCGGATTATATAGAGATATATTTCTATAATCGGCGAAATGACAGACTATAACGGAAGTAATACCGTGAAGTCAACTTTCACGTTCAACGCAGCGGCCCCGGAGTTCACACCAGGCGCTACATGGGACGAATATGACAATGCTGCAGAAGATGAAGTCACTTCAAAATTGGAGCAACTTACAGTGGAGCCCACCGAAGAAGTATACTCGGAAGCAGAATCCGTAATCGCAAAGGACATAGAAGAAAAAATTGATGAACAGATAACTTCAAGAGAACCATCTATTAAGAAAAAAACATCTATTACAGATTCTGGTATACCTTTACCGGATCCCAGACAACATCTTAACATTGTTTTCATCGGACATATCGACGCTGGGAAATCCACTACTTGTGGAAATATATTGTACCTATCTGGTTATGTAGACGAGCGTACTATTGAAAAGTATGAAAGAGAAGCTAAAGATAGGAACCGTGAAAGCTGGTTCCTAGCATTTATCATGGATACAAATGAAGAGGAACGACAGAAGGGTAAAACTGTAGAAGTCGGACAAGCACGTATCGAAACAACAAACAAACGATTCACTATGTTAGATGCGCCGGGACATAAAAATTATGTACCAAATATGATATCAGGAGCAACTCAAGCTGATTGTGGTGTATTAATTGTATCTGCTCGAAAGGGTGAATTCGAAACAGGGTTCGATCGTGGTGGTCAAACAAGAGAACACACGCTACTCGCAAAGACACTAGGTGTCACACATTTGATTGTAGCGGTTAATAAAATGGACGATCATACATGTGGTTGGTCGGAAACTAGGTATAACGAAATCGTTCAAAAGTTACGCCCATTCCTCAAAACATGTGGATTTGTTGAAGGAAGGAACCTTAATTTTGTACCTATTTCGGGCCTAAATGGCCAAAATATCATGCATCATATATCAGACAAGTCTTACAAAGGATATTCACCAAATGCAGCATGGTATCCAATTACACAACCAACACTATTCCAACTGTTGGATGGTGTTGAAATATCGACATTCGACGAAAAAGCACCTTTACGTATACCAATCACTGGATCTTACAAAGATAACGGTGTGGTATGTATGGGTAAAGTCGAATCAGGTACTATCACATCAGGCCAAAACTGTCTAGTCATGCCTGGTAAGGTCAGGGTAAAAATACAAAATGTTCTATTCGATGAAGATGAATTTGCTTTCGCAAAACCCGGAGAAAACATCAGACTACGTGTTGTAGGAGTTGAAGAGGACCAAATTAGTAAAGGTGCCGTTCTATGTGATATAGAGAGGCCGTGCCCCGTTGTTACAGAGTTCATCGCCATGGTACAGGTTATCGACCTCTTGGAACATCGACCGCTGATAACTGCCGGGTATTTCTGCGTGATGCACGCACACAGTGTAGTTGTAGAGGTCCACTTTTACAAACTCTTGGAAACTGTTGACAAGGCCACGAAAAAGAAGAAACTCAACCCTACTTTTGTCAAAAACAATACTCTAGTTACCGCTCACCTCAAAGTATCGGCACCTATATGTCTCGAAGTGTTCGACACATGCCCGCAATTAGGCAGGTTTACCATGCGTGACGAGGACAAGACAATCGCTGTGGGAAAGATCATGAGCATTGTCAAGGCGGAATGAGCATAGCCATGAACCAACTTTTAACTAATGTTTTTTACATTCAGTAATTGCTGTGCGATGTTATCTTACATAAGAGACAGCCTCTCTGTTTCTCAGTTGTCCCAGAGATAACCCTTTATCTGGAACTTCCGCTGCTTCTGCAAACGAAGATTGTTCAATTTTATCAACGCTCGGTTGTGTAATCGTCTGAAACGCTTGTAATCACACATACGCGCCGTCTCTATATCATGACCATATACAAACATTTTCATTAGCTCGCCGTAAGTCTTGTCTGGCTTATCGAGGTCCCATAACCATTTAGGGTAGGCTTCATCTGGCAAGATTGTATGGTCCTCCGGTATTCCAGCATAGATGTTGAACAAATGTTCATCCGCTGCGGTATCTGGCGCCGCAGCCGTTACTCTCTGCGAACTACCCGCATCCTTCTTGCCCTTCTGTTTCGGCGCTAGAAGACACGCGCTTGTTTGCAGCGATCTACTGGGCACATAGAGCGCCGCAAAACGTTTTATTAAAAACATCAATCTGTGTAATGGAGTAGACCACGAAGAGCAGATACTTTCTCTTGGTCAGTGTCCAAATTACGCCACCATAAGTATGGGATGTGTAGCAGACGAAAACCCATATCACCGATCATCTCATGGCGCCTGTAAAACAATATACGCATTAAAAATTGTATAGCAACATCTAGCGGTCATAAAATCTACCAAAACAACCATAAACAACGTACACATACCTCCGAGCTGTAGCTGTAAGATGTGTAGTACCGTGATAGTACTGATACTCGCTATTAATCTCAATAACGGTATTGGACTTCGGTTCATACACATCTAGAATAAATGGGCCTGATTCAAATGGTAAACGGTAACTTCACACTATACCCACCTGCAATCACGTAATTACGATGATCGACATTCATCAGCGTAAGAATCCTGCTGACATCCTCGTGATACGAACAGTGGAATACGTGCGACTTTGGTACGTTGTCATCCTCATTTACCCTGTAGCAACCCGTGTCTGATGTATCATTTTCCGCCAATTTCTTAGAGAGCGACTGCTCACGGGTATCGATCAGGAATTGTTTAATAGTGTCATCCAGCTTGTCATACAAGTCGCTTTTCTGTAGACGGATATACAACTCTATAAGTTCCAGATTGCGTGAATAGTGCCGGAAATGTTGTTTGTAAAATTCGCATCGAGAGAGGAAATCAATTACCATAACATCATCAAACAAATCTAACACCGTTATAGCCTTAATACGCAGACAATCTGTTGCCGAAAATACATCGATCCTCTTAGCAAGGACTTGGCGCAACGGTTGCAATAACAGCGAATCACATACCCCAAGCTTAGCAAGGGCGTTGGCGGCCTTTATGAGAAAGTTATTACGCAATACTGACCAACATAATAGCATCTCGTAAAGGTCGTCATACAGACGCTGGTCACGTAAGCGCAGCCTTCCCAATGCCTGGAACAAAAACACATAATGCTTAGGTTTCATCTCAGCACGACGACGATGGATATGGTCGACTAGTCTCCTCACATGTTGAGTTGGACTTAGCTGAACCTTAGAAACTATCTGCAAGAATCGTAATAACGTCCTCACACAAACGTTAGGACTGATAGCATCAACCCTTTTCAGAAAGGCGTTCCAGATATCATCATTTATTATCTTTGTAGTAATGGACTTTCGAGCTTCATTCATCATCACGAAACGTAGATCCATAGAATTTAACAAACCGACCTCATCTACACTAGGTGATACATAATTTGCTTTGAACCTTGAACCAAATATATACACTACTTGGGCGGACAACCTACCAGTAATGTCTGGGTGCGATACGTGTTCTAGGCGCAGCTGATAGCGCAGCCTGTTGTTCTTTGAGGATTTGCGTTTCAAGCTGGTGCAGCTTCTTCTCCTTGCCATCATATTGACGTTCCCGGTCACGGAAAAATGATCCATAAAATTCATCCTCAGTCATATCATATATGGACTGTAAAACATTGTAATCAATAACAAACAGAATATCAATGGAAGCAATTGGTTATATTTATAGTGAACTTACTTTGTTGAGAAAGTGCAATTTTTCTATACGAGGTCTAAACTTAATATCTATATCGTCTGCATCCAACTCCTTTATATTCGTATCGCCAACTCTATCACGTGGGTTCCATTCCACCTTCCCATGTTGCTTAAGTTCTTCCATTTTTAACATCTTCTTTGCACGCTTTTTACCATATTTAGCTTCAAGGTCAACTGACTTCATAGTTGATTTAACATACTTCCGAACCTGATGGGATTATGAATAATCACATCTCATGAACATACCTCATGTGGTTTGAGATTAGTATACTCCTCTTTAGTTATAAAACGTGTCTTCTTAGCTGCCAAAAACTCTTTCTGGCTTAACACCTGAGAGGTCACATCAACCGTATCGTCTGTAATGTCTACCAATCGGTGACCTCTTCCCGCTTTCATAACTGTAGGTGTAACCGGCATAGCAATATAATCGTCATCCTCGGCAGGGTGCGATTCCGAGGAGAGCCTCCGTGAAGAAGGAATCCAGGCACCAACATTATATATGCCATTAGGGAAGCATACACATCTACATATCGAGCTGCGTTTACCTACTAGAAGGTGTAATTGTCGTTGAAATGATGCCATAAGCGCCATGGCAGATGTGCGAGTTATCCGAAATAAGATTATATCATATTTACGCACGATAAGTCACCATACACAACATAGGTGTAGAAACATCGTATGTGTATAATTCATATGGCATCTGGAATCCATTCATAGGCACTTATCCGGAATACGAGGCCTTCCATTTATTCACTTAGTACTCACGAGCCTGTGCTATACCTCAATTACACATTAAATATGTCACTCGAATATATTTCGTTACAAATTACTAGATATTTATTCTAAGCGTTGCTGAAAAGAGCGACAAAAAACTCCAATTCGCAAGATAAACGCAGACCATTGCCATGGCAGCGCTACCGGGAGTTTGTCGAATACAACTCAACAACCAAAGCCCATTATAGCCAAATTTAAGGTCAGAAAATATGAAATCGCCATGGATATTCTCTGGACCAGGGAATACATCATGGGAGAGCACTAAAAGACGAAGATGTGTCACAATACTCTGAGATGAAACACATCGAACTGGATACTCGCCATTAATCACGTCTTAGACATGAAACTATGTCGCAAGGTCGTCAGTTATTGTCATTATATTAAAAAGTTATTGTGGAGATCTTATTCAGGGTTGAAACCGGCTACGTAACTTTTGTCAACCAACGTACGTTTCAACAATTTCGAAATGAAAATAGGATACTTTACTCGGCGAAAATGCTTTTACTAAAACGAGGTACATCGGTAATAACACAAAATGGAATACATCCAACCACGCAGCCAGAAAAATTGGCGGCGATGTGAAACCAATGCACTGGGATGGCGACAGTCAGTTCGCCCTAGCTAGGCAGCAATTAGGTAGTAAAAAAACCATGTATTTCCAACGATGAATTTAGGATTTGCTGGAATAAGGTAAAGAATAACTGCTAGAGTTTACTTAAACAGGGGAATTCGTCTATACTGTGTTTTGGTTCCACGCATCGAGCATTGATCCATATAATTCAATGATTAGCACTACCTTGCCGCCAGCTATATTAGAGATGCCATAGACATCTAGATGGATTGCTCAACGAAGGGCGCTATCACGGAGACTCTACGGTGGTATATCCACACAGTAGCGCGATTATGTACCACAGCACCTTCCCTTGTGATGGTGACGCGTTAGTTGCATCTAATCCCCCTGTGATCTAGCAGACGCCTTCCCAAAGGTATTGCTGGTAAACTCTCCATGTACTTAGGCTTATACGACACCCCTGCACATCAGGGTCAGCTAATTTATGGTTATGTTCAAAAAAAAGTGAAGGTGTTTAGTTCATCACCAATGCGTCGCTGAAATCAAGGTCCGAAGTGTCGAGAAACAGGGCTACAGTCTTATTACTACGTGATATTTACGTGGAACGACGACCGCTAGGCGGCTACCTATGTCTCATTGTGGACCAATTCATATGGGTCAACCTCTTTGGATTTTAGCGTGATAATGTGTTAACTATCTTATCAATGCAGATATACAATAATCTGCACGAGATTCTAGTTACGACTTATCTCAGTTACATCGTCCTAGTCAATATCGCCACTTAATTTTGGTTTTGCCATACACGTATTTCGATTTGATAAACCATTTATGTCACGTGATCCTTACATCACGACAAACATGAGGAGCTGGAATGATCTGAAATATCGGTGATGCATAGTGTTAAGTAGCATGTAGATCTTGACGCGCACAGTGCATGTCGTTGACTTGGGCCGCAGAGTTCCAGATACCCATAGAATCTTGGGTTCGAAAATCATCTATGTGAGGCATATTTATGACGGGGTCTAATCTCATATCGTATATTTCTGCTTGAAAATTTTCAGAGTATATACCAGAACCTCGTCAGGGATACTCGTTCCTGTCGCCGTTAGTTCAATAACAATTTCACGGTTGTACTGGTAATAGCATTCTTCGTAAGAAGAGAATTGATAGGTTTTATAAGATGGTGGGATACAAGATTTCTAATTTGATTGTCGGCCTTGTGGCTGTGGCCAGCCTTTTTGGCAGCAACGTCCTTGGCAATGAAACCCCTGCAGAGAACAATAGCGATTGGAAGCCCGCAGAGCCGTTAAGGAAGGAGCTCACAAACGAGGAAATCGATAAACTAATCTGCCACGATGTACGTTTTGGTTGGTGGACCAGACGTGGAAAAACCCCAGAGCAACTAAAGAAAATGATAGAAAACGAGCTGGAGTGTAGAAGAATGCGCATGAGGCTCTCCATTCAACATTTTGATGATGTATTACGAAGGCTTCCTGCCGATCTTGCAGGGCAGGCGGCAGAATACCCTACCATGCGCCATGTACCTGAAGCTCTCCGACAAGAAATTGATGCCTTTTTTGCAAAGCAACAATCCGATGACCTCATTGCTCGCGAACAACGACGCAAGGAGTACGCTGCAGCTGAAGCTGAAGCTAAAGCTAAAGCCGCTCCTAAAGTGCTGAATGACGTTACCGGCGTAAGTGAAAAGCACCCTGAGGAGGGTAAAGAAACATCGGAGAAGACTGATGAGACCGCCAAGGAGACTGATGAGACCACTAATGAGACTTCTACAGAGGGTAGCGAAACCCCTGAAAAAAGTGAATGAAAAGTCAAGGTCTAATGATGTCCTACTATCTTGTGGACTAGGTGGCCACCGTGACATAAGAAAAACACCTGTGCTTACAATGGTATATTCGGGTATTGACTTGATATTTTACTGAACCCCTTATCAATTATTTTGAAATACAGCACTTGATATGGCCTTCACGGTCCAACGTATTTTTTTACAGTATCTAATTAAATATCTAAAGTGGAATCGGTCATTACTGGGGGAGAGGAGTGTCGGCAAGTTTACCGATTGCGCATCTTCTTCGCACATTACTAAGGCCGTTGAAGTCCTGTCAAGGGAAAACTGTTGACACAGTGCCTTTTATTGCGTGTAGATGTTGGCTCGTGCAGTGCATCTAATCTCCTCGAACACCATGGTCCCAGAGGAGCGTACAGCATGACGTCTCATTAAAATGCAAGCCTTGCTTTTTCATCAAACCATTATACATTATTGACTGTCTATTGACAGGATATTATTTCTGATATGCTAGAACATCTCCAGGAGTAGAAAGATTCACTCCATAAACACGCCCTTGGAGGCACCGCATTGACTTTGGGGCTTGCCTGCTCATGCCACAGAATTACCATACTTTTACACATTGGTTAACACTTCACTCAATAAAAAATCAGGTGACTCGAGGAGTATTGAGACTATTGCAAAAATGGCTGGATTCAAAATTTTCAAAGTGATGGTAGCCTTCTTGGCTCTTGCTACCCTTATTAGTGGCGACGCCCTGTCTGGTAAGCCTAAGGCCAGCAAAGCACCAGCCAAAGCTGATGCTCCCACGACCGATACTGCCGAGCCCGGTGCTATGGAAGGAGCGCCCACTGCCACTCCTGATGCTGCCACCCCAAACGCTCCAGGTTCTGGCTCTACAGCTAACACGCAAGAATAAAGCAGGCCAAAGGACCCGGAAGCTCAGAAGGCGCTTCTCAAAAGCCTTAGGGGAACACTCCCCGAAAACCTCGCCAAACAACTACCCAAAAAATGACGAGGAAGACATACCATCTGGATTAGCTGTCCAAATTAGCCTATATCTTCGCAAAAAGATATCTGGTGACTCACTGGTATTTTACGACTACCCTGATGAGAGTGAGAGTGACAGCGCCAAGGGCTGGGAGGCGTTCGGGCAGGAGCTTGTAAAACGTGGTATGAAAAAGGTTGGTGACTCTTAGAGTTCGAGCTCGTCTACCAGGGCACCAGCAACCCCTGCAGCTGATTCTGCTGCCCCCGCCGCACCTAAGAAAGAAAGCAAGCAGTAAGACACCGGTCATACCAATAAGTGTTTATCACATTGCGGGCAATAACGGGGCTCTGCTTTTTGCTAACATCTCGATAAACCAGCATGAGGTATGCGACCTGCCAAGTAGCATTGCTTTGACTACCTTTAAAAACTGCTTATTGAATGAAACATAGTTTTAAAATAATTTATCATACACTAACCATTTATGTTGCTATAAAACGTAGTAAATACCTGTACTGCTGACAAATGGCTTATATGCCTGATCAAAGTGTTGACCAGTTGTCATACGTCACCTTAGAAAGCTGTTTCAAAACATTGTGTCATCGTGAGCCCTAGCTATGAGGGCAAACAATTTAGTGGGATATTGTGACACCATCATTTCAAATCGCCATGAAACCATAGGTATAAAAAACGAACACCGTTACTTAACATTTGAACTAATCATCACGCAATAAAAACAGTTTGAAAATTGTATAGCAGATTATAACCCATCTACGTTAGGTGACACAAAATTGTGTCCAGGTGTATTTGCAACAAGGAATGCGAAAAGTTCATTGGTAAACAACATCGGTGATACTTTGACCGATGTTATCGAGACTTTATTTTGCAAATAATCACCAAAAAAAACAGGGGCTCTCTAGACCCCAAAATTCTTTTGGACTGAGCTGGATGGTGAGCACCACTCAGAGGGAGGCCGTGTATCACTATTGCCACTATCTCCTTCCGGAGCCTGTTGTTGTTGTTGTTGTTGTCTTTTTCTAATAGCGTTGTTTGTGAGCCTTGCAATATAATATTGGATAATTTGTTCCCTAGTTCTACCATAACGCGACATCTCTCTTTCCAAAGTTTCCCAATCTTCACCGTACAAACGGTATAATCTTACAAATTCTGCAATCTCCTCGCTAGACCAATCAGTAGGTGTCTCTTGTAGAACCTCATGGTGCGTTATGTGTACTTCTTCTTTTACCTCGGGTTTAACTTTAGCCGCTACTTTGGGTTTCTTGGCTCTGCGCGGCGCCGCACTGGACTTCGCAGCGGGACATTTATTACGAGCCGTCACGGTCTTCTGTATTGGGTGTGACGTCGTCAGCTCCTTCTCAGTTTTAGTTTTACAGGTGTTCTCAGAACTCCTTTCTTTATGCTTTAACGCGGAATCGTATGCCATAACCGGGTAACGACAATGATCCACATCGTAATCATGGTAGTCAGAATAGCTCTCTTGTAGACGCAGCTGATTAAGCCTAAGCTCTCGTTCTGTAGGGATTGGGAGTGACAATAGTTCGTACCATGTTCCCCTGCCCGTTGTTACATCCTTTGTTCGAACCGTACGACCCCATTCATTGAACGGCAATTGTTCGGCGCTCCTGGCATTATCCGCGTCGCCATTATCAACATGTTCAGGTTCAGAAACATCAGTAGCACCTCTATCAGTGTCGTTTGGAGCACTATCGCTCACAATACCCAATGCAGTGCCGGCTGGCTGATCGTCTGATGGCAATGGCCTGTTATGCAAAATCGATTCCAAGATAGAACGACCTGCCATGCGCCTAGAATTGATTGGTCTCAGAGACATGAAATGTTCCGTCTTTATAGCACTCACTATAGCGTTTGATTGTTGCGCTTCTCCGAAATTGCGACAACCGTTCATTACTAGACAACCACGTTTCAATATTGTCTCTTCATTGCCCACTTTATTGTTTAACGGCAGTTCCAAACTTTTACGTGAGATTAGACACCGGAATTTCTTAGGTACGAAATAACCCTCGTTAAGGTTGTCAAGGTGCACATTGCCGGTCTCCTCTAAAGGTGACCAGTTATCGCGGTGTTCTGTCAAAGCCACCTCATATGGCGTCTGTGTATCCACACCTCCGACACTGAGTATAGCATCGCTAACTGTGCTGAATAAGATAGCGTTTTGTTCGCAAACTTCCCTTACGCTATCGGTATAACAATCATCCAACAAATTGTCAAGCGCCTGCATCACGTGCATATCGCGTTTTAGGAAACGCGACATCTCATATTTATGTTTTTGCCTAGCCTTCATATCCTGTAGACGCTCCTTAAGTTTAAGTCGGTATTTAAACCGGTAGTAGAACGATACACAGTCGCCGCAACGTTTTGTTTCAATAAATTGGGCAATTTTCGAGAAGTTCTTCGGGTACATGAGATACTTCTCCACAAAAGTGCGACACTCATTACGCGTCCACACATTGCTTACACGACCGGTGATTTCATCCGCAATCACAACCTCCGAACGCAACGAGTTCCGTCTATCGTAATTCAAACATTGGTCCATGCTGTAGTAACTGTAATCTGGTGATTTCATTATTCTGTATATGGGTAGAGCCCTGAAATCTGGAATGAATTGCATAGGCTCACTTAAGGTATCCATACAGGAATATGTCCATCTTAACCCAGGACCTGTAAGATTGCTGTAATTGGGTGCCAACCAAACTGTAGCACGGCCACCATCATCATCATTATGGTCCACAACATCTTGCTCGGTAGTACCACGCCTCCGACCGGCGTTGGGCTTCCTACTGTGTGGTTGGCTTGAAACCGTTTCATCTCTACGTCTTACTGCCAGTGCATTATGTGCCAATGCGCTGAAACTCTGGTGGGTTTTACGAATATCGCCTATACCGTAACTGTCTATTTCAAATGGAGATACTGCATTATTGGTCTTGTATGGCCAGCTAATATCATTCTCCTTGTAACCAGCTGGTAGTGGTACGAATTCATTTGGTGAATCTATAGCACGTACAGGCAGTATCCCCCATGCAAAAACATCCACTCTAGGCATTGATGCCCTCATCCGCTTGATATTATTGTACCACACATGCCTATGAGCCTTGAAAGCCCGCACTTCATCCTTGAGGATCTTGTTCCTCGTATGGATGTGTTGACGGATAACTTGCTGGACCCGTGTCACGCTTGATGGCAAGACTATCATATCACGGAATAATTGCGCACATATTGCAGCGTCGCTAGGCATCACAAGCTCTTCTACACTGTCTGGCGTTGTCTCGATTGGGGTACCGAGACTACTACCAGTTGCTATACCCTCTTCCATAGCATTAGACGTGTAACTATCGCCCCCGGTATGCATATAGCTGTTACTTGAATCCGACTCGTCGAAATACCCCGGTACTGTAGGTGTCATGTTAGAAGGGTGATCTGGATGCCCCAATGTTATTCCACCTATTTCCCCGCTTTCGTGCGGTGTATTGTCATCCAGTTCCATACCCTCGTTATCATCTTCCATTACACTACTATGACGCTTCACTTCAACCTGGTGTCTAGGCCTAAATCGACTAGCAAGCATAGCTATTAAATCTATCGTCTCAAATCGCCAAGGGATCGTACAGGTAGGCGCGTAAGGAAGGTATAATGCTATTTCCAGATAATCCTCGGATGACATATCCTCAACTATAGCATCGCTAGACAATCTCAAGGTTTCTTCGGGAATCCGTGAAGTATCTATTTCCATGGGGTCGAAACAGTCGGTGGCATCGTTGTCTTCCCTCAATGCACGGTGCAGTTTTCGTTGTTGCTTGTAGAGTAAATCCGCCGCATCCCAGAAACTAAAAGCGCTGAGCTCCTTATAATCCCTCATTTGTATAAGCGGTATCCTTTCTTCGAATTTTTCGGTATATCGGCTTCGATTACGATTTACACCAACCCCTTGGGGCTCGGTAGCCGGATTACTGCTGTCGTCCGTAACATTAATCGAGAGATTAATTCCATTCTGCCTCGGTGGATCCACCCGATCTCCCGTACTACTGGATTCAGACGTATCGTTGGTTGTTTCTTCATCCACAGTCGCATCACCAGGCTCTGTTTGAATATTGAGCCTACATATAAATGGACTTCGTTTCTTCCAGGCCATTGGTACACAATCTGCCTTAATACGCAAAGTTATCCTTTCTTGTACAATAGCATCTTTAGGTAGTGTTGGACTATCCGCTTCTAACACATGTTCCGTAGGTTCAATGTTATGCCAAACAAGACCATCGTTGAAATTACGATGCCTTGGTGTATTATCGTGTACCACACGCTCGATAGGTATCCGATCGGAAACACATTTGCATACACAAACACATTTACCAAGCTGTGTTGCAAGCATATCTGTTTTGGCCAGAGCGGTCTCCATCTGGAATCTGACATTTTCATTATCCTCTGTTAAATTCGCTCCCGAACACCTTACAGATTTGCTAGAAGATGTGCTTCCATCCTTACATAAACAGCATTTGGGGCAACACAAACCACTATGACACGCATACTCGCTGGGACCCTTCCAATCTGGTCTCGGTATTCGTACCTCAGCAATTGCGATGCGGCATACATCCTTTAGAAACTCGACTACAGCATCAAATTGTGTTTTCCTATTTGCATCCAGAATAGATTTGGCAAATACAAGGTCTTGAGTCCAAGGACCAGTTTTGCCTAAACACTTGTCATCACGAGATGACCCAAGTTGTCTGTTAATACCAATGTCGCTAGTTACGCTCATATCGTCATCCATACCATCACATGCGTGGCCATCTCTATGTACTTTTACATTCCCGGCCACACCTCGACATAATCTCTTTCTAGATGTGGGCTCCCAGAGGTAACAACCTGCTGCGGTGTAACAATCTGTCAGTGTTTTGGAGCCGAAAGATTGCATACTTGTACTGCATCTTCCTTGGGCACATGTCAGCCCATCGTAAAACGTGATGCACGGGGACGTTACGAGTACTCCACTTGGTTGGTTAGCATTACTTTCTGTTGACCTAGACGCCAATTGACTTGCCCCGGAATCGTTTTCGGCACTGGTTTGATCCGGAGATGTAATTGCATGTTTACTTCCTGTTGTATTTTTTGGAGTGATGTTCCAATTTAAAAGCATCTTCGAGTACTGTAGTGCAATCATTTTATGCTGTGTTTCTTGGATGAGTGCTCGCACTTGCTTCGATACATCATTAAGCGCCGCATCGTTGGTGCCTAGCCCATTCCCCGTTTCACTTTCTTCTTGTACATTCTGTCTAACTGCGGCTAGTAATTTAACTACGTCCATCATTTCTTCCAATAATCTTGATTTCACATTTGTAGATACCTGACTGAGGTTCTTTATACGACCCCTATTTTCCTCATTTAGAGGTGCCGGTGCGTCATTAGCCAGAGTGTTGCTAGATATGCAGTTAAAAGGTCTAGGTCGATCTCGGCTCTCTACATCTGCCACCATCGAGTACTTGTTATCATATAGATCAATCTCTCTTTTTTTGAAGGGCCGTATTTGTTGTTGTGTACGTATTTTTTTAGGTGACACTGTCATATCTTCTTCAACTGTCGATACTGATGAAGTACGTTCCAACCGTCTTCTTTCTTTCAAAGCGCATTGATATCTTCTCTTATAAGGGTTCATTGCATATTCGTTATGTATTTTGAGTTGTTCCAATTCATGCGCATTAGCCAAGTTCCTAGTACCCTTTCTCGTTGGCGGGTTATTCTGAAGAGTATTATCTGCATGATTTAGATGTTCATATCTTGCCCTTTTCCGTCCTACTCTAGGGTCGAATACGTCATCAGCTTTGATTTTTACAAATGTGTTGTTACAGTAACCATATGGCAACGACACTAATGATTCCGCGTTGAACCTTAGTGAGGAGCATGCCGATAGACATCGATTTAAGAGAGATTTAGATCCTGGGCGTGTCGTTGGTGTTTTAAGAGAATCTATTTCTCCACTATCTGTTGGTCTCGCTTCTTTTTTGGGTGTCGACATCTCGTCATGTCCCATGCGTATGGTTGGTGTCCTGCCTGGACTCTGTGCAATGAGAGTGACATCGTTTGTTGGACACGTTGTTTGTCCTGCATAAGGGCTCCTTAAATGGCCTGTATTGCCAGGTGTAACGGGGTCCTTATCACTGAACCGTTTTGATAAAGTGGCCATAAAAGTGTTATGGGCACGTTGGTATAGATGTAATATATATATATATATATATATATATATATATCGAAATTCAGCAATACCCTATAAAATCAATGTTACATTGTAGAGAAGTACCTCTATATATGTAACTCAGTATGAAAAATCTCCTTTCTTCGTTATAACATGCTTTTTGCAAGTTATATTGAGGTTTGACTTTGAATGTTGATATATTTCAAGTCCTTTTTAATTTTAGGGACAATTTGAGTTCTTCTACACCTTTTTGCTAAATATTAACATTTAAAGCTTCTTTTACAAGCCAACTGTACACTTTATGTACATAGATTCCAACACATTGGCGCGCAACTCTTTTTCAATGGTTATGGTCTCCTAATGACTTGGGAACAATTCCGTTAGTTGGACGTGGAAGCAAGGTTATTTCACTGTAAAGCAAAAATTATGACTCCACTTTAATCCTATATTATATAATAGGGACAATATCGTTTAGCTGCGCACCCTATCGGCAAAATAGCCGATTCGCTATGGCGCTTGACTCGTCGTGGATCTCGAAGTTGCATCTACGTGATCGCTGACTATAACTTTAGCATCAAAATAATTTTATATATCAATATGCTACTCCATTACGGTGACAAAATTGGAAAATTTTGATGTTGTATTGATATACAGTAAGGGTTAGCGGTATTGATTCCCCGCGCCACCCACCCGACTACATTGTTCAACCTAAATATTGAACAAAATCAATCCATTTTATAGATTGGTCTACTGCAAGGGCATTACATACTCGGGGAATTTCTTCTCTTGGTAACAAATGGCTTCGTGTGTTTGTAAGGAACCTTGCAAAATCTGTCGATTTCATAGAAATCTTATCATCTAGAGCGTTTCGATGAAATTCAGACCATGCGTGTGAGATTTCGCCAGATTTCCAACGTATTAAAGCACTCATAAATGTGTCAACAGAGATATCGTCACGCCCAGATGATAGGAGCGTTATAAGGTTATCTGTAATCTGTGGCGACACTCCTTCCATCTGTATAGCCCTTATAAGATCTTTCACTGTTATATTATCATTTTTCAGGCGCTTAATCAGTTGCACAGTGTTGATAAGTTTGGGTACCTGGCAGACAAGCAATGCGTTGTGCGACTCCAAAACACGTATAATGTCGACATAGACCTGTTTGAGTGCCATCAGACGTCTGATAGGTTGCACCATGGACTTAAAATAGCCAGGTGTAGAATCTGAATGTCCTGCGTTGGTATACCATGGATGAGTTATTAGCTGGAATGCATCAGGACGGTCGTTGGGGTCGACACTGAGCATTTTGGCTATCAAATCTCTCAGTTGTTCATCGTTTTTGAATACACGTGAGTTCCTTAGTTGGTTGTCCACAGCAGCGGCAAATTCGTCATAGGCGATGCGTTCTTCAGGGATCACACCAGTTACAAGGAATGCCAGTATCGCACCAACTGACCAAATATCACTTTTATGACTGACGCGACCATCTCTAGATTCCGGGCTACTGTATAAAGTGGTGAGTGTTGAACCGCGTATCTCGGTATCCAATAACTTATGGAGCCCAACGTCCCTGATCTTCACGTGATTATAATCGGTCTCTTGCAACATCACTTTGTCTATTGTTAGCGACCCATGTACTATATTGTTGCAATGTAGGTATAAAACCGCCTCTATAACCTGAGCTATCACTATATGGATAAATTCGATGGTATAATTACTTTCATGCCTCGTGTTGAGGTTATTTAGTAGCGAGCCTCCTGGGCAGAACTCTGAGACTATATAGATGTTGTTAAGGTCGTGGTAAACATCGCGGTACAGCACCAAATGCTGCCTTTGAAGTTTTGACAACCTCGATACTTCAAGTGATATCTGTTCAAATGGCGGTATCCCATCTGACTTGTGCAGGATCTCTACCACACGTAATTCTCCAGTACTCTGTTCTACTGCAAGGAATTTGTTACATGAATAACCACTGTATAACTTTTTTTTAAACTCGAAAATGTCATTAATATCCACAAACGTGCTCATGTCCCGGGCAGACGGGCCTTCTACGTGGACGTGTAAACCTGGCACATTGACTGCTTGCATTATATCGATGGCCCGGCGCACAATGTGTACGACCTCCCAATACATTAGCACGAATACATCTCGGGTGATCAACGTCCCTGGTACTATCCCGTAAAGTTCGAACATTTTCTTTATTGCAGACCTGTCGATTACCGGTATTCCCAGTGAATGCAACAGGTAGTCTACAAGGTTATTGAACATTTTCAGTGTCATACGTCCATCACCATATTGTGAGTATATATGTGTTGCCGCGACGAAGAACTTGTCCGTGGAGTTTGTTTGATTAATGAACTCTTCTACGCTTGGGCTACATGAGATTGAGTGTTTATCCGAATGCATATTATATCCTCGTTGTTTATAATTGTCAATTGAGAGTTCTTCAGAGGATCCTGAATTTGAACCCTGAAAGTTGCCACGTTGTACATATTTTGGAGCACAATTTTCTGGTACATCTACCGTATTCAGTGTTTTCACAGTGCGATATGTTGTTTGTTCTCTGCTGCTCCTGTTACTTGTAGCTCTCCTTTGCATCGGTTCAACAGCCTTTTTATTTGTGCCATATGGTTTGCATACCTTTTCTATCATATCCCTTCTTGCATGGCTATACATTCTGAGTCTGAGCCACAGTTTATTATTCTTTTCTCTTTCTTCAACAACCTGCATATATGTATTTTTCAATTGTTCTATAGATTGCCGTATAGCCTCAACTTCATCAATCGACACTGAATGATGCTTCGATTGTGTTGCATCATTTTTGACACATTCTATACAGTGTTTAAGTTGATTATTCCAGCGTTGTTCGAGTGCTTGTAGTTCTGGCGACTCCCACCTCAGTAATGGTTCATATTGTTCTGTGTCACGTCCAGTTTCTAAGCTTACCCTGCGACTACCTGTGTCCATTGTTGGTATATCAGTTTGTATTGAGCTTTCTCCATAAGTTCTCGGCTCTGTACCATTGTTACTGCCTGTTTCGTTGAATTCAGATATAGCGTCACATTCTCGTATCGCATAGGACCATTCATTGTTCAAAGCTGTTATCAGTTCCTTTTTTAGCATGACAAGTGTTTTGAAAGCTTCTACAGAATCATTGCAATGTGTTGTATTGTCCATTTTACCGATACTCTGTACCACCATCTTGGTGTTACCCAAATGTCCTAGTGATGACACCAAGTTCAATACGTCCCTTGGTCGTACCAATATGTCTTCAATTCCGCAGTGTTGTTTGGCACATTAGACGATATATACACTGTGTACTGTTGTATTGTCAATCTCCTGTTGTCTATATCCTTTGTATAAGGTGTACATTAGATTTGACACAGTTTCAAGGTGTGTCTACGCATTATAATAATATATTCTGGTTGTATGAATGAATTTTCAACGTGCGTTTATAATCCGACAATCTATATACTGTGACCTCCTAACAAATTGATATAATACAATAGCTGTGTTCTTCATATTTGCTACACACCTTGGGCATCCGCGTCAGTTCTGCGGCGGGTCGTCTACCCTTGGTGGAGAGTCATGGCCGCCTAGCATGTCTAATTTGACTAATTATCATTTACTCATAACGTTTAATGTATTATAACTGGACATTGAAAGTTTCTTCTAGCGGTAACAGATTGGAATCCTACCCATGTGCGTGTACCCATGGCGTTATCACGCGGTCTTATTATCTTAGCGGCTCTTTTTATGGGTGATTTCGCTAAATGTGGCAGGCAAGTCCATCGTAAGCCACATCACGGACCTGAGTCGCTGTCTAACCACGGTAACCATCAGAAGGTTGGTATCATAAAATGTATATTTGTGTGGTAGGCTTCTACAGGAACTAACACGGTATATGATCCTATATAATAGATTTTGGTGTTATTATAGGTTGTCTGCATTGATAAAAGGTTATATAAACCTTCTGGTTTCTGTGGATGATGCAATTGTCTATAATTTCATAAATGACTACAGACATTGGTTGAAAAGAAGCCTGTTTCTGGAGATGTTACATCAACTAAGTTGTTGGCGGCTGTGTCTGCAACGACTCCTTCTTCTGCTGTGAAGCAACCTTCGAAGGTAGAGGCCGTGCGTCCAATTGCCTCAGAGGACGTTTTGCGTGGGCGAGAGTATATCGGTTTTATGGAAGGTGCTAGTTATGCGCAGCTTCAGCCTAAAAAGAGTCTCATTGGTGCAATTATCATTTTCGCCTTTTACTTTCTGGGTACCATGTTGTACAATTACATGTAAGTTATCCTGCCCGTGTTTCTAAATGTTCAGCCGGAAAATAACGGAACAAGATCGGGTGGAGCAAGCTTTACGTGAGTATGAAGAAGAGAAGGAGCACTATATCGAGACAGGAGAGACTGTCGATGTTGCTGGTTCTGGAATATGAGTGTGTATGGATTCAATCGTGATGGCTATACGCTACACCATGGTCCATGTGCCCTTTCCCGCATGACACCTTGTCTTGGCATGATATTAGCTGTTAATGGAGGGTGCGTGATGTGATCAGCTACGTTCAGTCATGCGGTAGCATGTGCATCGTTGTTGGGTTGATGGGTGCTCCAGAGTAGCGCCGTCACGGCAGTATAAAATCACTTTTAACGCTAATTAACAAAATGACACCAAATTATGAAGGTTGTGGTGAGCTAGTGATCTTCGTGGCAGTGGCACTTAACGGTGCTATTGGCTTTAAGAACGAGATTCCATGGCCACACATCACACAGGATCTTAAATTCTTATCCCGTGGGTCGAGCTATGTCGAACCTGAAGTACTTGAGGATAATCCCGGTTTACAGAATGTGGTAATATATGGAAGGAAGACATATGAAAGTATCCCTGCTAGTAAAAGACCGTTGAAGAACCGCATTAACGTTGTACTTAGTCGTAATGTGTAGGTTGCCTTTATCTATATATCTAGTTTAACTGATATACAGAACTGATATACCTGGTGTCTTAGTATTCCCCTCTTTGACCGAAGCTATACGTACCGTTCGTAAAACTGTTCCTCATAACAAGATAGTAATTATGGGTAAGTATTTCATGTTAATTTAGATCTTTTTTGAAAGTTCTGACGGATCTACAGTTTTTTATATTATATTAAGTTCAATTTTTTACAGGTGGTGCCGGGGTTTACCGTGAAGCTCTGGAGAACGGTCTATGTTCACAAATTTATGTTACAAGATTAAACAAGGAATATGAAGGTGATACATTTTTCCCAAAGATTCCTGATATTTATGAGATCACTGGTATAAGTCCTACCTTTTCTACCGATTTTGTGACGTACGACTTTGTACTATACGAGAAAAAAGGCGCGCCATCCCCTAAACGTGGCCCTACTATGGAGGAGCTGCTACTAACGGGTGGAGATTTGGTCGTACCCACTCCCAAATATGTAGCATGTCCTAATGTGAGAATCCGTAACCATGAAGAATTCCAATACCTGGATATACTTGCTGATGTCCTGAGCAACGGGACTTTGAAACCCAACCGTACAGGTGTTGATGCCTACTCTAAGTTTGGGTACCAGATGCGTTTTGACCTTTCACGTTCGTTCCCGCTGCTGACGACTAAGAAAGTGGCGCTTCGTAGTATTATAGAGGAGCTTCTGTGGTTCATTAAGGGTAGCACTAATGGTAACGAGTTATTGGCTAAGAACGTGCGTATTTGGGAGCTTAACGGTAACCGTGAGTTCCTTGACAAGAATGGGTTCACTGATCGTGAGGAGCATGATTTAGGTCCTATATATGGTTTCCAATGGCGTCATTTTGGTGCTAAATATGAAAATATGCATGCCGATTACGCTGGACAGGGTATCGACCAATTGGCCACAGTTATTAATCGTATCAAGACTAATCCGAACGATCGTCGTATGATAGTGTGTTCTTGGAATGTATCAGGTATGTTATATTTTTTGACATGTGTGTCATTATTATACAGATCTTAAGAATATGGCATTACCACCATGTCATTGTTTATTCCAGTTTTACGTCCGTGATGGTAAACTGTCTTGCATGATGCACCAGCGTTCTTGTGATTTAGGTTTGGGTGTGCCGTTTAATATCGCTTCTTATTCGATATTAACGGCTATGATTGCACAAGTTTGTGGCTTAAAGCTGGGTGAGTTTGTTCACAATTTGGCTGATGCACATATCTATGTGAACCATGTCGATGCTATTACCACTCAAATATCTCGAGTACCACATCCCTTCCCCCGTTTGAGGTTGAACCCTGATATCAAGAATATCGAGGATTTCAAGATCGAGGATATCGTCGTGGAGGATTACGTATCACATCCCGTGATAACCATGCCTATGGCTGCTTAACTTTGTTGAACCAGAGCATTATTATAGCAATATATATTAAACTTAGAGAGCTAATATCGTTTCTTGTAGATTGATCTTTTTTTTACCATGTCGTGTGTCGTCTGATGTGCGTGGGTATCCGGTTGAATGTGCCGCATCTCAGTTCCAGTTTAGTATTATTTATCGCAATATGGCCAAATTGACCCGTATAGTAAAGAAGATTCTCTTAAAAGATGTTCCCGAGAGCGATATTCGTAAGCACGAGTCTCCAGCTCAACCTTCTATCGAATCTTTTGCAACCCGTGGTTTGGCACAACCTACTGTAGACTTTGGACATCTTCCAATAATCGACGATGATGAGTTACGGCTACGGGCTGCCGAACGGGCACGTCTGAAGTCGTTGTCCAAGGTTAGCCGGAAGGGTAGCAGTATCGCAAAGGAGCGTGTGACGTCATCTAAGTTCAAGTCCAAGGTAGTATTGCCTAAAGTAAAAGATCGCAGGGTAACGGGTACATTGTCATCGACGGTGGAGTCGGATGACATGGACATTAAACCGTCGCCACAAGTGAAATCTACAGATAAGGATAAACCGTCTAGTAATTCTGTGAGTACTAAGGTGATAAAGAGTGGTGTTAAAAGTCAATCACGTGGCAAGCGTAAAAGGGAGGCTACTAAGGAGATGTGGCGTCGTAAATATGATTTCAAGAACGAAGCTAAACGTCTTGTTGAGATATATAGACAAGAGGATCAACATGGTGTGGCTCTTGGTAACGTTTCTGGACTTAAAGATGAGCTGTCATCTATTGAAGAGTTACTGACTAAGGCACCCAAGGTGGCGCGCGCTTCTAATAAGAATAGTAGCAAGCGTCTATTAGCTACGAAGCTACGTAATAAAATGTTACTACAAGCGGCACTGAATAACAGTTGACCTTATAATAATTAATATTTATAAAAATTGATATGTTTTGTGTGTTCCAAATTGACCATATGTGTGCCATTTCATGCTCTGTGATACCTATGATCGCACTGCTCCGTGAAAACGCTATAACGGCAAAGGGACCTTCACTCGACCTTCAAATTCACTTGTAGTATCACTATAGCATAAGTTGTTGGTACGGAAATCCCATCATCTATTCATCGTAGTTTGATGGGCCGGCTGGCCCTCACATAAGCAGAAAAGGAACGAAAATGTTGGACCGCGTCTCATGGTTCCATTTCCAAAACCTACAAGATGATTTTATCAAGTATTATAGAGCTAGTGAGGTGAGTTTTAAGGTACCGTTACGTCCATATATCTTTCTTCAGAAACATCGTATAGATGAAATTAAATTAAGCCGGCTTAGTATTCTGTATGGTGCGGCAACTTTAAATCGACGGATCGAATATATATTTCAAAATGAAGAGACAAAGGGTAAGGATACCGATCTTGTATTACCCATTTGTTATAGGTATGGTGATTTGCGCTCACCTGAAACACTCAAAGTTACATGATTTCTATATCATTGTTGCATGTCTCATATATGGATATACTCTTATCCATACAAATTGGCATAATGAAACTGAAGAGATGTTAAGATACAAGCTACGTTCAACCAACTGTAGGTTGGTAATCGTTGACGATGATATCGATACTGAGAGCATGGTACCTGATGTGAAGTACCTGAGGCTTTCTGACGTATATGCACAATCGATATATCGTAAAAGCTTGTCTCTAAACAGCTACTTGTCACTAGTGGAGTCATTAGGCAAGGAGCGTTCTGATTATCGTATACAGGAGATGCTCAGTGACCAGTCCAAACATGTGGGAACAATTACGCGTGATTCAGTTATGATGATCACATTTAGCAGCACTGCTACTGGAGGCAAACCTCGTGCTCGTAAAGTGACCTATGGTGAAATGGCATCCCACTTCAAAGCGCTGGAGTCCATGAAGGCGTGGTCACATGAAGATGTATTGGTAGTGTTCATGACCAATCCTACATATGATTTCTTCACCAGCATAGTGCTCTACTACTGTTTCAGTCGTGGGAACGTAAGAGTGCACTTTCTTCAGCGATACATGTCAACATACTGGAAGATTTTGTGGGAGGCCAATGAACATGCCAAAAATGTATTCTCGCAGTTAGGCAAGAATTACAAGGTATATGTTGATACTATTGGTTTATATAGCGCTATAGATTTTGAGTTTCTTGTTTCCAAGACAATTGGAGGCACTACTCACACTTGACGAGGTAGCACAGGAATGCAAAATTTTCGGATGTGTAACTCCCGTACCAGGATCACCTAAGTTATCGCAACTTCGGGTTACAGCCGATAAGCCATGTCATCGAGATACCCATTTGAGGGCTTTGACACGGTCGGTCAGTCCTGATGATGCGGACAAATATGCTACACCTAGGAACAGTTCACCAAATGAACTACCTATTGCTGGTGAATCTGGCATGACACCTCATCGTACACCTTCAAGGTTGAGTTCTTTACGTGTGGCTAGGGCTGGTTTGGTTCGAATGTCAAAATACATTTGGGGCAGTACCACAGCGCCCAAACTGCAAGATACACCCAGTTCGGCACAAGATACCGCAATATCAAGTGGAGAGGGTGAGGGCCCAACTGATGAACCTACTATACCACCTACATTGGAGAATTCATCCGTCGTACATCGTAGTGCAAGCGTACCTCGTACTGAAAGTGTACCACGTAACGAAAGTGGCCGTACGGGTAGCCTCTATATCCCAAAGTTGCATCTGAAATTTACAGAGCTACGCAATGTCTTATGTGACAAGAACGTATACTTTTTGCTGTCAGGGACACATGCGAGTATCGATTTATGTAAGTGTTTTTTGTGGCATTCTGATTTTCCCCAGGTCGTTTATTCGCACGGTTAACAGCTGGCAAAACACCTATAAGCCGGTACGGTTGTACCGAAGTTTCACCCACGGTGAGTGTTTTAGCCTGTGGCACTGAACCTCTGCAGATGGCCTTGGTGGACCCTGAGCTCAACCACAACGATTTAATGGAGCTTTACAGCATGGGTATTACCAACTCATACAATGAGCGTCCAACTCCGGGTCAGTATATCGGTACGTCATATTCTCCTGACCTTCGCCTAAGTATAGTGAAATCGGTGGATAAAATGGACCCTAATTTCATGGTATGTTTCTTGCACGCTCTATTGTTACATATAATATTAGGCCCCGTGCTCTTCGAATGAACCAGGATACTTTGTATGTAACGTTGGAGATGGATCTGCGCTAATGCTTCCACATGAGTGTTGTGCCAACATCTTGGAGGATGGTACGTATCTAGGGATATGTGATGTGGGCTTTTTCATAGAAAAAGATAAAACAAGACACTTTTACTGGTCATATAAGGTTGATACTACCCTTCCTCGTGGTTTCCCCTATCCATATTTTGAGCTTATTTGGACAAGTAGGCTGATGCAGCAAGCTATTTGTACACGTTATGACCTAACGGAACCTGTTGTACGTGTTGAGACTGTCTATCTTCCAAACGTTGATGGAAATCGTCGCATAATATGTGCTGTTGAGCTTATTACATCTCTAAAATCGGAGATTGCGACAGACCTGAAGTCGACATTTTTGGATCTATGCAGTGAGTTGGGTTCAATATATAATTTATTTGGTTCAGAATCTGTCGGTATGTTTTTGGATTGTGTAGCTCCAGATGAAATACGCGTCGTCTCTATTCCTTGGGCTTATAAGGGCTCTGTGAGCTACCCAGTGCTGAGGGTAAGTGTGTAACTTCTTTCTTTGCCTTGACGTCTTCTTAGGACATCTTGCAGCAACCGGCACGATAATGTCACGTTGTTTTAATTTGTCTATATGCAAACGTTTATTAGTTGGTAGCTCAGTCGCCGTAATCACGACAGCAGCGATTTCTGACAACATAGTGACCCTGCGATGGGTAGGTGTTGCCGATGAAACGAACTCAATAACCGCCATCAGGTACGAAATGACTCTATGTCACCAGTACTCTTTGCTCTAGATGGTTCCAATGGTTGGTGTAACTGTTTTGGTCAAGTGACCATGTGCAGACCTGGCCTTGGTGATTAGGGCAAACCGTTATTATCGCAATGATGTTGTACTGTACCAGCATCCGGTTACTGGTGATGAGGCATTCGGACGGCTTCTGCATATCAACGCCACGGATGACCTGAAACAGATACACAATAAGGTACCATGTGGACACTGTTGGTAAGTCATGATCAAAACTTCTATATGTTCTCGACACAGGGTCGAAAACGATAACCCAAGATCAGATGAGCCTGATAGTCGTGAATTTGGTGCAGTAAGTATTATATAGCTCATCGGGGCCCGTTGTCACTCCCCCCAAGTTGTGGTACCACAGTATCGCCCACAACGCTGTCTACATATTTTCCAAATATTATTAAATGTTATGTATAAGGTTATTTAGATACCGCTGGGGCTGCTGAGAGGCTGCGTACTAGCAACTATATACCCAGTAGCACGTGCAAAGGTACTAGTTAGCTGAGGAGGCTGACGAGACCTGCCGGGACCTTTCGGCGGATATTGTTGCGTAACGCAACTTGGATATCCAAGCTAGGATCGCTACGACCCACAGGCGATACTTTGCAAGAACGCAGAGAGACCACTTCATTGGACGATGAGCCCGTGTTAGGACCACACGTACCCTCGTCAACAGACTCTGGTGTAAATAATGTCTGTGCAGTACCCTTATCATCGTTTACAACATGCAGTGGTGTTTTTTTAGGATTTACGGAGCCCCTACAACCGGGAATGGTATCAGTATTGCCGATACTTGCACCGTCACCTGCCAGGCTCCCACCACCCTCCGAACTAAACTTGGTCCTTAGTACAGATCCTTTATTCTCGTCAGCTGCTACAGCGTCCAAAATGCCGGCCATTTTACCGTAACTAGAAACGTTCAGATATCTAGACAACGACACGTCCCTAGTAAGTGGCGGTTTACCACCTAACAACGACTTCACAGGCTCCGCAGGACTGTTCACAACGGACTGGTTACGAGAACGCTCGGACGAACCAGTTTCACTATGTTTGTAACTTATAACATTGACGCCAAGTTTATGACGTCGCAACTTCTGCTCATTAGGTCCTAAAATTAATACGGTACGACCGAACCTCTTACAACTGCGACGACATTCGCGAAGTATACGCAAATTCACCATCTCCTGGATCACCTGGCAAACATACTTGGGCTTTTGCGTCTTTAAAGAACCGTGGTAAGGGTTCTCATCTAGTCGATACTTTATCAATGTGGACCTCTTTAACCCGCGTAAAGCATCACACAAAATATTCATGGTCAAAATACCTTTCTTACGGTACTTCATAGTATCCTCGACAAAATCACAAATTGTTATAGCGTCGTCAGTAGCGTCCACAAGCTCAGTTAAAAGGTTGTTACAACAGTTGTCACAACCGCCACAGTTGTCCTGCAGAACACCATTGGGGTCCTCACCAAATGCACGAAATAGTAACAGACGCCTACAAGTGCTCTTGTTCTGACAATACTCGCGCATATTAGCGAGACTGGGATACGCCGAAAGATGCTCACCAGAGATACCCTCGCTATCCACGCTAGCCTTTTGACCAAGGTTCTTATGGCGCTCAAAGTCGCGCAAATTGTACCATAAAATAGTAGTGGAATAATTACCATCACGACCTGCACGACCGATCTCCTGGTAATAACCAAGGATAGACACCGGTGCAGAGGTATGGAAAACAAATCGAACATCGGATTTGTCGATACCCATACCAAAAGCTATAGTAGCAACCATAACGCGAATCTCACCACGGGTCCACTTGCGTTGAACATCCTGGCGAGCATCCATACCCAATTTCGCATTGTAAATACCAACAGATATACCAGATTCACGCAGACCTAAAGCCACCTTCTCACTGTCACCAACTGTCAAAGTGTACACGATACCACAACCAGTGGTACTACGAAGGATACCGATCATCTCTTCGAGGTAATTCTTGCTCTTCTCACGACACTCGATCCAAAGGTTGGGACGGTTAATCGTTGTACGCAACCGGACACACATGGGTATACGTAAGACGTGCATAATATCCGAGGCTACATCAGGTGTAGCTGTTGCAGTCATTGCCAAAATAGGCACTTCAGGGAACTTAGTTTTAAGGTTACACAGTTTGCGGTAATCTTTCCTAAACGACAACCCCCATTGAGAAACACAATGAGCCTCGTCTATCACAAATAACTTCAAACGACACGCCTCATGCAATTGATCCAATAGTTTAAGAAGGATAGCAGACTTGTCAAACTTCTCAGGGGTTATGAACAGAATCGCACCATTGTCAAATGATTGGCTACTGTCAAGATATTTCTTAGTTATTTGACGCATCGTGGCGACGGGAGTGTTCCCATTCACGGTCTGCGCATCGATACCGTAAGATTGCAATACACGCATCTGGTCCTCCATTAGAGATATCAGCGGCGAAAAAACCACAACAACACCTCCAAGAAGCATAGATGGCAATTGATAACAGTGGCTCTTGCCACCACCAGTGGCCATAGTAAGGAGGCAATCCCTGCCAAGTAAAATGGCATTGATGGCCGCCAGTTGAACACCCCTAAAGGATTTATAGCCGAAGACACGAGTATTTATATCGTTCACCTTATCGCTGAACTCATATTGCTCTCGAAACAAATGCGCATTCTCCTCCCATATACTAACAGGGATATGAAGGTCAATACCAGCGATCTCATTGCTGTTGATCTTTTCCATGTAGTCTCTACGCGATTCAGACAGAGGGTCAGATAAATGTGATATATCACCGGGCGCACCTGACTCCAGCTCCTGAGTGTCGATGATACCATCATCGTCATATATATGGTTCACCTTCGGCTGCTTGCTCTTTCTAGACGCTCGCTTATCGTCATTACCACGCTTCACAGCAGCATTCTCCAATAATGACATACGCTTAAGATCCTGCATTGTGTTTATTTTGGGTGCCCGATAAGCCTCTTTAGTGCCAAAAGGGGGACCTTTCGAGGGTTCCGCTGCTCTAGCAGCAGAAAACATATCATCGTCAACATCCATAAAATGGTCAGAGTCATCATCGAAAAGCCCTGGTGTATGACCTGTATCAGGAGCATTTGGTTGCGGAACTGTAGTACTGGGGACCTCCGAAGGAATAGAGCTACACGGCTCGGCAGGTTTCACCGTGGTAGGGTGATCGACAACCACCTTGTCCTGCGGTTTACTCGAAACGAGAGATAAGGTAGTTGGCAGCGCTAGCTGATACTGCTGGAGGTCGTCAGAATCGAAATTGGCCTTCACGGCCTCATTGATGTACCTTTGAGCACGCGTTTGTAACCGTAGAACAGTTTCCCAATGCTCTTCCCAATTCTCAACCGAACCGAGAGAATCAGCAACCGCCTTAACGAGCGCCACCAGATGCTTTACTGCGAAGAAACTCACAGCCTCCGCTACTACAGAAGAATCAGAACGGTACTTACAAGAACACTCATAAACTGAAGTCTCTTTGGTCGCTAAACTACCCTTGTCGGACGTATCGCTCGGACGATACTGCGATGCTTTAGACGCCAGCGACGAGATGGACGATGCTGACAAACGTGAAGTAGCACTGTTGTAACGACCAGTATCTTCGGAATCAATCGATTCTGTAATTGTACCAATAGACCAGTCACCCGTTGCACCATTTCGGGGTTCATCTGGCATAGAGCCGATGTTGCTACCGTGTAGAGACGGAACAGGACCACTATTCCAAGAAGAGGTCATGTTAGTAGACTCTGGCGATGCAGTAGATTTAATAGTAGATCCTGGCTCGCCAGTAATATATGAAGAATCTTCCTGAGATTCCTCGATGTCGATAGGGTGCTCCTTGTCACCAATGTTGCCTTCTATCCTAGAAAACTCATCAGCCACGTTACAAGGGACATACTGCGATATACTACCAGCCATACCAACATGGTCTTGGACATGGTTAGCACTTTTAGCCGAGGTGTGCAACCCTGGTTTACAAGGCACAGCCTTGCTCGCCGGAGCTTGGCACTGAAGGGTACTACGATCTTTCGAAATATCCTTATCCAAGACACGCATATTTTTACGTAAAACCAATTTATTGATTATGTCACCCACAACGTGTGTTTTGGGGCGTGACTCTAACAAATTCACGGGGTTACTGACAGACTGCCCTCGTAATGCATTCTTGCACTCCACCGGACGGCTCACATCACCAACAGCCGTACCTGCATCACTAGACCTTTGGGGCAAGAATAGCCCGGGTTCGCTGTCGTAAGTGTCATTTTTTGACATAAGAGCGATATTAGACATGCGTGATTCAGCTGCGCGCTCTTCCATATGCTTCACAGCAAGTAACCGTTTAGCAGGGCAACGTGAATCTCCTGCCGAACTCCGTCGGTTCCGCTGTACAAGCTTGTTACAGTTTTCAACATCTTTGGGATCGGAACTATTCTCGACACTGGAGCTACAGGACTCAGAGGCAACACTACCTGTGGCATCCATCTTTGACCCTTGACGTATGTTGGCCACAGTGCTACTACGGGGGTGAGATACAGGCTCCCCAAAGAAACTTCGAGCACGTGTGGTGATGGGCTTCTTAGATGGGCCATCTGAAGAACCACTGGTCCCACTAGAAAGCATAGTGTCCATTTTGCAGAAAAGTAGGTCAATATCATTTAACGATAACTCGTCCTCCAGGCTAGAACGAGGTTCCTGTTTATGCAAATATTGCATTTTAACGCCACTGTACTCTAAATTATCATCTAATCCGATAGCACGGCGAGCTTCGCCAAAACTTTTAGACACCGGTAATGGAACATGCGGGATATCAGTAGACATAGAAGTGTGCGATTTACGCTCACTCTTACCGTTACATAGCGTTGGAACACGCCTACTAACAACATCGATCACCTTAAGGTCATCGTCAATATCAAATGAGTTGTAACGGCTCTCTGGCAAGAGCTCGCTCCCCATGGTATCCTTTAACAAAAGCTTATAAGACTACATATGGCCCTTAAAAGGGCCTATACCGATCATACAGGGCCCTTAACGTGGATATAGACACAACTACTTCCCAGTTCCCTTACAGACGAGGGGATTGCCCCCTAGCTTGCTCATATCCATAGCTCCATGGAAAAACCCATTGTAGTCATCCATGCCTACCCAAGCAAAAGATACATGACCCAAATATAACCCTTATATAAAATATATGCAAATTTTTTATATGAAAATACAGGATTTTTTAAAAACAGACACTCTAGCAACAGGTGTACAGGACCAGGCACCCAGACACACACCGAACACTCAATTCATACACATTACAAACAGAACACCAACGCTACAATACTAGCAGCCGTATGCAACTTTAAAGTGCCAATATATAAATGTAGCTCGCAATTTGCCCATATACAACCCTTATAGACCACGATAGCGACGTACAATCGCAAAACACGGAACGATAACAACTACAAAATATATAACCTTAAAGAGCAATGTGTGCGCAAGATATTACAAAATATCGCGCCGTACCAATATAATAGCAACCGGGGAAAAAATGACAACATAAACCATTGCCAATGTGTAGATATACGGTGGTAACTAAAGAACCATGCCGTTCAAAACGCCGGGACCGTTGAGAGGAAAGTGCATAGTAGCAGGTTTCAAATCGATACCACGCAGTAACTGAGGGGTTATCACAAAGTACTGCGGAGGGGCACTCTCACGTGGACACAGGTCAACCGAATTGTCGTTGCTGTCACTAGAAACACGGTTATTCAACAGCAAAGCCATTAAACGCTTCTCGTAGTTCGAATCGAGACCCTGGTTTATCTCATCAATAACGAAAAAGGCATTAGTAGTAAGATGCTGAACAGCCAAAATGTAAACCATGGTTGTCACACAACGCTCACCACCAGACTGATATGACGCACATAACGGTAACAAATCACGGTCACGGTGGAACTTAACGAGAACCAACACCTTAGCATCACTGATGTTATCCAAAGGAGCATCAAAACGAATCTGACCTCCAGAACCATCACCTATTTCACGCATATAACGACCAAAATTCGTATCGACATGAGATATAATCGATGAAACACGAGCTATCCAACGATCATATAATTGCACACGCTTCTCATCAAGCTCAACAATCGTAGATTCAGCCTCTGCAAGCTCAGTAGATAACTTCTGCTCGTGAATTATAGCATCACGCATCAACTTGGCGTTCTGAGCCTCCTCACAATCGTCACGCTCTAACCTTTTCACCTCTATCTCAGCAAGCTGTAACTCACGCTCCAAGTCACCCTCGGTCATCTGATCCAACCTAATAGACTTCTCTTGACGAATCCTCAACGCATCACGTTCACAAGCAGATTCAGGCTTGTCTTCAGCACTTGTAGAACGCACTATCTCACCACTTATCGCTTTTATCAAAATATTCAACTCCGTAATATCACGCTGGTAACTCTTGCGCTTACACTCCTGCTCAGACAAGGTACCCTCTAAACGCTTATACTCAGATTCGACAGTTTCAAAAGTCGAAGTAGTACGACTACAGATATCATACAAACGAATCTTACGGTCGTTAACCTTCTTGTAACGACTATACAACTCTTGAGCATCGTTCACAGTAGTACGACGCCATTTAGCCTTGTCAATCCAAGACATTATAGTGTCAGTACGACGACTTAACGCGTCAAGGATCTGCTCTTTGTGACCACGCTCCATCTGCTCAAACTCAATCTGATCCTTGTTCTTAGCACTCACTACACCAACAGATACACCAATGTTCTGCAAAGTCTTCTCTAAAGAATGCTGCTCACGACTCAACGCATAAAGACGACCGGCAACCATCTTGTTATCCTGTTTACGACCATATAACATACCAGAAAGAACCTTGATCTTATCAGACAAGTCATCCAACTCTTTCTGAATAGTGGAAATTTGAGAGGTGTTGTCAACCTTCACAGAATTACTCGCGTCGTGCAAAATACTCGGAGATATCGGAATGTCGACAGAATAATCACTATACAACTCGGAAGTATCCCGAAATTCACGATATATATGACGACTAGTACCCAAATAATAACGTAAAACACGGACACGCTGACATAACTGCTTACCAATCTCATCTTTCATACAATCGTAAAAAGTACGGAAATACTCTTCCTCCTTACGTAAACGCAATTGGTGAGGATCAGGGTCAACCAAACTTCTAGATGATCTACCAACACCGGTATCACGAGGTTGACCCCTAGGATTACCACGGATACGAACATTTTTGGTAACCTTCAGCTCATTAGGCTCGGGTTCAACCACAAGGTCATCTAGTGGAGAGCCAATAGGTGCAAACCTCCCGTTTTTGGACGTGACACTAGAACCTACGTCTGGTATCTTCTTGACATCCTCATCACTCAATATGGCACAACGGGGTTCCAAATCAACTGATTGGCTTGAGCTATTGTCTTGGCTAGACTGCGATGAAAGTTGCAATAACTCACACTCCAACCGGCCACGCAATACCTTCTCGTCAACAACAAATGAAGTGCCTAAGTGAGCTACACTAGCAAGAGCAGATTTAGTAGCAGGGTCACTACACTCTACAATCTCATGCAAAAATAGCTTCACGCCGAAACTACGCATACGGTCGGTAACTTTACAAAGCACAGGAGGGGTTTCGGGCTCAGTCAATGTTGGGACCTTAAACTTGCTTAGCACCTCGGAAAGCGAAATCGAAGAATCACGGGTTACAAGTAAACAATCCAAATAACGACTCGCTGTCTCTTCAATGATACAACAGTTGGTACGACCACAGACCTTCACATCACTAACCAAAAGTTTCGGCATTTTACCCATGGAAACTTTTTGAGGTTGATCTTTTACCGGAGCTGAAACCGCACTGTCACCTTGAGACTCATTACTATCACGGTTTTCAGATGGATGAGATCTTTGATCTTTATCCTGGCTTTCAGAAGAATCCGACAACTGCAAAGTAAGACGCTCACGACGCCAACGTATAAACCGACGATAACCATCACGCTTTATAGAGTTCAACTTCTGAAGAAGGTTCTCAACCTGAATGTCATCATATTTACGGATAGCAGTCTTCTGTAAAGCGTGAAGCTTGGACTTCAGAGCCTCCTCCTGCATACGACATTCCGCAATCTCACCCGTTAACTCATGCTCACCAGCTATCTGCATTTTTAATAGCTCTATTTGCTTGTTAACAGCAGCAAGACGCTCTTCAAGAACGCCACGGTTAGACTCACCAGAAGAAACGAGACCACTTTTCGCAGTCTTGTTAGCAGTAAATGTACGCAACTCAGTAAGCGCTTTGTAAAATACCTTGTCGATGATGTTGTTGTCTGATAAAGGTACAACCTCAACGTCAGCACCCTTGACAGGCTTTACAGACTCCAAAATCTTAAGACCCTTAGCCTTCACGATCTTAGCACGCACCTGACGAATCAACTTGTCATGCTGCAAAGTTAGACTTTTCAGCTTATGATCCATCATCAACTTATCCTCTTTCAATCTTTGGTAATGAGTACCTGTAGAGGTAAACTTAGTTTTTGTGGCTTTGCAACCCTTCTCCAAGTTAGACAACTTGATGCGATAAAGCTTCTGCTTTACAAGGTTAGCATACAATGTCGCATCCTTTAACTGACTCAAAGTCTCGTTTATCACCTTAAGCTGAGTTATCTTCATTGTAGTCGCGTTAAGATCGTCGATCAACATCTGCATAGTAGAACGCTGCAACTTCACATCCTTGGACATATCGATGATGGACTCCAAATCATCACATAAAGATGGCTCTATGGCGTTCAAAGTTGACCTCAATAAATTCTGAGGGGAAAGAGATGCAAATTTACCCACGTTAGCCTGAGCTAAAAAGGTTAACAAGTTGTTGACCTGAATGTTAAGACGCTTCTGTAACTGCTTCACCATCTCCAATGTAGCAGAACGACCGTTAATCAACCATTCAGTACGTACCCAGGCTGACTGTTTTGGAGGCGTTGGAGAGGTAACCGGTACACTGGGGACAGAAACAGCCTTGTCCTTAGCGGCCTTACGCTTCTTAGATTTCTGACGACCGTTCCTTTGGGGCTTCTTCACATCGTAATCCTCATCATCATCCTCGTTTTTTCGCTTGGCATTCTCAGCAGGTTCCTCAAAAAGGTCATCGTAGTCAAGCCCAGGTAACGCCTCTTCCTCCAACTCCTCATCGACATCATCTAACCCCGCATCACGGTCGGTGGATTTAGAAGAACTGGACGACGCAACTATAGTCATATTACGGGTTATCAATGTTACTCCGTTAGGTGAAGTACGATCTATAAGCCCTATTTGAAGTTTCGATTTCTTACAGCCACGCTTTATAAAAGCACGGATGTTATCACCCCGAGATAAAACACTGGGATCAAATCCAAGACCAATAGCTATGGCACAAACGATCGCACTCTTACCACAACCGTTAGCAGCAGCTATTATGTTCACTCCCGGAAGCGCTTTCAGACGTACAGGACCAGTATATGCCATCCAATTCTCCATTGTTATGGAGTCTATAGCTCCCTCCCTAAACCGCTTCTCCCCAGAATGGACCATCTTCACAAGCAAACGAACACGAAGCAACCCATCACGAAATCAAAACAACATACAACACCCTCTCTAGCGCTAAGCACCCTGAATTATGGACATAACAATTGACTGACGGGAAGATCACATCCAAAGGTAGGCATCAAGCCTTGGAAGGATCAAAAACCGCCGTTACAAAGCGCTAATACCGTAAGTAGTGTGCTAAGTCCTAGGAGAAGAGTACCAACGCAACAAACTATCAAACACCTAACGCCTGTGTGCGGCTGCATGAACGGCTAGCTCGGACAACAATTCCATCGGGAGTCAATATCTCAAATAATATACACTTTTTAGGAGACAATGATACAACCAGGAAGGACAGATAGCTAGCAGTCATACCCAGCCAAAATTAATCGATACTTATAGCCATCCACAGTACAACAGCAACTCAACACGTTACATGATAGATACTTACAGACAATACAAGACATTATTTTACAATACAGCTGTGTGTAAAGATACAACGATGGTACACCCATAACAATTATTATATATATATTATCGATGACAGTTCAGCCCTTCTTATTCTCAAGGTCCTTCAACACCTCTTGAAAGTTGATGATGTCAGCAGTACCAGTGACACGCTGCTCCTTACCGTTGACAGTCATATGCGTCTTATTCTTATCATCAACATATACCTCCATGTTTATGAGACCCTGCAATATCAATGTTTATAGGACAATGGTAACCTACCTTATCGGGGTTATCCTTCACAGCATACTTCGCGAGAGTATCAGCACCTTTCTTCGACTTATCTTTACCAGCGCCACTTCTAACCTTCACATTCTTCCCATCCTTAGGCCGAACCATCACACCTTTAAGACCGGCATTACGGCAAAACCAAGCCTCAGTAAGAGCTGAAACCATTGCATATCACCGAACAATAAAGAAACTTACCATTCATCCAACTGTGGCATGACACCTCACTGCCAGCACAAAGTGCCTGGGGAGCTCCACGGTAAACAAACGTGAAACAACTAGGCGCATTCTCTGCTGGCCTTGTAGGAAGCGATATGTCAACCAAGTAATACGTAATCTGAGGTTTGCGATCATGGTAAATCACCAAAGAATTCCCATTCAATTTAGCCATAAGCGGAACACGGTCCTTATGGTCGATGTTGTCACTGCGAGCAGAATAAAACAAAGGGCCGATTTTTAACATGTTGCAATCTGTATAACATATATATAATAGATATGGAACACAAACCTTGAAACAACAAACTAGAATGATCCGCGGAAGAATGGACATTGTTAAGTTTGATCCGGGCCACATCTGCTTCATGACGCAGCAGTTCAGACTGCTTGTGTAACAATGCAACGCGAGCCAAATTTGCCTCAAGCTGCGTAGTTAACTTAAGCTCTTCACCTGAATGATCACCAGGCTCAGATTTAAGCTTCTCAAGCTCAGCATGGATACCCTCAGCATACGAACGTAAGATATTCGCAGCACGTAGTTTCTGGATAGCTTTCACAGTCATATCATTAGCACGCTCAGACTGAGATGATTCGTACTCAGCAAGACGATCCTGCTCATCAAGCCATGTAGGCTCAGATTTACTCTCATCTTCCTCAGTATCAGGAGGAGAAAGTTTATCTTTTAACTTAGACTCCTGACTTTGTAAAAAACGCAAAATGGCGGTAGATGTCTCACCCTAAACAATATATGACGTTCAATAGATAACGAAAACTAAAAAACATATAAATGTTACTTACACGCACTACTTGGGGAAACAAATGCGATAATAACCATGATCCAGCAAGGACACCCACTCGAAATTGCATCCTCGTCAAATAAATGGATAATTGCGATCTCCAGGAGATGGTGTGTCGACCTTTTCAAACGCCCTTACGACACATCACGCTTAATCTGTCTAGGTGTGTGCCACCTAAAATCTATACTAATAAGCAAACTCAATAATATATAAATAATATACAGTTATAATATTATCAACATATAAGCAAGGTGTGTGGAGATACAGACGCTCCGTCGTTTCTTACGATGTCGTTTACACACCTCCCCCATCCCACCGTTGCCTAATACGACACTATTCGTTATAACAAGTATTCATACACATGGATCACGTATAGCATATATACGCTGTATAGTGGAATTTGGGCAAAATAATATGCGCACATGCCCAGGAGGCCGCGGCGGAGCAGCCGTGGCGCTCGCGCTATATATGACGCTGTTTGGTTCTATCATACACACCGCCATAGCCATCAGCAGACCAAACGTAACCAATACACTAGGTAGGTTAGACATAAACTGATTACACACATATCGACAGGATCGGAAGTACCTACACCAAGGGAAGCTGAACTAGAACAACTTGAAGATGCGGAAATAGGTAAGCTAAACTCTACACATCTCACAGATATATTATTATATCGAAACTAAATGCAAATGTGGGTATCAGTGTGTGTGAGCAAGCAAACAATAGGACATCATATAATGTTAACACAGACCAATCCCAAGGAGTGCGTAGCCTGGATGACGAAATAAGGAACCATGAAATACTTGATCTAGGTGGACAAGAAGATTTCTACCTAGCCAATCATGGATCAAGTTGTGATGTACTTATGGTCAGTTGAGTAAATTGAGTAATAATACGACGCAGGAGGACACTATCGACGTTGCACTTGAACCGCGCGACATGCTTAAGACGCAACAATTTATAGGAAGCATCACACCAACAGAACTTCGACTCTATATTCCTGGTAGGATTACTAAGATACATTAATATAAGAAACAGAACGCAAGAAAGATACAGATAACCAACAGAAGCTTGGGAAACTATTTGCAAGGTTCTCACTTGGGGCCATAGTAACACCACTAGAAACAGTCAGCTCATCACGAGACTGTAAGTTTAAAATCAAAACAAAGATTATACATATATTAGGCTTCCGAATGTTCTACAAAAATGAACCGATACTATTCTGCGCAAAAAATACCAACCATAGAGAGTGAGCTTTGTTATCAAATATATATAAAGAAACCTGTAGCTTCTGGATGCACACACTTATCAAGGCAAAGTTCTGCCATACAGCCCATACGGTATTGAGCAAAGCCGCAACACCAGCAGAAAACGCGACACCCGCAAAACTACCAGAACTATCAACAAAACCACAGAGGTTATATGATCTACTACACCCTGAAAGTATATCAAAAGAACCAACCGTCGCAGCACATCACAATAACGAGATAACAAATATAGATATCAAAAACGTACAATCTGGAGAACCCGAGGTATGCCAAAAAACATCAAAATATCACCAAAGCGCAGATATACCTAAACGGGGAAGAGGTAAAACCTGAACTAAAAACAAAAGATCAAGAAACACTTTTAAAGGAACAAAGCGAACAGAGAGAGAAAGACGCACTTTAATATCGCAGTGAAAACAAAAAAAAAATAACAACATGGCACTCAGGATCGACCCAGACATACCACATAGGCACCCATCGAATTCATGCGATGCACTACAAAATGATATGATAGAATGTTATAAAGCATCAAGATGCTGCAAAGAACTACACAAAACGTTCGCAGAATGCCTTAGCGACCGAAGACCAGAAATCGTCGGACAGGAGTGCCTGCAGTTGAAACGCGCCCTTGCACAATGTAGGAGAAATGTACTCAACGGAAAATTTAGAGTAACGGGAAACCCATATTCGAGGTGACTTTTTATAAGTACTTCATTTCTCATAATGTTTATATAAAATACATAGTTAACACAAAACAAAATATAGGTCAGCAGACATCACTGACCCTTGTTAAGTTTATGTTTCTTAGCTTTATTACCAGATTTCAAACCGAAAGCCTGTAAACGGTCACGACTCACATTGTACTTGGTCATACGACGATCTTGCACAGAATCAGTGACACTTTTACCTTGGCTAGGACGATGGCCACCTTTAGAGAACTTATGAGGAATAGGTTGCGGCAATTCACCGTCATACGCCAAAAGCTTACTTAAGGGCATCATGGAGTTCAACTCCTTGTCACTTTTCTCAAGGATAGTTTGCAAATCACACTTGTAAGGCTCAACCTGCCTATATTTAAACCGAACTTTCATATCACCGATCATGTCCTCGTAATCAAGCTTGTAGTATTCCTCCTGTAACTTAGATATATCCTCTTTAGTAGACACAGGGGGAGCACAAGAAGCTGGCACGATCTTAGAAACCATACGTAAATGCTCGTGATTAGCAATTGGCACACAACTCTCACACAGAGAATAATTGTCACACTCGGTACAGTCGAAATGCTTATGGCCCACAGGAATACCCTTGTGACAGTGATCGCATAACCACCAAAGCTCATCATAATCACACACAGTATCGTCGACGGGGGTAAAATCCTCATCCTCAGCATCGTCATAACCATGACCAAGAATCTTAGCCATCTCAGCATCGTGCTGTTGCGGGTCAAACGGAGCGTTCAGATCAACAACGTCATCAGAAAGATGAACACCAGCTCGAAATTCAATCTCCTTCATCTTTTGCGCTATCTCAGCCTTCTTCAAACTCTTGAGACGCTTCAGCTCCTCATCACGACGAACCTTATCTTCCAATTGCTTCTGCTTCTTCTCCTGACGTTTCTTCTTACGACGATCATCAACCTTACGCACAGAGTCTTCAATCGTACGGGGATGACCCTCGATAGTACCACCTTCAGCCTCCTCAAACCTGCGTTTACATGATTATATTTTTTCATGACCACAACAGAAAAGGATTGACAGTAAAAAAACAAACGAACTTGAAAAATTACTAACCTATAATTGTAACGGTATTCATAGTCTTCAGCTTCATTAAAATGATCTTCATCCTCTTGCTCAAATCGCAACTGTTTAGCATAATCGAAATTCTCAAATCGGTCTTCCCTCCAACGCTGGTTCAAGATGTAGTCCTTCAGAAACTCCTCATCTGCATCCATAGGCTGCTGAGACGACCAGTAACGTGATATTAGCGTATCCTCACTGTCTCCCAGTGCTTTAGCAGCAGATCGCAGTTTAACAGGACGATCCGGAAGCTCATCGGCCATGCTACTTTTCTTAAAGAACTCAGAATCATCATCCAGCTCATCAGCAACAGATAAAAACGCCTTCTTAAGATCTTCTTGCTCTTCCTGATAGGTACGAGTTTTACCAGAATCTTGCAAAGCCGCATCAGCATCATCGTCGCTAGCAAAACCCTCAGCACCCTCGTTTAGCAAAGTTTCACGGACCATGTCCTTGTATCGCAGACCCTTACGACGCTGCACGTCGGACTCTTCTTCTTCTTCAAAATCAGAGTCACTAAAACACTTGACGTTGGGGTCATATACCACTGGGTTCTTGTTCTTGATGTTTAACAAAGTCTGGAAGATTTTATTCTCAACCTTGCTGGTAAGGAGCACAGCGTCCTCATCTTCATCATCAGACTCCTCAGATGTCGTGTAGTTGTTCACATCTGCACAATAATCTCAATTACACAACATATTACACACCTTCAGCAACGGGATTCACAGGATTCGCATCAAAAGTCACGCTCTTGGGGTCCTCTTCAAAGACTTCTTTCGCTACCTTAGACTTTTTAGACGACTTATTAGATCGTTTCATGATGTTAAATCGCTGGCAGACGTGGCAAGTTGATTGTTAAGTAGCATTCAACGAGGCTGCAGTAATCACAGCTCAAGGTGATAGATCACGGAAATCCAGTCAATGCGATATGTATAATTGTTACAATAATATTCGAAAGGCAATTGTGTGTAAGAACTGGACAGTAGGGGGAATAGGTACTCCTTAGGGACGGGCTATCTTATCCTCGCTACATAACGCACGCCATGTGTAGGTAAAAGTATTCCCTCTCTACTTTATCCAATATAGCAATGACTTAAAGAACTAGAAGCTATTTGTCACATAAAGAAAATGACAAAAAAGAAATGAATGGCAATACCTTTTGCCATGCTACGTGCTGATGTGGCATCCTTCCACATCTCTAGGCCGCGGTTTCTACACCGTAGAGCTCATGCGGCGTTTGATGGCCCAACAGTATCCTAATGTGCAGCGACTCTCGGGATTTAGACATCTCAACCGTCTCCAGGGACCTACAAGGCCAATACAACGGAACAACGATGCAGAGAAACCTTCTAACAGCAGACATGAAACCAGTTCGGCTGAATATCGGTCAAATGGGAGGATACTTGATCGGGAGACGATATCTTCATTGTACCAACGACGATATACTATAGCCTCCTCGAAACATTTGGGGATGATAACGTCGCCAGGACTTCGACATCTCTCCAGCCCAGGGGCGACTGGACCATTACAGGATAATAATGAGGCTGCGGTTACACTAAATAATGAAAGTGATCTGGATAACGGGGTTGCAGAAACACCCGTAGACCAAATGCAGTTAATGGCTTTGGAAGCGGCATTTGAGTTAAGGGAAGGTGAAACTATGGATTGGAACAACAAACAAATGTGCAGGGTGTCACATAGAAACTTAGTATTGTATATGTATAACAATATAGATATGGCGACAGTAATAAAAATAACAAACCAAGTACTTGCAGCATACCAAACACTACCACGGAGACGAAAAGCATCACAACGTAGACAATATGTACAACGCTTCCTTAGGTGTATACGAAAACACAGACCTATAGAAGATCATCCACAACTAGCACGATGGTTATTACGATGTATCGACCTACTGACCTGTGATGATCTATACTCTATGCTCAGAGTTCGACATATCGTCAATTATGATAATTCGTTCGAGACTTTTAGGGCATCTTTCGGAATGGAAAACTTTGAAACGTTCTCAAATCTACGAACTACAAAAGTACAACAAGATAAACTCATAGGGGAAAAGGCACTCAAAAGTAGGACAGCACAACGAAACCTGCTGATGCGCCATCTCAAAATTAACAAGTTTAGATTCTTGAAGGATCAAAACGTAACAGTTAGTTCAAAATATACAGACAACTATAGTTCACGCAGAAAGCGGTATATGAAGCTAACATAGAGTGGTGCGATGCAGGAGTAGAAGCAGCAGCACTGGAACCTCAGCGCTTCGCATTCATATACAATCTCCCATTTATAGAGAAAGAAGAGTTAACGGAGGCGCTACACGAGGTATTAAGCCGATTCTCAAAAGTTAAACATATCGAAATTTTGTTCGATCGTCTCCCACCACTAACAAGCTTTGTAAAGCGTTCGGCAGTACCACGCAACGCAGCACCGCCACCAAGGGATAAATATTCACCGCTATATGCTCTAGTTGGTATGTTAGCATACATAAGATTGACTTTAACACTATACAGAGTTTCAAACAGAGGAGGATCGAGACTACCTATGTGACGAACACATTAGGGTGTTCGGCCTGATTTGTTGTGGTCGTGTAGTATACCCCGAACTAGCCGAAAGAAAACGAAGCCTACTCACAGCTATATACCCACCATTCAGGAGAATGGATGATGCACTGCAGTTCATTGCTAATACACTGGTGGAACAACCAAACGCTGGTCTCACTTCTCACGGAACCTCGGCCAGTGACAAAAAAACTACAGAAGGTAAGAAGATGGGAAACATGAATGTTTTTGAAAACACCTCAGGTGTATATGGAACAGATACTCTCGATGGAAGCACTGTGTCAGATGACTCCGTCAGTTGTTCCACCGGACATGAACGTGATGAGCCGTCATTGTTGCAGGGTGAAAACGTAACCTCAGCTACAAGCCAGTGCAGAATATTGCCTCTGTCGAAGCGAAAAAAGGTTTCAACTGGCGCTTCTCATGTGGTAACCGCCGACACGCAGAGCGCAATTGGAGATTGGCCTACATACCCACAGCCTGAATTGGATAACCATGTGGATTCATCTATGCTTGACAAACTACAAAACAAAGCTGCTGCAAGTGCGAGGTATGTAGAATTGATCATACGATGTGCTAACAGCCATTACAGCATGGACCCGCAATGGATTGTATTAAGGTTTTGCGATTTTAAACATGCCTACTTTGCACGCAAAAAATTGATGCAAAAATTTGCCGAAGAACCCAGGAGCCTGGTTTCGTTCGATACCAAACGATCAATTTTCCATAACGGTAAGTAGATGCTATATAAGTGGATATTGTAATGTTGCCCAGGCAAGTATGTAGACCTCCCGCTCTTCCAGTATAGCACGCGCACGGAAAACGACCCGTCTGTTGCAAGAATAACACAGAACACAGTGGAAGATGGTAGAGGTATAGGCTCTGTAGCTGGAGATGTCGTGTGACTCGTCGTGGAACGTGGCCAGAAGTGCGTGACGCGCCACGGACTCAACCCAAGTAGCAATTAGTCTACAGATGGCACCGCCAGACTTTGATAAATAAACAAAAATATTTTGTACATTCCTATGTTGCGAATCGGGGAGGCTTTGGCCGGGCGACCGCCTAGAGCCGTCTTAGTTACGACGCGGGTTTACGAATCTCTATTAAGGCGTTCGTCTCTCCGCTTTTCAACGCACCGCTTGTTACGTGTAAGAAGGAATGTAGAAGATGAGCTTGCTAGAGGTCGTCTAGATGCACATACCCTTAGAGAGGCGAACCGTGTAGACCCCCGTCTAACTGTAAATGCCGTAGAGTCCAACGGTTCGGGCTCGTTTCCGCGCGATGAAGGAGTATTACGCGAGTATCTGAAGGCCCTGATGCTCACAAACAACATCGACTCACGCAGCCTCAAGGAACTGATACCACCGAAACAGGTCACAGAAACTTCACACGCACCGACCTATGATGTACGCAGAGAGGTAAGAAACAACAATCCTATGTGATATAAAATGGTTTTAGGAACAAACAAAGTTTGCCTACGAGCCTAACGAAATGTACCTGAAATCAGATGCAAGGAACCCAGTGCACGTGGTTGTATCTACAGCATCAGGCAGCCGGTTTGTACGATTCTTCAAAGGGCTACTTTCTTTCGGTTCTATCGCATTCTGTTTTGGCTCACTTTACGTTGTACTGAACCAAAATATACATAGAGGACTCAAACACTCGTTCAAGGTTGTGGACCCAGAGGAAGTAGATACGACATTTGCTGATGTAAAGGTGAGACACACATATTTCCATATATAAGTTATACACAGGGTTGTGACGAAGTTAAAAAGGAATTAGATGATATTGTGGCTTATCTGCGCAATCCAGAGAAATTCGATAAACTTGGAGCACGATTGCCAAAGGGAGTGCTACTGGCGGGACCACCAGGGACGGGCAAGACCCTGTTGGCTAGAGCGGTTGCGGGGGAAGCGGGTGTCCCATTTATACAAGCTTCAGGTTCGGAATTTGAGGAAATGTTCGTTGGTGTAGGTGCTAGGAGGATACGTGAGCTTTTCGCGCTGGCCAGAACAATGTCACCATGCATCGTATTCATAGATGAACTTGACGCAGTGGGATCGAAAAGGTCTGCAACCGACCATAACAGTGTGCGCATGACATTGAATCAGCTTCTAGTGGAATTGGATGGGTTTGCAAAACGGGAAGGTATTGTGGTATTATGTGCTACCAACTTCCCTGAATCACTAGACCCGGCACTTGTACGCCCGGGACGTTTAGACAGGACCATACATATACCACTTCCAGATTACAATGGGCGCTATGACATACTGAAACTATACAGCAAGAAGATACTAGTTGCGCCAGACGTAGACCTCTCCACTGTGGCAAAGCGTACAGTGGGAATGACCGGCGCCGATATATTCAACATCTTGAATATGGCCGCATTGAAATGCTCCCTCCAGGGCCTAGCTGCGGTTACGTCTTCAGCAATAGAGGAAGCATTCGACCGAGTGGTTGTTGGACTAAAAGGCACACCCCTTACGAGCGAACGTGAGAAGAAGGCAACTGCATACCACGAAGGTGGTCATACGTTGGTTAGCCTACATACTCCGGGAGCCACACAGGTGCACAAAGCAACCATAGCGCCTCGTGGACGCACCCTGGGAGTGGTATGTTTCATACATCACATCTTCATTCCACTGTTAGACTTGGAAAATACCCGAAGAAAAGTCGGATACGCGAATGTCAGAACTACATGCGGAAATAGCAGTATTAATGGGAGGTATGGCTGCGGAAGAAGTTATATACGGAAAGGAGAACGTGTCTACCGGATGCCAGAGTGACCTAGAAAAGGCAACGGATATAGCGCGAACGATGGTAGGTTGGGAACCAGATATATCATATGTTATCAGGTGATGAACTTCGGTGTGGGATTGGAAAACGTAAAAGGACCAATGTTCTTGGACGCAAAGGGATATTCCAACCTGAGCGAGGAACACCGTAGTCGTGTTGATACCGCGGTGCAACAGATCTTAGACGTACGTTACATTAGTCGGTTTTCATGTTCTGCAGAAGGGATACCGTCATGCCTGTAACGTGATACGCGGTAACATACTGCAGTTACACAACCTGTCCGATGCGCTCGTACAGTATGAAACATTGAATGCTGACGAAATCCACCACGCAGTGCGAGGGGAGATGCGAGAAATTGAACACTCACAGCAAATGCAGCAAAACGAGATCCGCGCGCAAACCAAGCGTTACTCACAAACACAACCCGGAAACAAAGAACTACTGACGGAAACACAACATTCCTACCGCACGTCAGCATAAACTCACTTAATGCTAGTAACAATGATCAATTTTACGTTTTGTACGAAATCAGCGAGACACACGTCAACAAAATGAACGTAGAGTACATAACTACGATGTTCAAAAAAGTGTCATTCAGAACTTGAGCTTGTGTGGGTACATGCCATTGCGCAAGGTGAAGCGAGCCTTCAAGTACTTGCAAAGAATGTCAGAGCTCTTGAGGAAAGGAGTCAAAACGCTGTCGACCTTGTCCTGCTTCTCCCTGATCATAAGCTTAGTTTCCTCGGCGACCTTTTCGGCTTCAGCGTTGTCGACAAACATGGCATCCTTGCTGCGCTTCTTGCGTTCCTTGAACTCAGCCATCTTAGTGGCCTTGCTCTTGCCAAAGGATTCGTCGGAAAGAGATGCGACAGCGGCCTCCACGGCGGCCTTGCACTCAGCTCCCTTGATTTCAGGCATCTCGAAAATGTTAGTAGATGTCGCAATCACGTATCTAGGGTTCACACGTCTAAGAGGAACACCATTGAAGAGGAACGGGCCAGTGACGAGCAACAAGCCGCTCTCCTTGAGAACCTTGAGCAGCACAACGCGCTTGCCCTTGTAGCTACCACCAAGGAGGATGAGCACAGTGCCAGGTACGAGACTTGCCCTTACCTTGGGGAAACTCTCTACCTTCTTGGCAGCGCGAGCGACCTTCCTACGGCGTTCGCGACGGGCCACCGGCCTACGGATTAGAGGTGTGTGGGTCATCTTGTTTGGCTTTGACGATTCTGCAGGTAAATTAGCCATGCCAACCACGTACTAAAATATGTATAACACTCGGTCGTATACACTAGAAGGACAATAGAAGAAGGCCCGGGCGATTACAACGAATAGAGGCTTGTGTGGTCATATCACCGACGGTACCAGCGCTCCACAGCATCAGCCCAATGGCTACACGTATACACCAAACCCTAATAGTCACATCCACATAAAGTCCCCCAGTTCAGAGGTCAACGAAAGAGCGACAGAATACATAGAGACACTAACCTCACGGTAACGCGGACGAACAAATCTTGGTGGTACTCCCACAGTGCCGCGCAGTGGTGTTCTTAACGCTGACGTAACCTTGTGGAAGTTATTAGAGTGTTTGAATGATGGTACATCGCTTTCGGGAGAGTTCCACCGTCCAAGCCCCATTCGGCTGCCGCGTGCCTGGGCAGCGGCCAGAAGACTCTAGATGAAATTAGCACAACTATCTGGCAGGTTTATAGATACCGTTGCTACTGTCTAGTGGAGCTTTTGTAAGCTCGAAGCCGTCGACTATTGGTCGAACTGTGAACGACCAGCGACGTTCACCTCTAAAGGCATTTTGCTATGTCAAAGATTGAGTGGCTTTAGAGAGTGACTTACAGCACGCTCATGTTTACACAAAACCAATGTTTTAGACCGAATACCCTAAAACGTCTACGAGAAGCCCAGTAGACAGCTCATTGCCAACGCGACAGCTGGGCGCACTTACCGTCACTGCTGCGACAGTTATCGTAGATATATACTTTTCGTTACCTATATGCTCCGTATCTGGGCCTAATGCTGCCATCGGGCCCAGACAATGGATCCTGAGCCGTGAGGTCCTAAGTGTATAATATTCCACCGATAAGCAGGCCACGGGGCGATTAGGATCAGCCGATATTCTCTGTTCGGTGACTTCTCTCATATCGATTGTAACAGGGGGCTATTTATCCGCTCTACATTTTGTGTGGCGTAACGCGCTTCTTGCCGGAGGACGTTGCGCCCCGGAATCCTCACTTCGTACTCTTCTGTAAAGCGCATCAAACGTTTTAAACGCTCCCAGCATTTTGACGTCTTTTAGACACCACTGATTTATAAAATTTCAACACAAAATGGTAGGTTTAGGCACACTCACAACCCACAATGGCAACACTAACACACCTGCAGATTATCATCGGCGTCGATACCAAAGATCTAGGCACCAAAAATGTATTGGCTGCTGCCGCATTTTTCGGCGTCGCATACGATTTCAAAATTGCAAAGGGTGGATGCTGCGGATCTGAGGGAAGGAAGGATGAATTCAGCGAACTGAAGCCTTCTGTAAGCGTAGAACTTTGTGGAGGCCTAGGAACATTCTGTGGAGCACTCTCTATATGCCGCCATTTCATGGAACAACACAAAAAGGGGGACTCAGCTGAAGAACTATTCAAACGCAGTGACGCAACCTCGTGGATCGAGTTCTTCTACGAAAGACTAGATGTTGGAAGCCGATGCCCAGCAGTCACGAAAGTTGATGCTTCCAGCACCTCAGACCTCGCAAAATGCCTCAAGACCATTGACGCCTTCCTGCTATCACGCACATTCCTTGTCGGTGAGGCAATCACTGTTGCCGATATTGTATGCGCCGTGACAGTGGAACATCTGGTTGCCATCGGAAAGCTTGATGCCCACTTCTTGGAGAAATCACTAGGTAGCCTCGCTCGTTTGATACGTACCGTCAAGGAACAGGATGCCTTCGTTGCATACACCAAGAAGCTAGGATCACTGGAATCTGGAGCAGCGGAAGAATCCTCATTCGTCGTAGACACATGGAAAAAAACATACAGCAACTGCAAGGGTGACCTAGAAAAGGAAGTGATGCCCTGGCTATGGGAAAATGTCGACTACGACAACTGGAGCTTCTACTTCATGAAGTACAACAAACTAGAAGATGAATGCACTTCGGATATCTTCACATCCAACATGTTGAGTGGATTCCTACAACGGTTCGAGCCTGAGTTCAGACGTATCTCATTCGGTGTTATTAATGTCATGGGATCCAACGGATGCTTTGACATCAAGGGTGTATGGCTCATCAAGGGCAAAGAGCTTCCACCAAGTGTTACCGAACACCCATCGTTCGAGTTCCACACGTTCACCAAACTCGATGCTAAGAACGAAGCAGACCGCAAGGTAATCACCAACTACTTCTGCGCAGAGGATTCCATCGATGGTGTGGCTATTGCCGATGCCAAGGTATGGAAGTAAACTTAAAATTCCTAGTGACTTACTCAATCAATGTTTGCCACGAAACGTAATTATCTTTTGTCGTCAGTCATTGTATTTTTAAAAAAAAAACCAAAGCCTTTATACTGTCGGAGGGCTGACACGGGTCGACGCAGTAATCGCTCACGTGCAGATATGACGTTAGCTTATCTAATCATGCCACGGAACCACACTCTATGAGATTTTAACTATATATTAAACAACTGTAACAATCAATTACGCCAGCTTTTTATTATCAAGTGGCATCTTTATCGCATAGATCGATGACAACAGTAGGATTAGCAGAATCCACGGTAACGTAAGAATTGCTCCTCTCAGCAGCGATACAATCGATGAGTTCAACTTCGGAACCTTGCTCCTGCACTTTGGCGAGGTGTTTGTGCCGTTTATTCCGCTGCCGATTACCAGTCGCTGGAGGCTCGGCGACCTTGTGAAAATTACCGCCACATAGCATTTGATGACTTTCCCCTAAGGCACAATGAAGTTTAACACATCTATTCACTACTCACACCATCTGTCTCTAGGACCAGGCGCCAGGTTTCTTGCGCGGCGTAAATAACCGTAGTGCGGAGCCAACAGCTGACATGGCCCCTGCCAACTATATTAAGTGAGCATGTGTAACTCACCGAACACCGCCATACGTGCTTTCTGTGGTATGCCACCTCTTCATGGAAGTTATGGTGTATAGTCACATTGAGTCCAGTTATTTCGTTCACGCGGTGCATGTGCCAGATGAATTCCTGTCTAGTATGGACAACGCAGTGGCCACACCTACCTTGCCGTGCGCCTTCACATTCTTATACTGCTTAGTCAGAAACAGGTGGGCATGGATCATCTCGTGTAAAAGTGTTTCCTGTGATGAGTGCTCGATGGGATTTCTAAAGCTGATTACCTTACATTCCTTCGCTGAGCGGTACTTCAGTATAGGTTCGCTCAACGTAATTTCACAATAGCGCTGTCCCTATGATAGAATATCTACTATTTGCTTCCATCGCACCTTAAAACGGCATCTGCCGGCGCTTAGAGTCAGTCTTTTGCTCCAAGAAACACACACTGCCTCCAACGTCTGGTCGAAGCATAGCTCGTTGAAGTGGCGAAAAGTCTCGTGCACATCGACGAGTTCAAAGTCATCACCCTCATCTAAAGCCGCAAGGTCGATCACTTGGGCACACATTGCATGTTTATCGAGGCCGCTACTAGTAAGCGGCCGGCGCGAGCGTGCAGCTCACACATAAAAGACAAGTAGGGTCACAGTTTAATGAGCATGATACCGGCAGATTTATACACAGTAGATGTACAACTGCCTGGCTATATCTGTTTATAAGGACGTTACGGAATGACAGTGCGGAAGCGGAAAGGCACGCGATCAGGTCGATCGACCAAGGATGCTGAGACATCCAAGGCGGAAGGCGACTCCCAAACGATGCCAACTGTCACAGATATTACGTGCGGTAGGTAACTGGGTATAAAAGTTGTTAGATATCGCCATTCTCAGAATGTTGCCTTCTACCAATCAAGCTCGACTCTGAGTTAAACGAAGAGCTTGCACGCATTGACACATGTCATCACCAGTTTCATTTCGCTTGTATAAAGGTGCGAAACTGATTTGTTGACAGCTGCCAATTTCAACGCAGAAATGGTCTACACTTGAGACCACGTGCCCACAGTGTAAAGCTGTTTTTAGTCGCATCGAAAAAATCTGCCAAAAAACTGGAACTGTACTTGAAACGGTTAGCTATTGTATACATGCTTGTATAGTGGATTAGGTGGAGTGCAAGTCGTTGTTCCTGTGGGACCATTCAGACGAGGATGGAGACATTGAACACGAGAATCAGCCACAGGAATCGGCAAAGGTCACCAATGCAGCGATCGCAGGGATAGGGGCGAATCTACTCGCACCGGATGAACTGGAATCTACGCGAGTCGCAAAAAGTAGGTCAAACGACTGCATGGGCCATCATAATTTATCCAGAACCCAGGAAGTCAGTCGAACTACCGGTGGTATGTTGGTAGGGCAATCATCTCAATTGCAACCAGGCAGTTGCGCTTACAGAGAGATATGTCAAACGCATGGCTATGAACGACATTTGTTACACGCCACCGAAAGTAACCTATGAAGCAACGCCGATGCCGAAACATGCGCTGCGTCGTGACAGTGAATTCAAGCTGGAGCCAGTGTATCAGGAGGACTTTATAGGAAAATAACAATATGTCAATCAAATGCATTTTACATGTCTACGTTAATCTGATCTCGCGAATGAAGTTCAGTGGAAGCGTTTGTTCGCGGCCATCCACCTCTATCTTTAGGGCAAGGGTGCTATGAGAGCCACGCATGATACCGCGGATCACAGGGGCATCAGGATCGGTGAAGTAAATGGTGACGTTGCTTCCCACATGGCTATTCCAGTCTCTTCGGCATATAAGCACTTTGCCAGCCGATCGAGTGTGTTCACGCGCCACTAATATGAGACTGTGGGACGCAATGGATTGGGTGCCTTCATCTTCGTCAAGATCTTTTAACCGACGCTCTGTGTGGCATGTATCACAAATAGGTCGCCCTTACCCAGCTTCGACAACATCAGCTTGAGTTCCATAGGGGTGATGAAACCTCCTTCATCCCTGGTTTGCTCAATGACCACCTTGACAGCACCAGCAAGCCATGTCACATCGTATACTTCGAAGCATGTATGGAAACGTATGCTCTCTGGGGGCCAACCATAGGCTACGCAGTCCCTGCAACATCGTTAGACATGCCCTTTACCACACACCGTATGCATTCCTCTACTCGTATCCGCCACGGTGCATCTAGAGGATCGTCCCAATTCATGAGATCACGTAATACCGGACTATCCCTGGGTGTGTACGTATAGCTATCCTCCTGATACCGAAACTCAAGGGGGTGTTCTTTCTCTACAGGACAGCCAATCGCCCTCCGGTAGTTCAACACCATGCTGAACCTTTCGTCCTCATCACAAACAGGGTAACGGTTCGCGTAGTATGCCTCTCGCATATCAAGAGGAAGGGCAGCAAACTCATCGTATGTCAGCGGCCACTCTTCGTTGTAGCTACGTTCCACCCAACGGCGCTGCTCGATACGTGCCTCACCTAGTGTAGCAATGTCGTTACGATGCATGGGTTTTCCTATAAGGTGCCTCTCCAGCTGATGTCCGGGGTCGAGGTCTATGAATAGTGATGTTCGAAGTGCCAGACCTTCAGCCCGAAGCTCCTCATAACTCGGCCACGGCGCAATACCCGGGCGAACGAGGTCGTATTCAGCCAAATCCGTCCTCATCACTTCGCGCTCGTGTTGTACGCCCGGAGTGTAAATGTAGTCACGATAGTCATTCCCTATCGCACGGTCGAACGCAGCTATCGGAGATGAATCAAGTGGAGCAACCTTCTCCCCTGTACGACGGAGCTCCGCATTCTTCATGTAGGTGCTCTGAGCCTCAGAAACGGCGGTTCCACTGTCATCTGAAGCTTTGTCTTCCTGGGAATAGGTGGCAAAGAACAAGTTTCGCGGAGCATCGTAGTACGGGTACCTGGAAGTTGTGCTTAACTGCGTTGATAAGGATCACTTACGGTGGATACTTCGAACTAGAGTACTCAATATGTGGTATAGACTCCAGTGGATCTTCTAAGAAGTCAATGTGCCGAGCATACAACTGCGGGAGCGGCTTACAAAGTGCCGGTGGAACCGCGCCAGAGAGGAACGCCGTTCCTCCTCTGGAAGAGACAGAAACCGCATAAAGGACCACATAGCAGATTATTGTGATGTCCAGTAGCAGAATCGCTGCGATATGTCGCATTCCTGAGCCATAAAGGCTCATGTGTGTTGCAAACACAGCTCCGCGATGTGTACCTATATTCGCTGGGGAAATGAAGTTACTACACCGGAAGTCACATATTTAAGACTGTGATATGAACGTCGCAAAGATTCGCCTTATATTGGTCATAGAATCCCAACGATATCAAGGATGGGGACTGCTAAACCTCACTACCGTCTCTGTATCTATGTGAAATATTTTACAATCACTCCGAAGTGCCCAAAAGCAGGTTCTCACTCTTATACTAGTGTCTCTGTCGCGTAGTGAGTTTTATATCGCCAAGAGCTGTTCGAAATCGGCATCGTAGCTGCTGTTCCACTTAGGCGGGACCATTAGCGGCAGCAACCAATCGCCATCCTGAGAGTCGCTAAGGTCGTAAAGACGTGCAGTAAGGCGACAAATATCTTTTCGCAGCTCTTGGTAGCTGGAGTAGCTTTCTGATGTTTTTTGTAGAGTGTAGCAGACAGCCCTGTGACTCTTGTGCCGCTGTACCTGGGTCAGCCGCAGCCATTTGGCGGGAGAGTCGTCGCGGAACGTTGCTGCGTAAATTACGCGTGCGATTGTTGCGATATGGTCTCTAAACTTGACGAAGTCACCTGGCTCAACGAATATGACTGCCTTCACGCGGTCGTCGTCGGCTTTACCTAGAGCAGTAGAAAACGTGTCAAACATTCTAACCACTGATGGTGAAATGCTAGGTTGTTGATCCCACTCTAAAGTGTCCACACTGCCTGTGAGCCTGAAGTAATGTCAGTAAAGTGGCAACAATCGGCAGTGATATTACCTGCAGGTGACGTAGTCGAGTGTACTTTTGGCAAGCACCAGTGTAACCGATCCTGCGAATAACCGAGGCGCATTGGCATTGGACGGCAGTATAACCTCTGCGCTACACGAACCATCAGCGTTGAAATAGTCAATGCTGGTGGCACGCAGAAACTCGACGTTATCCCCGAGCTCCGCAGCGCGTTCCCTAACGGTAGTGCGCTTTCTTAGCTTAATCGCTTCAAAAATACTGTCACCACTGAACTCGATACCCGTATAGAATTTGAATTTGCCAAACGAACGCTTGAGATCCCAAATTAACGGGTGTTTACCATGGCCAACCTCTAACAAAACGTCGTTTGAATCGATGAGTGGTAGGGACCGTATTTTCCTCAGGCACGTTCGTAACATCTTTACAGTGACTCTGGTGTCGAACCCCGAGAAAGGTGCGTCAGAATCACGTCCGTCGGTGTAGAATGCATCCCAAGCTCTGGCTTCACTTTCCACGCTGAAGGCTTGAAAGTCATGAGATTCAACCTCAGCACGTGGTGACAAGTCCACTGGCGTGCGAATCTTACGCTTTCGAAGTGCATATGCACCAACCTGTGCGGTTTTTGAGGATAAGGCAACGAGAGATACAGTTCCGCGACGGTCATGGAAAGTAAACACACCTCATAGGACGATGAAGAATCTTCACTAGGAACACTCCCCTTTGGTTGAGCTGATCCATCTGAGTGGATCAGATCACGGTAGCGTTTAGTACTGGGAATCCCAGTATGGTTGGATGCTTCCTCGCGCTTTACTGGGTCCACGCATTTTCTTGGCCCAGTCTTCGTGAGGAGTGTCATTTTATTACAAAATAAATGCGGAATAATTGCGATAGTCAATTTTATTAATCTATGTTGTGGTTTATGGCGTGTTTTGAGCCCACCGTGCCTGATGGGTCCGACGAGTAGAGTCGAAACGACAACACATCAGTTAAAAGGTGAAGCATATGGCATGTATGCTACAATTTTCAATCGCAAATGTAGTACTCAGTGCTGGAAAGTGCTCACGCCGCCGGTTTGATGAACGACTCAGTATCCAGAGTAGGCAACGCATCCAGCGTCTCCAAATGATTTATCAATTCTTGTTCCAATTTAGCATCATCATCATCTGTAAAACAATGTCACGACCGGTACCATAGGTGCGCTACTTACCTTCGGCATTGCCGCCATCGTTCTCCACTATACGCGTAGCATCGCCAAACATCTGACCAGTTTCATTTATACCCTCTTTATAATATGCATCGTCTGCGGTCTCAGGTGGTGGCTGCAGGTGGGTGTTATAGAAGAATGCTGTACACCTACCGTAATTTCACCATCTCCAGGTGGCAGCTTGCCAGCCTCCTGCAACGCCTCTCGTTCCTCAGCAATCTCCGATTCAGGCACAGGTTCTACGGTCAAATATAACTACACCGTAATACGACTTACGCTTAAGTAACTCTTCTTCCTCAGCGAGGTTGTCGACGTCATCATGCTCGCTCGTCTCAACAATCACCAGGGCGTTGTCTTCGTTGGTAGGAAGCGTCGGCATTGTGCCAGGTGCAGCCGGTATGGGTACTGGAAAGATTACATGTTCGTATATGGGAGCCATGGTTGATTGTGCGTCGCCGGTCTTGGGATGCGAATGTGTAAGCGCCACAACGGACGCAATAACCCGGGCGCATAGCGCCCAGACAACGAAGGAGAAATACACACCCATACAATAAGGTGTGTAGATAATGAAATGTTGTGTGTGACCTAAAAAAGAAATAACGTCACCGACACCACCACGTCACACGCCCAATTAGACACATGTTCAATGGATTGGTATCACCTACGCCGAACGTTCACACATTACTACGTGTATGTGTAACGGCGAACTTCAAAAAAATAAATCACAAACGCTCGTACATAAGCCACCTACGGGGATCGAACCCGTGACCTTCGGTTTACAAGACCGATGCACTACCACTGTGCTAAAGTGGCGACGGCGAAGCTCCATATTCAACGGTTACAATGCTATTCGTGAGATCCAATTGGGATCGCGTTCCCAGAAAAAATTATGGCGCGCCCTACGTAGCGGGTATTTATCAATTTCTAAATAACATAATATACACTTACTTTAGTGGTAAAGTCGGCCTAGACTGTGTACTCTTTGTCCTGCTGCTAGCGACAGATACCGTTTCAGATATTCTACCCTGGGATTCCATAATTTGTGATAGTCATCGCGTCATACTTTTTGCCTTAAGGCGGATACTTATATCTGGACAGGATATGGTGTACTACTTCACATTGTGTGAAATACTGCTGGATAGTAGCAGCTATTTCCTTGCTCTGACGCAATCATGAGCGTCTACACCCTAGCCAACATATGCGGAGCACCGTATACTGGTGGACGCATCAGATTCAGCCCAGATGGTAAGTTTATGCTGACACTTTAATCGCCATTGCTTATACCGGCCCTGACTGGTTGGCTCCAGTGCCGTAAAAGGCAGAGCCAGGGCCATATTCTCATTCTAGTTGATGGTTGTGAGTGCTACTGTCAAGGAAGAACTGTTTTACCACTGGATAATTCTGGGTGTAAAAATGACTTCTTGACACGTCGCCATCCATATTTTCATACTTGTGTTATAGCTGAAAACACGTTTCATGCCATTTCATGATCTCGTTGATCTTTTTAAAAGTGTATAGTGATATCTTTGATGCCATAACGTGATACCTGGTTATTAAATTCTCCTCTAACATTTATTCAGGAGGTTGCTTACTGGCACCCGTTGGCAACAGGGTCACAGTATATGATGTGCAAACGAGCAAGAGCACGACACTATCATCGCAAACGCGATCCGATATCGCCATAGTGTCTTATCATCCAACTCTGCCTCTAGCGATTCTCATAGATGTACATGGTGGGTTCTAACATATGTAACACTGAAAGCACTCCAGGATATGGATACATACTCAACCTATTGCGAGATTGTATCCTGCATCGGATGCAATTTAAGTCGTCAAGCACTGTCGCAAACGAGAAACGACAAGCGGCACTGATGTCAGCAAACGAGTCACAACGCTTAGTTCGAGATGCAGCCTTTAGTCCAGATGCACAATTTTTTGCGGTGGCTATTGGAAATAAGCTCTCTATATGGCGATCGCCAGAGGAACGACTCTCGTGGCGAATGACGCTACATCGAGAAATGACAGGCCACATGGATGCCATATCCAGCCTAGATTGGTCCGCAGACTCACGCTTTTTATGTACTGCATCTGCTGACCTGACAGTGAGACTATGGTCAGTGGACCCAATCGAGGGATTCGTTCCCTGCGCATTCGTAGACCACCGGCGGCCGGTTAAAACCGCATTCTTTTCCAGTGACATGACACGAATTTGTGCCATCTCGAAGGAAGGTGTTATCATCGTCTGGAAAATTGCAGATAAAGCAACAACGCTGAGTGAAGCTCAGGGAACTGCCGCAAAACATCTAGGCCGCAACAAAAAACGGCAGCAAAAGGTGCTGGCGGAATCTGACCCTGCCGAAAGTAGTGATACCACTGACATATCAAATGCTGTGTGGATCAAGGAAACACAAGCGTACTGCAACCAGGCAAATAACACAGTGGTAAGTGCTAAGATGGATAATAGGTATAGTTCGTAGGTATCCAGGGTTTCGTTCAACAAACATACGGATCTTGTCGTAATAGGGTTCACTGGAGGACTATTCGGACTTTACAAATTCCCTAGCTTCGACTCGATATACACGCTGCGCATCGGAAATGAACTCCCCGTTGTTGACTCTGTGGACATCTCTACAGACGGGGACTGGCTAGGACTAGCATGTTCAGAAACTGGGACGGTACGTTCTTTCTACATATATTGACAACTGTGCAGCTGGTCGTTTGGGAGTGGAAAAGTGAGACTTTCGTAATGAAGCAACAGGGTCATCATAGTGGCGTTCGATGCGTAGCCTTTTCCACTGGTGGTGGAGATACAATCAGCTTGGGAGGGCTTGTTGACAAGGAAATGAAGACTGACGTTGACCAGAATTATGCTGCTAACAAGTTGGGACTAGGTAGCCGTTACTTAGTCGCTACTGGAGGTTTTGACGGCAAAGTGAAGCTGTGGGACAGCAATAGCGGTCTCTGCATCGTGACCTTTGACGAACACGTAGCGTCAGTTGAGGCTATATGTTTCACTCCACAGGTATGTCATATGCAAGATAAGATTAATCTTTAATTGTAGGCAAACGCTATCATAACGGCATCACTGGACGGCACTGTTCGGGCATTTGATCTGTTGCGTTATCGTAATTTTCGAACGCTCACTGCATCACGGGTCCAGTTCGTATCCGTGGCATGCGACGCTTCAGGGACCATTATATGCGCAGGATCTAGAGGAGAATCCAACTCCGTGTTCATATGGAGCCTACAGACTGGTAAACTTCTTGATGAGTTGCACGGCCACTCGGCCGCCGTATCTGGTGTAGCTTTTCATCCCAGTCTCGCGTACTCTGGGTTTCTGGTTTCTGCATCATGGGACAAGTTCATAAACGTCTGGAACATCTACGGGCGTGCTGATAAGGGAGGCGCAACTGAGCCACTGCTTAACTCATCAAGCGTTGTCGCGATTGCTTTTGACCCGCGGGATAACAATATATTAGCTGCAGCAATTATGTGTGGTCAAATTGTGTTCTGGGATCTTGACAACAGTGAGGTTGGTCCATCTAAAGCAGTTTCATAATTTCGTAGCAAATTGGAAGTATCGACGGGCTCCGTGACCTGCAGTCTGGTCGTGATCCCAGCGAATTCTATGCTGCCAACAATTCAGGGGGTAAACGCAGTCCGAATGAAGATATGCAGACTGGAGTCAACCGTAATCAACACTTCAACTCGATCTCGTATGTTTCGAGTGGTCGAATGCTAGTGGCAGGGTCACGCAACTCTGCGAACGTCTGTGTTTATAACACGGAAACATACAGTCTGCTCTATTCGCTATCTCTGACGAATAACCGTTCTTTGACAGGGATAATGCGTGAACTCAACTCTCGCTACATGACCGAATATGGTCATTCTTTGCAAGAGATGGACCTATCGGATGAGGAAGAAGCTTATGAAGGTGCTGCTGAGCGTAGGCGTATACAGGCACACCAGGCATTGCCTGGTGTACAGCAGGGTGAGCTTTCGCGTAGATCACGGAGGTTTCATGTTTGGTGTGTGTCGTGTGCCCCTGACGGGCGGCAGTTTGCGGCGGCGACATCGCACGGGCTCTACGTGTATTCTATGGATGCTTTCATCAAGACGCCTAATTACGTTAATGAAGTGTTGAAGTCTGTAGGGTCTTTCCAGCCGCAATTGTTAACGAAAAATGTGACTACAGGAAACGTGTTGTCAGCTCTAGAGTCAGGCGAATACAGCCGTGCATTCATTTTGGCACTTGCACTCAACGACTTCAACACGCTTCTACGGTGTTACGAAAGCGTGCCAATAGGATCTATTAACCAAGTTGTAGCATCAATTGCGCCTGACTTCGTTTGTGTGCTGCTAAATTTCATCCGTGCTGCGCTGAGCCCGGACTCCCCTAACGGCACTGTACACCTGCAGTGGCACCTGCTTTGGTTGGAGGAGATTTTCGCCATACACATGAACACACTTAGTGGAATGGGAGAGGGAGGAGTACAACGTGCTATCTCGCCAGTTGGACAGATTGAGCCACGCACAATGCTACTGATGTTGCTTCGGCAGCTGCGCCAAACAAAGGCGAATGTGTCGGGGTTGGTAAGCTCTAACGCACAAACTATGACGTACTTAGCGTCACTTGTAAAGGAAGATCCCGAATAAACTTAAATCGCTAATTTTTTAGTGGCATAGTGTCGGGTTAGGTAGCGTATACTAGCCACAAATTTTGGCTAGTAATTTTAACTAGCCGTTAGATCCGCGCTTAAATGAACTTGGCTAGTCGTTTGAATCACTGTGAACAACACCACTAAGTGCCCGATTAACGGTTCACGAGACAGTTATACTGTCAGTTGATATTTCTGCCGTCCATAAGTATAGGCAACGGTCGGTTCAATTTTTTCAACGCGACAAATCTAGACATTCAAATCGAGTGTTTACGGGATCTAAAATTGATACCTTTTGGAACATCCGAAGCCGTACGTTGCCACAGAGTTATGAGGCTATAACTTTGGATGCTGCGCGAGAAATTTTTCGGATCAATTTAAAAAAATATAGGCACGTAAAGTCGTGCGCTATATTTAATAAACGTGTGATAACGGCGGACGCACCGCCGATCGTACCACTGGTACTTGCATCTACAGATGCGGACAGTGCCGGCACGGACAGCACCGCGGAAAAATTCGAAGGTGTACTCCGTGCGACACGAGCATTAGTCTCACAATATTTGTTGGTCAACCAGCATAGGTGCAATTCGAGAGGGGTGCATAATCGCGCGAGACTCTACGGGTGCTGTTGCGTCGTTGTGCAGGGATTTTTCTCCGTCAATTGGTGGCTCAGGGCGCTGTGGTTGGGAATTCCAGCTGCGCAGCGTAATTCCTCTTACCCTTGTATTGGCGGTATTTTCCCGGGTGCGTTAGCAGGATACACCTCATTGTTGTGAGGTCGGAGAATCACGCTCTGTCGTCTGCTAAATTGGGACGTTGGGAACGAGGTACATCTCGATCCAACTGACGCGCCGTTGTGTAAGCAGGAGCACGGAATACGTGCACTGTAAGTGTGTGTAGTCGAGACTCGCTCGAAGCAGGCTCGACGCGGGAATTTTATGCCGCTCATATATCTAACATTGTCTCCATATTCGAATGTAGTGTAAGCTTTGGAAGCAAGAACAAAATGAAGACTCGTACGGAGGACTACGGCGGATCTTTGTTTGAGAGCCAATTGCTCCATTCACAACTAATGTCACGTTCGGCGCAGCACGGATGCGACGGGAAATATTCCCACCTTATGTCTAGCATATCAACCGTTGTCGACGAAGATGATCAAAATCTTTTAAACGCTGTATTGGAAAATTTTTCAGTATCAGGGAAAGAAGTAACAAGCTATGCCGATTACTTCGCCGATGATAACGAGAACGACCACGCAAGAAAGTCTACCTTGGATTCACCGGGATTCACCGGTCCATTGTCAGAAGTTTGCAATTACGATGCATACTCTACAGCATCGGATATGTCCTCAGTGAAGCCGGGCTTCAAATGGAGCACCTCATCACCCACCAACTGTTTCGGCTCCGAAAAGGCGCAATTATACGAAAGATTGTTCGACTCGTACATCAAATTGTTCAACTCAGAGAGTTCACAGGCTATTACAACAAACCAACAGGAAAACAACAGCCGAAATGAGTCAATAGTCACTGGCTCCCCAACGTGGGACTCAGTGGATGCCCTAAGTGTTTTTGACAATTTGTGCATTTCCGAGCGCTCGAACGCAGGATCCAAAAATGGAGATTCGCGAAAAGCGCCGAATACACCAAACGTAGTTGACAAGAGCAAAAGTCTCTGGAAACGTAAACGTAGCAAATTTAAGACCCTTGAAAAAAGGGCAATCCCGCAACTTACGGGACGTGATTTCCAGGAAGCAGTGGAATTTTTGAAACGCATTCTGGACTCACTCTATCAAGATCAAATTCCCCCGACGTTTTTCAATGTACGCAGTAGATTTGTGGAGTTCGACACGAAAAATATACCTGTTGAACACATAATGAACATCTGCCAAAGACGTCAGGACATATTCAAAGTAGAAACGAATGAAGAACTTAATCAAACCTACATCTACTTTGTGAAACCACCAAGATATTTCAAGAACTGGATCGACCGCAACAACTTGACGGATATTTATCCCGAGTCAATGTGGGACCAGTTTTTGGACTTTTTGGTGGAACTGGTAAACAACCCAGACCAAACAGTTCCAGTCTTTCCTGGAAGCATCTACGGCACTGCCAAGGTATTCCAGAAACTGGAATTACCATTTTTCGAAGGAATGACGCTAGGCACGCTCTGTCATATTGTACAGCTTGCCGTACGCGTCCGCAAGTATCTCATGTACGAACTGAAGACGTTGAAACCGAATCTATTGTCCATACTACAAGCGTGCATCAAACGCACTAAATGAAGTAACACTCTAATTTTGTAGTACGCATCACTTAGCCGTTTTAAGGTGTTGTATGTAGCGGGGTGTGTACCCCGCATAGTCGGTTTGTAGAGATTAGTGGAAACACATGAGTCTCATTAACATTGGATATGGAACAGCTAATAGCTGATGTACCTCGTATTGAGGCTAAAAAGAATGAGATTAACGCATTGTACCGCGAGGGACGGTTCAGCGATGCTGCACAGGCGTACATGCGCCTTGTGGCTGAAATGCTGCGAAATGAACAGCTTGTAGATGATGTAAAAAATCTTGCAGCAACAGCTAAGAGCGCATCGATCGGTGACGATACCGTGAAGCAGCTATTGGCCACCCTGCTCAGCAATGCTGCACTATGTCGATTCCAGGAGCGTATAATAGATGAAGCAACGGAATTATGGGAAGCGTCCCTTGCTATAGATAAGTACAACTACAAGGCAGCTTATCACTTGGTGCAATGCTGCATAGAACGCAAGGACTTCCGAGATGCCCTGAAAGGGGTAGCTCGCTGCCAGAACATTGCAGAGGCAACAGGAATGAATAAAAAATTGAAGGTACTGCCACATGCCCACTTGATGGAACGTATTGGTAGAGCCATTGACCGTGATTATGGTGAACGTACCGGATTGACTGGATGTGATGCTATTATCACAGCTGTGGAAGAAGGGGATGCAATTGAAGAGAATTTGGAAAAACTCAACAACCAAACCAGGACTGAAATCGTTAGACAGAGAGTCATTCCGAGATTGGTAAAGATTATTTGCAAGAATCTAGACGCAACCAAAGATCCGAAGTTCCACACCTATATCTTGTTTACAATACATAGATTGATGCAGAACCTAGAACAAAAAATAGAAGTACAACTTGTGTCTCAGCTTGATGAAGCTATTGCCGCGGAATCTTTCGATCTGTTGCGTTATGCAAAGGAGTTGATGGCGGCTATTGAAAAGAATCCAACTTTGGTGGAGGATTTGCAGTCCGTGGCGTTCCATCTTGCCAGACTCTGTTACGTAATAGGTACTTCTTCGGCTTTGGAAACTATATGTACCATATTCGAACGCAGTAGTGATTCTCAGGAATTACGTGTACTTTCATGTGTATGGCAATTCTTCTTGCGCCCACGTGTGTCGGAGAAACTGCCACCCGACGGTCGCTTCATAACAGTGCTGACACGTCTCCTGGAAACCATTCTATCTCACTATGACTTGGAATATGACAAAGAGAAGTTAGATCTTATCGAACGTTGTCTAGTTCCTATATTCATAATGCGACATGTCCGATATGAAATCAGTGAAGAGACCATATGCAATATCTTTAAGCAACTCCTGGAAGGTTACGTCAAAGGCGGATGGCTAAGGCAAAAGAAATTGCAACCTCAGTGGTATGTCATTATGAAGTCTCTGCACCTTGCTGACAAGGAATTCTTCAAGGGCTACATGATACAGAACAACGCTTTGACACTTATACTAGACAACTATGTGAACTTCCAATCGTTGGGCCCCAATCTGACTAAACGTCGGGTACTGATGAGTGAGACTATAATATGTTGTATGGATTTCCTGGAGCTGCGTCAGCAAATTAACTCAGCTCGGCTAGGAGATGTGTCGCTTGTAGACCACTTGCGTGGTGATGTCGAAATTGCTCAATTCTTAACGCAAATCACTGATCGTGATGATGAAATCGAAAAGTATTGCCGCGGAAACAACTTCTCTTTCACTAAGGAGCCGAAAACAGATCCTGAACTACTGCTTCAAGAGTACAAACTATTGATACTGACAAAGTTGATGGTGCACTCGCCCACACAAGCTTGGGAAATATTAGAAGTCTTTGAGCTCACAAGTCTGGTGCCTATGGCACTTGTAGCTGCACTGATTGATGGGCGTCGTGTAGACGTTTTGATCGACGCTTTGTCCTACCTTACACTACATATGCAGGCCAAACAAAAGGAGGTAGTTCAACTCATGTACCCAGTGATTCGTTGGGCTGACACGAGCGAACTGTGCAAGGGTAAGACCCTGTATATGGTATGTCAGGCTCTAGCGAATCTAACCAGGTCACGTGAACACCGCCACAGGTTTAATCGCAATGATAAAACAGAATCCAAACTCGATGATGAACAGTTGGAGGCCATGCGCGCTGTTTTCGAAAAGTTGCCGGCAGAAAGTCGACCTATGTCTAACGGAGAGTATGATGAAGGTGAGGAAAAGCTTGCGGAAAGTGTACGCAAACATTTACTCGCCTTGCACGAAGACATACCACATATGCTGCTACGCATTCTAAGGCGTATAATGAAGGATACCGGAGAATCGACAAGTACCGCTTCTCAGACGCTCATGCTCGAGACTTTACACTACCTGACGGTTCCGAGTGTAAACAGATCTAAGTTGTATGCTGCTGGTGTCTTACGTGCATTCCTCAACGCTTCGAGCGCCCGTACCGACAAGGAATCCCGTCAAGTGAAGTACTTCGCGCAATCCATTGCTCATTTGTGCCTATCAGCTGACCCTAAGACTCTGTCGTACTCCGATGCGCAGGATGCCTCGGGACCCTTGGTGAAACTACTAGGCGACGAGAACGAGCTGCTGCAGTACGAAGCGGCCTTGGGACTGACTAACCTGCTCTCCGTTGATGCCAGCGTGCGCAAACGTGTATGGTCTTTGGGTGGTTGGGATGCGTTGGGAAATCTTGTGTCCTCAGAGAATGCCCAGTTGAAGGCAGCATGTTTAGAGGGATGGTGCAACTTCGCAGCTAGCGAAGGACCTGTACACGATCATTTCGTCAACAAACTATCAGAACAGTTCGACGCACTACAACCGCGTTTCGAAGAGGTGGACGACGAAGATGAAGATGAGGAGGATGAATCAAGATTGAAGATTGAGGATGCAGAGGGCAAGGATAAGGTAGTGATAGAAGAAGAGGCCAAGGAGCCTTTGCTCGAGGTTCACGACATTAACGTCATGCTACTATTCGCAGCGGATGCGTCCGATCTCAGATGTGTCAAAGCAAGCACCGGGTATGTTTAGAACGTATAGTTTTCATATTGTCATAGAGCACTCGCTTACCTGGCACATGACCTACGTATTGCCAAGTACCTACCGTTGTGCAGCAAGTTCCCGTCCCTTATTAAGGCAGCGGATACGATAGAGGATCCAGAAGCCTTGAAACGGGTGTTTACTGTATTTTCATGCGTGATGCAAGGCAACCTCGACGAAGGGTCAAATGTCATTCGGCAACGTGTCACAGATATCAAGCGCAACATACGCGAATGTACGAAACGAAATTTACCAAAAATTAAGATATGTGAACTGACGGATCTCGCCAACGACATTGAGAAATATTCAAACATTGCAGACGATTTGGTCGCGTAATGTGTAATACTTCGGTCTACGGTGGTGTAGTACCGATACACCGACTACCGTGTAAATTGTCGCCAGTACGACAGAAGTATCGAACCAGTATTGTAATCCCATCCACACTATAACATCTTTGTCAAATAGCATTTCAAGGGCGCTTGCACGCCACGTATGCGGTAGAAATGGTACCATGAGACAGAACTGTGACGGTACAGTGATAATGAGAAACGCACTTAGCGCGAGACCAAGCGAGTTGCTCGTTAGAAGCCTCCGTTTATGGAAATACTGAGTGTTCAGCAGTATTCTGCAGAAGTCGAAAAAGTGGTCGAGATTTCCAACCGTGATGACAACTAGTAACAGGATGCTGATCCGCGATGCAGTCAGGTCAAGGAAAGACGGCGGATCAGTAACATTGAGCAGGTTGTTGATAAACTCGCGCACAACATTGTCATGAATGTATAGGTGGTATACCGTGGCTAGTGTCTTGGTGTATCCCTCGTGGCTGCACCGCTCCGCGTAGGGCACCATCCTTACTTTTACGAAACGATAAGTAACCACAACTAATGTGCGCACTGCCCAAAATACCTCAAAGTAACGCAATAGCATACGCAACTTCCCCGTCCTGGTCTTCCACAACTCACGTTGTTTCTTGATGTCCATTAGGTATGCACGCTCCTGTCGGATGTAATCCAGTAACTGTTGCGCTTCTGCGAGCGAGTCCGTATCCTGTGAGCCACCGAATAGCGTGGGACGCCTGTCTAAGTTTTCTACATTCCCCAAAAAATCTCGTATACGCCTCGCTACCGCAGAGTATATACGCAATACCGGTCTCTGAATGTTATCGCGCATAGTAGCCTTAACTTCAGTGACAGTACGGTCGATACAGTGGTCTGCCGACCATTTATGTCTTTGTGTAGTCGGGGTGGAACTCGTGGCTCCGTGCTTCAGACGATCCAGATACCCACTGGTACGGAAGAAGTCGGTGGAAGATGCAACCATCTCTTCGCCCAGATCATCGCTGTCGCTACAATCGGAACTGGAATCACAGGTATGCAATTGTTCCTGAGACATCTCTGCCTTCAATTGCCGTATAGCCATGGTGGCATCGGCAATGCGATGATCCAGTTGTGTCGTGGTAAGTATATCCTTGCGAGCCATGTAGACCCTATAAGGGACATATATACTCGTGAATCCTGTAATCATTGCAATGAAAGAAAGACCGAAACCGCACATCTTTAAAGCATGTGGGATCACAAGCGGCAGGGTATCGCCGACGTCATCGAAAAACATGTCACGTAGCAGCGCACGTCCAACGAACCAAGCTACGCAGTTCCACGCCAGCAAGAACGCCACAACACGTAAAATACGCTGAAGTGGACGCAAGTTTGACGTGATGTTAATGTATTTGTGGCACAGACCAGCTGGTGCTATAATGAAGATTATCATGTTGCACAGGATCACATTGATGTCCCAAAGTCGTTCGAAGAAGTAAACATCGGACTCGTCTGTAAGGTATCCCTTGGAACATATGATTAGCACGAATCCGAAGCCTGCGAGGCAACTCAACCCGAAGGTGAATGCTCCCAGACTTCGACGTGTAAGTCGTATATTAGAGACACACGTGACAGTTTCATCCCTAGATGTCTCTATTGGCTTAGAAAGGGCTGCGCGCACCTCTCTAACTTGGCGAAATCGCAAGAAAATCTCAACACCAATCAGGCTTGCGACGAACAACAGTATGTGCACGGCGGTCACGAGTACCTTTGCCACGCTCCAGTCCGGCATTGCAGAAATCCATCCTTCTAACTCATCTCCGTATGATGTGCGACGCCTCCCATTAGGAATGTTCGAGTTTTTTGGAAATAGAGCCTCTTCCTGGACCTGAAGAAACGCGAGCTTAATGTGCGTTTATATCTTGCAAGTCAACGCCACCAAAACCCCCTCCCAGTTTTATTATAGATTTATATTGCGTTCTGAAATATGGCACATAAGAAGAATTCGTTCTATCGTGGCGTACGTGGACAGTTCTCACTGGTAGACGGCCGGTTACACGTGGTGCAATCACGCGACACAGTAATATATTCACAGCACCAAATATATAGTTTAACAGTTTTAGACGTGTAGGCGTCAGAGGTGCCGCGTATCGCTCGTGGCGATGCCTACCATAGTGTCAAGCCTCTGGAAGTCAGCGCGTACCGGTCCGAAACGGGGCCTATGGGCGTAGCTGATGCAGGTAAACGATACAAACCAACATCATGGTGTTCTATGAATCATATCTGCTCTTTTCCAAGCACATAACTAAGGAGGAAATCGCCGCGCTTGTGGCTCACATCGCCAAATTAGCAGCCAATCACCACGGACTGCTGCTTCGCACACAAGACCTAGGGCTACGCTATACATCGCATAGGTAAACTAGTTCTAAACGAGAGGTATATCCTTGCAGGGTACAGAAGCCGCGCCTGGGACTTTTTTGGTACGGCAAGTATTATTACGTCGCTCTCGCTGCGCATCCCAGGGTAGTACCCGGACTACACAAGCTCTACAACTCAAACGAACACGTATTGCGACACATGACTCAACGCATGCTGTATCGCACGAACCTAATCACAAGCCCCTACAGCCACCTGTATCAAGATCCGTGAGACAGAGCTGCGTTGCACCGCCTGGAGTGGTAGCTTTGATGCATTAGCTCTGAATCTGTAGATTGACATGAACACTGTTAATGTTTATGAATCGTGTTTGACGCGTCAAAAAGATGACAATATAAAGCGGGCTCAGAATGACGTGACATTAAACAGGTTAGTAGGCGCTAGAAGAGCCCTTGCTCTTCTTGTCACCACCAAGTTCGAATGTCTTGCACCTCTTAAGCGTAGCGAAGTGCTTCTTCTTGCAAACAGTGCATTCCTAAGAGAGAGGTGAAGAGCAAATTCGAAAGAACTTACCAGCTTAAGGACAATTTTCTTAGTGGTCTTGGCCTTCTTGCGGAAAATAGGCTTTGTTTGACCACCAAAACCAGCTTGCTTCATGTCGTAACGGCGACGACCTTGCACGTGCATACTGTCCTTACCCTTCTTGTACTGGGTGACCTTGTGCAACTGATGCTTTTTGCACTTGCCAGCGCAAAGAGTCCTGCGTGACTTGGGAACGTTCACCATTCTGATGCCTGAAATACGTTAGTGAATGTGACAATCGGCGAATAAGAAGGGGAAGTGGATATGTGTCAGCGGGTGTCCAGGGTAAGGCCGTAAATGGGCCAGGTCACGACCCAGAAGCTACGTCAACGGGGCGACATAAAAGGTGTAAAAAGGGCCACATAAAGGCGATCGAATTTCAACCACTGGCGCAGTCCTTAGTCGCTAACCCATACGACAGAGGACCTCCGCAACACCATATTCCTCCAAATTCGGATTCCGGCTAAAACACACCTGTAATATACCTTAGACGATAATAAAAGGATGCTGAATAAATTGGGAAATGAAACCTTTGTGCCAGGGGCCTCTCTATGTACACCCTAGAGGCGCTCGAGCTGGTCTCCCCATCGCCGGGGTCTCCGACAGGGCACCTCCTCTAGCTGGTTACCACAGCGCTATTGCTCTAAATGACGCAAGAAGTGAAATATTCTTGTGGTTTTATTACTGTTCTGTGTCAATTAGGGCTTTAATATGTTCTATTCTTTCGAGCTGAACTCGACAGACACCCTACCGCCGAAACTTTACAGGCGTAGGGAAATACGATGAACCTCAGTAATTAAATTCTATTTAGTCGATTTACTGGGTTACCGGTAGATGAGGTGTTCCATCGTAGACGTAGTCTGCCTTGCGGCAGACGCTAGCATCTGCCGTTAATCTTGACGCTATTGTTTAATTAGTAAAACTTAGAGTTCATGAAGTTGAATGCGACAATGAAAGTTGGAGTGGTGAGATTTTTCTCCATGCTAGACGCCTTTTCACTGCTGCTGCGGCCTTTGGGTGTCTACCTGAGCGGGGGACGGAGAAAAGATTTTCCTCGCAGACACTGGTCGTCTCCTCTATCCACACACTTTAATGCACATAACAATGGTTGGCAAACAGAACACAATAGTCTCATCTGATGCTCGTGAGAGTCCTTTGGACTTGAGGGCCGATAATGTCCTCCATTCTGGAGGTTGGTTTGTAGTTGCGACACCGCAACAACTTGTTTCCTTCAAATGATTCATTACCCTGCATACTGCTTTGAGACAGTATTCCACATACTTTCAGGCCAATCCTTCCAAGTGGCAGATGGAATTTCTTTTCTTGAGGAATGCATAGTTAACTATGGCAGACTACCGCTCCCAGAAATGTCTATCCACAAAATTCAAGCAGTAGGGGCCAATGTAGAAGCCCACGCCTCAAGCGCAGATGTTGAAACAGTAAATGGCTTCATGGAAAAGGCACTTTGTTTTTTTGTAGAAGGTTCCATTGATATGGGGTCTAACACCAAACAATGCTTCGAGGTTGCCCTGGTGAGATGCGTCTTCAGAAGGATCATATTTTCGGGTACGTCTCTAATGTCGGGTCTCTAACGCTTACCGTAGTATTATTCACTCTGCTGAACTCCATGACTAGAGGTGATAGGAAGGCTATCGAAACCGACTTGTTCATGAAACAGTAAGGTCGCCGAAAAATCCTCGGTCTTCACTGTTTTTCAGCGCTTCCATGATGGAAGCTTCTACGCATAGATTGTTCGAGAACATAGACTTCGAGGAAAAGATATCTTTAGTGGAACTGCTATGGCGTGGAATACGCAGGGCCGGTAACGCAAAGGCCACTAGAGCCATGAGCACCAAACCTAGAGTGCCATTCAGAGGTATCAAACTTCTCAACCCCAAGGGATTTGAGGTAAGCGGGTCATATAGAAGCTATTAACGACTCTCGAAGAAGGAAGCTATTCGATGGCTAGAAAACTCAGGTTGCCTAACCGAGTCTCATGGGCTCTATAAAGTGAAAGGTAGGATATGTATGTCATAGTGTCTATTGCCTTAAGGTATTGCCTACGATTGTGTAACATATTCTCAGGTAATCTTACACTCCATTTGTCAAGGAAACAGATTTTCGAATACCAGTTCACCGAGATCATTTTGACCGCGGCAATCCTCAGAGCACATCTCCGTACCGATGATGAGTTTTGCCTCAAGGTGGAAGTACCCTTTGCCCATATGACTGCCATTTTGGTTGAAGAGAAGTGCTTAGAGGTTTCCTTTAAGCTAGTTTCGCCTCATTTCAATGCTGCAGTGTTGTGGTAAGCTTGTCTATAGCGAGATTCCTAGACTTATTTCATCCTAGGAGCTTGCCTATTCAGGAGAGGCTGACAAATCTCATTGATGCCGATGACTTAGTGGTCATGAAATTATGTTTTCCGGACAACATACCACTTCATCTCGCCGATGTTACAAGGTGAGACCCTGTTGATTTTTATAAAAAAATATACCAGGCCCATCGGTGAGGTGATAAATGCCCCACTTACGCATGACCCGGCCTTTGCGGTAAAGGCTTTATCCCAGAGGGACGAACCATCTCTGTATGAACTAGATTCGGAGAGCGAAGACCAATCTAGCCTCCGGGAGAAGATGGCAGTTCTTCCTGGATCTCTCACGTATGCATCTTCTGGTCGCAGGAAAGTAGAATCACGGATACGTTACAATGATTCGGCAATAACTGACAACTACAAGCTGATAGACAAGGTTGCTAAGCGTATGGAATGTTGGTTTACGATACCATTGTAAACATATAACCTGATCTTTGCAGTTCATTCGTCGCCGTCAAGCCTGGGATACAACCCGGCTTCAGTTTCCCTCTCAACAGAGGTATGTCTACTTCTATTGTTGTCATTCCAAGAATTGTATAACATCAAACGATCTTTGTGCAGTTGTCTAATAGTGTTTCTTCATGTGAGAAGCCATATACGGACACTTTGTTGGAGCCCTCACACCGAGCAATGCATCTTCACGGACACAGCACGGCAGAGCCATTGATGGTTCGTTTTACGAGTCATCTAACAGCATTATTCAGACGAGTCTTGAACACTATCGTGAGGCGAAAGCCAAAGAAATGTTGTCTATTTTCAAACGAATATTTCGGGAGGAGTCTGACCAAGCAAAAGCCGAGATCTCTAAGCTCTGTGCGGTTGGTGACCATTTATCACACATTACCCCTTTCTAGGCACAAGAAGCGCAAAGGCGCGAAGTGCAAGAAGCATATAAAAGGGAAGTGGAGTCGCTTGTGATCGAGATCGAAAAAAACCACCAGGATCTCATGGAGCAACTTAAAGTATGTTATGATTGACCACCTGCTCTATAACACCCCTCAGACGCTTTTGACAGAGTTCGACACGCTCAGAAACAACAGCGTTTGCAAGGATGGTCGTAAGCTAGAGAAGTTCCGCACTACAGAGGGAAGCAATCCCATGATTGCTAATTGCAGTGGGCTGGTTGAGGTATGCCAATACTAACTAGAAGCGTCATCATCATACTTTCAGACCACAGAATCTGCGATTAAAGAGATTGATGACGTAATAGAGCGCATTAAGACTCATTATGTGAAGAAAAAAATAGATTGTTCCCGAGCACTGGAAGGTTTGTAATAATTTGAAAAGAGGGATCATCAACATGTCTAATCAACGATTTTCTTTTCACAGACGCTTTTATTGCGTGATACAAGCCTTAATCACACGTATCAATGTCATGTGTAAAAAGTTGACTGCGGATAGATTGGTCTGACGGTAACAGATCTTACACTCACCAATAGCTGTGATAGGTCAATAACAGGCATATAGCTTCGTTTAGGGTGTTCTACTAGAGATTCAACGGTTAAATATACTATGTCAAGGCAGGTTTGTCTGCCGAATCAAAGACACGTGGTGGCGCGATCGGTAAGTTACAAATGTGTATTTCTCGCAGACACATGTAACGCGCCACAACCAGTTTAACACGTGCACTGACTCTTGGTGGAGCTTCCCTAACTTTTGGGTTGCCTTAGCCTGCCATCCATGGATAGAGGAAGGAGGCACATTGGCGCTTTTGTCTTATAACGGGCGCACTTCGAACGCAAACGCGCGTTAAACTCGTTATAATGTAATTAACGGTTACACACTGCCGTGCATCTGCTGGGTCGCATCGCAAGTGCATCAAGGTATATTGACGGTGCGTGGTACATCTCTACCCCTTTGCACATTCGATCCTAGACTCTACACACTGTAGAAGTTTCCACACACTTTGCAAAAAGATCAGGATTATAGTATGTTTTAGTGCGAATTACGCGGATCGCCTGTGTCATGATGCAAGGCATAACAGCGAAAAATTCGCAGCCGTCGTATCAGCCTGCGGGCGTAACCGGTAAACAACAGGAATCGTCTCAGGTTTTGAAAACAACCAAATTTGTAAATGTTGCTAATTTGGCTGACTATTTAAGTTCTATGTCTGGCCCCAATTGTCGCGTGGTAGTCCAACAAGTGGAGCAGGGTTCGGCCATCGCCAAGCAATTGGATCGTGCTTTGGAGGATATGCAAAGGCGCAAGCTGGCAACGGCTAACGGTGAATCTCAGTTACCTTCTGGAGATCCTCAACATGCGGTGGCACCCTCCAACACTCCAACTCGTAATGAGCAGGTAATAGGCCAGGGACAAACGGTTACATCTCCCACTGTTCAACAACAGAAGCCACAACAGGTACAACCAGATGAGGGTCACCATGCTACCGCTGTTCTTCATCAGGGATATGTTGCCGATATTAGATCGGCCAGTGGATGTACTGCTACATTATTTCAGCGTTCATGTGAGGCTTTTTCGAGTACTCGCATGACTGAGCCCGTTGCATCACCTGAAGGTGACCTTGAACAACGTGTTTCTTCGTTGTTAATGCAACTGAAACAAGTCAGTTTGGTACCAAGGAATACTGCAGGTGGCAGCGGGGCCGAACATGGTCACCAGACTACAATTGACACTTGCACATCATTTCCCGATAACGGTAGACCAGGACTTCCCAAAGATTCCAATGCTCAAACGGAGAAAGAGATGTCGGAGTGCTCAACGATGAAATCTGATCTGTTCCCTGAAGCAACTAATCACACAGTGGATACGGTACCCTTTGGAATGCAGTCCGTCAAATGCCATGACATACATTACCCCGAGCAACGCTTTGGTGACTATTCTGTTGAACAAATTATGCAGAATCCATGTTTCGGCCGTTGTGAGGAAAGTGAACAGCATAAGGTGGACGCAGGCCACGCTACCTTTCCACAGCAGGTAAGCTTATACAACCTTATGGAGCATTTCGTTCCACAGGATGGATCATACGGTTTCGCTGAGGCTAATCACATTGGACCGGAGGCGTACCCTTCGGAAATAGGAGAAAGCAAATTGGTAAGAAGGTTTACACCAAGGATGGGCTACGCGCCACATCCAGTGGCAAAGGCTGCCGAACAGGTGGATCCTAATAACGTCATTGCCAACAATACACCTACCACTCCATCACCTAAGACAACTGGACCATCACCAGGTTTTATGACTACTGTGCAAACACCGCGTGCAACCCCTAAGTGTCAAACAGGACCACGACGTAAAGCTGTGGTTGTAGGATGCAGCTACATGGGTGACGCTGATGCCTCACTTCGCGGTCCATGCAACGACGCCATGTTGTTTGCCTCTGCCTTAGTGACTCACATGGGCTTCGATGTGGATGATATACTACTGCTCATAGACTCTGAACCTGCCAATGTTTATGTCCAGCAGCTTGTGACACTGGCATCTTCCCAGAAACCCGTGACCCCCGTACGTTGCAATACCACTGAACGCCAAAAAACTGGCGTTATCGGTGGAATGCTCGGGGGTCTGATTGGTGACTTGCTACATGGTGTAAAGGCTGACAGCGACCTCGATGTCCCCGAGATGCTTATGTTGGATTCACCAGGAGAACCCATACCTGCCGACAACCGGCCTACACGCTCCAACATCCTTAAGGCGTTACGCTGGATGGTAAGCGGAATGCGTCCCGGAGACTGCGGTGTATTTTACTTCTCGGGTCATGCCGTACAAACCGATGACATGAGCGGTTGGGAAGGTGAAGGATACGATGAGGCACTGGTGCCATGTGATTATATGTACTACGGTGACCCTTCGCGTGGACTAATTCCAGCGCAGCAGATACGACAATTGATACAATCTGTTGGTCGCAGCTGTCAGATGACTGTTGTGTTGGATACGGTCGGTATGCAAACGGCACTTGATCCCGCTGGCCGCAGCGGTCCGTGGCGTTACATCAAGGGTGCTATGTTACGCGGTATGTGGCCACTAGCCGATGCTACCGGCAAGATGCAGCGTGCTGTGTATGACCCAGCTATTTGGCAGGATGTATCTATGCAACAACAGCTGGTTCGCCCTAAGTTCCTCCCGATGTTACAAGTCGATTGCGCTGCAGCGCTGATTGACGGTTTCATATCATCTAATACGGAGGACAAGTCATCTAACATCATATGCATTGCTGCAGCACCTTTCCAAGATGTTGCAGTTGAGACACTTTTTTGCCCTCTGTCTCTGACAGACACACCCATTGTTCGCGTAACCCAGCAGGGGTGCGAGCAAGTTGTGTGTCATGGTGTATTCACCTACTGCCTCGTGGCAACATTGCTGCGGGACCGGACATCGAAACGTGGCGGCATCACTGTACGGGAATTGGTATCAGGTGTGAATAAAAGGTGTCAGTATCTGCGTTCTACTCGTCTACCTAAATTGCAGCAGCTTTGTGAGGCTACAATCCATCCGGCAGGTCTGGCTTCGCTTGACAACTTCTTTTTGGCACCTTGGGGAGGCCGCATCCTTCCAGAATACGGTCGTCGATTGAATAGAGAAAACGTATACAAGCGTCTATCTGCAGGCCTCGGGTCTTTCCTGACACTGCCTGAGGCTTGGATGCAGTTGCACAACGAGGGTCGGATGCGAGCTGCCGAGCAACGTGAGAAGTTTGGACGAATGCGCAGCGCCGTGGTGAACGGTACCCGTATGGTTACTGCTGACTTGCGTCAAATGATGCTCAAGCAGCAGCAACAACAACAGGGTTACGTCTACCGCGGCCCAACTTCGTCTCTCATGTTCGGCCACGTACCTCAGCAACAGCTTTCTGCTGCCGGACAGAGCTGGTTTGGCCATAGCCCGATACCACAGGCTCACCAGTCGTTTACTCCACCTGGGTTCATGACTCCTCACCACGGAGTCTTCCCAACGGAACAACAAATGGGATCGCCTATGGCCGCCATCCAGCCGAACAACTACTACCAACCTATGGCCCAGGATTACATTGTAGAACCCAATGGAATGATGTACCCGGCTCAGCAATACGTACCACAATGGGAGGGTGAGTATTATTTGGCTGAGCCTGCGCCACAGTTTGGTAGCTGCCCACAGCAGCCGTTCCTTCGATACGTTCCTCCACAGGAGGAGCAGAACGTACAGCCAAGGGGCCAATCTCACCAATTCAGGAGCATGACCTCATCTATGTTAAACAGAACGTGTAATTCACACCCTGGAGCGCTTCGTCACAACACCGGTGCGTGCCGTCCCGTTGCGGTAAAACTCGCCGAGCCCATCACTAGCGCAATGTTATCTCAGCTTCCAGTAACGCAGAGCTACTTTTAGCGACAACATATCTTAAGCGACATCTATATTCTATTGTTGTGTTTTTTTTTCTCACGCGTCGCGGGTGTGTCGCGAGCTGTGCACGTAATCACTTCATGATTCCACGATGAAGGAAGACGGCGATAGCACCGCTTTTAATGCGGTTGTTACTTCACCGGTGGAGTTCATCGACTACAATTGCAACATAAGGTGTGCCTTCGACAATCTATGAGCATCCTGTGCAGCGATGATTTCAACGAATTTTTGAAATCGAAGAAATTTGACAAGCTAGGATTCCGCTACAATGTGCTGTCAATACTTGGCTGCCAGAGCAGCGGGAAGAGTGAGTGTGGCTGGTCGGTATCTTAACGTAATACAGGTTCGCTGCTTAACAGCGTTTTCGGTCTGGATTTCGACGTGATGAACACGAAACTGGGACACAGCCAGACAACAAAAGGACTTTGGGGTGCCTTGGTACTTCCCAAGGATGAAGATCATGAGAACGCCACTTTAGTCATCGATGTGGAGGGCACGGACTCTCGGGAGCGCGGGGATGGTCGACTAACTTTCGAGCACCGTTCAGCTCTACTTTGTCTCGCTATATCGGACTGCGTGATTGTTAACCTGTGGTATCATTCCCTTGGGAACCTAACGGGTTCAAATTATGGCCTACTGAAGACTGTCGTTGAGGCTAACCTCGAGTTGGCTGAGGCGTCAGAGAATACGTTAGGATCTGGGGACTATAAGACGGTTCTTTGTTTTTGCATACGTGACTGGTTCCCTGAGCTCGCACCACTTGAAACTGTGCGTCACAAGGTTGTGAAAGAGTACATGATGGGTATTTGGAACGACATCAACAAGCCTGATAGGTTCAAAGATGCAGATCTCGAGGATGTATTCCGTTTTGAGTTATTCGGGTTCAATCACGCTTTAGTTCACCAGGATGAGTTTACGGCCGATGCCCAGCGCTTCCGCAAGGAGTGGCTCACGTCCATTAGGCCTAAGTCCTACTCTCGTGCTGTGCCATCCGACGGTTTCTTTTATTATGCAGGCAATATATTAAATACCGTGAAGGAGCAAAGTCATTTGGATATCCCGAATCAGCGTGAGATGTTGGCTAACTTCCGCTGCCAGGAGATCAAGACAGCAGTGCTCGAGGAGATGTCGCCTATGGTAACAGCTATGCTTACAGATGCACACAATGGATCTTTGGGCGATTTCAAGGAGCGTATAACGGCGTTAGCTGATGAGGCGGTGGAGAAGTACCTTGAGCTTGCCTCTAGATACGACAAGGCTACTAGCACAAAGATCGGCAATGAACTTATCAGCTCTTTATTCCAGAAAGTACAGCCGGTATTTGATGCTGTAATATCACATCATTGTTCGGACTTGGCTGTGACTGCCACTGTTAAAATGAACGAGAGATTCGCGATAACTGGCAAGGATCGTTCGCTATTGGTGGGCGGGCAAAAGGCAACCGATGTGTGGCCCAGATTTACCTCTCTGTGCGACGAAATAAGATCTGAGCTTTGGTATTCTCTCTCTGCACAGATGAAGGAATATGCTGTGAGTTACTCAAGTCCTAGCGGGATTAGCGCGTCTTCTGCGTTCGATAGTTCTACCGCCACCGACATGTTCAATGTGACTTTCAGGAACGAGGTGGAAGTCGTACGCGGACGCCACTTACAGGCTTTACGTGGTCAGATCGCTGACCTTGTAAATATCGGTTTTAAGGTGATTGGCGAATCGCTGCTCGACCGCGACCTCACTAGCGAGAAGTATTGGGGCGACGTTAACGCGTTAATAGAACGCGCTTACCAAACATCTACGGATGCATTGCGAGAATGTTACTCAGGTCTAGTGTCTTCTGTGCAAGAGAACGAATTTGAGTACCTGAGTTTCATTGTTCTTTTGGAGGCTGCAACGGCAAACCTCGAGCGTACAGAGTCACGTATTGCCGATATAATCGTTGAACGTTTCGAGCAGTTTTTCCAATACCAGGACTTTAATGGTGACGTGATCCCTCGTGACTGGGAGTCTGTAAGTGAGGATGAGTTGAAGCAGACCTACTCTCAATGCAAGAAGGATGCGCTTAACATCGTGGCGGTATTGCGGGATTGTCGTCCTCCAACTCTCGAGGTACCGCATTTCGACATATCCGTGTTGAAGCCTAACCATGTACTATACCAGGAGTTCAGCCTCGGTATCTCTGGATTAAATAGTGATGCTTCTTCGCTAAGCGACGACGTATTGGTTGACACTGTGAAGGCGTGCAAGAAGCGCTTCCATGAATTGTTCCGTACGGCACAGCAGATCCAGAATTCATCTAGGAACGGTGTTTCATGGAGAAATATTCCACCTATATTCTGGCTGGTTCTGTTGGTATGTTCGTGGAACGAGCTCTGCGGGCTGCTACGTATCGTATTCAAAGTTCAGGTTCTGATACCTCTATTGATTCTGGCGTTCGTTGCTGTGCAATACTTTTCTCATGCGATTTTCGGTGCTTCTGCGGATGCGTAAGTCACTATGTGTTTATTTAATGTCAATGCAGGGTGCTGGGACCTATTAAACAACAAGCGCAAAATGTAGCCTTCATGGTGGTACAATGGGCTTTCCAAATGGCTGCGAGCGCTGCCAGAACTACGGCGCAATATTCCTTCCGTCCAGCTGAGGAAACGGAGGATTCCAAGAAGGACAGTTGATACACCTCTGCTTGGACAAAAATGATTTCCTCAAGCAGTATCTCATTTGTTTCTTACAAAAAGAGTTTATACTTTTTATACAGCTCTACGATCTAGTCCTTCGCTGTATTTTGTCTTGCTATATGTGGTGTGTCGGCACATCGAAATAGCTAAGTGGAGCCTTTGTCGTGATACTGACATGTAATCTCATTTACTTTTTAGAGTATTGAAATATTCTGATATAATGGAGTGACTTGTATAGGATGTCCCAGATCACCGCTTCTAAAACGGGGAAACGCGGTCGCAGGGACTCGGATTCCGAAGATTCGGAATCTGATATTCCGTCACAGAGGCAGGCGGATGGTTTAGGAGGCAAGCGCCGTGACCCTCTAGACCTGAGAGTAGCTATAGAGAATGACTTTGTAGACCGCGATGCGTAAGTATGCCCCGAACATCGGTGATATTGCTGCAGTAAGGGTCAGGCTAACTGGAAGCAGGCATACGCAGGCCATTCTTCTTTCCCAGGACGTCATTTATGTGCCGTTTGTGGTTTCTTCTGCAACTACAAGTGCTTAGAATGTGCCTCGAAGAGAATCTCGAAGATGGAGACCTATGTCTGTGGCCGCAGGTGCCTGGAGATCCACAAAAACTACAATTGTGGTCGGCCGAACAACATAACTCATTGGTGATAGAACAAATATCGTAATATTGTTAATATATGCTGATTCAGTCATTAGCGATTGTGAATATTTGGACGGGGCCCGTATCTAACGTTGATAGCGGTTAGTTCAATCAGTCGTCTAGTTCCATGTGATCATCGTTGAATAGGAATTCGGGCACACTATCACCGCCACCTATACTTATTGTATCAGTGTTATGCTTCTACCTACCGTGTGACAGCGATGCGCTGTCCGGAGCGGCATCCGACGGCCGCGCCACGTTTGCGAAGTGTATGCCTGCGTTGTTGAATTTGAGCATGAGCTCAAGGAATTCCGCAATAGATATGGTGATACTTCTCCTGTTCGACAACCCCGATTCCTCTAAGATTCCCATGCAATAATCCTAATATGCCGGTGTAAAACTTTCTAAAGGGTACTAACCTTAAACGGTACAGGTTCCGGGGCCTTACGGTTGATGGTACACCAGTTTTTGTAATTCCCCTCCAGTATGGATAGAACTGCTTGTTTTTTGAATAGACTGCGCAAAGTCCTCCGCTTGCGAGAAAAGCACATACGTATCATCCCATCCCATTCCACAAAATCCACCTGTCCGTGTTCGGGACCTTGATCAACAACTTACCACTAGCGGATGTTCGCGCGGCACTATTTTTACTATCATACTGTCTACCTTGGGAGGTGGATTGAAGCTACCTGTGTTTGTTTGAGTGTTTTTTCTTTTGCGTCCCACCTGGTGCAACTTTGCATACGCGTGTGACAGTACAGAAGAGTCTAGTGTTGATTGCCAGACGTCCGTATTTCTCCTCATTCGTCGATGCCAGTAACCTCTCAGCAAATTCCTTTTGGAACATCAATACCGCGCATCTGAATAGCGGTCGGTGTGACAGTAGCTTGAAAACGAATGGGCTTGAAATCTGGTACGGCAAGTTCGCTGTGCATACATCGAACTTTGGGTATGCGATACGAAGGGCGTCGCCCTCTATAACTTCAAGATTGTTATATCCCATGGAGAGGCAACGTTTTTTGACCTCACCAACCATACGGTTGTCAATATCAATTGCAATCACTCGTCTTGCAAGTGGAACAATTCTCACAGTAAGATTCCCGGTACCTATTAACGATAAGACGACGCTTTAGGTTATTTTACCTGGTCCAATCTCTAGAACGGTATCCGATGCTCTTATTTCAGCCGCTAGTACGATCTTGTCTAAGATACCTGGATTCTTAAGCATGTGCTGTCCGAACTTCTTGTTGAAGGTCATACCAGAAGATGACCCCTTAGACTCTGTAGCGGCTGCAGAGGTGGCCATGGACGAAGCTTGTCGTACCCCTTTGGGTCCTGTATCGTCTGTGCAGCGCTTTGACGTTGTCACTCACCGACGGTGCAGATGCGATAGGGTTCGACCCTGTGCATGGTCTTCTGCCTCCGGCTGGCCATTGTGGTTTGCTTTAGACTTACTGTGGCTGTTGGCGCCTCGGCTGCGCCACTGAACGGCGTCGAGCGGGCGAAGGTGGTCAAGCCGCGGCAGAAGTTTAGTTTAGTGAGTACAGTTAATTTTTTTATTAACATTAAAATGTGTTGCGTCACTTCTTGGTGGGGAAGCAGTGATCGCAGGTATCTATTGCCATTTTAGCGTAGTAGCGCACATCAATATCTGTATCATCCCGTAGTTTTGCGAGCACGCTGAACACATTGATTGAATATAGATTTTACCTACCATCTTAGTCGTAAAAACGGCTCCGGGCGTTCATTTTTGTAAATCACGAAGAGGCTGCGTATGGCCTTGGCAGCCACGAATCTGACATTGGCAATATTATCCTGAAACCATCTTTAACGGCAAAACGACAGCCTTACCTTTGTGGCTTTCAGAAACACTGGTACGATACGTGTTAGTGTGGTATGTACGTCCAGGGATTTGGCCACCGCCTGCGTGTGATGGCGTGATAGCATTTCAACTTACAACCAGTGCCTGTATAACGGTTATCTTTAACGCGTACGATAGTGGCAAGTCTTCGCTCGAAATATGTCTCGATTCATGTGGCTCGACATATAATCTGATGAGGTCTGTGAGGAACACATCGGCGAACCAGGAACCCTTCCAGTCTTTGAAGATCACTTCGATGCTTCCTAGCATCGTGTTCCTCACTTTCCACACGTTGTCCAAAAGCAAACGTATCAGTGCATGGGAGAAGTATTTCCTGAATATTGAGAACCCAAAATGATTGTAGAATCCTACAATCTTTTCCGCAAGTACCAATCGGTGCCTCCATCGTGTCGTTTGCAGTGCACGGTCCACAGTTTCTTTGATTTGCGTTCCGATGTTTTTGTCAAAGTCCTCGGCATCGCATAATACTTCTACATTTTTTAGGACGCTGCAAATACGTAAATACAAAGGTGTATTGGGTCACAACATACCATAGCCTGACGTCCATAGAGTCATCTCGAAGCAGTCGTTGCACGTTATGGCTCAGAAGCATACGTACGTTTGGTCGATTCATTTTTTCAGCAAAGGTGGCATAAATATTGCATATGTCCTGGCGTATCTGGCTTGTGGCGTCCTCTAGTTGCGACTCTAAGAGAGCTATATATCTCTCAGCTAACGGTTGAGATAGCACGTGACACCATTTGCCGAATGCAGTAACTGCAGCGTTTTTTACAGTTTCCTCAAAATCAGTTAGTAGATTGAAGTGGGTATCTAGCAGGTGTTGCTTCAACTGATCTTCGCCGAATATTTCGCAAATTTTGTCGAATCGTTCGGCTAGCGTCTTGCGCACGTACCACGATGAGTCTGCGGCGGCGGCTAATATGACCGGGTAGCTGAACGAAAGGTTTTGCTCGGGAGTGCATCTTCTAGCAAATGAGAGGCACGCGTCGACACAATGTGCCCTGACTTGATCCAGATGATCGACTGACATATTCTTTAGCACCAGCCAGAACATAGAGACCGAATCGTCCATATGCATGATTGTAAGCAGTTTCTCAAGGTTCCTAGCCACTTCCAACCTCACTATCGTGAGGTTGCTCTCCCAGAGCTGCTTGTAGCACTGCCTCATCTCATTTTGGTCACTCTCCGAGGCGTCGCTGTACACGAGAGGAATAAGTGTACATGCTGAAACTGCATCCGCAAACCACTCACCTGAATAATGTCACGAACTTCATTTTTCAACTCACTTTCTGCTAGTCGCTTCAGCAGGGGCATGACAATGGAGCCCAGCACATCATATGTCGCATCGCTGGACTTGACATCATGTACTATTCCCACCACAAGTTCTACAGCCTAAAATCTGTGATTATAGTATGCATATTACCTACTTTACGTCTGATACTGGGATCCTCTTGCGATATCAAGAACTCCACTCCCTGTAAGATGGTGCGTATGTACGACTCGGAGTTGCTGATCTTGGACAGCGTATACCACACATCCACAATGAGCCTCAGAAGTTGTACTGGCATGGACCGTTGCGTGTCTACAATAATATCGTTTAGTAAAACAAGGTTATGCGTTCATTAGAAAGGGAATATGACTAATTACGCGCCATCACACGTTAATAGGCTTACCTATAAGGAATGGCAGAAGCATCGTTTCACAAAGCTCTGGATTTAGCTGTTGCGTCACGATGTCTACATTTTTGAGAGCTTCAATAGCGACATGGTCATCCCCTAAGACCTCGCATTTGAATGACTCGAATGCCGGATAGACTGGAGGTCTTCCGATGCCTACCACCTTTGGAATGTCTGCGACATTATCATTTGGATCATGCCACGACTCTTCAACTGATTCCTCTGTTGCATATGATGTGGATTCCTCTGTTACTGCTATAACCTCGTTGTTATTATGGTATTGTTCAGTTTCATCTGTTACAGTCGTGGCCGCCTCTTCAGGCGTCGCCTGGGTGTCTACATTATCTACATCGCATTGACTATTCTGCAGTGGCACGATTTCTGTGCTTGCTTTTGAGGCATAGTTGTCGGATGGATCAGGTTGAGTTTCGCTAGCTGGTTCAGTAACTGTTTCCGTGACCGTTTCTGTCACGGTTTCGGTAACTGCTTCAATAGCTGGTTCGGGATCAGTTTCAACTACTGGTATCTCTATCTGTTCTATAGGAGGTTCAGTAGGTGCGTCTTTTTCCGATTCCTGCTCTGATTCCTTTAAATTGTCCTTGGCTGGATCCGGTTCCTGTTTTGCGATCGCCACTTCGGGACATTCGGCCTCCATACTTCGCATGCACTCTCAGGTTTTAAGTACCCTTAGCTGCGCTAGATGCAAATCCCATTCGATGATTTTTTCGAGGGATTCGCATGGGTACGTCTCTATCGCTCGTTCGATATACATAATTAGCTGTGTGAATCTACGGGATCGATATCCCTTCAACTAAATGATCGCACTTCACTGGTTATATTGGTATTTGACTGGTCAGTTCGTGTGAGTTTCGCCATACGTACATGAGGTGTGTAACGCTGCTACCATGGGCTGCTGCGGGTCGAGTACAGGCTGTGAACCAAGATGTCGTCGCAGTTATGGACGATACTACTAGATTTCGACGCATTTAAATTTAACTGTGCCGTAAGGGCGCTGTGGACCATCGAAACAGCAATTTTGACCAAAGCTGTAGAACCGTAGCGCCAGCAGCATGATTGTGGGCGTGCTTTGTATGTTTAAACTGTCTGTAGTCCGAGATTCCAATAACTTAACAACTTATTATAGCGTGTGGCACCCTTTGGACGGTGTTAGCAGTTGTGAATGAGGCCCAAACCAATGTGTAGCGTCTTTACCAGTGCTACTTGGCCTTGAGGTTTGCTGCGGCATTTCAAGGGGCTTTCGAGTCGCGTCTTCCGTACTAGAGATAGTTTGCCATAACTTGTTGGGGTGATTTGTAGGTCTTCCTAACGTTTAGACATAGAAATTTCGACCTTCCACCCCATAAGACATCGCGACACGAACTCCTGGTTAAAGCTCTGTAGACACTCACGAACGGTTAAACAGACGTTACTAGGACGTGTGTACGTGATAATGTTCCGCTGAGTGCTAGCGGCTCTCAGAGTCGGACACTAATCATGGGACTCCTCTGGGCTCTCGGTGCCTTGGCAATCGCAATCCACGCACCAGCAGGGCTCTTTGATGGGTCTAAATCGGCTGCTGGTGGTTACGTCACTGCTGTCACACTGCGTAGATGTGACTCGCGTCAAGATGTGCTGAGCGTTGCGAACGTGTCTCAGCCACCCCGTGGAAGCGCATTCGTCGGTGCTCCAGCTGCGCAATGGACGGTTAGTCACATACGCCCGTTCGCTTTACGCTGAGGGCTATCGTGTAAACGCACTCACGATACCCAGGCTTCGTCATTTGAAGGCAGTGATAACCCCAGGGCCTCCTCGTTTGGGAAGGTACTAGCCAAGACTAAAGAAGAGGTGCGCATTACATGAATAAGTGATTTTTTGTGTTTGCCACGTTATTTTTGTTGTGTTGTATTTGTGAACAACGCCATATTGGCAGTGGTTTCGATGGTCGGTGCGAGTTGCATTTGGCGGTGGCGGTATGTTGGACTAACTCTCACTTGCACAAAGGAGAGCACGGATACTGCAACTGACGATTTGGAAACTGCGGAATTGGACTCCGAAGTGGATTACGAGGACATTTACGATGAGAGTGAATACGAGACAGATGACGAAGATGGGTCCGAGTCGGAATATGACTCGGATGAAGCTGGCAACAGCGCATTTGACTACAACGCCCGCGGTGAATTGATGCTGCCTAACCTATCTAGGTTATCACGCACACGCGTATCGAGGAACCGCCACAAGCTTTTTAGAGGGCGTGTTTTACATCTTTCGGACCTGGTATATCCGCTGGTCGCTCATGACAAGGTGTGTTTCTACTATCACATTACAATATGTCTTAGGAGTCATCGATGTCGGTACCTGATCTACCGGGACTACGATTGCTTTCAATTCCCGACCTGGTGAAAGAGATTGAGGAAGCACGCAACCTCGGACTTACGGCATTTATGATCCATCCACATGTCGACAAGTCGCTCCGCAGCGAGTTTGCCGACGAAGGGTTGAACCCTGACGGATTGCTACCTAGGGCCATAAATGCTGTAAAGGAGGCTTTCCCTGACGTTCAGGTCTTTGCGGATGCGAGTGTCGCTCACTTTTCGCTGGACGGCCATGACGGACTCGTAGAACCGGAGACCGATTCCATTGCGAACGATGTTTCCGTGAGTCAAGTTGCCAAGCAGGTGACAACTCTTGCATCAGCAGGGTGTGACGTCGTTGGTCTCAACGATACGCTTGACGGGTCTGTCGGTGTTGCTCGTGATGCTCTTGACTTCGAGGGTTTCACAGACGTTTCACTGATGAGCCGCGCTGCGAAGTTCAACTCGGTGCTGATGCAACAGCAGCGTGCACTTTTGGGCGTGGCGCCGTCGGACAACGTAAGACCTGAGACGTACCTCCATGACGTAGCACTCCCCGATGAGCCTATTTTGAAGGGTGTACAAGGTTAGTTGTATAACCCCCGAAGTTTCAGGTGTTCATTTCTCACAGACGTGGACGATGGTGCGGACATGGTAGCAGTGGAGCCTGCCACCACTTTCGTCGACGTAATACGAAACTTAAAGGACCGACTGCGTACTCCCGTTGTTGCGTTCCACACGACTGGAGAATACCGTGCTCTTAAGGCTGCGGCTGCTGCTGGCGTCTTTGACGAGCGTGCCGCAGCTTTGGAGACACTACGTGGTTTGAGGCGTGCAGGCGCAGATGTGATCATATCAAGTTTCTCGAAAGATGTCGCTCAGTGGCTTCTGGAGGATATGCAGACTAATGGGATGGAGAACGTAGCTTTAGGCTTCTAACCTGATGTAATCGTAGCACTCGCACCTGACCACTGCATATTACATGTTGCTTATGTTTTTGCGTACTCACTTTATAAAGCATTTACTAACTGGTTGTGCAGCGCTCTGAGCTCTTGCCCGAGAACCCACATATCGTACGTGGGCGCCTCGACAATGGCCTAGAGTACACGCTGCTCCCTAACTCCAACCACTGTGATCGGTTTGAGGCTTACCTAGAAGTTCTGAGCGGCTCTGCCGACGAATTGGAGCACCAACGTGGTATAGCGCATTTTTGCGAGCACGTCACTTATATGGGCAGTAGAAAACGTGACTGTCTAGTAGGCCGTGATGTTCGCACAAATGCCTTTACGGACTTCCATCATACCGTGTTTTACGCATCATGCCCATCAGTGATGGACGGTTGTAGTGGAAAAGGAGAGTCCCTAGAGCGTGCGCTGTCGGCACTGGTAGATGTGGTTGAGGCACCTACTCAGTTCAGTACATCCCGAGTGGAAAAAGAGCGTCAAGCTATATTGTCAGAGGCAAGGATCATAAACACGCTTGAATATAGGAAGAACTGTGCCACAGTACAAGCTCTCCACGCGGAGACTAGGCTGAGCCGTAGGTTCCCTATAGGTGACCTAGCTCGGTTGGGTGAGTATACTGTGAATGATCTGTTAGATTACCATCGGGTGCATTATCGTCCATCTAACCTAAGGCTGTTTGTTGTTGGTGACTTGGATGTTTCCGATGCGGAATATTCAATTCGTAGGATTTTTTCGGGCATGAAAGAACATACCGATGAGGTAGATCGTCACTTAAAGTTGAATGCCGATATCTACCGAGGTACTGTTAAAGAGACCCGGCGTGGACTCCCACCTGCTCGCCATGAGTGGGATCAACCAGGTCCCAAAGCGCACGTATGGCAAAACGATCAGATTAAGAATCTCAGCCTCGAGATCGCGAAAAAGATCCCGATACCTACGATGTTAAATCGTACGGATATCTGGAAGAGCGTTGTTATGAAGCTTGCTTATCGCATTTTGACGTTGAACTTCGATATTCTCCAACGTGGCACTGGGGCTATAGAGTCCGTGGAAACCAATGACTATGACTGTACTAATGAAGGATGTCGCGTCCGTTCTTTCGAGCTCCACTGTGTACCTTATCAGTGGCGTGCGGCTCTGACTGCTGCGATAGCACAGGTTAAATGCTTGGCTACGCAAGGTACAACTCCAGAGTTGTTCAAGATCGTAAAGGAATCGATGTTACATGACTGCGCTAGGTCAGATACGACTAAGTCTGAAAACCGTGACCTCATTTCTGGGTTAATGGAGGCTACTACGTGCGGTCGTACGTTGATGTTGCCAGAAGTTGAGAAGGAGATCGTGGTAGACATACTGTCCCGCGTCCACATCGATGATGTGAATGAAATGGCTTATAAACTCTTTCCATGGGCGTCCGGTAAGAACTTTGTGGGTATCAACCTTATATGTTCGACTCCACCACCAGATCCGTCCATCGGTTTCGACGGCGTTGGAGAAGAGTTGATCTTAGATGCATTTGAAAAAGAGTGCAAAGAGCCACTTACAGCTTCAGCGCTACACCCTGAAGTGAATACCCCGTCTAAGCTGTTGACTGACGAGGAGCGTAGCGAGGTGATAAATAGTCGTCCGTATGGCCATGATCCAGGGTTCGTCAACGACCCGATGCTCCCAAAGGAGCGTTATGCTTGTCTACAAGAGTCTAAAGAAGAGTTATTACGTTCATTGGCTGTTGTAGGCGACTTGAAACACGTTGCTACTCGCTATGTCGATTCACTTCGTGACTCTATCAGTTGCCGCTCCGATGTTGAGCACATTAGTGAGAACAAGCCAGCACCTCCAGAATTCTCTAAGCTTAGCGAGCATTTAGTGAACCATTCACGCCATTCTCCTGACCAGTCGTATGTTGGGAGGTACACTAATGCCCTTGCTGAGCTGCGCAAGCCGCTGGCATCAACGCTCCCACCAGACAGCCTACTATATGAGTCACGCCCAGGCCCGTCTGGTATCCATCTCCTAACTCTTAACAACAGCATACGTGTGAATTTGCACGTGGGCGATGAAGACCAACTGGCTATTAAGGCAATAATTCCTGTGGAGTATGACTATAGCAACCTCGCATCTCTACGGCGGCGTAAGTTGGAGCTACTATTGGCCGCCACCACCATGATGGAAGGCGGGGCCATGGGTAGCCTGAGCCGTCTTCAAGTAGAGATGTTTTGCACACAACATCTGATGGATGTCCAAATCAGCGCGAATGAAGATTACTTCTCTATCGAGATGTCATTCCCCTACGGGTGCACTGGCCGCCGCGAGAACAACCTCGAAAGCGCACTTCAGATTTTGTACGCGGTATTACAGTACCACAAATTGGAGCCCGATGCGTTTGTACGCGCTAAAGAAAAATTGAGACGCGACCGTAATGCGTATGCACAGGACCTACAATCCTTCGGTACCGGTGACTTGGTTTCATCTATGAGCGATGGCAAGCTGAGTTACCACGATTTGGATTATGATGCCTTGGGTTCTGCTACACTTGCTGATGTTCAGGGTACATTCGATGGTATCTTTAAGCGCGGTGTCGTGGAGGTATCGCTTTCTGGCGCTGTTGATATAAGAGAGGCAAAGTCCCTGCTTGTGCAATACTTAGGCACTATACAGCTCCCAGAATATTCCACAGCTCCTAGGGATAGGTTTGTTCTCTGGAGCAAAGATTACGGTGTCGACGTGGCAGTGGGTTCTCCCGATGCGGTTGGTCTAGATGATCTCGGTGCTGGGCACCCTTCAATAGATCCTCAAGGACAAGTCGAATCCACTACTACGACTGTATCTGATGAGAATTCTGAGGAAAACTTCGTTCCTTTAGAGAACCAACATCGGCTCATCCTGGTTCCAGACAACCAGGAACGTGCAATGGTGCTCCTCGGAGGTTACGCGCCTAATGCGAGTGGCATCATGCCTGATGGTACTCACATGGCGGATATGTTGCATTTGAGCCTGTCAGAAGCCATGGAATGCGATGTTAACGCGCAGAATGCTGAGAAGCTGATAAGAACTGTGAAAGAGTTATGGTTACACCCTGCATTTCCCCGTGCTGCGTGCGCACTTATTCAGGAGATCCTCACTAATCGCGCATTTACAGTGTTGCGTGCAGAGAAGCATCTAACATATGAATCGAATGTTGATTTCGTCCTCTATGATGTACAATTCGCTGGGTACTTCGTCATCTCTGTGCACTCATCATTTGACAAATCGGAGGCCATACTTGCCGAAACCCGCCGAGTTTTGGCTGACATTCGGTCTGGTGACCGACCTATATTGGAACAGCACCTCATTCGTGCACGTGACCAAGTACTAGCTCGTCTGCGCAAGGATCGTACGACGAATCGGCATTGGATAGGGGAGTTGTTGGGAATGCAGAGCCGTCGGTTACCTTTGAAGAACTCTTTATTCACTACGGAGTTCGATCGAGTGTTACAGAGGGTTACGCTCGACGATATCCAGCTGCTCTTTTCTTCGGATGTCTTCGGCTTTGATGAAAAGCATCTGTGGAGCCGAATAGTCCACACTACTGTTGCTTAATGCCACAAATTTGTTATATTAAGCTACGTAGCAACACATAAGACTAATGTAAGTATATTACACGTGTACGGCACCGTGGTTATTATCGGCCCATCTTGCTGCGATTTCGAACAGCGGTATAAAGTTGTATCTCGTTGTAAGGTCGTTTACCTGTTGTATTGATAGGTTGCTGGTGCCGGAGTTAAACTCATGCTCCAGAGCGGCTAATGCTTTGAGCACGTAATGTAAAGATTCAATTGCCACAGGTGCCGGCCTTGTATGTATACTCGATCTAAGTCTGGTCCTCCGTAGCAAGGCCCGCATCCATAACTTTAGCTTTGCTGCCAGACAAAATTCCACCGAGTTTGTTTCGACGGCATCCCAGCATGCTATTCCAATACGGCCCATTAAGAATGACACCTCCGTCAGTGCCTCTCTTGCTATACTTCGTACATTTCGCGCTATGTGGGTAGACAATAGTACTCCTAGTAGCATGTCTACACATAGGCTGTCGGCACGTTCTCCGGCGAGTTCTGCAAGGAAATATAGCACGAATCTGAGTGTTGAAGGCATGGTGGCAGCATCTACGGAATTCACAAGCTTATTCACTACATGTGAAGCGGCCTCTTCTGCACCACGTTTGGTATCCTTAGCGTCTGCGAGGAATGCGTGTATTCCGTCGCAGTACATTCGCACCCATTCTAGGGACTCCGAGCATCCATAGCGTTCGTTCAGGAATATGAAGCACAGAAGTTCGCTAAGGCAGCTTGAGCTTCGCATTAACATACACAGATTGGTATCACAAAGCGATTGCATCTCGAATTCACATGCATTTGTTACCAGCGAATCCATTTCTTCGAAGTGGTTGGCTAGCGTTGCCAGGTGCCGTATGACATGACTCTTTTCTGGTATTCGTACGGCCCGTATAAAATGCAACAATGTTGCCATACCTTCTTCTGACAAGAGTGCCCATACCGGTTCCAGCATATGCGCCTGTACGGCCAATACGGCTTCTGAGGGTTGAGTGTCGTTTCCCATGTAGTTGGGTGAATAACAGTCCATATCCGTGGCACCGATGTCATATTTATCGGTATCTATAATGCCTTTACCTGGGTCATCGACTGGTACTTGTCGTAGTTCCATTGGTTCATTCCTGAGAATGGATTCTATTTTATGTCTGAGGTCTATGCGTTCTCCGCTTACATGTCCAACACTGTCACCCAGATCTTCGAATAGGTTTGTGCGAGTGAAGTCGCCTGCAACAGTTGCATCTTCAACATCTGTTGGATGGTGTACCGCGTCATCAATTCCCACTTGTTGTAGCGGTACCTTGCGTAGTTGCGTGGTCCCTACAAGTACCAATCTTTGCATCATCCACAAAGGTAGATTTGATACCGTGACTCTGCATTCTCCGCCAAACATTTTGCTAACTAACAGTTCATATTTTTTGCGATTCGTTATAAAATCCGCTGGGTTAAGTGCCAGTAGTAGGTGTGACATGAAAGCTTCAACCCATTTCATCTGCAACATTTCCAATTCCGCTTCCCGTTTGATAGCCTCTATATATTGCAGTTTCCTACGGCGCATACTCCCCAGTTGTTCTAGTAGTAACGCTGTTGCAGCATCTATTTTTTGTCTAACGTTGTTGAAGTTTGCATAAAGCTGTGAGAGTAGTTCATGGCGATTACGCACTCTTCCCGTAATTGTTTCCATACGTTTGTGTAGTTCGACATCACTTTCCGAGTTTTTGTGCATAGCACACTCGTAAGCATCTACTGTTGACATAAGTGGATGATCGAAGAACGATGGATCGGAATGAGCATCAAATAATATACAATGGCTGCATAGTGCTCGATTACACTGCGTTGTGATATATTTGTTTATATTAGAACATACCTGGAGGCACACTACATCTATTATTTCTGATGGGTGTGATTCGCATACTCCAAATTGTACTGGTGACTGTGAGCTGGATACGCGCACATGCCTTGAGAATATAGGTGTAACCGAGTGGTGTTTGGTATCACACGCATTACAGAAATGTGCCCTGCGATGTTTGTGCAATATATTAGGTTTTGGACATACTTGTCAGAATGGCAGTACCATTGTGCTACTGAGCTTTCGCACATTTCGCATATTGGTTCTGGTACTTCGATCTTGACTGGTGTGAATTCGAACTCTACAACAGCATAGAGCAATGCCTGTTTGGCAGAGCTGATACGATATATAACATTGTAGAATGCGGGTTCCGTGTTCGTGCAGAGTTCGATAGTATCATATCCAGCTGGTACCGTCCGCTTCAAGAAAGCATCATGGTCACCTGCTTCTGGTGTATGTGCCATTATCCTTCCAAGCGCTAGTTTAAATAACAGCATCCGATATGACCCGGTTGGATTTCCTGTATTCTATTAGGTTGTTTGTGCTAATACCGTACCTTGAAATCCAACGGGTGGTGGTATAGTTCCATATTGGAAGAGTTGTTGTGTTAAATCTACAGAAATAACCCCGTTTGTAATACAATTATCAAACGATTGTGGCGGTTCCATGCGATTCATGTCTACCCAAACTGATATTGGTGATCCTCTAAACCTCTGCACACAATTACATATCTATATTGTGACATACTGTCGTTGTATCACGTTTGAACTGTTCTTCATCTGCTGTAGAAGCCAGCATAAGTCCTTTCGTGACGTGTAGATCGGTGGTGTGAAAAGCCAATTGCAAGAGGTACTCTAGGTATGTGAGTTCCTGTATATCCTCTAGCGGTTGAGATACGAATTTCAACACGCCAGGGTTGGCTTTGGAGTTATCATTTTCCGTCATATTTCTACGCGCGATAAGGGCTCCTATATAGACATGTGCTATGTGCACGGCTGCTGTGCTTCAGCCATGATTCCAGATCCTCTTTGTTTCTGGAATTAAGACTAATGTACCCATTTCTAAGATATATGTATATTTCATGTTGATGTGTATGATATTCGTTTCCCTCCATCTACTGAAATCCCCAGTACGGTGATGTGCGCTGGCTGAATAGGGCGCTTCAGCGGTATTACGGGCATGAATACTCATGAAATTTGACGATATTATCTTAGAATGTACTTGGCGATATAGTTAAACGCGCTAGTGTTTCGCTGATGGCAATGTCACACTAATGGCAATGCCTTAGGTGAAACAGCAGTAAGTGTGTCGCAGATTTAAATAACCCAAACAACTGGCTGATTCCATCACGCACTAATAACTCCAGGGGTGATGTGTAGCACTCAGCTATCATCAGTGTATGTTTTGGCACCTGCTTCGACAAATGCTGCCGTCAACAAGTCGCATATCTCGATTAGCTCATCTAGACACTTGCCAAATACGTTTACTGCCGGTTTGCCTACACAGAGTCAACCGGTCACTATTATGGCCTACCTGTTGTTTGGATGCGTATGTTTACCTCTGGCTGCATTGGATGCGGTACTGAGTATCCTGCGAATACAACATCCTTGCGGTCCACCAATAGCGTCCTTATGGTGTTTCCTAGTGTGTGATCTTCGTTCTCGATGCTGAACGTGATATTCGGAGAAGTGGTATCCAGTTTCTCCATCTCTTCAATTACGGCGCGTTTCCGCGCTCGGGGCAAGATATGATGACCAAGTTTATTATTATTATTATTATGCAAAAATAGCTAAATGCTTGAATGTGAAATTATACTCGCATTACTTATGTCAAAGGTCAAACTCCACTAGCAACGGGTGCTAAAAGCCCACCGTTCTGTTCCCCTACCACCGCAATGGCAATTACTAGGGTACACATCGACATTGTATAACTATAAAAGCTAGGTTGCTACCTTAGCCATACTCTATTTGCTGGCAATATGACTTTGCGGTGAACGCTGAGCTGGATTCCATACGGGCAGACAGATCCAGCCGTTGCGGCGCTCCGCTTCGGCGGAAGCCGATACGCGCTTTGTTACAGATGTTGTTAGCTGTTTCAGTGCTCGGTAACTTATGTAGGCTACTTTGTCTTTCTATGCGACAGTATCGCACATCTAGCAAGGGGCCACATTGCGCATTCCTTCCCCTTGGCGGCAGATGCCCACCCTCCTACTATAATGATTTCCCTAAGCGTCACAACTGTACCCAAAGATATGGGCGAGAAAGCATCGACGATAATATCGCTACTCTACAGGCTCTGGGTGAAGCAGCGGATGCGCCGCAGTATGATGCTGAGATGCTAGGAGAAGCCTTTACATCCGGCGCAAACGAGCATATGGTGGAGCAAATCGGGAGTCGTTTGACTAAGTTGAAAACTTTAGAAAGCAGGCTCGGTGTCAATGCGTACCCAGAGGTTTCAGCCGATGCGGTGACCGACATGGACAACATTGCCCTTATTATTTCAAACCATAGGGATCTCAAGAATAACGAGGAATTGGAATCTGTAAGTTATCACATATACGGCCGTATCAAGGCGATGCGTTTCGATGGGATGTTTGTGGTTATCGAGGACGTGAAGGGTAACGAGTTGCAGGTTATGTTCCGTCGTAAGCAGACCATCGAGGTCGCCAACAAAACTTACGATTCCGAACGCATCGGCCATATTTTAGACATTGGTGATATAATTGATGTACGTGGTCATATAAAGAGGACCTCGACCGGCGAGCTTACTTTGGTGGGCCGTTCCGTGGCTATGCTTGCAAAGTGTCTTTTGCCGATGCCTGATGGGTTCCATGGTCTTAAGGATATCACAACACGGCAGAGATTACGTCATGTAGACATCATGACAAACCGAGATTCGAAGAATCTGTTATTACAGCGTTCCCATATAATTTGGCACCTGCGCAAGTTTCTACATGATAGGGGTTTTGTTGAGGTCGAAACTCCCATCCTTCAGCATTTATACAGCGGTGCACATGCTACCCCTTTCAAGACACATTCCGAGGCCCTTGGAGATGACCTTTATCTGCGCATTGCACCCGAATTCTACCTCAAAAGGCTGATCGCTGGTGGTTTCGCTGATAAGATTTTCGAGATTGGCAAATGTTTCCGTAACGAGGGTACAAGCACTCGTCACTCTCCTGAGTTTACTATGATAGAGTTATATCAACAGCTGTCCAATGCTGAAGACATGATGCGTTTAATGGAGGATATCGTCGTGACCCTGTCTGAGGGATTGGGCACTTCCATCCCCAAGTTCACTAGGAGGACTATGAACGAGTTAATAAGGGAGCACACTGGGATAGACGTTGAAGGTTGTAGTAGTGAAGACCTTTTGTCAATATTAAATGACCGTGGTGTTGACACTACGCCTTTGTCTGCTATGACTCGTGGTAATTTGGTATGTGCGTTGTTCAAAGATGCAGTTGAGGATCATATTACGGAACCGACTCACGTTACGGATTTTCCTGCCGATTCTTCACCACTCGCTGCTGCAGTAGGCTCGCATGGCCGCGTATTTGAGTCATACATTGCAGGTCTAGAGGTTGCTCATGGCTGCACCGAGGAGTGTAACCCTGTTGAGCTTTTGCGCAAGCTGGACGGCTGTGGTCTTGAGGGTTTGGGTCATGCGCGTGATACTGAGTTTCTAAACGCTGTTGCTTACGGCCTAACTCCCACGGCAGGTCTTGGTATTGGCATTGACCGTCTTGTGATGGCGTTAACTGGCGCGTCTAGTATAAAGAATACTCAGACGTTTCCGTTATTGAAAACTGTAGAATAACCTATATATAGTTGTTTTCACAAACACCGCGATACATTGAAAGTGTTGACTAGTTAAATTTTAAAGCATAACAAGTGGCATGGTCCCAGCTGTTATGACACCGTAACCCTTTAGACGGTGTCTACAGGTGTTGTCAATGCCTTGGTGAGTTTTTCCACCTCTTCGTTGATAAAGTCAAGTTGTTCTGTAGACTTTTGATGCAGTTCGTCAACCTGTATGTGATGCAATGTGCAAGGGTGTCTAACAAACCTTTTGTGCATATGCTGTTAGGGCGGGGCGTACTTCCGCTACCGTCCGTTCTACTGCGACACGGCCCACGATACGGTAGCACCTTCGATCATCTGGTAGCGTGGATAGTGTCTTCAACACTAGCCTATGAGTACTTACACACCTATAAGGATATACCTACTTGTGCTCCGCAGACTCCTGAGATAGGTCATCTAATTGGCCGAGTAGGCGTAGTCGTTCCTTTTCCAACTTCTTGAGGTTCTCTTTCTTGCCATCCGTTCCGTCCATTTTTTATTGTGGTTTTGAATGGACTTCGCGACGATGGTCTTGATATCGCGCCTCACAAAAGAGACTAACCTTCCGTACGACGCCGTGCCACATGTTTACATATTTTCGCGTATGCTTCTTTAACCTCGGAAAAGAGTCCACGCTGCAGGTCTTGTTCTCCCTGGTCGATCGACTGTAAACGTTTGAGCCTATCTGTGAGACGCAGTAGCTTACGTAAAACGAGCCGCGATATTTGTTAAATAACATCGCGTGGAAGATTACACATCGCTGCAATGGTGATGCGAGCCTTAAAGTCAATTTTAGGGGTTCCGTAGAATCCTTCCTACTAGGGGTGACGAGAGCTTTACGACTGCGTACCTCCGATAAAGTAGCTCTAGGTCGACATCACGCTGTGGATCGAACTTGGCAGACGGTTGCTGATAGATATCGTTGCAGTCTCGTACATCTAGACGTGTCCATTTCAACTCTAGCTCCACCTCATTAATCCACAAAAATAGCCCCTGCACTTGTTCACATGGAGAATTCCGACCACTTACTGCACAACGGCACTGCATTCGCATCTCCATAAATTTCTCATCACGTGCTGCCCGAGTTGTGTTTACAGGCATTGTGATTGGCGGCTTGATAGGCACCTTTCCAGGTCTTGGTACTGGTGTCCCTATTTTTTTGGATGCTGGAGGTGCCTTGGCTGCGCCTTTTCTACGCATAATCAACTTGCCCTTATCCAGGAGGTTCCTGAATAACCCTCTTACTTTACCACCCCGTGTCGTCGGAGGTGCTTTTTTAACAGCCTCAAGTTTATTCGGTTTCGACCTTGGCTTTTTAGGTGCAGATGCTATCGCTTTTCCCGTTAGGGAAATTGGCGGCACCTTTTTCTCAGCACCGCTATCTGGTTGTGGCTGCCGAGGTGGTGACAATGTGCCTTGCGACCCCCTTTCCGAAGCACTGCTTTCGCAAATAACCAGCGACGGCACACTAGGTAAGCTGTAGCTATCCTGTAGCAACATATCAGTTACCGATGTATCTTCGGGCTCTGGTGGTTCTCTGTTGGCACTATGTACGTTACCTTCCGAGTCACTTAAAAATGACTTATGATCATCGGTATAACTTCCAAATGTTCCAGTAGTTTCCGTGTAGAATGAGCGCCTAACTGTTGTTGCATGTTCCAAAGCCATCTCGGTTGTATCTGAGGCATTAGTCTCCAGCTTTATAACCGGTGCCTCATGAACATTTGGACAAGATGAGCTCGTGGTAACCACCGATCCACCTGGTGATTGTGGTGTAGCTATGGAATGGGCAGTTTCTGGAAATGGGAGTCTGTTTAAGTGTGCTGCCAATAACCGGAACTCCTTTGCGCATACTAATACGTCATGTACTTCGTTATCCTGAGAGGCATGGGCTATAACCAATATGTATTACCTTTGAAACGTTTAGCAATATACTATGTGCCATCACATTCCCAAGACGTACAGGTCCGCGTGTTGCGGTACAATATAAATACTTCCTGTTGATATCTGTACCCACTGCCTTGTAAACACGTAACTGCACATAACGTCCAATCTGTATACGCCATAACTAATTTTGCCATGGTGAGAGTACCGTGAAATCGCGAAGATAAAACACGTCACTTATACTGGCTGCAGTTGGTAAGAACTCCCCCAAATGCCCACGCCGTGCGGATAGGTACCATTCAACACGGTATACCGTAAATGGTTCCATCTGCGGTGTCTTTAAGCTCCTAAAACTTGCATAGCTCCCTTCTTCCAATGTACCGTCGATTATTACGGGATAGTCGTTGCTGAACTCTGCCGGCAGGTCACCTATCCCTTGTTCCTCCTCGCCTAATGCGATCCCCTGAATATTTTCCAAACCAGGAGTATGTAACTCACCAGATTATTCAACATATCACCTACACATGATGCATAATAATCATCACGAACGAGTCTGTAGTTGCATCCTGTGGTCTTGACTGTTTGTTCCGTTGCATCGTCTCCCGTGCGTTTGTCTCCCAGCGCCTCGTGGAACTTTACATTAAGACTGCCATAGTTGTATACTGGTATCCCGAATCGAATTTGTATAGCCTTGCATAACGCTTCACATTCCTCTGTCGACGGTAACGTAAACCTTAGACATCCAGCACCTTCGGCTGCAAGGTTTATCTCGATCAACTATTAATTTTATATTTACAGCATGCCCAAACTCACATCTCTATGCGTTGCAGTTGCGGTTTGTATCGATTGTTCGGGCGAGAGTATACGTCTTTGGAAGTTTGCGATATCCTTAACCTCGATGCGCCTTATCTGGCGCAGGTTCTCGTCTAGGATGGAAATTGTCCTTGATGGCTTGACATATAGTGACAGATAGTACAGATGGCACTGTTGACCGAAGAGTACCTTGTACAACTGGCCGCTGCTTCCTGGAGTAGATTGCATCTCTGGTAAATGTTCAACAAAGAGTACACATTTCTAGATTAGTATTGAGTATCAACTAGGCTCCGCTACACTGGGCAGTTGATAGTTACACATATAGTCTATAAATGGCGTAGGTTCCCCGTAGAGAACGCCTCGATGTGCCCTCCTCCTAACACATCGGCAGACATTTGATGTGATCAGGGGGTCTTCTGCGGCACTAATTGGCTGTAATAATACACTATACAATTTTTATGGGTAAAAGCTTGCAACTTTCTTAATGTAAAGCCCAGATACAGGCAGATTGCTGTCTACAGCGTCGTGCGCCTTAAAAATGCGGAAACTACTACTAAAATTACACAAAAAATCAACCAAATAACATATAAAACCATTATATGTGTTTCACGTTGTCGTTTTTCTGATCTTCCACGGTCATTGATAGCTCATATAACGTTGCGATGCAGCGATGCCGTTTTCTCTCACCTACAGATAGCCCATCTCTTTGTCATGCCGCAAAGTAGTTGACTATCTGTATGGTTGATACCACTGCCCCTTTAGTAGTTATGCATCTGCACTCTAGCGGAGGATGGTTGCGCCGGGTCTCATAATTTTTAACGACCCGGGGATTCACACGCAGCAAAGAGAAGTGGGAAGAAGCCTCAGCAGTTAGTGACTCACTGATATCCTTTGCGTCCACCACAGCCCCCTCCACTGACACTAAATGGAAGCAGTTCGGTGGGTACGTGACGTATGGTGGTGGACAGTGGAAACCGGCCATATCCTGACTGTGGAAATCAACTTTACAACCAACCACCTCACCTCGGTCGTTGTATAATGGAATAGTATCGCTTTTGAATACATCTTGCGTTGTTTGTATAACTCCACATCCGTGTACGTATGGGTCTGTTGCACGTGCTACAACTTTAACGAGATTGTATGTACCGTGTGGGTATATCTGGGCCCAGTGCGATTCATCCATAGTTACTCTTTCAGAAGGTTCATCTACAAAGAGCCACGGAAAAGCGTTCGTTGTTCCAGTTAGTGTACCACAAAGGAAGTAGAGCTCTAGCCTATCGTCTCCCCTTGGGTCCTTCGATATCGTAATCGCACCCTTACGATACGTAATGACCAATGAATCATGGTCCCCTTCTTGAACGTCTAAATTAACTAAGAATGCGCCCCGGTCCCCCTGTAAAATTCGGTCGTGCTCTCTGTGAACCAGAGTCTTCGTCGACCCGCGTTCTTCCACATAGTAGTGAAAGTATTCAGGGTTTTTTGGGAGCCATGATGTTTTTATATCATCTAGATTAGTCACACGACCATTGGTTCCTTGTTGATTAGAAGTTGATGGTTCGCGATATTTGCATACAAGGGCTACTGTATCGCCAGGTTCAACTGTTATAACATGCTGTCTGGCATTTACAACCATGAATCCTCTAATCCAGACTGCAGTCCTATACGGAGAATATGCAACATCCATATACAATTTCATTTGCTGTGCACCGGCGTCGGCAGTTACTGGAAGAATAGGAAAGGATAATACATAATGATGATTGGATTCCAATATAATTCTTGATGTTAGAAATCCTTCATTGTTGATACACCCACAACTTACGCTAACAGGATGGGTGTTCTTAAAGGCGAAATTAAGCTGTTGTAGTCCTTTTACTTTAACTCGTTTAATAGCCCTTAGTGAGCGTGGCCACAGTATTGTGTCACCTGTGGAAATATCGTATGCCAGACGTTCGCAGTCGTTCGGAACGAGTTCTTCATCCGGTTTGCAGTAAATAGCACTTCTAACATATGTGAATGTGCTGCGAACAAGACATTCGTATACCATGCCTCCATTGCCGGTGAACTGTTTCCAGGAACAAAAGTTGCTGCTCAGTTCTGGATTGAATATGCTATTTTCACTTTTATCACATCCCACCACATTATATCGATGCGTAAATGCTAGTGCGACATTTGCTGTTGCGAATATACGTGGAAAAACGTAATTATTTTGAGGATACAACCGCCAAGAGAACAAAATTGAGTCGTGATTTCCTTTCAGTGTTAGTGGTCTATCATCCCGATAAATCAATTTAACCTCTCCCTTATTTATTTTTGAAGTATCTAACACTAGCGCATCCCCTGCTAAGACTTCTTCGTATGCCATCGACTGTACAGAACTAAACCACATATTTCCCCCTAGTATGTGTAATTTTGATAGATTTTGGGGATTGAATTCTGTAGCAAATAAGTATTGCATTGTGTTTTCAAGTTCTGCTGCGCTAGAGCTATCTGGCTTAGTGTATTTGGGATCTGGTGGGAATTTGAACGTCAGTGTGCTTCCTGGATATAGAACTACTGAGCACCAAAAATCGTTTATATGTCTGGCTCGATTTTTCATGATTTTGTCAGTGATATTACATACGTAATTACGTTCTGAGTGGAACTCTATTTTAGCTAGGACATTTTTAGTTTGGGGATCGACGCATCTGCAATATCCTTCTAGTGGCTTTCTAGCCATCAATGTAAATGGTTGTGCGACTATCAATTTGTTATCATTGACAATGTTCCAAAGGTGCATTGGTTTAGGTTCAGACCTCCGGTCATTTGTAAAGACGGACAACATACAATCTCGTGGTTCTAATTCTCCTTCACACAAGAAGCCAATAGGTGTTACAGACATGGTATCTACTACACAGGACCGAATTCCCGTATATGGATCTATATGAACAATTTCTGGGTCACGGAACAATGGTGAATCTCTGCTTCCACATCCTCTAAGTGGATGGTGCCACTCATTTCTATTTATGTAAACTAGTCCTATGCCAGTTCCATATCCTTCCAACTCTCGGGATAGTTCGGAATTTTCCATCCATGGTATATAATGCATGGTATCAGTATCGATTGTAACAGTTATGTACTGCATGAGACCGTCTGTCATTTGCAAATTTGTAGGTGCACATACGAATAGCAATCGGTTATTTCTAATTACTACATGATAATCGACTGGCATTTGCATATAAAGAACTGTAGCGTTTTCGTTACGTTCAAACCAGAGGAACGGTTCGCCTCCGTCTCTTATTACAGTATCGTCTATAGGTCTATCTTCCAACCCCCTGGGCCCGCTGACATATACTCTGCCTTCGTGATTTTCTGTGTTACATAAGGGATGCCACGAATACTCAGTTGCCCCTACATAGCTAGGGCAATATGCTGTCAGTGTTCTACCTGCGAATGCGTCGAATATACATACGGCAGCGGCCTTATCCGTCAGTGATGCTTCACCATCGAATTCACACAACCTATCTTGGCATTTCGCCAATAATGGGATTAATAGGGCCGCCAGAACTGGTACAAAACTGCGGATCAGTTGTGTCGTCTCCATTATTTATGGGCTCTCAGGAACTTTCTTCGGCGATGGCTGGAACTCTAAAGGTGTAGCACTCTGTTGATACGTAGAGTATGTACAAATTTATTTTCGGTGAAAACCTTGGTGACATACCAGGTCGTCACACGAAACACATACGAAAAATAAGTTGTGAACTAATGTCTCCAACTCTAGGAATGTAGAATAGAAGCTAGCTATAAACGCCGCCCACTAGGTTTTCTGCGATAGTGAAAAAATATTATTTTTTTTTCAGAGCTTTAATTTAAAACTTCGTATTTCTATATATGGTAAAAATTTGCTGTAAAGTGTATTTTAAACTATCTTAACCGTATTTTGTTTAACATCGCAGTTCAAGCATCAATATTTACCTGTAGTAGCAATTCGTGATAATATAAAAATACGGTTATAACCGTAACCCACATCCAGCAGCCCATATTAATACAATATCTACGTTGTATCATCGTCAATTTATGACACCATCTGGAAAAATAATATATAACCCACCGATAGCTGGCACATGGATAAAAAGGACACACATATTAACGATCCGTATGCTAGGCCCATACGTAAACTCTACCATAATCAGGCTGTTAGCTAACTAGCGTACCTTGTCACCCCCAAAGCTGGCGGACTCAACACAGCTGGTTCCAAGGTCCCAGGGGGTCACCTCTATCCCCCTCCTCAGGGTGGAGCTAGTTGAAACGACCCTTACGACGCCTCAGCACCCTTTAGAAAGAGACTTACCTATATGACAGCGGCGCACAGCGGAAATAGAACCCCCACCAACGAATCCAAGGGCAATAGAGGGCGCTACACAGGCTGAAAATGTGTAACAACCAAACAACAAGAAATGGACAGATTCAAAATTGTACATATTAACAAATTACTATGCGATATGTTAGTCTCATAGGATCACGTCGAAACGTTCTTCTCCGGCCCCTTCAGTGTCCTGTAATATTTGATGCAGCTTGTTCAACCTCTGGGACTCGCGCTCACGTGCAGCACGCTCAGATTGTGCTTGTTCAGCAGCAGAAGGCCCAGTTGTGTTGAAATTGCTTTTTAAAAAGTACTCCTGGAACACCTCTAACTGTGATTCATGCTGCTTTACACGAGCTTCAAAGGCAGCACGTTCGTGACCCTTCTTCCGGTTCTCCTTTTTCATATCATGAGCCCACTTTACATTTAGAGCCGTAGAATAGTTACCCAAAGGTTGACTTGCCATTGCCACTTTTGCAAATTCAGCAATCACCCTAGACTCATAGGTCACGAAAGCGATGCCCTTAGCAGGCACCAAGTTGAGCTCTACTATCCTACCGAACCTACCGAACTCTTCTGTCAGGACCTGTTTCAGGTTATCGATAGGGTTATATTCGGCATTATCGGGGTAGACGTCACCTATAAAAAGGCTCTTGCAGTCTGTCATGAAACTTCCTACACCACTCATATCATCACGATGTTTTGCATGACGTTCTCTGCCGAATATATCTACACCGGAATCCAAGAAAAATTCGTCCTCGACAGTTGGTACTCGATGCAAATAGTTACACTTGACACCCAAGGTACAACACCCTTTAGCGAAAAATAAACAGCAATATTTAGTACCACAGTCGTCCAACGTGTTCCTAGAGCTGCCACGAGTATAACCGCTGTCACGTTCAGGGTCAAGCTTATACATGGCCGGCATTAATGTTGCACGGCCGTTGACAGTGTTTGTACGTTCTCCCGACCACTTGTTATACCAGATATTGTACTCTTCGCTACCCTGTATATATGCATTACCCTCAAACTCCTTAATCTGCTGGCGTGCAGGTCGTGACATAAGCTCCTCTAGGTGAGTACGCTCTGCTGCGGTAGGTATGGCAACTGCTTCTTCCACTACTTCCTGACCTAATGGTACGGCACAGCCATCTACCAGTCGCTGTAACTGTAGGCTGTCCACAATGCTCTGGTCCAGTTCACCAGCCTCGATCTTCTCACGGATCATAATGGCATAACTGTTAAGTGGCGGAGCATTTTCGGCATCAGACCCCGAAGATTCTTGCTTATTATCATCATCACCAGAAGTCTCCGAATCCTTAGGACGACCATCATCTTCCCCGGGCGACTGCGGTACGTCTGCTGGAACTGCTGAGTGGTCAATTTCTGCGAATCTTTCAGTATCACGATTATCAGATTCAGCTTCTGGCGCATGAATATCATCTGTAGCAGCGACACGTGCCCGTTTAGGAGCATTTGGACACGGTTCATCGTGCCCAGGGCTGCTACTGCTCTCACGCAGTGGCGACCTTTTAGGTTCGCCACTGTTTGAGGCAGATTCAGCGTCAGAATCTATTCCCATTTTTTACCTAAATAAAGTACTGATTAGCTATGATGGGGGTATATATAAGCTGGAAGCCGTACTCTATCTTCGAGCGTGCCGCGCCGGTCATGGAGACCACCAATAACAGACTGTCTACGGGACTTCTGTGCACAGCTCTGCGGAAACACGCAATAATCGCGATATTCTCGGCTATATCGCGCCAAAATAATATACTACACACTAACGACGCATCGCCCATTATTAAATATGTGCCTTCTAGCAGTTCATACCTTGCTGGTTAACCAGCACGCGCCTACGCAATCTAAAGCATGTCATTAAACTACTGCTGGCTGTAGGCCGCAGCAATGATCTCAGAAAATTCCGGAGTAATCGACTTTCCCCCTACCAGGAAACCGTCCATGTTTGGGACCTGGAGCAGCTCGTGGCAGTTCTTTTCGTTGACAGAGCCTCCGTAGACGATACGCACAGTTTCAGCCACAGCGCCAAGTTTCTCTGTAAGGTAGTCCCTTACCATCTGCAGTGATTTATAATAGTTATAGACAAACATGACTTTGCGCAAATGTAGCCAATAAAAGAGCACATATCTAAAGACAAAAACTGACATGATAGTGCAGAACACATATCCATAAGCACGTAGAGAGTATTTGGTGATAGTGGGTAATAGTATATTGAGAGCAATAGCCGCAGCGTTCCAGTGATGACTGGGCCCCCGTTATGCTATTGCCTCGCACAAGAATACCAATATCATGTAATAGAACGTACCTGATGGGCTTCCTGCACTTCAGCAGATGTAGCTACCTTGCCTGTGCCGATAGCCCATACTGGTTCGTAAGCAATTACTACGAGGTCCCAGTTGGTTACCGACCCTACGAATGCATCTAGTTGACGTGTCAATACCTCGCTAACACGACCTTCTTCACGTTCACCAAGGTTCTCTCCAATACATACAGCGGCGTGTAGCTTAGTCTGTTGTGCTATTTCCACCTTCTTAGCAACAATTGCGTCGGTCTCTCCAAACAGGCTGCGGCGTTCAGAGTGACCAATTAAAGACCACTCCAAACCAAGCCCAGAGAGCATAGGAACAGCTAATTCACCAGTGAAAGCACCGCATTTGGCTTGAGAGAAGTTCTGCACGCCGATCTTGTACCTTTTAGCGTCGAAATGCTCCAAAGCCTTCGTAATGAACAAACTGCTAGGGAAGAGTACCACGTCTGTTAAAAGTTAAATTATACAGCTATTGTACCTACCCAACTTGCTTCCATCGAAGTCAACAGCGTCAAAGGCCTTGGAGAGAGTTGATACCAACTCAGTAGAACCGTTGCATTTCCAGTTGCCACCAACCCATCTCTTACGAAGTACTGCCATCTTAAAAATTATAAGCTGATAAATGTCTATCGATATGCTTTTGCGAGACAAAAAGATCAAGTGAATCTTTAATCCGAGGATTCCAAACGTCCCAACCACGCCACACACACCACCGGACATGATTTGACCAAAAGAACTAATCAAAGCACACCAGGCCTCTAACAGGTGTTTCTTAGGTCGAGTTACGCATGGAGTGCGACTTACGTCGCATTAAAGCCGCTGAGGCACGACATCGGAGGGTCACATTTCCCACGCAAATAGGCACTCTAACAGGTGTAAGTAACGCGAGATTCCTACTAATATCACTTTCAACGTAGCGTATTGAGCAATCACAACTTGAAAGAGATGTACCTGGTGATGTCTACACAGAGCTTATCGCTATACATCCAGGTGAATATTTGACGTTGCAAAGCGCCTTTCATTTTAGGGTGTTACGGTATGCTTAAACTAGTACTAGTTCACTTGCATACAGCGGTGCTGTCGAGTTTAATGGACATGTATACACTCCACGACAGAGAACATATACAAAGGTGCTAGTACCATCATGGCACCCACCGGAACGCATGGTATCACTATGCGATGGCAATCACACCGCTGGATTCACAGCGGAAAGATCGGCCTCTACATCATGCCACGAGTGTAGGCGTATCGTAACTCAGAATTTCTTTGGTGGTTCATCTTGTGCCATCAGGGCAAGGGTTGCTGAGGACACAGCTTTGATGGAGAAGCATTTTAATATGACAAAAGCGGAGGTGAAACGATCTCCTGAATCCGATGACCCAGATAGCGATGCTATCAAGTTCTACGATGCCAAGCACCCATTTTTTGTAAGTATAGACGTAGATAGTGAACTGATGTTGTATCAGAGTACTGGCACATTGGTATCCTTTATCACACATACTTGCGCATTCGGCACAACAAACATCAGGAATGTATTAGTACCACCTATACGTACGAAGATTACACTGCCACAGCTGTAAGTAGTACTACTATTGACCATGAATGAGTGCAGGATCCAAGCGGCACGAGCGCTATTAAAATTATGTACCAAAGGCGATAGATTACCCGTACTGATGGTCCATGGTGACAAGGGTGCAGGAAAATCTACCTCTATCATGTATATAGTCAACTATCTGCTAAACCATGTGAACACAGTGGCACTATTGGATACGGATGTCGGACAACCTATATTTTCGCCACCTGGTACAATATCGCTAAAGTTCGTTGATCAACCAATCAATGCACCTCCTCATGCGCTCCTAGCTGAATATAGGCCTGATGTCACCTATCTTATCGGTGATGTAAAAGTGATCAATCCGTCTATGATGTTGAGGCATACACATCGATGTTTCGAAATATACACTAGTGCCGTCGGTGATGACCGTAGCGTGCCTTTGGTCGTAAACACTTTTGGATGGATCTCCGGTATGGGTGCCAAGCTGCTTGAATCTATTGCGGCAATCACAAAAACTGGTGTCATGTTGAAACTAAATTCCAAGCACCTTAAAGGAGTCACGCTACCACCAATCACTACCCACCATGAACTGGAGAATGTACTACGTGAGAACTTGACAATAGCACAGGAGTCCACTGAGCCTGGATTTGGTTTGCAAACAGAAGCTTTTCCCATACACAGGATCGTCGTTGAGCAGTGTGGCGCAAAACTCCCTTGGGATACTGATAGTTGTACTATAATCGAGACACTGTGTCATTCTCAGGCACGAAAGCTTGCTGAAGAAGGGGCACAATCACTCAAGGCAAACTGTTCAGATGAGCCCTCTTGTTTATTACACCTGTGGGCCCAATTTAGTAGAATTGGTGGCCCAGAATCTGAGGTAGCCGGTCCAAACGATCTACGTTGGCTGAGGGCATGTTCTATCCTGAACTCTAGCTTTGGTGATGCTATGCATTTCCCTCAGTTATTACATGAGGAGTTTTTTGGTTCTATAAAAACAACGACTTTCCGCAGATATGTACGAAGACCACATTTATTCAAAACGCCAAACCAACTCCTGCTCATGGCGGAACGGTACTCATTTGTCGTAAGGATCCATACGCCGCTACAGGGTATTGAAGAGGTACGTTACTATTATTTCCTAATCTATACTTTGGGGGCAATGCTCGTCTACTACTTTGTTTTTACAGTGAACTAGTGCATGCTTTTCAAACATATAAAATACGTTCAGCTATGCCCATTTATCGCCGGCACATTTGTTGCTTTGTGTCGTGGACATTGTGAGCACCCTATGTCTACCGAGATCGCTGAAGATTGGGAATTTATCGCATACGTTTACGTACATTATCTTAATGCTGACGACATGACGGTAAGTCACTTGAATAGTTAACCATAACATGCAGATGCTAATATCGCACTCACAAAGGGAAACACGGGAACAGCTGTTAGCTGCTAACCTCGTGGTTGTATGGTATGTATATACTATTATAACGGTAACTATTGTGCAGTCCGACGGTGGGACTGGACACTATCCCTACTCGTCTATGTCCTAAACCCAAGTACGAATGCACAGAGGCCTCTGCAGATCGAACAGATGCATTTTGGAAGCCCAGAGAGCTGTCTACATCTCAGGTAGGTGCGCATTCTATGGGAAGGTAACACCCTGCAGTTTGTGCCGTTTCGTAGGAACCACCTTTTGCACATGATAAACGCGCATGGCGCCGGCAACGCTGCCGGGAATTCAAGAAAAAACATCAAACGACATAAACAGGATGTTAAATCTGAATAACGTATACAGTGTGTCGATGCTAAGATCGCTGTCTGACGGCAATACGCAGTATAATATGGACTAATCCGTCATATTAATATCTATGTGTTATTTCATATTGGTGTGTAACCTATTACCGTTGTCTCTCTGTAATAATGCCGGTGCGTTTTGTTCTTCTGGCGGGCCGACCTGGGATGTCGTGAGATTCCAATATCATGCCATCACTTTGTTCATAGAATGGGTTATATCCCAATGATTCGTGATTCTGAGGGTTGAATTATAAAGTTTATGTACCATTGACCTAGGATATCAATTAGTCTTCGTCAAATATTCCGAGGACGCCACCATGGCATCCACAGCTTCGGAGGTCCCCGCTGCACACCTTGACAAGGATGAACCGTGCGATATGGATAATATTAGCAATGCATCGCAGTCACCTATTGTGTTTATGAAGCACACTGATGAACCTGCATATGTTACGAGGCATACAGGTCAGGATTTAGATAGACGTGAGACGCACGTTCAAGAACCTGCATTACGACGTAGAACTTCATCAACACAGTGTTATATACCAAGTGGACTTGTTAGTGAACTTTTCAAACCACTTTGGATTGCAGTATACAGACCTAAACTATTACAGAAAAGGTAAGTCAGAACATACACCTAAATATATGACATAGGACCATCGCTGGAGCCGATATTGAAAGGATCTGTATAGCATTACTGACAGCTGCGAAAACTGATGAACGCCCATTTCCCACGGTAGGATGTCATATAAAAGGACTTTGTGTCATATTAGCGCAAAAAATTACGCTACTACTTGATGATGCTAACATTCTCAGCAAGAAATTGATGATATCGACAACAGTGCCAGGTACTACCAGGCGTGCTAAGGTACGTAAGGGGTATGTTGAGTCGGATGATGATTACGAGATGCCTAAACGAAAACGTACATCCGCTAAGTCACGAAAAGCTAAAAAAAGAATGTTAGCACTGGAGGATTATTATGAAGAGGGCTATGGCCAACGCAATGGTGAACGCCCAGTTACCAACGGTGACGGTAGTGAGCTGGATGAGAATCTCGGTAACCAAGATAGTGATTACATGCCGGTGGAACAGATCGAGGTACTTCAGTTGATGAATTTCGGGATTGGGATGGGTGTAGGTACGGATATCGCTTTCTATTCGTCAAGCAGCGCAAACCGTGAACATGGTATCAGCTATCATAATTTTGAACATGGGATGGTTGATAGACAGCCAATGTCATTAGAGGATCTACGACACAATAGGGAAACTATACGTCCAGATTCATTCTTGGATCTCCAATCATTAAGTTCGCCATTCAAACTCAACGGCTATTCATTCACTCCCCAAACTAGGGTTAGCCAAGAGCTGTCGGATGCAGCAACTACCATCGCAAGTACTGAACTTAGCCTGCAATCAGATAGTGTAATGCTTAGTACACCAGAATCTGGGAAGTATGATCTGGATTGGGACATATACAATGATGCATTAAGGGATATTGAAGAACATGTCATGAGTGAAGATCGTACCGGATCGGAATTGGTGCCAAGCAATACCAAGGATCGCCGCCGCATGGTTCTGGAATATACAGAACCTGACGGTAAGGCTGTGCATTTGGTTAAATCAAAACGTGTCGCAAGATATGATACGAAAGTTACTAGCACCAATAACAAAACTCCCAAGAAAGTTAAACTGCCTAAGGAACAAACCACTATTGATACTTTCACAGTATCACCACAGGCCATATGTGATAAAACGCAATGGTTCAATTCGGCAATCGACTCATTAGTCAAATCTGTCATCGGTCACATGCCAGACGGTAACGAGCCTTCAAATAATGCAGAATCTGACAAAGCCAAGGTAAACGGCGGTCAGAAACGTGTCAAACCCGCAGTGGAACTGCCATCCACCAAGCAGGGTGATAAGTGGTTTAAAAGGGTCGAGCGTGAGGTTGCTAAATCTAAACATCACAAATCCACTGTAAACGTATTCGACAATGAAACTGTGAGTACTGTACAAGTCATCGAGGGTTATCGTAAATGCGTCCGTGACCGTCAGAATGCGGCAGAACCAATCGAGCTCGCTGCTTTGCTTAAAGGCAGGTCCAAGGAGAACGCTGCATTGATATTCTATCGCACACTGGTGCTCGCAAACGCCGATTTTATAGCTCTATCACAAGAAGACAGACCGGGGGCACAAATCGCAGTAACGCCAGCACGCCGGTTCTGGGAACCCATCCATACATGTCGAGATTTGAAGGTATAGTGACTGTATTTAAAGACATTCTGTCTATTGAATACAAATATCTGGGCGCATTAAATCACAGCTTAACTAAACATAGTAACACTTTGGCAATGCCACTGACAACGACATTTTGCCTCAAAACGGCCAAATATACAAGGAAGGTACCACTAATGTGTCGGCCATGATCATCCTTGATCACGGCCAATGGCCATGACTAAGAGTTTGGGGCCAGCTGTGGCCTATGGGTCGATGCGTAGATCCTAATTGCGAACTTGTGGTATATCTGCTTTTTGTCTTACGGTATCTCTAAGACAGAGGAGGTAGATATCGATAAATGGGTACCAATGTGTAGGATGGGGCTTGCCCAGACCCCAGCCATTAGCGGAGACCGATTGGCATCCGTCTTAACGAGGCGCAGTACCGTAAAAAAGTTGTAAATTTTCAATTTAAGTAATAGCCCCGCTGTAGTGCCTCACGCGGGGTTCTACATAACAGCAACAGTCATTCGATGCGCCTGTAAATCTACGGCCAGAATCGACAACCGCACTACGTAACGCGGTCTAGAAAAGGCTCAAGGAAACTTAAAACGATAATAGGAGCAAAGAAGTGGCTAGGATACTCTGCAAAAAAACTTCTATTTGAACAACATGGTACAGCTACTGCGAATAACCCCCGAAGAGGTTATCGAGTTCCCTCTCGTCCTCTACACACCCTTGAACGCCAATCTCAAACTTGAAAACATCAGTGATGAGAGTGTAGCATTCAAAATCAAAACCACCGCACCCAAGGGTTACCTCGTAAGACCAAGCACGGGTGTAATCAAGGCTGGGGAACATCAGTCGGTTCAAATCATCCTACAACCTCTTACTGAAACGCCCAAGACTGTAAATGACAGATTCCTTGTACAATCAGTAACTTACGTCAGTGAAGAGCCCGTGCCTAAGGATCTGTGGACCACTGTTGACAAGGCACAGGTTGGAGAACACCGACTTAGTGTATCTCTGGTCAAGGACCCAGGACTTAACATCCAATCTGGCAACTCCCCTCATGGTATCCCTCCTCGCATTGCTGCAAGGTTATTCACCCCGCAGAGCGCTAATGTGGATCTTCCAGGTAAGTATCATCATCTGTGTATTTAGATGCCCTTTCTATGACTTTGCTAATGTATATGCAGAATTACGGCAAAAATACGATGAACTTGTCCAATATTGTCTCTCTGTTGAGAAGTTGAAGGCTCAGATTATCAGGGAAAATGAACAACTCAGACAGAGATTAAACCTTGGACAAGCTGACTCCCTGGGATCAAAGCTCTCTATTGAGTTCTGGTACATCCCAATCATCATTATTTTCATGGCCGTGGTTGCCAAATACATGGGACATATCTAGTAACTAAATATTTTTTACTATTTTCATAAAATATAACGTATATTGTGTGTTGACCCCCCCTGCCTTCCGTGACGTACAGGTTAGCCATTATTTATTTTGCATACACCTGGCAAAATGGCAGATGTTTACGGCGATGAATTTGGAGATAATTTTGGTATCGATGAGTTTGCAGAGGAGGACGAGGATTACGATGAATTTGATGACTTTGACCAACAGCGCGTCGCTGATGTCGACATAATCACCGATCCAAACGATTACAGACAACGTGTAAGTCGGAATTATTCAATGTATTATATACACATTTATAGGTCGATAATGCTCACAGAATTACAAGCCCTTATATGACAAAATACGAAAAGGCAAGGATCATAGGCACAAGGGCATTGCAAATCAGCCTTAATGCACCTATCACAATACCAGTAGATGGATCCATTGACACCAGCGACGACGGGATCGCAATGGGATTTGGAGAGTCCATTGACACATCAGCAGCAGCTATCGACCCTCTCGTTATCGCCGAAAAGGAACTATACCAGAAATCGGTACCCTTCATTATAAGAAGGTACCTACCCAACGGGTCATACGAAGACTGGAAGATCGAAGAACTTATCATAGATTGAACTATGTGATTTCAAAAAAATATAATACTACTAATAACTCCGTTGTTTGCATATTGCTAATGTGATCGATTGCAGTATTACAATCGCACAGACCATGGTTTAACAACAATCACCATGCTCACCGGCGATCATCATCTGTTCCGGTATTGGCGCTACGATGGCATGGAGGGAACATCAGTTCTGAGATGTCGCTCATGCTCTCGTAGGTGCTTGCGTCAGTGGCATTCACATGACGTATAATACCGCTCGGGTTAATTATAAATACACGGTTCTCTGGTACACCCACAGAAACGTAAGCACGGTGATCAGATTCATTGTTTCCGAAACCTGCATAAAAAGGGTTGTGCTCCGGTGGAAACAGGTTACGTATATCCCTTAGGGCAGGGATCTTAAACATATACGTACTACGACTGATCACCTCACGCTTGAAAGAAGGTAGCAGACGGTCGGGTGACAGGAACAATGGTCCCAGTGGAAGTTTAGCCTTTTTCTTCTGAGTTAACCCGAATAGATACTCCCGAGTGTAATCCGCCTGACCAATTGCACGTGCTGTCAGATAGACCACATGATAACCATTAGATCGTATCTTTGTAAACAACTCAGCAACGCCAGTATGAGACCAGTCTCGCCCAAGTATAGGCATAATGTGACCCAATGCATCAGACTTGGTAATAGTGCCGTCCACATCAGAAATCACAATACGAGAATCAGAAGGCCACAAATATAATCTTGCATGGACGCTCTTAGTACCTTGCCAAGAAGAATTCACCGTAAATGTTATACGGTTAACACCCATCTTAAGGTTAAGCGCCGCAAGCTGGTCAGATGTAGGACGGATCGATACTTTGTACCGACGGAACCCATGAGAACCCATAATACGTGTTCCACTGGGGCTGTTACGGAATTCCGAAGCGGATATACGTAACGGTGCCGTCGGCGTTGTGCTAGTTGCAACTAGCGTTGTTCGCAATAACGTAGCTATTGCATCACCAGATAGCGGTTTCTTAAATACAATCCATGATGCAAGAAGTGGCAAAGCGATCCTAGATGGGTAGTATGGCGGTCGATTGTCGAACCTTGCAACTAGAGATGAATGATACCAAAGTGATGGATCTGTGTTCAAACGCTCCCAATCCACTATATTAGCTGCAAATAACTGATGGTTCAAAGCTTCATCCTGAGAACTCAACAGATGACCACATAAACTAAACTGTAATATCTGGTCATCAGAATAACCAGAGTCATAATCTTGTGACATACTCATATCGTTCCAATCCCGATCCAAGTCACTACGCGAACGACATGTAGATGGAGCTCCAAACAAAACTAAATTAGATTTCGTGGAATCAGATCCCAAAGCCGAACGTCCTGATTGATGCTCAGGTGCTGATATGCGATCAGAATAGTTACGGGTCCGTCCATCTACATGGTTTGCAGCATCAACTCCAGGTTGGTTATTTTGTGAAACATTCGCCATACTAAGTTCATTATTATCACTACGGACACTGCAGCGGCTATTACTACAAGCATAGTAACCGTAATCCATCAGATTCTCACCAACGTCCTCTTCTTCACTATAACCGGATGCGTCACTAAGTTGATGTGAATATAAAGATTTTAAATCCACATTTTCACGCCCGTCTTCATCAAAAAAAGCCTCACCCGCAGCACCCAGTTTCATTGTCAACGACGATAATTCGCCATTAACATATATAGATACTGTTTTTTCACGTGACTTAAGCAATTTCGTTTTACCGAAACGCACATGAAACGGTGTAGATCGGTATATCCACCGTTCATTATCACGTAGTTCAGAACTACCATGTTGTCTTGACACACCTAACAAAACTATAAGTTACATAGACAGCGACACACCTGAAGTTGAATCAGCACCACCGGAGCTTATCACTTCTTTATGGCGTACACATATGATGTCAACACAACCCGAAAGTGTAGCCTGGTTAAAGTCCAGCACACTTACGACGCTACTGTACAACTTCTCCCACATAGTGGCACAGAAAGCCCGGCGTCGAACTCTAGTCAGTTAACAAAATAGACTCCCGATTATATAAAAGCAATGTGAAATGAAGAAATATACTGTAATGTAGATGTTATCGTCCAACGTGGCTCCTTGTGTGGCCCTAGTGCGCTAACGCCAAAACAACAAATTCAACCTTAACAGTACCATGACGTAATCCTATAATATATGCTATTATATTAGTCAAGAGGTGTACCGCAAATGTTAATATGGTAACCCTGTGCGATGCTATTGAGCTACGTACGTGACCTTCCTGCTAACGTAGATCCATTGGATCGATTAATGTTTTTCGCCACCAAATTTTACACCCAGATGATACACACCTATAGATAATAACATATACTATGATTTGGGTGTGATTATTGACACTGTGCGGTATGGACCCTGACATCGACGCAACGCGTGTGGCGTGACGACTTCTGCCTGATATCCTCAACACACCTTAATAATTAATGGTCGATATAAAAGATAATATGTATAGACAACATCTGTCTTAAAACCTGAACAAGCCGGCACGCCGACTATCCGGTAGACAGACACTAACGTTACACACCGAACACCGTCAACTTTCCACGCAACAGATCCGACAGATCCCCGGAAATAAAGAATACACACACGTATCATTTTGGATGATTTTATCGCAAGAACCTCTAAAAAATAATAGAAACGAATACCATCATTAATTAGACACCATGAAGGAAAGAGGGAGCTTCAATGATATGTCCACATATGTACCCTCAAATTGTGACCTATTGGATTCAAGTGGAGATACAGAAACACGATATTATGATTCAAGAGCTAATAGCGACACCCAGGCTCGATACATTTCACTAGAGGTAAGCTGCACACGAAAATACACATAAGACTCAGACACGAATGATCGCTGCAGCTACAAACAAAGATCATGTCACCCTCACCAATATACTACAACCGTTACTGGAGACAAACGATAACCTCCAAATGGACGCTATATGTGCATTACATTGGGGTAAGAAATAAACCATTAGCATCTCATCATATACAGCATGCTACTGTGGCCAAAAGGAGTTGGTAGAACGATTGCTCAACTGTGGTTGTGATCCACACTATCCAGATGATATTAATCTGGAAACACCAATATATTTTGCAATTAGGGGATCAAATGTACCTATAGTACAGATGCTATTAAAGCGATTTGGCACAGAAATACTATGCCATGAAAATCGCAAACGACTAACACCATTCCTATTAGCAGCATCAGAATTTGTAGAAGAAAATGTAATATCAACACTACACATGCTGGAGTTCCTATATCTATCAGGAGTATCACTTGAAGAACAAGATGCTTCAGGACGTACTGCACTCATGCTTGCAAGTAGGCGCGGATGCCAGTTTGTAGTGCAGTGGCTACTAAGCCGTGGAGCTAATCTAGCGCACCGTGACCATATGGGAAACACCGTACTACACCATTCATGCCATAGTACAGATCTCGACACCCTTAGGTTCCTATGTAAACATGGAGCTATAGGGCTCATCAACTCCAAAGCCCTAGCTCTAACTGACAGCGAAAGCACAGCACTGGGGATATGTTTCATGAAACGAAGATTTCTACAGTACTCAATGCTTAAGGTAGGTTAACAGGATAGACAATTAGACCTAACACCACACGTTGGCAATGTCGATCCACTACATTGAAAAACAACTAACACCGTTGCAGATATGGTCCTGGCAATATGCGCTCACGGGACGTCTAATCGCATTCCGTAGTCCTTACCCGATATACTACTGGTTCCTCGCCTTCATCAACCTATTACTCTACTACAAGATTTATGCAGATCTCGGACATATCACACCAGTACAGCTGGCTATAGTAGACATGTGGATAGTTGGATGGCTTATCAACCAGTGTTTCTGGTTCATCACATTTGTAAGTGACCCCGGAAAAGCAAGAAAAACACCAGTAATATCACAAACACATCGAACATCCGCTGACTTTGAAAGTGATATGATGAAGGATGGACCTATGCTAGGTGGTCCTTTGGAAAGTCAGATGTATTTGCTCCAAAAACAACAAGAACTCATCAACTTTGAATTGTACCGCATCAATTGTGACACTTTCAGACGCAACTCATGGATGCCGCATGAAGATTTCGATGGAGAATTATGCGAACCCTTAGACCCATACGGATATGCCGGAGGCGATGCTTTAACACAGCGGATGCAAGTATGTAAAGAGGAGGCACAGATGCTGCAAACAGAAATGCACGCATTGTACCCACAAGTAGGAATTGAAAGAAGAGAACATTGTGTTTTCGGATACGCCGATGCTGTCATGGGTAACGTAAAGGATCTTGGAATAGGAATAGTTTGTATCACGTGTAATATGATCAGGGCTCCAAGGTCACATCACTGTGGGAGTTGCGGTGTATGTATGATCAGGCAAGATCATCATTGTGCATGGGTTGACAACTGTGTAGCAAAAGGCAACCAAAGATCATTCTGTATCTTCGTTGCTAGTATATGTGTATCTCTATGCCACACCTACTATGTCATGTATCTACACTTCGCAAAAGAACTTGCTACCATGAAGTTCAACTGGATATGGGACGTGCCAAACATCGCATTCGGAATTGTAGGTAATGCCGCATGGCTCGCTTTTGTAGGATACCTATTCTTGAGGATAGTAAGGAACATGTCTACTGACGTCACCTTCTATGAATATCTCAGGAAACCGGAATATGTCAGAAAAAGATTCAATGGCCAGGTGCAGGGCTCCTGGTGGGACTTTGCCGGTCTATCGCCGCTCAAAGTTATCGCAAACTGTGGACATTTCTGGATGCCCAGTTGAATGGCGCGGAGCAACCACGCCACACGCAGCGAGGATTAGAAATACACACATATACATAATTTTTAAAATGATACACCAATATAAATAGTTATACATCAGGTGTGTGCCATATAACTCAAAATGGCAGGCGAACTCTATCAGAGTTGTGTCGAACCGGAATATACGCACACCAAACCAGGTGGAAATTTATATTTCCCACCGCTAATCGCACTTGTACACATAACAAGAGGTGTATCAGATGGAATCGAGACCCAACTTAAGAAAAATTGGCACACATATCCTGCAAACATCAAGGAGACCATCATTCTCCAAGATGTCATTAACGTACTCTCGGGCTCCGAAGGCACGCTCTTTCACATAGAACCGGGAACCTACAACGTACGTTGTAGCCCACTAATCGATCGCAGTAAGTTTGAAATCGAAATAGTCTAACATGACACAGAGGAAGATGGGACGCTATGTATGATGGCAGAGGAGATTTTGGAATTGGCCGTTATGCAACGTAGAGTACAGGAATTTGTACGTGAAAATGAAAGGGGATTTGTTAGTCTCAGCTTCTGTGAGGTACTCAACGTACTGTTACAAGAATTACAAAGCCGTGTAACACAATTTGCGGATTCGCAAAATAAAATGGGCGCAGGATTACAGAGATTAAAGTTGTACTTGAAACCAGCACTCCATACGTTCGAGCTACTTACAATGGTTATTGAAAAGGGACCACTTAAAGGTGCGGAACTTATCAATATGCTTGCCTCCACATGCCAAATGTATGGAACAGGGGATGCAAGACGGAGTCTAGCTAATCACCTGATGAAACAGGCTATGGAAGCATATTGCTACCTTATGTATCCTTGGCTCAACTTCGGGGAGATTTATGACCCGTCTCACGAGTTCTTCGTCGTACACAAAAAAACGGGAAAGGTGGCTCCCGAAGATGAGGCCTACGCTATCGAATGGATGCGCGTACCGCTTCTCATGAAGGACATTGCGGAAAAAATACTTGAAACAGGAGTATATATCAGGATATTGACACGGTCAAAGGGCAGAAAAATACCGGAACCACAACCACTGCAGTTCACATCAATAGAGGAACTAACGGAAAGCGTAATAGCTTTGCATCAAACGGCATCAGATGCGCTAATGAAATATGTAGTCTTTGAATGTAATCTGATGCAGGTTTTGGAGTCGGTGCATCGTTTCTTTCTACTTGCAAGGGCAGACTACGCAGTCAATATGCTCGCTGATATGCACCAACGAACTCTAAACGATAGTATCAACCTCAACTTCCAGGAAGCAGTTGCACAATCCTCACTACGAAACGATAAATACAGACACCTATTCTCTTTTAAACTAGAGCAAAAGGATCTTACCTTAGGATTGAACACGAAGCGATGTGAGGACATTGCAAGATGGGTCGTAATGAGGTTCAATGCCAAATGGCCACTGCACATTTTCTTCACGGATGATATTATGGCGAAGTATCAAATGGCTTTCAGGTTCATGCTGCAACTAAAGCAGTCAGAACATGATCTGGCGATGATATGGCTAACGCATATGAAGTGGAAACGCCTGCCACTCACACCAAGTGCACAACTCAGGCTTAACTTCACATTCGTAAACATAGAACGGATGCTATTTCTTTGTCGAAGTATCGCATATTTATCTACTATCGATGTAACTGAACGTAGTTTTAACCTTATGTTACAGAATTATGAAAATCATCTCAAAAATGCAAAGACAGATCAATCTTTCTGCTTCGTTGTCGATCAGCATAGGCAATTCGTGGACCAAGTTATACAAGGATGTATGATAGATGATAGTAAGGTTGGACCTTATGTGAAACGCGCAATATCTATATGCGTTTTGTTTGCAAGCCAAGTTCTCACATTCTTAGAGCAGCATGAGATTGAAAGAAGAGATCCACGATGCGTGGATGTAACCACAAAGTTTGCTAGCGAATTGTTACATAACCAGGGATATATTGCCATGGTGGAAACTGCATCAAGGCAATTTGACGAAAATCTCCGTGACCTAGTGGCAATGCTGGAGGGCCCAGATGCCAAAAACTATACCGGTTTGTTATTACACCTCAACTACAACGGGTTCTTCACATGAGAATACACATGTAATACAGACTATAGTTATTATTTGAAAAGCGGTAAATAAACATTAAATCTAAAGTACAGACCTTAAGCTTCATAATGGCATTAGTAGTATTCGCCAATCTTCTTAATATCTTGTAGAACGTCCTTAAGAATTGCTGCAAAACGTGCAATTGCTGCACCGTCGATGTGGCGGTGGTCCGCGGTAACGCCTAGACAGGCTATGTCACGCGGTACTATGGAGTCACCCACGTAGCATGGTTGTTTACGTGCGGCGCCCATTGCGACTATCGTTGCCTGTCCATCATAAAGACGTGCATTCACGTGAGTACCACCAATGGCACCAAGGTTACTCAAAGTAACAGTGCCACCATTCATATCCTCAGCAGAAAGACGCATTTCATGGGCAAGCTTCTGCACGCGAATCAAATCGCGCTGTAACTCCCTTACGGTCTTAGACTCAACGTTACGAATTACAGGTACTAGCAAACCGTGCTCCGTTGCCACGGCCACGTTGATGTGGTGTTCTGAATATTGCACATAACCATCTCCCTTGAATTTGGAGTTCATGATAGGGTTGGCATTTAAAGCCAAAGAAAGACCCTTTAATATAAACGGTGTCATTGTAAGCTTGACTTCTGTCTCAGAAGCACGCTTCTCACGGTAAAATGCTCTCAAATCAGTTAAGTCGAGGTCCTCTCCCACAGTTACATGCGGTACTTGTAATGAAGCGATCATAGATTTGACCATTCCACGACCTATCGAGTTAAGTTTCATGAATTGACCAGATCCATCTGAATCTTCTTTGCTATCAGATGCAAATCGCTCTACATCGTCACGAGTTATCTGACCCATGGAACCTGTACCTGACACCTTAGATATATCAACACCCAATTGTTTGGCTAATTGCCGTACACTTGGGGATGCACTGACACCACTATCGGATGATCTCTGGAATCTAGGTGCTACTGGTTTTGATGTACCAGATGTCTGTGGAGCTGGAGTCTCACCGGATGCTGCTGGTGGCGCATCATCTTCAGTATCGATGTCCATCAATGGTGATCCTATTTTGATAATCTTCCCAGTGTCCACATAAAGCTTCTTGACCACTCCGGTGTAACGGCTTGTAATATCCACCGCAGCCTTGTCACTCTGTACGGTGCATACAGATTCCATCTCCTCCACTTCGTCACCGACCGATTTGTTCCATCGCACCAACTCTACCTCAGATATACCCTCTCCGATATCACTAAGCATAAACGTTGTTAGCTTGTCACGACGCGCTGAAAGATGGAAATGCCTACTAGGTACCGCGCGATATAGGCTCCTAGAGCCGATACGAAAAACGCCACCGAACATCATTAAAAAGCTTAACTGCAACCTTAGGTTCAATAATGTAGTTATTTTCTATTGTAATATTTGGATGCTATTTTAATATCTTCATGGGTCAACTGAAACACGGCGGGCACCTTCCGATGTCCAATTAGAACACCATGCGTGTCATCCGTTTAATGGATCAGCTATTCAATGTACCAAAATAGTAAAAGGTATATCGCGTGGAACTTAACATGTGGCAATGTGATAACTCAATTTTTGTTGCGAAAAAATATCATCACCTAAGGAATGTGTACAGACGCGCCGAAACACCGCACCGTGCACAGCGACAGTTACATACACATTTAAAAGTTACAAAGAGTGGTGAAGCGTGTTGATATACTCACCGTGGTAGTAAAACTGTGTTCAACTGGCTATGCATAGTGGTAGTGTTTCATAAACCGGTAGATAATGTATTTTGCCATAACTCTGGTCTTCTCCTAGCGATGCTATGCGTTTTTACAGATCATGTGTAGAATAAGTACACGATTATATCGGCATAATATCATAAACATGGTGCTTGTCTGGACACCGGTATGCACACCGGTGCTTGGTACCGAATGGACAACAGAAACGCCGCCTAGCTCAACCCTTACACATCAGCCACGTTGTATAGGAACGAATGTATAATGGAATAATGAGCGGCACACCGCCGGCACATAATTACACAACACAACGGCCAGTAGCTATGGCCGAAACTACGCGGCTCAAAACTCCACCAGCAGATGCTATCATTTTAGAACCCATCGTGCGAGAAAGGATTATAGAAGTCGAGAAACCAGAGATACAAGAACGTATAGTAGATGTGCCAGAAATACAATATGTTGAACGGGTGACCGAAATACCAGAACCCATCATCCAAGAAAATATCGTACATGTACCAAAACCATTTTTGCAAGAAAGAATCAAACGATTGCCGAAACCTATTATACAGGAAAAAATTGTTGAAGTTCCAGTTATACAAATTGTGGAAAAAGTTGTCGAAGTACCACAATATGTCTATCAGGAAAAGGTAATTGAGATACCAAAAGTTGTCATACAAGAACGTGTTGTCAACATACCCAAGAAAGTTACAAAGGAACGCATCGTTGAAGTGCCAAAAATACAATACAAAGAGGTGAGTAGGACACAATAGCTCCTGAGAACACCACTCATGCTTGCACAGGTAATCAACGAACGCATTGTTGAAGTCGAACAGGAAGTACCAGAAATAGTTCATAAGGATGTGAGAGTTACGCACTATGTAGATCGACCTGTAGAGGTGGAGAAGATTGTTGAAGTTCCACAAATACAGGTAAGTGGTTATGATAACAAAATATAACGTTATAGCACAAATACAAGGACGTAATAACACCACAATATCGCAAAGTGCCAACACCTGTGGAGGTACCCGTAAAACAATACAGAAACGTGCCGGTTACCAAGGTAATCGACAGAAATGTACCTGTACCAGTCGAAATAGATGTGGTACAGGAATTCACATGTCGTAACATAGAAACAAGGTGAGTCATGACACTTCAAGATCAATTCGCCTTACAGATATCATGAAATACCGGTGCCAGTACATGTGCAAAGGATCATAGAACATCCGTTGCCACACGAAGCTTTCCAAAATACAAAACTTGTTCCTGGCTACTACCGGTCGGTTCAAGACAACCTGCGTACGATGCAACAGGCGGGATTGGGATGCCACAACCACGGCCAACTTCCAAACACAAATAATCAAGAATAAACGGCCATTGATGCGCCATAAGTGCAGAAACCGACGACATAGCGGCACGATTTGACGACATGGAATAACGAAAACTATACGAGGGAACTACGTGCTCCCATGTAATATAGCCAAAACATTACGTTCAAATGTTAAAATGCTTCCTTTTAATCAAACCAGGTACCACAACTCGATCCTCAGCACGTCAAAATAGCCATCATCATTACTAACCAGTGGAGGAGAGTTGTAAGACCGGCAGCATTGCGATAACCCGCTAGCCATATTCTTATCTAGAATCAGGGCAGGCATATCGCTACCCACGACGATCTGCTGTGTACCAAACTTAATGCCAGAATTATTAGCGGCAGAACATTTGTAAATCTGAGCCTCTGGCACCAGAGTAAATACGAACGAATCCAGATGATTGGACACTGCAAAAAAATGTAATAAAACTAACTTAAAACATACTCTTTTGTGGCGTGAAAAACCCTTTCGTCGGTTCGCTGTTCATCACTGGGATAAACACACCAAAAACATCACCGCACATAGTCTCGATGAACAACAATGCAGACACTCCAGAAAGATTGCTCTCTTTGATGGTCTTCACCATACCAAGCATCGTAGTGCCATGAGTATCAGATGAATATATTTTCTTAGGATCCAAAATGCGATGACCAGGAAGTAACCATGACCAAATCACCTCCCAGGTGTGCTCCTTTAAAATATCAGAATACGATGCCATACGAGGGCGATAAAACGATTTTATCTTCACAGGCATCAGATAAGGAGTTAAAGCACAGCCGGAAGCGTCACTCTTATAGTACTTTAAGCGGAAACTGTACGCCAACTTAGTTAGCTTATCCAGATCCAGAGAAGGATCCAGACCTATATTATACAACTCCTTCTCAGCCTCTTCCTGAGTGTTGCAACGCATAATACGATCATACCCATGCTTCACTAATGCTATACAGTATCTGCAGAGCACAACCTCGCCCTCGAAAAGAAAATCACCGTATATGCGCAAGATGTAGTCAAACGGTAAAATGTGCGAAAAACCACCTTGTACAGATCGAGCAATCCATGCCACTACATCAACATTGAGAAGTTGCAGTTTGCTGACCAATTTCCGCAAATGATATCGCATAACGCTAAGAACATAACCCACAAAATTTATGAAACCTTCACGATCCACAAACAAAAAACGCTCGCCATATTCCAATCCCCCAGACTTCACTGCCTTGGTCATCAGACAGTGTAATACGCACAAAGTAGATTCGGGGGTCATGTATACCAACAATATACAGCACAGCGAAGGTATTATTGGTAAGAACTCGATCTTTGACGCGAATGACGTATTAAGGCACCACATTATCCGCTTAACCTCGTTCACACCCTCACGAGTTAGCAACGCAGTGAAGTCAGTAACATCAGAGAGTTTATAAACGGAACTCTGGAAAACCATCGTGGTTGAATGACGAACCAACACGTTGTCCACCTTTGTAGAGGGGAACCTGATGTACTCAGTGTCAGTCGATTCCGGTTCGTCAAGACTCATCTGCGACCCTCCATCAGTATATGTATCATCATCATCGTCGTCACCGAATGTGACGACGTCGACATTGCCCGCAAAACTCACATGATGATCACCATCTTTGGCATCCGACGGAGCCTGACTGGTTTTCACCGTTGGGACCTCGATGTCATAACCTACTCCACGAGAATGTGGCTCATCCACAACGCTCAGTTTCCCACTGGAAATCGGCCTCTTTACAGAAGAAACTCGCCTACAACTGCTGCTCATCGCACAGCGAGATCCCAAATTAAGTAAACATGCGATAATGCGTGAAAACGGCCTTTGGCGCCTAGTCGATGTTAAATGGGCCATTTGCTGTTCTCGATCTCGCAGATATTTGATGATCATAGTTGTCCTCGGGAAAACCTCATTGTCTAATTTTTTCAATTGAGGTGAAACATTCTTCCCGATGATACTCGGGTGGTGTGATGGCGGATTCGGAAGTGGCGTACGACCCGTCACTAAAAGTGTGTCAGAGAACTGCCTATTATAGCCTTTTCTCTCATGGTAATCGTCAATCGAACTATGACGCTCACGGATCTTTTTCTTAGTTGCCTTTAAGAGCTCCATCTGATTGTGGTCCTTGGCATGCACTGCTGACAAGTAGTTATCAAGAGTGTCACGACGCTGAAGCTCGCAGGACTCGTCTATCACATCAGGCAAACCCAACTGACTCCTACGATGCGAACTTCCATGTGAACCACCGTAACGTGGTGTCATGACGGTGTCGATCGAAGCATACTGTTGGAGTGTTCTATGGGACTTACGCGGCTGATAGTGGTCCCTTAGAGATGCCACGGATAACTCTCGAGTCAGAGGCTCGTCGTCACATGTGTCGTATCCATCTTCGCTGTAGTTTTTCGCTTCACCCAGACGGTTCCACATGTTCACAGAGTTCGTCAAACTTTCTGCGTCAAGAGAGGCAGAGTCAAAGTCGATATCCTTAGCCTTGATGGGGGCTCCTAGGATATCGCTTTGAAGACCCGAAATGCCCCCTGTTATACATTAAAATATCTTGTCGAAATGCAACTAACCGCAAAACGTAGGACAATCATGTCCCATCGTCTCTGGCACATTCTGCCCGAAAGTCGTCGCAAATGAATGCTTGTAGAAATTAGGATGTTCTCGATAGAACCTATCAGCTCCATTGGCCTTTATCCAAATGTAGTGCTTGATGAGGTCAGGTACACCCCTGTTAATGCATGAGAAAATGTTTTTAATTCACAAAGAAAACACATAGCATGCATTAAACAACAAAGGTGACACGTTATATACTGATAAAAATCGGGTTAATAACGTATGAACACAAGTTGTAAAGCACAGACGATCAGGGTGAACTGCGGACATAAATTGTGTAAGCAACACACCGAGAGCAGAACTGGTACGATATTCAAATGGCTCAATAAGGCATTATACGTATAACACAACGCTAAACCACCCGATAAACAGACGAATCGTGTGTTTAATAATAAACTATTTGTTGCGTTGGCTGTACACATGTTTTGCCACACCGAGAATAGCATCGATATACCCTAATACGGCGCCATCTCAAGCCACACAACGCACTCATGTGGTATATACTCACCTTCTAATAGCCGTCTTTAGAGATCCGTAACTTTCATAGCTAGTTGATATCCCGTACATGAACATATCAGCGCTCCACATGCATAACTCAATCTCCTGAGAATGAAGTTAGAGAATCAACACAAATGACATATTTGCCAACTTACATCGATCTCAGCGGAACGCCATCGACGGTAAACCTCTGCATCCACCAAAGGTGACATGTCAGATGATGTTGAATCCATCGTAACACAGCGGCGCTGCCGCGATCGCCTAAGATGAACCCAAACCGGCCCAAATAACCGATATTTTACAACGACGACAAAGGTGTCGTAATTCCACCTAATTTGATGGATAAACGGCCACGCAACTGCAACACGAGATTGTCTATGTGACGGGTGCACGCCATTGAGTCTGTGGATATTTCAGACATCACATCTAAAATTTATTTCATCATGCAAAATGTAACACATTACATGAATATAAAAATTAAAGCACATCTGCGTGATATAATGATCGAGATGATCATCTATTGATGTTTTGGATAATCACACTTTTACAGAGAGCAGTCACGATCAAATCATACTCCGTTGCGATGTGATACTAACAACCTTGCACACCACTGGATGTTATTTCAAACTGTATAGTATTGGACGGTGGACCATCGGAGTTGAATAAAACCCGTAGATAGCGTCGACTCGACATCGTAGACTCTGTATTACATTACACTGTACACATGACAACCTACTTGTAGTGTGTATCCACACACGGCAGTTAAGGCACTTGGTCCATATTTCACCAAGTGACGGTTTCAACTGTACGCCCATTGACGAACCACGTAGTTCAACTTACAGTTGTATAAGTACCGCCGATTGCGGTTAAAGTACCACTGCCACCGTGAGTCACCTAACAGAAATGTTGCAACCTTAAATCACAGAGTACCTCGTTCAATACCAACACGGCAGTATCCCTCTGAAATGCAAGACGCTTCAACAGATAAGCCGTCTGGAGGATCTGGCCTAGCGTGGCATCGCCAGTGCTGAAATGAATTTATCAGAACTGGAACCTTTACACAAACCCCTTTAGTGTCATGAATGGTCTGAACAAGGAGGCTATAGAGTCGATCACCAGGAGACGAATCTGAAGTTACTTTATCCACACAAGTGGGCAACTGAACACCCTGGAACGATACAAACCTTGCGACATTCATCTGTACCAACGCAGAGTTGATTCAGCTTAGTGATAATTTCCTGTAATAATGTGGTTTCCATATGACTAGCTAAACCTTACCGCAGGTTCAATCACCTTGCCAATACAGAGGTTCTTGAGAATATTTCTCACAAGGGCCTTGTCTGCAGGCTCTTCAGTTTTATAGCGATGCAGTTTGCCCTCTGAATGACATTAAGTTTTAAAGCCTAAACATACCTATAATGTCACATAGACGTGCGATAGGAAATGTCCCACTAGTGTGGAAGTATATAAGCAGAGCACCAGTCTTCTCGAAGTGGATGCTGATCAGTTCCTAAAAACAATTGATACTGTAGTAAGGAATCGTTAGTAATAGAAGCACGGGTTTATCCAACCATTGTGATGTTTATTGTAACATCGGGGTTTATGCTGTGAAGATGCAAATATTAGATGATCACACCAGCGGTCAAATGTGTGGCATACTGAGTGTACTATGGAATTTCTGGACTGCTCGGAGGAAACATTATCTTTTGAACTTCAAGAGGGTATTATGCAACCCCCTGGCAATAGGCGTCTAATGTTAAGTGTCTCCCAAAGGCCTGATAGGGGCAATAATTACTATTCTATGTACCAGTTGATGCGTAAATGTGCCATGTAGCATGTATTTGGCAAATTGTTTTAGCGTGTTCTAACCAGGAACTACCTTATACATGACCATAGATAGGAAACACAAATGACCTACACATTGACAGCTGGTGCCTTCGGACACATGCTAAATGGAATAGGATGACCAAACACGGGGATATTTGATTGCTAGGTCATTTTCAACGGCAAAAACACGGCGGTGGAGTAATGTAGAACATAAGGTTCACTCCAGTTAAGCATGGAGTTGCACCGCCACACGAATATATATTTTAGACATACCTGAGCCACCAATGTCAACGCCATTTGCGTTTTACCACATCCAGATGGGCCATACATCTCCGTAACCTTCCCGCAAAAAACTCCGCCGCCAAACGCATCATCGATTACCGGTACGCCGAACTTCACAAAACCAAAGGGTGCAGCGGTATGAGCCGTGAGCCAAATCTCGTCGATATCCCGAACTCCAGTCTCAGATGCAGACATTTGGAATAAAATAGATACACGTGAAGCGTGAAAACGCGCTCCGTTGTCGGCGGGCATGGTCTAGTGGTTATGACATCTGCCTTACACGCAGAAGATCCCGAGTTCGATCCTCGGTGCCCGTATTTTAATTGAAGCTTTATATTAGGATAACGCGTTAGTTGTTGCCATTAAGTGGCTGTAATAGTTTGCTTAAGGACATCCGCTCCCGGATAAACGCAGTGGCATTCCCGTATCATACGCCTACGTATACTTGCAGAGATGTTGCCATAAAAGTCCGCTCTATCGGGGTCATCTGACATCCTTCGGTTCACATAATCTATAGCATATATTTCCAATGGCATATCACATACCAAGCAACAAGGAATGTAACTCTACAGGCAATGCCGTACCAGTGATTGCAGAGTCGCAATATACCTGAATATCATAAGAGGCCAGCTCATACCTTACCATTAATGCCTCTTCCAAAGGGTTTTCTGGGAGACATAACATAGACTCAATGCAAAGCCGGTAAGCATTTCCTGTTAGTTTCATTTGCCTGACAACATTCTCAAACCAGAAACGTCGACCAACCAGTGGGATCTTATGGCCTTGAAAACACGCTTGACATTCAAATAATCCTTCTTATGAATGAATACTGACATGAGTAAGTAAACCAAATCAATATCTGGAGGTTTCGGAAGCCAGTCTCGGGTACCTTCCAGCAGCTAAAAACAATGTCTCGATAGAAACCAAGTTTGACACCGTTGAAAAGAAACATTTTGTAGGTGAAACCACAAATCAACCCTTTTTATCAACCACAGACAAAACCATCATATCACATACCTTAAGTGATTCCTCATATTCGCCACAGCGCATGCTAAAAACGAAGAGCTTGTTAACACCCTCAGGGCTTAACTGACGCCCAAAATTATAAAAATGGTTTGTAGCAAGCAGTCCCAGTTTGTATTCTTCATGCGTCTTGCAGCTGTGAACTACGTTAGAAACTTCAGGCATCTCGACAAGTACATTATGTAAACGGCGCATGAGATATCAAATATACAAAGCAAACAAAATATTATAGAATGACCATTCTGCAGTATTTGAAATTCTGCCCATACTATAGAACTGTTAATCTTGCGACTTTTTTCAAAGCAAGGAAACATAATATTGATAATGTAACATAACACTTACAGTTGCCAAATGGAGTATAGATGCCTGATGTCTACACGAAACAACATGTTCCTGCGACCTAAATCGGCAACCTTATCCACATATTGCGACACTTTTCCGATGTTGCTCAACCTACAACGGTTTCATAACACACGGTACACACCTACCTCGGTAACGACCGAAAGGTCGCCATCAGGTGGGCTATGATAACAACTGATTCCCCGATATGCCCAAACTGGGTTATACTTAAAGATGAATCGATAGAAACCGATTTAAGTCAAACGACGATGCCCATTTTGGATAACCTGGCATAAAAACGGTAAAGTATTCCACGAAGCCGCAATACATGGCACATCGTTTTAGAAAAAATTATTTACAATGTTAAATTACTTCGAAAACTCTATCTGAGACGTCGGCACATCACACAGAAGGCACTGCTTCGACTTTACGACTTCGTGCCATTTAACTGCTGGACTAAGCAGCCTAAAACACCCACATAGCCCCCGAATACCGGAACTAGGGTATCTACGGGCTCTTCTGCGTAGGAAGATGCCATATATGCTATCGAAGAGGCAATGACATCCACGGTCATACGGTAGTCTGCCGTATAAGATCCTGTGAATATGATACGTTTCACCTGGTGAAGTCTGGCCACGAGAAACGCTACTTGGCCTATGCTGTAAGAAATCATATCGCTCGTGCTGCGAATTGCATCCTCACGTCTGAATGGCAATGCGGAATCTACACCATTACCTTACCTAAACTTGCGGTCGCATGCCCCGAAACTGCAAAAGTGTGAGTCATTATAACTAAAACACGTACCTAGCCTTAATACCATAGGATATTGGCGCCGTTCTGCTCCATTCGGGTAGGAAGCTGTCCATACAATTTGTGCCTGCGTTCATTAACTAGCTTAATAAATGTACGTAACCAGCATCATATAACATTGTTAGCTCGTCTCCACTGTGTGACCCGAGAAACATACTGATAAGTCCGCTCATAGTACCACCACCCACGCTCGTTCCAGTCACCCTCTGGAACACTCCAGGGGAAGTAACCTTCAAAAACGATATACCAGAACCGATGTTTACAATGAGGTATGGATAGCTCTTCTCTACCGTTGCCAGTTCCGTGTATCCATGTTTCAAGTTGTACCTTATAAAACAACGGGTTATACCATGCATTGTTTCGGTACCCTCGACCACGCATGGCATTTCGTCAAACCTGCTAAATTCGCACTGGGACAAGCGTTCCTCGAAAACATTGGCATACTTATGTGCGCCACCTCCCGTCGCAGATATAATGTCACCGCAGGTTACGATCTGCTCATCTGAAACATATTATTTCATATACGTCGGTACACACCTCGCAGCATCTTTAACCCAACGCTCAAAGGTTCCACAGGAAATCGGAGGAATTTTATAATGGAACAGCCATCTAGACGAATCATTGCAGGGGACAGTTTCCTGATGTATCGAGCAACTTTGCACCGCGAAAGCAAATCCACTTCACCATTTCGCTCCAAACACTGTAGAATATCACAGATTGCATGATGAGCCAAGTATAGATTGTACAGCGCTCCACAATTTTTGGAACTGGATAAATAGGCCGTCTTAACAAGGGTGCCACCTATGTCAAGTGACAAATGCTTCACGGAGCCAGTCTGGGCATCCCTCTCATTAAATATGGTAGGACATGTCGACGTTCCTTTGAAAGTAAAGGCAGAATCATCCAAGTGATGCACAGTTACGTCATCTACGCCCAAAAAACGCTTTATAAAAATGGATTTGAGCTCTTCACATGTGGAAACCACACTCCCGAGAAGCTCTAGTAACCCATCCGATACAACCACTGAAGGTTCTACAGGGACAGACCATATCCGGCAGCCTACAGTGGTCTTCCTATACCCTGACTCGAGGTATGGTAGGATATTTTCTGAAAGAAAATCCAGGCTATGGGCAACTTTCAGTGCGGAATCCCCTAGTTCTTGCAAATGAGGCTCATCAGTTGTAATGTGATTTAACAGAGAGATGAAATCACGTTGCCGCTTTTGTAATTCATGAACAATCTCACTTATCATTTCTAATATATAGAGACCGCAATGTTGCGGTTATGACAGCACCAATTCCACTCTGTTTGACCAGTAAACCACTGGAGTGTACCTTGCAGCCTACACACCAATCACGAAGAAAATTCCTCGACACATGGTGTACATGTGTGTAACTAGGCAGATTTTAGTGTGTAATGGCCACTTCATCGCAGCTCTCATGGATTAATAGGCATGGAAGTACGTATAGCCGCCTCACGCCGTTAACAGCTACGCGGTAGAATAGTTGCCCGAGGATGATATGAATTATATATTAATTGCCCTCTAGGTTGATTCAACTTCATACACAGTCGATTTATCTTATAGATTCGTGCATAGGGTGCTACTTTACAAAAAATTAAAAATTATGTACTGCGAGTATCTCCCAGGCCACAATGCATTACGATTAGGCAAGGATTACTCGATTGCCGGACTTTATTTCATCACCGACAACTTATCCAGTGCAAAATATTAATTGCGTTATTGACCATAACGCCTTTCTCAGATGATTCGTGATATACTAGTTGGGTACATATCCTAAGGTACCAGTGCAGGACCTGCTATATGCTCCCATGAATAGTCCCTGTCATGCTTAGTGCAAACCAATGCTTCTAGCTGCGGATCCTCTCCATTGGCTCTGTAAAAGACCACTATACGGTCAGTTGCAGTGCTGTCACCGTGAAGGGTGCCTCCCTTCAAAGTAATCGAGCCAACAATGTGCCACCAATCAGCAAAAACGATGTGATATCTCCAGCCCTCGATATCTACCATATGATGGGAAAGTCTAGTGTCTGTTTCAGTTCCCCAAAGAAACGGTACTTCTTCCCTGTGAGTGACAGTTATGCGATTGATAGCAAATGGATCTGACTTCATATCCAAAGTTAGACGGTGGTGTGTTAAAAGTTCAGATAGACCCTGTCTTCCAATATAAACAACCATCCAGTTGCTTGTGTGCACGTAGTATACATGTTCCACTACCTTTTCAGAAACAACAGATCGTATCATAATCTTAGTTATGTTAAGATCTGGGAGCTCGATAGATCGGAAGCCATAACGAGGATCCGAATTTTGGAATGGTGTTGGAGTACCTCCAATTTTAATTGTCAAATGCGACACGGCCACCGCAGCCTTTACATCTGTAACGATCTTACCCGTGGTGTCCACAAAATAAGTCCGGAAGACATGTTCAATATCTTCGTAAAACAGGTCACGCAGATCAACATCCAAATGTAAATCTTGTGGCACGGCATGTGGAACTAGGTAAATTGAACCGTCGTACCTCAAATACTCATTTGGTTGTGACTCCGATGGCATGTATCTCCCAACGACAATTGCGCCTGGGAAAACATCATAAACATTTAAGAAACGAGGTACTGTGATCGGTTTAGATGCATAGTACGCCGCAACTAATCTGTTCTTACAATATATCGAATCTGGGATAGTTATATTCCCAACAGCGACGTCGCCAAGCACATGATGTGAAAACCTGGTTGACAAAAATATTCCTACTCCGGTATCCTTGTCATCTTTCATCTCAACCTTTACCAAATATGGCACTGCACGTTCGTTAAGGTTGATATTTATGCGTTCGATTCCTCTTTGAACACGAAGTGCAGGAAATGGTATTAATACCAGGATCAAACCGATGGCGACTGTAGCAAATGTTACCACATTCAATATGTAGAACGATTTCATTCGCGACACATCCACCGTCTCAGTCCTCGGCTGGGGCGTTTGAGGGCCCGAGCCTTCTGTAGACGACATTTGGTATGAGCCGATATGTCAAAGTAACATGTGTCAGGGCTCACCCAAATGTATCATTATTGCCCCAAACGTTTTTACCACTCGATCCTGCGACTTCACAACATCATCCTACATAGTTTATCATATAGCTATTGTTTTACCTCTATTTATACACCGTCCAAAACGCCGCGCTTACGACAAGGTCGTTACTGGGTCCACAGAAGGGTGCATTAAAACGTACGATTTAATAAACGGGCCCTATACCATGGTACACTTTAAAACTGGATTCGCATGCCTGGTACGTACGGTACGCTTGTATAACCTGCAAACAGCCGTAGCTGATGCTAGCGTTAAGGTGGCACCGATGTGTAAGTCAATAAAAGTTCTATTGCTAAATATTAGTTCATAGCCTATCTATAAAAATTTGTGGTAAAATATCGCAATCATCGGCAGTTTTCGTACCGGTGCGGCTCATCACCGGGAGACACGTGCTCCCTATGAGGTTTCCATACTACAATGCACATCTACTTTGTAAAGTTAACGCCATTGCGTTTTGTCTAATGTTTACAGGCGCTATGTGTGGTATATACGACATCTCGTAACACATTACACATATCGCGTCGGAAACGAACATTTACACACCAAGGGCTACCAATCGCTATGTCATCGAATAAAATGTCACCTAGTGACACCCGTCATTTTTAAACACAATAGATTCGCGTCAATCAGTCAGGGGCATCCATTTATGACCTATTAGAATCGATGTGTAAACATGCCATGATGTCGTATTCCGCATTTTGCCACAGTAACGCCTAATAGAACATAAACATGCACTCTCCAGGTATTCAGAATTATCTATAACGTGAAATGGTAGTTGCTTATTGTACTTGGTTTTTCTATAATCGAGGTTATGTCACACGTTTATGATGTTATCGATGACAATAATACACCTTAGCTATTGGCAAGGTTACCAACCATTGGCTCTCAATACTTACAAAACAACTCGGTGGAAAGGCAATGCTATGCCAACAAGGTGATATAAGGACCAACCCGATGCACTCCACCAGATGATGCCAGCAACAACCGCTGAGACAACTCTGGCCAATCGTAAATAAATACAAGCATTCGTGACAATGCTGCAATTTGGTTAACCAACACCCTCTAATGACAGTAACCACCACTGGTGGTTGTTGTATGAGGTAGAGACTAAGCATGGTACTGTGGCGTTGCTCTTATAATCATGACAAAAACCGATGATGGAGACTGAGCTGGCCATACGTGCTAGTAACGCACTTAAGAGCCTCAAGTTAGTCACTTCATACAGAATGTGGCCATCCTCACGAATTGGATATGAATCATCTTCTCCAGGGGACACGGAACACTTGTACTGCATTCAAGGAGGCGCATTTTATAGACAACAGTTTTTTCGGCACTATTACAGGGAGTGATTCAAAATGAAATTTCGCCATATAGCGAACGCCTATGTCTTTCAAATTGTCCGGGAATTAAGTCTTCATCTGACGTAGAATAGGAGTAATGATGAGTTTCAGATTGTCAATATCCCTTTCCCCACACGGTGGAGGAAGGATTTTGGTAACTTCTGAAGATGCTTAGGAGACGTTTAGGACTGCTTGAAGACCCGTGAGGCCGTTGTAATTGAGACCAGTCGTCCCTCCCCCTGATTCATTTTCATCTCCCTAGGGCATTCATTCCTCATTCGAAATCCGGACGAAGAATTCTTAATAGCGGCATTCCTGCTTCACATTTCAACGTAACCATCATGGAAATCGTTATATACGGCGTTATTGGATGTCTATTTGATTTAAGTAGACGGTCCAGAACATGGCCGTACAAACGACAGCCACCAGCAATGCAAAGCAACTCACCGAATGTCCTACAACACTAAAAGAAGCTATAGATTGGATATTACGGATGTCAGAGAAAGATAAGAATGGCGCACAGGCTCACAGTGGCAACACCACTGAACTAGGAAAGAAGGTGGAAGAGCTGCTGAAACCCGTTCTGAATGATCTTAATGAAAAGGCTAAGAGCAATCCTCATGATGTTAAACTCATCCAAGACCAGAAGTCGCTTGAAGCAGCCATAAAATTGGTTCATTGATCAAAACATTAGCCGATAAGTTGGCTAAGTTCACTGGTTACGAATTAAATGGCAAGAAGAATGACGGTATAGCAAATAATCCTGTTGCTGGCACCTTCTCATCCTAACAATCTACAGCCAATTGGAGTTCCGTCGGAAATGAACAAAACAAACAACGTTGTGCTTCCATCTTCCTATCTTGCATCCCCCTAATCTTCAGCGGCCTAAGCTATTTATATTGGCAATGTAATAAGAGTGATGGTAGTTATGGTCAAAGAAAGCCTGGTTCCAAAACCAGCGAAAACACCCCTGATCCTAGATGGTACGATCAATCAATCAAAAACAATGGTGAGACAAGCCTTGGCATATACCTAACTTGCTGTGGTTACACAAGCAATGTTCTCAATGGGAAAAGGCAATCTAAGGAAATCAAACATTTACTTGACGGTAGCAAAAGCGGTGGTGGTGTTACTTGCGATGGTTTCAAGGAATTCAAAGAAGCCAGTGAGAAACGTCATGATGTTCCTGAACATGCTCTCCCCCCCAAATAAACTCATCGGTGGTAAGGTTACCACTACATGGGCAGAGTGTCCCTATTCCGTTCTTATACGGTTTATAACTAATACTGATTCAGGGAAAGGGTTGCTTAACGAATCGGCTACGTCCCAGAATGCCGACCAATACACCCTCGCCTGCCTCCATCTGTGCTCCGCATACTACTTTCAATATAAACACCAAGAAAACCAACGGAATACAAAGTGTGACTATAGGCCCACCTCTATCCGTGAAATGTTATACTGGTTGACGGGATTGCCATATAGCCCGGTATATACACGCCTTCACAAAGATGGTTTCGACACAGCATTAAATGTTGGTAAAAACATTGACATTTATCAAGGGAAAAAATGCTTCGGACATCATCCCCTTCACCGTTTCCAATTTCGACGACTACCTCCTCACACCTTGCTTTTATTCTGGTTTCGTCTTGATGGCCATTGAGGGTCAATTGCAAGGTAGCGTCGCTGATGAATCGTTACTTCACGACGTCTACTCCAATGAAGATTTTCAATTTTATTATCCAAATAGTGCCAGCGCATGGTTTGGCATGTTATGGGATGTTGTATACGCTGTCATTATACAACTCAATTTCCTGAAGTCGCAGTGTCAAAACTGCGTAGGTATGGGTTGTGGATGGAGGTGGTGTACGTATGGCAAAGGTATAGGGTGCAAGATTGTCAAATCGTTTATATGCCAATGCGAGACTAGAGCAACGACGCACCCCGGCCAAAACTGTTATGCGAAAAAAACTGTGCATTGCAAAACACAAGGAATGTGGTATTGGTGCTAATTGTTCACCGCTACAAGCTTATCTATGTGATAAACTTGATGGTTTTAAATGTGAAATCAATGACACATCTTCGGCTTATGATGAACATACCAAGCATGTCTCCCATCGTTCCCAATGGTGTCACATACCAATGGGATTTGGGAATTATCTCTCAGGGCTTTGTCGCAGTGGCAACTTTCTCCATAAAATAATGGAACACTACTTAGCTGACAACATCAACTACGTCAGTATATACGGCATGGTATTGGTTCTACAATGTACGGTCTTGCGTACACCACACACTCTCGGTGATCTATTCACCATTTTCTATGAGCTGGTAGAGGCATATGACAACACTGGTGAGCGCAATCTTAGTGGTACTGGAGGTGGCAAGACCGTAAAGCGGGCCTTGGAGGAAACAATAAAGGCTCACCCCGGTGAGCATACTGCTAACTCCAAAGGTGATATCCATCTCATAGGCGCCCTTGAGAAACTTCAGAGCCAACAGCACATGAGAGGCGGCAAACACGAAAGCCTATACAGTCTGCGGGCGTGTGACACTCATAATTGTGGGCGCTACCTCATTCCTCTCTCCTGGAATATATATAAAGCTTTAACTAAAGAAAATTTGGAGGTGTACTTCTCCTGGATATTATATTTGGCTGAGTATTTCAAAGAATACATGAAAATGTTTTTAGATGCATACAAGAATGTCGATTGCTCCAAGTCAGGATGTAAATGCGCGGGTCAAGGCAAATGTCAGCCTGGTACCCATGGCAACGCCCGCACCTGCCGATGTGAGAACATTGTTCACTGTGCCGGTGTATTGACAGTGTTCTACGGATTTGGATTCGCATACCAATCGGTACGTGCGTTGAATAAAGCTATTTGGCACGTGGATAAGAGGTGTCCCAAAGGTACGCTGGCTGCTTGGCTTAAACGTGATTATTCACAGTTTTCCGTTCAACTTAATGACGTCATTTATGGGAAACCGTTCGATAACGTCATCGAGGCTGTAATTAATTCGTTCTACACCATCCGTTCAGCCTTGGTAATATATCTGGCGACATTTTGGCATGTGGTAATGATCTCTCACATATGGTCTACTACTTCCATTGGACTTACTACGCATTCGGTCGCGTTGGAGATTGGCATCCTCACATGATATAGAGGCCTACAGTTTATTCTCACGGAAGGTAGCGCCGAGTGATGTATGGTATTTGAAATACAACTGATGAATCTGTGAAATCAATACCACGACGTTGTATGTTTTACATTACCGTGGTAACACAGTATTTAATTTTTTTAAAATCCTGCATGAGTGGTATTCCATCATATGCATGGCCTTAGTGTCTATGTTGCTTTCGACAGGTTCCTGTAGGCCGCTTTACCCGTAGGATGCTACTAGCTATAATTTACATACTACAATACGTTAGAAATACAAAAGTGCATTGTGTGTGGTTTCCCTATTGATTCGCCGTGAATACCGGTTGATGTCCCGTAAGATCTCTAGACAGACAGCATAAAGTACCAAGACTAATACAATAACACTAATACATTCTGTAATCACCAACAAACCAGTTGAAATGGCAATACGTCGACTTCAAGATACGGATTCCGGGGAAAAGAAGTACCTTTCCGGAATGGGACATGGAGAGATCGAAAATCTATACGAACACACCAATACCCAAGAAGCCAACCTATATTTCGATGTTGTCAATTTCTGGGTGTCAGCGAATCTGGAGATGCTATACAACATCAATACACTCGTGGCAGGTGGTGACGGCACAAGCAATACCAATATGACGGCTGTGTTGGCATGATTTGCTATATTCACATCACAACATCGGTAGAGATATATTGTTATCTATAGTATAACCGTCATTATTGAACTCATATAATTGAAATTGAATGCTTCATTTGTTGAATGATCAAAGAACATAAAAGTGCTATAATTACTGTCAGCTGCAAAGTTAAATTTAGCATATATTAGCTTGATAAGTTATAGGTTTACTATCGGAACTCCATTGGTGCGGGTCCTTTAAGCGCCTCCTTGATGAAAGACTGTAGCATGTCACGATGGCGATCCCATCTGATTTTATCCTTCCATCCGGCAGGACGATCGCCGTAATGTTTCACCAGTAAAAATTTGCCAATGTAAGCACTGAGCCAGACGGACAAATAGACAGAGATCTGCCCAGGTGGTGCATGACCGAGCAGCATCATAATACGGTCCGGCAAAATAACGTCAGCCTTTTCAGTCAGTCCTTTGAATATTTCTTCATATGGTTTAAGATATGATTTCTTGGTGGTATGTTGACTAATGTGGTCAAGGACTTGTTGGAAACGTTGCTGAGCAACTTCGGGACTCCACTCCACATCCTTGGACCAAGGCCAGCGAATTACCTCCTAAAAGGCTGGTAACCGTTAAAAGAGCAAAGATCACCTTGCAAATCTTGAATCCTGCCATCTTCTAAACCCGATTGGTTCTAGTCTTGGAAGGTCAAAGTACGTTCCGTGAAATCTCGGTCTGGTTCTTGAAATAAAAGGTGCCACTAAATATTGATTTGGTGGCACGTAATATGATACTATACCAGGCGATGTTCTGAAATGATGCTGAAGCTAGGTTAGAGAGAAAAGTATTGTGATGATATTTCCGAGGCCAATTAAGCCTCACATGGCTACGTTTTCCACCCAATATTCCACGATCGTATAAATCTTTAGAGCCCAAGACAACTACATNTAAATCTTTAGAGCCCAAGACAACTATGCGCGCTACACTGAAGGCCGCTAGGATCCGATATAAGACAATATATCATCAGCGTTCCAATTTAATACATATGACTAGTGCAGAGGTCATCGGTCACATTGATGTCTTCGCGAAACTGTCGCATCCTACCACGCATATGGAGAGGGGGGGGGGGGGGGGTCTCAACGTGAAACGGTGAACTAAAAAGTGGAAGTTCTAGAATGCTTCCATTTATTCTAAGCGATACTAAATCCCATGTTTCATAATCACTGTAAGATGGCTCACACTTCGGGAATTACAATAGAAACGAATGTTTGTCTTAAGTTACTAACAGAACCAGGTACATTATCTTCTCCTGGCACAATAACTAACTCTTGAGGTAATATTGAGGTTGCTTCCAATACCGCGACAGGGTTGAGCTGAATACCTTTGTATTATCCGTTTTTTGGTACGCGTCAGGCGTTGATGTAATACGAGTAATAATTACTTTGAAAGTTTGCTTTCAACCACTAAAGAGCCACCTACCCTCTAATAACTTTTTTAAAGCTTCTCCTTATTTGCTATTACTAATAAGACACGCAGATTGACCAGTGCGTAGGAGCGACAAAATTGATTCTAACTCGTATTGCGCTATAAATGATCTGACGTTGGGAGCCGTGACATCCCATGAGCACAATAGAAGAGGAATATGACGCGGCGGCCGAAAGTTATACAAACTGATCTAAGGCTGTATATCACGGTATGTTAAAAATAATGGTTCTGATTACGTCTGTCCAATGAACAATCTTTTGCTATGAATAGTCACGTAATGGTATGTCTCAACAAAATAGGTAGCACGAATGTTTCCATCCTTCAAATTGTTGATTATTAAATCTATACCAGAATTTTTGTACCACTACCGTCAATCTCGGGGGGAGGATTTACCTTGCTGTTCAAAGTACAAGATTTCAATATACTATCACTAGCATGATAACTAGTGTGATTCTACAATAATATAGTGTATACAAGAATCTTGAACAATAACACAAATAACTTCATTGCCAATGGCATGAATGTTACGCACAACCTACTGTCGCCTAGGCAACTTCTGGTTAACTTACCAGGACAACACAAATGACATTTAGACACACATATCAGCAATAAAGATACACAAAAAGCTACATTAAAACAAAATTCCAATCACAAATGATACGACACATCACGCCCAGACATTGTCGCTGGCGTCAGCAACTCTGTAAGTATCACCCACTTCGTCCTTACCACCACTTCTACCATCCAAAAAGTTGCCTTCATCGCTATCTTCGATGTTGGCAGGAGTCGACCTTTTACGCGACACTTTGTAGACACCAACCAATGCAATAAGTATAACGCATAAAGCTGAACCCACCAAGATTTTGGTTGTATTCTTTACGGGTGTTTCCGTGTTCTCATCTCGGCCTTCCTTTCTTCTAGAATGTGGAGATTCGCCATCTTCCCGAGTGGAATGCCCTCTATCTTCCCACCTTTTAGGTCCCACTGGTGCTGGCTTTGGAACAACTTCAGGGGTCACTACGTTGGAACCTGGTAGTTGAATATCCTCATTATCAACTAGAGGTGTGACTACTTCAGGCTGAGTCAATTCTGGCCCCAAGGGGCTGACACTTCCAGGTTGTGGAGCGTTTTCGACGTCCCCGGCAATGTCCTGCGGAGGTTGCGGAGAAAGAGGTTCAGGCTCTTTTTCACCGCTAACATCGTCTGACAGCTGTTCATTTGTCCCCAAATCACCTTCAGCGGGTACATCTACGCTCTCGCCGTCGTCAGTGTCATAAATCTCTGGGGAGTCACCCCGAGGGTTGTATATGTGTCTTACACCTCCAGCAGGCCTGTTACCATCACCTGATGATTCGTTGTCTATTTCATCCTTGGGCTCAGAAACTTCCACTTCGGCTTCACCACCAGCTGCCTTTACACTTGATACGTCAGAGGTGGTATCTGGCGTCTCACCCTTGGTAGTACTTTGAGCCGGAGAACCACCTGAACCATCATTTTCGGGTTTGTGGGTCCTTTGAGTACAAGAATGCATATTACAAAAAACTTGTTTGGTTTTGATCCCTCTCAGCTGTTCTTCACAGGTGCGACCCACAGCTCCATGGCTTGAGCCTGCGGAGATCAAGGTTCTGTGACTCTTCAATGTCGCGGTCCGTATTCCGGCGCCACACGGTCTACTGCATTCGGAAAAGTCGGACCATTCCTCATAACAAACCGCATCTCTCGCGTGTTGAGTACATAACCTTTTCATGATAGGTTTAATATTGTTCATCACGTTCCAGCCGTAATTGGGCATATAATTCGGGCAGGTGTAATGGCGATTGCAGCCTAGAATTTCCGCCCAGTAATTTTGCCATTTGTGTTTGAGATCAACGACAAAAAACGTAACTCCGTTCCTACGTGCATCAAATGCCTCTTTCAATGCCGACTCACGCCCGCCTAAATTCCCATGAGTGATTAGAAAGACCACCGTATCCTTGCCAACGGCATTTTCATAAGTAATCTCACTGTAGTTATTTACGAGGTATTTGCTACCGTTCGGGTAGACGGATTCACGCATGAATTTCAAGGCGTTCCCAAGGTTAGCCTCAGTATCCTTTTTGCGATTCTCAAACATCGCATCAATTTCCAATGCCACACGCCTAATGGTGCGCCATTTTAGAGGTGTTTTATTCAATAATGCGTCCGTTGTCGCAGCAATGTTGACCAAAGACAGAGTATTTGTCTCACTTGTTACCGAGAGCGCGTGCGCAAGCAGCTTGACGAAGGCGTGAAGGTCCTGCCATGTGTGATCGTCCAGTCCAGTCGTTTCCTCCACTGCAATCACATAGTCTTTCCCCTCGGTAGAGCATTTGCTGATGTAATGATTCGCATCTGCAGCATATTGGAGCATCCTGTCCAATCCCTTATCACCGTCGTAGAGCCGGGGTATAGAGACACGCGGAACAACTAAATCCTCAGGGGTTTTCCTCTCCCTTTTGATATCCTCATATGAGTCGCTCGGTAAATCCCCAACACGGTCAGGTTGAGCTCCGGGCTTATACCAATCCGACTCCACCTTAACATGATCAAGATCACGACTGACGCGCGGTCCATCATCGTCATCATCATCATCAACCTGCACCTCATCGTTGTTTTCTTCACCCCCTTCTTCGTCCTCTGTTTCTTCGCGTCCTTCATCTGCATAACCTTCTTGATCAATATATTCAGAATTTTCTTCAACGAGAGACGTATTCCTACTATGAGAAACAGCTGGATTTTCGCCACCTTGTACACGCCGCGTCGATCTTCTATTTACCGTTACAAGATTAGGCAGAGAGCTGCAGGATTGCATATTGCACAACAGCTGCTTCGGTTTGACATTACGCAGCTGTTCTTCGCAGGTGCGACCTACAGCTCCAGGACTTGTGCTTTGGGTTAGCAAAGTCTTGAATCCCTTTAAGACAGATGTCTTTATTCCCGCACCACATGGTTTACTGCATTCTGAGTAGTCGGACCATTCCTCCAGACAAAATGCGTCCCTTTTATAATTTGAACCCAGAAGCTTCATCAAATGATCGACATTGTTGGCTGGATTCAGTTTTTTTATAGAAAGGTAATTCGGGCAAAAGTAGTGATATCGGCATCCGAGGAAACGAGCCCAAAATTTTTCAGCTTTGCTACCTATATCAACGACAAAAAACGTCACGCCATTCCTATTTGCATCAAATGCCTCTTCCAGTGCCAACTCACGCCCGCCTACACTAGCATTCGTGATTATGAAGACTACAGTGTCCTTTCCAGCCGCATTTTCGAAAGGCAGCTCGGTGGTTTTGTCATTTACGAGGTATTTGCTACCGTTAGGGTAGACGGATTCACGCATGAATTTCAAGGCGCTCCCCAGGTCCGCCTCAGTACCTCTACTGCGTTTCTTGAACATTTTATCTATTTGCATTGCCACACGTCTGAAAGCATCCTTATTGATCATTTTTCTGCTCAACCACTTAGTAGTCGTGCTAGAAAAATCCATCAACGAAAGACGGTTTCTTCCACTTGTGGCAGCGAGCGATTTGACAAGCTCCTTAACAAATACACCAAGCTCCTCCTTCGTGTCGCGGTCAAATTGACCCACATTTTGTAATACAATCACATAATCCTTAACGGCAGTGTTACCAGTAACATCAGTCCTTGGTGTTGGAGCAGGCGGAAGGACCTGAGCTCCAGGACGACCATTGGTCGAGTTACGATTATGAGAAGCATTATTGTAACCGTATCCATCGTGACTGATTGCTGCTACGAATCTAGTGCACAGAATCGCCACGGTGGCGGATATCGACAATGTGTAGATGCCTACCATATTGCTCAGTGCAGAATGTGTAAGATTCCACGGCAAAGTGGGTGTAAAAGGTAAAATCACCTAGTTATCGATCCAATTCGAGAGACTCGAATGAGAATAAGATCGCGCAATACCAGGTACCTCTATCTCGATGCATCCTGTGTTGCTTCGGTGCAATGTGTAGCACAACGGCATTCCTTGCGAGAGAACTCAATGGGTGCAAATACCATTTTAAGTAGCCAACACCCGTGATTCCTAGCAATTATTAAATGACATCGTAACCTTACGATGTTTTCTGTTCAACCCGGGGCCCAGATTCCACAGGAAGGTTGGTTTGCCTTGCCTGCCGCCAAACGCATCCTTACATATAACGGAATACGACTAGCAGAAGTACAACCGAATAGCACATGGTCCTTACAATATAATACTCCGCACTAGCAGATGTTCCCGCAGTGATTCCAGACATTTATAGTTACAGACAGTCAGCGAATGACGCCCGCGCAGTGTCCACTACGAACTCCTCAAACGAGGCAGCCCGCACATGTCTATTGTTGTAGCTACATTTTGCCTAATACTTGTGAATTATTTTGCGTGACCAATCGCCTTGGTAGCCCGATGTAACCCGCCGCCATTCTGTATTATCTAGTGCCCCGGGCTAGTGCCTGAGCAACAGTTATCGCGTGTTTCCCGCAAGATGGTGAGTTTGCGTGCTTGTATTGTGTACATTGGTGTGCCTTGTCGCTTCCTTAGTGGATCCATTGACAACAGCTCCTGTTCAGTTGTTCTTCAACTTCTTTCAAACTCTCGCGGAGAAGGGTGCTAGTGTGACGGTTGAGTTGAAGAACGATCTACAGCTGACGGGTCGTCTCCAATCCGTTGACCAATATCTGAACTTCAAATTGAGCAACGTTACGGCTAACGACACGGACCGCTACCCGCACCTGGTGTGTTTGTCATAAGCTCTATATTATTACGCATCAGCTATCTGTTGTCAACTGCTTTGTACGAGGCTCCGTAGTGCGCTATGTCTTTTTGAACTCATCGGACGTCAATACCGAGGAGCTACAGGAGATGTGCCGACGGGAGGCCATGAAACCTAGCATGGATAAGTGATGATAGACGTTAGTTTCTTCCCGAACCTCTCTAATGTAGTTTACTTCTTATATGGTCGTCAGCCCGTGTTATCATGACGCAAAGCGACTCTTTGTCGCAGTACTCGCCTATATTGTTAGCGGGTACCCAGCTGCGCAATAGTCACAAATATATATGTCACGTCCCACGTACGCATAGTCGGTGTGTTCGTGCGATAGTGTGATTTCCGACCCTGGGTTAGTGAGTTTGCCGAGATAGTAGACGCACTCTTTGTCTTTCCCGTTAGCTGTATATCTCAGGACCTGTATATATCTATCCATTTATCAATAAATCCAATCCAACCTCTTCGAACGAGCTGTCCATCTCTATAAGTTCTTTCTTCAAACCAGATTCTTCCCATGTCTCTCTGTATGCCGCATCGATGAATGATTCCCCAGGGTCCAGGCGACCTGTATATATATGTGGTGAAGACGACTATAGTTATCTACTTCGATGGAAACCTCTGTATACGAACCTTTAGGGGGTGTCCAATGGAACGGTCTATTAGATGCCTTCAGTAGTAGGTACTTCGGTTGGTTTAGTAGAGCATCCAGGGTATAGACAATGATGCCGGCAGCCTTGACTACAGCGCTTTCAGACGCCATATCTTTTATCGTGTTAAGAGACGCTTAGTTCTAGTCTGATTTATACCCAAATCTACCAGTTTTATATGTTATTAGCGCCTCTGTAACGCTCCGCGTCCGAGCAACGAGCGCCACCGACCTTCTACCGCACTCAGCAATACCTAGGTCTAATCTGTTTCTACTACCCTTTATATCTACGTTATTATGTCCAGTGTGCGTTACCCACGAGCTATGAGTGGTATGGTGCGGTGCTCTATCTCGAATCGAGTCCACCGACTGCTCTGGTGGCATCACACGCACACCGGATACACCCATTCGGTTATTGGAGGCCTTGTACTGAGGCAACATGGATGGTTCTCAGGACTTGTTCGACGGTAGCTGGGATGTTAGGACTACACATGTACTCAATACTTCATATTGGTCCGATAAGGCTTCTATTTCATCTATAGCATTGTTGAAGAGCCTGTGTAGCAATGGAAGTATGGTTGAATTCGCGATGGAGCCACCCGGTGTTTTGGTGTGCCGAATACCGGAGCAGAATGTTACCGTGAACATGTTGGATCCCAGCGGCTTGTGCAATCGTAGGGGTGAAATGTACACAATTGGAGACGTAGTTTTGCTTTTGTGCATTCGTAGATCCGAATACACGTATAGCTCCATAAGTAACCGTGGTTTCAGGTATATAAACGTTTTGGAACGTGATCGTATCAAATCTATTTTGTGTGATTCAGAAACCTCGCCCGAGCTGCTAGAGGCTAAAACGCGCTATATATCGATATATAAAGACCCGAGTTGCACTGTGCCCGGCAGCAAAGATCCCGGGGATGGAATGTGCATACCTAAACGTTATGGGTCAAAGCGTTTAATTGACAACGTAATGAAGCAGGTTGAAGAATCATACTGTGTGCTTATAAACCACCCTGACCCCGAAGGAATGGACTACAGATTGGCTAAAAAGCAGCATCGTAACATCTGCGTTGTGGCCACAGCGTTGATTGATCTCCCTTTGAGGAATCGCACAACGGTTATCACGGCATATGGTGAAGGTTTCGAACGCATTGTCCGCAAGCTTGAAGATTCGCAAACTACAAAGGCTGTGCCTAAGGTAGTTGTTGCTCCGAAGCCATTGGCTAAGATACTACGCATCAGTAGGTCTCAACTGTCTTTGTTATATTGCTTTGCAGACAACAAGATGCGTGTATTGGACGAGATCTGCTGCAAATATCGGAAGAAACCTGTAATAATAGTACCTAGTAGTGCTATGTCTATTGTGTGCCGTCAAAACATCAAAAGGCTATTGGAGGACCATGAGTTTGTTGATCCCCAGGAGTCTATGAGAAACGGCAAGTTGTACGTTCCATGAGTTATATGCTTTTAGATGGTCCTATCGTTTCTAGTCTGCCTATGAACGCAGTTGAGGTTGTCCACAAAATCTGTGGAAGGGCAATCAAGTTCCGCGTAGTGGAGAATTCCTACACGACAAAGTTCACCACGTCTGATTGGATCAGCGTGGTATGTGTAGTGCTAAACGCCAAGGGTGGCCAGTGGCAGTTCAACGGGTATCCATTTGACTCCTTCGTCGATATGTTTTTGACTATAAAGTAGGTGGCCATCCCTTGGTTTTCATTTTTATCTAGGTGTGCTCTTTTCACTTACGACACTGACAACGTCCCCGGTGAGATGGCCAATTGGGATCTGAAGGTGGGTTTTTTGAGTGCTGGCATAACGAGTTTTCAGGTGTTTCGCATTAACCGGAGTCACCGGCATCATGATGCGTCGATTGCTAAAGAGTTTTGGCAATATATAGAAAGCTTCCTTCTGCAACCACGTAATCGCAAAATACACCCCTCCAAGAGGCTCTCGTGACTCTATACCAACTAACTTGTATACCTATCACGTATGCTTTGGGACACCCAATATCTGATATATCCAACCCCCCTGTATAATTAGAGATATTGTATCAACACTTACACAATGAAGTTACCATCATGCCCTGATGGAATTGTGCAGAACATATTAAAGATGTGTTATTAGCGTAATGTGAACAGGAGGGTGTCTAAAGTCTTTTGGGGGTTAGGCCAAAATCACATAGAAAACAGCGATCTCGCTCTGATATTACGACGATAGAAAACATTATATCAATATATTCGCTGTAAACACCGTCTCTAGCTGGACTACATATGAATATCTGCAATGAAAATATGGCGGCAGACGAATTGTTCTTAAATATGATGCAATCAATATACCTATGGAATTAAGGTATTTCATAGGTCATGAAATGATGTAATGTGAACGTGATTTTGTAGTACCAACTGTTCCCTGTGAACATAGGTTCTGTATTTTGCAGAACAAGTAAGCTCCCTATTGAGCCTGAATGCCGATATTGCAAAATTCTGAAATTATCCTTTTCTATTCTAATTTACATCGATGATATAAATACCTTTGTCGTGTGTTACCATAATATCGGTTATTAGGACGACGTATCTGCTACTGTTGTTTGTTATGTGAATATTTTTTGTACACCCTACACAGCGACACCAGTAAACCACCCAGGTCCCGACAGAGACAGACATCGAACAGACCATCCTAGAGTGGATCTACGACTTTTCACGATGAAGTATCATGTGTTACCATTATGCAACTTAAGTGGGTTATGTGTGACAAAAAACGGAATAAGAGTTTGAATCGGCGTTGGCAGGGGTAAGGGCCACGCAAATAACTGACACGTGGAGATCGGCATCGCAAATTAGTAGGTACCTTTCCCAGCTATTACTACAAGAGTACATCGAAGAATTTGATTTACGTTAAAAGAGCCAAAGCACGGTTGCGCTTCGCGAGTGTCCCTGGTATTATGTTTTACAGGCTATAAATACGGCTACAATGGTTGTGTTCAGCGAACCACTATACGATTTCCCCAAAATATTTATTCAATTATACCAACACGTGTCAGAGATGTTATAGCACTACAGTGACATGTAAGCAATATGGGCCGTAAGGATGTTACCATCCTTCAAATTGTTGATTATTTAATCTACACCACAATTTTGGTACCGTCACCACCCATCTCGGGGGGAGTATTTATCTTGGTTGTCAAATAACAAAAGTCCAATATAGTATCCGTAACATGATAACTAATCATAATCTACAATAATATAGTGTACAACTGTTGTATTTAAATTTTTTTGGTGAGGTTGGTAGAACACTTCACAGACATCTCCACCAACATACTTATGTCCATATATTAACAATAAAAGAGAATAGAACAGCTTGAGACTTCAATAGCTGATGACTAGTGTAGTGTTGATTTTTGTAGTATACAAAGAAAGGATTTTTAATGGTACCCTCTTACCTCGGTCTCTTCAGCTTCTTCAATTTCAAAAATTGCAAACCATTTTCGGGCTATAAACAATATCAATGTTATTGATAGACAACGGCTGGGAGCTGCAACGATAGCTAACCGGGCCGTGTCTGGTCTCTAAATCAATTTAAGGTTGGCAATAAAATCAAACCGAAACTGCTAATATATTTCCTATAACTCCAGATTGTAGAGACAATTACATACAATAACATGCATGTAGTTGTTTTGGGCTCTAAAGATCCCTACGTTCTTGGAATCTTGTGTGGAAAACGGAGTCATCTGGGGCTTAACTGGCCTCGGAAATATCATCACAATACTTTTCTCTCTAACCTAGCTTCAGCATCATTTCAGAACATCGCCTGGTATAGTATCATATTACGTGCCACCAAATCAATATTTAGTGGCACCTTTTATTTCAAGAACCAGACCGAGATTTCACGGAACGTACTTTGACCTTCCAAGACTAGAACCAATCGGGTTTAGAAGATGGCAGGATTCAAGATTTGCAAGGTGATCTTTGCTCTTTTAACGGTTACCAGCCTTTTAGGAGGTAACGTGGTGGGCGATGAAGTCACCCAGGAAGTTGCAGTAGAAGTACCTAAGCGAGAAAGTGCTAACCTCTCAGGTGATAATAATGAGCCAGCTCAAAAGAAAAGCTGGATGCCGCGGTGTCGCTTGCCTTGGTCCGAGGATGTGGAGTGGAGTCCCGAAGTTGCCCAGCAACGTTTCCAACAAGTCCTTGAGCGAGTAAGCAAATATGACCCGACGGAAGAATCGCATAAACCATATGAAGAAATATTCAAAGGACTGACTGAAAAGGCTGACGATATTTTGCCGGACCGTATTATGATGGTGCTCGGTCGAGCACCACCTGGCGTTATTCCTCTTTATCTATCCGACAGGCTCAGTGCTTACCTTGCCTACTCGCTAGCGGAGAAACATTACGGCCCTCGTCCTGTACATTGGCGCGAGAGAATCACATGGGATCGCCATCGTGACATGCTACAGTCTTTCATCAAGGAGGCGCTTAAAGGACCCGCACCAATGGAGTTCCGATAGTAAACCTATAACTTATCAAGCTAATATATGCTAAATTTAACTTTGCAGCTGACACGAATTGTAGCACTCCTACGTTCTTTTATCATTCAACAAATGAAGCATTTAATCTCAATTATATGAGTTCAATAATGACGGTTATACTATAGATAACAATATATCTCTACAGATGTTGTAATGTGAAGACAGCAAATCATGCCAACACAGCCGTCATATTGGTATGGTTTGTGCCGTCACCACCTGCCACGAGTGTATTGATGTTGTATATCATCTCTAGATGCAGAGACAGATCCTCATCGGTCACATCAAAGTATACGATGCCTTGTTCCTGCACATGGCGCACATATAACCTCTTGGCGTCTATATATGTATTTATTCTCGAGGAAGAACCAGCATCCACCACCTTGATGTTTACTACGACGTATTGCCAATAATGTGTTACGTGTTCGAAAACTTCGACGTGCGTGACGAACAGATCATCAGCTGTTCGGTATATCTCACAGTTTTGTGCCGAATTTATGACGCTAAGTAACACAAAGCGCTGCTCCCTTAAGGGTACAACGGTGTATTGCGTATACAACCAATCACCCCTTTTTAGGTTCGCTAGAACGATGACGTCCGCTTGACTGGTTTGAGTGCTAGAGATGTCTATGTATAAGCTAATATATTTCGATGGGTGAGAAGGCGTCTTCGAGCCAATGAATTTGTACGATGCATCTATTATATTTCGCGGTTTGAAGATGCCATCTTCAACCGGAGGCAAGTATAAATTGAATCGTAAAAGACGTTTTCCTTCTTTGACATATATCACCATATGATCTCCCCTTGGTCCGATACGGAGCATAATGATATGGGAACTGAGTGATGGTGAAGGAAAATTCGGATCACGAAAATTTTTGTCAATGTTTAGAACAGGTGATATGACGACCGTTTCTCATGAAATGGTATAGACGTCGATTCAGATTCACGTGGGCCGTAAGTATACTATCATATAACGCAATATAAAAAAATTGAACTACATTAGAAATGTCACAATACGCTATTGCGCTGCAGCCGCAGTACGCAGACTGCTGGTATTAGAGCTTGAACGACAGAGATGATAAAAGTAAATAGCAGCGCCGGTGGCGGGGAAACCCAGGGCCACAATGATTCCGGTACAATTTATGTGTTTAGGACAATCGCAGTTACAAGGGCAAGTGACGCCGCAATTGCCACTACAATCACACGGTTGTCGACGAGTACCAGTACCTTGACGGCAGATACATCTATAGGGGTGTGTTCCGGTGCCCAAACTCCAAATACTATTCCCAAAATCAGAGCCAGGACAATCGCGGGACATACAGAGCACCCGACAACCATTCCGATTTTTGTTTTAAAAAATGGCAAATTGGAGCCAAGCACATATATACGATAGGCATCGTAGACAACTATGACCAACGATACAGCAGTTGCGACGCTCATGGCAACGATACAAAGGAAAGTGTTGGGATCTGGCTTCGCCGTTTCATGGTGAGACTTTAGGTGTGTCTTCCCGCGCCCTCCTCCTCCCACGATCCTAACGGGACCCGGTTCGACGCTTGGGGTATTTTCTCTCCAATACTTGCACAACACGTATGCCAGGCAAAAAGCACAACATAGCAACATTACACAGAGTAGTATCAGATTGCCCTCGGGCGGCTTAAAAATGCCGAAACGGGTTATGTCATACGATGTTTCACCCGTAATTACAGCTACGGCCTCACTAACCTTACTGACTCCTTCTTCCATGTTCTAGCTCGCCAGACCTACATCTCTTCCTTGAACGACACTGTCATCAACGTGAGAAGACTCACTAATGTTGACGACAGGACAGATGTGATAACACATTTCACCGTGACTCGGCGTTACAGCTCACTGTTGTGTGTATCTCTATCCTATTATATCATACCATTTTAGGTACACAATGGGCGGCTCCCAGTGATAACCACAACGCCGCCGTCTTCTTCCGACATATAGCCCCTACCGCCCCGCCGATATTTTAGGACTTTAAGTTGAACCTTGGTTCGCTAACACATCACGTTATTCCTTGAATATGGGCCACTTATTCCGATGCGTGCACTCCCATGTACCAGCTCAAAAACATACCAGTTCTCTTCCCCAGATGTATCCTCTCCTTTTTATTACCAAGGCTCTAATATGAAGATGAAGCATCTGTAAGGGTTCGTTCACCTCCTGCGAGCCACGCGGCACCGCCCCCTAAATGGTTAAGGCCATGGCTAGAGTCTCACCTCCCCCGCATTACGTCCGCCATCACAGGTTGCTCTTGTTAGTGACATTATGCACAAATCTTCAAGCATAAAACGCACATGCCGTTGCCACTGGCGCACTTAGTCTTTACCGTGACGATATGACGACGCTGGTTACGTAACGTTAAACGCCGTCTAAGATCGCCATCCCCAGTTATTGTATTGCATTTCAAGCTCTAAGCCAATTATGGTTTTGACGCCATGGACCAAGTAACACACGGCTCTCCGCTCCTTCATTTTCATATTGCCTCCTTTTTAGAAGGATTTAGGCAGAAAGGGTGCCACTTAACGTAGCGAAACGTTCGACGCCGGGGATTTTCCCCTAAGGCAAACTGCTTTGCTGCGTTAGCTTCATACAGCTCTCTTGATAATTACCGTAAACAACAGACGCTGCGGTTTGACTCTCGTTACATCTGGCTAGAGTATCAGTATTCTCAGGCCGAGTGGTCATCATTGAACGCTTGAAGATGGCATATTGCCCTGTTTATGCCTAAAACCAATTTAAAATTTCAATTAATCCCCCCAGCGTTATCTAATAAGAATTATAGATGCTCAGATCAAATAACATTAGTCATTGATGGACAAGCCATGCCACCAGGTTTGATCCACCTCGTGTGCCATACATCTTCAAATTTAGCTCCATATACTGAGCGCAATGTAAAAAGCTCTATACAGAGACATTTCCCCGATTTATACTCTCCGTCTGAGACAAAATGAGCCATTCAAGGGAGGAGGCCGTCAATCCCGTTGCGATTTTACGAAACAGTCGATCATAACCTGCTAATGAAATAATTAATACAAGCAAACGATGACATCATCCATATCAATGACAAATCAGCGGATATTTGATCCACCATCTGCCATTTCCTGGAACCGAACGCATGTGAGCTTGAAACATACTATGAAATGGAACTACGTGAACCAATATACACCACATATCTGTCGTCCACACGTAACGAAACAGACAGCACGCATGTGTAGGAAGTTGCAAAATACCGTAGCAGTGTGTGGAGCAGAGCAGCAAACCCAGGACACACGTCAGCCTCTTTTTACTATCACAAATACTGTGAAGGTTAGTAACTAACATTTAATGCACACAACACATCTCATGGTTTAAAATACCAGATAGATCTGGGTGCCATCGTCTTATTCGTGAATAGAGTGGTTGGTAGCACCCGGTTGGTGTACTAGCTCCAATAGTCCATACAAAAGGTATGCGATGACTGCTGCAGGTCTCTTGCACAACCTGACATTGATGATCTTCCAGAATTCACGGGTACAACCCAAATAATTTAGTTGCCACTCTGACAATCCCACTTTTCAGATCTGTGTCATTCCTATTTCGTGCATCCACTGAGCGTTAAGTATTGAACCAAATCGGTAAAGATGCGCAAATGGAAGTGGTGAGAATAGATCGTTTCTAACAACCTCGGCATACATTTTTGCCAAAATTGTGAATACTTAGAGACATCATGTCTACTTTGTTGACTGTACGAAGTTCGTGGGTAGTCCCATGCTGCGCATTAATTCTTCGGTTGCGTCTGGTTGGCGATCATTTGTAGCTTCTTGTACCTCTTCCTTCTTTATTTTGCCAGATTTGGTATCTTGCTTCCCCTTTTTGTTCATTTTCCGCCTTTGTTTCATTTCACGTTCTTCCGCTTCTAGTTCTTTAATACGCTCTTGTGCGTCCCTATGCAGCTCCTCAACGGCATGTTTTGATACACTTTGTTGCATTACACGTCTGCGCAGAGCTTCTGCTACAGTTTTTGCGTCAACCTTTTCAACGCGCATGGTCATCCCCAACATTCTATTATGTTTACGCCCATTGAGATGGTCCATATACGCTTGTGAATCCTTGAGCAGACAGTCACAAACCTTGCAGTAAAAGCCTCCTTGTTGCGATTTATGGGTCAGGGCATTGATTACTCTTACTTTCCCGACATCTTTGGTGACGTCTACAGTTTCTTTCCTCCTTTTGAGATTTTCGCGCACCTCCGGTACTGCAAAGACAGGTTTGCGTAGAGGATCTGGTAGTAAAGTTGCTATAGATTGTTCGACACTACCGCTTTGCCCTCCTGCTTTGTTTTCGGCTACTTTAGCGTAGTATGACTTATCCCAGACCTTCCTTCCCAACGCATCGACCTGTGTTGCAGGTTTTCCCGGCGGAATCTCCGCCTTAGGGTGTTCCATTTAGGTTTGCATCTAATAATATTAATGCGAATGTACGTATAGCGATGACACGGTCGTATGTTGGCGGCACTAAGTTGTCTAGTGCCTGATCCGAATCAATATATTCGCAAAATGCCGCCCAGATCGCCTATGACACCATACAAACACACTGATTCGTCATATCTTGCCACTTCCATGCGCCAGTAAAGCACATTAGGTGGATGTGCAACAAGACATAGCAAGCGACAGAGCAGTGACGACGATGGAAAACAACTACCGGAATATTTTTCGGCAAAATCGGTATGACTCTGCCTTTCCCTTTTGTTATAGCGTGTGCTGCTAAACTTCACCACATGAAGCCCTTCAAAATTACGTAGTAGCGCGCTTTGGCGAGAAGGGCAGGAAACAGATCCACAACCTGGCACAGCCAGAATTCGGGACAATTACAAGGTTAATTATACGGCTTCTGTCAGTCTATTTATTTTCATCGGCTGGTGTATGATTCTCAAGGCGCGTGCCCCATCGACTCGCAATCATGAGGTCTGTCCTTATGTTTCTACAGGGCATATACCGCGTACTGCGAGCGAGTCGCTTTTGACTCGTTGATTTAATCCTTAAATGTGTCCCAATTAATGCCTATTTGTAGTTGGGACGTGCCAGTTGGAGCGGCAGTCTCGGGCACTTCTTGCCATGTGTAGGACCGGTTACCGAGCCTTATCGAGGTCTATTCCGCTACTGTAGACCAGGATTATCACCGTTTGTTTTGTATCGGCGCCACTTCGTGATGTTTTCAGTGTCGCCGAGGACTGACACGGGAATTACATTGTACACCAAAGATCCAAGTATATCTCTACTACTCAAGTTGTTTGACTTGATCACTCCTTGTAATATATGAACCTTTCAACTGTATATGTTGACATACGCCATTAAGTGTCCTTTTGGTACTATTCTATTTTCTAATTATTCGTCCTATCAAGGATGGCGGGTGGTGGCAGCGCTTTAAACAAGATTTTTCCAGGTTACAAGGACAAACTGTGGAATAGGATGCCACTGAATTGGCGTCTTAATAAGATAAAACGATGGAACCAGCATGCCGTTCAATCAATGTATGATACATGCGTAACTACGAACACTAAGATCAAAGGTTTCAACAAGTATGTGTTGGACCCTTTGAAGCCGTCTTATGAGTACCGTCAACCAGGAGTAGATTATAAGAAGCAGCGTGCACGTGGCACACTAGTGGAAGGTGTGGATTACTATTTGCCTAATGCCCGTTCCCAGCAGCGTCTAGCCAACTTTTTTGAACCATACACGGAGGATGAGAATGAGGATCGTGCAAAATATCGTTTTCAGAGCCTAAAAACGTATATTTACGTTGCTCTTGGTGCAACAGTGTTGCATAACTGGTACCAGAGCCGTCCGATCGCCTGGTGTTCCGACGTCAACCCACCCCGGGCACCCTACTACCCATTTTGGTTCAAGGGCCCATTTCATGGCCATGACATAGGCAGCGTGCGTCGAGGTTATGAAGTCTACCGTCAAGTCTGTGCTACGTGTCATTCTATGCAATATTTGCGATTTAGACACTTGGCAAATGAGGTGTACCCGGAGCAACGTGCTAAACAGATTGCGGAAGAGTACGAAGTTGAGGATGGTCCTAATGACCAAGGTGAGATGTATATGCGTCCTGGCATATTGACAGACCCCTTTCCCTCACCTTACCCAAATGATGAAGCTGCACGTTACGCCAACGGAGGTGCCATTCCTCCTGATTTGTCTCTGATGGCATCTGCACGCAAGAGAGGGCCTGACTATCTTTTTGCACTTCTCACAGGTTATTCTGACCCGCCAGAGGGTATAGAATTACGACAGGGCTTGTACTTCAACAACTACTTTACAGGCGGTTCTATTGCCATGCCTCCTCCACTAGAGGATGGTATGGTCGACTACGAAGACGGTACCCCTGCAACGGTTTCTCAGATGGCTAAGGATGTGGTAAGCTTTATCACGTGGGCAAGTGATCCGATGCACGACGAGCGCAAGAATATGGGTATGAAGTTGATATTCGGCGCTGCACTAGGTACTGTGGCCATGTCGCTATGGTACCGTTTCTTCTGGGCCTATATGGTGACATCCCGTATGGACTTCGGCCGTGTGAAGCACATGAAATAAAATTTTATTAGTGAATCTATGATATGTGTTGGCTTATGTGTGATCTCTTATAGTTTTGTGTGTCGCGCTCTGTCTACACTGTGTCTTCTGCGGCATCCCGCGCTTGTCCGGACTACCGGTTTGAGACACTGGCACAATTCCCGTAGCAGGCGCAAGTTTGGGTCATTCAAAGCGCTGATTCGTCTCCGTATTGTTTTGGTGGTGCCCCTACTACCCACTATGGTACCTGTGCCCCATTGATACCTGACTCTTTGGTGGCCCAACCTGACCCTGTCTATCACGTCACTCTTGTTTTTATTGCGTTCTGGAGATCATCTTCTTCATCAAATCTTCCACTAGCTTCTTTTGCTCACAGGCCTCTCAAAAGGTTGGTGGAATCTGTTGTGTGTAGCAGCTTTCTGAATTAATAGTATTCCTCCCTCACAGTTTTCCAGCTTTCTGCTTGTCAAAATGGTTGTCAAGGTTGGTATTAACGGTTTTGGCCGTATTGGTCGTTTGGTTCTTCGTGCCTCTTTGGCTTACGACTCGCTTGAGGTTGTTGCCATCAACGATCCCTTCATGACCGCCGATTACATGGCTTACTTGCTCAAGTACGATTCCGTCCACGGCACTCTCGGCGAGCACGTGTCTGTTACCACTGACACCCTTAAGATTGGCTCCCGTACTATTAAATTGTTCTTCGAGCGTGAGCCTTCCAAGATCCCATGGGGCAAGCACGAAGTAGATTTCGTTGCTGAATGCACTGGTGTGTTCACTAGCAGCGAGAAGTCTCAACAGCACATTGAGGGTGGTGCCAAGTTGGTCATTATCTCTGCTCCTCCCAGCGACTCTACTCCCATCTATGTCTACGGTGTAAACCACACCAAATACGAGAAGAGCCAGCGTATTGTTTCAAATGCTAGCTGCACGACCAACTGTTTGGCTCCTTTGGCCAAGGTTGTACACGACAAGTTCGGCATCGTCGAGGGTCTTATGACCACTGTGCACGCCACTACCGCTAACCAGTTGACTGTAGATGGTGCTTCACGTGGTGGAAAGGACTGGAGGGCCGGTCGTTGTGCTGGTGGCAACATTATTCCTGCGAGCACTGGTGCTGCTAAGGCTGTGGGCAAAGTCATCCCCGACCTTAACGGCAAGCTTACTGGTATGGCCTTCCGTGTTCCTACCCCTGACGTCAGTGTCGTTGACTTGACCTGCAAACTCGCCAAGCCAGCCACTTACGATGAGATTGTTGCTGCCGTCAAGGCTGCCTGTGAAGGTGAGCTCAAGGGTGTCCTCGGCTGGACCGAAGACGCCTTGGTATCTCAGGACTTCGTCCACGACAAGAGGTCTAGCATTTTCGACGTCAAGGCTGGTATTGCTTTGAACGACACATTCGTGAAATTGGTTTCGTGGTACGACAACGAATGGGGTTTCTCCAACAGGCTTCTTGACTTGGGTCTCTACATCTGCTCAAAGCAGTAAATGTACTTCCTTTTTTAGTTCAAAACAAGATCTAATAACGTGTTTAGCCCAGGCCCATATTAGTGTGCAAATCTTATTCCATATTGATTTCTTAGTTAAATTTTGTAACGAGCCTGTCTGCGTCCATCACCGGTCTCTGGTGTCATCGTATATTGCATTGACAATCCGTTGCTCGCGCCTTCAGCTGCCGCTTATATCTAAATGACCTTAGCTGTTTATAGATTTCATATGTTTGTGAATAAGGTTGTTTGCGGCTCTCGTTTTACACGTTTTTCAAAGCTGTCTAGTCGTACAGATGTATTGTATTGAGTTCGAGACATTCATCGATGCTTACCGATGTTACGTAGTCAACACATTTATGACTTAGAAAAGATATTTATTTACGTTGTGTCTTTGTCTAGCACCATCCAGCGGGATTTGCCCGCAGATGGTTTTGCAGCGCCGGGATTCAACCCTAATGGGTGGTTATCGTTTGCTGTGGTTGCACGGTTCATAGGTGTTGCGGGAGACCACATCGACGCTGGATTCAACTCTGTGTTATGTTGCGTCGGTTTTCTACCATATATTGGCCGTTGAATAGGCGTGGCGTACCCGCCACCATACCGGTGCCCAGCGTCCGATGCCACAAATGGCTGTTGTGGTTGTAACGGGTATCGATGGACCCCGTGAGGAGCAACATATGGTGGTTGTTGCAATGGAATAGTTGGCAATGCATTTGCAACCATGGGTGAAGCCGTGGGAGGTGGTACGGTTGCGTTTGATTGAGGTATGTTACCGGCGCGCATTTCCATAAACCGTTTTAGAATTTCGTCGTTTTTCGTGGTGGGCTTACTACCACCTGTTATGCTCACCTTCGCGGGTTTTTCGATAGTCATGTATTTCGACGATGCATTACTTTTGCCAGCTGCATCGCTTCGGCTCGGGTTAGCCGTGTGCGTTGGGCCCTTATTCACGATAGTGTGTCCATATTCCTGCCCTTGTCGGATTTCTTGGACTCTACACACGCTTTCATCTGGTATTGGTGCTGTCCCATCTATCGGAGTTATATTTGTCACCGCTCTCTTGCTGTCCAACTCTGTTTCAGGGGCTGCATCCGTCATAGCATCCTTCACATCCAATCGTTCTCGCAATGGCACTGGTTCACTATCCACATTTGTTCTAAGGTAGTTATTTTGTACTGGTTGGTGGTCGACCAAAGATTCACCGTCGCCGTATTCCGATTGAGGCTTTAGGTTCATGTCAGCACTTGTTTCATAGACGCTGGATGGCTCAACTGTATCTTCCGTGTAATCTTGTACCATGGCAGTTGAGTGTAAGATGGGCATTGGGCCGTCGTTCATTGTTCGTCCAAATGGTTGTATTGGTTCCGCAGCCTTCATGGGCGACGTTATACCGATCACTCCTGCACCCTTCTCTTCCTTGTATGCCTTAGTTTGTTCATACAATACCTTGTTGGAATTTTCATGTTGTGGTATTGTTGCTTTCTTTACCTTGGTCAGTGGATTGAAGATTTGTGAGACGCAGTTGTTATGTTGTTGCAAGTTACCACCCAATTTGGCCACATCCGCAAGCACGCTTATGGCAGTATTTACTATGACTCTGGCATGTGTCATGTAGTTTGAAGGTTGGCCCTGTCCTTCGATTTTGAAAGTTACTGGTACACCTTCTTCCAAGAATTTACGTGCCCTTTTGCATCTAGTAAGGAGATCGTTTGTTCCTATATTCATCCATATCTTCATATCTACAGGTTTTCCAAGACCGTGTTTGACCGTTTTTTTTGGTTGAACGGTTTTTTCTTGTATGCCCGAATGTTGGTATTTAGCGTTATCTCTTCCGAACGCCAAGTTTATAATTTGCTTTATTTCCCTTTCCTTAGCCTTGCCACCGAAAAACTTTCCATCTACAATATTTATCCCATAATTTGTAGTCGGTTGTCCCATTGGCGTGACTGCGTCATGTATATGTGTGAAAGTCGGTGTCGGTGGCATTTGAGATGGTAGTTCAGACATCAACTCTTCCGCTTCCCTGAAAACACTATCTGAGTTAATTCCAACAGCACATCTGTTGTAACGTGATACATTTGTCGTTTTTCTGTTTACATGTATGTTTCCTGGATTTGTGACGAACGACAACGAGGCGACTACACCTCCGTAGGTCGTAATTATCTGCATGGTCCGGTACCGATGCCTTCCCTTGTAATAACGACCGTTGTACTATGCAGTTTGGTCAGCGCAGTTGGCAATTGTTTTGGCATGATATTTCCGCTGGTTGCCGCAATTACTGCGACTCCCTCTTCCAAAGCATCCAATTCGTTGATTAGCGTCCTTGCTAGCGTTTCAAAACCATATGATCCGTCACTCGGACCTTCTGTATCGCTGAATAATAGTTCCACCTGATCTATTATTACTAGAGCGGGTTTGTTGTTTTTCGCCTTTTGGAAAGTATGTCTAATATAGCTTTCTCCGCATCCCACGTATTGGCTGATGATATTGTAATATTCCAATTTATATAATGATCTTTTTTTAAGATATTCAACCTTTTGGACCACTGTACTGTCTGCGTTGTGTGTTTGGCTAGACTGTTTTACTTGACTTTCGGATGTCTGCGTTAGATCCGGATGCGTCACAAGTGTACCTTCACGAGTCTCATTAAGCGATTTTGCGATACTAATAGGTTTCCCTTGTGTCCATGCCTTGATTATGGCGTTTATAAGTGTAGTTTTCCCTGATTGTTTTTCTCCGCATATGAATGTGATTTTGTCTAGCGTGATTGCCTTGCAACTGACGTTGAATGGTATATCCAATGTGTCATTTTTTATAACCGCTGTTTTCACCGCGTGATAGAGTGTGTTGGTGCATATTGTTCTGCCTGATTGACCAGATCCTTGTGCATCAATGTATTGGCTGATCGCTTGTGTATCTTCCTGCCCCTTTGGTCTGGTATTATTATTCCAGTTGATGAACTGCAACTTTAAATGGTCGATTTTGTTGATAAATTCAGCTTCTTCATATATACGTTCGAACAGATCATCAAAAAAAGCGCGTGTCTTCGATGCGTTGGCATATAATGCTATGCACATAAGTCGAATACCATCTTCTTCCAACCTTTTTGAAATGGAGTATCTGAGTAGATACAGAACCTTGTATACCCAAGATACTTTTGTCTTTTCGATTTTATCCTGTACTTCTCTATCTATTGCGACGCTTTTCTTGCACTTTTCCCAAAGGTCTGTATAATGACGTCCTTGCGTTGGCGACTCTGTCTTGAGAAACTTGTTGCAATCGTCCGTATTTGTCACTTTATCTTCTTCTAGAGTGTGCTGCACCGCTGTTACTTCCTATTTATAAAATACTAACCTCTTTACGTTTGATTTGTGCCCATACATCGAAGTTGTCCAGTATTAAAATCGTTTGTTTTTTGTCTTCCAATCTCGCAATCAGCTCCTTATCAACGTTTAGATTTAACTTTAGACAACCTACTTTTACTTTTTGTATTACGAAACTGCCAGGGTCACCTGTGATGAGATCATTAATGTATTGTCTAGGTAGGTGTACCTTCGGGTGGCAATGTTCGCAGCGTCTTAAGTGTGATTACAGTGCAAGGATGCCCATCTGTCACTGCTGAAGCATATAGCTGTGCCTTGAAATCGTCTGAATTTTCTTTAGTGTGATTCAAAGTGTTTCAGAGGTATTCCTTCTAGTCTGGATTGTACGCCTACCTTCCACAGCTTCCAAAGCAACAAAGCTGCCCATGAATAAGCTTTTCCTAATTGTTATGTTTTTAAAAATTAAATTTGATGCTATATAATTGTATGTTTCGAATTTCCTCCGGTTATATGCCCACGGTCCTGATAGTCGTGTCGTGGATGGCTGTGTATGATTGAGTTCCTATTAGGGCCAATATCTTGGGGTTTCCCCTGCACATCGGAACGTTACTATTTCTCTATACATAATTTTTCACGATGAGTACCGTTTTAGGTGCTCCCTGGGTGGAGAAATACCGTCCTGAAACGTTTAGTGACATTATTTCCCATGAAGACATCCTGTCTACCTTGATGATATTTGCAGAGAAAGGTCAATTACCGCATCTTCTATTTCATGGACCGCCTGGTATGTTTCTATATAGCGTAATAATATTTTTTAGGAACGGGTAAGACTTCTACCATAATGGCTGTATCGCGTTATTTGTACGGTTCTCATCGTAATTCCTACGTAATGGAGTTGAATGCATCTGATGAGAGGGGTATAGATACTGTTCGTGAGCAGATAAAGACGTTTGCTGAGACTTCTAACACCTTTTCTAGCGGTGTGGTTGGCAGCGAAACTGGGCCTCGCACCCATTTGAAACTGATTATTTTGGACGAGGCAGACCAGATGACGAACGCTGCACAGAATTCTTTGCGTCGTATAATGGAGATATATTCGTCGAACGTTCGTTTTTGTCTTATTTGTAACTTTATGAATCGGATAATTCCACCTATTCAATCCCGTTGTACTGGATTTCGTTTCCCTCCGTTAAAGTCTGAGCTTGTAAAGCGCCGTACTTTTGACATTGCTAAAATTGAGGGTTTGAATTTATCTGATTGTGCTTTGGATACGTTGGCTGAGGTTGGTCAGGGTGACATGCGTCGCGTATTGAACTGTCTCCAAGTAACAGCTATGTCCTTGGGTGCTAAAAGTGATACCGTCATCGATAGTAACGTTGTTCTTACAACTGCTGGGTTGCCGAAGCCTTCTGAGATAAAGGATCTACTGCAGCGTTTGATGCAGGAGCCTTTCAAGAGTTGCGTGGACCATATAGTAGAGTTGCATCAGGTGCAGGGTTACTCCGTCGAGGACCTTGTTACAGCTCTATATCGGTTGGTATTGCGTATTGATTGGCCCAACGTTGTCATCGTGCAGCTGCTCATTCGTTTGGGTGACATTGAGCAGCGGCTTTCGGCTGGTGCCACTCCTTACATTCAAATCGCATCCATTGTGAGCGCTTTTGCCGAAGCCCGTTTTGAAATCGAGCGTTTGAAATTTGACCTTAGTCTTAAGTAATGCTGTCGGCTTTCCTGAACTCACCTAATCATATGCCATTTCGTATTAGTGTGAAATGTTTTTTAATTAAATTGTAGTTTTTTACGCCACGTTACTACCGCTATAGATGTGATTAGTTAGGGTATAACACACATAAATATTGATGTCTGTGTTTTTAGACTCATTTTGTTTACCACTAATCGCATCACGCTTTCTGCCGTATAGACATATTTGTATTCAGTTCTCGGTACGCTCAATGTCTATTTGGGCATTATAGTGTTCCCGCATCTCGTTTTGCTGTTTGCCATTGTTGTGTTGGTTTTCAACGTTAGATTCATCGTAATTTTCAATATCCTTTACTGTATGCTTGTGTTGGCGACCGTAGGTAATATCACCGTCTCGAATACCTACGTCATTTTCGTGGTCCACCGGATCGGCCACATCTGCCGTTTCCTTCTCCATGTCAGCTTCTAATTCGTCATATACTGCATCTGCAGATAGCTGCCCATCATCATCCATATCCACTTCTCCATCGTCAAGAATGCTTGCATTTTCGTTATCTTTATTTAATTCTTGTTGCTCAGTATCTGTTTCTGTTGCATCTGCCATGGCTTTGTTATCATCGGCTGTAGTGTGTTGTTGTTCTAGGATTTGTTTTTGTCTTATTTTCAGCAGTTCATTAACAGCTTCCATATCATCAGACATTTCTCGTTCGATTTCCCAAAATTGTCCGACTTTAAGTGCTTCTATTATGTCGGCATCATATACTGTGGCTCTGCAGCTTTTACAATATGTTACTTTTCATACCTACCTCTTTTTGTTTTTTGCGATATCCTGTGCGATGGTTGTTATGTATAGAACGAATAGTGATGCTGCTCTATTGAGTGTGTTTAGAGCATCTTTGCTAAATTTTCTGTTCTTCAACGCATATTTCGTTGCGTGTTTTCCACCTCTCTTAGCTGTAGATTGCTCTGTGGGATTGAGCGCAGCACTTGTGAGTATTCCTCTTTGCAACGCCGCTTGAACCTATAACATATAGTCAGCATTCATCATTATCTTACCAGTTTGACAGGAAGTATTTCCAGTTGATTAGGCTCAATCGCCTCTGCTCGCGTTAATTCCATCTCAACTATCCTTGATTGGGCCACATTAGATTGCTTCGTGCCGCAGTATCTTCTCCTTATTCTTTGATAAGAAGGCTGCCTGTATTGAGCGAATAACTGTTGCTATAACCTATTTCATGTCATTTTCTTGTACACACTATTGTATATGTATTAGCCCGTATTGCTTAATCCGTCTTGGATAGAATGTGTCCGTGATTAGTTGCTACCCTCTGGTCACATCAACCGTCACTGTAGCAATCACTATAATGAGATGTGTATGTAATCGTTAAAGAGGATCCGCGTGTAGCATCTGTGGTCTAGTGGTAGAATGCCTCGTTGCCATCGAGGCGACCCGGGTTCGATTCCCGGCAGATGCACCACTTTTTTGTATCCCTCTAGTTTGATTAGACACAATCGTTATTGTAATCTAAAATTTGTTGTTTTATGTAACACATTTGTTGAATAAAAAGCGTTATACATCGCGGAATACTTTTGTACTTTGGGAGTGCCAACCACTGTGTGTCGTTGTAACTCTTTGTCTTTTTTTGGTCGGATTTGCTTCACTTTTAAAACTTGCTAACGTTATTTTGTCATATTACGTCCATATATCTTGCGTATACGACCTTATGATGTGTTAATTGGTGATTGTAGCATCTCCCGTTTCCGTCGTCGGTCGTGTGATCTTGAAGCGTTCTTTTTGCTTCGTTTGCTGACTTCTATGCATCCTACCGATGGTTGTTTGGATACATTCAGTCTGCCCGTGGTTGACCGCTGCGTCGGTTTGCGGTAGCGGGTGGGCGACGGTACGTGGTCCGCTTTGTTTGTTGTCTATTAGGGTATGATGGATAGCAATAGTCTGAGCATCGGCGTAACTTTCTTACCCGATTCACAATTGTGTTGCGATATCACGTGCACCGATTTGAGTAAGGATGGGTGTCTATTGGCTGCCGGTAGTCAGCAGGGTTATGTTGTTTTGTGGAAATTTCGGGATAGAGCTCCTACATCCTATCGTCGAACCGTTTCGTGCAGTCGCTTCAACAAGGAATATGGGCCGACGGATGATGTTTTTCTGGAGCCATATTTCCTTTTTGTGGCTAGCAACAACCCTATTGCATATCCTGTAGTTCAGGTTGCGTTTGCCAGTGGCTTCCGTCCTATGCACTCACTGAAGCGTGATGCTAAGCAGACTATGAGTGCTTACTGTGGCGTCGAGAGTGCAGAGGATGTATTGGTATCACTTTACAAGGATAATAGCATAGCTGTTTGGTCTTTGGCGGATTGCCGTTGTTTGCATAAGGTGAAGGGTCCTCCATTTGCGATTCAGCGTATGTGCGTGTTTCCAGACGACCGTTTTATTGCATTAGTTGGACGTAGTAAGATAAATGTGATTGATTTATGGCGTTTGAAATTGATCGGTACGCTAGAGCTGGACGGAACATGTCACTTTGACAAGAGCATATATTCTACGCGTCCCAATGCTTCACTTCGTGTTTGCGTTTCTGCTGAATCTACGATGGATTGTGCTGAAACAAGTACATTCAACGTAACTCCACAATCATCTCATGCCCATGCACGATATAAGAAGCCTCGTTGCATATTGCGGGTACACTGTGGTCCGGCTCCGTTGGATTCACCGTCGGGAGCGAATGACTTGTCGTTCGAGCATCGCCGTAAATTAGGTCCATTACATGAGAGATACACTAATGACCGTATTAGATCTCCGTTATTGTTGACTGCGGTGCTGGATAACAACGACATCGTGGTGTGGGACTTGACGGCACCTATATTGAGTTATAAGAGCAAGTATGGTGCTTCAAACGGCCCTGTAATGGTGGTTACACGTTGGGATCGTCACAAAGAGAACGTGATTGGTTGTTTTGAACGTTCCCATCGCGGTGTTGATGGATCTCATCACATCCTTACCCACCGTCCGTTCGCACCTCCTGTCGCAGGCGGTGTTAACGCCGACTTCCCTATGTTACGTGAATGGATCCCTGAACTTGAGGACGCTGCGCATGACATTTGTATCATCGACCGTTATATATTTGTGATGTTAGGTATTCACATTTTTGTGTGGTACTATGACTACGACGGGGCGCTTGATCGTGTTGCGGAGCTGCCTAGTATCGGTGTCGATGGTACGTTGAGCGATGAGCCTTGGCAGGGTTTTCAATGTTTGCGTTTGCATACGGATACTATATTGCTTATAGCTTGGGTGAACATCGGTCGTGTATCTATTTTCTTGGTTCCTGACGGCAACGGTACTAACAAGCGCTTTCAGCGTTTATCGGTGCAGCAATTTCCGAGCTTCAATGGCAATATACATTTGGATGAGAGCATCCACATATATATGTGTAAAAGCATATCCCCTGATGATTTGTTTGATTTAGCAAAAGGCGACAACAAATCACTTAAGTTTTGTATGATTAGACATACCACGGATAGACGCCTCAGTATCGGTATGCCGGGTCGCGAGTATTGGTCATATATCGATAGTGGTTCTATGATATCAGCATGTTTTTCCTCGAAAGATGCTGGAGTATTAAATTCCTGTTTATTCAACAGTGGTGATTTTATGTACCGCGTTGATATCTTGGATAGTGGTTTGCTACGTTATGTAGACCTTTCTAATGGCGACACATGTGCGTTTTCGTCATATTTCTCGATCGAAGGTTGTTTGAGACGTATGTTTCATGTTAATCGCAATCGGCCCATAGTGTTACTGGGCGATAAAGTCCTGGAATGGGTTTCTAAATCTCTTTCTGAGGTTTCTTCACCTTCTACCTCGCGTTTATCTTCGTCGGTTATGCATTGTGTGAACTCCAGTTATTTGGTAGTTTCCGTCGATTCCACCGATTTGTTGATATATTCGCTTTCGTCGTTTCATTTGCTTCTGGCGTTATGTCACGTTCATGTGGCACCTGTGCGTGCTATATACAGCGTCTACTCCATAAGTCGTAGTGGTTCTAGCGTAATCGATGCGACGATGTATGAGATTGACGATGTATTTGCAAGCATCGACAGTGATGGCTTTCTGGTACTTGTCCAGCTGCCGTTATTATTGGATGAGCTGTGTGACCACATGGCACTCCCGGTTATCGACGAGCGGACTATATACTCAGACCTTGATATGGATAGTTTAAGTCCGCGTTCTGGACGTTGTACCCCTACCGGCGGCTTTGTGCATACACCTGAGCGTCGTGGCATCCACCGTATGCAACGTTGCACTGCTTTTTTGGGATATGAGATCGACCGTGTTGCGTTTAACCTTGAGAAGGACCTTTTGTATGTCTTGACATGCCACGGTATCCTGTTATGGCGTGTAAGTACAGGTGTTTTCCTACGTTCATTGCCATATCTGGAGACTTACCGTAAGGCTGTGGTATCAAAGGACTCTTCTAGTGGTGTTGACCGTAAATATAAAAGTCTGACTACTTTCGCTGATACCATAAGTTCGCTGTTGACTACGGATTGGAATACTTCTGCTTCTAGCAATGATGAGGATTGTCGTTACCGTCGTTACTTGGATTATTGTACTCCTCACGACTTGTTATCTCTCTGTATGTTTCAGGATAAATGTTTCAAGCGGCGTTTATCAACATCACTACATATATCATTTTTTCGACTGCACTTTTCTTATTCTCCGGATTCCGATCCAGACGTCAACTTGGATGTATCGGGAGGTGGTTCTAACGGGTTACTTCTCTATCATTCCAGCAGTTTACGTCAACTAGGTTTACAGCGTTGTTGGAAATATGTGGTTATCTTTTCTCGGTTGCCTGGATCTTCTTCTATGGGTGTACGTATTCGTCCACGTGTCATTCGTCTGTGTGGTCGTCCTCGGTATCCTTTGTATCATAAAGTTGGTTTGCGGAAGCCACCCACGATATCGCATTCGGTACCGGTATTGATTTTTCCTTTACAGGATATCGTATCAAATTTGCGTGGTAGCGGTGGTACTTTATTGTCTAGGATGTCCTATAGCGGTACGTTCTGTTATTTGGGTGTTCCATCTGGTACATTTTCGATACCGTTACACGGTTTCATTGGTACATCTCGTCACTTTATCCCAAACGATGGTTCGTGTTCTTACTACCTATCGGATGATTACTTAAGGAAGGAAATGTTATGGCCTGGTATCCGTCGTAGCTTCACGTTTCCGTGTTTGTTTGACGATCGTAAGATTTTGCATCAACCGGATTTATCGTCTTGTTTTTTAGAGAATCGATATTTTTCTACGTGTATGCTACTTCGTGATGTTGTTTCTACATTCCATTCTCATTCAAGCGGTTCATCATTTTGGTTACGTTATATCGACGTTTGGTTATTGATGCATGTTTTGGTTTTGTGCACGTGTAAAAAGGGTTATGGATTGTTACACAACCAGCTGATTGTTGCATTTCGGTATATGTCAGCTCATACTCTGCATCTTCATGTCTGTCGTGCTTTTGCTATATTGCGTTGTTTCAACCGTGTTTCAAAGTCGTCGACAGCTAAGTTTACTACTATTTGCGTCTGTCATTGTCAGGGTACAACGTTTAGTTTCGGTAAGCGTTGCGGTCTTTGTTCGCGTCGTTGTTACAATATTGATGTTGGTAACGTGCCGCCTCCGGAGCAGCCATATTCTTGGGAAGAGGATGCATCGCTGATGTTATTGGTCGTTGTTGCTATGGATAACGGATTATCATGTCTTTGTGATTTCGTTTACATTTGTGGTGAGCTGCGTCCATTTGTTGCTTATGTGACCCAGCTGATGTTCCGTCATATGTTTATGGTTGACGAGCATCCTCGTACTGCTTTGGGCATTGGTTCTGAGCATCGCACGTTTGACATCCGTGAGTACTGTATAGAGATGTTTGCTCTTGGTTTCGCATCTGTTTGGACGTTGGATTTGTTAGACAGTTGTGGTATATTAGTTTCTTCATTTTGCAAGAGCCGGGTGCATTCTATAGCGCGTTCTCTTTACAAGTCTGACGGTGGTCAGGGTCCATCCGTTCAATTTGCGCTTAGTGTGTTATCTATGTATCGTGCTAGTAAGAGCAATCATTGGTTAACAGTTTTGCGGAAGTGTTTTTTGTTGGACACGTGTATGATGATCCGTCTAATGCGTTGGATAGTTCGTGAGCGTCGTTTGGATAAATGGTACATTGAGACGTCTGTGAACCTTCTTATTGAGTTTGTGACTGAGATCGGTGAGCAGGCTGTTCAGCATTTACCTGATGTCGTTGTGATAATCGTCCGTTGTTTGGACCCTTCTGACAGCAGTGTTCGTTTATTGATGTTGAAACCTGCTACGTCTGCGTTATTTCATCTGGTAAAGAACTTTCCGATGGTCGCATTTTATCAAGAGACTCAGCGTTTTGCTGTGGGTTCTGCCAGCGGTCATGTGGTAATTTATGACCTTCGCACGGCTACGAAATGCCGTACCTTCGGTGGTGAGCTGAAGAACGTGGCGTCTGTAGCTTTCAGCGCTACTGGTGAGTATATTTCTGCTTACTACAGGGACCCTCCGTGTTTGGTCATTTGGAACTGTTCTCCGTCTGGTCTTTTGGGCAGTTTGCTTCACAGCAGTAACAAGGACCGTATGATAATAAAGCTCAAGCCTGTGGAATGTAGCCCTACTACAACGGCAATGGTATGTTTTTTAATGAATATTATTATTATTATTATCATTGTTATATATTTGTAATAAATGATTGTTCAGGACATTAAGATCCAATCAAAGTCTAACCGTGAATGGTTTTTACATCGTGAAGACGGTCGTGGTTATATGATATCAATTTGACTACGTGCTGTAGTTATATCATTAGCCATTTTTGAGAAGAACTTTGCCATTTTGTTAATTTTATTAATTTCTCTATTTACTTTGTTATATAGTGCGATATATGTATCCATTCCTTGTATTCCTAGTTCATTTGCTTTTTCTGCAAGATGGGCAAGTTTCTGTTGTACCGGTTCATCCATTGCCAGTTCTTTGTCTTTGATTTCTGTGGCTCCGCGTGCTAGGTTTTCCAAGAATTCAATGGCATCATTGTCGAAGGGTAGTTGAGTATTTGTTTCCGAATTTTTTTGTGCCTGAATAGGTTCATCTGCCGGCTTTTTGTTTGTAGTTTGTGCATCATCAGTTGCCATATTTGTGGCGGTGTCACCTACGTTTGCCATATCATCAGTCTTGTGTTCCACGTCCTGTTCGCCTTCATCATCTTCATCTAGATACTGGCATAGCAACGATGGTACATCGTTCCAGAATTGTTCTAGTTTTTGCATGAGTTCATGTTCGGTTTGTTTTCCTTGTAGTATAAGTTGTGTAAGTTCCTGTGCTTTGAGTTTGGGTTTGAGATGTGGCGGGACCTCGTTGGGTTGCAGATCGTAGTTGACTTCTATTTGTCCGCTTCCACATATTTGTGCATTTTCTACACATAGTCCTATATCTTCTTGATTATTTTTATCTTCATCATCTTCATTTAATATTTCCGGGTTTGTTATCTTTGGTATATTTTGATAATTAGCCCTATCCGAGGTATCTTCTGCAAGTTTATGTGTGAGTTCGCTGACTACCCCTGCTATCCATTGTCTACAGAATACTGCCGCTATCCTTTGGTTTTTTGTGATCCCTTCAGGTCTTGTAGTTCCAGTTCTTATAGTAGACTCTAGATGTTGATTATCTTTTTTTTGCGATTTAAAATTTGTCTTCAAGACCACATCTACCGCTTCACAGAAAGATTGGACAACATCGTCCAATATTTCGAGATCTTCGGTAGACAGTCTGTTGAAGGGCCCCGTAATTTGAAGTTCCATGTAACCTGTGTCACATTGTCACCGTTTCTTACCCTTTAAAAGTTCTGTTTTATATAATATTATTATTTGTATTGCATATTTGTGTTGTTATTTCCAATACCGATATAGTTATGTAATGACTTCTTCCTGTGTAGTGTGTATGTACCCACTAATATTGTAATATTCTGACATATTATTGGCTGTTTATATTAATGTACCTTTTATTTTTCTGAATTCATGCCTCGTGCTACCTCCACAGAGTCACTAGTGTCATATCTCTTCTTGAAAGGTTCGATGGTATTGCTATGAAGTCGCGCAAGAAGGAGCCTAGCGTAACGCATATCCCGATTCTATCACTTAAAGAGGCTACTGACTTATCGCCTATTGGAACTTCGAAGCATCGTTTGCACCGTTTAAGTCGCGCACTTAGCGCGCCATTGGTTGACCTAGGTAATTGTTATATATCTTTTGTTTTATTCTTATCACAGCCTTGGTGAAGCAGATTCTATGGCTAGGTGTACCGGCAGATTCACCTTTAAACCACCGTGCAGATGCATGGCGTTTGGTTTTGGTATGCATTGCATTATCTGATTCCAATTGTTCCCAGGGTTACCTTCCTGTTGTCACATCGAGTCGTAATAGTTTGCTTGAGCGTAAGCGTCACCACTACCGTGAGATGTGTAAGGTAAGGTTGCTTACATAGTGTTTTTTAATGTTATTTTAGCAACATTGCGAGACAGATGCCATGTGTGACTCTGACCAGAAGACCCTAAAACAGGTGAGTATATCCTAAAGGTTGTCACATTAGTTACAGATACAAGTTGACCTACCACGTACAAATCAGACGTTACGTCTGTTTAAGGATCACCGTGTGCAGAAGTTAATGGAAAGGGTCTTATACATATGGAGTGTTCGTAACCCTGCTAGTGGTTATGTTCAGGGTATAAACGACCTTTTAGTTGTTTTCGTCTGTGCGTTTAGTCGTCCGTATTTAAAATGTTAGTTTGTAATTTATTTTCTGTTAATGAAACAACAGGTTTCCAATTGGATACTGACGCCGTGGATGGTTTGACTGACAAGGATCTGGGTGAGATTGAGGCTGATTGTTTCTATTGCCTCTCTCGTGTTTTATCGCAAATGCAGGACAATTACACCGAGAACCAGCCGGGTGTCTATAAGTCTATGAACAAGTTAAAAGACTTGGTTAAACGTATCGACGGGAAGTTGTATGACCATTTTGAGCGTATTGGTGTCGACATTTTACAGTTTCCATTTCGTTGGATGAACTGTATGTTGATTCGCGAGCTTCCTCTGGAATGTGCCATACGTCTATGGGATACTTACATCGCAGAGTTGGACAATGGTATTGTGTCCTTCCATGAATATGTTTCCGCGGTGTTTCTGAGTGTTTGGTCGGAGCAGCTGCTTCAGATGGACTATCAGCATTGTCTATTGTTTTTACAGCGTCTTCCTACATCAGGCTGGGGTATAAACGAGATCGATGCGATAATTTCTAAGGCGTATGTTATCTATTTAACTATATATTAAAATTGTTATCAGGTTTGTACTTCAATCGGCATTCCAGGACTCCCCTAACCATTTGATGTAGTTTTGATTGGCGCACAGCACCTGTTTATGGAATTAATGTAAACTGTAGTAATAAACTTACCTATCATTGATATTTTGTAGTTATCAGTCCATAGTATTGGTATCCGCTAAATAAATAGTTCGCCATATTGGCGGATTTAAACAGATCCACGGTGTTTAGAAAAAGCGCATCTCACCCGTTACTGGCCTGTCGAGTTTGCTAATGTATGCATCGACAAACCATGCCGTTTCCTCTTGATAACTGCCGTTTAGCTCTTTATCGATAGGCAGATGTCTGATATATATCCATTTGCCCCCGTCGGCAACGCAACATCTGGTACGTTTGTACCGGCGTATCATTTGTTCAGAATGTTTTGTATCTGGTGGTAGCGCAATTTCAAATGTCGCTCTTTTCGCAGCTTCTTCCAGTGCCGCCTCATCATCTGCATCGTTTATGTATGGTGTAATTTCTACAAAGCTACGCTTGGCATGTTTAAACTGGGTTGGTTTACTTGCATATATGTGTAATATTTCTAGCAGTTCTGATGGTTTCATTTTACTTATAGTTTTGTCTTGGTTAATTTTGACAATGTTCCAGAGCTTGTCTTCTGGTTTTTCATCTTTGTATAGTGTTAGGAACTCTAGGTAACTTTTTACACCTTGGCATATGTTATTTGAGGCTACTGGTTTGTACTCCTTGGTTACCCCGAGTGTGACGTGAGTGCAATGGTTTTCTTCTAACATGACCCCGTCGTTTTCTTTGCAAAGGTTCAACAGAAGTTGCATGTTAGCCATTTTGGACCTTGGGTATTGATCATATGGTCCTAACTTTCCATCTGGCGAGGGCAAGGGTACCAACTCCCTCTCTAGATGTGCGGTGACGCACATGAGCACCCCTGGTACAAAAATAACGTGTTTAAGGTTCATTGGTACATATTCCTTCAACTTTGTGTGTTCATGCGGTTTCCGATGTTCAAATGGCATTTTAATATGGTAGAAATGGCGATAGAGCATTGCTACAGCAAATTCATATGGTGTCATTGCATCCCATAAAGTTTTAAGTTCAGGTTTCAACGATGCCATTTCCTTCAGTGCGGTTTGTACCACTGGGTCTGATAATTCTTCCTTATGGTCCTGTGAGGAATAGTAGAAGAGTGTAACATGGTGGTTGCTTTGTAGCTTGATAGTGGATACTTCACATTCTTCGGTTTGATATTTATCCACGGCAGTTACGTTACATGGGCTCTCAGGATGTGCGCTATATAGGTGGTTCATGCATATGGGAATCCATTTTTCTATTGCGCTGTTGACCTGGGAAATGATATCCATCTGGTCACAATGGCTGATTTCCACAGCTATCCCCGTAAATTCTATAGGTGCTTTAGGACGTGCATTACATGCCACAGGCGCATCATCATTCTCTACTTCTGCCTGTTCGGCCACCTTTGGGGACACTTCCTTCGTCTCCTCTATTGATTCTCCTACCGCTCTTGGCGTACGAAAGCCAGTGTACCATTCATAGCCAAGATCGTCCATTTCGTTAAGTTACTATCACCTTTAGAGGCGCCCTTTAATATATCTTCATATGTTAGTCAGCAGTGCTATATTATAGGCGTTATTATATATTGTGTGTACGTTAGCGAGGGCTGCACTGGATCAATGACTTATAATGCTATTACTTATTTACTTTAAATATTAAAATTAGTTATGTTCCTTAAAATGAAATGCGTGTCCAATATTTGCTGTTGTTGCCATTCTTTTCGATATGCCTTGGGGGCCTGCTGGAAGGTACTAGATTATCCTAGAGCCCAGTGTCTGTATGTATAATGTGATTATAACAAAAATATAATAATTTTGCAAAATAGTATTACATCAATCTTCTTCCGTCTAAAAATTCGTGGGATGATAACTGTTAGTATGGAGCTACTGAATTAAGGCAGCTGTGTAATAGCGAAATTGACACTTATTAAGTTGTATTCAGCTGAATATCAATGTTATACGTCGCTATTTTATAAAGGGGAGTATTAACTGTATTTTCTGTTGAAGGTAATCATGGCTCCTGCCTTTTCTGCAGCATTCACAAATGATTCTTGCTATTAGTTTCCAAGACCATGGCATCCTCACCGCCCTCGAGCGATACAGACTTTGAAGAATCACAGCTTTCCAGCCAGTGCTCCAAATCAGATGTTATGTACTCTGTGTTGGAGACTGCAGCAGCAAGGATTCGTAACTGTGACTTTGTAGATGCCATATCTATTTTGGATACTTTGGAGCAGGAATCGATTGCTACCGGTTCTCTAGATTTTTTGGCACGTTGTTCTGAATTGCAAGCTGAGATCCAAATTTATATTGGTAATTACAAGGAAGGGTTACGGTACCTGCTGCGATGTAATGCCGGAGGAGCCACGGCTATGCTTGCTGCCAGGATAACATTGGGGTCACCTTGTAAACTGGCAGCTGCAGAAATAGCTTCTTCTTTGGCCACGCTACTGTCAGAATGTATATCAAGATGCACTGAGACTGGTTCGCAAGGTTCCATAGACGCTCCTGTTATGTTACTAGAGCTATTATCTCGTTCCGGGAAACTATCGTCAATACAAAAATGGCTAACGTTTATCTATTCTCAGGGACTTAGTGACAGTAATCTACGCTCGGCACCCACACTTGCTCCATGTTTACGTATGATTTCAACAATTCATCACGATTGGCTACATGATAATGTGGATGTACGGGCAATTTCTATGCCCCTTGTGCCATTTGGACCTCCGGATAGCGTGGATACGGATGACAACGTGGAATTAGTTCATAACCTCTCTACGGCGGTGAATGATACCGTTTTTAGAAAAGGGCAATTTGTATATTATGTACCGTTCATCTGGAAATCTATATTGGGTTTGGTTAAGGAGCTGCAAAAGGTGGAATGTTGTGAGAACGAAAATGGTCTCGATTATGTTAATGTATCTGTTGTGGAGCACAGTGTCTCCGCATATAGGGATGTTATTCGCAATAACCGTGCTAGTCCTAATAAAAGGCGTGGGATATCTTTTGGCACTACCTCTAGGGGGATATTATGGCGATCCACAGACCGTTGGCTGAAAACTAGGCATCTGTCTTTGGAACGCCTACCCTCTTTTGATAGAAACTATCTGACATCTATATATATGGAACAACGCGTATCACGTATACTGGCCGAACGCCTGCGTGTTCGGTTGTCATGGACTATACGTGATTTGGCGTTATTGTTTTTTGACGTGTTATCACGTTACTACCATTTACTAGATCGCAATAGAGAGCAGTTGACTCTATACCTCTGCATCCTGTTGACATTCATCTGTGATGATTATAGATCAGAGGTATATTCGGGTTCACTTTCATCTGGTGTGTTTTACACCACCCCTTCAAAATCGGATCTACGGCTAATTCACAGTTCGGACACTACACTCTCGAGGCTTAGAGAGGTACTCGCCCGTTCTGGGATACAATGTATATGTCTGATTTTGAGCACACTTCGGAGACCTTCCGGCGGATTGCGTCAATGCGCTAAGCAAGTTGGTATAGATGACCCATATGGGTTTATGCATCATACCTTTGCTCGTTTAAGCTCTCTGATGCTATTCTATTTTGCAACTAAGCGGCAAGAGACATTACAACTGGTTGTTATGAGAGCACGCCTGTTGTTCGCATTTGCCAAGGATACCATTAGGGAACACTTCCCACGTAGGGGTCTGCTGATACGTGGCCGTAGCCGGGATGCCTACATCCATGTGCGTTCCATTACTACGTGCCTTAGAGCGTTACACAGGAAAGCTTGCACACTAGTGCTGCGTCAAATGAGCCGCAATGCCCATCTGATGCTATCGATTCGGCATCGGGAATCTAATGTCAACTTCCACAACTCGACAACGCATGGAACTTTTGACCTTGGAGTTGCGGCTATAGAGCGCCGTTGGTTGAACCTCACGCTCATATTACGTCGGTATAAGCTGAAAATGTAGCTTGTGACATTAACGTCTAATGCAGCCTGGAATGGCAATAGTTTAAATGCATTCTAACATTTTGTGGCACCAGACAACTCTCATTCATAGTGACTTGAATGACCAATTTAGTGTACGTATACGGTATTTGAAGGTTGTAATTCGTAGTTTGTGCAACTATCGGACACTGGCATGGTCATGTATACCTCTAGCGGTACGAATTGAACATGGTGCTTCTAAACATGGTTAAATTTACGTCCCGTTGCTATTAGATGTATCTATGGCTTGCAATAATGTAATGTGTATTTGAAATTTGTATAGAAGGTGACTTTTGGCCACTATTACAGACCATCTCTCTACACCCGTTACGTCGCGTGTAACTTATCGCAGTAAGATGCTACGATGTAGCCGCTACATGGGCTTGAATCTCATACATAAAGTGCGTTTTAGACCCCAAAGACGTAGTTTTGGAGGTATATATCGACCGGTTCCCGATGATGTCGACGACCCTTGGGAACTGGAAGACCCAGTATCTAGGCCGACTGCAGCGTACATAGAAGCCCCAACGATAGACATTGGAACAACACTTGGGTCATGCGCAACTATTGATGATATAGGTATACTTTTTTCGGAATACCGGCCAAGGCTGAAGCCCAGGGAATTGATATTACTCCTGTCACGGATCGTAGATTTAACTTGCCGCCATCGTGAGGACTGTGACGACATATCGTCCCAATTATGGCCGAGTAATACATTCTGTATGGTACCATTATCTGGTTTGCAGGGGAAAGTAAACCTGATGCGGTTACCACAGGTTGTTGCCAACGTATATACAGATGTCATTTCTAGGGTTGATACCTATGCACCTACAGAGTTACTATACCTGCTAAGGATAGGAAAGTATATACGTGGATATCACAATAAGTTGTTGAGAGCTCATACAGAACGTGTTATCACGAATAGCATATGGCGATTGGATCCAGTGGACATATGCCGTAGTGTCGCAGTTTTGGCTTCTAGTGACAATGTGGAATTTGCCAAACTATTAGGGCACGTAACTCTGAAAATTTTTGTGGAGATGGACTCTAAAGAGAGATTGTTTGTTTTCAAATCCCTAGCGTCAGCAAGACATGGCTCCACACTGTTTCTTCAAGGTTCCGTACGCCACGCCCTTAACACTGATTTGTTTCTCGGAAACGATGTCGTACAAGTACTACTCTGTTATGCACGTAAACCAACTGCATGCCCACCGTCGGTATTTGAAAGTCTACTAAAGCGTTGTGTGGACCTTGAACTATCCTCTCTAAAACCACTGGAGCTCTGCGACCTTATATGGGTTACGTGCAAGTATTCCAACGCAAGCGTCGATATGTTTAGGCGCTGCGAACCGATTATTCTTCAACACTGTTACCAGTTGCCTGGAAGGAGTATTGCAATGCTCATGTGGGCGTTGGCAGAGTCTGGTTTTGAATCACCGGAGCTACTCGCTGCTCTGGAATCTGCCGCAATAAATTCCGCAGAGTCAATGTCACCTACTAATGTAGCAGTATGTGCACATAGCCTGGCTATACTCAAGGGGTTCGGTGACCGGAGCGAGTTCCATAGTCACGTTGAAACTGAAGTTATCAATGCCATCAGCCACTTTAACGGTTTGGACCTTGCAATGCTAGCAGAGGGTTATGCACGTTTGGGCCTGGGTTCTGCAACTCTACATCAATGTATACAAGAAGCAGCGCTTAAATATGTCGAAGACTTGCCAGCAGATTGCTTATCGAAACTATTATGGGCATACGGACACCTAGTTGGTCGTGAGTCCTTTTTCACAGGTTTGCAGTTGGCATTATTACAACGACTCAACCAATTCACGCCACATGAACTGTCTCGTGCTCTTTGGGCATATGCAGTACAACGGTTTTTCGATGTAAAGTTTTGGTCAACCTGCCTCGCGATGCTCGATGTGGATTACATCCGGGGTAACAATCGATGCTCACTACTATACCCAGCACTATCTGAACTTACTACAGGTAGGTAATCATATGCACATTTCAAACCCCTAACACCTCGATTCATAACACTGATTTGAATAACCTTGATAACGCTACAGTGCGCAAGGAGATGTTGACCAGCGATGTACTGAGGCTACTAAACCTCACCAGATCCGTGTTCACGGAAACGGAACTGGCCAACTATTGTAACGATACAGCACAACACATAGTTACAGTGCTGAAATCTATGGATATATCGGCACAATTTGGCGTTGATTTCAACGGGTTCATATTGGATGTTACGTTCGAGCATAAAGGGGTCAAACATGCCGTGCTAGTATATACACGTAGGAATACGGTTGGATCTACCTTGCGACCAGCTGGAAACATGGTCCTTAAAGCCCGGTTCCTAAGACGGCATGGTAAGTTACATTTCTGCACATGTAAAAAATGTGTCAGGTATAAAGGTTATACACGTTTTAAGCGACCCTTTCAATAATATGGATGACACTGAACGTGTCGAGTTGCTATCAAGACAGATGTAGAGCAATTGTATTGCAACATCACATTCAAGCACTTGTATTTATTTGCGAATGCACATATACATATGGATGCTCTATATTTAAAAATGTAGTTCGATTTTCATCGAATACTGAGAAATGCCCTAAACTTTCAGGCAAATATAAAGCTAATAAACGGCCAACATGTTGACCAAGCCTCATCAAACGATGACCCTCACAGAGTTAGGGTTATACGCAAAGCAGCATAACGCAGAGAGACTAGCGCGACTTGATCTTGCCTCTATACATAAAACATCCGTGCCAATTTTTATGGCAATAGGGTGATCACGCTCAACAGGTATGGTGAAGTTGTCTCCCATATAAAGAACAGTGCCAAACTTGCTGCATTTATCTTCAATAACAAACTGACCATCGCAATACTGCAGAATCGCATGACACCGAGAAACCGATATGTCTTGTAAAACGATACCTGATTCACTGCTCCTACCTATAGTAACAGGCTGCTTTGCTATGCTTGCGATATGTAGGCCTGTATGTGAGCTGTTTTCTGGTTCTAGCACTGCGTAAGGTGGAGCCGGCTCTTCAATACCCAAGAAATCAGTCCATACACTCTCCACATCAACATATGACGGGTATGGGACAGAGCACAATTCACACTTGAGGTTTTGTAAAAAATAAGTTATGTGAGGTTTACCCTCTTCATCCTTGATCTTAAGACGACCTTGTACCCAGGTACGTACACAAGCAAGATGGACATATTTCATTGAACCGTTGCACTTACAGGGGACAACCAAAGGACCAGATTGCTCATCCTCGAGACATATACGACATATCTTTGGCTCAGATCCAGAACGTTGGAGACAACCTGCTGTAGAAGGGGTAACTTGGACACCCACATCAGAGTCACGGTCATTAACTGTTGATACTGTGGAATCACCACATAGACAACCATCTGTATTATTAACAGCACATTTGTCATCGACATGCTCGTCGTTTTCGGCAGCAGATGGACCATTGGTCATCTGAGCCTCTGACGACATGAGTGAATGGATGTGTGACAACGAATTTGATGGTTTCCTCGCAAGGTGACGTACTAAAAGTGTTGCGCGACCCATACCTATACGGTCCCCTTCTTTAATGGCATGTGCAACACGTCTGGCAGCTGCTCTGCATCCGAATGCCCTGCGGTATAAATGGGTATTGATCACCCTATGATAGTCATATGTAAGTTCTTGTGGCCCTGTGATATCGGGACTAGATACGTAACATCCTTTATTAGACCATGTGATCTTGACAAGTGGCATCGCAAGACGATAGCGCTCTATATAATCTACTAGAGTTTGCCTTTCTGCGATTCCATGTAATTTGCGACCATTCTGTACAATGTATACCTCCTTGATGTTCCCACCCGCAATGCCAGATGTCGTAGAAGCATCGTCATACTGCACCGGCCCTAGTAGAATAGCGTACTCCGATATCGTAGGAGATTCAAAATCTATTAGATCGTTAGGACCCGCCTGATACATAAGTATCTTAGCTATAACCTCAACGGGCTTGTTTTTAACAGAAACATTCAGTGGTTCCATGGTCTGTCGCAGCAACGATGATCGCCAAGATAACGTGTCTGTATTACAAGATACACGATGTTGATATGGATGTACACATGGAAAAAATTATGGATGACACTCTACACGGATCATGCCATTGGCATTATGGTTCCTGCCATTTAGAGGTTAAAAGTACCGTGTCTCTGGCACCGCTAACGTACGGAAGTACACCCCTAAACGCCACGTTGCGTTACTCGCATCATACATCGCTAGCCTAACACATGTACCAATAATAACTATATTCATAGATACAAACGTTTACATGGTTTTATCCGATAACGCGGGGAACCCGCAATGTACAACGGATCTCTCCTTATAGAGAGTGTCATTAACGCGTTTGACATGCGACCTTAATATTTAGGACGTTACACATGTCTCTCTAGGGATTTATACACATTCAGAAATATAACGCTATGCGACAAATGTCTATTGTACAGGCACACCCGACCCAGCCACTATACGATGTGTCCGATGTTGTGGAATCCCAGGGTGTCGATTTTTAGGACCACAAACACATATCAATGTTGGAACAGTTGAATGTTATCACACTTTGTGGGAGTATCATATTCAAGATGAAATGGTTATGATAATATCAGTAGGAGATTAGAGAATCCTGCCATCGGCAAGTGACAGAAATCAACAAGGTAAGGTAGATACCTGAGGTATCGGAGAGCTCAAACGTGATAGTTTATAATATTTCAATCTAGAGTTTTGAAAACCCAGAGAGTGTGTGATCTCGGGCTACCATGATTTTATCACTCATTACCCCCCCCCATGGTAGATAAATAACGACCGTAATTTACATATATAAGTAACATCAATGAAGATAAAGTGATATGATATTTTATTAGGCAGCAGAACTATATATCGGCGTATAACAGTTCAGTACGCGCTACTGGGTTAAACAGAACTACATTAGTCAACTGGAATCCACGGCAATAAGGTTCACCGTCATATCGACGGTATTTGTGGCGACGAGACCACATACATAACATCTCAAGGATTACGTAAATCGCAAGAAAATGTCGGTAGGAACACCCGTTAAACTTTTCTATGAAGGGATCGGCCATATTGTCACGGTAGAGATGCAGAATTCACATTTATATCGCGGAACTCTGGTAAGTTATAACAAAAAAAATATAGCATAAACTGCAGATAAATGTAGAAGATAACATGAACTGTTTAATGGAAGGCGTAACTATGGTTATGAAAGATGGAAAGACATTAGCATTGGAACAGGTCTTTCTAAGAGGTGCTCAGATAAGATTTGTAATCTTCCCAGATATGCTAAGACACGCACCAATGTTCAAAATAAGCGCAAAGGATAGAAATAAACAAGCTGTAATACCACCAACAACACAAACACAATTCAACCGTAGAAGAAATTAAACACAAACTGGAGTATCTATACAAACTTGGGATATTTCGCATGATGGAACTATATCGCATCATATCAAAAGGCTACGAAATTACCAAGATATATCTGCAGACGAACAGGAACACAGCAAGTATAAAGTCCGTAAACGGTTGATACTACGCTTTTAGAACATAGATATTCCAGGTTGAACACATTCAACCTCAACATGCTAGACACAACGAACCATTTAACATCAATGAAAATATACGGGTACAGATATTCGATAATGTAGTAGCTTGCAGGGGGGACGCGGACGGCGACAAATCACACGATTCAAACAAATAATTTACATACATAACATCACACACCAATTAATATTACGCATTATAGTACAGAATCTTTTATGTGTAATCCATATAGCAACATTAATATCAACCTAACAACTTAGTGTGTGAACCACGACAACGATATTATACTTAACATGTTAGTGTGTAAATCGAAACATTATACATGAAAAATCAAATATAGAACATAGAGCAAGGTAACTGACAGACAGGTATATTTTAATAAGAATCAGTGGTTGGTTAAGACGCTGGATCGAAAAAGAGATGGCAAGCTGCGAAACGTCAGAATGGCCAGAATTAGACATAAATACGGAGATTCAAAAGACAAACTATCGGCTAATGCCATGGGTAAATAAATGGCTAAGGTACAATGACACAAAACTATGCAAATGCTGCGCATGTCAACTCATGGACAATGAAACCCAAAAGATAACGGATAAAGATACTAAAACTAACAATAATCATAATGATGCAAACAACAAGTCGATGCGTGATTGGGTAGAGGTTTCAACAAGTACACTGCGAACAAAATCTACAGTTCAACCGGGATATCACGAACGTACAGTAGTACACTCTCCAGTAACGAAGGATCTAACCACATCTTGCAGGTTAAAAAACAAATATCAAAACACATTGAAATGGATATGTCGTACAATACGACATCTAGACGCATTAGAACGACAGTCTTTTGGTCAAGAATTTAGGAGAAAACAATTGCAACAACTAAGGACCATAGACCAGGACCACATAGAGGCCAATAGTGATATAAAATCGACAGTTGAAGATACTTTGCGACAATGGATAACATTCGATACACAGTTAAGGAGAGTATACGCAGAAATATCAAGAACGTACAAAAGATTAATACGGATGGAACTACACCTGAATCTGTTGCGTACAAACTCACTACTGATGATGGAAGACGAAATACAATCCTCTAACAACGTAAACATACAAAAAGCAACTGGATATGAACATATTGTGGAATCCGAACGATATGGCAAATTGGTATCTATTTGGTCATCAAAACTAGCTGCGTTACGTGACAGGAACCTAAATGAATTCAGACAATATGTCATATCAGCAGTCGCAGATCTTAGACTCATGCCAGTACCAAGGGCAGTTACATTCGTTGAAAACGATGAGGAAGAAAACAGCTTAGTAATAAGCGATGAAGAAGACGATGATATCACACGACCATACAACGCTACAGCATCATTCGAAATAGATGTAGAGGATAACACAGAGACGGAGCATCGTGATAATGAAGAATCCACTTCAAAACACTCAATTGAACTACCACAATTCAATCAACCAACCATCTCCATAGAAGGGGTACCCGAGTATACACTAGATACAGCAGATGTTAACGCGGACTGCTACGATTACGAATGTACAGCCCATTATAATGAAATATATGAAGATGCAATGAAATTGGTAACGGATTACTGTCAAGATCGAGGAATTAATGAGGAAAATCCAGTAGAATATGTTAATAGAGTCAGGACACTCAATAACCGGCTACTACCGCACATACTAAAAGTATCAAATAGTATACCAATACACAGCAACGAATACCTCAATCAATCGATAAACTGCATAACAGAATCGGATACTACTCTTACAACTGAAAACTTAAGGATATCACGTAGTAGCTCGATACATTGGGGGTCGATAGACACTGAGGCCAAACGTGAACTACCCACACAACATAATGGATACCTTGTAACAACAGGAGGTACAACCCACAAATCGTCAGCTAGAAATGGCATTAACACAAATGTGGAATGCAATCTACCAACATGGGCCTTACACAATGGATACGTTGAGTTATTACGGAGAACTAATCTTACCGTTGTTAACGCATTAAGGTGTATGCCCAACTCATCGTATCGGTACCGTAAACTTGTATGCCTCAGCCGAGGGAATATAGCCGACTTGTTCCGTAATAGGACAGGAGTTGGGGAAATTGAAACTGTAGACGTCGGGTCACTCCTTACAACAGATAGTCCTGATAAAACAAGTGCTCGCAATGTTAAAGCTGTAGCACCATCACTATGTGGCCCACAAACCGTATTGAGGGCACTGTTAACTGAGGACCTAGCAAGCTACGAAATAGACAAAATCATACAATGCTGGTTCCCACCGTTGTCGCTACAACATTCGACTACAAACTCAGGAATAGATTTAGAATCAGAAGAATTAATGGAGGATGATATTGATGGATACTCGTTCGCACTAGGGACTGAAGCTGACGAGCTGCATATAGGGGTTTGGCGTAGCAGGCTAGCTCAGTTCGATGCACTTACAGGTAGGCAGATATCAAGGCTACTTCGAGATCGCAAACTTGTGGAACCCAGGGTAAAATATGACTCTTCAGGATATCCTAATAGCTCGGACTTTATACCCTTAAGCACCAACTGTAATTTCCGAAACCACATACCAATAAAATATACCATGAAAACACAAATGACACATGGTGAAAGTCACTACGTATGGATGCAATCTTTATTTGGAGGCGACTTGGATGAAGGTTCTATACAAGATGATTATTTTATTCCGGATACGACCGAAACCAATTCCGATGTAATCACTATCATGTGTTCCAATAACGCACCAAATGCGGTAGTTATACCGATACACCGCGGATCGATAGATATCAGCCAGGGCTATCGTACAATCGCAGAAATGTCAGACTGTGTAACCGACTATGTATTCCCACCGCTTTACGAGCAGCATCGTTTTGCATACGCGGAGACGAATAATGATGGTATATGTAGTAATAGTCAATGTGATAAACGTTACGAACCCGGACATTACTGCAACGCAACAGTGGACACAACCAAAATAGGAAATGTATTCATATCAAGACACAGTAGTCTATATCTCGGAAGCCAATGGACAAGCCGTGTAGATGATTGGGATCGAACATCGGTTCCAGTGGTTTTCTATCTGGTATCTTGTGAAGGACCCGTTGCAACTGATACTACCTCGGGAGATCCGGATAGTCCAGAAACTGTTTTAGAACAATTGGAACGTATGAGACCCGTACTTGCAGGGTTGGATCATATTCTAAATTTGTGTGTCTACTGGAAAGTAAATACATTAACAATACCAGCTGCACTCAGCTGTTGTTTAAGCACGGACAATCGACAACAAATCGATACTTCTAACGTAAATGAAGATGATACAGCATCGTTACGGGGTGACACATATATGCGTTGTTTGGCCACGGCTACACATCTCACAACCGGGTTATGTCGAAATCCCTTTCCACGAGCGGTTAACATGATATTTCCAGAAGAGCTACATGGTTCGGGTGTAGAATCAGCAGTGGCTTCGATATTTGCCAACCGTTTAGGCACTTTTTAACACTAATGTGTATGGCGCACATCTGAATTACATCATAGTGTGGCCGTCCAATAAATTGGTGGACATGGCAATCGCTACAATGCCAAAAAATTTTTAATTTTTAATGTAGATTCACAATGAGTGCACTGGAATTATTTAGGTTCTTAGGCGAAGACCTTAATAGGCCGCCAAGTCCCACGCGTGATAATGCGAAGCACCGCAGGACCTCTCATGGACCGAAAGCCGTCAGGTACTGGCCCGGAAAGGTAGGATTTACAATAGTATCATACATAGCTCCATTTCAGGCCCCAGAGTATGCGAAAGATACGCAATCGAACAGTGAATATGACTCCGATGATGGTTCTGATGTGGCTCAAACTGCTCTAGAACAGGATCCACGGTATTCAAGGTACACTAACTCAACAGGTATGAACTGTACCCCGGAAGATATACTAATAGTCACAGATTCCGTCGATGATAACCAAAGATCCGGTAGACGACGGGCGCCTGCCGCTACCATTCTTGTTGAACGCGAAGTAGACAGAGATATAGTAAGCTATGATAACTTTGGATCTATATTCAAGTGTAGGACGAGGGGACAGCTCGACATGATACCGATGTTGCAACGGAACCAGATGAAATAGCAGCTACACGGGACCGATCTGCAATAAGGTCTCGCGCTATGGCATATCGCAAGGAAGAAGAATCAAAAATTGATGAAAATGATACGGTATTAAACTCATTAGAAGAAGAAGAGGAATTATCGGAATCCGATATAGACAATGATATGGATAGGTCATACGACCAATCTGATAATGAAGAGAGTTCATCTGCACTTGCAAGGCCAGTGTTCGTACCGAAGAAACGGAGACTTACAGTTTTAGAAAAACAACAAATTGAAAGAGAGGAACAAAGAAAATTAGAATGCGAACGACAACGTGCTATTGAACGACAGAAACAGAGCAAAGATCTTCTGATACAAACACTAGTTTCAGAAGTAGCACATCAGGATACAGAAAATAACGCGGAAATGATAGATGATACTGATGAATTGAATGAAAAGGAATATGAATTGTGGAAAATTCGTGAACTAAAACGGGTGATAAGAGACCGAGACGAAAGGACCGCACATGAACGATTGGTATGTTATTTATAAATTTTAACACATAATATCATACACAGGCTGCGGAAGTTGAAAGAAGAAGACATATGACAGAAGATGAAAGATTACTAGATGATGAACGGATAGATCGTGAAAAGGTGCAACGGGCACCAAGAAGCAAGATGAAATTCCTACAAAAGTATTACCACAAAGGTGCTTTCTTCATGGATAAGCTAGAAGATGGGTCAGAACCGTTATATAACCGCGATTTTAACGCACCAACTGCAGATGATTGTGTCGATAAGTCACTGATGCCAAAACCTTTGCAGGTACGCCGTGGTCTATACGGTAAGATGGGACAAGTAAAACACACCCATCTCACGGCCGAAGATACAACAAGGTTCGATATGCCTTGGAACAAGGCGACAAATAAGTTCACACCAGCTGGGACACACAATACTTTTGATCGTCCCTCGCGAAAATCAAATAAAAAAAAGTGAACACGCTTTATATAGTAGAAAACTCAATCTGCAATTTATCGCTCATTACTTCATATATTTAAGCGAAACAAGCTAGACAACACACCTAAGCATTGAAACATATTAGTACAACTTTCATAATCATATAATACACATGTTGCTGTTACAAAGTAAGCACCTGAAGGTCGGTTATAGGTATAACTATATTCGGCTTCACATGTATCTCAATCCCTCCAATCGTATGGAAACCCTTGGCCAAACTTATGAACGGCACGTCAATGATTTTCGATTCAGCAGGAGCAAGACCGCCACTATCCATATAGCTCTCAACCTGCACTGCTAGTGGTTTCAGCTGCTCTTCGTGGAACCTTAACATACAATCCAAAGGTCCAGAAGTAGTGTTGGTGACCTTGAATGTTATCTTGAACTCTTCCTTTAGCGATACCGTTCCAGGGTGCCGTATGGTCTCGTAGACGATGGGAAGACGGTTGCTAAACAGGTCGACCGGCATATCGATCTGACCAGTTCCACGCTCATAGCAAAACCAAAATACCTTTATATTCAACGCCTTATGGATCCTAACATTAGTGAAGATAACACTGTGTGCATGATTTGGACGAAGCACACATACAGCGTTGAGATCATCATTCGGCGGAGTTATAGGATCGACGTAAGCTGACGACTCTGGCATAACAAGCTTCACGTCCTTGATAGTAACGTTGAGCTGCGAACTATTCGTCAGTGTAGCTTCTAAGTGAGACCTTCCAATCTGTATTATATGCCCTCAGTTTTATCAACAAACTTACTGAATCCTTTTTGTGGAGGAATTCGGCCTTAAGGGGGTTAACCACATTCCAAACAGCACGTTTTATGACTTGATAACTTTTCTTACCACAGTTGTATGTCACGATAAAGGTCATGAAATGTTGTTGAGACTTGTGGAAAAGATACGAAATACTAGTCTGATACGGTTTCGTGTTACCCTCTAAAGTGATATCAGAAAATGGCTCAATCACAAAAGGGTCCTTCTGCTGTTCATCTGTAGTCACCTCAACAGTAAGCTTCACGTTAGTACATGGTGTCTTGTTTCCGTTGGTGAGCAGTATAGAGAGGCTTAAAGTCTCACCCAGGAAACACTCGTTAACATATTGAGGCAAAAGGAGCATAGGCATATAAGCGGAATGCTTGACATTCTCGACAGTTTCCTGCATGATATAAGAAACAGATATACAATATAAATGTCACAATTAGATGGAGGATAGCAAGTTAGAGTTACAAACTCCACGGACGTCACATCCTAACTGCCGATTCTAACCTTCAACTACCACAACTCAACTACAAGCAACAGTTATTCAACCAACAAGCACAACGTACACACTCATATAAATATCAACACTTACCGTCTCTAGCGCTACGAGAGCATCGGATGCGTCCATAAGTTGCCATGCTGCACATTCATAAGTTGGAGGCGATAAACGCATAACAACAAGATTAGGAGGTGAATCATGGGCCATTTTACCTGTGGCAATGCCACGGCGCCCTTGCGCCCGGAGAATATTTGTGTTCGCGGGCTTTAATATGGTGTAGACCTATACTTGCGAAGCGCGGTGACATTATCATGAGCTTAGTAAAAAGTTAGTGATATATATGGTGGGTAGTTCGGATAAACAGTCCTCTCTTGATACGATTCTGGCCGGCGAAGACGTATCATTGGACGAAGATGCCGGCCTTCCTTTATTACGCGCGTCGTCATTCACATGTAATCGAGCCGGTACGCGGCTACTATACGGTGCTTCCGACGGAGAACTACGCTGTGTAGACTTCTATAAGTGGATGAGCGGTGGATGTGGACCACTATGGACAAAGAAACTGGAACAAAGTGTCAGCGCTGTCGCTATGAATCATGACGATTCGGTCGCGGCTGCCGCTAACGGGACGATTGTATCGTTTTATAGCGACGCTGGGGAACATATAATGAATACCACTAAAGGAGATATGTATCTCCTCGACGCTAGGAAGACAAGAGGTCATACAGCAACGGTTACATGTGTTTCAGCAGATCCACTACAAAACAATCTTTTCACCTCAGGATCAATTGATGGAACCATACGTACATTTGATATCGAAGCACCAAGACAAGGTGTAGCAATGTCTATACATTCAACCTCTTGTTACGTACCACGCTCATCAAGAGGACCCAGAGCACCGATACGCTCCCTAGGCTTTGCTACGTTAAAGGGAACAAGTATTATCATCGGAGGCACAGATCGCGGTGGAATATTAACGTGGGATAGACGTACGGCGTATCCAGGTGTATCATGTTTAGATGCCCACATGTCACCGGTGAATTCGGTCATATCACATGAAGAAGATCTAGTACTGAGCCGCTGCAATGACAACGTGAAGTTATGGGACCTCCGCAATTTAAAGAATGCACTACGGGAATGTACGATATCAGGTGGTGAAAGTGGCGCTGGTGTGGCACTTAGTCCAGACGGAGCTCACCTTGCAGTGGGTGAAGTGATACCTGTGAACCCAAAAAATATCAAAGAAGGGTTCAAAGGGTCTATACGAATATTATGTACCAAATCATTGGATATAGTAGAAACCTTACGATTGAAATCTGCTCCTGGACCGTTATCATGGGCTCACGAACTCGGACAGCTATTAGCTACCTGCCACGATGGTAAAACATGGTGTAGATGTAGTACAGATGCCCTTGAAGCAATGTATTTGCAACGTGCAAGGGAAACTACACGTCAAAAGAGGATATCGGACACACACAAAACGGTATCGGTGCAACCAGAAGTACATCCCATCGACCAGTTACCAGATAACCTCGAGGAAACTGATGATGGGACTCTGAAACGACGCAGGGTAACTAAACAATACAAAAAACCAGGAGCACGTGAAGAACCCGATCTGGACTATGTCTCGTATGGACGAACCCCAGTAAATTACGAAGATGAAGATATTGTAACAAAACTTCGTGCTATGGAAGGGAATGCCACAGGTGTAGCAGCAGAAGCAACAGGAACTGGTATACAACGTGTTCCGTATAAGGTGGACAAGTTTATGCGTATGTATCAGAAGACGCAACCAGAATTGATCCTGGATTTCACCGCACCAGAAACAAAGGAAGAAAATATGCTACAAGGGGTACAAAAATGCCCTAGATGTGGTATCAAGATTTGTCAATGTGGGTACATGGATAGCCGCAAATAAATATCACAAACTGCAACACACTGCAGGACGGTAAACCGTTATGTACTAAGTGGCACAAACGACTGAGGTGGTCGTATGATAAAAACGTGTGTTAGTCACTACTATAATGAAGTTATATGTATACACCCTCTATGATGGCGTTCTAACCGTTAATTAGTTGTCGGAAGGCAAAAGCCCAACGGTGTGTCCTCAAGTTGCATGGCAGCTTCGCATGACCACCTCAGACGCACGGCGTCACGGCCATTGAACCAATTTACCACACCAGCAACCGGCTGGTTAACCTATTACAGCACGGTTGCGTCGTACCAAACGCCAATAGTATAAATAAGACAATGTGCTCTACCACATTGATTCGCCTAATTAATATTCACACGACGCTATGTAAGCCAATGCCAATATGTGCTGTGCACGAACCAAGGTGGTATTGAGCCGATTCAGTGATGGCCCAGCAGTGTGCCGCTTCAACTGTGCACGTCGTCAAGATGACATTCAGGACACAGTTACCTCAACATTATTATGATACCATTGTTATTACGACATCGTAATAAAAGCGGTTATCAAGCAAAATATTTGTGGTGTACACAGAATCCAGTAGACGCCAGACTTACGACGCGCGTGCCTGCCTGACTTGCGTCATTGTGTATGCCACCTGCACAAGGCTAAAACCCGGCAGAGGAAGTAGTGTTTTCGATTAACAATTTCCATCAAAATCAAACCGTGAACGTTCGGGAGCTTCCCCGGCTAGGATTATGAATGTGCTCTGAGTGCGGGACTCCGGTGATTCGTTCGCTGTGTTTAATAAAAAGCGATGGACCCGAAGGACCTGGAACAGCTGGAGCTCTTCTGCCAGTCGCTGTATGGCGGACAGCCAATACAGCAAAATGAGGCTCACGAAGTACTTATGCCATTGCTTCGTGATGTGCAGAAGATACCGCTATTGAGGGATATTATGGCGCAAAGTACCAATCTGCAAGCACTTCTATTCGCATCATCGGGACTTGTCACGGTCATCACCAACAACTGGTCTCACGTACCGGACTCACAGAAGATAGAGCTCAGGGAGTTCCTCCTGAACTACATTTACAACCGTGGTCCAGAAATGTTGAAGTGCGCACCTGAGGTACTAGGACAATTTATCCATCTTTATTGCAGAATTGTTAAACTTGGATGGCTGGAAGAGGTATATAACCACCCAGTGGTGCAACACGTAGGACAGTTCCTAGCAGCGACCACGCAACACTGGATTATTGGACTAAGCATATACTCGGACTTGACGCAAGAAATGCAACCTCAAATGGGAAAGTTTGTCGCTAAATTGCGAAGAGGGGCACTCAACTTCAAGGAAACAGTTCTACCTAAGATATTCGCGGTATGTTTAAGAGCTATCGGCACGCAGTTTTCTCAGGTTACAGTGCAAACGCTAGAACAATTCCACAATGGAACTGCACGAGTTGGAGACACTTATGAGGAATTGAGGATGCTGCAACAAATCCTACAGCTCTGCTATAACTGCTTAAGCTTCGATTTTATGGCAACGATGCCAGATGACACCTCTGAGGAACAAAGCACCGTAATGGTGCCGCAGAGCTGGGATGTACTACGCAGCGACAAGGTGCCACGTATTCTGTTCGAGCTATATGCGCAAAATTGGAATAAGAGCCCTCCATGTGCGGTACTCTGTCTACGTTGTCTAGTTGTTGTGGCCGCATTGCGCAAGTCATTCTTCAACACTGAAGCCGAAGATCTGTCCCACATTAACAGCTTCATGGTTGGAACTATGGATATTATTAGAAACAAAATGGGACTAACAAACGATGATTGTTATCACGAACTGTGCCGATTACTTGGGAAAATTAACGCGTCAAATCAACTGAGCCAACTCTTGCAAAGTGCCGCCTTCCCAATGTGGATGGAACAACTACACACCTTTACTGTAGAAGCCTTAAAAAATTGGCAACATATGCCAAATAGCAAACACTACTTGTTGGGTGTGTGGGCACACATGGTAGTCCCACTAGCCTACATGCGTGGAAAGGTGCCGACCGTATTAGAGACAAACATACTACAGGTCACTCTGGAGTTCATTCAGAGTCGACTAACCATGGCAGAGGCAATAGTTAATGCTGGAGATGATCTGGACTTCGATAACCCACTGGAAGATGAAATTTTACGAATGGAACAGGCCGATCTATTCAGCAGACTCTGTCGATGCCAGTACAGAGCGGTATGTTCTCGTGTCATTGAATTGTTTCAGTCACTTGATAAAACCACAATGACACCGAACTTTTATGCCGTTAAGGAGGAAAAGGTGGCATGGTTGGTACTGCTGGCCGGAGCGATGTTGAATGGCTCCAGCTCACTGCGGCTTACTGGTGACGAGTCCAACATGACAGCTCTATGTCTACAAACGATGAACATAGAATTGGTTGGACAAGTCTTTCTAAACATGGCTGCAAGTGATGCAAAACCTACTGAATGCGTTAGGCTGGAAATGTCCTATTTGCACTTCCTGACATACTTCAAAAAATTCTTTGTTAGCGAACATACAAAGGGGAGTATCTCGGGAGACTGCAGAGAAAGATTTTCTCAAGTGCCAGGATGCCCACCGGGCATGGATGGCGCACAGTATCTGTTGAACCGATTGGTAGAGAAGGTATTCTTCAATTTACAGTGCCGCGTATCCGACGAAGGGGTTATCAAAAAAACACTCGCCTTCTTTAGTGAACTTTCTTCTGGTATCGATATCGTGCATTACGCAGACCGCTCTCCTCATCTAGTGGTATCGGCGAGGCTCATTTTGCAGTGCAAAACCTTAAGGTTTGCACTACTGAACCATGCCGACAGAGGGTTCAGGTTCCTACAGCTACCGCAGTATGGCAGATACCGTACCATCTACTACAGTATCCTATGCAAACTGCTGCTGCTAGAACTTAGTGGAGATGACGAGCATAGCGATAACGTGCTTAAGTTCGAAGGCTTTATGGATCACCATAAGAACGTGATAGATCAACTGTGGAATCTCACTGCCCCAATGTTGGCTTCACCTGAATGCAAACCGACGATTGTCGGTCTAATGCGTGATTTGAAGGGTATTTGCAAATCCTGCGTTTCGGTTGAGGCTTACCAAATGTTCTTCAACTGGATTGTTAACGCACCGAAACAACCGGGTAAATCGCGTCTACACTTAATGAAGCGTCTTGTTGAAGCATGTTGGTCAGATTGTGATATTATGGTTCCCCTGGTGAAGTGCTTGGCGGAGTTCCTAGACAACCGTGGACACCGAATAACTTTCGACAAGACATCGGCGAATGGAATTTTACTATTCAAGGAGTCTGCCGGAATAGTGATGAGTTATGGTTTGAAGCTCCTGCAGATGTTGCAGAGCGCCGGCAACGGGCCCAGACACTCGGGAGGCGACGCTGAGACTTACAAGAAAATATACAAGGGGGTTGCTGCATGTCTACAGGTATTAGATCACACTCTTGCTGGTGATTATGTGAACTTTGGTGTTTTTGAGGTATACGGAGATGCAACACTGGATGAAGTGCTGCGACTTGCATTCGAACTGTGCCTCAGCATACCCATTGAAGACCTACAGGCATATTCCAAGTCCCTACAGCCTCTCTACGTTTTCCTGGATATCAGCACAAGGCTATTCATGCCGCAACTACTCTCTCTAACACCGGATAACGTGGCACAACTGGTAAATGCATGCTTGGATGGTCTATGCTCGTACGAAGTACCGGTATCACTATGCGCAGCTGGCGCTCTGGATCACTTTGTGACACACATCTACAATGAACGTAACAGCACAGTTACTGGTGGAGCTCCGCACCCTGCTCGCATATTCTTGGAATCACATATCGAGTGTTTGCGTCGTGCCATGATATTGATCTTCAATTTGCTGCTGAGCGGCGACTCCAACAGTGCTTGGAGCGTAAGCCGGCCTTTATTGGGGCTTATCTTGCTAAACCAAAACGAATTTGCGCAATTGCCACAAAGTCTCTCGGTTAATATGTCCGAAGAAAGAAAAGCGAAACTGCAACACTGCTTTGCCGCTCTGATGAACGGATTGGACGGCACCTTGTCACATCAGAACAAGGATACATTCACAAAAAACGTCTACATTTTTTCACAAGAGGCACGTTTGTCCTTCGTGTAACTGCGATATGAATAACTTAATATCATATTCTACCTAGAACTACATATTTTTATATATAGCCACTATAGCAGTGGTGGTGATGGGCAGGTTCCTTGCAACCTGCATTAAAATGATTTCACGTCTGATAATCTAAAGGAATAGTCAAGAGAAAAAACGACTACCATTCCTTGTGTAAGTGGAACGAGAGTTTATATTTAGTAGAAATATTTGCCTGCAAAAATATATCTCGACGACCACTTAGAATAGGTAATGGATTACGTTCAAAATTTGCTAAAAACGTGCTATTAAACCATAACAATATCATGCATATGGCGTTAAGCTAGTGTCATGAACATATTTAAAAGTATCTATCTACAATTAAAAGCTAGTTTTCAGCTTAACATTTCTTGCTGGCGCTAGAACCTACAGGGTTGCAGCCCACAACTTCATGATAGATAGAGAGACGGCATAAAGACAATGCCACGCTTGATAGAGTTTGACACTTTCTCTATTGTAGTCTGGAGTGTCTCATCTCCGTTGATATGCGCTACTTGACCGATTTTGCGACACAGTTCATCTAGACGAGTAATAGCCCTGACGATGTGACCTTCCTGTAATTCCGTAAACTGCATGATCTCACTGAAAGGAACACCAGTAGCCCATTGATAAATCACATACGATAGTGAGAAATTGCATAGCGCGGTGTGCTCCTCGCGCGAGACGTTGACATTCAGGGCCCTCTGCACAACGTCTATCTTGTTATGCAGATCGAGAACCATATCTCGGGCCCTTTGAATAGCATGGGTCGGTGCAGGTACTTCCTTTTCTGGTGCGCGGTCGTTGTATACAAATGCTGAGAGGATGGCCGCGCATTCCGCAGGCTCTAACCCGCTGAGCACGTTTTGCGTGATGGCCTCCGTCAGCGTGATTTCGTCACCAGTGGTGAGGTAAGTTGCAATCCTACCTTTTACGGTAGGTTTCCCGTGCTCGTCAAGGAAATCAAGTTGCTTTAGCACCTCCACCTTGGCTACCATCTCGTCGTAAGCGTGCAAAGACTCCTCCTTTAGATGCTCGCTTATAAGCTCAATTTCACGCCTGCATGATTCAACTCGTGATTGCACCGAATAGTGTTTGTCCCTCAAATGACATTTTGTGCACTGGTTTCGTGCCATTTCGTGGTATATATCACGCTGTTTGAGCACAACGCCATAAAATTGCAGCGACGTCTGCTTAAGTTGCTTGTTAAAAACCAGCAGCTCAACCTTCCCAGTATACACCAATTGGTGTAAATCAGAAGCGACAGATGTCAGAAGTGCTATACTAAGGTCCTTGGCGGCTCCAACAATGGGTTGTGCGTTCTTCATGTTGACAACATTGTTATATATGAAGGAGACGTTCGAGACGTCTATAGCTTCACATATGGCAAAACGTATTTCCGCATGGTTGTGGGCGCTGATAGTCGTGTGTATAACTCCTGGTGCCATACTCTCGTCATAAAGATCGGGAAGCAGTAATAGTACTTTTAGATCCAATTTTTTGCTCTTGGATGATGAAATGATACACGCATAACAGCTGGTGTTACAAAATCCAACTGAATGTACCATTAATACACGTCCTGCTTTAAATATTTGAGCATTTTCACGATGGTTCCACAGACTTTCATGGAGACTGTGTGCGATGCGCCGGGAACATGTGTCCAGCTTGTGATATTCCTCGATACTTGGCTCCCCGTATATACAGTCTACTTTGGGTAACGTAAGTAGTTCCTGACGCTTGCGTATTCCGTCCCTTTTAAATATAGGTATGTTTTTCATTTTGTCATTTTCCTTGAAGGACTTGAGCATCATCTCCGTTATGTTCATATGTTCCCGAGAATGTACTTGCAACAACATATTGTAGGTAATCCTGAATCTGCTTTCTAATCTTGTAGATTTCTCAAACATCATGGTTGTGAGATCCTGCAGATCGGGAGGTTCGTCAGGACAGAATATGTAGACGCTGCCAAATGAATCCAAGCCCCTCCTTCCCGCCCTACCTGCCATCTGGGTATATTCCGACGCGGTAAGGTGTCGTGTTTTTTGGCCGTCATGCTTGTGGATTGACGTAAATATTACAGACCTGGCAGGCATATTGACACCCATGGCAAAGGTCTCTGTTGCAAAAAGCACTTTGATAAGACCTCGGGAGAACAATATCTCCACAATCTCTTTCATAAGTGGAAGCAGACCTGAGTGATGAACACCTATACCTCTATACAACAGCTTGATAATGGTTTTAACCTGTATAAGGTCACGATCACTCTCGCTGATTACACTAAGCGTTTCTTTGAGGAAGAGGTGTATCTTCGACCTCTGTACTTGGCTGTAACTGAGGTTGAGGTTCGGCATTTCCTTGGCATATGCTTCACACTTGGATCTATTGAAACAGAATAAGACGACAGGTAAATTTTGCGTAGCTTCCAAGTGTCTAATAAGTCTCTGCAGCTTTTGAACTTGTCCTTTAAACGTTGTACGCTTAATATGACTGCTTTTGGTTAGAGTGGAGTACTTGTACATTTTGTGGTATGCATCTTTGTTGAATCCTTTGTTATCCAGTAGCAAAAAAATGCGACCGTAAATATATAGAAAATGAACCAGCGGCACTGGTCTTTTGCTAGTAACGATGGTAATAACCTCTCGTTCCATGATCGCACCGATCCAATCCGCAAATTCTGTATAATTTGGTACCGTAGCACTTAACATAACCAATTGTATGGACTTAGGTAGCATTATGAAAACTTCTTCCCAAACTACTCCACGTTGCAAGTCATTGATGTAGTGAACCTCATCAAATATAACCACACCGAGCTGGCCAATGATCGCGTCACCCCTGTAAAGGAGATTACGCAATATCTCTGTGGTTACGATAAGGCATGGTGCGTCAGGGTTACAAGAAACATCTCCTGTGATGATTCCCACTGTTTCGTTACCATAGCGTTTTGTAAATTCTCTAAATTTTTGGTTGCTAAGTGCCTTTATGGGACTTGTGTATACGGCCTTTTTACCTCTGCTAAGTGCGAGAGCCACGGCATACTCTGCTACTACAGTTTTACCAGAGGAGGTATGGGCAGCTACGAATACATGCTTCATGTTATGTAAATGATAAATTGCACGTTTCTGGAACTCATCAAGTTCAAATGGATATTCTATAATGAGATCATCTAATTCGGGTGTCGACGAATCGTCTACAACCGACCACTTAGTTCTAATATAGCTTTTTTCTTCATCTGGCTTAGGTACTATCATATCAGGTTCCGCTGCATCTTCAGGAGAGTCGATCGTACGGATCTTTACAATCACCTGTTTATCACGTATCTCTTCGGAGCCTTTACGGTGTACGGCCAAAAGGGTTGGATCAGTAAATGCCCCCTGGTCATGGTAGGATGCTTCAGGCACTTCAGCATCGATCCTACATGACGAATCAAGTTCCTGTGTTATGGCGGTTACATTTAAATCTAGCTCGTCCTCATCATAGTCCATAGATTCGCCAAAAAGCTGTTTTTCTAATAGGTCGACGTCGATATCATAGATTTGGTCGCCATCATCACGGTCAAGGACATCGAAAGGTGAATATTTGGAATCTGTAGGACTCATTACAGGTACCCATCCTATAGAATCGAGGGGGTTAGTGAACGCCAATGAGAAGTCTAGGGGATGGGTCGCACTTTTTTTGTTATCCGGGTCATGTCTAACTGTTCCAAGGGTTTTCTGATTGAACTCTGACTCTTCCTTTTCCTCTTCATCAGATGTCCAAAAATCGGATATATTATCATATAAGTTCGCCATTTTTGCGAGTGTGGTTGCGATGAGTTTGTAATGGCCGCGAGCGCCGGGGGGGGACCTACATCGTGTGTTACCCTCGTATCATCACACAGCACTACCGTGATACCACTACATTACATTATCGCATTAAATAGTTTTAAAACAGTCTGTCACGGGCTCAACATGTCATTATATGAACATTTCCCGTGATGTGCATCGGTCCCATGTAACACGGACTCCAAGATGGACAGTCGTCCTATTATAAGTTCTTCTCGTTCCTCTAGACTCGTGCCATCTGTGTGATTTCCATGTGATATCTTCAGGTATATTCTCTTGTTGTGATCGCTGTGTTGAGAAATGAAAGAGGTGGTATGTTGCCACGGTGCCCGTGAATCCTGATCGTTACACTGTACTATAAGCGCCGGCTTCGCCTGTGCCTTTGCTCCGGGATTACTGGAGGGGTTGTATGAGTATACGTAGTCCATGTTGGCGTAATCGAACCCGCCGAACTCCTCCAGCTCAAGCTGACTCAAAGCCTGTGCAGGGTCAGAGACTGAGTCCGAGACGTCCAGGAATGGCAGCTTTAGTAGAACAGAGCTACATAGATCTGGCCGCATATTATATACGCAGGCAGCTAGTATACCACCTGCCGATGTCGTTGCTATGGCGAGCTTGTTACGTTGTGCAATGTTCCGGGCCACAAGGAACTCTAATACATCCACAAGATCGTGGAATCCATTACACTTCCCATATTTCACAGCGCCAGAGTGCCAAGTATCACCCAGTTCACCTCCGCCCCTTACATGGGCAAAGCACAGGGTATAACCCAAAGCAAGCAATGTATTGTGTTCGATGTCATTGTTGACTTGAAGGCGCTCTCCATATGCGCCGTATACATAAACTACACATTTGTTACCTGTTTTTTGAAATGAGCTAATATCACTTTCCCCTTGTTTATCAGCATAACGTTCAGCTGAGGCTTTTACCAGGGTCACAGGGATCTGACAACTTCCATCTCGGCTGTGTACATAACAAATGCAACATTGGCTCCTGGGCACATATCCGTGGGAATATTGAATTCCTGAAGGAATTTTCACTATTCTATTCTCCGTCTTCAATGCTACTTCATCGGTTTTCGTGGAACCTAGGAGTCCTTCGTCACGACTAATAATCAACCCGTTATCATTTGCCCTCACCCTGATGGCGATTTCCTCCAGGTCTATAACGCACTTTATATCAGTAGTTCCTGGGGAATTCACTAACACTAGCACACGATTTGCATAATAATTCGAGTTGCTTTGGGGTTCGATCACACCAACACTTATGGGAGGGTCCAGCTGACATATCATTTTGTCCATGTTGTGATCATGGGCATGTTTGACCTGCGATACGAATGGTTTGACGAGTATAGTAGGCTTAGATGGTGGAACCGCTACGTAGATAACCAAACCCCGGTGCATCATGTCCATATCGGTCACAACACCGTTATCAATGCTGCCTACTGATACCCATTGAGCTGTTCCCTTATTATAATGGTCTACTGCATCAAGCACTTCACCGTATGTTTCTTTCCTTCTACGGTGGACGGGTTTCAAAACTCTGCTTGGCAATTTTGATACCGCCCACTGTACTGAGGCGCCGTCATTTTTCCTACAAGAACTGTCATCTAGACACCCATTTCCAATTACATCCTTGCGATGCGGCAGCACAGTACTGTGTATTGCATAAATATAGTTGCCTCTGTGCTCGAGGAGCAACCTTTTGTCATTTGGCAATGGCATATGGTAAAGTTTTAGCTTGTGATCATTCCTAATGCAGTGTACCTTGAATGTTCGTCCATGCAGAACCGTACCTACGAATAACATACACCCGTTTTTTGTTTTGTGCAGCGAGATGTATTTCGTTGGGTCATTTTCCGTGTATACAGCCCTATCGTTGGTTATTATGCCTCTGTCAGGGTACACATAAGCGGTTCTTAATTGCCATGCACGCTCGGTATTATCGGTTATAGTATAGAATATACGAGCGGCACGGCGATCCCTGGTAGTCCCGTGCGGCAGAAAGTGTAATTCAGCAACACCAGAGAGTGAGCTTTTCAATGTTGATATATACCCTTTTTTGACCTTTTCCCTACCAACAAGTACAAAGTGGGCATCTTTTCCACCCTGCGCATTATCATGTACAAGGGATATGACTGTGCGATGGCGGCTTAAATATCCGACCCGCATGCTCCGAATACCATCGATGAGATTTCCATTGGCATCTCTGATATTGATGAAGTCCAAAATGGGACGTGCATTGCTTACGATGTACTTTTCATCCGCCTGTGACGGTTGTATTGTATAGGGCCTTTTGTGATTCATCCTTCGATGAGATGGCAGTTTCGACCTCAAGAGGAATAGTCTTTCGTTTTCATCGGTGGTTTCTTGGCCGTTATATGCATGGCACATGTACTGCTCAAAGTATGCGTGTTGTCCAAATATTTCATACTCCAAAGAAGAACCTGCAACACCTCTAAGTCTTGCAGACTCCTGTCGTACTGCCGCTCGTACTCGCTCAACTTCAACGGATTCTTCTGCTAGTTTTCGTCTATAATTCTCCAGAGCAGCGACTATATACGCCTTTTTTGAGTCATTTTGCAACGAGACGGGATCACAACTTCCTAGCTCATCCTTTCCTGCTTCATTAAATGGTTTCCCATCGCCACGATATACATATCCATTCCGCGTATCGAATTGGCTGAGCATACGTGTATAGCTGGAAATGGTCGATTGATGACATTTGGCTGTGTTACATGAGGTTTTTCTTGTCCCAGTTGGCCACAGACGAAAGCAGGCGTACCTTTCCAGTATATCGTGGATGCGGAAGATGTGTAAAGAACTCCCGTGTCTCATTTTTGAGGTGAATCTGACATCTTTATGCACAATCCAGTGTTAAAGTTTCATTATATAGCGCTGTAATGATTCGCGCACATATTAGATTTGATGGAGCCGTTTAAGGTATCATGAAACTCTTGCATGATTTCGTACATGTAGAGAGAATGTGTAGCTCATTACGCTCCTATAAGGGTTTGATATGCATTTTTATAGTTCTTTAATGTGATATTGCCGCAATTTTCGGTAGATATTGTATGTAATATAATTACAGTTACACAGCAGGGAATTCGTGAATCTTCCACGAGTTGGCCAGTATCATCGGCCAATAATATGATTTTTATAGTATCATAGTTTACGTAATATCACATTCTCAAGGTTTGTAGCGTGGATCGGATGCTTCCATGACCCGACATCCTACTGTGCAGCGTCTGTCTCCCTTGATGACACCTGACCCTTTAACTTCTTTTTTATACACACTATACAAAATGTCGAGAGCATCTAACGCCGCATATGATAGGCATATTACTATCTTCTCTCCGGAAGGAAAGCTATTCCAGCTTGGTAGATTGTTCGCGTTGTTTGGGTCATGTATTTTCAGAGTATGCACTCAAAGCGGTCAAAAACTCAAATGTCACTGGTCTAGCAATAAAGGATGACAAGGCTATAGCTGTGGTATCACAGAAAAAACTATCAGCACAGCATGGTAACCAGGTATGTAACCCGAGTATTTGCGAAACTTCATTGGTAAACAGGATGTACTGCTTGATCAATCATGTGTTACACATATATATCATGTAACCGACGAAATTATGGCGCTACTTATCGGCTTTCCTGGTATGTTGTTAGACTCTCTTTTGTGGATGTTTCACGGCCTGTACATATCTTCTCTGACCCATCATTATTGCAAACTGACATATTTTAAGGCGACTGTATGAGTGTTTTGTACAAGAGTCGGGAGCTTGCGCTGGAATACCAATACAAATATGGCTGTAACATACCAGCAAAGGTCTTGTGCGAGAAAATCGCTGATATCAACCAAGTACATACTCAACATGCTTATATGCGACTACGTGCCTGCAGTAAGTTCAGAGATCACTACTATTTTGTCTATCTCTTATCAGCTGGTTTAATTATGTCAATTGATGATGAAAGTGGGCCGGTTATTTATAAATTTGATGCTTCCGGTTGGTATACAGGTTACAAGGTAAATTTGTTTCTCTATTTTATTTCAAAAATATTAGGCATGTGGCATTGGTGCGAAGGATCAGGAATCGGAGAATGCTCTTGAGCGTATCCTCAAGCAGCGTGAGACCGTTTCTTTGAGTGAGAAGGTGAAATCAGACCTCCAAGTTAACACAGAGACACACCATCTCTCTGGAGGACTTGAGACTAGGGTGACTGTTGAAGCTTTGAAGGCAATGATCGCAATAGATGCATTAGATCAATTGAACGGCGCCAAAGGTGTAGAGGTCGCCGTTAGCACCGCAGACAATCCAGTCTTCAGGCAACTTAGCGAACAAGAAATCGAGACATACTTGACACATATAGCTGAGAGCGACTAAACGATATAGCTCCTGTGCTATAAAAACTGCGCTCAAGTACGGTGATGAAATAATGCATGTTGGAACCAGAATGCCTAATATGCTGCTTTTGTAACATTAATATTTGTATACAGTTGCTACAAAGAAAAGATGACCTTCTCAAAGGCGAAGGAACTATTGACCTTGCTCATCGTGTTGCGTCTTGAGTTTCTGCAGCTCTGCAACACGGCGTGCTAGCTCGCTTGCTTCAGGGTTATTCTGGAAATAATCCCTGACGGGCTGAAGAAGTTGATTAATGTATCCTGCTAGGGCAGGTTTTAGGTCCGCTGGGTGAAGTTTCCCAGTTTTGTAGTCCTCTTCCAACTGCTGTTGTGTCTCATAAGTCACATCGCCTGATATGTCATATATAAGCTGTAAATTACACTCACCTCCATTTTTAGGTTTACGTGGGATAGTAACAGTCTTGAACATGGGGAATACAATAAGATCGAAATAGGCGATACAGGGGTTATCAGTAATCTCCTTTTCTGGACACCATGCCCCCTTGATCTTAGCATTGACTTCAGCTTCGGTGTCTTCAATAAAAATAGCTGAATTAGGTACCGATTTTGACATTTTACCTCCCTGCTGTGCTAGAGATGGCATCATATGATGTGACAGGATGATAGGACTAGCACCTACACTTTTCAGTTCACAATATTCGCGTGCGAGCATATTGATTTTACGTTGGTCGAGTCCAAGTTGACATATATCTGCTCCTATATAGAAGATATCAGCACATTGCATCGCGGGATACAACAGCGATGCTGCGGGACGATTGTCACCATCAGCACGTCCTAAAGCTTCACTGCAACGTTTAAAACGTGTAATATTGAATGATCTACTGATATCCATGACTAGACGCCAGTACAGATCAGGATTCTTGTTTATTTCTTCACTAGCCCACAAAAATTGTACTGCGTCCATATCCATACCTGCTGCCTTCCATACATGTTTGAAGTATTCTCCGACGAGCCTAATGTTTGTCATATCACCGCCTAATTTGTCATTGAGTACCGCAAACCAATCTGCAATCCACATTACACTGCGTATACCCATTTTCTTAAGTTCGTTTACTTTATAGGCTTTACATATACCTTGAGCGATATGCATCCTACCAGATGGTTCGAATCCATCATAACATATGGGAACGTAATCTTTTCTTTCGAGTAGTTTCTGTAATTCTTCTACCTTGATGCATTCTACAGATAATTTGAGACATCGCTCAATTGCTTCTTGCACTGGTATTCTAGGTTCAGATAAAGAGCTTGCAAAATGTGCATTAAGCCGTTCCCTTATAGCATTTTTGGCTGCACAAGATCCGGTATGGAATTCAAAGTTCGTCTTTGTCTTATGGCTGTCTTCCGAGGCGTCAAAATCAAGACCGCCGTGCAGCGGTGAGTGGATAATACGTGTCATTTTTGAAAATGTTCTTTTATATAAGTAACGGGTGAGCCGCATGGATAGTTGTGCTGAATTTTAGACGGATGTGCAGCTGTAACCCGTCGCTCGAAGGTACCTCATGTCCTAGCTGAGTATCCCCATTCTATCGTCTATTATTTGACTTAAACTACATAGTAATGGCTAGTTATTGGCTAGGGTTCCCTATATTTCTAAATGTGACGTCCACGCCAGAGGAAGAATCGATACCTACGACCAGTTCGTAGAGTTCATTTGTTGTAGAAGCGGCACCTTATGTCGTTGGAATACAGGTTCTGATATGTATATGTGTTACAATTAGAGTGTTTTTTTTGGTAGTAGCACCTTCATAGTTATAGATTATACTACCGCGGTCTCTATTTGTTTCCTGCGGCTACTTATTGCCATTGCATCCTCGGTAGTAAGTCCTTGACTTTATCCAAGAGCTCCTGCGTTAAGTTATAAATTTACATCATTTCAGTTGTAACGTACCCTGATGCGAGGATCCTCCATGTCAACCTCAGGTAATGAGTAGATAAGCGACTCTAAAAGTTCCATGTTGCCCTCACAGGTCATTACCATCTCCATAATACGCGGGAGTGGAATGACCTCAAGAGCTGGCAGGTCCTTAATATGGTTCTCTACATCTGTTAGTGTTAGTGGTTGTTCCCCTTCATTTGCAGCCCCGGTCAGCCTAGCTTCTTCCCTACGACGACGCTCCTCTTCCTGTTCCAGCGACATTCTCAATGCCATGTACAGCTGCGGGTCCACTTCCGGGTCAACTCCAAAGTCATTGAGGTTTGAATTGTATATTCCTGCATTACTAGGGCCATCTGAACTCTGCATAACAGGAGAGTTAAGCACCATCTCACTTAACAACATATCGCCACCAGGTTTAAAGTTAAGGTAGTGAGATGTCACTTTGTCGTTGAGCGCCTCGTATAGTACTAATAGCTTTTTTTCTGTTTCAGGGTCAGTAGTCATGTTGACAATGTCAACCGATACGTTGCCCTTTTTGAGCAACCGTCCTATTGCTGCACAGTATTCGATATCCTCTTTCACAGGGCTTGCAATGAAGCATATGATCCGTTGCGCTTGTGACTTGTTTAATCGGTGTTTTAGGGCCAATTGTGCCATGTGGAGGCCTTTCATGAACTCGCTTTCACCATAAGGCTTTACCAATTGGAGCCCTGATAAGAAGGTACCTAGGTCATTAGATGGTGCCGCGATGAGACGTGATCCACGGCCGGCGAAACATACTATACCAACCATGTTCTCAAAATGTTCTGACATCCGAGCACTTGCGATGAGACCTATTGAATCCATTTGTGCAGCAAGCCTGTTAGGAGAAAAGTCGCCATTACGAGAGTACTCTGAATTGTCGACACAGATGATTGTCACCTCGACAGTCATGGTGACGCTATTGGTCAAAAGGTACTATTAAAATATTGTAAAATAACTATCTAGTTTGTTTAATTGTGGTGGCTATTGGCAGCGTTACTGGTGCTAGGATAGTGACCAGATGTCACACTGTGTACAATCAATAGGGTGGTCTCCAGCTGCGCAAACTAATATCTATCATTATATCGCCAATGAAGAATTAATATAAGCGTCATGGTCACATTTTTGACCATAATGTGTTCATAGGTTTCCTAAGATGATAGTTGGTCAACGACGCGACACACGAAGCCCTTTTAGACCCCGCAAAAATTAATTATACTCATACACAAAACAACACATATAACATTAGCGATGATGTGTAGGCTTAGATCATGTGCGTCTCTGGTACGCGGAAAATCCCACCCAAGATTCCACTACCGATCATAACAGAATGGCCCTCACTTAACTAGAAAAATAGCGCCAATGCGCGCATATTTTATCTTCCATAATGGAACCAATACGTTTGTAACATCATGTAGAACTTGAAGGGTCATGGGAGTTCCTACTTTTTATCGCTGGCTATGTAGCCGATACCCGCGCGTAGTGCAGGATGTTAAAGACGATTTGAATGAAAATGATGTCGATTTCTCAGATATCGAGGCGTTCGGATTGGCTTTACTTAACCCAAATCCAAATGGAGAATCTGATAACCTATATGTTGACATGAACGGTCTAATACATCCATGTTGCCACCCAGAAGGAATGGAACAACCGCCATCAGAAGAGGTCATGTTTCAATGCGTATTCGACTACATAGACAGACTCTTCTATCTTGTTAGGCCTAGGAAACTATTGTACCTAGCAATCGATGGTGTAGCGCCACGTGCAAAAATGAATCAACAAAGATCAAGACGTTTCAAATCTGCAGCAGAAGCTGATCTGGAGGCTGAGACATATGCTAAAGTAGCTGCGGAGTTCGCAGCACAAAATGTAACGGTACCACCGAAGGAAACACGATGGGATAGTAATGTTATCACCCCTGGAACACCATTTATGGACGAATTAAGCAAACGTGTTGTTGCTTTTATCGAAGAACGTAGGCAACTTTTTGAAGCTTGGGCACGTATTCATGTTATATATTCGGATGCTAATGCACCAGGTGAAGGTGAACATAAAATAATGAATTTTGTGCGTAACCAAAGACACTCGGAACATCACGACCCAAACACTAGACATGTACTACACGGTATGGATGCCGACCTTATCATGTTAGGGTTAGCTACCCACGAAGTGAATTTCTACATCATAAGAGAAATTGTCAATCACCTAAACCCTGCAAAGAAAACTGAAGAGGAGACACGGAAAGCCATTATGGCAGCACAAGACAAACTGGTAACGGGTACTAAACTTAGGGATGACAAATCATACCGATCAATGTTGAGACAGAATTGGAAACCATTACAGTTTCTAAGGTTACCAGTATTGCGGGAATATCTGTCTCATCAATTGTATTTCCCTTCGGGATGGAGTGACGGCAAAGGCGCGATTGATTTTGAGAGATGTATTGACGATCTAGTTCTTATGTGCTTCTTTTGTGGAAATGATTTTCTGCCGCATTTGCCTTCAATTTCAATTACCAGTGGCTCAATAGACCAAATGATATTGCTATACCAGACAATGCTTCCAGATCTAGGTAACTATCTAACAAATGAGGGCGAGATAAATTTTAATGAATTAGGAAAATTCGTGTCGTACATTGCACAGATTGAAGATCAGGTATTCCGTGCCGAACAAGATTTCAAACAACGACAAAAGTCACGACGTATACAATATGAGGCCCAAAATGCGACTAACAAGGACACTAACAATAGAAAAATGAACCAGGCACAGCATGCGGAACAACAACCTACAAATTCTGAAACAGGTGATAATGGCAATGTGTCAACCGATACAGGGGCTGTTGCTGTTGTAAATGGTGCTACGCAGTGTAATGATGCTGAACCCTCAACAACATCATTAGATGTGCAAGCAGAATTCAAGAAACGTTGTTCTGAACTATTGAAACGGCTTAGGGAAGTAGATGATCCTGTTGAGCCCATCGATTTATCTCTCAATGATTCAAGCTTATGGAAAGCTGCCTACTATCGACAAAAGTTTGGTTTATCGGAATCAGATGATGTTTGGGCATTTGCTTCTGAGGTTGCAGAACAATATATCAAAGGGATGTGTTGGGTTTTGCGTTATTATTACCAAGGTTGTGTCAGCTGGGGATGGTACTACCCATATCACTACGCTCCCTTTTGTTCTGACTTGAAATTTGAAGGACTGGAGTTCACATTCGAATACGGTAACCCTTTCACGCCGTTCCAACAGTTGATGAGCGTTATGCCCATACGCTCGTCCCACTGTTTGCCAGAGCAACTGCGTGGACTCATGACTGACAGTGGGTCACCAATATCGAACTTCTACCCTATAAAGTTTGTCGAGGATCCTAATGGTAAGCGTTACAAATACCAGTGGGTAGCTTTACTGCCATTCATTGACGAGCGCAAGTTGTTGGATCTTGTGAAACCTATAGAAGCAAGTCTGCCGCCTAATTTACAGGAACGCAACCGAGTAAAAAAGGATATGCTGTTCCCAGCACCTAAAGGTAAAGATACGCTCATAGGTGAAATATCTGTGGTGGGTACGCATTGTGAATTTGAATCGCGTTCTGGATCGAAGCACCGCAGTCATTTGCTTGCAGGTGCTGTGGTACCCACTAATGTGCTAAGTATTCAGGATTTGATGGAGGATGGTCGTACCCGTGGATTTAACTGCGAGACGGCTAAACGTATGATTTCTAATGTCTTGGGGCGTGGGCCTAATACCGACTGTAAGGACAATGACGTCCTTCGCAACAACGCTAGGGATTTCCACCAGGAGCATAATCGCTATTCGACACAGCATTTCCCTGGTGCGTCAAATGGTTCGAGGAACTACGCCAACCGCGAGCCATACGGTTCACAATATCCACCTGCTGGTGGTTCCAGTAGCTATCACGGTAGCGTCCGTCGTCCCAACCACGGTACGCATGCGTACCAGGGTAAAGACTCTCATACGAACAATGGAGCAGACGGCGGAAACTACCGTGCTGGAGGTAGATCATATGGCCCGCAACGGCAGCAATATGACTATCATAATCGTTCCGGAGGTAACCACAGGAACGGTGGTGGGTCAGCGCCCGGTCGTCAAGGATACAGCAACGATGATCGTGTAAGGCCGCATCACGGTAGTATGCGATATCCTCAGTCAAGAACCCATGGTACGGTAAACGATGTACACGGTGAATCTAGAACCACACCCAACCGTCATCATACTAGACCTTATCGCGAACCGTCAAGAAGCGGTCATGAAGGCACACGTCCATATGAACCGAGATCACGTGAGTATGGTGCTGCATCAGGTATGAGACCAGACTACATGGCAGGACACAAACTGGAACGTCCTCCACCTCCTCCGTCACATACAGTAAGTAATGTGCGCCGTGTACCACCACCTCCGGATGCTCATGAGCCCAGTTTGATGCGAGCACAGAAACGTATACACGACGGTTTGGAGCCCACACCGTTACCGCGCCGTTTACCTCCAAGGAAGCGCCAGTGATCGCTGCGCACCGTGCGTCCGCTGATGTTTCAAGGCACGGAGCGCACCAGCACTTGTATCGACCCTGTGAGTATCTACCATTCACTTCAAAAATGGATAACTCTAGCGAGGGTACTAAGCTGGTGCCACTACGTTACCGTGGTTCGCGAAATTTTGCCGCCCTGCATAATAATGTAGTGCTTGGTCTTGAATCGCTGAAACTAGAACACCCAGATGGAGCGGGCAAGCATACATCATTGGTGAAGAATAAAGATGATATAATATCAGGCGAGAGTCTCAATCGCATGCCATTTGAAGGGCTTAGCACTTACAAGGCAGATTTTGTCAAGCATGACCTACCTGTGGAGTCTCCGGGGTTCACGGCACTTCATAAAGGAAGCGATGTGCCGTTTAACGCTATGACTACATACCGTATGGACTTTAGAACCTCGTTAGTTGCTACCGACGAGGATAGTATGCCAGCGGCTGGAGCTTCGTCATCTAACAAATGTGGAAGGCACTCTTCTATGTTACATCGCTGAATATCTTATATGTTTGGGGGTGTATAACAGTCACTAGGTTGTAACCACTAATGTCTAATATTGGCATTTATATCATCTGTGCTTTACGAATGTGTTACGGGTCCATCTGTGTGTTATAGCGCCCTTTAGTGTGTGGTTGTTGCGCGCCGGCGGCGGATGTAGAGTGACTTATTCGAGCCTTTTACTATTCCAAGGGGCGATTATATCACCATGGATAGCGGTAATACTGCTCTGCGTGTGTTTCATATACCGGAAAGTCTTGACTATCGCAACCTATTAAGACCACCAGGTCAAGATGATGCCGACCGTCTGGATGCCAGCGAAGCTGATGATCCAGAATCTTGGTCGTCTGTAGATGCAGAAGCTGCACTGAATACGGTTAATGCTGCAACGTCAAGGACACCGCAAGATACACTCGAGCTCTTGACACGCGAGGTATTCTGTAACGCATTCAACCTATCACGCCACTTTGCTAATATTCAAAGACAGCTACAGACATCAGTGGCACAGTCATTCGTTGCTATGTGCAGCCGTGTCCATGATATATTAGAAAAGGTACCTCCAAGTCCATATTTTAGCAGCTCAGAAGCGGCAAGTAACAAATCATATCTTGAAGTGGAGACTAAAGTTGTTGCATTAAGATCGGGAAATGGTCTTGCAAATGATAGCTGCGAAGCAGATGCTTTGATGGTAAAGCCTAGCGATATGGGACAAGTGCTACGATCACTATGCCATATGTGTGTTTTCCTGGTTTGTACAACGTTCCGCTGCTCACTAGCAACGCAAAAGGATAATGATAAGACAGCTTTCCCAGCGGATATCTCAGCAACAAAAAGGAGCAAGAGCGGTCGTGGAGGTGTTCGTCGTAAAAAAACGGAAGAAGATGGTAATGTGAATACCGTAGCTCTCGAACTTCTGGTGGATGCCATGCTAATCATCACGCGTATAAAACTTAGGGTCCCATTCTCAGGTGAATATGGTGGTATGGGACGACCTGATCCGCCACTATTGAGATTACTCCTGGACACATTGATGCTAGCAATGGGATCGCCAGTGGCCACATCAAATAATGAAAAACTGGTTGATGCTACTTCACGCTTAATAGATCTAAACTACAGAATAATGCAAGATAGATTGGATGTATCTAGGGATAAAAGGCCTATGGAAACTAATAGCGATGATGAAAATGATGCATCCAATACTTCGCCACTGATGTCATCAAGAACTGTTGATAGTTGTGCGGACGCTGCAGCAACAACGACGGATGCCGAAAGAGTAGACGCTGAATGGTTGGTGACGTTATCGGAGGAAGTGAAAAAAGGACATAGCGTCATGATTGCCGATGCCCTTGCGATACTCCAGGAATTAGATATACCAACTCTTGTGGTAAAAGAGATACTTCTATCGGTCAGGGATGGGTTTGTGTTACAGGTATCAGGAGGAACGGTACAATTGATGAGTTGGTCGATACAAACCGAATATGCCAATGTAGGTTCCTTTGTAGAACGTGTTGCTCGCAAGTTTCCCTCAGCAATAGTACGTTGCCTAGATGAACTGAGATATATGTTCGACGTCCCATCGTATAATCTAAGAAAGTCAATTATGGAATCGGTCAAGTTGCTAATCATAATGGCGAAAAATGAAGAAGATGACATGACAGAAGATAACACCAGTGACCACTATGCATCACCAACTGACGCTGTATTATGTGCACGTCACCGTGAACGTATGTTGCAGTTGATGATATCTCGGCAATATGATGCCTATATGTATGCACGAGCGGCGCTATTAAAAGCTTTCCAGGATTTGATAGAATCGGAGGCATTGCCTGTTAGATGGTTCGTACAGACCGCTGCTCTGGCGATAGCGCGGCTATTAGATAGGGGATCGCAAGTTAGGCAAAGAGCACTGAACCTTTTGACGACATTGGTACATGATGCTACAAAGAAACGATTCAAGGTACCATTAAATACAGAGACTGTGAACAAGGACCTGTCAATGATGCACTCTCTAGTGGCGAAACTTGACACTATATCTACACTCGAATCTAACGGAAAAGCGTCGATAGGTCAGTATGAAGAGTATCCAGGGGTATTGGGGATAGGATCCCAAGAAGATGGCGATCCATTGAAGGAACAAGCAAGCGTGGACACTAACACAGAGGTGAATGAGCATAGTGAGTCACAGGATGTGGAGCACAAAAAGCAGACGTTGCTTGATGAGTTGAATTCTGAGCTTGGAGACAGCATAAGCTTGGGTGACAATGATGCGCTAGGTAAATTACGAACAAGATTAGAGATAGCCCGGGAAATGTATTCTGACGTACATGATATTTCAGAAAAGGTGGAAACGTCGATTGTTATATGTGCTGACCTACTACAATCTTCTGTAGAAGGTGACCAAAGAGCTGCAATACGTTACCTTGCTACATGCCATTTGATGGGTGTCACTTCGGCATCAGCATTGCTACCAAAGGTGTGGGCGCTATCTTGGTCAAATAACCAAAATGTGGTAGACACGGTACTTCAGGAGTTTAAAAATGTATATTTTGCAGATGGTGATGATACAGCTATCGCATGGCGTTTGGTGCAACTTCTTTCAAGCAGCCGTCTGACTGCGTTCGCTTCAATCGAGAAAATATTCGAGGTCAGCATGGCACGGGAGCAACCTTATTTTGCTCATCTGGATAGATTGATGGTGGCGTTGTTACGTATAGCCCTTGCTCCTAATTATCAGTTAGGTCGTGACACGAATCCACGTGTGGCCTTAGGGGTTGTGCGTTTATTACTGAATTCATCCATGCGTAGCAGATCACCTCAAGCTCAATCTATACGCCAATTCGATGAGAAGCGTATAAGCGCAATTTGTGGACTTTTACAACTATCGTCTGGACAATCTAGCACCATTTTTGGTGAATTGTGCCTTATCCTGGCAGCTGCTATGCCATCCAAACATGTAGAGGATGCTGCTGCACATATTCTAAAACTTTTTATCGGGACCTTCGGATCGATGGATGATGCGTGGTTTCGAATGGCGCAATGTGTTGTAGACGTCACTTTCATACATTCTAAGTTCCCTGAAATGGTGTGGTCGCAGATCCTCAACGAACTGCTGGATAGTGTCACCAATGTTACCGAAAATAAAAATTCAACAGCAAGACAGTTAGCCCAGGTTATTTTTCTTGCAGGACATGTAGCTATACGTACTATCATTAGTATGGACCGTCTGCAATCTGATTTGAAATCAGCACGATCCGAACTTGAATCTCTTGATGGTGGGAAGTACAACAATGATGCTTCTAATCAGATGGGTGTGGCTACTAGTGAAGAACAAGAACGTGAACTTTTCGAACAGTTATGTGAAGGTAACATCGTATGTGCCAATCTGTTGGGCGGCCCTGGGCGCAATCTCATTGTTGCCTGTCTACGCAACCCACAGAAATTGTTGAAATCAAACACGAAGGGTGTACGACGAGAGATTGAAGTGTTGAAAACGTGTGCTGCTATCGCCCTTTGCAAGTTTGCTACCGTATCCAAACTCTTCTGTAATTCAGTATTCCATCCGGAAGATGGTATACCAGCACCGTGTTCGGTAATAGAGGTAATCATTTCTCTCCTTATGAACAAACGACTGGCTCCAGGATATGATACTAAGGGTTTGACCTCCACGGGACATAACTACTATTATCTGCCAGAGCCTAGTGGCGGTGCTTTAAGGGCTACGTTACTGATGAGCTATGGAGATTTACTGTGTCGCCATCCCAACCTACTAGAACCATGGAATGATGAGGTCTGTGCAATATTGTTGGATCGAGATGACAGTGTACGTGAAGCTGCAGTGCTGGTATTCACTCACTTGGTCATGAATGACATGGTAAAGCCTCGTGGGAAGCTTGTGGATGCTATGATGTACTTGACTCTTGATCCACATGTAAAAGTTGCCAATTGTGCTCGAACATTCTTCCATGAGGTACATAGGAAGAATCCTAATACCATCTATAACTGTTTCCCAGAAATGGTCGCTACACTTGCTCGCAATCGAAGGAGGCAATCGATTCAACGTAATCTAGCGGTGCTGCAGATGTTATTGAAGTTTATAAGGCGTGATAAACAAGGTGAATCGATTGTCGAGAAGGTATGTCTTCGATTGCATTCGACTGAACCCACTAACCGACCCGCTTTAGTGATGTATGGTCACGTGCTCATAAACGTCTGTCAAAATGAGAAATGTATGGCTAAACTAATTGCATCTATCCCTTCCATATCAAGGTTAATCGTGGAAAGCGATTACTTCTTGGCAACTATACTACTGGTATGCAAAAGAGCGAAATCGGGGAACCAAGGCAGGCGAAGCGCTGATAACGAACGACCTCCAGATGGGTCTGCTGATGGTGCTGATATGTCGCAAACAAACCCTAGTGTATCTTCGGGTACTGCAACTGGTGAGAACGCTAGTATTAAGGACCTTGCGGAGGAGCTGATAATGCGAGTACATGGCCTTTTCGGTGAAGGAAAGTCATCACATGTTAATCAAACGGCAACATCGGCAGAGTCAATCATCGCTTCCGCTGAGGCATCGTCGCCCGGAGAGGATGAGGAAAGCTGTGCTAATAACCTGTTCATAAGCGACTTCGGTCTAGTGACGGCGGAATCTCTACCAGCTCTTAGCGATGATGAGTGTGAGTCTTACGCAACACAGGCAGCAGCGCCATCGCTAACAGCAAATTGAGCAGAGGTAATTTTAAAGACAATTGGGAGGGAAACTACCCCCTATGTGTACTTCGGCAATCGTTACTCACGGTTAAGTTAAACAGATAAAGCTAATTAGCACTTAATTGGACGTAACGACGTTGTCTATGGCAAAACACAGTGACTCATGTCACTGTCATCCGCAGAACATTTATATGTTAATTCATATTTTGAATTAAACAATAGATACAGAAGTGCATATATTCCGTAACCGTGCTAATTACCGTATGTAATGAACGACGTATGTGTATGTGTCCTTCCTGACCCCCAAGAGCCACATCGCCGCACCGCAGAGGTGGCTCTTCTTTTTAATAGGTATTAGTAATATCGCAAAGCGCGAGACTGTACCTATCTCTTTTGTATATTAAACGGCATGGCAAAGGGGGAAGATAAGAAGCCGGGGAAAGCGGAAGTTGCCACTAAGGCAAAACGCCAAACTACCAAGGCAATTGACAAATCAACCAAGAAGAGTGTGAAAAAGGCAGATGATAAGGTAAAAGATAAAAAGAAGGTCGTAAAAAAGACGACTGAGAAATCTGCAAGCTCAGATACTGGTAAAGGTAGTAAAAAGAAGACCGAAAAGAAAGAGGTGTGTGTCATCCAACATCCGACACATCTAGTTGCAGACAACGAAAACCTCCAAAAGAACAACAAAAGCTGTAAAAACTGAACCTGCGCCATCACCATTTAGTAAAATAGGTCAAAAACATGTCACACCGCCAAAGGTAAGTATAATAGCACCTGTGATTCGGTGAATCATTGCACAGGGTGATGGAACACGAGGATTCTACGAAAGTCTATATGAAGCACACCCAAATAGTGTATTGGCTATAGTATACTGTGTGGAACATGGGCTCTTCGGTGGTCAGAAACACCAAGAACTTTATGAGCGCTATCAGGAGATGCGAAAACAAGGATTTCTTAAAGGGGGATCAGGCGGCGTTCGTGCAGCTGCAGTACAGTTTCTGCAGAAGTTGGACAAAAAGGCCTCAAAAAAACTTGTAAAACAAGAACATGAAAATAAAATCGCAGAGGCTGCATAACTTATCCTAAGATGGGATACGGCAATTAACCTCAAATTTTAATTTTTAACAAAATCACACTGTTATCCATACTGAAGCCCTATACCACTGGCGGCGCCGTACCATGCCGCTGGATGATGCATGAAAATTTTGAGCTATTTTACAAAGAACATTTATACAGTGTCTGAAACTAAATCACATAGAGAGTTGCTATGTTTTTATAAATGTTTAAGTGCCTAGACGGTCAGTCGCTATGCGAAGCTCGTAAATACAAACGCCGCAATTGCCACATTAGGGCACAAAGCGACGTTGACCATACTGGGCATATATAACAAACTCTCTAAAATTCCACCAACAGCAATGGTGGAACCGCCATCTAACTCATCATATTCATGATGGTTGACGCAAGTGACTTCCACTCTTCGCCGTGGGTATTTATACGCTCCGAAACCTCAAGAGTGTAATGTACCACCAGGTCTAACACGCTCTTGTCAACAGCTATTGGATTTAGGCGCCTCCTATCAAGCAGCACGTTCATGAAAATTACGCCACCGCGGGAAGAGAGTAATGTTTCGCACATTTTCGACAATTGATGGCCCCGTACCAAAATATTGAAGCAGCGTTGCAATGCGGTCTCACGGGTACCCGCTTCAGAGGTAAGTAAGAAAAGGTGACCTGTCATTGTCAACGCCTCAACAATGAACAGGAATGATTTTGTATATGAGTTAGTGCTAGCGAGAAGCTGATGTATGTCAGCGCCTTCAGCTTCTTCCTCAGAGTCTGATTCACGATCAAACGCAACCAAGGGTTTCAGTGAGTAAGAAGATGAAAGCAATGCTATAAGTGGAACCGCTGAAGGTACGTTTTCCAGTACCTTATCCACTTCAGCGCATATAGATTCAAAAACCGGGGTGCATCGAACCAGAGAACATGTCAACTGTAACTTGGTTTCGATACTTAACTTACACCCTAGTTTTATCATAAGTAGGCGCCCTTTATTTAACATCATAATATCCTCTATACATACTTCACCAGTGGTAAGTGAAGAATATAATTCGTTGAGTTTGCCCTCACGGTCCTTTTGCATCTTGTCTAGGGCAGCGACGTGGTTCATCGGACATTGATCGATTTCCTCCTCTATATCATCGAGCATGTATAATGCCTCGTAACCGCACTCTATAGCATCACGGATCTGCTGTTCTTTGCTGACAGGTCCTGATTTTGCGGTGCTTATGTCATTTAGACGGATCAACTTTCTACCATATCGTACCGATGCGGAGCTTGTTTTTCCGAAACGGTTGGGATTAACATCAGGTTTTTTATCCACTGTAGGAGGTACAGCTTCTTCATTAGGTTCACTGGAAGGTTGTGTAGTGGCGTTTTGTGGATTTTTCATGTGGCGTGTGTTCCATTTGCCTTTATAATTTTGTAAGCGTGGATCCTTACAGGTCTGTGTTAAATGGATCCGCAATATTTGGTCAAATGCCTGATCGTTCAGAAATAGTTCCTTCTCCACGTTTTCTGGAGTTCGAGTGACGCCACTCATATGTCGTTCCAGGGTACGTTGCGATACCCGCCAACGGCGGTTAGTTGTTGCCTCACCCTGTGCTACTAAATTAACAAAGGTCGGGTTAATGGCAAACATTCCCAGGAGGCGATAACTTTCTAAGTCATCTTGGAATGATGATTTACGGGTAACCTCCTCAGGTCCATCGGTACGTTGGCTGCGCGATTTTGGAGATTTACTTGTACGTTGCTTAACGGAATTTGCTTGATTAGAGTCAGAATTAGGGTTCTGTGTCTTCTGTTGATCTCTACGTACGCGTCTTTGACGGGGTTGCCTAATAGGTTCTAATTCCGGAAGATCGAAAAGTTCACATTTTACAAGCTCTCGTGGCCCACGAGGAGCTATACGTTCATTCTCAGCTTCCCGAAATGTTTCAGTTGGATCCCAAGGTTCGTCTGCACCACCACCAAATGTATCATCATTTAGGTCGTCATAACAATCTGATCCCTCATCGTCGATTTTCAGACATTCGATATCCTCTAAAATTTCACCAACTACATGCTCCTCATTATCGTGAAACTGTCGTTGGGAGCGACCATGGGAGAAGTTTCTCATCTCCGATGGATTAAAACAATGGACCTTAATGACGGCGGTAACCGCGCAGCAGATTCCGATTCCCAGGCCTTATGTAACGCTTTGTTGACAAGTATAAGGTACGTGCCACAAGCGTTATTCCCGCATACTTGTGTGCGTGCATGAAAAACAAGTCGTCCAATAGGTATGTTCCATAGCCTGTTATATACAAGCATATCTGCCGCACATTTAACCTCTGGAGGCAAACTTTCATTAACAATAAACAATTAAAATCAAAACATCAAAAACATATAATAAATATCAAAGCGTTTTTACATACATCTGGATGGCTAGTTCGTGTGTAACCAGATTGGTAAAGGGACCGACTCGCCGTAGTGTGATGCTGGACATACATGGGACACTTATGTCCGTATTAGATTGTGAATTTAACCGGTAATGTGACGCCGGTGTATCGGTATAAGTTCTAGAACAGTAGGTCATCTTTGGGTCATTCCACACATGCCTAAACGTCATTAGACAAACACAGTAACACACAGACCACCTAGGTATGCAGATAAGGGTTATGTAGCTCGAAGCTGGCAGCTCTTGTTATGTAGTTCTAGAAAAATAGTATTATCAGACTTGCGGAAGGTAAGACCTGTGACTTTAGCGTCACCGCCACACAAGAATGGCCGATATTATTAAGGCCACGACACACACGTACCACAGAATAACGACCTTCCTCCGAGTAGAACCTCGGAAATGAGGTAATAGTTCTACCGAAGTCTAGAAGAATCGGTAATTATAAGAAAAAAACCAAAAAGGGAAGGAAATATGGGTATCTTTATAAAGACGTTCCTGGCAGCCGTAATAACGGCTGTCTTTACAATAAATTCGACAAATAATCTAGTAGAAGCAAGATTGGAACGACATCCAAGTGGAAGTAACCGTTCTCCAGGACCGATGAAGTCAGATGCCCCGCGACATCATAGCGCCTTCTTCTCTAGGGACCCACAGAAACTCACAGGACACACAAAAGCTTCAGATACTGTAAAACTTAACCTACCTGCAAGAACCACCTTTGGACCATTGGAAAGTGACACTGTCAAGAAGATAGTAGCTGTTGCTGGGACTACTGCAATAGCTTCGGCAATTTGTTATGCATATGTAAGGAGGGTCATGTGGCATCATCTATATGGACGATATGTGCGTCCCGATGCTCCAGGTATCGCAGATGTACTAGGACATGTTCTATACACTAAAGAAGATCCCAACAGGGTAGCTCTTAGGAGGAGGACCATACTTGATTTCTTCAGGGCACTAGTTATACCATTACTTGAAAAGTGCCCATGGATCAGGGGACTACTTAAAAGTAATTTAAGACGCATACCTATCGGTGATGCTATCGAAGATGGATCAGTTACTGCATTGTATTTCCACTCAAACAATGTTCAGCGTCTGTTGCGGGAAAAGGGATATCGTGATTTCACTCAAAATCTTATGAAGATACAAGAAGCTATGCGTGCAAGTGGACGTAAATTCCAAGTAGTATACATCAATGTTGACCAAAAACAGGTTGACGGAGTCGATCATTTTAAAGATATGCCCTGGTACGCATTGCCGTTCGATGACAAGACGCGCATATCGCAACTATGCCAACTATATGATATCACTGGCATACCCAGCGTAGTGCTTGTAAACTCCGATGGTAGTGTTATTAACGATCGTGCTCTATACCTCATGGCACACAAACCAAACGACTTCCCATGGAAAGTAGAAAGTGCTCTGGACCTCATACCAGAAACACTAGTTAATGGAAACAATCAAGTGGTACCCAAATCAGCACTTGAAGGGAAAATTGTGGCACTATACTTCGGTGCTGGATGGACACGTTCCAGCAAAGACTTTAGTGAAAAGTTGCAAGAGTACCACAGAGCTGTTGGGGAGAAGACCGACGGAAGATTTGAAGTTGTATACGTTTCAAACGACAAAAATCAAACGGATTTCGAAAAGGAACTATATGATCATAATGGTAATTGGTTATCAGTGCCATTTGAAGAGACAGATGCCAGGTTAATCTTACAGCAGTACCTCAAGGTACCAGTTATGCCGGCCCTAGTACTGCTCGATCCCAGTGGAAATGTAATCACACCAGATGGAAGGTTCTATGTTGAAGCTGATCGTGGTGCAAATGCACTACCATACGCATCATACCTCAACAGAAACGGTAAACAGCTCGTTGAAGATGTCGCTGTAAACGTTGATGCTTTTGCACATCAGCCTGTTGTTATAGTATTCGCCGATGACGTGGAGGTTGAGGAGCGAAAAGCTGCAGAGAAGCAGTTGGCTGACGCAGCTGAAAGTCACGCCAGCCATAGGAAGGGTCGTGAACTGAAGTTCTTTATCTCCAAGACAACGGACAAACGCAGCGAAGCTGTACGTACCATTTGCGGAGTCTCCCGAAACGGAAAACCACAGGTAGTTATACTCGACCTACTTGCACAAAAGATCTATTATGACCCGAAACTCAATACTATTGACCAGAATTCAATCCTTGCTCTGGTCGATGGATACTATACCGGGAAGCTTAAGATGCGTGCGATCACTATGCCAAACTGAAGGGTACGACCATACTCTAGCGGAGTATAGGCAACTGTGATGCGCACAACACTCACCAATGGTGACGTAGATGCCACCTCCAACGGGCAATGAGCGTTAGCTGTCAATGAGCAAAACACAAAGTTAAGTTTAATGATATTTGTCTTAGTAGTATGCAAGTGTTAGTAACTGTGCAAACTAAACAGCTATGTTTCACAATAGATGACTGTAGAAGTTCCATTGAGTGCGCTACAAGCGACCCTCCTTTGGATAGAAGCTTCCACGAGTTTGGACATCACCAGCGAGATCGCGAGCGCCTAAAAACCCTTTGCAAACAAAATACATCTCTTTAGATTCTGATCGGCATGCTTTTGGCTTAGCTGAATGTACGGCACGGAACTGACTTTGGAGATATGTTCGATAGTTCGACAACTGACCACCCATAAAAATCTTTACAACAAAAGATCCTCCAACGGCAATGACACGTTCCATCAGCGCTGATGCCTGCATACAAAGCTCGGTAGAGTTCAGGTGGTCGTCTTGTTTTACTCCTGTACACGCAGGAGCTAAATCGCTCAGGACAACGTCAGCTTTCGCACCATTGAGAGCAGAAAACAAATGGGCATGGGTAGTCTCATCATTTATATCACCTTTAATAAATGTATAGTTGGCCATAGGGTCCATCTGAAGGCGATCTATACCAATCACGAGTGATGATGATGCTCCGGATAGTGTTCGTTCCAGACATACTTGAGCCCAACCACCAGGGTAACTTCCTAGTTCTACTACGACCTGGTTCTTGCGAAATAGTAAAAAACGATCATCCAGCTCCTGTAGCTTATATGCCGATCTGCTGCGATAGTTGTCCTGAACAGCTCAGAAATTAAATCTAAATAACTCACCACTTGCGCCTGTCGAGTGTAACGATCTGTGATTTGACGTCGTATCCACTCAGCGCTATGTGTAGTAGACGGATTGCGTATCCGGAATGCGCGCATGGTCATAGGTAATGACACTGCCGCCAAACCTACACACCGCGCCGAAGCGCTTCACACAACTTAGATTCGATAGGTGTATCCTTGTTAACAGCTAAATTTATGAGATTCTATAGGAGGATAAGACGAGCGCTCGGTAGTGGATGGGGATAGAAGACCATGATACGTCGTGTCCAAACAACGGCTGTACAAAAGAAAGGAGTCCAAAACCACCCCCAACGTACTGAAAACTAACTCCAAGTTAGAGATGCTGTCTCGCGGAAGGGGAGGTGGCCGCGGCGGCAGCTTCAAGGCAAGACGCGGCGGACGAGGTGGAGGAGGAGCTGGTGGTACAGCAGGTTTGTTACTAGGGGATAGATGTAACTGTTAACTCATTTTACAGGTTATCATGGCCCACCCGCCGAAGTCATAGGTATGTATATGTGAATAGAACGCAGTCATTGATTACCAGAGGCCGGCACAGTTCTACATGACTGCGAAGACCAGTTACTAATTAAAAGCACGCTAGAGTCCAGTGTACCATACTTGAATGGGCGTGTATTTCTGGCTAATAAGCAAGAGATTGGTAAAATTGATGAAATACTAGGCCCAATTAACAATTATGTGAGTGACCACGAAAAAAAAACACTCATATTTCGCAGTTCTTCTCCGTCACACTCGCTGCAGGATTCAAAGCGAGATCATTCGAACGTAACTCTTTGGTATATATAGACCCACAACAGACGTTGCCAGTATCAAGGTTCACCACGAAACCGGGTACTACACATACGCCCTCTAAGAAACGCCAAGTTGTCAAGGATAAGGCTTTCAAGAAACCTGGACTTACTAGAGGTGGAAGAGGTGGCCGTGGAGGTTCATTCGGTCTAGGGCGAGGAAACTCAATGGCCTATCGCGGAGGTCTGTCTCGGGGTAGAGGTGGTACTTTCAGAGGACGTGGGTCATAAACACATATCGCTAGTTCAATTTGATATTTAAAGGTGTCCTGAGTGACCATTTTCGTAGTGACTACTTGAAGTTGACGATAAAAAGCTACTGGGAAGCACACTCCTGCTGAGGCATGTTCTTAGATGGCTCAAAGCATAGACTCCTTAGAAAAAATGAGCTTAAGTTATACGAACTTACATGTACCCTTTTCCTTTCACGAACTTCGAGTCTATATAGCCGTAGTCAATCATCCTAAGAATATTGTAAAGCAGTAGAATCAGCACCCACTTTTTAAGCACTACCCTGGTTATATTAGGGTCGACACCCAAAGCATTGCTGAGGCGATCTTTGCTGACGAATTTTGTCTGCCTGGATAACTCATGACCTCGCTTAAGAAGTTCAAAAATTGTAGTACGGTTAGCGCCTGGAGGACGAGCTGCAACGTGAACTCCACTTCTTCGTACAGCTGAACCGGGTGGAAGTCGCATTGCAGCTGCTGTATCATCGCAACTTGTAGTTTCATTTTCTTGAAAGCTTATTTGTGCCGATGGTGGTGCTGATGGCTTAGCACTACTCATCGAAGTACGGCGTGTTAGGGTGTCAAATGGCTTGGAACCGGTTTTGTAGGTGGTTACGTTATCGTCTATATAGCAACAGCTACGTACATCCACCGCGAGATTGTGATGTCCAGTCTCCAGCTCACCTACCTGCTGATCAAGGTTCAACAAGCCGACTCCAAACTCTTCGTCTCCAGAAGCGCTACGGAAGTGTGGAGGCTCATAGTCTGCTGGTACTCGCTCGTCGTAATATAGCAATCTCATGGACAAGAAACGAGTATCCGGTAAAGGTGATAATGATTGTGCTAATAGCACAAGATCACGTAATACTTTTACTGTCTGTCGTTTTACATCCTCCTTATCTGCATTCACCACTATTCCTTCAGCGGCTCTAGTATTAGTGATGGATCCTTGGGCCTCCCCTGGATATATATATGGATTACAAACCTATATCAACGTACCAGCACTACCAGTTGAATTATCCACCATAGGGCCATGACCCACGGACAACTGTACTGAATATACACTCGGAACTCCATCGCAGTCCTGCCCACCGTACTGTAAAGAAAAGGTATACGATTCCAGTGCCACATGTTCGCTGTTATGGATGCTCAGTACCAAGTGCTTAAGGTATTCACGGCTCATAGCATCGAAAACACCATCTTCAATCCAGTCCAACAGTGCAGCTGATTCAGGTATCGCACGTGTCAAACGTTTTAGTTGAAGACCACCAATCACAGTGTCCTCAAAGGCAGACTCAACAAAAAGGTTTCGGAGGTATGTTATCGAAGACACACCGACTTTCACAAAGTTACGCAGCACATTCGCAGACTCTTGAGAGCTTATTGTCGACATGGCTGCGGGACAGGAAAAGGGGTGGTAGATTATGCTAGGGTATATAGATTGAGTCGAGCTATTGTGCTAGGTGGCTACTAATCACACATAGAAGTGTGTTGAGATCGTATCGGCAACCAAAGCGTAGCGACACTTGTAGACATAAGTGTTAGTGATACAGGAATTTGGAGCTCGCGTGAAGGCGCAACACAGAAAAAAGGTGCCATTTTTCCTCGCAAGACTTGCATCTGTCTTTTGCACCGCGTGATGGAATACGTGGAAAAAAACAACTCTGACCCAATACCTGTACACGCGCCTCCGCGCTATTCAGCGGGGCGACAGTAGATATAACATCGCATATACTACACATATATATCCAACGGAATAGGAAAGAATATACTTTAAAGATGGAAGAGCCTACGGATGAGCAGCAGAAGACGCGATGCAACCCGGTAGGTGGAAGAACACATCAATACATGACCTCAACGCAGTTGGCGCCATCGCAATCAAACGGGGGCCCGGCGACCTCCAGTAAGTTGATGTGCAGCGTATATGGCATAAATAATCACGCAGGTGCCAAGGGTATCGCATCTCTAACGCCTGCTGAGAGTAAGTTAATAGTAGTCTCTAAAATTAAAACATAACGCAGTATCACGTAACATCACTAACGCCAGGGAAGCGTTAGCGACTGCCAAAAAGGAGGAAATGGTGCGTCAACAAATCAAGGATAAGCTTAGTAAAATCAATATCACGAAAAAATTACTCCCGACGACAACAAGGTTAGGACTCAAACCTCTTATGGTTGACAGCCTGGGACGAGTGCTCGATGAATCTGGAAATGTCATACAGCATCGACCTATGTTACATTCTAACCTTAAGATTAATCAGAACTTCGAACGTGAACAGATGCAAAAGGAGGCAGCCACTACAGCACCTGAACGTCCTAAGCTTGATAAGGCAGCTAGAAGGGCAGAACAATCACAATATGTAGATACAACGTTGATGGTTTCCAAAAGACGCCGGCGTGGTGGGCTCAGCTTTGTAGAACCTGGTTCGTATATTAGGCAGGAGCGGCAGCTTCAACGTCAGATGGAAGATAAAGCACTGGGGATAAATCGGCGTGGTATACAGGCTCATAAAAAGCAATTGCTTGAACAACAGGAGCGTAGACTAGCAGCGCGACAGAAATTGGAGTCAGTTGGGGAAAATGGAGCTGTCTCAGGTGAAGCTGATGAAGACGTAGAAGAAGTCAATCCCAACCTTATACCGCTAAAGTCCGGTGGCCGTCTTGAAAAGAAAGATTCATGGGTATGTTGGATCTACATAGTTTTCATTTTGCTCCAGGATGACGATGAGCCTTGGATAGAATGGTGGGATAGGGGCATCATTTTGCTAAAGACGGGAGAAGACCCATTCAAAACTGCTAATGCAAAGAAGCATCAGACACTCGATATTGAACCTGAGCAATGTGTGATCAATGAAAAGAAATTCAACAACTACATTGAACATCCATGCAAGATAGATGGTAAGAAGAAAAAGTCAAAGGACGCACCTGCCATGATACTCACCAAAAAGGAACGCAAGAAGCTGAGGAGGCGTAAGAGGGAAGAAAAGTTCAAGGCAATACAGGACAAGATACGCGTTGGTCTCCTGCCGCCACCAGCACCAAAACTCAAACTTTCAAATCTACTCCGGGTACTGAAGGACCAGTCTGTGGCTGACCCGTCTCGTGTGGAGAAGCAGGTGCGTGAGCAGATGGAAGAGCGTCTTTTGAACCACGAGCGACGTAATGAAGAGCGAAAACTCACACCCGAACAACGATCTAAAAAGCATGCTAAGAAGTGGCAGGTCGGTAAAAACGAAGAAATAGAAGCGGCACTGTTCACACTAAAGTCATTAACGAACCCCAAGTTGCTCTTCAAGGTCGATGTCAATGCGCAGCAGTTCCATCTTACTGGATGCTGCATTGTTGCCAGTCATGCACCTTGCATAGTTGTGGTCGAGGGCAGCAAGCTTTCGGTAAAGCGTTACATCAAGCTGCTGATGCGCCGTATTAAATGGGAAGACAATGAGACTCCAGCTGAAGTGGAGGCTGATCTACCAAGTGTCACACCGCATGGCAGCTTCTGCAAGCAGATATGGACTGGTAGTGTGAAGAGGCGCAACTTCTCACACTGGAGTGTTACCTTCGCAGAATGCGATGAAGAAATCACCGAAGCATTGCGACCATTCAAGGCACTACACTACTACGAGATGGCCCAGAAGTATCGTGACCCTCTTGAAGATATATAAATATTTGTACAATATTAAATAAGGCGATGTGATTTAAGGCGTCAAACTAAATATCGGAACAGATCCTTCGCCACCTGCGGGCAAGTGTCGTTGATCGTGAAATATTAACTTACACAATTGTCAACGCAACTAACCACATCATAGTGCTGCCCGAGGCATTGGCCTGGGCCTTGTACCTCAAGTCCACGACCCTCCTTGGCGGCTTCCTTGTATATAGCGTTACGATGTTTCACACGTTCAGCGCATTCCTGTGACGATGTGAATAACCACAAAGCTGGTTATCACATAGATAACGAAACATTACGACATAGCGGTCATGGAAGAGAAACGTGTTGTTGTAGCAGCCGAATTGTTCTGGTAATTCCAGGCGGCTAGAGTATACCTGATATGCTAAAACTATAAAAACAACACCATCTTGCCAAATCAGCCATTATATATAGTACCGTGAACTTACATCATAAAGTTTGGTGAAGTTCTTGCATTTCTCCCGGCAACCAGGCTCGAGCTTCTCGCGAGGATCAACCTGCGCATCCTGTTCGTCGGTTGGAGGGATATACTCCGGATATTTGAATATAAATTTCGGGCGATAAGGGTACGCCATTATGTAGAAATTAATGAGTTGTCGCTTCCTAGTCGGTGAAACTGCGCCACCACAAATGTACCTAATTGTAATCACAGCATCACTATTCACACACAATCAACCGCAATATTTTTTAAACATCTTATTTATACATATATTTCGATGTCATTTTCAGGAGAAACACCTGACATAATTATACCCATGTGTCCTATACGTTGGCCAGAGCATCCGTGATATCACTGCTGGGCCTTTTGATCAGCTAAATTTGTTTCAAGAGTATCTATGATAGTGAAAAGAGATGTTGTCTTAGTTACTCAGTTGTAAAGTGGCACATAGACAGTGAACGTGTTGCCGCCGGTATTACAATGCAGAATTACGGCTTAGTCGTTACACACCTGCTCCATATAGATCAGGAAGGACATATGTGTCCTTTAGGAACTAATAAAACAAAGAAGATAACGGGTAATGGCCGAGTGTGATAGCACCCTTCGGCAGACTGCGTGCAGCCACGCGTTATTAGAATGTCTACGTGATGCCGCTGTCCAACACCTTTATCACTTCTAACACATTAGCTCATAGAGTTATTATGGATGTAGATTGCGAGGAGCAATATTGTTGCTGCTGTGACAAAGCAGGGAGCGACGTAGACAGTTGCTCTTCGGGGACTTGCAGCTGCGATTCAGACTCGTGCTGCAGCTCATTATCGGATAATGAATGCTCATCTTGCACTAGTTCACCACGCAGTGATGAGGGCAGAAACGAGAATTATCTACAGGACTTAAACCAAATAAAAACATTTATCGCAGATGTTGCCACACTTATTAGACATGCCAAGGAAAGTGAGGCTAACAACATCAAAGAACCACAGAATGAGGCTCTGGAACTCCAAATCAAAAAGGATAATGATACAAGTGGCTCGTGCGATGTACAAGACAAAGAACCGGAGCTACAAAAGGATACTCAGCAATCGACTGAGCAACTATGGCACGTGAAACCTTCGGCAACATGTGAGAAAGAGCCTGTTGTGGTACCATCGGCACCAGAAGACCGAGCGCTAGAACGTGAAATAGAAAAATTCGAACAGATTATCAATACCACAGAAATGACGCTTAAAAACGAATATGCATTTGAAACAATTGTAAATTCGAATGGGTCGCCATGCGCTTCTACAGTGGTCGAAAGTCCACAAAACTACTGCTACACAAATGATAACACTGTAACAGACTCATTCAGCAATGTCACTTCGCCAAACACCGCAGGCCACCAGTCCGTCTGGAACAGTAGCTTTGAACCAGTCATAGTGGGAGAACAATCGGAACCATACAGCGATGGATGGGACGAAGCGCAACCTGATCTAGACAAGCTGCACGCACAGATGGTAGCGCTAGATCTACAATCGTACATGAGACTCGTTGAAACAGTGTTAGACGAACGAGTCAGACGTGAACTCATACAGTAGATCATTTTGAAACTTTAAATTAATTCTCGATGTCCAAAGCGGACAACGCAGCACGTACAAATTGTTTTCGATCCACGGACGTCTGTAGCTGGGCCCATTCACCACAACTAATCTCATATACCTTTGTAAAGATATAAATAATACTCTAGAAACATACCTGCCAACCCGTACGAGCTAAAATGTAACGCTTTAGACGTGTTGAACCGGTGTCCACGATGCTCCATTTACCCTCCAAGTGATCACGCATTAACTCGCGACCACTGAATAACACCATACCTTTCTTGTTTTCATTAGAGAGACACACGTCAATAAGGTATGGTGAGTTGTAGTGCGGTGCAACGCGAACCAAAACGTCACGACGACCCAGGTGATATAAAATATCTACACGGAAATGAATCCTGATGTTACAACAACAGTTATATATCGGCCAATGACATACCTGCAATGTGTTTGGTCGCACGCATCCTACCCTTGTGAAAATGGGCTTCCTGGCATTGAGCAAAGGTCATTTTTTCATCCACATGGTCACGCATGCTGTCATCAGGATCAAGATCATGGAGCATGGACGTAGAATCCACACGTTCCAGAGCACGTAAACGGTCACCATATATCTCCAAAAGTGATTCGCACTCATCGCGGTAGTGACCAGATACAAGGGTAGATTCTGCAGCCTCCAGTGCCATCAGAATCACAGTAGATTGTTGAGGATGCTCGGAAATCCTGATATCAAAAATAGCAACGACTGAAATATAACTCACGCTTCCAAACTCAACAAATCAAGTAGTACCTTGAATCGGGAATCACCGTTGTAACCCATCACACAAAACGACCAAGCACTGGTTATAACGTTGCGTGGCCACATGTGGCTACATTACAATTCTGGAATAATAGTTGAGTAACCCACCTCTGCTCAAGAACCGATAACGGGTCATCACATTCCTGCAATGACATTTCTGAAATCGAATTGGACAAATGATCAAGACAACGCTCGTATAACGCTGGCATCTCGATATTCGCATCAGCAGCAGCAAGTAGGGCCTCGCAGACAACATTCAAGCGTTTTTTAACATTGTCAAAGTCATCCAAGAACACCTGTAGCATCCTCTCATAAGACTCGCGATGATAATAACGGAGCTTATAAAATGTTTGTAAAACCCGAATTACTTGATGGCTTGACACTCGATGCAAAATCTGAGGTTCCTAGAAATAAATGTAAAACACAGTAGACAGAACTTACGGAGATGAGGTTTTCTACTCCAGCGCGCATAAACTCTGGGCTGAACCACCCGGTACTGTAAATTACGTTATACACTTCTGCCCAAAGACCCAAGTTGCGCGAATAGGCGAGATCGCGAATTCTATTCGCAAGAATACCTAAAATAACACTCAAATGGGCCATACGGACTCTCCATAACTCTATACATTGCATAACAGATACTAATGCGGGAACTGTCATGTGCTCATACTCTCGTTCGCATTCAGATCCGTTACGCAACACTTGTAAAATGAAACGACCGCCAGTTTGGGTGCGACGGCCACGTGTAAGATGGGCAAGACAATGTAACACGAATCTAGTAGGATAATCACCCATATGTTCCATAATGTGGTCCAGAATACAATCACGGATCTCCACGAAACCACCCTCACGGTGCAAAGTCTTGCAAACATTTAGTAGCATCAATAGGTCATCCTGACGCATGTTAGGTAACTTGTCGCGTAACAAAGGCCAACTACGCTCGAAAGCGTCGCGATACTCATATGAAAAGTAACTAAAACTTCGGAGAACACGCAACAGATAAGACAACTCGAAGTCTTCCAACCTTCGCAAACACTCAGCATAAGCCACATCCAAGTGGTGTTTGGAGCGTAAACCTCCTGAATAACATGACCACGTGAAATCTGCAAGCTGAGATGGTATCAACGATGACACTTGTCCAGATACATAGTCCAGCATCTCGGGGAACGATATCTTAGCCTGTTGTAAACGGACAAGCGCCTTAAGCGCAACAGACAATGCTGAAGTGCCACTATCAGCCTTTATAACACTGCAACATATTACTCAATATATCGTTACACCTACTCTAGCAAACGAGATGCTAGTAATGAGATTTGACGTGAAGAGTTGGTCTCGAGCTGGCTAAGAAATAGCTCGAAGCATTCCTCAGCCGACAGCGGGGGCCTGCCAGTCGAGGCTTCAGCATAATCTAAGAGCAAAGAAGAATACTTCTCGCACAAATCTGCATCAACGACACCCTTGCGACGTAATCGGCGAAATTTTGAAGATACGCGGCGTAAATCATCTAGGGAAAGTGAATCATTGGCGCTAGATGATGCATCGCAAGCCTTTCGTAGCTCATCTATATCTGATATATCACCATCTTTGGGCTGTAAATGTTAATAAATGGGAGGAACGATGCAACTCACGTCGGAACCTGCTGCCTGGCAACCAGATGACAATAGACGACGTCGTAAAAAGACGCCGCTCAGCGATTTGGGTAACGATAAACGTATTAAAAACATCTTTAAAATTAAGGTGTAATTGATAATAGCACAAATGAGGCAGGCCAACGTTAAGCTAGGTGTAAACGCGACGCAAACGCTCGGCTTCTAACCTGATATATATCAGCAAAAAGCCAATTAATAAACTTACTCCAAACATGATAATTCGCTGTTTAAACTTGAAATCTGACGCTGCTGCTTCTCAACAGTAGATACCAGACGCTCACTGTAGACATGTGTCAAAAACACGAAGACTGCACTTACGTTTCGTTACGAGATCGCGATAGTTGCTGCGATAGAAGACCGTTTACCTCCTCCAAATCCAACACTATAGCATGTAACTTCGATAGCTCCTTGTTCAGCTGACGTAACTCCTCCTCACGTTGCGAAAGGTCGGATTCAAGAGAACGTAACTCTTGATCGTCTATACGTGGTCGATCCGATCCACGTACTTCAAGTTCCACCTCAAGTTTACGACAATGACGCTCAGTTTCTTCTAAACGGTTGCACGTATCACTCAATTCACATGTGCGACGGTGCAATTCGTCCTCACGCAAACGACATAAAGACTCGGCCTCATCTAAAGCCGCAGATAACATTGTACACCTGCGACGTAACTCATCAATCATACCCTGACGTTCCAGAGTCTCGCTGTGCAATACATCAATAATAACAGATACCATATTGCCAATGCAACGATCCCATCTTGCGCGACGATGATCACGATCACCTTGATCAAGTACAACCAACTCTAACTGGTAAAAGACATCATCGACAGTTAGAGCTAGGGGGCTACCTACAGTACACTCCTTCAACGTAGCACAGAGCCTTTGGAAGTGGTGCATCACTACCATGTCACAAGTAGACGACGACTGCAAACGTGACGTCGTGGCATCTGGAGCATCCACATACACGATACGAGGGGGACGCTCAGTTATATGGGACTGAGCATCACGGGCTTTATCCAAAAGGTCGCAGATCGATTCGAAATGACGTGTATGACGACGCAGCACTTCTTCACTAAGCGACTTGTCGAAATATAACCGCGTAGGATAATCCATATCACTGTCAGACGGATCATCACCATCACAAACTGTCGCATCGGAACGACCGATGGAATGTGAACGTGGGCTCTCGTACTCTGTATCGCTGTTATCCGCTTGACTAGATAATCGTTGCACATGATCACGCAATGTCAACTTGATGTTCTTCACATAATAACGCACGTTGGTGTCAATATCCTTTAAAAGGTTAGCTAGTTGCAAAACACCATCTGGTGGTATTCTCCTGCTCAACCGACCACGAGGTGCAGGATTACCAGCACTGCTTGACAAACCCTTTGTATCAACTTTGTCATTAACTTTACCCTGCGTAGCAGCTGGTACCGCTTCGGGACCACGATCTGCCGCGGGTTGGGAGACAGGGTTGGGTGTAGCCGATATTGGAGCAGGTACCGTTACCGTAACGATCTTGGGTTCGGGAGGATTCTCAAGTAACTTCTTGTATTTCTCTCGGTATGACGTTAGGGAAGAAACCAGGGTCCTTACAGAAGATAAAATAGCACGCAAGTTATCACGTTCGCATTCAGACTGCTCTTCAGCAGGGAGAATAGATAGTGCCAATTTGCAAAGGGACGAACGCTCGTCAGACAATTTATCTATACGGCGCTCAAACTCTTGTAATGCCTTAGCAGCACTAGAACAGTCAGACATCAACTTAGAGTTCTCCTGTCTCAGTTTGGTATGCTCATCCTCGTTCGATTTTACCAAACTAGACATCTGGTCTAGCTTAGCCTGGCATTTGCCCAAAGTGTCCTCATAATGGTCTTTAATTCGGTTAAGGGCGTCCGCAGGGTTGCACTTTTGTAACTGACCAACCATTGCACTCAACTCCTTATTATGGGCCTGCAACCTTCCTACACGGTTTGCAAAATCAGCACGCAGTAGCTCAACGTTAACACTGGTACCCATAAATTTCATTAATGTGGACAATGAACCAGTTTGAGATCGGGCACTATCGATCAATGAAGAGCTCAGGTCCCTCAATTGGCGACATAATCCAGCGGCCAAAGTACTCAAAAGGAAGTTGCATTTCAAAATATTCGACACCTTATCTCGTGCTGAAGAGACTTCCTTCGCAACCGAATATACATCTTTACCGTCATGAACTCCAGTCATGCTCTGCTGAATCGCATCCAATATGCCGTAATAGACGCTTGGGTTGAAGTTGGTGATACCAGAAATGTCGATAGAACCCAGCTCGCTAGCTGAAAGCCTCAAAGGCTTTGCCTCACGTACTGAGGATACCAATGTTTGTAGGGAACCATTCAAAGACTCTATAGTCGACGACATCGCACGTTCTGACCGCTCCTTCTCCATCAAACGGGTTGACGCAGCACGTAAATCAGCTGCGCTCTTCTCGAGAGACTCGGTCAAAGATGCAACAGATGCTCGCAGGCCTTCTAGCTGTGTCTCATGAGAATCCAGCTGATTACGCAAACGACCCTCGGCCTCTGACATCGCATTAACCTGGCGCAAATATTCTACATTCGACGTGCGCTCTTGTTCAAGGGCATAACGCAGCTCCATAATCAACTTCACCAGGTCAGAGTTCTTGCCACGCACAGATTCCAACTCAGTACGGTTACTAGATAATGCTTCATTCAACAGGTTGCAACGACCCTCTAGCTGAATTATAGCGACACGATCACGTATAGCATCGTGCGCGATGCGCGCATCACCAACTAACAACGATTGAAGTTGTCGGATCTCCTCACGCAATGCAGTTACCTCATTTTTGGCAAATGCGCTCTTTTCCTCAAGACTACGTACGTCATCTGCTAAACGGTTATTCAAATCACTGAGATCTGCATTCATCTGCTTAAGACGATCAACCTGGTCGTCATACAACGAACACTTTGCACGCAACCTGTCGAGTTCGTTAGAAGTGCCCAGTAACTCCGAAGACTGATTACGGAACTTCTGTAACTGCTGGTGGGAGCAATGTAGGTCGCTATTGAGACGAGAAATCGTTGTATGCATCTGAAAACGCTCAAAAGTACTTTGATGCAACATGTCCATCAAAGATGAAAGCTTGTCTTTGTACAATCTATTTTCAGATTCAAGCGCAACCACACGTTCGTCTAGCAGCTGATGGCGACCTATCTGAGACGCTGCGGAACCCATGCCCTCAGAGTCAGTAGTCTCAAGTTCCTCTATCGACGTACGAGTCATACTCTCCATAGCTGAGGTAATAGAATAGAACACACGTTCTAGAGCCAAACAACCAACAGCACGAGTGTCAGATGACAACATCTCATTCTCATTGCGTGCATTGGATAGATCAGATTGCAAAACAGATAACTGAGAACGTAGGTGTGCCAACTCGGTACGTAAAGCAGCATTCTCCGACTCGTAGAAACCAACTCTTTCTTGAAGAGAACTAAACACAGTCTTTAGATCAGGCATCGTCATGCCAGATTTAGATGAACGATCTTGATTTTGAGATACTGCGGTACTAGACTGATTACGCTCGTCAACATAAACTGCGCCACCGTAAGATCGCAAAAGCTGCTCAACTTCATGTTGATAACCAGCTATACGGCGCCTAGCAACCGCTAACTCTGAATTCAAATCGTGGTTACGACGCTCTTCAGAACCAAGCTGATCCAACAAACGTTGCCGGTCTTCTTCAGCTTGCTGATAACGCTGAATTTGTTTTTGCAAAACAGAAATCTCAGCCTTCAACTCCTTCACTTTAGTATCCTCTGGCGGTGCATGAGATGTAGCAAGAGCAGGATTAATCACAGAGGAACTAGGCACACCACTCCCGACTGCCACTTGGTCCTCGCACACGCTATAGTTAAAAGGTATAACACCACCTGCAGCAAGCTCCGCACGCAAGTCAGATGACATAGACTCTCGGGGTCTCAGGCGCTCATTCTCCCGCTTAAGTGTGCGGATCTCACGCAAGTATTGCTGCAACTTTTTCTGCAGCACGGAAATTTCCGTCTTCAACTCTCGTACCTTAGTGTCACCATCTAGGGCAGTATCCGGGGAATTTACAGCAGCAGATCCAAATTCACCCAAAGGAGGTGTTGCAACAACAGAAGCGGAAGCAAGGTTATCGGTAGTTACGGGTGGCGCAGGTAGTGCATAGGCACCGGATGCTAATGAGGGTTTAGCAGGAACATCTACAGAAGTGGGTTCAATAACCTCGGGAGCAGTGGAATTCACCGGCAAAGCAGGCCGGGTTGCAGAAATATTGTCACCCAAACTGAAATGATCATCGAAATTGGCAATTACAAGCTCAATAGAACCATCTGGTGACTTGCCACCGACAAATTCAGAAACCACACTTCCAGTTTCGTAGAAGGATGATGAATTTATTGCCAAATTGCGACCTGGTATTGATGTAGACGAGTCAAGACCGGGCCATGATACAGATCCTTGAGCATCAGAGTCGTATGCACTGGTTGTGCAATCGCCATCGTATAGGAAAAAGCGTTCGATCCTTGGTTCACTGGCATTAGAAAAATCAGAAGACGCTAGATCGGAATCTGCAACCGATGAAAACATGTGAGAATTTTCTAGCAACCTACCGAAACTCACACCAGACTTACTAAAAGCAGGACATGGAATCGGGTTCAAATGGCACTGCTGTGCCAGTGCGTTCTCTGTGGCGAACAATGCGCGACTTTGCATAGCCAATTGTGTGCCCCTTCTTAGAACTAAAGACTGTAGTTTTGAACATCGCATCGCAGAAACATGGAGACTTTCAGTCAGACTTGTTAGTGCCTCCAAATAGCGTTGCTCAGTACGTGCGCTCTCCATATCAAGTTGGAACAGATCGGAGTACGCGGTTTCCAATTTCATAGCAAGTTCGATGTTTTCCTGTGTAAGGTCCGATATTTCAGTTTCCAGTTGAGAAATGGTCTGGTCTTTATGCGAGAGCGTTTGGAGCACAGAATTGAGCATTTCGGGGGTAACCGCGGCCATCGGATGAGTCAGACTATCATTATCACCAGAGGCCGACGGTGCGGCGATAATGGACATTGCATCAGTCACATCTGTCAGTGTTACCTGACTTCTACCAGGATACTCTGCCAACTGGTCGCTAGACTCTAGGTAGACAGGTACACCAAAGAATCTGCGAAAATGTTCCACCAGTGAGCCAGGTGACTTTTGCAAATAGTTCAACAGTTGTGGGCGGATACCTGCCATATCAGCGAAAAACTGTGTGAGCAGCACATCGTCTGATACGGCATTGGAATTATTGCTACATTTCAACTCTCCAGCGAAACGTGCCTCCACCACCTTTAAGTTACGCAAACGGCGGCGGAAGTCACGCTCGTACCTTTTCTTGTCATCGTACCTTTTATATACTCGAAAACCTGACAGTCCATACGGCCTATCCTCGTTTCCCAAGGCATCTGAAAAACATTCATGCTGTCCTACTAACCAAGGTACCGCGGTACGTTACACACAACAAGAATCTATGCAACGCCAGCAATTACGAACTTACAAGAAATACACACTACTAAAATATACATATTCGCTTACCTGTGGCCAGAGGAAGGGAGTCCGCAAATGGCTGCTGCATCTGGACTGAGCGCGGCAGATGACCGACAGGACAGCGACCGAAAATATAATAAATAACGGTACAAATCACATATCGAAATTAAATTATATGTGGAATAAACAATACGTGGTAAAAAGAACCAAAACCGACGCGCCGTACCACGTCATCCTCACAACACTAACACCGTTAACAGCTACGCACATAGGATCAATAGGACCCGAAGATTCATCATATGTAGGTATATACCACTTCAGATGCTCATATGGAAGAGAAAGTGGGTCTTTTAGCGCTCCGCGAGAGGAAGCGCAATCGACAAGAAGCCGGTTCACAGCATGTTGACTTCCAACAGCCACTCCATCTTGACATGCGGCTGATGGAAAGCATCCTTTTCGAGGTATTACGGAACTATGTGCCGCCGGATGTATACAACAAAATCTACGAAATCGTCCGACGTGGTAATTCTGACGACATCAACTGGGCAAGAGAAAAGCTACGTGAACTAGATGTAGAATACTGGCCTCAGCTAGCTAGAACACTACGAATCATATGTGCTATAGGTGAGTAAGCTGTATTAATGGTGATATTTATCCTGGTACAACGTTATATACAAAATATCTTCCGTAAGCAGTTTAGACAACGATGTGAAACTTCGCCTAATTAGGAAAAAACGATATTTAATCCATATTCAGGCAACTCGGCTGACAAAGTGCAGAAGAAAAGACGGAGAGATGCATATGAAAGAGCTTTGAAAGATGATACAGACTTCCAGGGAACTGTATATACGTTACGCTGGTGCATTGGGCACTTTAAGGTGGGATTTGTAACGCAGCACTGCGGTTTACATATTGTCCAGAAAAATCATATGCCACTACAAGAACTCTATGAACATATCACAAATATGCACATAGACTTTGTTTTAACAGCACACCCAACCGAAACACACAGACTCACAAGCCTCGTGAACCACAAAAAGTTATGCGAACTTATCCTCGAATTCGACGGAGAAATATGCACGCCATTCGAAGAAACAACGGTAAGATTTGGTAACAGATTAACAAAGTGAAATCCGATGTAGTTATTCAAGGAACTTGAACGACATATTGCAGCCATGTGGCACACCGACCAAATTAGACGACAGAAACCCACACTCTTCGACGAGGTATAGTGCCACAGCATTAAGGGGGATTTGTCATGCCACTTACAGGTTGTCTCTATTGCGCATCGTGTAAAAAGCACTATTTTCAAGAGTGTGCCCAAGTTCTACAGATACCTAGACGCGCTATTCGAGGAACATGGGCTACCAACACTGCCGCTAGATACAAAATTGTTCACATTCTCATCATGGGCAGGAGGTGATCGTGATGGAAACCCCTTTGTGACACCTGATATGACCAGGAAAACAGTATGCTACAACAAAATACATGCCTGCGATCTTTACCTTGAAATGGTAAGAATTGCGACAATTTAAATAATTGCAAACAGCTCGATCAACTCGCCGAAGAGTTGCCAGTAAAAGATGCTACCGAAGATTTCAAGAAGTACGTTGCTGAATTGGAGGGTGAAAGAGCAACCGTACTTGGCAGGACCAGAACCAAAGATGGTATAATAACATATTTCACCGATGAGTTCACGTTTATGATACCTGATGCACAGCCGGATGAGGTATATAGAACCTTGTTCAGGCATGTTGGGACGAGACTGAAAGTAAGTAGACTCGAAGATAAACCACTATCACGGTTACTCACAGATCACAAGGTATTTGGCTCGCAAACAGCTAGCGGATGAAAAAAGTGACATTAGTGAAGAAGTTAGATGTTTCGCTTACAAATCTGGGAAAGAGATTCGGGAACCATTAGAAAGGTGCTATAAGTCACTTTGTGACGTTGGATGCGAAATTCTCGCTAATGCTACATTAAAGGCACTTATCAGGTGTTTAGATACATTCGGTCTCTACCTACTCAAACTGGATGTCAGACAAGAAAATGCTAAACACAGCGCAGCAGCAGACTTTATATTTGGGAAACTTGCATTAACGGAGAAGCCTTACACCAAAATGGAGGAGAGTGAAAGGGTCGCTTTATTATCAAAGTTACTTGCGCAGCAAGGGACATTTAACATCACAGCAGGCATGCTTGAGGAGGCTCCGGATGATGTTGTAAACGTCATACAGACCTTCAGAGTAGTGGGAGAACTGGGCACCGATGTCATAAATGCCTACATCATATCAATGTGCAACTGTGCATCAGATATCCTGCTAGTTGAACTTTTGCTGGAGAAGGTTGCTGCCGTCGAAAGCGACGGTGTCTCACACAGCGTCAAGGTTGTACCTTTGCTGGAAACCATAGCCTCGCTACGCGCTTCAAGCAGCATAATGGAACATCTATTTAGCGATTCGTGGTATCGTGAACACATAAAAAAGCACCATAACAACACGCAACAAGTAATGATTGGATACTCTGACTCAGGGAAAGATGGTGGTCGTCTCGCAGCAACTTGGGAACTCTACAAGGTATGATCTTGCGCATGTTATACATGACAGAGTTTCACTCAGGCTCAACAAATGCTTTATGTGGTAGCTGAGAAAAATGGTATCAAAATACACCATTTTCACGGCAGGGGTGGTTCGATATCAAGAGGAGGGGGTCCTCTGCATCACGCCATTATGTCACAACCAAGGGGTACACTGAACAACTACCTCAGGCTCACTGTACAAGGAGAAACTATCGGTTATATGTTTGCGTTACAGCACGATTGCCTCAGGACTATGGAATACTATCTCACTTCTTGCGTCCAGTTCAATGTGAACGCAGATAAAATTGCTGTCAAACCCGAATGGGTACAACTTTGGGACGAAATGGCCGAAATATCATACAATGCCTACAGAAAAATAGTAGGGGATGCAGTAGGGTTCGCAGATTATTTTGTATCTCTAACACCAGTGCGAGAAATGGGACTCATGAATATAGGTTCGCGACCATCCAAACGCACAAAGGATGGAGGTATCGAGAAGATACGGGCAATTCCTTGGGTATTCGCGTGGACACAGGTCCAATTGAACATGCCTATCTGGCTCGGACTTGCTGATGGGTTGCAGCACGCCATGCATACTGGACGCATGGAACTGCTAAAGGATATGTACCAAAGTTGGCCTTTCTGTAGCAGCTTCCTACATCTAGTTAGCATGGTATTGCTCAAGACAAATGCTACAGTTACGGAGGAGTACGAGCGTGCTCTTGTTCCTGAAGAATTAAGACATCTGGGCGAAATACTAAGATGCGATCTTACGCGTGCTATCAAGCTCATCAAACTTATCACCGGAGAACGTGAATTCTGCGATCACGATCTTGTAGTGAGGCGTGGATTCAGATGTAACGCACGATTGCTAGGGCCATGTGCGGCACTGCAAATTGAGGCTCTCACCGGGTACAGAAGGGATCCCAACGATACACGCTACCACGATACACTTGTCATAAGCATGAAGGCTATTGCGGCCATCATGCAACACACCGGGTAGACGCAGCGGTCTACGGCACAAAAGGTTCAGCCAGAGGTGACCACAATACAATAAATGTGTGTTATTATAGAATAGTTTGGCGCTATTGGCCACAATGAAAAGTCGCTGTCAGGCCTAAATTAATTCTTCACAGAAAGCTTAGCCAACTCCATAACGAGCGACGGTACAGAGGAAAGCTCCTCGAAGGCGGGAGTTCGCATCACGTCGGCCGCGTGCTCAGAGATGAAGTTAAAACAGTGTTGACGCATCAAATCAGCATTGTACAACTTCGAGTACTTTAGCATGTAACATACGTTGTCTATGTCCATCTTGCGCACCAACACCTCCTGGCACATGTTCTTCAGGTTATCCAATGCGCAGGCATCAGCCAGACCCATGATCTCACAGAGCTTAAAGTGTGTGTGGCTGTGGAAATCGCGAATACGAGATGAATACATGAACTCAATCATTTTCATCACCGCATCCAAAGACCAACCGCAAAGCTCAATCACATCAGGAGGGTCCTCCTGGCTTAAAATATCGTCGAAGTACTTGGAATTCGCACATAAGATTACCTTGTGGGCAGGAATATCCTTGCCAGCGACGGAAATAGATACATCTGAATACTTCGGGTTAGCCAAGAAAACACTGATGTTCTCAGCCAGTGACGATAAAATAGGGTCGAACGACCTAGTGCACTCCGACCGGTACTCGATGAGGTGCAAATCGTTCAACCATTCTCTTCCGTTGAATCCTCCGAAAAGGTACATTGTTCCATTCAGCTCCACTAGTGAATTCCGCTGACGACGTGAAAGAGGAGTGGTGTCTGGCACGAGAGCCTGTTTGCGCCATGTACATGAGCGCGGGTTAAACACGAATAATGAGTTAAAAACGGCTTCCCCGTTGTAACCACCGAACACGTATATCTCATGGTTGAGGTAACATGCGGAATGGCCTCGAACTGCCAAAGGGGAGACGTCACCTGAATATTCAACTCGAGTCCATGTGTGAGTAGAAATGTTATAAGTGTAGATGTCGTCAAAGTGCGTACGACCTGAATGACCACCGTTCATGTACAGCAGTTTACCGTCGGTCACCATTACATGTGCATTGCGTGGTTGAGGTTTCTTTCCGTAAGGTTTGCTCAAACGCGTCCATGTTGCGGTAACCGGATCAAAGCACTCTAGGTCGTTAAAGCACTGAGTGCCGTCGTAACCACCAAAACTGTAAAACAGATCATCAACGCGTGTAAGCGTGTGACACGCTCGCTTGCTTGGGACCCTGCCACCGCAAGCGATGTAACGCACCTGCGCCTCAACGGGAACGTCGGGGTCGACGTGATCAAATACATCATTCAGGGTAGACACGTCCACTGCAAACATATCCATTAGCCATGATGTGCCGTCATGGCCACCATGAATAAACAGCTCACCGCCGTACACTGCGGAGGCATGATTATTGCGTGTCAGTGACGATAAGGTGAACATCGTTTTCTTCTTGCTAGAACCAGAAGAGATCGAAGTCTCCTCCACACAAAGAGTCAATCGTATCCAACGACGTTTGACGGTGTGGAATGCATAAGCATCAGAAAGCGCGTGCTTGCCAGCCCAACCCCCAAAAAATACCAAGACCTGACCTACCACGTCGCAGCTGTGCGCTGCCCGCGGCGAAGGGGCTCCAGGTGTCGAGCTGATATCCTGCTGCAACAGGAATGTATTGTTACACAACGATCCCATTCTTGATAGACAAAAGATAAAATAACCCTATGGTAGCGTGCCAAATGGTACAGCCAAGTTAATGATGTAAAAAAGATATAATACGAAGTTCTTAAAGAAACGATGATACTCCAATGGATGACGAGGCTTAAACAGAGGCTAATGGTAGCATCAGGGCATGACTGTCCAAGTAAGATAAAAATGCCACTCCTTATCGAGGCCTCGAGGATAGCCCCGTTAAGCACGCACAAATGGCACACTAAAGACAGTACGTCGACACTATTTAATTACAGAGAAACACAGTTTCTCAATAAATAATCCTAAACCAATGATCCGCGCCAGTACACAAAATGATCCCGAATGTTATCGTAGGAGAAACATCCAGCCGTGCACCTTGCAAAAAACAAGGTAGGACACGGGCATGGTATTCAGCAAAGTGCGTTAAAATTGCCCTTTGCAACGCAGCACGTGAAGCGCTCGCGCTAAACTCATACCAGACACGTACTAGTGTCGATGTAGAAACAAAATGTATACGGCAGCCTTGATAATTGAAAATGTCGTTAGAAACCGCTCGGTTGCACAGCTACGCTACAGCGATCCTTAAAACACAAAACAGACACGGTAAGTATTACACCCCTTGAGTGTTTTAGCAAAGCGGCAAGAAATGCCGTTAAAACAAAATTAAACACCTTTAATTATTAGTTAAATATATGCCACTTTCTTAACCAGTGATAGAAATCAACATGGCCTATTGTGCCAAGAACAAAACACGTAGACCCGCCAAGGCCACCCGCCGGGTCAACCACACAGGCACCGAAACATGCATATAGAAAATAACTGGCATCCCTTTCAATGTGAAGTGGCATAACGCCTATATAATGGTGAAAATTAGGCGCAGACTCGCTGGACACACACTGTTCTGGTGGCGAAACACCCTGCACAATTACGCCATACACACCCAAATGTGAAGGTTATAAAAAGGTCTTATACCAGATGGTACGCTGATAACACACGGGTTTTAATCAGTGTGAATTGGTTTCCTGAGCAGCCTACTAAATAGAAGCTTCAGGGAAGAGGGTCTGCGGTACGCTGAGTTTCCACCGATAAAAACTAACCATCAGAACCAGACCTGACAAATATGATATAAAACCCACAACCACACCGTTAAGTGCCATCATTAGTGCTGATATCATACGGCGTTGCCTCATGTAGCTCCCCTGTATAGACATGCACAATAGCCAGTAGATGCTAACCTTAAAGTAACCCAGGCTCATTGCTCCTATGACAGAAAACAAAGCGGTTGTGGTGAAACCTATTATACGTGATGTATCCGAGCCGCTTTCGCCTAAGAAGTTGCCAATAAAACCAATCAGTGGGAATGAGCCCAAAATGCAAAAGCTTCCAAACATAACCAATCCTGTGGCAATCTCAAAACCAAGAAAGAAAGGCAAACCTTTTTTAACTGGAGTCATATCATCCTCGGTAAGCAATATTCCTAGCTCCTCAGCCATCATGTGGCGTAAGAAAAAATCTTTGTTGCGGAAGGTCAGCTCCACAAGGTCATGCGCATCGGCGGATGAAAATTTATAACGGTTTGTGTAAATGTCAAGCATCTCCTTTTTCTCCATCTCAGGTTTCTCTTCCACCTCGCTGAACAAATATACGCTTACACAAAAGAAAACACAACATACCGCTCCTCACGCAGACGCTCCGACTCCACGTAGTCCCTTTCCGCCTTACAACTAATAAACTCGCCATATGCCATAGAAAACGCCGACGCCAAAAGAGTGCCCAATGTCACACAGATAGTCTGTAGGGGCGATATGGCAGCACCGGCGCAGCCGGAGACTACAGCGAACATGGTAAGGATACCTTTATTGGGTTAGAGAAAACAATGTGACACCCACCATCAAGGCCTCCAAAGACAATCACTTTGATAGCAGCACTACTACCATCTAGATGGTCCTCAATGTGCGTATTTCGTGCGCTCCCACTCTGCGACAGGGGAAGGCTGTATAGACATGAGAATGTGACATTAAAAATAGCATCATGAAAACTTAATAGATATATGGACGACACTTACATATGTTCGCCCTTCATAGTTGTGTGACGACAAGTGAAAGCTATATAAGCGATTCCAGCGGCGAAAGAATGACAGATTCCTTCCTGTAACGTCGCTGCCTCGCACCAAAAGCACGAGACAAAACAAAAAAAGATGCACACCTAAAGTACAAGAATAGTGTTACGCTGATTCAGACGTATGTTTGCTATTACATTGGTAATTGGGAGCGCTGACACACAGCACACGCGACATGGACGAATCGAACAGATGAATGCTAAGTGGTGATTACATTGCCGCAGTTTTAACGGAGGAACTTGAGTAACACAGGTACATTGTAGAGACCGTCGTAGCCCAAAAGACCAAATACCAGGCAAGCCGCACCAGAACGAATTACGAACGATGCAATCATCGTCAAATGCTCCTCGTCAATATCAGACATCAAACCAGAACTTTTGTCATCATCGTTGTTCTTGCTGTCGCTCACTTCCGCACTCTCAGGCTTATCCTCGCTCTCAGCGGGTTGCCCTGAAGATCCCTGTTTGCGCATACCTGACCATATTGGGTACAGATTCAGTATCACAGAACCATATGTCAACGCCTTCACTACAGAACGTTGTGCGGGTATCGGAGCATCGCTCCACGCGGCGAATAACTTGTTGATCATTTGACCCATGCCGAAAGCGTCGAACAACGAAAATAAGGCGCGCACAAACAACGGGCAGTATTTTCCAACCCTTTCAACATGTAGCGTGTAGCAAACATAACATCCGAGCACAAAACTCAGCACATAACTGACCAAGTTGCAGATCGCGATACGACGAGTAGTGCTCGGATTAAGAGATAGCACCTTGGGTTTAGGGACAGCCGACGCAACCGGACGCTTATGTTCTTTGCTTGAACTGAGGACTTCCTTTACAAATGAAGAAGGGGGTTCCGACGTATCGTCGTCGTATTCCGGCTTGCTAAGCGTGCTCAGTCGCCTATTCGACTGTGAAAGAATGCGGTTACGACGCTGGTAAGCCGCATCAGATGCCGCCATTGTGACACACAAAATATATACGTATATAAGAAGAAGATGTATCAAAACTAATGCAACCAGCAGACTGGCTCAGTCAGAGTCAGGCACGAGTTAGCAAAAACGCTACGCAAGTAAAACGAACGCACACTAATGCGGTATGAGCGCAAATTAATAACACCTTATATTAGTATGCCACAGCCGGGAGCGGCGTGCAGGGTGGCTTGGATTATAGATGTTGGACGGCCACAACCATCCCACGGCAAGGTGACGCTACAGGTGGGGGAAGAAACAGTGATGATGTTGCAGTTGACCCAGTCAACCGAAATCACGCAAATACGACGGCGAGATGACGGATGGGCAAGGTGAGGGGGCTACGCAATTCGCGAGCTCCCAAGGCTGGGAAGCAGGTAAGCATCAACACATAGGAACGTCATCGATATGTAGCTACTGGAAAAAATAAACAAAAAAAAAGCATCGGCAGTGAATCGCCATCTAACAAAGCAAAGAATAATGATGTATCGAATTATGGAAATACGGAAGTGGAGACTCTAACGGACGAAGACAGTTGGAAGGTCATAGGTAAGTAACGCGGAAAAACATGACACATATAACCAAAAATTGTTAAGAAAGAATCCAAAAATGGATATATAGCCAAAACAATTTACGTGGATAACCCACGACGACACACCAAAAAGTGATCATTCCTACGCAGGGTCATTCTTCAACACCCATGGACTGGTACACCAACAAATTGAAAGCTTCAACGATTTTGTCACTTATCGCATGCAAGAAATGATCGACCAGCATCCACCCATTGAAATCACGTAAGTTTAACGCGTCACTGACCGCTAACAATTACACAGGCCGCAGCCACAGTACCACCCAGAGGATGAACGGGAAAATAATGTAATATATAGACTCAAATTTGGACAATTGTCACTTAACAAACCTTGTGTAGAAGAAAAGGACGGTGTACTGAAACACATATGGCCACAGGAGGCAAGACTTAGGAACCTTACGTACGCATCGCAAATTTATGTAGACATTGAACAGGAAACATACCTTAAAGATGAAGTGACAAACGTTGAAACATTGCAAGAAAAAATCACATATCCCAGAATAGGATTAGGTAGAATACCAATGATGCTCAAAGCAGCATACTGCTGGACCAAAAGCATCAGCGAAGATGATCTTGCCGGTGTAGGTGAATGCCCATTCGATGAAGGTGGGTATTTCATTGTTAACGGGGGAGAAAGAGTTCTGATCGGGCAAGAAAGGATGGCTAATAATTACATATATATTTTCAAAAAGAAACAGCCCTCCAAATACAGCCTAGTAGCCGAGGTCAGGTCACAGCCAGAATTCTCGCAAGGAACCACGCCATTCAGCATCATGATGAAATCAACGCTAGGAGTGGCAGGGAATAGATTTAAATCACATGGACAACTAGTTGGATCACTTCCATATCTTAAAGCAGACATACCCATCGCAATACTCTTCAGGGCACTCGGATGCGTGGCAGACAGAGACATCCTACAGAGAATAGTATATGATTTCGAAGATAAACAGATGCTCACACTCATGAGACCGTCGCTAGAAGAGTGTGCGGATTATTCCACGCAAGAGATGTGTTTGGACTTCATAGGGAAGCGTGGACCTACTGTAGGAGCACCGCTGGAGGCAAGAATGCAATACGCAAGGGATCTACTCAGGCAACACTTATTACCACATGTAGGAACGGAGGTCGGATGTGAAAGCAGAAAATGCTACTTCCTTGGATATATGGTACACCGGATACTGCTATCTAGACTAGGTAGAGTGGTAGAGGATGACAGAGACCATTTCGGTAAAAAAAGACTCGACCTCGCAGGCTCCCTCATGGCGTCAAGTTTCGGAACTCTTTTCAGAAAGATGGTCAAAGATACCAAACGAATACTGCAACATCAAATAGACTGTGGTAGAGAGTTCGATGTTGCAGGCGCAGTCAGAAGCGCAACGCAGATCACACAGGGGCTACAGTACCAGCTGCTAACAGGAAACTGGGGAAGAGATAGAGAGGGGAAGGTAGTTAGAACTGGAGTCAGTCAGGTGCTCAACAGACTTACGTTTGCGTCATATCTTTCCCATCTTCGTAGGCTCAACACACCTCTGGGCAGAGAGGGCAAAGTGGCGAAACCAAGACAACTTCACAACACACATTGGGGTATGATATGCCCGGCCGAAACCCCTGAAGGGCAAGCGGTGGGACTAGTGAAAAACCTAGCTCTCATGTGTTTTATCAGTGTTGGTACTGCGGCCGCAACTATTAACGAATTCCTTTGTGAATGGGGTATGGATTCGCTGGATGAAGTGCCGCCAGAAGTCATAAAAGATAGAATTAAAATTTTCATCAACGGGACATGGGTTGGATGCTTCGATGAGGCAGAAAGCCTAGTCAAAACACTGCTCGAACTTAGGAGAAGAGGTGATATAGCAGCAGAAACCAGCATTGTCTGTGATATAGTATCCCAGGAAGTCAAAATTTTCACGGATGCCGGCAGAGCGATGCGCCCATTGCTTGTTGTGGAGAACGGAAATACACTCGCCATCACAAAGTCACATATAGAACGGCTGGACAGCAACGATTGCGATTGGGATGGACTCATAGAATCGGGGGTCATCGAGTATATTGATTGTGAGGAAGAGGAAATGTGTATGATATCAATGTTTCCTGAGGATCTAAAAACCAACAGCACCTACTGTAACACCTACACACATTGTGAAATTCACCCATCTATGATACTGGGGGTATGTGCGTCGATCATACCCTTCCCTGACCAGAACCAGTCGCCCAGAAATACATATCAAAGTGCCATGGGAAAACAAGCCATGGGGGTGTATGCTACAAACTTCAACTTAAGAATGGACGCGCTAAGCCACTTGTTGTACTACCCGCAAAAACCACTAGTATGCACAAGGGCCATGGAGTTCCTCAGGTTCAGGGAACTTCCAGCAGGAATCAATGCTATTGTAGCCATCATGTGCTACACTGGGTATAACCAGGAGGATAGTTTAATCATGAATCAGTCTTCAATTGACCGAGGACTGTTCAGGAGTGCCTTCAACAGGACGTACGTGAGTGAAGAGAAACACATTGGTAGTTCTGTAATAGAACGATTCGAGCGGCCAAATCCAGCAAATTGTGTCGGGCTAAAGAGGGGAGATTACACCAAACTCGACGCAGATGGGTTGGTGGAACCTGGGAGTCGGGTGCTGGGTGACGACGTCATCATAGGTAGGACTTCACCATGCAACGATGATGACGGTGAAAATCTAAGACAAGATTGCTCATGTTGCCTAAGGACTAGTGAAAATGGTGTAGTAGATACTGTCTTGCTCTCGTCTAACTCGAAGGGATCCAAGTTTGCAAAGGTGAAGGTCAGGTCTATCAGGGTCCCTCAAATCGGAGATAAATTTGCTAGTAGACACGGGCAGAAAGGAACTATTGGAATGACATATAGAGCGGAAGATTTGCCATTTACGTGTGAGGGTGTCGTTCCCGATATCATCATGAATCCACACGCCGTACCCAGCCGAATGACAATAGGCCATCTGGTGGAATGTCTCGTTGGCAAAGTTGGTGCATGCTGTGGTATGGAGGGAGACGCCACACCTTTTTCAAAGCTGACCGTACAGCACGTAGCAGAACGCCTGTTCGAATGCGGGTATGGCAAACACGGAAATGAAGCACTCCATTGTGGATTCACTGGGGAAATGATTGTCAGCAGGATTTTCATGGGTCCCACATATTACCAGCGACTTAAACACATGGTAGAAGATAAAATACACGCCAGAGCTAGAGGACCGGTAACTATGCTCACCAGACAGCCCACCGAAGGTAGGTCCAGAGACGGGGGTCTCAGGTTCGGAGAAATGGAGCGCGATTGTATGATATCGCACGGAGCCGCTAAGATGCTGAAAGAACGCCTTTTTGACCAAAGCGATGCGTTCAGGATGCATGTTTGCGACAGGTGTGGGCTGTGCTGCATCGCCGATCTAAACAGGAGGAACTTTGAGTGCACCGCCTGTGACAATAAGACGAATATATCGCAGGTCACCATTCCGTATGCCTGTAAGCTGCTCATTCAGGAGCTGATGGCAATGGCCATATACCCCAAGCTCCTACTAACACCGGCATAGGTGGCGCACGCCTGCCGCTTCAGCACTAAAGATGCGCAGGGGCGCTCTAATACGGTGCTAATGTAGCTTTTAAGATTATCAATATTTCATGTAACCCACAATAATGAAGATTGTCTCGACTCCTGTGCGGTATGCAGGTAACGCGGAACGGGTGTAAGTGGAGTAGCTCTAATGTAGGCAGAAAGAGGCGCCATGACCATCACAGCTACCGGATCTAGGCGTATCCCGGTAGGAACCACGTTGGTGCGTAGCTGTACGACCAAAGGTCAGCGACTTGCCAATGTGCTCCAGGCACACGTTGCAGTGGGTGTGTGCGAGGGTCGTGCGGACAAGGCTCCAACATGTAATGAATGGAAGTACGTGGGTACACCCTCGTATAACGCATTATTGGACGCTGCCCTGAAACGTCCTCGTAGACAATGGTCATATGAACAGAACAAAGCCCCCAGGGCGCAGCAGCGCCGGGACACATTGGATCCCTTGAGTGATGGCGATCGGTGTACAAAGCACCGGTACAGTCATACAGAGGATGTAGGAAATGGTCATGAGGGGAAACTCGGTGCCAGCTCGGGAACAAGCTGCCAAGTGGAATGCAGTACGGTACAACTTACGAAGCGATTGCGACCATCTATACCAGAGCGTGTAGATTCACCTATTAGGCAACCAGAATTGTCACTGGAGAAACATGACGTCCCTCTCAGGAAATGGGAGCTGGAAACCATGGGCAGCCGCCACGGTAATCTGGTCAACATAGATCAAATTCACCAAACGATCGACAATTCGAACGACAGCGATGGAATCTACAATCGGTTGGTTGGAGAGTTTAACACTTGTGGTGAACACAGCAGTGAAGTAGACGTACGATTAGCAAAGGAACGGAGTCAACCATGGGTCTGGGTAAACGCAATAGAAAGGCCCGCCATAACAAATTGGTCCGATACGCCAGAAATTAAATATTTGACATCTCAAGAATCGTATCAAAATATCACGGCAAATGAGGCCCTTTTTGATATGTCAAAGCAAACGTCTCCTGTTCGCCGAGCGGAACAATTTGAACAAGCTGTGCTTGGAGAAAATGCTGATCACACAATAGCAATGAGCGACACGGTAGAAGCATATTCCCCTAACAAAATATCAATCGACGATGGCACGCTGAAAGGTGAAGTAGAATTGGAGCAGATCCCATTCTTATTGCCGATTGCCGAAGAGCTCCAAACTCGGGAAACTGGAGAACATAGAAAGGAACACAAACAGAGCAAGAAACGAAAGGCGAAATCATCTCTCAAACCCATCGACTTAGACACGATGGCGGGATTCTATGTAGTTAATGCAAGCACAGATTGGGAGTTCGGTTAGGCCAAAGCGTCGAACATTCCAACTTTAAATTCAACGATATCCTTAATAAAACTTATTTTTACGGTTTGCATTGCGATGTAGAGCTGGTAAGTAGTCCTTATTCCAAGTAATACGACCGGGTAAGTCTGAATATTTGCGCTCGTACCGCCAGTTGGGTGTGCGGAGCTGCAGTGTCTCTGTTGCTCTGTTAAGTTGCAAATCAGCCTTCACATACCTTTGCGAAGGGGTTGTAATTTCAACTCCAACTCTTCGAGTTCAGAATCGATACTACATAACGCATTCTTCCACCCGACCTTGGTCAACGATGCGGCAGCGCCCATTCTAGATAATTAGTTAAAATTGTATCATAACAAAAATCGAAATACACAACGTTATGGATCAAACCCATAAAGTACCAACCTTTTTACTTTATATTGCAGGTCCTTTTGCAATTCCTTGAGTTGAAATACACGTGTTTCATATTTCTCTTTCTCCTCCTGAAAATGATTTGCCGAATTATCAAATGAGAACATTTACCTGAGCTTTAAGAATTGATTTAGCTTGAATACACTGCTGGTGGATTTCACGACGAGTTATCACACCCAAAATGCGCTTCATGGTAAGACGGACCTGAGAAGTTCTATCGTAAGCCACAATGCAACAATACCTTCTTCAAACGGCCGTACTGAGGAACACGCGTGCCATTTTGATATGCAGCCCAACGTTCACCTAGCAGTAGATTTTTCTCTTTCAGACAGGCAAAGTATAGGCTGCGCAAATCATCGAAGCTCTTACGCCGCAGTAAAAAAGACGGCCAACTTAATCCCGCCCTAGATAGACGTTCTTTTACACTGAAGGGGGTGTGAGGGTCGAGGTAACCGCCTAAAACAAATCAGCTGAAAGTGACGCGCCGACTCACCCTTCCACAGCTCGTCGATCCCTCGCCGTGGAAGCGCAAATATCGAGGGATTTAGGCGGGAAAACCGCAACACAGACATAGCTTAAAGCGATGTGTACTGCGATTAGTGGATGATAATGCATAAGTCTTAGTCTGTGCGCAACGCAGCCCGAGCCTGGGCATCTGTCACACAATGATCCCCGAGAGCGACGGTACTCACGTAGTTCAACCATAACATAATGTCCTATTACAATGGCAAGATAGATGAGATGAGTGCTTCGCCGATAGGATGGCGTTAATTATTTATAAAAATCACCTCTTGTACGTTAAAGTGGTAAGGGGAGGGGAAAGACATATGAGCAGTGTACCAATGTTCCAGACGCATTCATGGAACTCAATGAAACATCACGCGTCAACATACACGTTTGTTATAAGCGCAGTTCGAAACTGAGAACTATAAGACACTAATTATCTCACCTGTAACAACAGCAGCATGACACCTGTTTTAAGGCATTGGGTTGCCATAGCAGCGCTGTTGGCAGTTAATTACATTTTGTGTGCAAATAATACAACTGTGACTGTCAAAATTGCAGACAGAATCGATCGGACAAACCCATCATTCATACAAAATTACGATGGTAAGAAAATCGTCTTTTATTCTACTGATAACGCTAAGGTGCAGACCATATCCACGAGGGTGACCTTGAAGATATCTTAAGAGTGGAAATACCCGAAGAAGAATTCGACAAAGGAACGCCAGGAATAGGTAGGATTGATACCTCCCGTCACCATGATGGGAACACAACATGCATACTCTATATACCATCACAGATTACCTAGGAATCGGGTACGATTCTATATTTGGAAATACTCTAGGAGGCGAAGAAACGCTACTAGATCCTGGATACAGAACGCCAATTATCAATTTTAGCTGGAGAAAGAGTTCCGAGGGTTATTCACCCTCGCTCAACGCCGTGTACCCCTTGCACGGATGGGTCCGGCCAGTATATTCGTGCGGGCGCTCGTCCAAGGTGATTTGCAAGAGCATATCAAAATAATAAGTTGTAGATACAGGAAGTAGATAGTCTGGACGAATTGAAGAAGGCGTTATCAGCGTCGGCCGAGCTTAAAGGTGATGTCTCCGCTGCATCATTTTCGGCCTCAGCAAAATACAAATCGGAAGCAGCAAATATAGCTCAGAAAACGGAAAGAATATATCTTCACAGTGATATGTGCATACGTTACCAAGCAGGTATACCGCTCAACATACCATGGTAGGTGGAAGACTTGCAGAATATATGTGCAAAGGGATACCACCGACGCATTTAAGGATGCGGTAAAGACACTAGAACCCCTTTCCGATGAGATCAAGCAGGCTTGCTCAATGCACGATATCCTCGACGATTTGACAAAGAAAGAGTGTATCCCTCTAAAGCACTGGATTAAATTCTTCCAAGTGTTTGGGACACATTACGTGCACCAGTTGTTGCTAGGTTTAGTATACATGTAGTACGAAATCGTTCAATGTGAATACAGGTGGGAAATTAGTCCAAACACTCAAGATTAGGGCCACCACATTCCAAGACCTCAAGAGGTCCGGTGTTGACGTTGACCTTGCAGTGTCTAGCATCCTAGGATCTGCTTCAGCAGAACTAATGGGTCAAGACGACGCTAGAGATTTGAACCTTGAAGAAATAGGAGCCAAGACTATAACTGTGATAGGAGGAGAAATGCCTAACACGCCAATTACGGATGCAGAATATGCCAGATGGGGGAAGTCAGTAGCTGACAATCCAATGCCCATAGGAATATCAGCAGATAGTCTGAAAAACTTGTTAGGGGAGAATATACACGATTCATACACCCTAGCGCTCCAAAAGTATGCGGAATTTAATGGTGTTACCTACGAAACACTGATTAAATTGGGAGCTAGTGTTGGTGGCCTTATGAGAGAGGTAGGTCATACACTAGATAACGTGTTAGGCGTACACCGTAAAACGTCTATCAAATTGGTGATCCATTTGATGATTTGAATGTAGATTAAAAACGGTCTCTCGGTAGTAACTGTAAACTGGGATTTTAACGGGGCCGAATGTCCAAAAGGTCAAAAGATTCTTCTTGGGTTTTCTTTGTTATTCAACCCGAAGGGAACACTGCAAGGAATAATACCGTGCAAAACCGGGGCGTTAGTTGAAATTTAAATTAGTGTAACAGAATATGCAATGCAGGTACAAGTGTAACGTTCCCCTGAATAAAGAAGAAATACGATCAATCTCATGGGCAATATGTACCAGCGGACTCCAACCAAACATTTTTCAGGTTGCTGACGTCACAAAGGACGGAGAGGTGGGTATTTAGCAAAATAACTAAAAATTATGTGAGGCTAATTTTTTTGATGCATCTGATCATAATTGCTGCAGGAGAAAGTCGCTGCCAAGTGTCCACACGGATCAGTTGTACAATTCGGGATCAAGTTGCACGCGGAAAAGGAACGATTGGTTAAGATCAAACCCTGTAAAAAAGGTAGTTCTGTCGAATGCAAGTAGATGGTTCATAGTGCTACAGGTAAACCTCTCTGCAAAACAAAGACAACAGACAAGAAAATCGCTGGTATTTGGATTGTTTGTTCCACTGAGAGTCACCATGCTGATGTGGTATGTTTAAGAAATTGGTGATTAGTTAACAACAAACAGATAAACTTGGCTGCTGGCATTGGCGGAGGAATGGTAAAAGTAAAATGTGACGAAGATGAAGTCGTAATAGGGGGTATGAAACTTTCAACACCAAAAAACTTTTGTAGGTACCACTGCGTTGTTCAAAATGCATAAAAATGCGGTAGAAAGTGGTAAAAGGAGCATGAGCATCAAGACTTGCGAGAGGTATCTCAAGGGGTGCGAAGTCCAATGTGAAGGAGAGTGCCTTGTAGCTCTTGTTATTGCGCTGTGTAGTAAAACTAAGACTCAGCCACTCTCGGAGATCACTTAATAACTGTACTTCGATATTACCCGTGAACAAACAATTTCTAAGAATCATGAGCTTAAATGGAGTATGACGTCCAGCAGCTTCGTTACACTTAGCTGACTTCTTCGTAACCCTGCCACATATAGCAAAGGTTGCATAATCATTCTAATAGCTAAACACTTCATTTATTTAATTAGCCTAGGCAGTTGAGGAGTACACGTTGCATATATTTAGTCGCGCTACGGTATCTTAATTTCTGAAATACCATTTTTCACTCTGGCCCTGCTAACTTACGTGGTTCCCTTCTCTTTGGAAAAGATACCCCAAGTAAATGATTGACATGGCATATTTGCATCTCTATTCAACTTACAACCTAAGGCAAAGCGTTCGCACGAGTCCACTTGTGCCATTTTGCCAAAACATGCCCGAATGCCTAAACCCTTCTAAATTGTCAGGTAGCAACGAACCTGTGAGAATGCGCATTTTTTCTCCGAAGGCTAGTGCTGCTGAAGGCTTTCCTGATGCTGCCAGAGTCGTAGAACTCTAATGTATCATGTAAATATGCGTCGTAATGTTACCTCTAAACCAGGGAAGCGTTTGTCCACACATACGCCCCATATATGAGTAGCAAACTGTGAGTTGGTGCTACATACGTCCAAACCTGTTTGACAGGGAGTGAGAGCCTTTATGTATTGTTCTGAGTCGGTGGCGGTTTCCAGGATGAAACCGGTGAGGAGATTGTAGCCCGACTTGCACTTCAGCATTTTTGCCTTAGCTGTTTTTTCGAAGTTGAACGACTGCTGTCTAATATTTAGTCCCATGGCGTTGCCGCAAAGTGCCCAGATAACTGTTTGACGCTTCTGCACATTCTCGTGAAAGCAACTTGGCCTATTTGACGGACACCTGTACACCATGAAATTGCCTTTCTCATCGTCCTTGTCCAAAATGAAACCGAACAGAATTTTCGTCTGATGGGGGCATTCCAGTTTGACGATAGTCTCTTTGGAATTGTCTAATACAATCGGATAAGAAGCAGTAATCATAGTCTTGACGTTGAAGGTGATTCCGTTGTGTTCTTGGACCACCCACGGTAGTGCCCCGCTGAGTTCGACGTAGAAGTTTAGAGCTTCTCGGTACGCTTGCTTGTATTTCTTACCAAGAAAAACATCCAGAGGTGTCAGTATGGTCCTTATAGGCATGGGAAAGAGGGGAACTGTCGCTTTCCATTTCAAAAGAGATTCCGGTGTTATTGTCTTGCTAACATGTATGCCTCCCAGGACACTGAACCTCAATTCAGATGTGTTCTTCAACTTCTGCAGGGCTTCTTGCTGCTCCAAATGCAATCCCCCCTTCGCCTCCACAAGGTTACCAGATATAATGGCTTTGATTGCAACGTCCACGTTTAAACCGGACTTAGAAAATAAGTCCATAGACTCTGTGGGGGCGATGAGAAAACGTGTAATTTTGCCACCTGAGCAAGAATTATAGCTGTAGAGGATTCGGGACGTACCTAATTGTATCTCAGTAGTTACGTGGGTCCCAAACTGTAGGAAAAATTCAATCCACTTGGAGAGAGCCTCGCAGACCTTGGACTTCTTTTTGTACAATTTCACAGTGCATGCCTTGAAAGTCTCCGCGTTTATAGGCAAGCTATTAACTTCTATCGCAAAATCCTCTGTGGTTTCCCTTAGGTTTCATGAGGACGAAGTCGAACACATTACCCACCAGTTGAGATACGGAGGCATACCTGCTGCGTAAGTGAAGCAGTAGTAAGAGTTCTTGTAAACTTTGTTCGACTTTTCAATTTTGCGCTTGGAGGCTTCTGTATAGCCAACATTCAATGCCCCTCCCCCGCCAACTTTCATTGATGCGGTTCCTGCAGCATTGAACTGCATTATATCTTCATTGTTGCTTGACTCCGAACCCTCACTAACCTGTAAAAAAATCGTAGGAAATGGAAGTCTTTGAACTAACGGTTTCAGATTCACCGCACGCGGTTATCGGCCGGACCCATCCTCCCAAAGGTTGTAACCATTTCAGACTGTTCGTCACTCCAACATCGGCCCGTGCCCAATAGAAATCTATTATGGGGGCTCGGTGCCCCAAGTCTTCTCCATTGTCTACTCTACCGAGAGTATTCGCCTTGACCACATCATAGCCGCTCCCGAGGTATTCTGAGGCAAGATGAATCTCTAGGTCCTCCAAACTAAACCAAGGCCACTGACTATTCTGTTGGCACTAAACATTATATTGGATTCACTCAATGAATCCTGGACCGAGAATTTAGTGCTGGCATCAGCCGCTGAACAAAGAGTTTGATACACCTTTTAACTTATGGCTCGCAAAGTTGGCACGAACCGAGCACTTACATACGCCTGCGACACCAGAATATTGACTTAAAGATATTGGCACAAGCCAGACCGCGGCCACGGCTGTACAATACATTATAGCATATATATGCATTTTTAGCATTTAGTTCGTAAGTACAAAGACGTGTGCAGTATACGATGGAGTCGGAGACTCACAGACGACACATTGTGGAACGGCGCAAACTCATAATCGTATGGGAACACCCAGTTGAGACAGATGGAGCTTGATGCCCACGTTGATGGATGCCAATTCGTTTGCCACATATCTGCAAAAATGTTACCTTTTATATCAACAACGTACCGCAACACGTAAGGGATAGTGACAAGCTTGCACTCAACATCGCACAACCGGCACTTGGACACCTGGTACTTGCTGGTCAATCCCAATGATGTAATTGTTGCTGATAGTACAGAACCGCATTTGGGGCACACATACGCGGTGTGTGCGTCAGAACAGTGAATTAGGCGATCTTGCAACAACGCCGACGCACCGTGAGCGATCAAAGAATCGCGCTCCATTTCACCAAAACGTATGCCACCGCGATTCTTACGACCTTTGACCGGCTGTTTTGTGATTGCATCTACAGGACCTGTAGCTCGCACCTGAAGATGATTGTTCTAGAACCCTGCAAAACTCACTTGAGCCTTGTCCGACACCATATGACGGAGGCGCTGATAGAAGATACACCCGATAAAAATGTGAGTTTTCATCTCCGTACCTAGCGTCCCACAATACATACTTTCAGTTCCGTAGTAGTCGTAACCTGCTTGCAACAGCGTCTTACCAAAATAGTCCACGACATCATCCTCAGTTTTAGTCGATTCCTCGTCTGCCGACATATACCTGCCTCCACGTTCTTGCCAACCTAAAGAACCATGCCCGGGAGTGTAACGTCACAAACCTTTAAGACCTCCGTGGTCGATCCACTTGTTACCAGTTTGCATTTGTTTTGGGTACTTCCTGAAGCAAGTCGCATCTTGAAAAGCGCCATGTATGGCTGCCGACTTTCCAGCCATACATTCAATCAATTTGCCGATTGTCATACGAGACGGCAATCCATGGGGGTTGAATATGATATCCGGTGTGATCCCAGATTCAAGAAAGGGCATGTCTTCAGCCGGCCAAGCCATAGACAGAATACCTTTCTGACCATGTCGACTAGCAAACTTGTCCCCTACTATAGGATTCCGTACGATACGAAATTTAATAGTAGCGCGATTACCTTTAACTCCATATGCACCTGACTTATCCGCAGCATTAGGTTCATTAAAACCTATCAAAGTGACCTGGTCCACGACCGCATCTTCGTCTTGGTATTTCTCAATGCGATCCGTTATATGATGATCACCACCAACTCGCTCACGAGCTTCCACTCGGCAAATAACAGACCCCTTCTTTACTCTTGCTCCCACACTAGGCAAACCATCCTTATCTAGTGACTGTATTATCTTCGATCCAAGGTGGTTCGTATTGTTAAAATAATATTGATTTTCGCGCAAATTATTATCAGGAGGCGTAGCATCAATCACCTTTGTCTTATATATACACCCGTGGAATGCTCCACGCTCTAATGAAGACTTGTTGATGATCATGGCATCCTCCATGTCAAATCCGGTATGTGCGATAACGGCCACAACTGCGTTTAGTCCGGTTGGATAATCATCGTAACGCATCTTTCTAAATTCGGCAGTTGTAACCAATGGTTTCTGAGGGGACAAAAGTCTGTATGCTTTAACATCTGATCTGAATTGTTCGCAATGGTACGGCAGACCCATACTTTGTTTCAACATTTGACATTGGTACATGTTCCTAGGGCTCTGATTATGATTGCTAAAGGGTGTTAAAGCGGCAGTAATAGACAAGATGGCTGTAGGCGACAATTCCATGTATTCATACTTTACAGGAACATTGTCCAACGTTTGCTTTTCCTTCAGCGCACAATTGTCACGCCTCCCATACTTCATTATAGCATCTTTAAGTGACATAGCTTTGGAGAATTTCCTAGATCCCGCCTGCTTTAGCATGTCGTGAGACAGTCTCATCTCTTCTTCATTGACAGCAATTGTCGACCAGAGTTGTGTGATTGGACCGATCCATTCGGTTTCTCCAGTCCTAACACAACGTACCGGCCTTATTACACGGCCAGGATAAGTTAGAATCATGAGGGTTGTGAACTCCCCCTTGCTGTCTGGAAGTGCAACGAGTTCATAATGTTGTTTGAAACCGAACCTTTCGTACCTTTTAGCCACTTTAATCTCGTCGTACAGCTTTGGAGCATCTTTCACTGGCACTTCGCAAATCGGAATGCCGTCAACAAGTACAGGTATCCTACACATGGATCCACAGCTTGGAGAGGAGAACTGTGTTACCGTTTCGTTTCCAGAAAAATCTACGCAGTAGCCTTGATTACGCAATAACGATTTCACCGCCTCTGTAGCACCTTCGCAGTCCGCATCGGTTACGGGCACTGCATACTGAGACAGATGCAGTAGAAGACCGCAGGGGGCACCATCAGGAGTGTGCACTGGGCAAATAAACCCCCATGTCTCACCTAACAGTTTTCGAACCTCCGTTGACCGCATCTTAGCAAATATGCTCCCTCTATGAATGGACCTGAAATGGCTCATGAACCTGTGATAATTGATACGTTCAGCTACGACCGTTAGACCAGAGGTTTGTGTAAGTTCAAAGTGCGTATTCGTAGCATTACCAGTGGCCAAAAAATAATGGAGATTTTTCGTAATATCAGGAGACACCTTATCTACTGCATAGCTAAACAATTCTGCCTTTTCCAACAGATGTTCCATTAGCGCCTTAGGATCATGCGCTGCCAGGCCCACATCGACCACAGGCCTCTTGGACCGTCTTGTCGTATCACCACTGATGGTTTTGCACAAATCGATCAATTCGGCTTGATATATGGCTCTGATTTTTAGGAGGGTCGAATATAAGCTCTCTTTCAAAATGCATGAATAAATTTGACCTGGCAACAATAGCTCCTGAAACGCAAACGAATCATAGTTCTCTGTCTGAATTTCGCCACGTGAAACCTTAATCAGTTTCTTGAACATGTACAATAACGTTTCAAACTTTTCTGCGCTTGTTTTGGCCTGAAGTAAGACATAGTTTTTCAACAAGTACGCTCCGCATTCTTCATATGTGGCACCGGGATGCAAGTAATGGTTCACTTGCGCCCAGCACGCGTTGCCAAGCCTATAAAGGTAGCGGTTCTCAACAAAATCTATATCACAAAGTGCGGGATCGCGTTCAGTGACATCGAGGAAGAACCTGTGGTAATAAACTGTAAGTTCTTCGTCGCCTAACGCATCTTGCAGCAACTTTTGCTTCAACTCATCATCAGACATAAGTGGTATGGTCGCCCTAAGCAAAACATCGAAAGGAATAAGTACCACTGAACTCCTAACGATAGTCCTGAACATGCAACGCTTGTTAACCGTGAGGTAGAGGATGTTGGTGACAGAGCAGCCGTCATCACGGCTGAGAGTCTTTAGATTGTCACTTAAATAAACCTACCACTGACTGCGCATCATGATACTGTATTCTGTAAAAAGCACGTGCTTAGCCCTGTTGTTTTCCGATTTTATTGCGAGTGGGTAATTGGAACGTAATACGATAAGCTGACGAACTATGCGTTCGTTACCCCGAATGACAAAATAGCCCCCCGGCTCGTCAACATCTTCTCCTTGCTGTGCTACTTCCTTGGGTGAAAGACCTGGTAGAAGTTAAATCTAAGTTTCACGTCCGGCAACCTACCGTCTAGATTACACCGCTTTGACTTAACCATAATTGGAATATACCCAACGGCTACCTCCTTGGTTAACACGCTGGCTAGGCCTGGGACTTTGAGCCCAAATTTGACAATTAGAGGAGCTTCATACGTTGTATGAGCTATCTTGGCGTGCCTGGGAAACATTCGTGTATCAGATCCCAGACACTCAGACCCCGGTCTAGTGGGATAATCAATACGGAGCGAAAGCACAGAAATTTGCACATCTGAGAGCATCTTACAGTATTTTCACGCATAAACTCACAGTGTGGCTTGCCCGATGGATTAAGGAAGTGTTTTAGGTAATCTGCGTCGGCGGAGATGTAGACCGGAGGTATCCTATTCACCACCCGCTTCGAGTAATGGTCGATAAATGCGTTGAAACTATCCACATGGACGTGAACCGCGCTCACGCGGTTGACATTGAATGCCATAGTTCACTATAAGACTTAATTATGAAGTGCCCAGAGGGCTCGATGGCATGGTGAGTGACTTAGCGGAAAAAGCCAAGGTGTATTTAAATTTCGACACACACATTATCTCTTTAAAAATTCAATGGTATGAACCAAACTTTTAAAGTGTACGTTGCAAAATGCCGTTCCTTAACTTTTAGCGTGCCTTATCTCGGGGTGGTCTATCGTTGTGGAAGCTTCGCACGTAAGTACCCATGAAGTAGACAGTGGTGTTGCTATATACATGCGTAGAAGGTTAAATAACAGTGAGAACGGTGTGTACAAAGAGATCCTGCATAGGTTCCCCTAGAGACGTCAAACCAACGCAGACTGATCTATAGTTTTCTAAAGCATACCGCTTTGACAAGAGAATTGCGATAATTTAATTAGCCATAAATATATTATAGATATTCATCAAGGTGCAGAAATGGACATTTGTAGGGATTTTTACTCCTGTGTATGCCCTCACGTCTGCCTACGACACACTCTGGAGAATGTACTAAGCATAAAGAATCAGCATCTCTGTATTTTAAAATGGCAATATTAAGCACTGGGATCGCCTCTAAGAAAAGGGTTCTGTTATCCCGACAGCACCGCGAGGTGAAGAAAGCAGAGCTCGAAACTGCGCTCTCGAACTTTAACAGGCTGGTTGAAAAACAAAGTATGTCTACGCCCATTCTGGTGATCCTCTAAACGAACTGTGCAGGTGGCGATCACACTTTCGTTGAAACCGAGGACAATCGTTTCGTCTACCAGCCAGTCGACGAGTACTACGTTTTTGTAATGACATCTTTCGACTCTAACATCTTGCGCGACATCGGTGTAGTAAAGGCGCTCGCCGAAATCGTACAGGTACTGTGTACATCTCATCATTCACCAAATATCATTTATAGAGTGTACTCCAGTCTGACGCAAGCGAGGGTCTACAAGAGAACCTATTCGAACTCATATTTTATATGGACGAACTCATCACAGACAACAAACCAGAGGAATTGACGTTAGACCAGATAAAAGAATACATTCTCATGGACTCTCAAGAGGAGAAGAAACACAACATGATACAGACGTCTAAGGAAAAGGAAGAAAAGGAACGTCGCAAACAAATTGCTGCTAAACTGGAAAAACGCAAACAACTGGATCACAACTTCACTCAAATCGTTTCAGAGACATCTGTGTATGGCACGCTCGCCGCTGATGAGCCAAGGGCACCTTCGCTGATGGCCGGAACGTCGATACCATCAGGGATGAAACTATCTATACATAGAATGAGTCGCTACCTGAGTCTCGATAAACGGACGCAGATAAACAACCGTTCATCTCCCTTGGGTCTGGATGCCATGAGGCATGCCACTGTGCCCAAGGCTTCCAGGGACGAGGGAAGTATCAACATTTTGGATGCGGAAGCACCTGTAGTGGTCCAGATTGTCGAGGTATGCAGTGGAAGCATCCATTTGGAGGGAGGTAGGTACAATAACATCGATAATTATATATTTTGTGGACAGATATCGATATTATAAACGTGCAAGGTGAACTCGTGATGACCGTATTCGAGGAGAGCGCTCGCCTGGCTGCCCTCGAATTCTCGGCGAATCCTGAGATGAAGTTGCGGTTCCATCCCATCATCGACAAAAACAGGACCTCCAAGAATGTCGTAGAGCTACAAAACCCACAACAAGAGCATAAAATTGGACATTCAGTTTCGTTAGTTAAGTGGCGCCACAAGACATCAGACGAGGTACGATACCAACGCTTACATGAATATTTATTCATTTAACAGCACTTCTTCCCCATTACTGTGAGCTGTTGGCCTAACACTAACGCGGGACGGACTACGGTTACTGTCGAAATTTTAAACAGTTCTGATGCATTGCTGGGGAAGGTGAACTTTCAGGTCTTAGACTCCAGGTACAATCAAATTGTAGTAAATTCAAACGAACTCGGAGTTGTCGAAAGAAATATGGATTCGCTCAACTGGGTTGTCGAGAACTTTGAATCACAACAGACGGGTCGGTTCGAGTTCACCACCAATGGTGACCTAAACTCTATTCTTCCTTTCACCCTACTAGCTAAGGCTGCCACTTCTGCGGCACGAATTAAGGTTAGTTTTCAGTCTAATGTGTAACATAATTGGTCAGATATTGCGTTGCTACGACAAGAATACGGGGGATCCTCTCGATCACGTCGTGAAGACGCAAACCTCTTTCTCGATGACCATCGGGAGTGAAGGCAATTAATGCTTGTCTTTTATATGGTATTTATATATTTATACCTTCTGTCTCATTGTTGTGGCTTGAGGCCGACAAAGTGCTACATTAGAAGTGCTCCTCTGGCTGCTAAGAAAGTGAGAATAAAGTGGCGGGAGGACAAGCGCACCAAGAGAACAGAAAAGGCATATTACTATGTATGCGGTGATGGAGAAGTTAGGATTCCTCAATTTGGCCGACAGAGGGCCTTCATCTGCAACATACTCAAAGCGGCCACCGCGAAGGTGAACTACACTGATCCATCTCAGATTCTACAGCAGTTGAAAGTAAGACTAAGGTCGCATTTAAGTTCATATCTGTTTTAGAACATCGGGGCATCACAAGATTTCGAAACTGTAAGGTCGCTGTTCTTGGATCTGTATCGGTTTGTGTTTGGTTCTAAAATATATAGGTAATAATCAGGTGGTTTGCATTCAAGAAAAATGAGTTTATTAAACATGGCGCTTTTCACGATATACGAACTGCGTTCAAATCTAAACACGTCTTCTTTGGTAGGGTTTATTCCAGGATACTTAAGAGGTGCTTTAAATTCTCAAAATGCTATGACAATCACAAACAACTATCGCTCGCAAACTATTACGTAAAATGGATAAACGGCAATATACCTTCATATGAGAAGTGTATGAAGGATATTATTAATCAGAATCCACTTGATAAGCCGGAGCGTCTGATGAATAGGGTCCTGAGTCTTGTGGATATGCGCGATTTAGTGGAAGTGCTCAATGCTCTCTTCAAAGATGTGCGGAGTGGCGATTACAATTTCTATACAGATTCTAGACTATCAAAGCCAAAGTTGCTGAACTCAGTTGCCGCCCTATGGCTCTACAGGTTGGTAACCAGTACCGAGAATACGCGCATGGTGATTCTAGCGCATCAAATCACCCAAGTAAAAACCCACAGATCCGCTCTTTTGGGTTTATTGGGAGCTTATAAGGGTGAATGCCCCTACGATTACGGTTGGAGGATGGTTACAAGTGTTGTACGCGCCTTCGAACAAATTTATAAGCTATTGCGGAGACTAACGTCGTTAGAGGGCAAACGACTCATGGAACATTGCAGTGTAGGATGCGAAATACCTAGTGTAACTCGAGAAGAAATGTTTTCAATAAATTTGCTTGCTAAGATAGAACTTTTCGAGAGACGCCGGGACCCAGAATTGCTCCTCTCTGGACTGTTCGACATAGTAACCTACCTCACGCAAAGATTTCATGGTAGGTCAATTCATGACGACGGTGCGCGTTTTTTTCAGTCTTTTAAGCAACTTGTGTGCATCCCATACCTCGTATCGGTAATGAAGGCCATGGCGTACGAACGAACGTCCCTTCTGCGTATGAAAGGCGTAGTAGGTGCCTTGAAAGCCACTTCACAGCCGACGAATTACAAATTATACATGCCACGTGCCGCGTTGATGAACTTCATGTCATACGGAATGAACATGTTTTGCTCTATCTTAGATTATCACAAATCACCACCTACCAATTTATCCGATGTATTCGCAATTCTTACCAAGGGCGGGGATACATGTATTTACCGTAGCAGTGATAAACAGATAGTGGCCTCCACTGATTGCCTAACTATGGATCTGTGGAATATTGGTGACCGTAGCATTTTAACCGGACCAATCAAATGCCAGCTGGTGATCCGATCACACGTCACGGATATCGGGGATAATATCGTGCATATGGTAAACGAGGCAAAGAAAAGAATTACGCAGGACATTGGGGCACCGTTAGAGTTTGACAGTCTTGTGAACCTTCATTTTCCGAATCACGCTGAGTTTTTACCAATGACTAAATTTCACCCCAACGTACTCAAAAAAAGCGAAAAGGGACACCTCTTCGAGCATCCAATTCACAAATTCATGACCATATTTGTAGATGTATAGGGCGTGATGAGATGGTAAACTCAACTAACATCTCATTAGGATAAACAACAGTTATGCAATGAGCTCCAGGCTGTACGCATAACTACACACTACAATTTTTAATAACTTCGTCTGAGAGCACTGAAAAAGATTTTGCCAAGCACGTTTGCATTGTTACAATGGCATTGACCGAATGTAGCCAATCATTGAGCCTCTACGATTTGCTGACTTGACGTCTTTAGCAAAACTGGAAACACGGCCATGCAAAGAGCCATCACACTGTGCATCTAAAAATTGAGTTCTGGCCATGTGAACCAACTTACCGATAACTATGGACGAGTTGAGATCTTCATTACCACTTCATGGACTTCCTGAAAATCTGTACAAGCAAGATGCTCATTGAGCCAAGCCGTAGACGACGGTATCAGCAAGAATCAGATTCTGGTTTGCCGTGCGGATGCAACACGCTAACAGGCTTAGAATGAAAACCTTGAAAATGCGATAAAAGCTGGGTGGCGGTGGTAATTTAGCAGATAAATACATACCTCACCAACATACACTACGACCACGTAATGCTGTTAACAAAACTATGTCTACTGGCACCTTATTTGCTCGACTTGAGTGCAGATTATGTACCTTTGGCAATTTATTGTAATTCCAATATTTATTTGGGCAAAAGAGTTCAAGTTTGGCGCCTCGCCGTATACAATTAGGTCGTGCGCTACAATTTGCCTAAGCCACAACGGATAAGTACGTCGCGCAGCATTGAAATGTATCAGCAATCACCAAAGCAACGATCCCGTTAAAAGCTGTTAAGTAGGCTGTAAATAGAGTGACGATGATGTAAGGATGCTGCGCAGCAAGTTGTTGTAGATCGATGCCAACTTTCGCGGGGTATCATCATAAGTCAGTGTTGGTTGCATACATTTGGCGTCCACGTATGGTGCCATGCAAAGCAACTTTAAATTAATCGTTTGAATAACCAAATGCAAGAACCTATGTAAACCATCGATTTAGAAGTATATTATACCCCGGCCATGTTTGACATTGCAATCAGCTCCCCAGCATAATCGTCTATGAAGGTCCGAATGAACGCCTTCTTGAACCTGAACTTGAAACCGTGGTTGGACAAACCGTCAAAGCAATTACGCCCAGATAGTCTGATTAGTTTGTGGATAAGTGAATCGAAAATCTTTAGCGGCATAGACCGATTTAATGATTGAGACCTGGTATATTCAACCGATTGATTCTCCTTATAGCGCTGCAGATTTTTCAGCTTGGTCGCTGTTTCAGGGTCGAATATGCCGACGGATACTTCCAAATTACGTCTACTAGACCATCTGTCCCAATTGAAGCTACCTACGGAGCTCCATACGTCGTCTACCACGACATACTTGCTATGACAGTGTTCTTTAGTTGTCATGAATACCCTGAAATTGTTTGTCGTTTGCTGCGCTCTCTTCCTCTGCGGCCAATGATACTCAGAAAAATGCGACCTACGAAAAATTTTCGCAGGACGTGCAGCGTTGCGTTGATGTCACCAGGGATGTCGGAATTCCCGGAGAGTAGCATGCGTATCTCGACATCTCTCCTCTTGACGGCCAACAAAGAACGACGCAAAAATCCAGGGGGATAAAAATAACTTGTTGTGAGGTATATATTGTGTTCGGCCTTGTGAAGTATTTGCGCGTAGGTGAGGTAAACCAACATTTGAGAGAATTGTTGCAATCGACGATTGAATATCATTACGCCGGGTTACTCGTGACATATCGGATTCAAGGACCTGAACTATGACCCCTCCCTCTACGGGGTCTGCACGAAGACATTGCCCTATGTCGTCCAACTTGTAAGATGACATCGCCAGCGTACGTTTGACCACATCTGATAGATCACAAACCACAGGTCCATGCAAACATATGTTGACGTCGTAGAAACGGCCGTTACCGCCCATATTATGGCTAGTGGATTCTTTAGAGATATTCATCGATCCACAGAAGGCAGTGTGATTGTCAACTACCAAAACCTTTTTGTGATTTCGAAATGGCAGACTTCCTACAGCAAGCTTCCTGTTGGCGATAGGATTAAATTTGAGGACCTCCACACCCGCTTTGTACAGTTCGTTGTGGTAAAGAATCGGGAAGCTGAGTGACCCAACCTGTAGCAACATCAGAGACAACATTCAAATGATAAACCGACGTCATCGATTATAAGTGTGACCTTGCAGCCTCGTTTCGCAGCGTTCTTCAGCGCTGTTACGAACCGTGCGGCAAGGGGTGAATCGTCGAAAATGTAAACCTCCATCAGCACTCGTTCAGTTGCACTATCTATTGCACTAAGCATTTCACGTGCAGCGACATCACCTATAATGTGATTATTCGTGTAAATAGTCATCAGACCATTGTCGCAGACAAAAACTTTGTTACCGCCACTCAAACGGCCTAGACGGCCATAAAGCAGCGCCAGGATGCGAATCCATTTTGCAACCTATGGAATTGGTTCATACAGGTGCTTCATAGAATACCTCAGGATTGCTTAATTCAGCATCCGGTGGAATCTTGGAGGACTTGGAACCAAGGAGGATGCGCCGGATCTCCGCCTCAATGAACGACCACTGATGTGATCGTGGAACACCACTAGGCTCATTTATACTTTTTGGGGTAGAACTACCCAGAAAAGTGCTGATAATAGTGTTCATTTGAGGCATGGCGTGGAATTTCTGAGTGATCACGTAATGAATACGTGTGAGAGACACGCCAGACTAGGTAGCGCTTACGCGTTTCTAAAAATAGAATTTCATTACTGTATAAATGGGTGTATACTCATGCCCTACTCCCTTTTGCCGTAATGGCATGATTGTATCGTGTGTCAGGCTCCGTGCGGAACCCCGTTTGTTACCATTAATCGCTATAGTTGGAGTCCCGAGTCTCAAACGTTGGTGATAATTGTTCCATCGCCACTATTTGGCACTATGATATCAATTATGTGTCACTACAGTAGATGGTATCAGCGTGGCGAACACTATGCCACGTGTAAGTTGTAGAGCAGACGTTTTCCATTAAAAAGCGCGTCTATGACCATTGTACGCACGTAAAACCTTCAGCAATTCCTGATTGTGTGATACTATGCGATACTTCATTCCTGTCGACAAATGCCGCTTGGCGGATATCGTTTTCTGCACTTCTGAATGACCGCGTCCCTAACCTGTACTCCCAACGTCCTCCGCATCTAGAGTACTTGAATTTGTCACGATAAAAGCACATTCATAACATATTGTGCCCCCAATACGTTGGTTGTGGTTTAATGTGATAAACGGGGTTACCAATACATATTTGTTGCATAACCTTGCAAAACACCCAGAGAACACCGCACGTCTTAGTTTTTGACACGATCACATATAGTTGCGTTTTCATGTTACTGTCACCGACCGAGTATTTTATTCCTAGATAACCAGAGCTTTGACCTAATGGCTAGGTTTAAGTTCCTTTCCAACATCGTTTGGATCGTATTTTTTCTGGGACTATTTCCTACAGATTGTAAGGAGTTATGTGCCCCTGGATCTGATGAGTTGTGTCATCACTTAGCTTCGCCGGCAGAATTCTCTCTTGTGGAAGTGGTACCCCAAGATGACAAAGTACGCATGAAATTCTCCTTTTACATATCTTCGGATCTAAAACCAATTACAGATGACAACAAGTTGCAAATGGTTTTGTTGCCACCTATTGATTTCAAGTTTGAAAAGGAGGTGGAATCATTTGAGACGTTCCCAAGCTATAAGGATCCTGCCAAGGTTCCTAATGACCCAGTGGTAGACTACTACAAAAAACTGGGAAAGGAACTTGATTCGAGAGCATGCCCCAAAAAATATGTGTCGGAGATCTTGACTTTGATGGACAAACGTTACAGCAGTGCAATGGGCATATACACAAAGGAGAGTAGTAAATCGTATATTTACCAGTGTAAATATGGTACCATAGGTGATTCTGGCGATTTGATTTATCTGAAAAAAGATTGTAAGGAACTAAAAAAAGGATATTACATGTGGAGTGGTGAGTTTAGTTACAGTAAAGATTTAGGTAAGACGAACTGTGCCAACCAAGGAACCAATTGGTTACTAGGGTTCATCCATGATGGCAAGGGGCTTAGCATTGATCAAATGACAGGCATATGTATAAATACAGATGCTGTAAGCGCAAACATATTTTTCGAAAAAATTGGTTATCTAAAAGCAGTGTTGGCTTGCCATGGAAAAAGAATCCCCCTTCATGATTTTATTAAACCAAAATATTCGTCACATTGGAGCGTCGATACAAAGTATACAATCACCTCTTTGAAGCAAAAAAAACTTGACCTTTCCTATTATTTCATACTTTATCCAGATCTTAAGGAATGGCTTAACAGTCGACATATACTACGCATCAAGTTTCTTGGCGCACCTTATTCGGAAACATTGTTTAGTGGTGATTTAACCGAGAAAATAAAAGTGTCTGAACCAAAAAGTTCACGTACTGCAGTGACCTACGACGCCTCGACACAAACCGTGTCGGTGCAGTTTAAAGGACCTGTTGCAAAATCCTATGAAGACTACAAACTGCATATTTATCTGGATGAACTGTACGATAAACACCCAGAAATCAGAGAAATTTCGTTCGCCATAGATATACCCGGACCAGAACCATCTATGGATCAATCCCACCAACTCCAGTCGCGCTTGGTATCCCAACAGAAATCATTCGTAAAAACTGAACGAGATAAGAAAACGGATACATGTCAATCATTAGTCAAGGAAATGTATTCCAAGACATTGGAACTGAGACAGCTGCGTTATCGCAGGATTGCAGAGGCGGGGCCCTTTAAAATCTATCCGCTAGCATACCCGAAGCCTCTGTATGGCTACGTAAGTAGGTCTTCCCCAGGAAAATATTTGTTATCATTGAACATCGATAAGGACCTTGTTTCGGTCGATGATGGTGGTATGGTGTCCGTGGAGCTTCCGAAATCAGTTGTATCCTATGACGCGAGATATTTCGACGGTGCGGCGACTACAGATGCAGATATTGGCGACTCCCTTCACTACGACCCAGTGTCACACAGTGTGACTGTACGTCTAAGATCTATATCTCTTGATAAAAAATCCCATGGAAGCTATGAGGGGTATGTCGTTCCCATACCTTTTACATCCTCCGTTCCATATAAAACCCTCATGGATGAAAAGCAATGGCTTGCTGCTATTTACAAAAAAGACGTCCTAGCTGGATACACACTTATAAGTATTCAAAGTTCGAGTGACTTCAGTGATTCTGATCAAAGATACGTTAAGAAACAGGGAGGTGATGGCTATGTCAGAGGTATCCATTATCTTCCTGCCAATACAAAGACTAAGTTTGTGGTGACGGTACATACGAGTGTTTATCGGGATATGTTATTCACTTTTACATTTGCGAAGAAGGTCATTGAGGAAAAGCGCTGCAACGTATCTGTCGTCGACAAAGCTTCACTTTTTGCGAAGACACTATGTTCCAAAGATGGTACCAAAATAGCCTTTTATCTACAGAATGCTGATTATTACGTTGGTAAGAAGGAGAGTTTAACCTTCTTCCTTGAGTTGGACTCTAGCGTCCTAGAAATCAAGGGGTATGGTGATGTGACAATTTCAGCTGTTGTCAGTGACGCCCCGATTGTCCAACTTAAAGACATAGACTTGTCTAAGGGCTTCGATGATCTAAAAACAGGTAAATTTAGCATCTTCCAGGAACACATTGCCCTGAAAGATGTCAAAGATGCCAGCACCTCGCCCAGCGCCTGCATCGTCTATACTAACCGTCCGCTTACCGTTAACTTCAAGGACCACAGTCGTGCTGTGTATTACTTAACTCGAGTCCAGGACTGTGACAAGCCTTGGCTACCACCTCACGGATTTGACGAAAGTGATGCATTTTCGTTAGAGCTCGCAAGTGGTAAGGACATGGCGTCAGGGCACTCTACAATACAGGAGGTCTACCGACTGAAAAGTTTATATGCAGAACCCAGTTACGCCGAGGTGCTCGCAATGAAATCAAAACAATTCGCGGAGCATACTTTATATATTCTGTTCACTAAAGAAACAATGGAATTGCTTATTACCTCGGTACCTTCTCTTCGTTTATGCTATGCAGGCCTGGATTGTATAGAAAAGTTTTTGACCGATATACCAGATAAGCAGTATCCAAACATATTCGGTGACATAAAGTACGCTTATTACGACGATTCGAGAAATGCTTTACATATTAAGAGAAAGGCGTTGTTCCAGGAAGATGAAAAGATCAAGAACGATGAACAAAAGATTGATGGCGTAAAATCGTTAAAAAGTGCCCTGGATTACGTTTTGGATGATGGGTTCGCTCATGTGGACCCAGAGTCAGTGACAGAGTCCTTTGCAGTACTGGTATTCGCAGCTACACGGGAGGCTTATAACATCCGATTCCCCCTGAAAGAATATGTCATCACACCGGAACTAACAAAAAGTATGTCTAAGTTGAAACATTCAGTGCTGGTTAAGGTTTATGGCCTAGACAGCAAACCAATGAAGGTGAGCGGAACGGGTTGCGTATACACTTCACCAGCGGTCTCTCTCGAACCCATAAAAACCTTGGCTAAGGGCAAAATGACCAAGTTTCATTTTTTAAACCCGGATACACCTATGGCATCATCGGAAAAGATGTACTATGTTTATAAATTTGGTGGAGTTGCCAAGAAGATTACTGACAACAAGATGCCACCTGGTAGGGGTTCCTTGAAGGGACTGACATCCTCAAATGAAAGAACTCCGGAACGAGATTCATTTGATGTATTCCTCCAGCTCCTTACTCAAGATGTGTATTCTTGCACACAATTGGGTTCTAAGGTCGATACGTTCACAAAACTTGTATATGACTTCATGGGACAAGTGCGTGAGACGTTGGCTCGTCAGAACTTGATAGTTGCTTCTTGTGTCAAATTTGACGACGCCAAGGGTGCTGAGAGTCCAGATACAAAATACAACCTTGTTCACATGGGCATGACTTTGCGTGCGGTGATGGCGCCCACATTGTTACCCAAAGCAGGCACCACCGAAGTAGATGGCACTTGCAACATTTCCACTCTGTACGAAAACATGCCTCGCACACTTCACTACGACCCTGAATTTAAATACAAAAGGGACTTGAAGGAAGAAATAGAAAAACCAGTTTTGAAATCCGGAGCTGATATCGAGAAGATGCTACTGTCAAAACAAAAATGAGTCTCTGAAAGGAGCAGTGCACAAGACAGCAACATTGGTGGAATCACCTTGTTGCTGTGCTAACATGTTACCGTGCTTAGGTTAAAGTGACATTAAGAGGGCCTTAACAGGGAACTAATATCCCACGCAAGGACGCCTCTACACTTCACAAGCATTTTTACTATGCAGCGCTGTTACGAACCCGTCGTTCAGTGCTTTTAGGAGTAATGTTTATAGATCTCAATTGGCTTTTAACGCTCCATGCCCATTGGAATATTATCTCAGTACTGGATCACCATTTATAAGGTTTAGGACAGAGTAGGTATCATTTGAGGTTCTCAAACCCACCTATTTTCGATTTGGATTCTTCCCGATTAAATGTTAGTGTTGATAGCACGGGGGCACTTATACCCGTCTAGAGTCAATATTTGTACTGTAATCATGACGTGTACTGGTACCTATGCAGCATCTTAATGGCGACTCTATGAATGCAACAGAGATGGCATTTTAAAATTATATCTCTGGTCAATGCTATTTAAAGTTTATTTTCACTTACCTTCTATTATAGTAAATCTACGGCAATGGCCTGTCAAACTTATTTTCCCTCTCAACGTACTCATACGGCTCCATCACCAGACTTAGTGTTTGATATCTATGCTTTTACGTTCGAAACCCTTTATGCAACATGGAGGTACATCATACCCATCCACTGTCGCTAAACTTTACACACACAAACCTTTATTACAACACTGTGCAGAAATCTAACCAGCACAGCTATAAGCATTTTTGCTGATTTTCCGAACAAACGCTGATCCAGAGGTACGTTCATCGTCCGCTGTCTATGCAGCCTATCTCAGGTGCGTCGCACAGAAGATATTAGCCTTTAAGGACTCTAAATATAAGGCATAGTCTTAGCTTAGCTGAGATATGCGAGGCGACTACACACATATGCTCGGATGCTGCTAGACCGTCAGACCCCTAGGTTATTATGGTATTAATCTCACGTATTAGCAGACATAAGAGTAAAGAGCTACAGTACATTTTGACAAATATTAGTAAAACTAAGGTCCCTCCGGTATGGTGTCGTAGTAGTACTGAGTCCACCGGACACCGTCTCCGACTGGTCGGTTTAGAGGAAGGTTGCATGGCGCAAACCAGCATAGAGGATTGACTCCGAATACCTGCTGGAGGTTCGCACCAATTCCCATGTCGTAGAGCCCGTTATCCTTCGTAGCCTCATCTAGATTTTCAATTGTTGTTGAGTTTTTCAGCACGAGTCTGAAGTGGAACTGGACAAAGGGTATGAGCGCAAATATCAGCGCAAGGCCCACGAAGACCATGACACAGACGTATATGTTTGAGATAGCAGTAATTCCCGAAGTTTCATCGTCGATTCCCATTTCATCGGCATTTTGAGCAAACATGGATTCGTTGACTAGATAGTATACGCTGCATGTTTCAAATGCATTTGTATTTCAATGACTTACGCATGGATTACGATAAATGCCAATCCTGCTACAGCGTATACGAGCAATTGCATGAAATACTTCCGGTTGTAGAACCCAACGCAGTTGCTAATCCAGGGACAGTGGTGATCCATGTTTAGAACACAACGGTTGCAGGCAGAACAGTGGTGTGTCCTGTCAGGCTTCCAGACGTTGCAAACCTTACAGTATCGTCTACGTTTTGTGTCATCTCCCATATAGAACCCCCAGTTTGTAGGTACTGATCCCGGGTCCGTGTTTGAGGACTGCAAAATCATTGTCTGGCATTTCCTGTACACAAACCCTAAGAAAGCTGATGAAAAACAACGAGAAGATTACATTGAAGGCGGCCGTGGTAGTGAATCCGTACATTGTGAGAGGGTTGAGGTACGGTCTTAGGACTATGATCATCATTCCCGCATACATGAATGCTACAAATCATCTCTCATCTATTTTACCCTCACCTATAAGGAAGTAGGCGATGTTCCTAAAGCATTTGGTGTTTGCTTTCTTCGATACTGCAGCGGGTGCTGCGTGTACCAGCGGTTGCTCGAAAGTCTTGGGAGATGTGTACATGTCTTGCGATATTTATACTCTACGACTTGTCCCAACTCGGCGTGAACAGCCTTGGCTTTTAATAATAGTCTAATTTCCCGCCAACGTTGCTCTTGGTCTCGGCTTGTCTATAGAGGTTTTGCACATTATTTGCCGATGTGCGGGTGTGTCGTCTGCTCTTTAAAGTCCAGTGCACGGCATATCCAGTTGCGCATGCGGTCAGATGTGTTGATACCACCAAACAAATGTGCGACACTGGAATGTGCATCCGTAAAGATATGAATGTTCCTGTGTGACCCTCTTTCCCACCCAGCTCCCCAGTTAGAGTTCGCACATCTAGATTGTAAGTATTTTCGTCACGCACCTGAACATATTCAGCGCTCACAAAAAACATACACAAGTGATGGCACCTGTTATTTCTTTTCTCCTTTTCTTTCGTCTATCTCTCGGGGGTCGAGACTCCTTACCTGTATCATTACCCTTTCTAACTTGGGCATTACTGCTACTTGTGGCTACTGCGAGATATTACAACGCACATTTACAGTGAAATACACCGCGGGGTTAAGACATCTTATGCGGTGGGCGTGCATTAATGTGTTGACTCGCGATGCGTTCCGGCTGAGTCGACAAGCACGTATACTTTATCCATTCGAACATCCCATAACGATGTGATACTCTTTCTCACACTAATTAGGTCACAATATGTTTGCCTTAGTGGCATATAGCCATCCCCAGTAGGAGGATGCGAGGTGCTCTGCTCTGCCCGGGGGTTTAAACAAAAAATTGAATAACTTTGATATATCTGCAACCAAAAAACTAGCAGGAAGTTAGATCTACAAAATTTTTTTGTTACCCTTCCTCAGGCAGCGTATTTGGTAGCGCGTAAACGGAAAAAATTTTGAATGCTGCCATATAACGATATTTTTGTCAATTACTCTATACATTGTTGGATAACGCGTCCTAATCAAAACTTGGACTACAACCTATAAATTATTTACTCAATTATTCGCCTTCCTGTCGATCACTTCCCTGGGCTATGTCTGGTGACACATCACAGCCGGGCGGGGATTCCCGTCGCGATAATTGTACTGCTGGCCCCCGTACGGAACAAGAAGGAGTAGAAGCATCTGATGTGTCTTCGGGAAATGCAAATCCATACATTCCACGATTCATTGCCAAGGCACCGTGGTACCTCAATGCTACTCCGGGTGAGTCTTAATAGCTCCATATCATACAGCATACCATAGGGCTGCAGCATCAGCGTGCTCACGAACAGAATAAGACGCACTTAGAACCACCAAAATGTCGAGGTGTCACGTCGCATGTGGCCATAAAATATCGCAAGAACGCTTGTGCAAACTGCGGTGCAGTCACACATGACGCGAAAAGTTGCGTAGAACGACCCCGTAAGAAAGGTGCCAAGTATACAAATTCCAATATATGTCCTGATGAGTATATAGAACAAAATTCAGCAGTAGGATATGAGGCCGTCCGCGACCGATGGGCCGGCTTCGACGCTTCTACTCACCAGCTGTTAGTAGAGGAATATAAGGATGTCGAGGAGGAGCAGCATCGTCGTAAGATGCAACAGTTGGCCGCAGATCTCAAAGAAAATAAGCCGGAGGTAGGCGGCCCACCCACCGAGTTACAGACAGGTGAATTCGAGGACGCTGAAACCACCTTTGGAACCACCGATGATCGTACGAGGACAACTACACGCAATTTGCGCATTCGTGAAGACACTGCAAAGTACTTGATTAACCTTGACATCAACTCGGCGTATTACGACCCCAAGTCTCGTTCTTTACGCGGCGACCCTTTATTGGGGATGGTGAATACTGAAAAACACACATTTAGGGGTGACAACGAACTTTTCACTTCGGGTGACTCCTCCAAACCTAAGGAAATTGAGGTTAGCATAGGGTCGTAAATGTGATTAACACTTGAACAGCAGTTCGCATGGGAAGCACAGTGCAAAGGCGCCACTGTCAGCTTCATGGCACAACCAACAGAGCTCGAGTTTATGTTTAAGGAGGAATCTGAAAAGCACCAGGTAGGAGTTGCATCTTTGGAAATTGCCATTAATATTCCCAGAATGAAAAGGAAGCTCAACGCAAGGCACTTCTGGAGCGTTTCGGGGGTTCAGAGTACCTCGGGACTCCTAACGACGCCATCATTGAGCAACCCAGAGAGACTTCACCGCCTACGGACGGGTATGTTGCGACATTTTTAATGCGACTGTTTTGATCAGGTGCACTGCGCTAGATGTGCTCCATTTGGCTACACATGAGGAAGCCTATTCACTAGGTCACAATTCAGTTTGGGGATCATACTACGACGTAGACAACAAGCGATGGGGGTATAAGTGTTGCAAGGGCGCCGTCAAAGAACAGCATTGTACATTAAATCTGCGTTAGCGATTTGGACTTTTGATCGTCTAAGAGTTTCAGATACCTTGTACCTGGCAGCTGCAATGCAATATCACGGGTATTTCCACGAGCTCACCTTGTAGACTCCCCAGCTCGACCTTTGGCGACGTTTGCGCAGCTTTTCTCTTCTGCTGCGCTCCTCATCCTGCGCCGAAATCAGAGACATCTACCCATTAAATTACCATGCTATATATCCGTATACGCCTGTTAGTCTCAGCTCGAACAAGTCTGGGTATGATTGACATCTATTGAAACGTTAATACCTGGACCTGCGCCTGGTGTTGAGATTGTAAGCGCCTCCCCAGACGTACGCGGGTAGCCCCGCCTCTAGTCTCATCTGATAATAACTGTTCTTTAGTCGAACAATCCGGTTCTTCAGGCGGCTTTCGAAACTGCGGATACCTACGGTCCGTCATTAGACGCCAAACACTACATTACCTGGTTTGTGCACACCACTGCGCCTGGAAAACCTGTGCCGAACGTTAAGATGGAACCTGTATCGGTAGTCTCTTGTAATAGGTTTTGCGATATTAGCGACTCTATTCGCCATTTTGACGGCACTTGAAACGCTCTTCATGACCTTTTTGGTTCATAAGTCGATAAAATTCACATATTACCTTAACGTTCATGAGCCTTGGAGAGTAGCACGGCACCATTTGGGTCACGCCTACTCCGTCGAATGCGTTTTTCAGTGTAAAGGAAGAGTTCAATCCCCTATTGCGGATCTCCACACAATAACCTAAAAAGGATGAATGCAATCACGTTTAGTCTACCCTGAAAGGTGGCAAACGTTTGTTGCGTTCTTGACAGCTCGTACTTTACTTCTATGAGGTCACCGAGGTTGATAGACGGCATCTAACCCATTTGCTTAAAAGGTAAGAAAATTCAGGCTTACATTAAATTTTCGCGCCTTCACCATTCTGTCTATTTCCAACGCGTTAAGATCAAATAAGATTTTTTTGCACTTTTCGATTGTAAAGGGGTCTCCATGATCGTGTATAGGCGGCCACTTTGCAGAAGTCTTCGGGTTTTCGACGACATAATGGGCCTCTGGAGCCTCTCCAACGAGCGCCCGCGTCCGAAGCCCTCTGATTTGATTCTACATGAAGTATCAGTTGAGCTTAGCATTAAAACTACCCAAAGTATTCGTGAAAAGGACCATGGAGGTCCACATCGTTGCATTGTGGGCTGCCTGTCTAATTCCACTGGAGGCAGTGTGCGGCTACGTGAGCGCCTTGGGCGATGTTCTTGTTGGCTGTGTATATGAGGAAAAGGTTGTAAGCAGCGGACTGCAATTTTATAAGCCACTGTTATATCAGCTCACCCGAAGAATTCGTCGGCGCTCGTGCTTCCAAACAAACAGACCTGCCGCGAGCCCACGGACCTCATGCGGGAATGCCATATCGTTTCGCCGACTCATATAACAGATGACACACGCACATGGCAGCACATCGTCATTGTCTATGCCCTCGAAGCGGCATTCAAAATCTCGAATTGTCTGGATACACTTTTCGTACAGAGGGATTGCTATATGAAGCAGATTCAGGAAGTGCATTGCCCTGAATTTCATATATATTCCACTATAAGTTCCTACCTAGCCAGATTGTACAGGGATTCTGCTGTAAATATATCACGGCAGGGGTGTCTATTCGTATGTGATGCACGCATCTCAAGACTGTACTGCAGAAAACTCATACCGATTACCATATACTTCTTGCTGTCCTGCATCATTAAGTACGCTGCCTATTTTGACACATACCCCCACGGCTTTACTGCTTAGCGCGTTGAAGTAGCTAGTTCCCAAACACAGCGCAGCTACAGGGTCTTCTGGTCGTTGCATAAGCGCTCTTTTGTATTCTTCGATTGCGAAGGGCCAATTTCCAGACATCGTACAAAAGTGACCTGCTAACATCAACAATTCGAAGTTTTGAGGCCTAATCAACAACTGCCTGGTGATCCATGACCTGTTCTCCAATAGCGTGTCCTTTTCTGCCGATGATGAAAGAGAAGTGAACGCCGCCTTTGCAAGGTTGCCAGATCCAAGCAGTGTAGCATATTTCTTAAGACTACCCCTGCTTGCTAATTCGCTTCTTGCGTGGACCAACGCCATCTTGAAGATGCTACCGAAACAACTGAGCCCTACAGATTGGTTTTACGTTCTTGTCTAGACCTACTATATGAGAGTTCCTCTACCGTTGCCACAAGCTGTTTACGTTCTGAGACATACGCGTTCGATTTGTACCGCTTCTTGTTAGTTGCTATGATCTCCAAAAGTTGGACACCTTCTCTAGCGCGGCCGACCGTAGCCATTAGAGCTGTAGCGTCCACCAGTAATTTCTCGTACCTTTTCCACCCTAAACACTTATGTAGCTGGTGGACATGTAACCTCACCTAAGATGTCTTCAACGGACAAAAGTCCCAATTCTTTCTTTGTCCTCAAAAATGAGTAGTTCTTCCCTGACTCTCTCCGCACATCTCCGTGCTCCGTAGCTGTAAGCTCGTCATGGTGCGATTTCATCGCACGGGAATTGATTAACTTCTGATATGTTCGTTCAGTATCCAATTCGCAGTCGCTGACAACCCGAAGAAACCTGTTGATCCATAAATTAGTTTGTTCAACGACTGATGTGAATGCCATTGTATTCCGGTCGTGATGTGTTTGAGCTAGGAGGCAGGGCCTTGGTCTGAACTTTACTTCAGAAAAACATGCATGAAGCGTATGGTGTGCTGTAGCTTCAAGATCGCGGAGCTCATTACTACGTTCCTCCTCTCCAATAGGCCTATTTTTCGATGAATCGTCATTTCCAATGTGTATATTGCGATTACGGAATTGATAAGCCTAGTAACTAAACAAAACGTTTGTAGGTGTTGTTTAGCGTGTTGCAGACTCCGTAATCTAAAGACATGTAGCGTTCCGTATACCATGCTAGCTCTATGGTCAATTAAAACTAACTTTTGTATCATTTTCAGGCGGTCTAGGTCCGATGTTGTCAGTCTTGCCAGCAGCTCGTCGGCTTTTGAGTGCTTCCCTGCCTGCCCTAGGATGTCCGCCAGTAGTATGATGACTTGTGAGTTGGCAGGTTCACGCATCAAAATTTTTTGTAGGACGAGTTCCGCTCCAGCCCTATCCTTATCCACGATAATCAAAGATTTGGCCATTTGAATAGCTTGTTCAGGCAACAACGCATCTATGGTTTTGGTGTCGTTTTCGTCGTAGCCCCTTTTAAACCACTTAAGAGCAGTTTCTTGGCATCGGTTAACAAGTGCCATAGCAACACAGTAGATCATATTCGGTTCGACTTGTTCTGCAAACCATATGGCGTCCAGCTCTTCTTTGGGATATGCATCTGTGTAAAGGGCAGCAACGGTATACGACACAAGCATGCTGATTGGCAATTTGCTTAACTTTATCTTTTGATTGGATGCCACAGTTTTGACAAAGTTTATGCACTCCTCGTATTGACACAACGAGATATGAATCTGGCAGGCACGTTTTGCGGCATCCAAATCGCCAGTTTTCCCATAATACATCAATAGCACGGATAGAAGTGTCTCCTTGTCGCCAACGACTACAAGGGATTTAGACAGTTCGTTCAGGAGTAATGCGTCGTCAGGGTGCAATTCGTAAAGGAAATGTAACCTTTTAATTGCGTTATGGTGGTCTTGTTTTTCCAGATAACACATTGCCAAGGCAAAGTGTGCCTCTTCGTTAGGTTCTCCGTCGTTCGTTTTAAGACATTTTTTAAAACAATATATAGCCTGATCAATATTTCCGATATCTTGTGACATTTCTCCGATCCTGCGCCAAAGTTCAAGATCGGTTTGTACAAGATGCGCGGCGAGCAGATAATATCCCGTTGCTGTGACGAGGTCTCCATATTCTTCCTGGTATATGAGGCCAAGCATGTGAAATGGATCATGTAGTCCGGGAGCACGCCTTACTACTTCTTTAAGTATCTTTATGGCATCGTCAAAATTTCCACCAAGGTACTGTGTCATTGCATCCTGCATCAATTTCTCTAGCTGTGGAGTAAGTTTGGATGCATGAGCCGCCGTCTTCCGTTTTCGTTTCTTACGCTGTGCTGCGATGACCTTTGTAACACTACGTCTGTTCCGACGCATAAGCTTGCGGATGTGCTTGTCAGCAAAAGACAGCTTTGGTCTGTGTCTGTGATTTGATCCCGCGAGCACATCTCCCATTAAGAAGCTGTTCAGCTCCTCCTCATCCACTTCCGCATCGCTGCATTCTCCGCTGTACATAATCAGCTGCGTTAGTATGCCAGCTTACACCGGTTCGTCGTCCAGAAGCTCAAGCGGAGCCCTCTCCTTTCGCACATACTCATCCATGGTTACACATACCAAGTATGAAAAAAAAATATTAAAGCGAGTTATTGATGACTTCAAGTGAAGCCTGAAACTGTAAGCTTAGCTCTAATATCGTCGGGCCACCAGTGTGTGGTGGGGAAGTTTTTGAAAATCTCTCGGTGCATCGCAATAGATTATGCTAATTCTAGAAGGAGAAGCTCAGTCATCGTGGTGCTCTTCATCCATACCAGAGTGGGAGGCCTCACCGTCCTTCTTCTTGGGCAAGAGAACAGCCTGGACATTTGGCATCACACCACCGGAGGCGATGGTAATACCAGCCAAGAACTTAGAAAGTTCCTCGTCGTTCCTGATGGCGAGCTGGATGTGGCGGGGAATGATACGGGACTTCTTGTTGTCACGAGCAGCGTTACCCGCCAATTCCAGAATCTCGGCGCAAAGGTATTCAAGAACGGCGGCCAAGTACACTGGAGCACCAGCACCAACACGCTTAGCGTATCTGCCGTTTTTGAGGTATCTACCGATACGACCAACAGGGAACTGGAGGCCGGCCTTGGCCGACTTGGTGACCGACTTGACGGTCTTTTTGCGTCCACCACCAACACTCTTCTCCTCGGCCGTCATCTTGATGTAACTATGAACAATTAGAACTCTGTTTTACGGCGTTCGTTTGTTGCCCCCTAAACAGGCTTTTGTGGCGACTGAAGTGTACACAGGCCTCGGGGTGGAGGCCATTTATTGGGCACACACTTGGGGCTGCAGGTGACAACACGAAACACGGGTGATGCGGTGACACGTAACTACCCAATGAAGGTTGGCATACAGAAGCCTAAAAACATCAAATTACGAAACAGTGATAATCTGCGATTCTAACGATGTGCCACACGTACACCAAATTAGTAAATCGACCATGGTGTGCAAAGCAATAAACACACACAGCAGTCTCTGAATACACCTAAAGTATCGTTTATGCACAGTAGCATATATAAAGAGATGTTGGACCAGCTGGTTGACAGCCATTGACGTTTAAAGAGATGTTTGCCTGATGCCTAGACACCGCTAATAGACATGTCAACATGGCCACGTATTGCATACAAATGGGCTTAATATTAATTTTTTATGTGATATAATCGCATAATCAAATGTCTCGACACGTCGTATTTCGATATGTGGTTAACGGTTTGTCATTTATGGTTTTGTTTTTCAAAATTATCGTGACAATTTATTTATGAGTTGTTACGAAAAATGCTGTCGACATTGGTGCCCTAGACACTCCCCCGCTGCAGGTTTTGCACGCGGACTCTAGACGTGCTCCTTAGCGTTGTGGTTGGGGGCACCACACGTGTGCGTAACGCTATGTGGTGTGTGCCCTGATCAGTACGCGTTTACTTCGTGGAATAGGCTCAAAGTCCAAATTATTGTAATTCTTTCTCAAGAAACAACAATGGCGCGTACTAAGCAAACTGCCCGTAAATCCACTGGTGGTAAGGCCCCTCGTAAGCAATTGGCCACCAAGGCCGCCCGCAAGTCTGCCCCCGTTGCTGGTGGTATTAAGAAGCCTCACAGGTACCGCCCTGGAACTGTGGCCCTCCGTGAAATCAGGAGGTACCAAAAGTCCACTGAGCTTCTTATCCGCAAGTTACCCTTCCAGCGTCTTGTCAGGGAAATTGCCCAGGACTTCAAGACTGACTTGAGGTTCCAGTCATCTGCTGTTCTTGCTCTTCAAGAAGCTGCTGAGGCTTACCTTGTTGGTCTTTTCGAAGACACCAACTTGTGTGCCATTCACGCCAAGCGTGTGACTATCATGCCCAAGGACATTCAGCTCGCCAGAAGGATCAGGGGTGAGAGGGCCTAAGGCTCCTATTCCATATGAAATGTAAGCGTACTCTAATGTCGTTTAAGGCTTCACTTGAAGCCATCAACACAAAAATTTTAATTTATTATTTGGCGCTGCATATATGATCCATTAATATACATCGAGGTTGGTTATATGAAACGAATGGGCCATTTCCAAGGGTATATGGTCGTTTAACAATATCAACTAGCTGTATGGGTGGTATTCACGCTCGGTGTCCGTGAAGGAGGTGTCACCACGGCTTTCGTTGCCCTGCGACAAAGTTTTCACATACAGAAAGACGCATGGAACGAACCGCAAGTGATAATTACGTTTACATTAAAGTCCACAGGACCACCATTTAGATGTGTAATGGCACGTATAAGCTGCGATACTGAAGCCCAGCGATGGGTCATCGCGAGTCCCGCTGAGCAGGCATCGGTTCCTACACTTTTATCTATAACGGTAAAGAATACAAGGAAGTGTGCTCGCTCTGTTGCGTGCATAACCGACCTTGTACCACAACGGTCGCGTGGTAGGGTCGTGCAGCGCGGTACGAACTTTATTAATGATAACAACACCATCAGACCAAGGAATTTATCGGAATCGCACATTGTATGCATGGATTATCGGCGGTGGATAGCAGTTGTTCGTCAATAATACTCTGGCAGTGGCATCCCTTCTTCGCCCAGTTTCGCCGAGATTCCAACAAATTAGGCAAATGCAGAAGCTGCTATAGAGGCGTATATAAATACTCCGAAGGATTAAAGGCTCCATTCGTGTCTCTTTTAACCAACGACAACATGTCGTCATTCTACCCCAACGGTATGTTCAACACTTTCGTCGCTCATCAGATAGCAGCGCCGCTTCAACAGGGCTACGGAGCGACACCGCCAATATATCCACCTCAACCCCCAGTACCAGGTACCTATACTTTTCATTAAATCCATCTCTATGAAAGGAACAATGATACCTCCTTGCCCTCCGCCGGTACAAAGGGCGCCGGGAGTGATGGATGTGCCGGGACACACAGCCGTCATTGCTAAGGGACCAAGTGCCCCGACAGCACCAGTAGGGTATTCTTCAAGTGTTGTACCTGGTCTGATGGACACACTTATGATGCCTGCTACGGTGTCACTTCCTGCTCAGGAACCAGATCCGCCACCTATGGTCAATGTTGTCTATGTGGGTGGGCTTCATTCGGGAACATCCAGCGATTTTGTCATCAACATCATGCAAGTAGGTTTCTAGTTCATAGGAAACCGTCACGACGATTCAGAAATGCGGAAAGTTAATCAATTTTAAACGACATGCGGACCCCTCCAGTGGTTTGCTGGCGAATTTTGCATTATGTGAATTCGAATCGCCAAAAGGCGCATATTATGCATTGGAATGCCTGGCAAATTTGACTTTTGGAGATGGGCAGATAAAGGTGTGTGTTACAAACTATTTGCACTGGTTACGTTATGTTAGGTCAGCTGCAACGACAAAGTGCGTGGATTGGTAGATGGATGGGTATCAGAACAGCTGGAAGCATTACGAGAGGAAAACCCGAACATGAACGATGACCAATTGCGTGAAATTTTTAAGGCGCCAGAGGCTGAATTACGCCACGAATTTGAAAACCTTATCAAATACGAAGTGATGGAAATGCAGGGACGCGGTATGTACGGTGGTCAACAGGGAGCCAACGTCAAGGGTGTTACGCTACAGCCATCACGAAAACCACACACACCGCGTAATGAAACAAGCGCGATCGTAAGAACTGCTGATTCGGTTAACGACCTATCACAACTTACTTCCAGAGAATACACAATCCACCCAAAAGAATCTGCAAGGCGTAGCAAATTTAAGGCCAGGCAACGGGCTAACGATGATCTGATGAAAAGTGAAGAACGTGCATGGGAAAGCGAGGAGGAATCGATGATACGCAAACTTCACCGCATAGGCACAGTAAAACGTAGTACACGTGAACGTCTGGTGAAGGAAGATCTGGACGGCTTTGCGCGATCTGCAGGTAGCCGTGAGCGCGAGAAAGAACGTGAACTTGACCTCGAAGATGCACAAGCTGAAGCTTTAGAGCTATCTACATCTGAGGCACGCTGCACGATCCCACTCGCAACTCCGGCAGTACCTCAGGTCCCAGCTGAAGCTAATAGGCGTGCTCTTCCAACAATTTTCGGAACAGCTGTGGAAGAGGATGAACCTATGTTCAACCGCAGCCACCGACCTAAAATCAAACTGGGAATCCCAGACTCAGAGGTCTGGGATCGCGTGCCAAAAAGTGAATCGGAAGTGTTTGGATTTGATTTGGATTGGGGCCTGGTTTTGTCTGACGGAAGTCTAATTCCGTCGCTAGAACCGTGGATGCGTCGTTGTGTACTTGAGTACATGGGCGATGACGAATCAGTAGCAGGGGAAGTACTTGAGTTTTTGGTGGGTAGGCTAATGGAACGCCCAAACCATGAGGAACTACTTTCTGACGTTGAACAGTTTTTGGATGAAGATAGTCGTGGATTCATTTTAGAGCTATGGCGCCACTTGATCTTTCACCATTTGAGGTTGAGTGCGCTTTCGTCTGACTGATGATAATAAGTGTTATCGTAAGCTTTATTGTGACTTTCAAAGTTATTCCACCGCTTTAGCACTCCGTCTTTCGCATGAGTGTTCCGCGTATGCGCAGCAAGCTGCTTCCGTGCTCTGTAACACCGGTACGCTGCGGAGGCATCATCCTCTGTGCTTTGGGCAACGCTTTATTATATTTGTTTATGGAAGTTATGTACCGCTAGCTTTGTACTCCTCGCCATGGGCTTTACGCGGCATAGCTCGTATTATTTTTGTCCGACTGTCTTGTGTCAGTACCGCCGTGGCTGGCCAAGATCGGTACATACCTTGCGATGATAATCTATAGATCGTTTATCAATGACGTGATTGCGCCTCGTCAAAAAACTTTCGTGGCCCAAATTTAGTGCGTAGACCTCCTCAGGCGCATATCATGGATCTCCGGGGGAATCATATTTGGGTGTGGTGGCTCGTGCCTCCTAGGCGGCGACCGCCTGTGATCGTACGGGGGGCCAGGGTAAACGACATGGTGAGGTCTATCGGGGTATCGTCTATCGTCACGCCCGAGTTCTTCTGACCTGTGCTCTCTACTCTCCATATATTCCCTATGCTCAACGTTTTCTCCGTATTCTCTGTGTCGACCGTGTTCCCTGTAGTCTCTGTAATCTCCATGATCCCTCGGGTACTTTGGGTAGTGGCGATGATACCGATGTGGAGAGTGTTCCTGTTCGTGTCTTGCGTAATACGGATGCTCCTCCCTATGCGGAGAGTACCTACGGTCGTAGCTAGATGAGCGTCGGACGTACCGCGAGCCAGGGCTTCTACTGCGCGAGCGTGGCCTCGGGCAGTAGTCGGTACGGTGCGTATCGCGGGCGTTTGGCGGTGAAAACTCATACCTCCTGGGAGGTGCGGCATTACTGTAGGCCTTTCTCATGGAGTTCGGCGACTTGCGTCGGTCTTGCGCCAAGCAGCAGGTGATCACGTTTCCGTCCATTGTTGCGTTATCCATAGTTTTTACAGCATAAATAGCATCCTCTTCCTGATAAAACTCAACGAAACCAAATCCACGGGGGCGTTTGGTGTTGAAGTCGAGAGGAAGGTACACATCGCGGATTTTTCCAAAACGCTCGAATACTTCCTTGACATCCTGTTCACTGGTTGTGTACCTTAAATTACGCAACAAAACTGAGTAACCATGCGTTTTTGCGACCTCCATTTTGTTGCTGTTTAACAACTGGGCACCGTTAGCCTGACAGACTCGAGTAGCCACAGAACCCGGGCCGTTACATCGATATAAGAATGTATTATTGGATTTTACTCTTTCGTCTCATACATAGGTAAAAAACGAATGCCGCTGCATGTGCTAAGACAGCTTTACTACAGATTATGGAAATCATTAATGACCAGTGACGGCTTACGACTCGTATGCCCGTTTCGTAGCGCTTAAGCCTCAGCTTCGTCGTTAATTTGAAAGTAACGGAGCTCGTAAGAGTGCTCTTTGTTAGCTACAACGCGCAAAAAGTCACGAAGCTGTTGCTTCTTAAGGTACTTCTTTGTGAGGTACTGCACAAAAATACGACACCTAGCGGCTCACACCCACCTTGATATAGCGTTTGGAAAAGGGAATGTCCGCAACGATGTGAATCTTGTTCTTTTCCCTGGTCACACTGATACTGGTACCCAAGTTGCCAGTCTTTCCATCAACCTTGATGCGATCTTGCAAAAATTTCTCCTGAAAAAATTTTGAAGCCAAGTAGATACATAGATTACACGGGCCAGCCAGACGCCGAGCGACCAACGTTCTTCCCAATGAATCCAGAAACTCCGACGCCCGCCACATCTCACCAGACTCCTGGAGTACGGCGGCTCGGGCCTCCCAGCGGCCCCAACATACACCGAATACAGAAAAACAACCTACCAATCCGGAGGGGTTGATGATGTTGTCGTTGGCAGGTGCAGTGCAGTCCAATAGGAACTTGGACTTTTGCCCGGTGGCGGAGTTCTTAGAATTCGACACCTTTTTAACAGCCTTCATCTTGTCCTCCACGTCTCGCAAATCGTTATTGCGTACCCTTATTATAAACCAGTGTCTTTATGGCCATTTAAGGTCCGTCCTTAGGACCCCCATGACTCACGATGGGGAGCGCGGCTTAACTCTAACTGTCGACCGGTCATCGTCTAACTCAAACGTTTACACATTAAAGATACAATGCAAGTCCTTCAAGCAGAAACTAATCAATTTTCAGTAATGAACTTTTCAATCAACCAGGAGTTTTATAACTTGAGCACATTATAGTCTATTCTAAGCTACAGTTGTTGATATACGGCGCTGTGGCACACACCTCTGATTAACTGTTGGCTTTTGTCACGTGTAATTCCAAGCGTTAAGCCATAGACGAGGGTAACCATAATTAAAACACATGATCACCACCACCTAACACATAAGCATAACCAGTGGGTACTTGGCATACTTTACACTTGATACCCTGGACCCTAAGTTAAGGGGATTTTATAGACAAAAAATATATACCCTGCAGGGATGTCAACCACGCTTTGCGTTGGGATTGGTTTGGACTCCTGTCTCTAGTCTACAACATTGCGTCACTGGGCTAGCGCTTACTATTTATAATGGCGGAGCGATTCCAAAAGTAGGTTGTGTTTGAATATCATTGTTCAAAAGCTATGACTTGGGATCAAATGAAATGTAGAAAGGAGAATGCGGCTACTGCCACGCTCAGGACTTTGCCGAACTTTGAAATAGACCGGTTGAGGTACGATAAAACACCCATATTATCTTATCAGCATATATAGGCATCTACTCACGCTTCCGCCGGATGCTGGAGTCGATGTTGGCAATGTCAAGAAGCAGTTATTGGAGCACATCGTACAGAATGGTAGGTACACTACGTTTCGATTGACATTCAACAGATATGTACCCATACTTAGAGAGCTTGAGAGAGCAGCTTCCCGCGATGAGCGATGTGTCTCCTATGGAACATCTGCGGGAGGCTAATGTAAAGGCTTTGGCAGAGCTGGAAGAGAAGATCGATTTCGCGGAAAAAAATTTTGGGTCATCCGAAGTAAAGGACGCAGTACTCGAAAAGGCAAACTATTACTTGAAGATAGGCGATTATGTAAGAATGCTGTATATATATATAATAACTAGCATGTAGACAAATGCTGTATCGCAATACGAAGTTGCACTGACCCAGACAGTTGGTGTTAACAGCAAGTTGGAGATCGTTCTCTGCTTACTCAGGGTGGCATTTTTCTTCAACGATGTACCATTACTAATGAAATATATGGAGAAAGCCAAAAAGTGGGTCAATTAATTGCGAGATTTCATATACGATCAGGGAAATTGAAAACCGCGGGGACTGGGAAATGAGAAATAGGTTACATATATATGAATCGCTACAACTTATCATTTGCCGAAAGTTTAAAGATGCAGCTGGGCTTTTGTTGAACTCACTCTCCACTTTCACGGCCACGGAACTCATCACCTTGGAAGAAATGGTGATGTATACAGTAATATTGTCCCTCATAACCATGGACCGACCCACACTACGGAGCAAAGTAATGGAGTCGCCAGAAGTTGCTCAGGTAGCCAGCGAAGGTTCACTATTGCAACAGCTGATCCATGACTTCTACCACTGCAACTACAAAAACTACATGCTCAACCTAGGTACGTCTGATGTGTACCATGAATCATTCATCGCAGTAAGAGCCTACGATTTGGTTGTAAAGGACCGGTACATGGCGCGGTACTGCAGATACTTCCTGCGACAGGCACGTCTACCTGCATATCGACAATTTCTACGCCCGTACAAGTCTGTGACGATCGAAAGTATGGCGCATGCCTTTCAACTGCCACCTGACTTTCTGGAGCAGGAACTTGTATCCTATATTAGTGGTATGAGGCTAGACTGCAAAATAGACCTTGTCAACGGAATCATCGAAAACAGCATTATGGACGAACGAAACACCAACTACATAGAAATTGTGAAAGAGGGCGATCTGTTGCTGAATCGTATACAAAAACTATCGCGGATAGTTGACATGTAATCATCAACTGAAGCTTATTGTACACCCCCAATAATATCGCGCATACATTTAAGTTTACACAAGAATCTTTAGGTCAGTTGTTGCTACTGAGCACGGCTATCAGTTCGTTGACACAGTTCTTCCACTGAAGGAGGTTGGAATGCAACTGCTGCAGCTGTTCCCTTTGAAACTGACGTTGCATAACCGAACGTATGATGACCTTCCCGCTTTTTTGGTCAATGAGCCCGTCCATCACGCCCTTGGTGATTGCGGTAACCACGAGTTCCTCTGCGTCATCCCTTGATATATTCAACATTTGCTGTATGCGTGCGATGGGTAATTCTGGTTCATTTTGACATAAAGATGCTAGCGTGAGCAATTTGATTTTGCTCCTGCACAAATCTACAGGAATACCAAATGATTCGAACGCCGCCTCACCGTGCTTTGCAACGATTGCATCCAGGTCACTTTCACTTCCCTGAATAAACAAATCCAAAAGCTCGATTATCAGAGAATATTCAGTGTTAGCGAGGTGCTGCACAGCAGGCATCACCCTCAAACGGTCGAAATACAGTACATCGTCCGCCTTGATACTCCTGATGCAAAACTCTGCAGCAGCCTTGATATTCTCAGGAGTAAACAGCGCCGGAACATCACAGCACTCAATACACTTCCCAAAAAACTCGTATGCCATATCATCCTTGCCCATCTTGTCAAGTTGTTCCGAAATCATGCGGTAAATATATATTTTGGTCTTTCTATCAAGCGCCCAATCCTTCATCCAATCATCAATCTGCATTATGATAGACACAAGGAGGAAATCACATTACCTTCTGGATGACTGGAATTAGAGTGTGAAACAGCTCGTGCTTTGCTGCGAACTCCAACACCTCAATGTACACAACTACCCTTAATGCGAGAGTAGGGTCCACACTGTTGTAGAGCATTTGAAGCAACTTAAGCCTCAAATCCACAAATGAGTCGCCCATAGAAATCGCTCTCAATAACAGATTGCCCGCCTTTTCGATCTGAGCATTACTGGTGAAACGAAGCTGAAGCATATACATAAGGACCGTGAAGTACTCTTCGACCTGTTTTATAGCGTCTACATATTTGATTTGTACCTGCAACTTTGTATAGGTTACTTTAACATTCGTACCTCAGTTTCCACTTTGCTTGCAGAATCTACAGTCATAAGAGCTGTTTCTCCGTTGTCCTTAGCATCCTGCAAAAAGCCGAACACCATTTCGTGGCCACTAAGCAAAAGCTCAAAAAGCTGGAAAGAATCTTTGATGACTTGTTCCCCTTCCACCTCTTGGAACTGATTAAGTAACTTAGAGTAGTAATCAGCAGTTCTGCTTGGGGCGCGGACCTTAATAATGGAAAGGATCCAATCACCCAAAGCAGCGGAGCTAACCGCTCCCTCTGTGTCCTGCGATAGCGGTACGAAAGTCGTCATTTTTTGCGTATTTAAACGTTATCGTGGACGCCTAGCCGTAGGACCTATGCTCTGCGGGATGGGGAGAAAATGGGCGCGCGACTAACGTGGTTGCACTTCTATAAAAAAAGTAATAATGAAAAAACACAATTAAAATGACAAAATAAAGAAAATTAGGTCGCCGCTAGCCAAGTTGAGCTATATGTGTGTTGTGTCTTGCCGCAGATTTATGCCGCTACTCGGCAGTGATGCGTGCGACACGCTGACAAATAACAATATTTCGTTTGCGTCAGCCTAGTAATATTAGGCCTCGTAAGAAGCCGTACGTACGTACTGTAGGTAGCACGTATACAGTAGAGGACAATTTTGTGCCCCTAAGCGGCCTACGACATCCATACAGCGCTACATCATAGCATCGAAGCGTTATCATTGACGCTTAACCCAGCTTTAAGTAACGCTTTTGGTGTTGGTAGGTAATTAACAAACAGCTCAATTCTCCATTAATCGTCTTTTCAACGCCTCCTTGTCTAACATGTCCTGAGTAACCATAGTGGCTCTTGTTCTCGGGTAATACTTAAGAGCATCTAGAAGACCATCAAGACCATATAACTCTGCTTCCGTACCAACGAAGTCGGAACGATCAAGCATAGCAGCACTCAGCCTTTTCCTTACAGCTTCTAAAGTGTTAGAATCCTGCTCGTATTGGTTAAATACATTAAATCTCGGCGCATTGCGTGACCTGAAATTAATATCAAAGTTATTACCTCCAGGGAGCGCTGCATGGTCGGTTAAACGCTCGCTAAACTCGCGAATCACGGACTGGTCCTCTACGCTCTTAGACCAAAGCAAATCCTCTCTCCGCGCGCCCACACCAAATTCTGCGGTGCCTCTGCCCATGCGATCACGAGGGTCCATGATTTTTTAAAGCCAAAGGTCCGCTCAGCGGGCAAGTAACTTGCGGCCCTCAAAGGGCGCTGCTCTTAGGTTAGCTCCGTTATAACAATCACACTTCAAATTTGCACGGCTTCAAGCAATGCAATTAATAAACACATTTCGAAGTATAAAAATAACATTTATTGCAAAAGGGGTCTGGGTAGTGTGAGGCTCGAACTCACGACCTCGGGATTATGAGACCCGCGCGCTAACCAACTGCGCCAACTACCCTGGCCGGGGGCCTGAAAGGTTTGTTGAACTTAAGAGATATGAAATATTATCCAAGAACACATAGAGCAATCTATCGTTACCGTGTTTTCTGCCACCATCACTGGTCGCGTCTCAAGGCTGAAGTGGCCATACAATATTTATATAGGTATGCGGTTGGTTTCGAGTGACCACAAGCGTAAAATATACAATGTATCCTGAAACATTACAAACATGATATCTCAGTGTACAAAATGTTAGTCGCTGAAACATAACTAACATCAATTAACCTTGACGGGGCAACACTGGCAAGCTATAGCGATAACATCATCTTGATGTACGCTGGGATATGCACAGTGTGGTCGAGCTGAGGCAGCGTAGACTCCAAAAACGCAATAACATTGTGTTGCGTCTGAAGGGTCTTTATGGTAGACTCGCCATGTTCCGGTGGAAGCAGAAGTAGCAACCTGCAGAGCTGTTCCTTGTGTCCCGGCCAGAGGGTAGTCATGCAGATTACAACTCCACGCCACAACATTTTGTCAACCCACGCATTACGCTGAAATAATGTTGGCAATATGGCTTGTACTATCACACTACGTGTGTTAGGCACTTTCTGGACAAGTTGACAAAGAACACGACCAAACACAAATGACACATTTTCACTACTCTCCACGATTAGTGTACACGCAGATAAAGCCGCTTCAACGGTCATTTGACCAGATACACAACAGTCAACGCAGTAGTCAAGCAGTCCTGTTTGTTTTTTCAGCAGTTCCTTAAACGGTTTGACATTGTAGCATTGGTACATGAAGTGCTGAGGCAAAGCCAAATTCAATTCTTTCTGCTCACGTCGGAAAGTGTGAGGCACGCTCATCAGCAACGACAGAACGCGCTTCAGTGCATCCTCAGTGCTGTTGTTGAATAGGTGTGTCACCAAAAGTTCCAACTGTTCGACACTCAGGAATGGAGACAGCTGCAATACATATTCCTCGCAGGTTCCTATCTGTTTTACACAGACTTCTACAAGACCTTTGGGATGAGAAGGTTCCTGCTGCCACACTTCAAGCAACTTGTACCGAGGGTCAAGCCACATCATACGCACGTCACCCATAAGATTAACAAGGAATTCATCCGAACCACGAATATGCTTGAGCACCTGTTTAAGCTCACTTATGTGAGCACAGCAACTCTGACGAGCCGCTTTAGCTACATCCTCTCTCAGCTTGTCAGCAAACCCACAGACAAAAGGTACCAGTGCGGGATTCTTTCCAGCAGCGACGAGTAAAGGTTGCACGGTATCAGTATCTTGGATATCCTGCAGCACCTCGCTCACTAATTGTGTAATGAAAGGATGCGCATTCACCGAGTTCGGAAGAGCCATAAGAGCGAAAAGTTCTTCGAGCCACACGGAGGACAAGAGAGACCAGTCTACCTCCTCATCAGGTAGTTTTGGAGGAGCATTAATTTGTTCGAGGAAACCTTGCCAGTCACAGCCTTTACATTCAACACCATTCTGCGTAGCCATTGCTTTGTGGGCACTGGAAATCTCGTTGATCAGACCTAAAGGCCACTGCCAAAGTGGCCTGCCAACCATAGTTTCACATTGTACTACAACATCCTTGGTAAGGTATGGTCCCAGTTTGCATTCCGAACAACCACCTCCAGCACGAATCCAAGAAACAAGTGCATCGTGAACTGATTCACGCTCTGGCACGCTGTAACGCCGTCCCTCGACGTTCGCGTGGTACAGCCCTTTGGGTGAAGAGATGAGCCTTAAGAAAAGGCCCCGAATCTCTAAATCGTCAGAAACGACAAAACGCAGGAACAACAGAAGGACACGTCGCTTTAGGTCTGTAAACTGAGATCTCTTGAGTATGTTTGAGGTCAGTGAGAATGCAAGTCTTCTGCTGACCGGGTCCGCCACCCACGCGTTTATCTGGTCGACGAGTGAAAGTGGTACCACCGATAGATTGAGTACGAACTTGCAAATCTGCAGGACATAAGCATCGCGTACATCTACCACCTTCAATAGTCCAGGGGCATAGAGCTTATTTAAAACCAGTTCGACCATGTCACCATAGCTAAGACGTGCACTTGTAACTACCTCCACCTCTGACGTGTTTTCTGGAGCCTCTGTAATATCCTCCGTCTTTACACATGATGATGGACTATGGTCTTTATCTTGCAGCACGAGTTCCCTGGCAAGCTCTATGGACGCCTTTGCCATCAAAAGTTCGCCGAGGTATTCAAGCAGTTTTTCCAGTGGATCCGTCCGGTGATCGCTAGCTATCTGTGCTAACAATTCCGCAACGCCGACAGTGCGGGCATCCGTGAGCGCTGGTGAATACATAGCGCTGCGTTGATGACGTGCACGAGATTGACTGCCACCTTGCGTTTCCGTTGGAGAACAACTTATCATGACCATTTGGGCCATGTGGTCCACAAGGGCAGAGAGCATGCTACGCTGCGTACCCAGGGCTAGAGTCATGCCCAGGAATAATTTGTTTAAAAGCGCGCGGCTAAATGCGTCAAACCTGCTAGGCCTGTTGCCGGCTATAACGGCTCGTCTCAAGTGCCATGTATACGATATTGCCGTATCCATCATTTGGGTTGCAACCAGGGTAGTGTAAAGTTGATGGCGTTCGCATATAGTCTCGCATCGCGTAGGCACTATCGCCATAGTGTTTACTGGCATTGTGTACTTGATATTGGGTGTACATTCCAGTTCTAGAGCAGGTTCTTCCACTAGTTCTTTAGGCGGTGCTAGTCTCATCATGGAGTTGGCATTGCCGAAAATATTCCCTGATAAATGCAGATATTTGATAGAAATCCGGTCAGATTCAAATATCTGTGCCGCCTTGAACTCCTGAAGTTGTGCTGCGTCCAATTTATTTTCTGGTTTTTGCAGTGCAAGTTGTAACCGAGTCTCGGGGTCCCAGTTTTCATGTATCATCGCTACCAAGTCGACGGCATCGTCCTCTCTAACTTGTCCCTCGCCTCCAAACACGTAACACCTGTTACCAGATGCAGCCACGTGCGCTCGTTTATACATTTCCACGAGGTCGCAACGGTAGCCGGCTTCATTGAGTATCGACACAAGTTCAGTGTGGAACGGTTGTGCGATCTGGCTAGTAAAAACTCGGTGTATCAAGTTTTCGTACGCACCTACAGTCCTGAATAGGTGCGTATGAGTCGCTACTAGCGGTGGAATGAGCGCATGGAAGTACTGATGTGGATAATGGGAGACGAGTGTAGTTGCTACTTCTGCGGCGAGCAGGCTCCGAGCCAGCGTGGAGGGTGTGTTCGATTTGGTGGCGGCAAACATGCAACTACGAACCATTCGCGTTGCAGTAGCGCTCCAATACTCCAACTGCATCATGACCTCACGGTCAGCACGCACGACAGGACACCAATCATCGATATCATATCTACGGACTGCACGCATGTTGTCAGTCATTTCACCATTTTTTGTCACTTCCCGTGCACTAGTTGATGAGTATGCATGGTTCTCGGACGCATCAACGGCATCCATTACATTCTTCGTCTTGTCTGATTTGGATGGCAAGACTCCGAGTTGAGCCAGTACAGCGAGTTCCATCATAATCACCCTTAGCGCATTCGCCACCGGCGACCGCGTAACTGAATGAACAAGTTCGGAGATGCTCGCGACACCATTTTTACCGCGACAGTCGCTGGCATCCATGTTGGCGGCTGCATGTTGAACAAGGCTCAAAGCGCAAGCCAGATCGGCGAACGCATCCCTTGCTACGGAGCTTTCAGGATACATAGCCCGTGATAGCAACACGTGAAACATGAACAAGTGTGCCGAAGACGCAAATGACGCGAGCGCTTCGGCGCGAACCGACAAATCCGCATCATTGAGGAGGTTGGATATGTCCTCGATTAGCACGGTGGCATCTGTTTGGTGTAAGAAGGTTCATGGCAACACTTACATTGTCCATCTTCACGCACAACATGATTGATAAGTCGGCTCAGCTTTCCCTTTCCGCCTCTAGATTGAGACAGCTGCACGCGTTGTTTAAGTGATACCTTAGGCCCACCTGCAGCCTTCTAAACTGTTGCAACCGCGCCTCAAAGGCATCGCGCTGACCAGAGCGCAAAAGATTAAGTATTTCTGACTCCTGTGAAACATAAAAACATCCACATTAGGCTTTACAAACCTGTCCCATTGCGACTTGACTCGCCGCGTACGCGACAGTTCCGAGTCTTAGTCGGAAGCTGAGCTACTTTTGTGTTCTCTAGAGTCTCTTACGTCACATTTAGTCAAATTGTGTAACTACATTATGATTATACCTGCCCGTTGGCCGACGTATGGTCATCTATGAGGCACGCGATTCTTGTGCTTATGGCCACTTGCCCATCTACGTGATTGACCTATCATATGTGTTACTTTTTAATGTTCATGATAGTCTGATAGAAGTGTGTGAGAAGCTATTCTACCACTCGGGCTCTCCATCGGGGCTATTTCTTTAGCGCCGCAGCGAGAGGCGTTGTCTTGCGATTGGCTTCCTTTAGTGGCAGCCGTTCACATTAATATTCCGTTAGACGTACTGACTTTTAACTTTAAAAGTGAAGGTTTTCAGGTCATTCGGTTTTTTGATACCGGCATTTAGTGTGCTGTTGCGCCGAACCGCCGTAGTCCATCAAGGCTGGCAGAGTTCCTCGGGGTACACACAAGGACCGGGTTACTTGCGGAAAACTATCGCGATGTCCACGAACGTGGATGAAAATAAGGAAGAGGGATCATTCCCTGTGTACATGAAGGCCTACGACCTTTCTCGTGGCGTGGCTTCGCAAATATCACCAGGTCTACTGGGTTTCCGCATAGACGGATTATGGCACACTAGTATCGCTGTGTATGGCAACGAATATCTATTTGGTAAGCACGAGCGTTCTTGTGAGCCGTCCATAGGTTCCAGGTAGCGGGATTTCCTATTACAACGAGGCACGTTGCGAACAAATCACCGGTCTGCCGGTAGCGCGGAGGATATTGCTGGGCAACACACACGTTACTCCAGATGTATTTCACGCGTGGGTTTATTCCTATATTTGCTAAAAACGTATCAGTTACATTGATAGTTTGAAGGACACCTTTTCCCCGGAGTCCTATAATCTTTTGAAATGGAATTGCAACCACTTTACCAACGCTGCATCTGAGTTTCTTATTGGCAAGGGTATAGAGGACGAATATGTGAACATGGTGGAAAACATTGGGAAAAGCCCGCAAGGCAAGGTGCTTCTAACACTAGTACAGGTGAGTCTATAATAGAGCTCTTACATTGGAATTAGCAAATGTCGGCTACGAACCCCAACTCGTTCCCAGTACCTTCGGGAAAGGAGTAATTCTGTCGTTTTAATCGCCATCGCTGCAATACTGTCATTTCGGAGTGCCACAATGGCTTAATTAAGCATACATGCAATTGCGTAATTAAGTCTCATAAATACCCATCAAGGCTCACCTGTAAAGAGTGACATTTCCAATAGACACCTAAATCTTGTGCTATTTGGGCAATGCTCTCCCTCTAGTCGCTACATAAAACGGACACCGGGCCCCGGTGATAGTCAAGATACATCTGATTAATGTGACATTGGTTTTCGAACTGTTGCCTGCATTTTGATAGATACCTCTGCATTCACCTCAGATGTAATGAAACAATCTTTTGAAATACCTCGGATGAACTTCCCGGCGAATCTTATGGTACACATTTGTACTCGTACTAAAATATGTGGCGTAAGCTTGATGGCATTGAAAAACCCAGACGCATCAAGTTCTCTATACAGTGTATAACAAGCTAACATGTCGCATAACGATCAAAAAATTAGTTCGATAGTTGTTGTCGCCGAGCACACATCGGAGACTATTGGACTGCATTTAAAGGGGTTTTGAAGCCCTGACTTCAGGCGCTGACGACTAAGTCACCTTGGTCTTGGAAGTAGGTGTAATCGGTTCTTTTATTTCTGAATAAATAGGCAGCACCGCCGATCACGAAGATACTGACTATGGCGATAGGACCAACCAGTGATTGAGTCTGAGGAGGGCGTTCCTCTTTAACGGTTCTCACGGTCTCAAGTGTGACGTTTGTTGCGCTAGGACTGGCATCAAATGAAAAGTAACACAATGGCTCGCTTTCAAGCATGAGCCAGAAGTCCCTGTAATTGATTGACCCAGCTGCTTCAGCAAAGATGCTGCTAATATCGCACGTAACCTGCTCACCAGAAGCATCAGCGGTGACTGGCTTTCCTATAACTTGAGGTTCCTCCTTGCCCTCACCGTCAGGGGGATGCACACGTTGTACCTTGATGCTGCTGTTAGGGCACTCCAGAGCGTAATCAGTGCCATTGTGGACGCGTTTCAGCTTAAGCTTGGCGCTGTTGACCTGAACAGGATCGTTCGATGAACCGCCTGTAAGCACGAAATGCAGGAGGGAGCGTTCCTGGTCGGCAGCGTATAATGGCACTGACTTCTGGATTTCGATGTAAGGGGTCGGGACAGCCTTTTTACGGTGTATGTTGATGAACGTCGTTACAACAAGTTGAAGAGTCTCGTTAACTTTATGGAAGGTGACTTGCTCGCCTCCATAGATCCACTCTAAGACTGATGCGAAGAATGTCTTGTTTGCAGCCACGGGGGGGTGGGTGTTGGGCATGCCCATGTGACCTACCGCCGACGCATCTTGTGACGTCCTGGTGGCAATTCCAGCTGCGCTGACATCTTGCACAGTGCTGCTAGGGTACGGCGTAGTGGAGTACGCGGAGGTGTGCCGGGCAAGCAGGCCAGCTGCAACCAATATCACACCTAAAGATTGCATGTTGTTTTCTTACGCAATATGAGATGGTAGTCACCGCGAAAACAGCGGGGAAATACTATTCCCCGGGTGTAGTTGCTGTCGCTAATGTGGACGCAGCAACTGTGTGGATTCGCCGCTAGGCTCCCGCAAAATTTTGCCTACTATCGCTGTTTTATACAATCCCAATTAGTGATTACCGTACGATTGCCACCTACAGACGACATCGCAGACGCGGTGGGTATGTCGCGTATTCATGGAATCGAGGTGCACCCTCTTGCGGTCTTCTTTGCCGTGATTTCGGCTTCTCGCAATATATTCCTCAACCTTCTATACACAACTTCACTCTTTTGTAACACTACTGTCGTCAGTTTCCTCCGCGAACTCAAGCACGAGGTGTCGACCATAAAGATGGGTGTGTTGCAGCGACTCCACTGCGCGTGCGCTCTCCTGTTTGCTCATAAATTCCACAAAAGCAAAACCTCGGTTGTTGCTTTTGAGGCTCTTAGGTATGCGAACTGACTTGACATTGCCATAGAAGCTGAACATTTTGTACAGATCCTGTTTCGTAGCTTGGAAGGCTAAGTTCTTGACGATGATTTTCGTTGTAGCCTTGAGCAACTTGTTATCAGCGATTTCGGCTACAGGCTTGTCAGTACGCTTGGCGATTGACATTTCTATCAACTTCCCGTCAATGAGCAGGCCTGTTTTGGCCCTTATAGCCGCTTTGGCGTTCGCCAGACTATCGAATTCGACGAAACCGAAACCCTTCGAAAGGGTATCGTTGTCCTTCATTACAACTTTACTTGACACATAACCCTTGCATCCACCGAAATGATTCTTAAGAGTGTCATTGCGCGTCTTGAAGTTGAGGTTTTTCAAGTATACGCTTACATTTGTCGGAGCGACATCTTCCGTTTCTTCCTCTGGCTCAACAGCCCGTGGCGTTTCGCTCACCCTGGTGTCTAAGAGTTGCGGTTCCATTTGTTTTTTGCTTGGCAGTTCTTTCAACGGGGCGTCACCGTGGAACAGCTTGACAGGAGCCCATTCCAGGTACATTGGCAAGCCTCCATAAGGTTTGTACGCAAGGTTCCTAAAAGCAGCTTTGGCTGCTTTTGACTCTATAAATTGTACAACACCCATCACTGTATACGGTGAGACTGCTAGACGCATAAGACGACCGTAGTTAGAAAACATCTCGACCAAATCAGTTTCGGCCGTATCGACCGGCAAATTTTTGATGATGATGGTATCATCTGATCGATGGACTTGGTAGACACCCTTGTCATCAACGTTTCCATTATCGTCACCGTCTTCATTGGTTGGCCCAGATTTAGATATTTGGTATTGTTGGTAATTAATACCCTGCTCATCTAACCATTTAGTAAGCTCGTTCAATACAAGCGTTTCCGTAAGAGCCACATTCACAGCAGCATCCTTTTCGTCCAAAATTTTCTTTTTCTCCAATTCTAGTTGACGCGAAACAGCTGTTATTGTTGCGTTTATGTCGATGTGGAGCGTGTTCCATATGTTTGCATTTCCCGCTTCAGCCAGTTTTTTCTTCTGCAGTTCACGCTTATATGACGATTTTTCCGTATTTTTGCGCGATATTCTGCGGCTTAATATGTCATACGATAACGAATTCTCTGTGTTAATGATTTTCTTTGGCTTTGCCAAGTTAACGTGTATAATGCGGCCACAGAATATGCTCCGATTTTTTGCGTCACGGAATTTAATCGCATCCGAAGGGAAGACCCACGTCACATAGCAGTAACCCTTTGTTAGTTTGTCACCAGTCGAATTTTCGTCGTCCTGAGAATTCAGGGGTAAATGTATGTCGGTAATGGGTCCGAAGGGCCTGCAAAGCTCCCTTATAGCTGCTTCGGTAACGTTGTAGGGAAGGTTGAACAGGATAACCCTATCCAAATTTCCAGGATCACTGGATTCTACTTCACCGCTATCGGAATCAATTTGACATGGCACGTTCTCTTCTAACACATCACCTGGGCTCCTTTCATCCTCAAATATCGTGTGTCTACGTTCCCCTGCCACACCGGCCTTCGTATACTTTCGGACCTGTCTAACCAGAGTTGTGGTTATTTCTCCGTCGGCAGATTCGTACTGTGACTTGTCCACCACCCGTTCGGGTTTTTTCTGTCCTTCTTCAGTGTCGGTCACCTCCTTGGGCGGCGGTCTCGAATACTCGATTGTCACCTTACATGAGCGGAAGTACGTGCCATCATAGTAATCCTTGAACTTGTTGGCGCCCTTTTCATCTGCGAAACCAACAAAACACAGTCCTCTGGAGGTGTCGGTGTTCTTGGAGGTAGCCAATTTACCCTTGGTGCCCGTCCTTGCTCTTTTGGTTAGCAACTTACAATCTGTTGGTTCCAATCCTATATCTTTGCACTTTTGCGATATAAGACGTTGCACTCCCGCTTCATCGAGAGACAAAGGTAGGTTTTTGACGACCACGCGGGTGTTACTTCCAACTCTCATCTTGCGCCAATTGTATGCAAAAATACCACATGAGCTTTTACATTGGCATATCTAAATATAAATCGTCAACTTTATTTTGCTTTGATTCTTCTTCTGGGCCGATGTGCATCCAGGATTCTATGGACAGGCGACGCGAGTTGGGAAGCTGTCTACCGCTCGATACTGTGGAGGTCACGATTTATCAATATGACCCAATACAATATATCCACCGCAATTAAAACGTCTGTTCGCATAGTTCAATGCGATTAACCATATTAAGGCCAGTATAGTCTGTGATGGCTTCCAACCCATCGAGGTTAGCAGCCAATACACCCTTGTCTACTGGAGCCTACACACTATACTGTCAACAGATTATATTGATGATATAACCGACTCATATTTATTTATATGTGCAAGGCTCTTTACGTCTCAGTTCGCTCTATTCAGCTCGGTTCCTCTGGAAAATAGGAAAGCGCAGCCGTCACGCAAGAATGTCGACAGCGCCGTCTATTGAACTAATTAGCGCACTTAGGCAGGTATAGTGCATCTGAATATTGCTGGTATGATGCCAACGTGGGTGAAGTTCTCTCAACCCTTGTTGTCATGGTTACGATACTCGGCCGCAGTACCTACCGTCTTGACTCAATATCGCAATGCACCCTTAAGATTGAGTACAAGGCGATATAGAAGTCATACGGCATGTAGCAACCCATTATCGCACTTTCACCTGAGAGGGACGCAAGTCATATCACAGTTTGCTGATACAAGACTCCCCAAGCATCTCCACGCCAGGCGCATCAGCACGCTCAAAAGGCGAGTATTCAAAATGAAAAAGCACAAGAAGAAGAAACGCAAAAAGAAGTTGTCGAGACTCACCGCGATACCATGGCGCCCTCCACAGGAGGACAAAAAAATCACATATCAAATGCCATATAAAATGCGACGCATCGTTAAAGAGCGTCGCCGGCGCAATAAAGGTAACAGAACGCTTAGAGTTCCTCGCCAGCGATAATATCTACATACTGATTTGGTTTTTTGCAGCAGCGGCTGCGATTGTTGCCTTGATCATTTTGAATCTGCTGAGACACTCCTTTGGTGTTTTTCCTTGTACTTCTGCTGCTATCATACGCCACCTGGTGGCGGGATCTAGCGAAGAGGGGTACTTAGCTAATGCTGCCTCGAATTCGCTCTGTTGCTCAGGGGTCCACATGTCAGCGTGGGCGCCATTTGTAACATTCACGGCTGGCATGTTGCCGTCGGCACGTTTCCCTGCAGCGATTTCTCGCGCCATCTGTATGCATTGCGCGGAAGTCTTGGTCTTGACGTGCTTTGCAATCAAACTCCACCTGTCGCTGACCCCCGCCACGTGCATTTCGACGGCCTTTGACAAGCGAGAGAGCTCTTCTGCACTCCACGTGGCAGGTGCTTGCTCTTGTTCATTGTTGGTTTTATTTGTTTGAGTCTCTTGGACTGGTGCCACCACGGGTGGTGAGATGCGTGATGCTACGCGTCGTAATGTATCCTCGAAAGGTTCAGCATTGTCAATGTTAGCTGCTTTGACTACAGCGTCCATACGTTTAACAAATTGTAGCGATTCATCGGACCCTTCAATGACTGTGCCGTGCCCCAAAAGGCTGTAGATCTCCTCACATGCTTGCTTGACAAAACTATATTCCAGTTCAGAGAGCCGGTCGAAGTGTTGCGATATTTCGACCCCGTTAGGAATCTTCGTGCCGATTGCTCGTATATGCTGACGTAACTTCTTCACGATTTGCTTTTCGAATCGTTCGCGGTTTTGCGACAGTTCGATTTCGTTACGCTGCCTGGCTTCCTCCTCCTCACGCTCACGCCTGTTCAAGTTTTACCACTGGAATTGTTTATGGTCACTTACTGTTCCCGCAGTCGTGCCTCCTCCATTTGTCTCTTTCTTTCCACTTTTTCGAGTTGTCTGCGTTCGGCGCGTGCCTTAAGACGTGGATCACTACACGATGTTGGATGGATCTCATCTGCACTTACAAGGCCTGAGCAAGGTCCACCAGTTTTTGTATGCGTAGTAGTTCCTTCTTGACTAGTTTGCGCTGTACCTTAAGGTTTTCACGTTCCATCCACCGTTTCTCTTCACGTGACTCAGCGTCATCTAAGAGATGCGGTGCCGCGTGGCTGAATGTGCGTGTGGTTTCAAAGTTACGCCAGAATTCGTAAAATGAATCGATATCATCATCGCTACTTGTTTCAACCCCCAAAGAGGGTACAGGTTTTGTGCGTGACCACCTGTAGAAGTTGAAGTTTTAGGTTTCGGCTAGCGCACCTGGCGTTCAGTTCGAAGATTGGCATGAATAATAAAAAGAAATCTTTAGCCGCCTTCGCTTCTTCCCTGGTGGGTATTGTTTCGTCAAATGGTAGGCTGCAATCGTATTCGTGCCTAAGTTGTGGATCGCTCAGGATGGTGAACGCGTCTTGGAGTAGAATGAATTGCTGTTTGCGTTCCTCGTCGCACATGTTACGGAGCCTGTACTTGGTGACGTACTTTTCCAAGTCTTCCGGCACTCTAGTATGTCCTGCCTTGTCTGGATGTAACAAAAGAACAATTCTCTTGTAGTTAGCCTTGATTTGGGCGATGTCATCGGAGTCGCACACGTCAAGCAGGTCGTATGCGTTTTCGTTTTTAGCTACAAAATCTCTAACAAGTCCCAGACAGACCTTAGAGCTGACTTTAGTTTGTTTTGGTGCATCTTTAGTTTCAATTTCTGTCTCATCTGTGAGAAAATCGGTATTCTTCCCGTCTGCTAGTAGCTGTGCCCATTGTGTTTTCAGGACGTATGTGTATTTTGTGTCCAATAATTCTTGATTTGCCGCGGAGAGATAGGCTCCTACACTCTCAACAGTTTGTTTGGGGATCTCTGGGATGGGTACGGGGTGGAAGACATCTGTGTACTGTTGGCGTTTGGGGTATTCGTACTCACCGTGGTAAGGGACCTGCAGCTGCCACTCCTTAGTAAGAAAAAATGCAAAACCAGCGGGCTCTATTCTACGTACTGCCTTACCGGATTTAAATACTACGGCCTGATCGCTGTTAAAGGCCGACAAGCATAGCGAAAGGGGACGCCGGTCTACCATGTTAGAGTAGGTCGTTATTTACTATACATCCAAATCATAAAGAAACATAATCTTCCAATAAAGTCAAGTGCCTTTGCCTTGTTCTATATTTTTGCGATTCAAATACATTCGTCAATTGCTAGGTACCGCATTAGGGCTATCCATGTACCCGATGTTGTGTAGGTATGAGACTGTGATCCGAATACTTGACTTATTTATTGTTTCATGTTCAATTGTTGTGATTTTTAAAATTTTGCTTTTACAAGGTACTGAGATTGCCTAGTTTTTTAACAAAGCATCCCGTCTTGGCGCTATAATGTCGGCTTCACGCCTTATTCAAAAATCAGCGTATCATATTTTTTGGATTATGTCTTAATATTGAATATGAAAAACAAAAATTAAACATGATTAAATTTGTGTTGCGAGTAATACCTTGAATAACCTGAATTGAGCCTTCAGTCCGATGTGTTTTAAATATTGATTTATTTCGCAATGGGCACGGTGTCGAGGTAGTTGTTAGGGTCTTCAAGTTCTACGACGAATTTGTACGAGCATTTGTATTTGCCCTCCATGCTGACCATGAAGCGTTTGTAGTCAACCTTTTTGCTCTTCAATGCACCTGGGAAGGTGATTCTGAATCGGTGACCTGTCATGTTTACATCGGGAGTGACGATGCTGTCAATAACCTTGGTGTTAGTGACATAACCGCTACTGTCGACGTCGAATGTTTGCAATGCAACAGTAATGGTAGGGTCATTGCAGTAATGGTAGCCGGATTTGCAAGCTTCCACGGTAGTAAATACCAAAGAAATGTCGTTAAGCCTGTCGATATCGAAATTATTCAACTCTCCGACAACGTTGAATTGGATGAGTGCCTTCTTGCTGTACCAGCTGTTGCTGCACTCAACAAGAGTACGATTCATGTAGTGACGGGAAGGTTCGCTAGGGCTTGCCTGTTTGATTGTCGGTGTCTTCATCGCTGTAGCATCGCTAGCCCTGATACGTCTTAAGGGAGTGTATACACCCTCGGATGCGACGAATTGCACGGCCCAGGTTAGGGCAAAAACAACAGCAGATAGAACCTTCATCCTTTTTTATATTTGGCACTCAGATTCTGTAATAATACCGCTTTTTTACGGAAGATGTGCAGAGCTTGAGACGTTCTATGCAAACGTGTTTGAAGCAATGTACAAGTCGTGTTTCTTCTGCCACATTCACTTACCACGCAAGTGCAGGCTGAAATATGAAACAAAACTTTTGACTTCGTAGAGTCGTTGCTTATAGCACGAACGTGCGACTTATGATGATGCCGCCTGAGTGCACCCTGACGGCTCGCGTAGGAGTTAGGCATGTGACCAAGATTTAGCCAACGGAAAGAAGTAGCTCTTGTATGTTTTGATTACGTTACCTAGGTACTATTCGTATATACACATCTATCATTGTGATCCAATTGCGAGCTGGATAGTCCCATGTGTCATCTCCTTGATTGCATAACGTTACGTAATTTACGGCTAAGCTACGGGACAAAAGATTGCTTCTGTATTGATACAACATACATTAATTGAATCAATACTCCGCACATAGCACGTTCTAGATGTAAAACCGTAACTAACGCCCAAACGCCAACCACCCAGAAAGGCGCCGTTGGGACATTCACGAACGTAATCAAGATTCCGTCGTCGACCTTTGCGGGATTTCAAAGACGTAAGAAACCCAAAGAACTGCATTGGAATCATAACTGTTTATCACAACAAATTCAGAGCACGTGTTTAGCGGCTTCTAGTGAAGCCTTATATTAGCATAACTACTCTCGCCTTAGTAGATTGCGACTAAGTTATTACCGGATTTACTTTCCAGTGAACTTGGTCACTGCCTTGGTACCCTCAGACACGGCGTGCTTGGAAAGCTCACCAGGGAGAACCAACCTGACAGCGGTTTGGACCTCACGGGAGCTAAGAGTTTCCTTCTTGTTGTACTTGCAAAGCTTGCTGGCCTCGCTGGCAATCTTGTCGAAGGTGTCGGTGATGAAAGAGTTCATGATCATCATCGACTTCTTGCTGATACCGGTGTCCGGGTGCACTTGCTTAAGCACCTTGAAGATGTAGGTACCGTAAGTTTCCGAACGGACCTTCTTCTTCACTTTCTTTTCAATTTTTTTAGCCACCATTTTGAGCTGAACAAAAATATAATTTTGTTACGAGACTACACGAATTTCAAGGATTAACAAAACGCATAAACAATTATGTATGTTAGGCCTGTGTCGTATAGTGGCCAATTACCCGTATTGCTGCGCACACGTCACTTGTTCACAGAGACCCAACACACACAAATCACGTCCAAACAAAGGTGGCCAATGGGACATAAACGTTTAAAAGGTCTATGTAGACATTCTTAAAACTTACCTGTCTTGATAACTTGAAGCAAGTAAAATACCAAGTGATATAGATCCAGCTTAGGTAACCACAGGATTGTGGGATAATCAGCACAACAAGCGCCTGTCCTTGGGGCTTAGGTGTCACTTAAGGCACGTGTAAAGCCCCATGAAAGGACAAAAGTCCCCTTCAGATTAACTGGCAATATCGCGGAATTTTCAGTTGGCTGCTGCCAACCGTTGTACACAATCACGGCGATGTGTTCTACTGGTTCATGATTGTGTAAGTGTCCAAAACACGAAAAATATTTCAAAAGTATGATGTTACACTTTGCTCTGCGAATAGTTAATTAATCTCATGACCATGTTGCGTGGAGTCGTAGCGTTAGAGTAGCAGAATATCCCGTCTCAGCCACGTATCTCACGTCGCCAGTATAGGCCGTTTTTTCCACATCGAATAAGATGATCAGATATTTCAATCTATTTTTTCATTCACAATTAAGTGGAGCGCACTAATCTAATTCTCAAATGTTTGGTGTGCCCATTAGACATCTCACCGCTGAAGCTTCAGCTTCTAGTTAATTTCGCGTAACCATTGGAGCTATTAGCACCCACCTTGTGGCTTATTTATTGATAGCCAAACCGAATTAGGTCATATCACGTCATTGTGCCGTGCACGTAACTGCGCCGCCGTAACACGCCTGAAAATGGTGAACCAAGGCCAGCGAATGTTCGCCAGTCGCTTCAGCCTTTCAAGCCTCTCACAGTTCTACAGTAGCAACTCGGATAGGTTAGTATTCCGTTGCACACACGTGTGTAACGGTGGCACTGTTCTGGCGACCCTCAGGTTACCGGGTTGTTAGTGACACCGCACGCACCGTTACTGACATTCTTATATAGTTCGCAGCGATGATGAAGACAGTTATAGTGATACGCACTCAAGTGTAACGCTGCCTAGGAGAACGAACGCGGGGAGAATCAAATCTTCGCCCGGTGATGAAGGTGACAAGGCAGACGAATACACACTAACGAAAGAAAACAGTAAATTATCTCAGCACTCGCCAGAGTTAAGTATGAATTCGAAAGAAGTGGATCAAGTTGCTGGTGTGGCCGACACACCTCTGGCTGATCCTGAGCCTCGGGCAGCCTCCATGTCGGTTGCAAGTAGCGCTGCGGAAGGTGCTCCGTCCGTGGTTAGCGCATCAAACAGCATTGTGAGTGCTAGGGCCACGGTAACAAGCCACCAATCGGACCATACTGTCACTGAGCATTCAGAGCCTCCCGAAAATCACCACTCTACCGTCCCTTCTGTCACGCGTAGCCTTTCACCGACTAGGGAGAGCGGTGCAGTTGACGAGGAGGCCGCATCGGACAAGGGTGATTCTGTCGTGGATTCACTGCCTGTTTACGCTCCTCCGGCAAACGATTTATCACACGGGAGTACCCATGGCGAACAAAGTCCTAGATACGACGCCGATGAGGACGTTGGTTCCGTGAGGAGCGATGTAGTTAAGTCAGAATATCCGAAAGATGGCAACGTCGCAACCCTCTCGTCTTTGGATGCTGCAGCTCTCGAGGCTCTGATCAATAGCCCGTCGGAAAAGATTGTTGACAACGCCTACATACGCCCACCAACTCAGGTTAACGACGTTGCGAACGCCAGTAGTAGAAGTAATCATACGATACCCGCGGCCGTAACGTCGGTTAACAACTATCAGGACGGATACCATTTGTCACAGTCATCGAAGGTGACAGAGAAGGTTCTCACTGACAACCCTGAAGCTGTCGCTTCAGAGTGCTCTTACAAGATTGAACCCCAGGGTCATTCCCAGGAAGACGATTATCACCCAAGTGATACGTATTCCGTAAGTCAAACCGATATGCCCATATCGCCGAAGATGTCCACCGCAAGTGAACAAATTAACGAAATGACGTCTGTTGCCAATGAGGAAGTGAGTTTTGATATCCAACGCCCCCAAACATTTGAACAAACTAACGCAATCTCTGTCAGTGGTTCGTGCAAGCCTGTCGAAAGGAATGCGGGATCCTGTAATGTGCCTGTTAAACAAACTGCTGACCTATCACCTGCCATTGCTGCGAGCGCAATCTCCCCAAGCGAAAGTGAGCGCCAAATCTTTATTGACATCGGTGAGGAGTACCGTGAGGTTGCGGAGAATCCCAATCTTATTAGCACTGAGGCGACACCTATACATAAGGATTGGGGTACTACTCCAGGTGGAGTGCGTGACCTTGCAGAGACGTCTGATTCGACACCGCATCTAGCTACGTCCTTCTCAAGTGATAGTAACGCTGTGGTTGAACAGAGTTCCGTTAAGGATTTTGAGGGGGGGCATCCAGCTGATCACGAATCCGTCGTTGAGGTCGATACTAACACGACAGCGCAAGAGTCTTCTATTCCTGAAGAGGAATACTCGCTGACAAAACAGCTATCCAGAGAGGTGGACCGCTACAAAGAAATGTACGCACAGCTTGAGCGCAAAGTTACAGACATTTGGAACCAACGCGAGGCGTTCCGCGTTGCAAATGACCGCATTGCTGCTAACCTGGCTCGTAACTCGGGGGCGAAATCTGTGCGATTCGAAGACCATAACATCGACACCGATGAGGATGCATCCATCACGAGGAATTTAGAGGCGATGCTCGACTGTGGGTCGGCGCATAGCCCAGGTAGGCCAAGTGTCTCACCACGTGATATAGGCATGACGGCGGATGATCCAAATGCCATCAGCTCCATAATGGGATCGCGCAGTTATAACCTCAACATGGAGGTGGCATCTGATGATGTTACAACACCTTCGGGTCATTCTTACAGCAAATCGCATGAGCCCCCGCGTGGTGTTCGATGCAATCGTCAAACGATGGAGCGTTTGCTCAATTGTGGTGTCAAGTTGTATGCGTTACGCCTTATCACATCGGGAGTACGGTCAGAAACACCACTATACATGGATGTGTGCCCAAGGCATAGCGCATATAATGGGAAGGTAATATTAAGTAATAACGTTGGGTTGTTCAAGATATCTCTTGTGAAACCACCAACGGAGGCAGGAAGCTCCGTGGGTTCCGTACTCAGCTATCTACGATTAGACAGTGAACAGAGCTCGGTGGACTACCTATATGGGATTTTCAGCTCCATTGCCGAATATGTGGGATTGTCTTGGATGTCATCCGAAAGCTCACAACCTTGCTACAGCAGCCGAATGACAGAGGAAGTATCATCGCGTAATGAAGATGCTCCTCCACATGTTCAAATCAAGTATATGCACTCTTTGGTAAACGCTTCTGACAGCATGGTCATGGTGGATGACGGCTTCCCATCGAACTGTAACATTGGTGCAATGTTCCATGGGCAGCACGAGCATCTCTTCTGTGTGGAGGAAACCCGGGAGCTTCGGAAATCAGACTTGCAGAATAATTCCAGGTTCACCTTCATTCTAGACACTTCGCCCTCCACAGGTTCGAAACACACGGCGTCACGTCGCTTCAACAGTAACGTATACCTGGTGAATTCGGTAACCCGTGAGTACCTTTGCGTTGATTTGCTAACGCATGAGCTGCGATTTGCTGGTGGTCCGTGTACACGAGCGTACTCGAAGTATGTGGTTCCGGCTACCTTCAAGATGGTGCGGTTGTACAACGTACTTGCAGAAAAGGGGCCTGGACTACAAGGAACGGTCAGTGAAGCGTCTGAATATACACAATACAGGCGCTGTGTGAGTGAACGTGCTGCAGCACGTCACGGTTATGAATTACCTCGAAGCGCCAGTCGCATGGTGGATGTACACGGCAACTTCTTGCCCATGACCTTGGCAGCAGGAACTCCGGCACCATCTCCACGTCATGGTCCATCTACCGTTCCTAGTCAAATTTTTAAGAAGGATTGCGTCTTGTTGTCCCAAAGGGACAACAGAAGTGTAAACACGCAACCAGCAGATATGTATGACATTGCAGACAGCGGTGACTTTGGTTCTTCCGACCCTTCTGCACGTTCAGAGTCACGTGCTGTCGAAATGTATAATATGCTTGAACCAACGAGCGATGAGAGGCGTCCCACCAAAGAGTTTTCATCTATGCAGTCAACACGGGGCCCTGCTGTTAAGGACCTCAAGATGAAGTTCGAAAAACTCAGCAGCCGGTCACGTTTATTTATTTAACCGGGCACTATTAGTTTATAGCTTGCCATTAGATTTGAACATAATGCTATGTAGATATGTCGCTATTCTCCAAGGTGTTAATTTTTTCATGTGGTCAAGGCTGTCCTTCCAACTTTTTCCGTGACTTTGATCTTTGCTAACCACCGCAAATTGTTGTTTAGACAATAAATAACATCCTTTATTCGTGGAACTGCCTGGTGATATGTATTTTCGACGAAAGGCCACCTTCCGGTGATACCCCTGGGTCATGAATTTCTGGTGTTCTAGATCCCCATTGTGGTTTAAGGCTTTTTTCGATGAGAAGGTCACATGTATCACTTCAGAAGACTTTTAGTTCATTGTGTTGTCCATATGGCGCCGTTTAGTAGTTGTATTTACGCTTATTTTGAAAGGAATCACAGATCCTCGTTGTCACATCTATTTACCTAAAGTTGATTCAGATACATATTAATTTTTTAGAATCTACGTATATCGTATCTTCAGCGTGCTATGATCTTACCGCATTGCAAAATATTTTTATATTTCGTCATTAGACACTGTTAACTTCAGCTTTGCAGATAAGAAGGAAGTACAAAAAATTACATTAGTCTACAGGTGTCGCTAGTGATAGCGACTACCTCATTTACCGTGTTACAGATGACATTGATCTCCAAGGTTAACGTTCCGCCTCCTTGTGCTTCTTTGCGGGATGCTTGTCTGCTATTGCGTGACGCATAATTGTCGAATATCCGTCGACGAAGCGGGTCTTGAAAAGTACGTTAGCATTCGAAAACATTCCTTCCTTAAGGCTTACGATAAGGAATTGCGAGTTTGGAAACTGTGTCTTAATCATTTTGCCAATATTTTGAGTGTGACTCAGGTCAAGAGCTGCATCGACTTCGTCGAGGATGTATATGGGGGCAGGTCGGACTTTGAGCATGGCAAGGATTAGAGCTAACGCCAGTAAGGAACGTTGACCTCCAGATAGCTCAGATAGTGAGCTTTTCCAAGCCCCGTTAAAACCAACCTTCATTTCTATGCCGTTCGCAATGTCACCCCCTACCGGTACTAGCTTCGCCTCGGCGTTGGATAGAAGAACATGAAAAATATCAGAGAAGTACCTTGTGACCGTGCGGAAGATTTCGTTGATGTTTTCATGCTTTTTAACGTCCAGATCTGCGATCACGCTGTGAATTTTGTCTCTATCGGCCTCGACCTTTCGTGTCTTCTGCAGCAGGTCTCGGTAATCGCCTTCCATCTTTTCGTATAATTGCTGCGCCTTGCGATTTACCCGACGCGATAAATCTTGTCTAAGTTGTTGTAGCTCTGCGAGGCGCTTGGTCACTGTGTCTAGGCGGATGCTGCTGAAGTCGAAAGTGGAACCCTTGCGGTTGAAATTCTCCTCCTCGGCGACTATCCACGGGTTTTCGCGTACTAAGCGATCGGCCACTACCAACGCATCTTGAGCTTCCTTTTCAACTTCTTGCAACTCATACTCCAGCTTCTTAAGTCGCAGAGTCATCTCCGCCTTCCCTTGGTTAGCGGCCTCTAGGTCCCTCTGCATTTTGACCAACTCTTCCTGGGAAGCACATAGTTGCCGAGTTATTTCGACCAATTGCGCGTCAATCTCTGCTAAGTGTCCGCGACGACTTTCAAGATTGTTTGTTAGCTCCCCAACCTTAGACATAAGGGTGGACACCGCTTTCTCTTTAGATTGCATCTCCTCCTTGGCCGTAGCAACCCGACGTTGTAAATGGTCCTGTTCAAGTTGTACAGCTGACATAGCCTGATTCATTCGATCAATATCTTGTGAATCGCGTTTTATTTGGGCTTTCAGCTGCTTGAGTTGCTCCTTAGCCTCAGATTCTTTCTTGGCACGGTTTTTGTCCCAGTCGATAAGATCGGCTTCTATTTCACGTATTTTCATCTCAAGAGCGCCACGTTGCTCTTTCAGTTCGACCATAATCTTTCGTTTTTCCACAACTGCGGCATTCAGATCTTCGGCCTTCCGCATCGCTGCTGTCGCTCCAAAGCTGTTAAAACGCTCGTTGATGCTCCTGAGGTTGCTTTCACATATCTCCAACTCTTTCTTAAGCTCAGCGTATCTGCTCAGAGTTTTCCGTGCCGTCTGGAGTTGACTTTCCAGGGCGTTACACTCTGCGCTGATCGCGCTGATTTGCTTTCGTGCCTCCTGTAGCTGGCTGGCTACCAGGAGGACCATATGCATGCCTTTGTTGGAACCGCCAGACATAGATCCTCCTACATCAAATTTGTCTCCTTGGAATGTTGCCGTTGGAAACGCTCGAGATCGATCTTTTTGGTATGCGATTTTGCGTGCCACTTGACTTGAGCTGCATATGAGCGCATTACCAGCTAAATACTTTGCAAGTTTTTCAAACCTAGGATCGAATGTAAGAACATCCTTATATCCGGCCACAGTAGTAGTGTCACTCAAGTCTACATCGACTAGTTTGCGACAATGCTGTTTGTCTTCCTCCGACGCGACTCGTCCGACCACAGCATCGTTCAGTGGTAGCACAGTAACTTTCCTGGCGTTCCGTGCTAATCCGTTAGCTTCAAATATTGCTTTGGCGCATTCTTTATCACGTGCTATTAGATAGTAAAGTTTAAATCCGAAAAGCACATGTACAGGCAATGCCACCTGATCCTGGCATTCCTGTTTGAGTTGCATTAGTTCAAATGCCTGTCCGTAATATGGCGCTCTGAGGTCGGTTGCAGATCTCTGACCTAAGTGTTGTGGCACGCTAACACGAGTGCGCGAACGGTTGAGATCGGCCTCTAGTACATTTGCGGTTTCACTATAACGCTCATTTCGCTCTCGCAGTTCCCGTAACTTGCGTTCGAGATCAGTGACAACATTTGGCCCTCCCAAATTCCCTACTAGGACCTGAACAGATTGTAGCTGCGTATTAATATCATCCCTCTGTCGTTCAACTTCTTGTTTGTTTCGTTCGAAATTCCGCAACTCGGTGTCCATGCTTGCCGCTACTTGCCTCTGTTGTGCGATTTCTCGTTCACTATGTTCTATAAAGTTAGCCAACGCAATCTCCTCTGCCTCCATACGATAGAGTTCCGATTTCATGTCCTTTAGCTGGTGTTGCCGTGAACCCCCGGCTACAGGTTCTCCATTTTTAGCGGGTGCCGCTGTAGCCAGGCCCAACGCATTTTCTAGCTCCATCACTCGCATTTTGTTGTGCTTGAGTTTCTCTGTCAACTGCGAGATAGCATCAGCATCACTTTGTGATTCTTGTTTGCGTCGTTCAAGTTCTCTAGAAGCGTTTGCAATTTCAACTTGTGCTTCGTTGACAGCGTTCTGCAGCTCATCTACGTCTCGGTTCATCAGCGTGATTTCGGATTCCATTTGCCCTATTTCGTTGGCCACAGCGTCTCTTCTTCGCTGAATCTCCGCGGCCGGACCATTACCCCGTTCAATTTGCCGCCTCCGCTCTTCGAACTGCACCTGTAGAGCTGCGTTACGTTCCTCAAGCGCCTGTAAGTCCTGCTGGATAGCCGATTTCTCGGCTACCACCTCTTCCTCTTGACGCATACTAGCTTCAGATCGGCTCTTTGCGACCCAATAGCGGTGTGCTACGTCGAACCGTTCAAGCCTTGCTGCCTCCTCCTTGATGTTGCTCCATTTTACAAAGTCATCACAATCACTTTTAAGTCGTTTCATCTGAGGCTCAATTTCATCCCTAATTATTTGTGCAATTTCATCAAGCTTCTGGTTCTTGCGCTGGATAAGCTTCATTGCTGCTGCTCGTTTGTTTTCGTAGATGCGTGTACCTGAGGCTTCTTCAATCAACGCTAGCAACTCCTTGGGACGCATATTAACAACTTTGGTGACACGTCCCTGCATAATAAGGAAACGTGGATTATTTACGTTCATGCGGGCACATTGAAAAAATTCTGCGATAGCCTTTGGCGTCGAGGGGTGTCCGTTGAGGAAGTATCTATTACGGCCACCCAGCGCAATTTGGCGTGTTATGGTAACCTCCGGCATCTTACGATAGGCATCTGGCAGTGGGCTTGGTTGGCGTCTGTTGTTCAGAACTACAGTGACTGTTGCCTTGGTGATACCGGCCTGTCCCTGTTTGTATATTAGATCATCCAGTTTGCTAGCTCGCACGCAAGTGAGGTCTGTGATGCCAAGACAGAAGCAAAGGCTATCTAGGACGTTGGACTTCCCCGATCCATTGAGCCCCGTTACCGCATTGAAATGCGGATCAAGTGGCCCAATCACGGTACGCGTGGAGTAGCTTTTGAAGCCATCGAGAATAATCGACTCGATATGCATCGTAAAAGGGCGGCGGCCCAGCTCCGGGCCGCCGCCTAGGTGGCCGACTTTTAGGTTGTCTAAGCGCCGGCTCGGCGCTGTTTAGAAAATAAAATGCCGGCAGGGCGCATCTATTCTCCTGACCGTCCAATATTAATTAAAACGCAAAACTTAAATATGCATTAGTTGAGCTACAGAAGGTTAAGCGGGCTCACTAGGACCCATTGGTCGATGTTTTTCTCCGTCACCCAAGAATACCGTTGAACTTAGCTACCAATTTACACATCACAAGAAGGATGAATGCATCAGTTACAATTATTTCATGCTGATTACCACATTGATTCACATGCATCATGTCGTTATACCGTCGTACCATGTGTAGCGGCTCGTACCGCTTCACGTAGATCGTTGTCTGTGTTTAATTTGCCACTTCCTGCATAAAAATATGTCCATGCATTGTGATTGCGGATTCCGTGAAAAATTTTGGCGTAAAATTCGGCCGCGGCGTCGCGCGGTTGTTACACACCGCATCGGAACTAATGCAGGGATTGCTTCCTGGGCTGGGGCCCAGTACACCGATGAGTCAGCCTTAGAAGGCCACTGCTGGCCTTTGATTATGTCATTATATGTATTTATTTGCTTACGGAAGTGGACAAAGCTTTTGAGTTGCGTTAGTTAAAAAAATAAATAAACTGATTCTATTGCAAACACATCAACATTTCACATTTTCTACAGCTCTAAGGAGCTATATATTTGCGGCAACCCGGACCAAAGTGAACGTTTTCACGCTTCGACCAGACTTAGACATGATGGCACTGGGGCCGCCACCCACCTCTGAGGAGAGCGCCGAGGACTTACCAGAACCTACGGTGCTGACTCGACCTCTGGACTCGACGAACTTCGGCTACTATTCTGTTTCTGCACATACGGATATCGGTAGGGTGCCGACGTTGGATCCTTATATACCACTCAGGGGACAGGAAGACACAGGAAGACCGTTTCGTAATTGCGCCCAATCTGGGAACACCTAGTAATCAAGTTGCCTTTTTTGGTATCTTTGACGGGACTGTTGGTAGGTATTTACGTTTCTAATCTGGATTTTCGCAGGTCACCTTGCTTCCGAGACCATCCATAAGATCATTGTGCGACACTTGGTATCTACCGCTGTCTGGTGGGTAAATAATTGATCGATTTACACAGTATACAGGTCTGTTCTCTTGAGTGAACTAGAACGGGACCGTGACGATGGATCGACCATCCCAGCGCTGGCGGTGTTGTCACTGTCTCAAGCTTACACCAATGCGGACGAGGAATTATTGGGGATTTGCCACCAAGAGAACAATGACTACTCATCTTGCACAAGTGTTACGGTGTTAGTCATAAAGAATTACACCGTGGTCGCCCACCTGGTTGGTACAATCCGCCAATGTGACCCCAATAGTGCTCAGGGCGATAGTCGCGCTGCCCTATGTTACCAAGACACTGGGAAACTCTACGCTCGCTTTATCACCAAGGACCACAAGCCTGACATGCCAGCTGAAAGATGCCGAATCCTGGTAGGTTTCGTGCAACATAGAAAAGCCATGCTACTCAGGCATCAGGTGGCTCAGTGCAATTCCTTTCAAGTCATAACAACAAGCCATTTCTTAGAGGCGGCGACTTCCTCGAAAGAAAATCCAAGGGAGATCAACCAATGCAGATTCAGTACTCGCGAGCTTTCGGGGTGAGTAATTTTGTTTGGTTACATTATCTAGCGCTTATATGGGTCGTAGTGTTGTCGATCCAACGATCGAGTACACGTCGTCGCTGGCACAGGCCACGCGATTAAAGCACCCACAACGCAGTTTTTGACACTAGTGTACAGGGTAAAGACCTCAAGATATATGGGTTGAGCTCGGAGCCGGACATAAGCGTGATCCGACGCGGTGACCATCACAGGGCGATCGTCTTGGGAACTGATGGTCTTTGGGATACATGTGATTGTAACCATGTATTCAGCGCAGTCTTTCAAGCACGGTCAAATGGTAATTTTGTCCTTCGCGTTAACATAGCGTCGCAGGCGTGAACCCTAGTCGCCATCTTGTTGATTCTGCACTAAAAACAAACAGGAGGGCTTTACACCGATCTGACAACATAACGGCTATCGTTGTATTCTTCGAATAATTCTGCCCAAACGGCATGACAATGCAGTGCGTCACGTCGCCGCGTGACTACCACATCATCGTTCCCCAAGGGGGCCTAAATGGCATCCATCCCTAGTCTCAATACACTTAAATGATTGCAACTCAACAGCGCTAATAAACGCAGGCTACTTTAAAAATGTTTTTTTTTTCACTTTTGATGAAAGTACGTGTTATGTCGTTTTGTCGCGGTGTGTCTAACGGTATTTTCAGGTTGTAACAGCCGTCAATTCCCAACTGGAGAGTAGCGCTAAATCAAAATCAACTTCTGCGTCAATATTTACGCCTAGTAGCCTGCCTCTGTATCTCTTAGACTTCCAGGTAATTACTAGGTGTGTGCATCCCTCTCTGATGCCTTCTAGGACAACTGGCAAGCATCTAAGCCCATTCCTGTCGACGTCAACTTCTCTGTGCCGTTAGTAAAGGTTGTATTACGTTATAAGTTATTGCAGAAATTTCGGCCCGCGTGATTTGGTGAACTACCTGGAGGAGGTGTCACGGAGCTCAGGTAATCATATCTATACCTTTTGTCATACTGTACAGACGTTTTAACCAAACAGGTGAGACATAAAAGTCTATGAGACGAAAATTGGGTAGGCCAACGAGCGCGATTGGCAAGATCGTAGCATCTCGAACGAAGAGGCTCGCTCTGAATTACTGCTTCCATATGTAAGGCAGCGTATCGCTTACGCCCACCGCCACTAAAAATGGAGCCTGATTTGGAATTTATGCCTCTGCCCAATTTGCAGATGCTCAACAACAGCTTGGAAAAGCTTAAGAACGGTATGTGTTTTAATTTTACATACTGACATTTGCAGATGCTGTGTTGAGGTTACACGCATTGCAAAAGGTAAACCATGATTTACTGACGGATAACGCTCGCCTACGCCAACGTACACGTGATCTTCTACGACAAAAACGTGAACAAACACAACAACCGGGTCGGTCATCTGCAGCTTCACGTTCTGCTGATTTCTCTACCATTGGCATCGCCGACCAGAATGCAGCAAGCGGACTCATTGGTGTGTATGCCAGAACTCGTAGGAAGGAACCTATCAGTATCTTGGTGCAGCGGGGCCCCGACTTTACCGCGGTGGTCGAGACGCGAGTATGTCTCACCGAAACCCAGCTTAGGAGTCACTTCCACGCTGAACCATCCAACTTACAGTACAAAATGATACTGATAGAGACTAAGGATGGTGTAGTAGAGAATGCGTCGACAGTGGTTACACGCAATGCTAAGGTTACGCTTCGTAAGCTGCAGGCAGGTTAAATACCAAAGTCACGTAATATCTGGGCAGAATGGCGTAGTGTACCACGTAACTGTGCATTGCACTGTACCGAACTCCGAACGCAGGCTCACGGCCGAAAACAAGTTTCTCTATCAAAACTTGCCAATGGCACAGGAGACCCCGCCGCAAGAACGGCCTGCGGAAATGCAACAGGAACAGCACACACCCATTAGCGTAGGGAACGAGGTGTTCTCACTAAATGTACAAGTTGGCGTTGAGGAATACCTCACGTGCAGCTTTGTCGCTGGAGACGATCCTGGAGCTGCAGCACGGCAGTTTGTTGCGCAACACAGATTGAAGCCCGTTTTGCTCGACGGTCTGATCACAGCACTAGAGCAACTGCAAGATTCCGGTGTTACAATACGTAACGTTGATGTATCCGATCTGTTATAGGATCCATCATGGCACTGTTGTAAGATTTTCAGTTTACGCTTAAACTTTGCGATGTCTCCATATCGACCGTCGCACATGTTCGTATTGCATCACTGCGGGCATCAGAGTCAATACTCGATAGCTTAAAAGTTGGTTGATTTCCGATTAGGCGACTAAAGGTACCATTGTTCCGTGGGGGATGTGCGGATCCCACTGCGACCGCGCAACGTGAGACACACCCTGGCAATTCGCACAAGGTTGCGAAATATAGATATATAATACGATTATTTACATGATAAATTTGATGAATCCCAGTCTCGCCAGGATGTATAGGCTCCCAGGCGTAGGACGCACGGTGACATGTTTGGACGTCCAAGGAACCTCAAGCCGTGTTTCCTTTGGCATCATTAGGCGCCACTTCTCTCAACTCACCCAATCAGGTGCAGCTCAAGTCGTAGCGACTCCCAAGTCGCTCTACGAGGCCACAGCGCTGCCTAATCCGTCAGTGCGCGGTGACCGTCTGCCATCGGAAAACAAACCTGGATACGAGTCATGTCGTATATTCGACAACCCCAACATCATTGAGTCGATCCGTGAGGATGGTAAAGAAACTCTAGGAGATCGCCTTTACCGATACCTGGACATCGGCGGTACCCTTTCAATGCTCAATAGCCGCAAGTGCCACATCCTACGCGCACCCGCGGAGAGCCGCAAGGGTATCATGTTGTCAACAGAGCTTGAGCGTAAACAAAGCATTGTGATGAACACTTTAATCAGCGGACTGGTTGTCTACGTGCTCTATCTTTTCGTCCAACACAAGCGCCATGTCCATGACAAGCCTCCAAATGTAGAGGTTGTACCCAGGGAGTTCACAAACAACCGTTTGAAGGATTTCACATGGCACGGCAGTTTCTTCTTTCAATACCCTAAGGGACGGTGCAAAGAGTGCCGGTGGTTGGAATTAGAATGTAAGAAGCGTTGCTACGACAAGCTTCTCAGCGAGGGCCACAAGTTTATCATACACGAGCCTATGCAGAAGCCGCGCAACCGTTTATATCCTTCACCGTACCCACCGAGCTCGAATTGATCGCAAACCTATGTACAACACTATAATTTTACCACAACTCATAAAGGATCGCGTCTCAGCCGTGCCGACACACACCACTTCGGTGAGTCGCGGTCATTATCCACTATAATGGACGCAGCGGATCGTGCGAAATATTGCCGAGAGCGCCTTGAAGCGCTACGGTTGGAATTGCCACGTATCGCTAGGGTCTTACACAGCGCGGATGAGCATCTCGAGCGGCGGCGCGGCCCGCAAGGTTTGCCACCTTCCGTGGCCCAGATACGAATTTCTATGCTGAAAACTAGCGTACAGCGTCTACGTCAAGCGCGCGACCGGCTTAAACCGGCTATCGAAGGTGCCATGGAGCTGGTAGAATGCATCAACCGGGTGGCGGAGAGCGCAGCTAATCTGCGGCGTAGACTCGCTCACATTCAACGGAGCACTGTACACGCTGAGATGGAGCGTCTGAGTGCCCAGATATCATTGACTGAGAAGCGCTTGCTCGCCCTCAACTGTTTGATGGGCCACCTCAACCCCTCCATGACTAACGTCGACTACAACTCTTTGGAGTACGAATCACATGCTGGTGATCCCACTATCTCCGGGATGGAACGTGTACTTGAAGCTGCTGAGAGCCTTATGGAATCCAAGAGATTTTGTGATTCCCTTCAGGAGCTGGAGTTCCTAAAGGGGTCACCCGTTATACATGAGGCAACACAACGCCTCGCAACTAATTTGGATTCGAGTTGCGAGCTTTCATTCCTGTGGTTGCAGAAGGAATCACGTAGACTTTCGACCTCCTTATGCGACGTTTTTAAGGACGCAAGCGCCGTAGCACTGAGACACTCCACTGGCTTCATACCGCCAGTATCTGGAGATCATTTGATTAACGACAAACTTGGTCTGAGAAGCATCCTTGAGCAATCGGATGAAAGTGATGAAAACGAGAAACCATCAATTGCGTTACGTGCTCTAAGACTTCTCAAGTTACGCCCTACCTACCTTTATCACTTCCTTGCTGGAATGCGTGACATATTAGGACACGTGTCGCTTAACAGTTTCGCGGCTTATACAAGTGCGGTCAAAATGGACGCTTACAATCGCACAGCGGTGCTTGAGTGTTACTTGAATCACCTACAAAACACTGTAACGTTCATGAGGAGGTGCGTGGAGCATTTATACAGCAACGCCGGGGTTCCGCTCGATGCCGCAGACTTACGTTGGCACGGGGTCGTATTTTTAACTGCAGACCGATACTTGCGCCACATACTCACGTGGTTGGTTATTCCACTGGAATCCAAGCTTAACCACGTTATGCAGGAAAACGCCATAAGCGTCATTGAGGGGATAATTAACTACAGCAGCATAGTGTACATGTTTGATGCCATCCAGATCGTCGATTCACACGTAAAACGGCTAAAGGTCGAGCTTGAGACACCATGGAACGGCGATGCGACACCCTCCGGTATAGTCATTGACGGATTAGAGGTACCTAAGGAAACAGGTGGCAGTGCCATGCGTGAGAACTCAGACAAGATGTCGTTGGACTCTGTCATTGCTACAGGAGAAGGTGAAACACAGATCGAGGAAACTGTCGATTCCGTATCGCAAGGCAAACCTGAAGGTACAGTAGATGTTGAGAACGTCACACTTGCTGAGGATGAGAGCCAAGCGGAATTTGTGCTAGATTGCGATACGGAAAAAACTGAAGATGAAACTGATGTTGACTATGAATACGATATTGGCGAGTCTGAGGGAGAAGAGGATGCAGCAGACCCCCTCATCTCTAAACTAGTGGGTATCCATTCGGAATGGCGACGCCAGTTGTTTGCAAGTGTTAAGCAACGAATAGAAGATCCCCTATTGTCCGAAGACACCTACGAATTGGACACAGTGACCGTAGTTGACATCGCGGCGCCACATGTCGTGCACAGCATCTCTGAATTTATCGTGGACATAATTACAGTCCAGTCGCGGCATGATTCATCGGACGACTTTATGGAGATGCTTGATCTGACCTTAAAATCAATCATGGGTTGGTGCAACAGGTCTGCAGAGAAGTACGGTGACAATGCCAATGCATATCTCATCAATTGTTATGCCGTTCTTATGCAAGCGCTAAGCAGTGAGATCGTTCCGGCATCTTTTAGGGAGTCTCTGCAGCTGGAGTTGCGCAAAAACGTCGATTGCATTGTTGAAACATTGTCAACAGAACTGGCCACCCATCTGGGTCTTGATGAGGCTAAGTCGGACATTAACAAGCGTGAGGTCTCCTTGAGGCGTATTTCCGCTTTAGTATTGGGCGATGGTATCATGTCTTGCGATCTGAGCTCCATAAAGCGACTGAAACTGATTACGGACAAGTACCAAATGGTGATACGAGGGCGCATATACCGTTTGTTGGTGGAGGGCTACAGCAATCTTGCGGACGACAGTGACTCACACCAGGTTCGCGAACTGCGGGAGTTCGCTTCAAAGCTGTCTTATTAATAACATATCGCGGACAATGGTATACTACTAATCCAACATTACTGATGAGCACCATATACGCTGAAAATAGCTTAATGTAAGAGACAGCTGTCACCGATGTTAAATGTGGAGACTCTATGTGAGTCCCCTGTATTACTGTGCATAACTCATCTATTTCAAACTATGTTTGGGTTCCCCACTCTACTGCTTGGGTAATTGCATCAAACGTGGTACGTGAAACGAGCGTCCTTTGACGCTCCCCTACGAATACATTGTGAAGCAGCTGATCGTAGACCAATTGAACGCACATCTATGATTTATGTTCGCGTCCTAGGAATAACCCAAATGTCTGCTTCGAACTTGCGGCATCTGCATCACTGGATCCTGACGGTGGCCGATATTCTACTCTAACTACCTCCGATGGCCTCAGGCCCTCGCATGTAGACCACGTGAATACCATGAACGGGTTACAAGCCGTCTTAAAACTCAAATTCTTGACCGGGTCATAAATTGCCGGTGCCGTAGTATACACTGTTGGCTTTCCGGTATGTGGATCAATTTGGTTTGCGTTAACGCGTGATGTTTGATAGTAGACTACGGCGTGAGGCGTGGAGCACTCAAGACGCATTCGGTGCATCTCTTCGGAGACCGGCTCGAATATTACACGTGGCGCTGATGTTAGTTGCTCTAGGCGATTGAGATCGAATAATCTGGAGGAGTGCATTTGACTCACGTTGGGTACGCCTAGGAAGTGGTAGTGAGGAAATGTTTCCAGGTGCTGCGTAGGGTCATGAACGTTTGAATTTTCGGGTGGCGAGTACGTAGTAGAGCGTAAACGCATTGCGTATGATACTACATCATTAATATTGAGAAGGGAATTTTGACCGCACTGATCTAGCGCGTCGATCTTCCGTCGCCCCGCAAGCCAGAGTCCCTCCATCATAGCGTAAATGCGATTGGCTAATTCCATCCCATCCTCCGATGAAATAGCGCTGTCACCCGCTTTTGGTAGCGGTGGTGTCGTCTCTGTTGTTTTAAACTCGTAGTTGCAAGAAGCTTGTTGTCCAGCTAGGTAATCGTCCACCGTGCGATCGAATGCTGTCTGCCATTCTACACTGGTGGGATCAGGTATACTTTGCCATTCTTCCCGTACCGTAGCGGCTACCTGCTCGGCAAATCGCGTCAGCTCGTCCATCCTTCCACACACTAGCTGCCGCCAATGACGCGATTCACCGCAAACAAAACCCTTATTTATATACTAAACGTTTTATATTTATTTGTTTTTTACAGAATATAAGTTTAGGTGCGCAACAACTGTCAAAAACTGACCACTACGGGAGCGCATTGTTCCTAGACAGTTGGTGTACGGCAATGGTGGGAAAAATTCAATTTTCTTGCAATCAAACAAGTTACTACTCGCGTTACGTAACCTTTGCCGGCCATGTGGAGGGAAGATGTTAAATGGTTGCAACAGCCGTGGCGGCTAGACAACTAATGGGGTGTTACCATTTATCCCAACCATGACTAGAACCTAGCACTGTACAGATAATATTTATTTTTGGCGTCAGAGAGAACATTCCAAGGTCTATACCGCCTTCTCACCTATGACAAATGAAAATGAATCATATAATTTGTACATACCCAATAATTATGGCCGACTGTAATCTCAAAATGTCGAGACGAGATTATACACCAGGAATAATCCTTCCCCTCTGGAAAGAGCATTACTTTGCTATTAAATCCATGGGTTACATCACTTCCGCAGTTAAGGGCCCGCCAAATCATGGCCGGTACGAATAAATGTTGTAAACAGCTTATATTATGGCAGCCATGTTTGGCAATACTTGGTTGGCTTTTGCAAATGAAATTTTTTTTGGCTAGCGTCGCCTGGGTTTCAGGCTTCACGAATGATTTCAGTTACCATTACACTAGAAAAATTTTAATTGTTCACATCGTAATACACATGACACTTGGAAAATGAAATGTAGTTTTGGGTATCTGAAGGTTGCAGTATGTGCGTTGGTTTCGATAAATTACATATTTCCAATAGAAGGTTGCATACTGGACGTCAGTCAGACGGCGTTCCCACCACATGTAGATATTTTCGAGGGTAAATTTGGCAGAGGTGGCATATATAGGATGTTCCATTCAAAATGTTCAACAATCCGATTGGTTACATACGGAGATCGTATTTTGAGTATTTTAAAACATCGCAACGCCGTTGTAAGAGATGTATATGTACAAGTCTACACGATTGATAATCATACAATTATTTCAATAACTCGTGTTTTGGGGGATAATAATCGCACCTATACATCTTTTCATGAGGTCATCGGTACTACGGTGAAGTTTTCATCCCGTAGAGTGAAAGAGAGTATTGTAACAAGCCCTATATCACTGCGACTAGATATCGATACGGATAAGGTACACCCGTTCATAGCTACCATATGTGGATGCGCGGAACATAGGTTTAAAACGTGGTCCGTTTTACCATCGCATAAGAATTACCTCGACGAAGGGACGATTGCCCGCTTGCGAAATGGCTCGGGCGTGTTTGTCATATCCCCTGTTATCAATATAGATAAACAATTCCGCAATCGCTACAGTCCGCCAACATCACTCAGTTCATTTAGCAATGAGGTCCGAGTTTCACCAACGGGCGAAACCGTAACGATATGGATCAAATATATGAACGCATTAAAGCCATTCTTGATCCTAATACCTCCAGTTGAGATGGGTATATTCAAACCAGCAAACATATTTCGGAACCCGTACGTTTTTGCAGCGCAGTGTCCCCATGGCGATCTGTCAAGACCTGTTGGCGTAACTATAGACATTTCTAGTAAGGAGAGCGATGTAGAACACCTGGTAGTTTTGGCTGACCTGAGAAGGGGATGTTGGTTGTATACTCAGTATAGCCTCGTACCTTTACTGGAACAAAGCCTCGTATCAGTTACGGTTATGAATTCGGAGAACTACCAAATATACAAAGTAACACCCGACTCGATCGTTACCCATGTAGAAGTGTTCAATCACGTCAAACACGGGTGGCAATACGTTGTAGTAAATATTAAAAAACTGGAGGGACATGATGCACTGGATATACAAAAAGTTTATAAACGTATAGACGTTGACGGCGGACTGGCTTACTTTGACCTTGACAACTTCTGGTCAGAACCATATCTAGACATGCTATACAATATCGACACTCTAGACACGTGTAATGACTACAATGGAACACGTGATATCCTGCAGGAGGCCTTTCAGCCAATAGGCGTTCCTAACTGACTGTGGCGAGATCGCCGTTGATACTATTCGCTACGTAATGTCATTCCTCGAGTCGACAGCAACACGTTAAATTAGTCTGCAGACGTATACCATTGTCTAATATTATGGAAAAACACACCTGAATGGCAGTCGTGGCTTGTAGACATGACCCTAAGGTCAGGTGCTGCCTTGCGGCGCCTATGATCGACGGCTGAGGGAGACTTCACGTCCAGCCCATTTGGCATCTGGACGACCGCGTTGTACGATAGCTCTGGGGGAATGGATTTCTGTCTCCATGCAGCAACTGGATGGGGGCAAGTTCGGAGGTAGTTGAACCAACATGCCGGGGGGGTCCGCCCACGGGTTACAAGGTTGGTTGTTCAATCTGTATATGAAACTTACTTTTACCGATATAGGTATTGTATATGAGAAGATATCAGCTGCGTGAAATAGCGTAGTTAACTGTTTCGACATCTGAATTGCGAAATATAGCAGCAAGATCACGGACTCCATTATTTCCACCATGTCTATTAGCTACCACCCGTCTGTCACTTCATCTATTCTAGCGAGTATCTTCACGCTGTCTATTATGACAGTCAAGGGAGAGAATGTTGAAAATATCGATAAGATGAAGGGCGGGAAATTTATGGACATTCTCCGAGGCGATTCCCTCAAGACCCCAAGGGGGTGGCTCTACTGCTACTAGCCTCCGTGCTGCTCTGTTGTATAGCTGGGCTGATGTACGCCTACGCTAACGATGAAGAAGGAAAAAAGGCCGAATACATCGCCCTTGCCGTGTTTACTGCCGTAATACTGGCCATCGTTTGCTACTACGCCTACCGCGTAGGCGTCCCTGACTCTGAAATGGAATTCTTCGACAATAACATGGGAACTTTCTTAGGATGCTACATAGTGGGTCCTATTCTTGTTGTAGGCCTCTTTTTTCTATTGTTACACGTGGTTGGCACCAAGGTGGCACCGCAACCGTGTTCCTGCAAGACCCGTACTGGTGGTCGTAGTACTCAATGTAAATGCAATGACAACTGCGGCATTTTTTGCGACTGTAATTGTGATTGCAGCAAAAAATACACGCCCATAGGCATTGCCATTGGTCTTGGCCTGCCTGCTATGGTGGGCGCATTTTACTTTCTCTCCAGCTACATGAAACTTCTCCAACAGACACAGAGTCTACGTACTCCATCTGTATCACGGTGATGTGAGACCGCATTTGTAATGCGGCTCAAAATTTACACTGTGTTTTCATGTGATATCCACTACGTCGGTTTAAGACCTGAAAAAAGCTGTGAAACTTAACCAGCTTCAGACTAATTGCGCTTAATAGATCCTATGTACTAATCTGTGTTCTTTTAGACAACATGAATCGCTTGAATACGATGAGCAACGACAATTACTGATTAAGTCTGTATTCTCGATCCTGACGATGCAGTCGCTCCATGTCACAGGTGTGAACAGGGCGACCCGCTGTCTGCAGAGATTGTTTCGGTAAGTTGACGAACGACGATGATTTCCACCCTTTTCTGAACTTTAGGTTCTCATAGGTTCCGCGAGTCAGCCACCGACAGATGTTCCAGCGCTGACTTTTATTATATCGCCGCAATCTGTCAAAAAATATCACTTTATGGTAAGAGCAACCTACGAGCGTTCCCAATTCCTATTTCGTGAACCGAAGAGGAAGCTGCGCGAGAGAAATAGCATCCTACGTTTTAGACATTAGTATCGCTGGAAGAAAAAATAATAATCAAGATGAGCTGAAACATGCAGCAAAAAACAACTAAAAGGTTTATAGTATGGCTAAGTGTGACTTTTCGTTACTCTGTATGTGCGACGCAGACTTCCATTCCGCGCCACTACTGAGATCAAGTAAACCCTCAACATCGTTCTCCACTGCATGTATCTATATCTTTTATTAACTGTGCTATATTCAATTTAAAAATCATCGCATCATGGCGATTTGTAAGTGTCATGGGTTGCTATTTGGAGTAAGGTGTTAAAGTGGAGATTAGCAGCTTAATGGCCAAACAATCGTATGGAACTATCGAATGTGTAAGATCTAATATGTTGATGTTTGTCTAAGGCACTATGCTATTCCAATGACATGATGGAGAATCTTAGTACGATGAAGGTGTGCATGCACACACACGCATAATTTGGAACGAGCGCTACGATGTTTAACGTCGATATGTGTTCATCCATAGTTTAGCAAACCCCAAATCCATGCGAGAAACAAACCATGGTTAATAATATACTTGGCTAATCAAGCCAATCCATTGTCAATAGTCCGACGCAGGCAGGAGCAGGCGTGTTCTAACTGGCAAAATGGATGCTATTGAGGCCGACAAGGTACGTATAGCTCTTAATTTGTGTTATCTAGTTTTTTGCGATTAAAAACAACGACATGTGTAGCCGCAGAGACTCGTTGCGAGCACCGCAACATTCGGGGTATTGAAGAACGTCTTCGATTTCGTGCTGGTCACAGGGCTCACAGTATCGGTCTTTGTCACTGTTATAACGGCTACAGATGGTATGTGTGGCATATGTGTGAGGCTTCAACGGTTTGTAGAGGATACACGTATCGGCGAATTCGTCCCTATCATTCTTGGAACTCTGCTCTTTCCCCTCACGCTCTACCTTTTCTACGTCTTACAGGCCGTCGTCAAGACCGTAAAGGATAGTCTCGTGCTTAGGAGGTGAGATAAGATGAACAAAGTCTTGAATTTACGCAGGCGGCAAATTGATGGCCTGGCCCACATCGATAGCTCAGTGGGCCGTGAAGACGATGGTGAAACTAAACATCACAAGTATTACCCGGTGGACTTACTCTCGAGGGGTGCGTTGCGAAAAACGTTGTATGTAAGACCAATTCAGGTATGGAAAAAATTAGGCTACGTTACTCACAAGCCAAACTTTCGTTGACGTTCATGATGCACAATTCGTGCCTGGCTTTGATCTTTTTGGATTCGCTTAAGCTCACACTATGGTATCTCACGCTTGTGTACTGGCATAGAAATGACCACACCGAACCGTGGGATTTCGGTGACACACCTCTGTCTATTTATAAGCTCCATTACACATCACTATCAGTGGTAAGCTGCAAAACCACATAAGGTCATACTTTGTAGACCAATACTGAGCTATGTCTATTCATTCTAGGAGCTACAGACATCAAGGACGTGCTATGCGCATACGAATTCTGGATTAACGTTGTCATATTGCCTCCAGTAACGCTATTTGTCAAGTTACTGTTCTTCCGCCACCTGGAATTCTTTCACGCCTATTGGATGATGGGTTTCTTCATTTGGATCAAATATTTCTTACTACTCGACAAGATACTTAATACATTATGCGTGGGACTTGAGCGCAGGGTGCACCGTACGTCTAAAATTGTTCTAGGTATATTCCTCATGACCAGTGCCTTTGCGAGTAGGTTTGCAACGACATTTGTAACAGATGCCACAGGTTCCATGTACGTTCTGCAAGGAGTACACCCTAAGACGGCGAATGTATCTCCATATATTCATACCCTCTCGCAATACGGCAACTTCTTCTACTTTGCGCTCATCACATTCTCCACCGGTGAGTATTTGCGTAGTCAACATAACACAATCCTACGCAGTCGGTTATGGCGACGTTACACCGTTGACCATACAATCCAAGCTGGTGGCAGTGTGTTTCGTCGTATGCATGCTGGTGTGGATCCCTTACGAGATGAACAACTTCATCCAAGGTATCGAAAGCGAAAGGGAAGTCAGTGGTCACCTATCTTCGTGGTAAGTGTTATTAAAAGTTACCTACAACAATGCAGGGGCGCAATACGCTCATTTATCTTACTCGTTGGTGATGTGGACCCTATACAACTTTCGTTGTTCATCTCTAAGATATACTATGCTGGATTGAAACTCAAGATTATTCTGCTAACTAACATGAGCGTGGGCACCTACGAGACACAAATCAACCAGGCGAAGCTGCTCCGTGTCGCACTGTGTATCGTTAAGGAGGACCCCGGAATAAATGGCAACGTTGACATTTTGCATACTATTAAGGCCAGTGATGCGGCCGCTACATTTGTACTTTCTACATTCAAGAATCATTATTCGCGTAAGACTGACACTAAGACGGTAGCACGTCTCATCAGTCTTAAGAAGTTTGGGATTAGCAGCGACAGTGTAATCATCCAATACTGCTCACCAATCAGGCCCCAGATAGCTCTCCGGTCGTTTGGTAGCATCGTCAATCTCTATCGCTTCAAATCTGCAATTATCGCAAAAAACATCAAATGCCCAGGGATCATTACACTGATCATCAACCTGTCGCTAACACATACATCAATTCTGCAGCAGAGCAAAGGAGACGAACTGTATAATCAGTACGTCACCGGCATAGGGAAGAGACTACTTACGTTCGAGATCCCTGAAAGCCTAGTTGGAATCAGTTTTGAGGTACGTTTCCAATTATTGGAAATAACAATTTCGCAGACACTATGCTTCAGCCTGTACAATCGCTATGGTTATGTAGCCATCGGCGTGCTTCATTCGGATAGTGGTTTCCGTACATACCAACTGAACCCCGCTGGTGAGGACTACATCATCAAGCAGGGCGATAGAGCTGTGCTCGTCGCTGATTCTGCTAGTACTACATCTATGGAGAAGGATGTGGTAACATCGGGTAGGAATTCATCAGTTGCAGTCAGGAACACGATGATCGACATGGTTTTGCAGCGGTGGGCTACTACTGATGTGTCGCAACAAAAGGATGGTACCACCAACCAGGAGAGCACCGGTCTAAACTCCCGCCGCAGCAGTATCGACAGCAATATAATTGCCTACGATACTGTCGGCCGGAAAACTCCACTTGACGCGAATTCGATCGTTGTTAATTCCATTACTCTCGCATGTCGTCACGTCTTCGAGGAGCCTAATCGTCCCATAATGGCTATTGTGGGATACTCGGAGTTTGTGCTCCAATTGCTTTTGTACTTTGAGGAGCTCAATGAATTTAATGTCATTCTCTTCGGCCGCGAGATATCTGTGAAGGTCAATGTGGCTATTTTGCAAAGGTTCAAAAGCTTCTTGGCCGTTATCGATGGTGACCCAATGACCGAATCCGACGTTCACAGGTATGCAATAATGGCAGACATAACATTTTGATAGGGCTGAACTTCACAAATCGTGTTACATCTACGTCATTCCGAGTCCTGAGCTCAATGACCCAGAAGAGTCGGACACAGATCTCGATCTGCAGACGATTGTTACGTATCGTCACCTGAAGACGTTGATGCAGAATTCGATGAATGAGCCAGAGAATTTCAACAACTTCCACTCCAACATATACGGTTTGGTTGAGCTTTACAGTTCTTCCAATGTTGCCTACCTTGACGACACCATGTGGTCTGCATGGAACGTTTTGGATAAGAAGTTGGACCCATCTCTATCGTACATTCACTCGGTAGAATTCTCTATGGGTCAATTTATCAGTGACGGGATGTTGTACAGCGTCACTATGAACACAATGTTTATACACGAGGATTATGCGCTATATCGTATAATGCAGGACCTTGTCAGCGTTGCTGGAAGCGGAAGCAATTTCGTAGGTGGTAACACAATCATATAATAGATTTTCAGCGTGGTATTGAGATGCTACCTATCAAAGATATTATGCTCGAGTTTAATAAAAGAACGTTCGGTCAGCTTTTCAACCTGCTATTTGCGAATATGAAGAAGATCGCCATAGGCCTCTACAGAGTGTTAGTATCATACCAAATAGATATAATGAGATACAGGGGCAACGGGCCTATGGAAAACTGTGTGATATGCTCGCCTGCGCCAAATTTTCTTATACGGCATACGGACATGGTACGTTAAAACAATTAGCAGCAAATAGTGCTAAGGCCTACGTTATTTCGCACAGCAGCGAGACCCGCAATATTTGATTATATCAAACTCTTCAAGCACAGTCCGGTGTTGTCGCTGGCCTCGACTAAAGTTTCGTAGCTGGCAAGGTCTTGCAATGGCCCTCTAATGCTTTCCAAGTATTTGTCGGTTAGTTCACTACTGTCCTTTTTAATCTTCCTTGTAGGAGATTTTGAAGGGTCGTTAGTGAAGAAGAGTCTTGTGATTTCTTTATACGCAGCACGCTTGACATCGTACTTCTTTCGTCCTTTGACCGTTGCTTCTGGCGGTGTCAAAACCGGCTTGCCACAATCAATAAAACTGCCAATGTATACGATATGACTAGCAATTTCACCACTCCTATCCATCCCCGAGGTCGGGACTTCTGACCTCTCTGAAGCGGGTATTACTTCTTCATCGTTGATGGCCACGAAGGCTGTAAAACTCGCGAGTGTTCCCGCGCTGGTGAATAATTTGGCGTCGTCACGACCCATAGCTGCTACCATAGTGAATGGGGTCTCGGGCTCTACTCTGAGACATTCCGCGATCTTCTTGTATTTTTTGAGACCGTACTTTAGATCGGATGCGTCGACTATAGTTGATGTCGCAATTACGGTATCTTTGGTAACATTAGCGGCAAATACGTTGTAACCTTTTGCTTCTACGTCTACAGCAAATTAAAGTTTAAATACCAAAGCTTACCAGTGAAGAGTTTGTGTAAGTTCCAGGATTCATGAAGATCGCCCAGAATAAATAACATTGATTTCTTGTTTTTAGCTTTGGAGACTGCGCACATTTAATGTTAATAAAAAACTGCTTACTCTTTAATGTCTCAATTTCATATTCCCCGCACATTTGTTTCGCAGAGTATGAGATGGACGTTGCAGTGGAACTAGTGGAAACGGCTGGAGCGGTTGACTCTGAATCCGGTTTCAAGGAAGTGTATATAATTATCACAATGAGAGCGACAACCAATGCACCAATAAAGGCCAAGAATATAAGCAATTTCATTAGCTGCAAGCGCCATGAGCACGAGATAAGTTTTGCCTACCTTAACATGGATTGCCTTAGTCTTGCGCTTAATCGCCCCGTAAATAGCACCTGCAAACTGTCACGAATCGAAAAAATTTCACATACCAACAAGCCATCCGATCCAGAAGAATGGAAACAGTCCCAACATAGCAAACATACGCAGCCTAAATCAATGTTATGATTCACTTTATAAAACATACTTGTACTGGAGATCATCCATGTCGGGATCCAAAGGATTCCTGAACAATTGTTCATCCGTTTCTTCCAGGGCATCGGGAGATGGAGCATCCCTCTGACTAGCATGACTGTATGGGCATTGAGGTGGTGGTGTTGTGACATCCGTTGTCTGGACGGCTTCTCCACTCCCCTTCTTGGCAACATCATCAGTTTTTTTGCTAGTTTCTGCTTCCACATCATGAACTGTAACGGATAGCTTTTTGCTTTCAGCCTCTTCTATTTTCTCTTCTACCTTCTTTTCAACTTCTATCCCCTTCGTAACCTCTTCGGTGACTGTCTGCTCAACATCGCCACCTAAGGCCACTGGTGCCTTCTCCACCTTTTCGGGAGTTTCTTTAGACTCAAATTCACTCATCTCGACGTTATATAGTTGACTATCACGCAGAATAGTGCTTATAGTTGTATTAGGATATCAATGAAACTCTTGACCGCAGGACGTCCTTCGTGCACTGTTTTAAAAAATTAAAATTAAATGTCAAACTACAAAAACCGCTAATGCTCAGAGTGTTTGTGTAACATGTATAAGCCGTGATCTCTGCTTTTAGGCATACACATATTACTAAGTAGTTGTCTCTCATCGTACTAGTTGGGGACAGAAAGGGGGCCTCGGAGTACGCGAGGTGTACGCCGAAGCAAAATTTGCATCTTCAGCGTATTCCATACCGTGGCATACATGTTAGGAGTACACGACGGTGTTTTAAATCAAAACTTGAAATACAAGAAACTAGACAGCACGTGGATTGTTAATATCATCGGTTGAACCATCCCAGTAGATGACTCTGTTGGAACTTTGCGTTCTGACACAGCTTCTAAATATAGAAACAGTAACTATTATTATCTATGAAGAATCGTATATAACGTTTTCAACCAATAATTTGGTAATACGCCATAAAATTCTGGTACGACAAAATACCCCCTTTTAATCCATTAAGACGTAAGCCACTTCTAGGCTGTTCACTTATATTAGCGTTAGTATTACTGAAAATGCTCTATAGCTTAAATCAGCCCTTTCTCCAAGCTGACCATGGCTTCCCCACAGAGCTGAGCGTCGCCGTCCTTTGACTATTACAGCAGCTTAATTTCTACGTACGACCCGGTAAGTTGAGACTTCATCGCTTATATGTGTATATTAACGGAATATGTGCCGTGTTCTATTGTCCACCTGCTGGTAGTCGGTGCCGCGCCGCTCAAAAGCACCATTTTCTGCCGTTTGATTGCCTCGTTCTCAAACCACTCACAATACTTTAGATTTTTTGATATCTTCTAGTGTGTCAAGATGCTAGGCTTGTCGGGAGTAGGTGATTTGTCATATGAGACTCATGTCGTGTCAGAAATCTAAAAAGCGCAAGTTTATTGGCGACGGTGTGTTCAACGCCGAGCTCAATGAGTTCCTGTCTCGGGTTCTCGCTGAGGAAGGCTACTCGGGTGTTGAACTCCGTATTACTCCCGTCCGTACGGAGATCATCATCAGGGCGACCCGTGCCCGTGAGGTCGTCGGCGACAAGGCACGCCGCATTCGTGAATTGACTTCGTTGGTTCAGAAAAGGTTCGGTTTTTCTCCCGACACTGTTGAGCTCTACGCGGAGCGTGTCGAGCACAAGGGTCTTTGCGCAATGGCGCAAGCGGAATCGCTGAGGTACAAGCTCCTCAAAGGATTGGCAGTAAGGCGTGCCGCGTATGGTGTGCTTAGGCACATTATGGAGTCCGGTGCCAAGGGTTGTGAAGTTATCGTATCCGGAAAGCTCCGTGCCCAGCGTGCTAAGAGCATGAAGTTCAAGGACGGGTACCTTATCTCTACTGGTCAGCCAGCTAAGACTTTTGTTACCAGTGCCACACGTTCGGTTCAACTTCGTCAGGGTGTTTTGGGTATTAAGGTCAAGATCATGCACCCACACGATCCGGAGGGACGTTTGGGTCCTGCTACTATCATGCCGGACACCATTACTGTAAAGGAGCCCAGCCCGGATTTGGAGTATTCCAAGTGAACTGGCGCTAATATTAACACATGTTATTGGTGAATTGCATATTTTGTTGTTGTATGTGGCAAATCACGTCTCCCACTATCTCTTGACGCCGGGATAGCCACCACATGTCCAAGCATGGGAACAATGGTCGGTACACCGCTGCATACCCAGGCGCTCTGGCTACGGTGTAGCCCTAACTGCCCTGTGGATTTATATGCGATAGTAAACGAGGCTCTGGCCAGGGACTTTGCCGCTTTTGCAACTTCGTGGAAATCTCGCGACTCCAGATGTTTCGGCCTACCACAAAGTCCTGCAAAAGTTTTATCACTGTGCCCTAATCATTACCTGTGAAGTTCGGATAAACTGCGTAGCCGGCGAGCTTGAAAGTGTTAGGCTTTACTAAAGCGCATCTGTCATTACCTACGACGTTAAAGCCCTCTGCATCATGTGAGACAAGCTAATAAGTAACCTACCACTGTGAAGTTTGGCGTCATGACACGTAACATATTGGCAACGATCTGAATCTAAACAGCGTCTAAGTGATCGTTGTAGTATTCTATCGTCTTTTCTTGGCTGATCCGACCCATTTGGTCCAGGCACCCTGTGTCCATGGCTTAAAAGCATAAATTTAACGTACACCAAGAATTGTTGCGATACACCTTCAAAGAAGAGTTTCCCGTCGAACAGCGACTGAGGATTGCTGCGATATGATTAAAGTGCCATGAGTAACGTACGTTGCCAGTTCGCAGGAATATTGTATAGTGAGCTGTTTCAGCCCCGCATGGGTAGTCTTACAATCTGCGATAGATACCTACATATAGTCTGAAGTGGTTTTATATGGCGTTAACATACCGAGCAGATTCCCTGATCGAGGCATTTGTTACGGATTATTTCGGAGCAATCTTGGTTCACGGACACCGAGGCGTCACCTGGTAGATCCACTGTCGCTTTATGCACACGAACTGTTAGCTGATGTGGGCAATGTAGTTCTTTTGTATCCGTCTGCGTCTTTATGTGAATGACATAAGTCACGTACCGCTACCGAAGTCTGAATCAAACCAATGATAGGATTAGCATCCTTCCTGAATCTGTGATCGAAATGCAACAGCATCTTTGAATGTTGCACATACCCGAAAAAAGAGACCGGTGACACTTGAAGTTGGCTGTCCAATGGCCAACGGCTTGCTGCTTTAGCGCCGGCTGCGATAGTGAATGCGATCAACAGTCCCCTAATTACACACATCTCACAACGGCGCTGATACACACGCGTTGATAATATATTTATGTGTCTCCCCTTCTGCTGTAACGACAGATTTTGCCATAACTGCCACTTCGGGAGGGAAGGGGAGCCCGGACCTCGATAAAGGCTTCTTGTTTAAATTGTTGTCAACAGTTGCATATAATAGGAGGCATATTTCGGTTGACGCCTCAGTGTGTAGCGCTTTACGCACTGACGGGTATGGCAGCGACCAGAAGCGGATGGGGTCGCCGACACACTTTTAATACGTATAAACGATCGGTATAGTTGTGTTTAATAGTACAACGGGCGAAATTACACTATTTCGCAGTACTAGGCAGGCGTGTGTCGTACATCGATCGCGTTTGCAGCCCATCATGGCTTGATGGCATACCAAAGGGTGATCTCCCTCCAGGGAGAGCTTCCTCAGGCTAGATTTGGGCATACTACAACTACTGTTGGAGGCGGAAAGGTTATTCTATTCGGTGGAGCTGTCGGAGGTTTGTAAAGGTCAAAATGATTTCATGTTCACTTAGATGTCGGAAGGTATACCATCACGGCCGACCTCTACCTGTTCGACCTCAACAACAATGTATCTACTAGGCTGATATCCGAGAATACACCTTCACCACGCGCAGCACACGCGGCTGCCTGTGTAGAATCTATGCAGGTGGTCGTGTTCGGCGGCGCTACTGGCGGAGGGTCGCTATCGTCCGACGAAGTAAGCTTCACCCAACCCCCTTCAAACGTCGCAGCTGTACCTCCTGGATCTTAGGAGAGAAAAACATCTTTCATGGATCACTGTGCCTACTACCGGCCGTTCACCCGGTAGACGTTATGGTCACAGTATGGTTTTTAGCAAACCCAATCTGGTAGTAATCGGCGGCAACGACGGGTGTGTTGAGATGTTATCTATTCTAATGCTTAAACAGTCAACAAGCTAGCAATGATGTTTGGTTTCTCAACGTAGAACATTCTCCATTCTGTTGGGTGGAAGTCATATTCCCCTCGACAGTGAAGCAACCTCCGAAACGTGTCTACCATTCAGCTGACCTCTGTAGGGAGGGTCCGGCGGCTACTATGATAGTTATTTTTGGGGGTCGCTCAAGTGATAACAAGTCTCTAAATGATATCTGGGGGCTCAGGCAACACCGCGACGGCAGTTGGGATTGGATGGAGGCACCGGTAAGATTTGTGTCTGCTCCCGAGCCCCGCTACCAGCACTGTGAGTAAGATTTGTCCACCATATTAAATGTTGTTTTAGCATCGTGCTTCGTGGGTACCAAATTGGTCATCATCGGTGGTCGGAATGACAGCGATTTCAACAAGTTGGTGACAATTACTCCAGTATTTATAGTTTAATGCAGGCCGTTATCTATATCTGCTTACGATACGGAAACTGTTGAGTGGTTCAACATCTCTTCAATACACAGAGTAAGCTTGGATTTATTATTTTGGCTATAATGCAACATAGTTCCGCCACTCCTCGTGGAGTATCGGGGGTCAAGTCTACATTTTTGGTGGATTTTCACATCAAACTCAAAAGCATCCTACAACTGAATTGAGAGAAGTAGATTGCCAAGAAGCATTTTCTGACTATATTAAGGCGTCCGTGGATTCAACTGGTGTATCCCGTGTTGGAAGCCCGGGTGTAGCAGTTGGTGTACCAAAAGTTCCCGTGCATCATATTACTGTGCAACCCTTAAAGCAGCCTACAAAACCTGCTGAACGTGAAATTAGGTTGTCATCTCACGCACATGCTGTCCACGAGAATGTATCTGATTTTTCCTACCTCGTACGCAAGATATCTATCGATAAGCTAGAAGAGGAGGGTCGTAAAATCAACAAGCCGGAAGCCCGTGCACAGCTTCGGTGGCAGAACGAAGATACTGACACTGTGTATGATCGTGTTATACGTACCCTACTAAACCCAAACTTCACAAACGACCAGGTCACAATGTCATACAATGAAACGTCTTTTCCCATTGCTTACCAAGACGTTCAGGGTCTCTGTCATTTGGTAATTACAGCTTATGACTTTATAACAAGTGCAGGTCTATCAGATAGTAAAGGAAGAGGACACGGTGCTTAACCTTCGTGCTCCTATAAAAGGTGTGTTACGTATTGTAGTTTGGTCGTTCATTTTTTACAGTGTACGGTGATATACACGGGCAGTATTACGATCTCATGCGTCTATTTAAGCTCTACAAATGCCCCTTAGAGGAGTCATTGGCGGAGTCCATTGGTGCAATTGGTGACATCGATTCGAATGATTATCTTTTCTTGGGTGACTACGTTGACCGTGGTTCAAACAACCTGGAGGTGATCTGTCTTCTATTTGCGTTAAAATGCAAATATCCTACCCAGATACACATGTTACGTGGTAACCATGAGGATCCGGGTATCAACGCTATATATGGTTTCCAGGATGAATGCCGTCGTCGCTTGCGGGAAGATTGTGATAACCCATATAGTTGTTGGAATAGTTTTAATGAGATTTTTGAGATGTTACCGCTAGGTGCTATCATTGAGAAGAAGATTTTATGCGTTCACGGCGGTATAGGCAAGACTATTTACCACGTGTCTGACATTGAGGAGATCGTGCGTCCCGTTACGGTGGCCCCGGTACCTCAAAATGAGCAGGATCAAAAGATTTTGGATATTTTATGGTCAGATCCCACTGACAGCGACTCTGTCCTCGGTACTGTGCCTAATGAAGTTCGTGACCCTGAGAAGGTGGGTCACATTGTCAAGTTTGGACCCGATCGCGTTCACAAGTTCCTCACATCAAACGACCTTCAGTTGATTATTCGTGCTCACGAATGCGTCATGGATGGTTTTGAACGTTTTGCTGGAGGTCGTCTTATTACTTTATTTTCAGGTAGGTTATTATGGCCTCTGTGACATTGTTTTCAGCGACAAACTATTGTAACCATTACAAGAACGCCGGCGCGTTACTGTTCATTCGGCGTGATCTGACTATCGTGCCAAAGCTTATTTATCCATCAAATTCTGACACCAAATGTATGGAAACCTGGTATGTTGCGTCTTCATCTTCCGCACACTGCTACAGGGATATGCAAATGGCGGAGCTTCGACCCCCGACGCCTCCCAGAACAGCTCCTAGGATGCGGGAGATAAACTACGGTGCACCTTGATAATATATAGACTGACTATGTAGATTATAGCTTGTTTACTGGGGTTCCCCTTGTGCCGCATCCTCGCGTACCTCTTTCGCGTCTTTTGTTGGCCGGGCATACGCAATGTTGTTAGATACACCATCCGACAATTGTGCGACATCTGTCGTAGCCGAGGGTTTTGGTAGCCCAGAGCTTCTGGGTCGTATTAGCTCCGTCGACCCGGTGATCGCTTTGCTGGGCGAACAGGACTGTGCGTCACGTGAGCTCGGATTACGTCAGCTTAATGTACTCGTGGATAAATTTTGGCCGGAAATTGCGGACAGTCTAAGTGTAATGTAGGTTAATGCGCAAAGCGCAGTGTGCAAGATTCCGGGATTCATGTTACGCAGACATCATTTACAAGATGACCCTAAGTTCCACGCTCGAGATTTGGCTGCGTTAGTGTTGTCTAAGGTGTACTTCCACCTAAACAACTACCCTAAAGCTTTGGAGTATGCCCTCGCAGCTAGAGATCGCTTTAATTTGCAGGAACCTTCGGAGTACGCAAAGATCATAGTCGCAAATGCTATTGAAGAGTATATACGTGATAGGCAGGAGCTTCAGGATGGCAACACTCCTCGCACTGTTACTGGAGTTGAGTTGGGATATAAAAAGCAGCTTGAGGCATTGGTTACTAAGCTGATAGCAATGAGTGTAGCTGCCGGCGACGAACAGCACGCAATAGGCATTGCTCTGGATGCGCGTAGGCTTGACTTTATTTGTAACATACTTCGAGAGAGTGCATCTTCCGGTACTCTCATCAACTACACAATGGGCATAATGGAGGGTGTAATATGTCGTGATTTTTGCACTCCTCTGTACGATAATATTCGGGACATATTGCTGGGAATGCCACGTGAAACTCTAATGCAACACTACCAGAGTTTGGTAACGTGTCTTTATAGACTGAACAATCACGACCAAATGGCAAAGTTATTGCAAGACCTGATCGTAACTGACGACCATTTGAGAGCATATCAAATATGTTACGATCTTGTCGACATCGGTGACCAAAAGTTTCTCAAAGCACTTAAGGACTCCCCTGCGTTAAATGTTGAGGGTAACAGCATGATGGAGCGCGCCAAAGACATTTTGTCTGGCACCAGCACGACCGAGCTATATCTGCAGTTTCTGCACAGGAAGAACCACACCGACCTACGACTGCTTGAACAATACATGAACTGTGTTGACCAACGTAACAGCATAGCTCACAATGCTGTGGTTGTTGCACACTCCATCATGCAGGCTGGAACCTGTTGTGATGTCTTTTTACGCGACAACCTTAGTTGGTTTGCCAAAGCTAGCAGTTGGGCCAAATTCACAGCCACCGCTTCAATCGGTGTTATTCACAAGGTGAGACATGGCTTAGTTGTTATATATAATATTGCAGGGTTATGTGCATCACTACAGGAAAGTGCTGGCGTCTTACCTACCCGGTCATGTCCCAAACACTGCACACGCATATTCTGAAGGTGGTGCTCTTTATGCTGCCGGCCTGATAATGGCGAACCACTACGACCCTGATGTGGTTACCATGCTGCTAAATCACCTGCGGTATGAGGGCGCTGATGATGCACTGTATCACGGTGCGGCTCTTGGTTTAGGTCTTGTTTGCATGGGACAATGTGAATCGAGTATATATGAGGACCTTAAGGCCATCTTGACAAAGAACAATGCGATATCAGGTCAGGCTGCGGCTATTGCGATTGGTCTTCTGATGCTTGGTAGTGGTAATTTGGAGGTGTTGGATACATTATACGCCTTCTGCACCGACACTCAGCATGAGAAAATCCTTCGAGCCTCTGCTCTGTCTATCGGCATGGTTCTTTACCGTTGTGAAAAGGATGCCAACCTGATGATCAACAAGCTAGCTAAGGACAATGATCCCGTAGTGCGTTACGGTGGCATGTTTGCGTATGCCATGGCTTACTGTGGAACCGGTTCGGTATGTTTAACCTGTTTATTTCGAAATTCTTTGCAGAGCAAGGCTATAAAAGAGCTATTATATGCTTCTGTATCTGACGTATCTGATGATGTGCGTCGTGCAGCTGTCATTTCGCTTGGATTCGTCCTATGTAACACCCCCGAGGAGGTGCCAAAGGTGCTCAAGCTTCTCGTGGCGTCTTACAATCCACATGTACGATACGGTGCAGCTCTTGCTTTGGGTATAAGTTGCGCTGCATCTCCTCAACCCGAAGTACTACGATTACTGCATTCACTGTCATCGGACACTACTGACTTTGTTAGGCAGGGTAGGCACAACGTTCCTATTGTTCACTCCGTGCAGGTGCCTTCATTGCTCTTGGTCTTGTATTACAGCAGAGCAATGAGGATACTAGTAACGACGTTATGCAAGTGAGAGAGTTATTTAAATCGGTGGCTGGGGAGAAGCATCAGGACATCATGGCTAAGTTTGGTGCCATCATCGGTGCTGGTCTTATGGACGCTGGCGGCCAGAACTGTGTGGCATCATTATACACCTGTCGTGGTAACATGAGGGTGGAAGCTGTGGCAGGTTTTCTGATGTTTTCGCAGTATTGGTATTGGCATTCGTTCATGCACTTTATCTGTCTAACGTTACAGCCTACGTGTCTAATAGGTATCACAGGTAATCTGCAGATCCCTACTGGTTACAAGGTGCTGTGTACAGAACCTCAGAAGCAGTTTGATTATGTGCGTCACGTAACCGACGAGCCTAAGGATACCCGAAAGGGTGAGGTGACGGCTGTATTATCTATATCAGCCAAACGTCATGCGTGGCTTTCTAGCAACAAATCGGTCGACCATAGCGAAGAAGCTGGTGGCAAGCCAGAGAAAAAACCATCTCCAGACGACACTGCATCTGTATTATCTGACGGTCGTTCCCAGAGGTATGCACATATATGTGGCACATTAAATGTTTGCAGGATGGAGATCTCCAGTGTCGCTGCTACTCTGGGTCAATCTAGCGTTGCGTCTCGTGACGGCAGCAGTGTTGATTATTGTGGCGACGTGGTAATGACTAGCGACGGTGCCTCTATATCAAGTCACAACGAGTTCCTCAGTGCTGCGATGTTAGAGGAGATTAGTGAATCTAACGTTGATCACCCTATGTCCGCTGGGACATTGTTGAACAACCCCTGCAGGATGTTACCTCGTCAGCAGATGCACATTGTTACGCCTCCTGCCAGTCGTTATACCCCTGTATTTCCCGACCGTCGTTACGGCATAGTGCTACTGCGTGACAACACGCCAGGGGAATCTGAGGAATTTGTTGCTTGTGAGGCTCAACAGCCTGAGGCGCCACCATTCACCCCTTTTGAGTATAAACGTCAACAATGATTAATTTCGTATGTTATTTCAGCTCTGTGAGTGCATCACAGATTGTGCTTGTTGATTAGACTGCGGTTCATTCGCTAGAAGCATTGTTTGAAATCCGAATGTCCTATTTAGATCCGAGTCTTCTGGGAAGTGGTTGTAAATCGTTTGTACATATGGAGAAAAGTACGGGCTCCCTAGTGGAGTGTTCATTCTGTTGGAGTATCTTTGTGGCGTGTTTTGGTAATTTGCATTGCTTTCCCCATAGTTGTACGAGTTCATTCGAAATCCGTCAACATTTTCTGCTGACGAGAGCGCGATAGATTGCATTAGCATGCGTATGTCCGTTTCTTCGTTTGTCGGCGACGTTTCATAATTTCCTACAAACATTTGTTGAGAGTGTCTATCTTGTTGTTCTTGTGTCATTCTTTCAGGTGTTGGTAGGTGTTGTGAAACTTCTGTGTTGTTCGGCGCGAACACTACGTCACTTTCAGGAAATACGTTGCTTGCTTGAGGTGAGTATGCCATATCTCCCTCTAGAAAGGGTAGACTATAATTTTGCGTATCAACGTAGTATTCTGGATTTCCGAAGAAATTATGTGGTGATTGCCAGTTCATCGGGCTCTGATATCCCTTGTCGAAGTCCTGTTGTGATTCAAATGACCCGCTTAGATAGTTATTTTCCAGCAGTCCCCCTGGTGCTGAGTACTCCGGTTCCATTGAGCCGGTATTAGCTATATAGCATGGATCTACTAGATTTGAGTTCATATGAAAATTTCTCTTCAAAGCTTCTAGATCATACATATCGGATATAGACGTTTGCGTGTTTTGGCGGTTGATGGGTGATTTGGCATTTCGCGCATTATAATCAGCCCCCATTAGGTGATTATTTGCCGATCTTTTTCGCGTTCGTCCTGCTCCTTCTGCAAACTGTTGTTTTTCTTCATTTTTCGCATTAAGTTGTGCAGCAGCTTTTGCTTCTCTTCTACCTTTTCGTAAGCTGCATCTTGGGTGTTTCTCAATAGACTTCATGAATTCTATAGCGGCTTGTTTTGCCTTTTCAACATCGAAATCGTAATATTTCGGATGGAATGTACGACTTCTTCTTGTGTCTGCATCATAATAAAATGACAGCCATGCTCCCATTCTTTTATTCCAGCTAACTCCTGGGTATCCCGATGAGCTTGATGGTGTAGCCCTTGGTGGTGGTGGCATTGGCATTTTTCGTCTAGTAGTTCTGTACGGTTTCCCGTTTGCATTTTTTGCTACGGGTGATACCGATGCAGATGCTGAGCTTGATTCCGGTGTCGGATGAGCTGTGCTTTGTTGTTCAGAAGCATCATGATCCTCGAAAGCCGTCAATTCGTGTTCTTCATTTGCCGTCATTTTTATTCCATATGTAGTTATGTTTCCTCAGATACGTTTTTTCTTGGAAGGATGTAAATATATCAATTATTATGTATAGTAAAGGAGGCTTCGCCTCCGTGTATGATCCCCTGTCCAGATTGTCTTGTTAAGTCGGTTGTGCATATATAACCGCGTTGTGGCTGTCCGTTTGTTACCCAGTTTGGTTCCGGTAGGTGTGGGTAACAGCGTTCCAGTCTGGTTGGGAAGCGTCACTAACACTCCCCTACAATTGACACACACTCCGGTCTAATTTGCGCACACACATATAACCTATTCCAACAGTAAATCCAAGGATGGTGTTGTGTGTTTGAAAATGGTTTGTTAAGACTTCTTGGTTTGTGAATTAGTCGCGTGATGTTTCTTGCCCGCGTGTGATGTTGTTCCGTGCAACACCTTAAAGTTGTTGTACACGCCTCGAGGTCTCCTTTTGGAACATCCGTGTGTTCTTGTCGAGTCGATTTGAGCGAAGAAGTGCGCGTGCAACAAAATTTCGGCTGCACGTATACGTAAGTGAATATGGTCTGTCGACCAATAACACAGATGCACAGATTATGAAACAAATCAGACTACTAAAATTTTTGTGACACTGGGCATATTTTTCTTCTGCGTTTACCAGGTCGTACAAATTGTATCTCGCGTATACATTTTAGTTCAATGCGGGGATATATGCAGTGCTGAAGAAGATTCGACCAATCCCACAAAAACAAGAGAAAGGTTAAATAAAAATATGAAGTTCGCAATTTTTTTGCGTCTGTACCTAGGGTGGTTAATCGCGTGCCGGGTTACGCCCACCTTACAAGACTCAACGTACGCCGAGGAGCAGCGAGACGGCGCCATCCCCATGGTTGAGGTAGAAATGGTATCGCCTAAAAGGTGAGCTTTTTGCACATTATGGCAACGCGTCTAGCGTGAGTGCAAGGTCATTATTGATGCTCAGATGGCAAACGTATAGAAAGGGTCTCGCCAATTTGAAGCGTGAATTGTCATTTATCATTGATAAAGGAAAGTGTATACTTAACATAAAGAACACTTCATGCAGAGGTGGAAAAAGAGCGTAACCGCCTTTTCATGTTAGAGGATGAACGTTTAGCTCACGGCGCTAAATCGTCAATGTTACAACTTATACCATGTGAGATGATTTAAGTGACGATATATGTCGTTCAGTTGTTCGGAATAACCGACATGCAGGCCAGAAGGGCCGTGCATAGCTGTACATCTATGATTCCTGGATGGGCGTGCGGTGGCGCGAGGTTCATGTGTTGTCACTTCCTTTCCACGTCATGTCAACGTCATTAATTGATCGCAACATTGGTATACTTTAGAATATTACCAGCATTCATGTCGGAATACGTCATATATTGGCAAACAATGTGTTTTTTGCGTTATGGGTGTATGCTGATCTCACGCATGAGATGTTTGGTAATACGATCTTCAAGGGTACCTGCATGACCCTTTACATGTAGTCATATCGGTCTTAAAGTTGCTTTATAGTACAAATATAACCGTAATATGTCGTTTATGTATCATTTTTCGCGTACTTTTTGCTCGGGATCACACTACACACGATATTTGATACCGCATACAGTCGAAGTAGCTACATTGTATCTTGTAACCAGCGCTGCATTGGCGCGTTATGATATTGACCAATAGTTTACGGCGGATATATCTCCGCGGCTATTAACATAACTATCGCAACACACGATGCGTCCGCTTAGTGAGGATGAGGCACAGCTCGTCTTCCAGAAACTCGCCAGCTAGTGAGCTTACATCGTCTATAAATCCATATGTTGCAGTATTGGCAACAAGGTGATGGACATGGTTGACCCCGGTGACGATGGGCCACAGTTTGTATTTAGGCTTCACCGCGAGAGGGTGTACTACATGAAGTAAGCCATGGAATCTTATTAAATAATGGTTATAGTGAATCTATTTTGAAGTATAGTGGATGTATTAACCATAAGAATCTGGTAAGTATAGCGTTCTGACTTGTCTTTGAAAATACATGGCGAATGGCGATAAGACCGTTAAGCTATAGGTTGTTATATATTTAAATCGATCCTGTGTGTCTTATATGTTTTGTTTTTTGTGTCTATTTTTACATAAGTCACGCCATACTAATCCGCCAACAGATATCGGCTGGTGTTTGCCTTGGAAAATTCACGAAGTCCAAGCATTTTCGCCTACATATCACAGCATTGCATTACATGGCTCACTATTCTAAAAGCAAGGTTTGGCTGAAGTCTGGTGAACAATCATTTGTCTATGGTAACAACGTTGCTAAGGTTTGTCTTTATTTGGTCTTGTATATTCCGTACAGAAGCACATAGGTCAAATGAGTGAGGACATTGAGCAAAATGGCGGCGTAGTGGTTATGTTTAACAATCTTCCACTAGGTTTTGGTGTGACATCTAAGTCAACGGAGTCTCTTAAAACAGCGCTCCCTGACGATGTTGCAGTCTTCCATCAGGTAATTTGTTATATCACATCAGTCATTATTTTTTTAGGCTGATATTGGTGAGTATCTGCGACACGAGGCCGAGATTATATGAGTGGTTAAAACGAAACTGTTGCGGCCCGACCTTCTACGGCCTTCTTAATCCCTTTTATTACTAAGCAATACACACATCGCAATGCACGCTACATTACCTAAAAAAAGCGCTATTGATATTAAAAAGAGTAGGCGCAAAGCGCTATCTGCGCTGAGGGCCCATCCTAGCGTCACAGCTCCGCGCGCAAAGACAGACTCGAGTCCGCGTGAGTGTGATATTACCATCCGTAACTTGAATACGCTGGATGGTTACAAGCGTCTGATTGCTAGGTTGTGTACTGTGGCTACTTCTGACCCTGAAAACGGTCTCGATGGCGTGCTTTTACTGTTCGACATTGTAGGATTTCGTGGCGGTGGAACTGCTGAATTGAAGACATTTGTAGCTAAATTGGCATTACGTTCACTTGTTGCTGTTGCGGTTCATCTTATACCTCGAATTTCGTATGAGTTGCTTGTCGATACCGAGGAAGATACGGGTGATAAGAAGGCTGAGGGTAATAAACGAAAGGAACCTACAAAAGCGGTTAGACCGACTGCCAGTAGTCTGGTTGAGACTGAGCGAGTTATTTCTAAGAAGATTGTTGATTTGCGTGACCGACTTGTGGATCACTGTTATAAGGAGTTGAAAAATGACCCTGAGTTGATAGTGCCACTAGTGTCTAGGTTAACATCAGCAGATGTTAGGCCTAATATGAAGCTGATAAGGCTATGTGTTGACTGTTGTAACAATTATGATGAACCTTTGGCTGCCTTGTGTGTTAAGAGTCTGCGTGACATGCTTGAGCAGTGTTCGATTCGTGACCTTGAGAAGACACTTAAAGTAGTGCTTAAGGGAACCAATATCCATGTAGGTGTTTTACGTGGTATTAATGCGATTCCTCTTGCGAAACGGCAACATAGTTTTGAGTTGCTGAGCGAGAATTTGCAACCTGCTGACAAGCATGTTGAAGAGATCCTTAGTCATGTGATTGCATTTTACCTGCGTATCCTTGCGCAATGTACAGGTGATAAGCTTGAAGAGTGCCTTACCGGTCTTTCTCGTTTCGGTGCACTTGTAAATGAGGCCCTGCAGCGTGAGATCCTGGTCAAAATGAAGTCGATAATTATCGGTGCCACATCGTTACGTCCATCAACCCACGTTCGTGTATTACAGGCCGCCGCATCACTTAGTCGAGTGTTACAAGCTAAATCGCACTGGATTGTTCAGGAGCTTACCCGTATGGTACATAATACAGGCCCTTATCTCTACCAAGGACAGGTGCTTCGTGATGGTAACCATGTTCAATTTGCTACACCATGTCATAGTTGGGGTCTTGTAAGGACTGTTCAAGTTGTTACAAGTCAAGTTACTTGTGTTGGTGCATCTTCTGACATGGAGGATGTTGTTCAGCTAATTCAGCAGTTGATAAGTCTCTGTTTGATCTGTGACGGTGCTGTATCGCAAGCGCTTCTTCGTGAGGTACGTCTCTATACTTTGCAAGTGAATAATTACAGGTGTCTAAGGTAATAGACCGGTTACCACATATTGCCAATGTCGTTGACATTGATGGCATGGTATTTTCTGTATTGGCTAAACGTGCTAGTAGTTTCTGGGAAATAGGTCTCCTGTTGAAGCATATAGACCCCCAGGTGGTTCATTTGTCTAAATCTCTTAGAAGACATGCTATAAGTTCGGTATCTTCGCGGCCCAAAGTCAAGGTGAATCGTCTGTCCAAGACTGGTCCCCCGGATATAGCAAGTTGTGGTAGTGACGTCTATGATATGCTCGTCGTTGACGAATCTGATTTGTTCACGCCATATAGACCTAAATTAAAGTAGTTTTAATTTTGACACACATTGATGCCGCACAGTTGTCGCGACTAGTGTCGCGCGTTGTTACCCGTTGTAAGGCAAGATACTGCTGCATTACCAAATGGTATAGCCTCGATGCACGTGTTGGTGATATTACGTTGTAAACTATAGATATTTGGCGCGGATATACGCGGCGTGCCACCGTCCCGCGATCAGCGGTTGGCCGCTGGCAGATCTTTGATAAAGCATGAACTTCCTAAAGGGTATCGTTGACGGTATCCTTGCCGAAGATGTTGAGAATGATGTGCCTCATAGTTTAGGCTATCGCTCTATGGATGGTGATTTCCATTCTGATCATGACCATGTAATGAGACACACGGACGTCCATTCTCGTGCTCTTGACGATGTATACCGTGAGTCACGTAGAGAATGTATAGCGTCACTAGTCTTACGTTATGGTGAGGGATGTGTACAGCAGCTCAATGCTGTATTGAAAACCAATAATGAAACTGTTGAGAAGCTTACACAACAGTTGGATGAAGCATATCAGTCTCTTGGTGATTTCAACAAAGAACTTGAGGTTTTAGCACATGAGAACCTGGCGTTACGTAAATATAATGCAGATCTTAATAATCAGATCGAGTTGTTAAGTTCTGAGAACGTAGGTTTGAAGTCTGTACTTGCTCAGGCTGAAATCGAGACTAAGGCACAGGAAGCTCGAATATCTGCCATGAACGGTATTTTACACATAGTACTGTGTTAAATATTTGCAGAGCTACTTAAGGATAACGCAGCTACCTTCAATGTCATGAAGCATCGTTGTGCTGAGGTTGCTGAGTACAGCGCTAAGATTGAGGGTTTGAAAGCTCATCTTAAGATGGCCAATGACCAGATCAATGCATTAATAAAAGAACGCGATTCGTTACTTACATCGTTACCAGATCCCGAATATCGCATGAGTGAGGCTTTGCGCAGGCAAGATCGAGCTATCGCCATAGCTAAAATGATGGCACAGGTTGCGTTTCATCACGCTGCCAAATCTCAGGTTTGTAGAGAGCCGGAACCTGTTACTGACCACCAATATTACGCGGACACTCGTCGGCAGTTAGCTGATTTAAGTGCCCATGCAGATCGTCTTAGCGATGAGAATGCTCATCTCAAAGATGTCAATGAGAAGCTTCATAATATGTATGCAGATTTGAGCAGAAGTTCCAAACAACTAAAGGACTCATTCCTCATGGAGGCCATAGATGCGTTTGGGAAGTTGCAGCATAAGAAGCTACCACCGCTTCAGCTGATATTTATTCAGCCTACTAGGGTTCTTGATTTGGAGCTTGATATGGACTTTGTGAATTCCTCTTTGGCGAGTTCTAGTCACCAGGTGCCAGCACAGAGCGCTGTGCAATCATCGTTGTCATCACATGAACCTAGAAGGATGATGCAGCCATCGCCAGTCGAAAGAGATGTGGTTTCACAGGTTGATTTTTCGAGTCGTCGTGTACCCAACCCTAACGTTACCTGCCGGAGTCCTGGTACTCCATCTCCCGCAGTGTCATCTGCGAAGCAATCTTGGGAGGAGGATTTAGATATTTATGACGAGATATTGCGTGACGAGCCGTCATCTTCTATAACACCGCCTGCCGAAGAGCCGGTATTACCCAATGAGGAACCACAGCCTACCACGTTTCCCAATAGTGTATCACCTGCTACCGTACAACCAGTTGTGGAGCATAAGCAAGGTGCTGTTCCAAGCATTTTTTCTGCCGGTGTCAAGGTTGACCTCGAGAAGAGCAAGCAGGCATGGAATGACGATTTGGACGAGTTACTTAAAGACAATATTTAATATCATTTTAATTTAACTGCGTTTATGTTGTTACGAAATGTTCATCGCCCAGCTATAATACTTGAGGTGGTTTCAGACACATGTTGACTAAGCGCATCGGCAGCACGTTTTCGAAATGCTGGATTTATGCCTGCGAATGCTTCCGTTGTAAATTCAGCGAGACGACGCTCCAATGCATCGGTCACCATATCTCCCTTACCCACTCTTGCAAAACTCCAAAGTAAGTTCAAGCATACTTGAGGGCTTGCACATCCCGCCTGTTCTATTACATGTTTTGATATCGATTCATAAAAGGAATCATTTTTGTAATGTGCCTTGGATGATGCGAAGCATATATTTTCTAGCCATTCCATGGGTATATGTTCCGTGGATTCCAGTATCTTTTGAGCAGCAAAGTCACATAGTGGCTTTATGTCGGCTGGATATAGACAGCTATTTAACAAGTATGCGATGCTCCTGATACAGTGTCATTAGGTATAGGGTGGCCTACCTGAAGCTGATGTATTTCCCCTTGTTTCCACTTGTTACAGCATTTGAGAGTCCCTGATGCAACCTCCTATACGCTTTATCAACAGCCGATTTCTTGCTGTGTTGTAATTTTGTGCCGTATAAAATCACTGCCAAGAACATGGGTGCCATGCACCGATGTGTTGTCGACCCATATTCGCTGAAATATATTAGTAGAAGTTCAATGAGCTGGCAAACACAATCATCCAAGAGTTTTATGATATCATCTTCATCACCGGCATCTCTGATGGACGAGATTTGGTCATTGGGTTCTCCCCTCAATTCTACATATATTGGGGTTGTGAATGCTTTCGGGTAGGCTAACAATATATCCGAACTGATTCTTAGCGGTCCTATATGTGATTTTGATATCTTGCAATTATATAAATGTCCGTCATAATAGTCTTCTTTCAACAGATTTAAGAACATTTTGTCGTATCCAACTTTGTTCGCTGTTTCTGCGTCACATTTTAGTGGACCTACAGTAGTACCAGTCACATGCGTTGAACGTGACAGTCTATAGTATGGCTTTAATCTTGACATGTATCTTAGATATCGTATGAGAGACGCTGGGTCCACATTGCAGCTCGTGGAATCAGGCCTATAGTCAGTTGTAATTGCCGTCATATTGTTGTGATTCCATAAGAAGCAGTATTTCGGTTTCCTTTGGTCACTTAATGCCTCCTGTTCTACCAACAGTTCATATAACGTAAACATTAAGGTTACACATTTTGCTCTTGTGAGTTCTTTTTTATCTTTAGCAAGGTGCTTTGCATAGTTGTATAGCACGTTCCAATCATGTCTAGATTCGACCACTCCTCGATTAATAGTCTTCTTTGCAGTGACGTGACCGTATGTAAGTGTCTTAAGTGGATTCATCTCTGCTGTGTTGTGTTTTTAGTGGACATCGGCGGTCGTTTCTGGTGCTCGGGGTGTCGAGGTGGCCTGGTCGGCATTCACCGCAAAGTGAGTATAATTTTCCATGCACCTGCATTTGAGCAGTTTGTGTTCACAAAATATTTGTCAAACAATAATTCATGTTATATTTTTTCTGTATACATAGTTACGCTCGCTCGACGTGTGTCGCGTGATTCCAAAAAAAGGGGCTTTTAAGTGCTACTAATTATCGTAGCCATATCACAATAATATAGTCACATAGTTTAATTCGTGTTTGTATTCTATACTCTATTGTTAAATAGTATTCATATGTCGTCGTTTGTCACAATGGCCAACAATGCTGTTGATATCGACGAGCAGGAGCTCTCGGAGAGGTCCAATGATGAAGAAGAAGAGGAAGACGATGAGGAAGATGAAGAGGAGGATGAAGATGACGACTCTGACGATGAGTCATCTTTTGATGAAATGAGTGTGGGTGTAGCCCTTGAGCTGCCCAAACGTCATACACGTGGCAAAAAGTTGGTATGAATTATGTTGTCTAAAAATTTTCAGATATACCCAACTTTTGGGTGAGGAGCTGGAGAAGGACCAGCAATTTTGGGGTCACAATACTTGGGAAGAAGAGGCAGTTGATGAAGATTACAACTGCAGTGAGGGAGAAGAGCAATATGCTTACTCTACTGACTCCGATTTCGATGACCCCGAAACTGATGTAGGTGTTGCATCTAACTTTGATGTTATGCAGTCTAGAAATCTGACGAAGAAGAGGATGAGAGTCAATATAAGGAAAAGAAGAAACGCCGTCACGGTACCTATGTGGATCCTGCCCTTCAGCGTCAAAAGCTTGTTCGCAAAACAATGCAAAAACAGAATGTATGTTTCTCTCTGCATGTTTTCATTATGTGTCTTATCATATAGTCCAAGAAATCTTCCAGTGATGTTAAAAATCGCAACCGAGAACCATCATCGCAACAAATAGAGATCAATGTCAATCGTTCAGTCCGTGCATCTACAAAGAGTAAAACAGCTGCTACCAACGAGATGGAGCGTATGCGTGATATGCTTAAAATAGAATCGGCCGCTGTTGCGGCTCAGAAGAAACGTGTTCCGAAACAGCAGCGTCTTACCCAGGAACAGTTGATGGAGATGGCCCGTCAGACAGAAGCTGCTAACACTCGTTCTCTTGAGACTATGCAGGCTTGGGTGTGTTATCATCTATTTTATAGCTCATATTTTTGAAGGAGGACGAGAAGAAGTATTACGATGATATAAAGAAATGGAATTACAAGGGCCATTACGACATTTGGGTTTGCTGGAATTCACTACTTTCTATCGTCAACAAGGGTCCGGATGGTGAACAGGAAGCTCAAACAATACCATCACAACATGTTGATGAGAAGCCACTGGAGTTGTATATGTTTACCAGTGGTAAGTTACCTGATTACTACATATCGCAGAGCGGCGACAATAAGATCTTATTAAAAGATCAACGCCCAGTTTGTGCAATAACTGGAGAGCCCGCGCGTTATCGAGATCCGTTGACAGGTCACCATTACAGCAACGCTGATTCTTACAAGGCCCTTATGATTAACCATTCTGATTCCGCCAATCGTCATATGTCATTAGAGCTTGATCGTATAGAAGATATGTTAGACCAATTACATGAGCTGGAATGACCAATTATAATATAGCCATTACAAGTAGTTTTAGAAGTGATGTTATGTAGCAATACACACCTATCTGGCGGGATATCCGTGTTCTGTATCCATCTATGAGACGAATGTTTTTGCTTATAATATTTCTTTTGTATATAAAATATAATCTAGATGAATTCGGGTGTAAAGTCATTGGAACAGCATCCGCTGCCTGAGCGTTGTCGTTTTACAATGCAACAATGGCTCTATCGACGAACGTCGCACACCCGAAGATATAAACGATGTTATATGGTTCTTCATAATGATAGGCTCTATTCATTTCGTAAACCTCCTAATTATCGAAAATGTGATTCTGAAAATTTATCTATGGTCCTTAGGTACGCCACTGCAAGCTGGATGATTGCAGGTGCTGAGCTTAAGGCAGATACACAGGGAGCGCGTGGATTCTATGAATGGAAGATTATAGTTAAGTCACCTAAACGTTATTTAGGTGACGAAAATGGCGTATTTACAACTGCTCGTGGTAAACTGGCATTTTACCGTTATATTCCAGGGGAATACAAAACTATAAATGATATTTTTAGAGATATCGATGCTGGTAACCGTGTCACTAACAGTGGTATGAAGCCATACACTGATGACAGGACAGTCTGTTTGGCTACAAATAACTATAAAGTAGCATCTGACTGGTTACAAGCAGTATTGTGTACAGTTCGTTATGGTTCTCTACGCAACTTTGTTGCCCAGAACGCTCTGCGTACAAAGTACCTTGCTTTCAGGCTGCCACTTTATCTCCTCTATCTGGAATATTTCCCCAAATCGCAGAACGTGGAAACTGCACCGCGCCGAAAAGCAGCCTTCACTTTCATGAAACTGAGAGTGTTGGAATTGCTGCACATACCACTCCCCGAGGAGACATCAATATCGTGTATAGTGGAATATAACAGCAGTTTCTATGTTTTGAACTTACCAACGATTTCACATGGAACACATGTGGATATACCTAAAGTGGTATCCAATGTATCTGCGATGGATGATGAACATCATACGCCTGATGGAGGTTCCCAACCTTCGAAAGACCGTCTGGCATCATTGGTTAGTGACACATGTAACAACCCTGTCGTTAATGCAGCTTTGAACAAAGAATCTATCAAACGTCCTTCCGTTCAAGTGAGCAAACATGACATATCTGGTGTTACTGAAGTTAACGAAGATGACCGTGTTAAGCAGAAATCAAATGCTAACACGTCTGCTCCCCAGGGTTACAACGTGTTGTCAAAGCTTTGGGGTCTCAACAAAGGTTCAGAAAAAAGGAAAGTGGTTATTAGCAAACGTTCACATTTGTACTGTGACGATGCCTGCGTCTATATACCAATATACCAGAATTGTAGTCAAGATTTTGTATGGGTACATGTGGTCACTACCAATGATATTTATATCGGCAGTGCTGCACTATCAAATTGTGACTTTGCAATTACTGAACCTGCCAAGCCCAAAACATGTATCCTCAAACACATTGAGACAATCAACCCGCTGAACCCAAAAAGGCTTAACATATCAGATTGTTCGAACCCCTGTTCCGTGGTTCAAACGTCAAATGTAAGCGCAAAGGTACCGGAATCTGGATATATCGTATTATCAGTGGTAACACCGAAACATTATGGTAATTTTATGGACCCGGTCACTCTATCTCACAATTCTCCACAGGAGTACTTGGTGAATGCTACCAAGGCGTCAACTTCTGGTGGTTTACAGATGCTGATGTCAAACATCAAGCGTGTGGTTGCGGCATACAGGACCACAAAGACTTTGGCTGGGTATATTAGAAAGGTACTTCAGTTCAATAACACGCCATTATCATTATTTTGGTTGATATATTGTGTTGTTGGCTTAAGTTTGTACCCGGACAAATTTCTATTGTTTGTCATGATGGCGCTTATATATTATTCGATGAGGTGTCATTCGGATTCTACGAAGTGGGTTACTAACCTTTTATTAGACTACCCCGTGCTCATAGCAATTTTGCCTAGGCGATTCACACGTCGTTTCTTGGTACTGCCTAAGCCGGTATGTATAGTCTGTACTAAGCGCAAAACCTTTTTACATGCTAACAGTTACCCAGTCAACGAACCTGTGAACACCCGTGTGATAGCCACACGCAGGATCCAATTACATGACCGTATAATGCGGCGTCACCTATATTCGTTGTGCATTGACGGAGGTGGCGATAAGGAACGCATAGTGAGCATTGAGCACCGGGACCATCCAATGCTTACACCCAAAAGGGCCATGAACACCCACGTGACGTATACTGCCCATATGGGCACTCATTTGGAAACTTGTAACCACCGTGGTATAGTACATTCGTACCTAGCCGGGTTATTTCTAAATCAATTGGATGTAGGGTCTTTTGATAATCTGAGACAATGTGATGGTCTGGCCATGATGAAAGGAATGCATTCTATATTTTACAACCCACCTCCATACCCGTGGGACGTTGTACCATGGTTGCAGAATGTTATACTGACGGTGAAATATCTTGCCATGACTATGTTTATCACAGTTGCTGGTGGTATCAATAATATGCAGACTCTACATTTGCTGCATAGGAACCGTATTTCTATGAAGCTGAATGTTGAGCCTGTATTGCAGCAAACCGATGATATTTTACAACGTCGACATGTATGTATGCAGGAAACGGTATACCATCTTGAATCGCCTCAAAAGGAATGGTATGAAAATGAACGTAAATCTGTTTTGGGTACCTATAGCAAGGAGCATCTTAGGTTTTACGAACGACCTCACCTATCAACTGAGGATGGTGTTAAGGTGTTTATACCTGGGAGTGTCCTTGTTACTGCCAAGGTTGTTATAAACGATGATACTGACGAAAATGGGTGGATGTATTCTAAAAGTTGGAACTCAGTTTGGTACAAAGAGCCACACGCGTTAACCTTTGTTCGACGGCGCAAATGGATAGCAGCCTATAAGAGTGTGAGTATATTTCCAAGCCCTGAATCAACACCTAAAAGTACTATGTCCATGTTGCCGCGCGAAGCAAACCGTAATTTGTTGGAGGGTAGCGTACGTCACAGAACACCTATGTTATCTGGCGACCTTCGTCATGTGAAATGTGACATGGCATACTATCGAGGTACTTACAAAGGTGATCTCGGCAAATTAGCTGGCGGTCGCAAATTGTCAATTCCACCTCATGTGGTTAAGGAGGAAACTAAAATTTCTTTTAATGAGACCACCACGCAACCTTTATGCGACCGGTTAGATGACCAAAAGTCTCATCAACGTGATGACACTGCAGTTAACGGTGTTAAATCTACAGCATTGGAACGTACAAAGAAAGGGATACCTATTGTGAAATCACCTGTGGATCATATCGAGGTTACACCAATAGAGAGGTGTGAATCTAAATCACGATTCCGTTTTTTCTCTTTACGGAAACGAAAATCACGTGGTTCAGCGAGTGCAGCTGCCGATAGTTTTGATAATGGTGAAGTGTCGAAGCAAAACGTAAAACCTGAAGAGCCTGTAGTTGAACCTGAGGAACCTTTGAAAGAGCCTACTAAGGAACCAGAAGATGGTCCATTTTTACCATCTACAGGAACTAGCTACTGTATCGATGAGCCGGATGATTTTGATGATTGGATAACTGATGGTGAGGATGGTTTATCAGAATCTGGTCCTATGCATCGTAATTCTCTTCAGAATCTTTTCACTTTTGTGATAACATTTATACCCTGTCTCCTTTTGGACCTTTTTCGTCTTATTTTGAAGATATTTTCATTCTTCGCCTCATTTGCAATACCGCAGCGACACGAACCGGGTCTGGGTGAGGAACGGGACATTTTCGGTGATGAGCATTCCGTGTTACCGCCGGGTGTTGGTCGGGGCAAGAGTTCCCCTGGCTGTAGCCTGCTGTTTAAGTCAGGAAGGTATCATTTTTATATACGTCGACCTAAAAGTGGTTGTTCTATATTACGCGCTAAAAAGCGCATTCGTAATGCAGCGAAGGGCTATAGTATAATTGCCCCTGGCATTGGCAAGTCGCGCAAAAGTATGCGCCCGAATATACTGTTTATTCATACAAGGCAAGAGGTTGTAAAGGTTGATGATGATGATTATGAGCCTCTTTCGGTTATTTCTGAGGAAGACGATTCCCCCCTTCGGGACGAGCCAGATGGCCGTATGCTTGGCCTAAACGGTAACGATAGTGAAGAGTCTGAACCTGAAGAGACGTCATCTGATTCTAGTAATGATGATTATCGTTTTGACAGCGCTACGTTGGATATAGATTTTCTTAATCTTCACACTCCACGTTCATACGACGCTGATGAGCCAGTTTTGGAGAATGGTATGGCGGATACAACGCCGTCTTCAACGAATACTACGCGTCGTAAACGTGGAAGGCTGTATTCCTACATTAAAAGTATCTATGTCAACCGTATAATGAAACGTCAATCTGATATGGACCACGTTAGTGTGGTTCCTGAGGATACAAAGCCATCATCTGATTATGATGGTCTTGACAGTAGTGACGATATGGAATCTGAGCACAAGGTGACCGTTTTGGGGATGTTACGTAAAGCTCGAGGTCAGATTGTTGTAGGTAATTATTACCTAAACCTTTTTTCTATGCGTTATGAGAAGTTTCTGAACCTCTTTTCTTGGCGTCACCCTAGTGTGACTTACTTGGTTATGGTTATGTGTTTCACATTATTGGTTAGTAACTACTTCATTGGAGCTAACTGGATTCTTTTATTATTTGTAGTGATGCATTTCAGATCAGGTTACGTCGCTGGTACCTGGGAGCGTAACATCCGTTGGAGTGTAGAACGTCATATAGACTTATGCCTTTCTGATCTTGAGATATATCGTCCATTTTGGGACCTTACAAATCGTCAAGCTACATCATTATCTAAATCAATCTATGCTTTTTCTCAGGTTGATATCCCAACTGCGGTGATCCGTGAGTCGGCGACACGTCGTGACCTTGCTCAAGCTGTCACTATAAAAATAGTTGAACAAAAATTATGTAGAAATTGGGAACGGCGCAATTGGCTCTTAAACCTGTTTCGCCAATCACCCAGTCAACTTGATGTATGACGCGCTCATTTACATTAAATAATTTATAGAAAAATGGAACTTGCACTTTTTAATGCTAAATATGGTTACCTTGAAGGTATAGTTCGAGGTTATCGTGGTACATTTCTAACTCCCATGGATTATAAGAAGATGAAAACGGCCGAGAACCTTGATGATCTCCGAACTATCCTTGAGGGCACAGATTATGGAACGGCATTTTTTAATGATCAAGATGTAACTACTACTTCTGGTATAGTGAAAAGATGTAATGAGAAGCTTGCAAATGACTTCGCGTAGGTTCGCAACAATAGCTACACATCGACTTATAGTTACCTCTGCCAGCAATCTGATGGTAAATTGGCCTTGTTTCTAGACTTTATAGCGTAAGTATAACTATATGTAAATCACACTCGTTGTAGGAGAGAGAAAATGATCGATAATCTCATCGCAGTGTTACAAGGTGTTAGTAACAAGAAGACTCCAGAAGAACTTATGGAACGTATAGATCCTATAGGATGGTTCCGTGGCGTGGAAACATTAATGGATGCTGATATGTGCCAATCGGTGGAAGACCTGCATCGTATTATCCTCTGCGATACACCTATCGGTAAGTAGTACCTTTCTACTAATATCTACATAAACTCAGGACGGTACTTTGAAAGGTTCCTTCCCAGTGTTTCTGAAACCAACAAGAAGTCGGTACTGGATCCTTCTAGTATCACACTACTCAAAAGTTTCCTTAAGAGAGCTTGGCTAGAGGATTTCTATGAGTTCTCAATATCACTTGGAGGGACATCGGCAGAAGTTATGGGACACATATTACGTACTGAGGCCGATTTCAGGGATCTAGCACTTACGTTAAACTGTATTAACCTCAGCTCAGTTGTGCAGGACCGCAACAAACTATACACAAGTATAGGTTACCTATACCCCCATGGCACAGAACGTCTTTGTAAAGCCTTCAATGAAGCTACTCTACAACAGGCCCTAGCGCCATATCCCAAATACGCAAGGTTATACGATATGTGCAAGGGGACAATGAACCGGGTATGTTTATTTCATTTGTTGTGACATCTCTGCAGAGTGAAGGACGAATGTCAAAGTTCGACAGTAGCGAACGTTCTTTGGAAGACCATTTTTATGCCGCTAGTGTCAAATTGTGTGAAGAGTGTTTTGAACAACAGTTACATTTCGGCACATTCTACGCATGGCTTAAACTTAAACAGCAAGAGATCAGAAACGTTGCATGGATTGCTGATATGATTTTACTAAAAAGACCGGAACAGTTTGCAAGAGTATTGCCTATATTCGAACCGCGTGTATAAGCCATTGCAACTTCAGCTACAAAACATAGCATACCAGATAATATTAAACCCCCAAAATGTTTTAAAACTAGGAACAAAATCTGGTTTTTAATGAAATATTGCGATGCGTTTATGTATATAGGTTACAAAAAATATAGCTATCACGCTACAGCACGACGCCAAATGGATTTCCAGTGTGCTTTACTGCCTGTGGTCTTCTGCAATGACGCCAACTGTTGCTTGAGAGACTCGTTTTGGGTGAGGGATTCATTCAGCTGACGTTTCAATGTAATCAGCATTGACTCTGATGCAGCATCATTAGTCAAGATTGGCTTCAACGCAGCGACATATGATAACTTGTTGTACCACGAGTAATCAGAGGTCTTGTATAACAGGTTCTCCAAAAGATCGTGGAAGCTAGATTCGTTCATCCACATAGGTTCATTTGCGCTGAATCGTGATGACTCGGGTTGGAAAATCCAATCTAGACGTTCTAGAGCCTGTATATTATTAATATGGTTGGAAATTGTGGACTTACAGATGCCAACAGGCGCTTAGAACGCGGTAGCTCGAATTTATGAGCATCTATCGATGCCAAAAGTTCATTGAATAGATGTGTCCGGCAATTAATATACGATGCTCGAGCAAGTGTGATGCAGGTACGGAACTCTTCCTGTGCAACTTGGATCCTGCATCTATATTAAATTCTGAAATATTGGGGCATACCGGTCACAAAAGTCCTGATGTTCCTGTGGGTTCATGTTATGACATGTCTCGTAATATTCGACCTGCACGGAAATAACACGAGTAAATGGATAGTTAAACTTACTTTTAGATCATTACATGATATCCAATGCATTAACATGTCGTAGATAGTTCCGTGATACAGCAATTCCTCAACACGGTCATATTCTTGATTTACCTCCCTCTTGTACTTATGGTACTGGTTGGTAATGCGTGCATTGTCCTTTCTTAATGAAGCAACTTCGCCATTCAACCGTGTTACATCAGCTAATTTCAACTCATAATCCCTAACAAATGCTTCATCAGATGATTGCAATGCCGCTTCACGGATCGATTTTGATGTCTCAAGTTGAGCTTCCAAACGTGCTACCAATTCGACCAATTGTTCATTGGCTTGCTTTAACCCCTTAATGGTATCCTCACGTGATTGAGCATTGCTTTCAAGTGTTTCTATGCGGTCCATGCAGCGTTCCAGTTGTGATCGTAGTGTAGCATTTTCATTGATTTGCATAGCAGTAGCTTCTGAGAACACCTGTTTGTTAGTGGCATATTGTGAAAGGAGCAATGTATTATCCAGCCGTAACATATCTTTCTGTTGTACCAAAGCTTCACGAGAGTAGCGTAACGATTCTATAGTATGTGCTACTTCACCAGCAGACAGGTCATCAGCAGTCCCCTCGACGATAGAGCGCATATATGTCAAGCTACATAGGCGCAATTGTGAGCACGCAAGTTCACCTTCCTTCATAGTTGAGAAATATACCGCTAGAAATGCCTCTTCATCATCTGAAGGAGTATCGATACAGACAAGTGTGTACCTACCTCGGTTCTCGAAAAGGTACAGTATAGCACCAGGAATGACATTGCCAACATCAGATTGTATTGGCAATGTCATTCGTGCGTTAGCTGGTCGTATTTCCATGTAAACATGTTCCAAAATCCATGCCATAGTAGGAGATCTTGAGGCAGAGTCTATACACACTACCGGGTCGAACAGCAAAAGTGCATTTCCACGTGTTTCTAAGGATGCCTCGAACCATCTTTGCTCTAAGAAAATATCATCGACGCTCGCGCTGTCCAAACGCATACCCCGGCTCACGTTAACGTGCGCGGTAGTATGAAACCCGGCAGGCCAGATTGCCTGCCAATACCGCCACAGGGCAGCTGGTAGATGCATTTTTAATTTTAAATAAACTTTTAATAATGGCAGATAAAGACAATAATGAGGCTAACGCGCCCGCCGCGACACCTACTATACTGCCTTGTGATGCGTTCCGTGAACTACTCACCCATTGTACCGCGATGCTCGAGGCTGCGGTCGCAAGGGTAGATGGAAGGTTCATGGTTAGACTTATGCGCCATATCAAGACTTTTCGTAGCTTGTTGAAGAATTACGATGTCTCGACCCTGCCAATACTTAGGCAGTCCATTGCGGTATACACAACCGGTACAAACAACTGCCCGGTCGCATCATACGCACTGAGCTTGTTACAGAATCTTGGAACGTCGGCTAATAATAAGGATAACAATGTCAGATTACATTATTCAGTGACACCTATGCTGGGCGTCGAGGAATTTACCTCCAAGAACTCAAATTTAATGGAGACTAAAATATTCCTATTAACATTGGCATTGATATATCTTATCGATACTGGGAATTATACTGCAGCTATGGATTTCGCTGATAAATTGGCACAATACGTACTGGAATTCAGGAGTAGGATAATAGACCAGCTAGCTGCAAAAGTGTACTTCTATTACTCGCGTGCATATGAACTTGGTAGAAATTTCAATGATACAAGAAGATTACTTATGAACGCTTATAGAAGAGCGTGTTTACACCATGAACCAATGACCGAGGCGGTCACATTCAATTGCGTTGTGAGGAACCTGGTACATCACAAATTATACTCATCAGCAGCTACACTCCTTACGAAGACAACGTTCCCAGATTCACTCAGCTCCAATGCTCAATATGCCAGATACCTATTCTATTATGGAAAGATACTAGCAGTACAACTTGAGTATTCAGAGGCCTATAGCAAGTTGATGCAGGCATTAAGGAAGGCGCCACAATCAGATAAAGCTGCTTTCGGGTTCAAGGTAACGACAACGAAAATGGCTGTTATTGTGGCACTGCTCATGGGTGATGTACCTAGCAAGAGTACCTTTACGAACCCAATTATGAAGCGTAACCTAGCGCCATATGAGGAAGTTGTTATAACCGTGATGAACGGCGACCTAGTGGAATTCTCTAATGTTTGTGACCGTTATAAAGCATTGTTTGAAAAGGATGGTACATTATTCCTAATCGCACGTCTGAGACACAATGTCATTAAGGGCGGATTGCGAAAAATCAATTTGGCATATTCTCGCATACCAATTGAAAAAGTGGCTCAAAAACTAGGAATCAAATCTGTGGAGGATACGGAATGCATTATTGCCAAGGCCATACATGACGGTATCATCGAGGCTACTATACACCACGACGAACAGTACATGGAATCAAAGGTATCACTATTAATTCGTATAGACTAATTTGAAATTGCAGGGAAATGTCAACCTTTACACTAGCGACCAGCCTATGATGGCATTTGACAAAAGAATCAATTTCTGCCTCAAGCTACACGCTAACGCAATACAGGTAATAGATTAACTTTGTAACATTTCTAAAATTGCCCTTAGGCTATGCGGTATCCCGATGAACCGGATGTTGTCAAACCTCAGTCACCGAGCATGGTTATTGACGAGGACCAAATCGCTGCGGTAAGTCATTAATGCCATAATTCCATAAAACTATAGATCGTCGACGAGGAAGGTTTGGGAGATGGTGATATGCTCTGATATTACAACTTGTGCTGATAAATAGCTAATATATAACCATGGGTTCTCAATAGCATGGGAACGGTGTAGTCGTATACATCTGCGGGGATGGTAGTTATCGTACATCCCCAAAGAAGTAGAACCGCTATTCTCAGTCATATAATACTATAATTTCATAGTAAAGAGAATGGCTATCACATCTATGCGTCTCAGAAGGTAGTGGGATTATACCCACACACTAACTAGTAAATTCTAGGACATTATATTTGTAAACTCAAACAGTCGCCAGTTTCACCTAAACTGGCGATATTTATGGGCGGTATCGCGTGGAATAATGGGTGATGGTGGTCCACGCTGCATAAAAGAGTCTATAGTCCGCGGTATCTCCAAACAGCTGCAACGTGATGGACTAAACGGAACGAATATCGGCCATACTGATGCTAATTTAAAGCAATATATTTATAATGGTAATCCAGATATAGATGAACTGCCGTACAAGAGCCCTATCCAACGTCAAGATCCCACCGAGAGTGAAGAATCTGAATATCACGATACGAATGATGAAGAAATAAACTTAAACGGTAATATACGTGATCAATATATGCCTATAAACTTTGGAAGCGCTTACCACCGAGATACTGACGAGGAAGAATACACAAGTGAACCCATAGTTGAAAACAACTCTGATATTGAAGAAGCGTACGCCAGTGAACATATCACAGAAGGCAGTTCGGAGATCGAGGAGGACTCTAACCGTGGAACAGTCAAGGCAGAAAGTTCTGAAATTGACGAAGAAGATAAAAGTGAGGATATCACAGACGATAGTTCTGAAATCGAGGTGGATTATAACCATAAAAAGGCTGTGGTAGAAACTTCTGAATTAGAGGAAGAAGAAGAAGATAAAAGTGAAGATATAACAGACGATAGTTCTGAATTAGAGGACGAAGAGGATAAAAGTGAAGATATAACAGACGAGAGTTCTGAAATTGTGGAGAGTAGTACAAGTGAAGTCAATACCGAAGACGATTTAAATCAAAGATACAAACGGTATTTCGGTATCCAAAATAGACGAAACGAACAAAAGGAACTCGCAAACATATCTGTATCATCAAAGTCAAGCGATAGCGACGCAGACGAACCTATTGACAATAGTGCAACTGTCCTGAGATCCAGAATATTGCAAAACGAAATAACTATTCTTAGGGGAGAAAAACAAGATTGGGTTGAAAGGGAACGAGAGCTATTACAGAGAATCCAACAAGCACAAGACGAATTAAAAGAACAAAGGAATACGGTGATAGATGCACAAAGTCGAGTAAATCACTTGGAACAAGAACTCGAATTAGTAACCTGTCGTTCTAAGATTAGGCAGCAATCCTTGGAGCACAGTTATCGCACTCTCTGCGAAAACGTACGACTAACCGAGGAAGCATCACTAAAAGCTAGACTCGATTTTAGGAGACTGCAGACGCGTAATATGCTACTAGAGGAACTTATACAGACGAGAACAATGGCGTACGAACAGTTAGAGAATAAGTTGGCACAAATGGTACAACCACATGTTGATGCAGCATGCGAAGTAGCAAATGATATCACGAAAGAAAAGGGTGGTGATGACAACCAAACGGTAGGCACGTACTCCACTACAACAGCTGATAGCACGAATTGTCGTGTTTCAGCAAATGAGGGCACACAGGCATCATCAGGATACTCTGTATCTGATCCTGCCGACAATTCAAACTTGCATTCTACAGAGGTGAAAAATGCATCAGATGATCGTGTGGTACCACAAACCCCGGGCAGCGCAGATGATGGAACGTCACCGGACTCGTTTAATCAACTCCAGCGTCTCATGACAACTCACATTGCACAGATGATATCGTGCAGTAAAGAAACCGAACGACAGATGCGCGAAGTAGTAGATGTACATGTAGGAGAACTTAAGGATATGCTACAACAAACTAGATCTGAACTAGCCTATAAAACGGAGGAATGCAATGTACTCACAAGATCACTGGAAACAATCCGAGCCGAATTGGAATTCACAAAAAACAATCTGTCACAAAATCTAGAATTGCAAGCTTCTTTAAAAGACAAATATCAGTCTAAGTTGTTGCAATTCGATGAACTGCAGAAAGAGGTGGAAAGGGTAAGTGCCCAGTTAGAAGAGGCAAAGCGGGAATTGGACTCTTTTATATTACGTGAGCGTAAAAATAAAATCGCATTTGACGATTATGTGAGAGATACGGATATTAAGCTTCATAAAATGGAACTTATGTATTCAACAAAAGGCAAAATGGGAACAAATGAGGGAGCTGTAAAATCGGTATCCACAACGGTCGCCCCAACGAAACAAAATTCAACTGTATCCGGTAGCAGCACCACTGTATCAACTTCGTCGAAGCCTGCTGCTGATACCGGCAAACCGCAAGATAAATCTGGAGAAACTGTAAATCCACTTGTCCAAAAGGTGCATCTACTTACCGAAAAGCTTAAGGAACAGGTTGTTCGTGCATACACCTACGAACAGAAGGTAAAAGAGCTGGAGGCACGACTAAAACGTCTGTGTGGCTGCCGCAAAGCTCTACAACGCGTCAATGCCACCAAACTAAGACGTTGTTGGTGCCGCTACAAATGTTTAAAGGAGCTTAAACAGCGTGTAATCAAGGCTTCGATAAAGCAAGATGCACATACCATCAAGGCGGTGTTGACCGGATCGCTTTGTAATAAAAGGCGCAAGATCGAGGGACGAGAGACACAATCGCAAGAGTAGGCATCCCAACGTACAAATAGCAGTGCCACTATTACAAATTAGGAGACATGTTTTAATATTTTTAAACATTTATAAAGGTATATATAGGTAGCGCCGCTATCTACCACGCAACATTGTTGACACTAAGAAGCGGTTCGGTGTATAACCTCTTCTATAATAGGCGGTCTCTGCTGAGACAAAAGGCGGTATTTTTCGTCCAGCCATTTGTTCAGGTCCGTAGTGTCTGCAATAGGATGCGCATGTTGGACCGCTGGTCCCATGGTTTTTTGGAACACACGCGACGAACGAGCGTTTTCTGTGTACTCATGGCGATGCAGTATGCCATCTGCGGTGAACAATAAGCGCACAACCATCAAACCCCAAGAATCCTCAAAAAGATGAATCGACACCTGCTCGAGATTAGGCCGTAAAGTAATTATCATATCACCAAAACGCAATTTATACAAATGATAGCCATCCTTGACGTTGTACAAATGCAAGCAACGCAGGTCCTCGAAAATCAACCCCGGAGGGAAAAACGGGTCGAATACGTCAAAATGTATTAATAGCTCTGTGTTGGGGATTTCGTAGTCTTCAGTTAGACAGGCACGCCCCCATTCACTGTTGTACTCTGTGCCATAGAGCGGATCAGGTGTTTTGAGGATCTCGCGAATTTTCTCCGCCAACTCCTCCTCAGTATAAGGTTTCACTGTATTCTTCCCGAATATGGTTTTGAAGTCAAAGTCCTCATCAGACTCTTCGGAGTCGCCCTTCTCCTTATCTTCCGTCCCATCAGATGATTCAACGGTAGAGGCTGCCTCCGCAGCCTCAGATGGAGCATTCACATCTCGCTTCTGAAGCGGATTTGATAGATACGAGTCAGTAGCGTAGCCCATCATCATAGTGAAGAATGTTGTTTTTGTAAGTATATCAATATCCGCGGGGCACGTCTTCTTGCCTTCAGTATCATCATTTTCAGCGACTGATGGCAAAACGGCGTTTAAGAGCATGATTGAGAAAATTATATATCTCATCAAGCTAGGGGTTTTATACTTCATTTTGGAGCGAATTGGAGATTATTGATAAAACCATTAGAAAATATCAAAGGGAAGATTCCATAGTGTGTTGAATGTTCCCCTTAGCGAAATTAAAGACGATAACACTGTTAAGCCAAATGCTGTGAATTCCATCGTATGAAACGTATACAGATTCCTAGAAGCCAGAACCAAAAATCATATATATACACTTGTTATGAAACCCTTTGGCTTCAAAAATCGGTTGAAATAGCAAACACAAAAATAGATGAAATATTAGTTTACATATAAATTAAAAATCATATAGCCCTATGATACTCTCTAGTCTTGCACTTATATCAAAACATTCGCCAGCGCCAGTTATATCCAAGGATAGACAAGCTGATAGCTCTCCGCAGCTCCGTTATTAAAATGAATCGTTTTAGAGTATCAAAATTTTAAATACGAAAGCTTCTATAGAAGATACGCCTTGAGATGTCCATTGATCACAACAAAAGACCTTGACAATATGGGCGCTACTTTGATGTCGAATTCGCCCGAATGCGTTATTCACCAAAGAAACGTATCCATTCAGCTTCGAATAATCTATTATACGTAACACTTGCGATAGAAAGACTGCGTATATTGTAAAACATGGATATTCAGGGTACACCCAGCCAATATCATCCCAGGGGCGTACCTGGGACACTCGTGACCGGATGGATAGTCCAGACTGAACACAAGGCGGTATGCCTTGGCCTTTAGGAGGTCCAGGCTAATCAAAATTTTAACAGAAACGTGTTAATGTGAACGAGTTCATGAGGCGGACAACTTATCCGTGCACGCCTCATAACAATACTCAATCCACCCCCGTAAAATCGAAACACAATACCTTCTAATAGAAACCTGCGTTGGCAGGAAGATTTTATATTGAAATCTTCCATCGCCTCACTCGCAACAGGGTAAAGAAAATCGAAATCGTACCCGCACATCCACAACGTCTACAGCAAGCGCGACGCACGGGCGAAGAGCAACTTTTACGGGAATAAACATAACGAGAGAGGAATATCAAAATGCCGAAAACATACACAAAGGTAGTTAGCGAGGCCGAAGGCCACAAAATGATGGCACAAGCCGCAACGGATGACTATATACCCAACCTACGATATCGTACTATCGGAGGAGTAAAGGGACCACTAGTCATACTGGAGAATGTTAGGTGCCCTAAATATGCTGAAATGGTCAACATTAACCTTGGAGACGGAACCACACGACGTGGCCAAGTACTAGAAGTACGAGGGAATCTAGCCGTTGTACAAGTGTTTGAGGGAACCGCCGGGATCGACAACAGAAGCTGTAGTATAGATATGACCGGTGATGTTCTCAAGATGGGAGTAAGTGAGGACATTCTAGGGCGCGTGTTTAACGGTAGTGGAAAACCTGTGGACGGCGGACCTAGGATACTGCCCGATGACTACATCGATGTTAACGGAAAGGCAATTAACCCTATGTGCCGCCTGCACCCTAGGGAAATGCTTGAAACGGGTATATCCACCATAGATATCATGAGCTCGGTAGTACTGGGTCAGAAAATCCCACTCTTCTCAGCTGCCGGTCTACCACACAATGAAATTGGTGCACAAATATGTAGACAAGCGTCACTTGTAGACCGAAAGGATGTAGTAGACAGACACCCAGACAATTTTGCCGTCGTATTCGCTGCTATGGGTGTCAACCTAGAGACTGCCGCGTTCTTCAAAAACGATTTCGAACAAAATGGTGCCATGTCTAGGGTCGCATTATTCCTCAACTTGGCTAACGATCCAGCTGTTGAACGCATTGTCACACCAAGGTTCGCATACACAACTGCGGAATATCTGGCATTCGATAGGGAAATGAATGTATTCGTTATTCTAACAGATATGTCGGCATATGCAGATGCACTGCGTGAAGTCTCAGCCGCCAGAGAAGAGGTACCTGGAAGGCGTGGTTACCCCGGTTACATGTATACCGATCTTGCAAGTCTTTATGAACGTGCTGGTAGGATTCAAGGATGCAACGGTAGTATCACACAATTCCCAATCCTCACCATGCCGAACGATGACATCACACACCCTATACCCGATTTAACTGGATATATTACGGAAGGACAGATATTTGTGGACAGGAACTTACATAACAGAGGTATATACCCTCCCATCAACGTGCTACCTTCATTGTCACGTCTTATGAAATCTGGAATTGGAAAGGGACTTACCAGAGAAGACCATCCAGCAGTGTCGGACCAGCTATACTCCGACTATGCCATTGGTCAGGATACACGCACAATGAAGGCTGTTGTGGGAGAGGAAGCCATGTCTTCACAGGATCTATTGTACCTCGAGTTCACTGATAAGTTCGAACAGAAGTTCTTGAAGCAAGGACAATACGAAAGACGTAGCATCACACAGTCGCTGGATATCTGTTGGGAGCTGCTGCGCACGTTCCCGGAGGACATGCTTAAAAAAATCAAGAAAGATATAATCAAAAAATACTACCCTAGAGGTCAAAATACCGATTCGGAAGCTTAAAAACAGATACAACAAAATGATGCTGCGATATAACAGTCTTTTGACATTTGAACGTTGTATCGTATAACGTATGTTGAACTACACATACGTGATTAGAACAAGGGGATCGCAAAGCCGAGCCGCAGCGGCTAAGGCGTGACACTATCTTACATGCGTCAATAATAGCGCATACGTGTCCTTGTAACTAGAATATATTTAATATTGTATCTATATACCAAATTGGCGGTTGCTCCAAACCTGAGACCCATGCGTACATACGATCTTCTCTTCACGGGCATCCTGAACTTCAAAGCTAGATTCGCCAATGCCAAGTGCCACAGAACCGCCTAACACAGGTTATTACATCTGTAATTATTACTAACCTTTGAAGGTCTTCCCTTTAGAAGCCTTGATACGCTTCTGCCATTCACTGATACGTTGCTGGTCCGTCTCGCAAAACATTTCACTGGGAAGCGTTGATATGAAATAACACAGAAAACCCACCGACGAAGGTATACTTTCTGAAACAGTGACTCTATAGCCACTTTGGCCCAAGGAAACGTTAAGAAACCAAAAACCACAGCAAGTATACGTACGAATGCGGATTTCTGATGTAGTAACACGTCGCGGTCACTGGGTAAGTTTGATTGCTGCTTTTGCTCAGGAACGCGATCGTGCTCTACATCTCTACTATGGGTGTCGTCCGAACATTCACTATCGACGTTTTGTGCGGTTCCGTCTGATGGAGAGTCCGTTTCGGGGAGAAACGTACATTCCGATGCGATAGACTCGAAACGTTTGAAATGAGATTCCAGCTCAGATACTATACCATGAAAGCGAAATGAGTCGTTTTCATACCACAGAGAAGCTGCGTAACCTATATCGAGCTTGACCAATTCCAGAATCTGTTGCTGGTGCGATGATATAGTCTTATCTGCAAGCAATCTGTCCACTACAGAGCTTACAAATTCTAGAGCAGCATCCTTTACATCAAGGCAATCCTTAGGCACGTTACCGCCGAATTCTATAATGAATATGCGATCTAGACGGTAAAAAATGTTGAAAAAATCATCTAAGGAGACCGTTTCGTATTCTTGGTTAGTGCGGTCATCCAAGTAACTTTTACATAACTTAGTCAGCAACTTTAAACTTTTTGCAAATTTAAGGCGTTGTGGTAAATGACGCTGCGATATGTCCAAAAGGATGTCCTTTACACTCTTGCGTGTAGCCGGGTCCTGTTCTCGTGGTTTTGGAGTAGAAGGGGCCGATGCATCACTCTGCTGGAAAGGTAAGGTCTTCAAATCACGAGCCTTCTTGTCTATCGCAGCACCAGTATCATGGCCTGTCTTGCGCAATGTCGACCTCTGGTGATTATAAAACCGGTCAAGCCGCCTTTCAGCTGCAGAACGGCCAATAAGCTCGAGGGATGGATCCTCGTAGTTGCGTTTCATTTCTCAAGATATAGCTATATTCATAGATCATCTACAGTTGCTTTATAATACAATCGATTAAAATATGGATACAGTAGCCATAGCAAAGGACGAAACAAAATGTATACGGGAAAATGTCAATAGAATTACACAAAAATAGCAACAAGTAGATATTATTATTTATAATAAGGTATATGATACATATTTAAATGGAAGTGACTTTGCTTCGAGTAATTCGAAGTAATATACCGCCTAAGAACGTGCACGCCACAACACACACTCAAACAGCCAACAATATGCACATACACAATTATTACCGTGATGAAACATCACATATGTTTAATGAAGGTATTTGGCGCAGTTTAACCCCAAATAAAGACTCACAGGAGGACAGATGACTAACGTGTACCAAGTCTGGTTCCTCTAATTTTAAAAAATGAAGCGCTAAAACATTATTGCTGAAATGTAAAGGTGAAAGTTACTGAAACATGTCTCAACATGGATAATGATCTTGAAAACGCCTTCCGGGAAGTCTACGAAGAGCTGGGTGTATATCGCAACGATGGGAAGGGACTTTGGCAAGGGCGAACGTTCTGTATCGTTGGTTTCGAACATGAAATACAAAGCGGTGCGGAGCTGATTAAATATATATTATCCGCGCTAATATCGCGGGGAGCAAGTGTACTCAAATTCCCAAATGATAAATTGGAACACAAATCATTATCCATCATTGACTTCTACCTATGCAACTATTCCCTAGGATACAACGCACTGGAACATGATATACTTGAAACGAAACTTGTAACACCAATATGGTTATATACATGTCATCGAGATTCACAGATTTACGATACCAGACTCTTGCCAATATTCATGCCGGTAGGAGTGTTCTGGCCACTCATGTTCGCAAAGGAGGATATCACAGTTTATATCGTCAGTGACCTGGGGTCAAAGTGCCTCAGAAATAGCTCTGATGTGTTGTCAAAATTCGCAAGACACTGTGGATTCAAAGTGTTAAGGTTTGGTGAAACTAACTCAGGTTTGTCAGAAACTTAATAGATAACATGACCTGCAGACCCATCGCCACATAGCAAAACATATATCATAGTAGGAAGAGGATTGGACAAAATGGTAGATGCCCATATAATATCATACTGCAACAAACACAAATATACATGCCTCTCGGCACAGTGGATCATGGACTGCTACTTAGCAGGAGAAATTGAAGATGTGAAAAAGTACTTGCTGGACATAGAATTCGAACCTACACTTATTGATATCTCGACAAAAAGAATGGTCAGTCCAATAGATCCTACGATAGCGATATGTAACAAGGAGAAACGTGTACTTTGCATCTCATACCCCGCCGCCATCGAAGCCACAGAAGAAGTGCGCGAAATGATAAGAGGCAAGGAAATTAAAATACATGTCGTCAACCCTTTATACGTACTTGCACCATGGGCAGTGGATCAAATATCTGGTCGTGAGAGGAACCTTTACAATAACATATCACTTGTCGACGCTGAAAAAATACTAATGTATATCTCGCGACAAGAGGCACATAACGGAGCATTCGGAATCTTCGCACAGATATCTATGTGTATGGAGTATGCTAAATTCAGGAGCACGAAACGACCAAAGAGAGTGAGAAATATAGAGTTACATCCACTGCAAGATATATATCTACCACAATTTCCAGGAACGGCATCAGCAATCACGATACCACAAGAAATGCTAGCTGGGGCATCACTCATATTTAGAGGATGCAGACGATCGTTCAACCTTTATGATCTGGCTGATAGCATAGAATATCTGGGAGAAGATAACATATTGCTGGAGGAAGAGGAGATGCTTGGACCAAATATACAAATTCGTCGAAGGTACGTACAATAATACATGTTTGGTATATCAGTTTTTTGTGCAATCACTAGTAAATCGTATGCTCATTGTTGCAATGTGGTTACAATGTGCACCTTCCAGAAGTGTCTAAACAATATTGCTATGTGAAACTATACAATCGTTTCATTTCAATCCATATTAAATTCTAAAAGTTTGTGCCTTTCGCAACATTCACAATGCATACCGCTGGGTAATGACCGCGATAAACTGACTAAACATTAACGTGCAGCGCCCACGAGTACAGTAGATTGCTGAGGGATGCAGAGTTGCGATGGAGAGACTTAGAATGAGGCGTTCAAATGCTCCGCAAGAGCAAATTGCAAATTCGCCAAATTAGAAAGATAGGCAATCATCAAGTTATCCTGCAATGCAAGCGCAGATAATTTCTCCAGCTTGGATTGGCTTATGATACTATCCGTAGTTGTTGCCTTCAACAAAAAGCGACCAAGTTCAGGATCTATAGCCGCATTTTTATGACCAGCAAGGGCCGCCTCGATGCGCTTGATACAAGCATCTAATAGTTCGGATAATTTTGTCAAGGACAGATCGAATGTAGATGTTGTACGTATACGGTCGAATTTGCGATACTTGGCGCTCTCCATCGACTTAAGCAATGTGGACACACCAACAGAATCTGATGGTGATATCATAAGTTCCAGGTCCACCTCGTGGAACTGGAAGCATGCGTCCTTAGTAAGGGTTAACGGCATTTGAATGTAAGCCTGTGAATCAGTATAAAACAAGGCAACAAATTGTGACTTAATATGTAGTTTAGAACATTATGAACCATAAAACTCACCTTGATACCCATTGACCCGGAATCGCAAGCAGCGTCCACCAATAGGTGGATAGGCTCATATAAATTCGGTTGTGGGTAAAACTTAGAAACTGAGGTGAATTGTTTAAACCATCCGTGTACCGCACATGTGAGCTCAGTCATCTCACCTCCCGTACTGAACCAACCGACGACTTGTTCTTTTGGGTTTACCTTCTGCTTAAGATCATACATATTCTCATGATGATCCTTGATGATTTGAAGAAGACCCTGTAAAATCAGTTAAATACAAACTATAAATATAGATGGTCGTACCCTTTTTAAAGCATATAACATTATGGTACTTACCTCCTCGGTGAGAGAATGACGATCCACGAAGCAGTCTGTGATCTCGACAACATTTCCCTCGCACATTACACCAAGCAAGGTCCCGATGATATTGTGCTGCCCCTCTTCACGTCGCATATATGAATCCAGAATAGTGAAAATGACCACAGGATGAAGCTTCCACTTTACAGGTGAGGACGATGCTAGGTGGAAACATTTAGACCCCAATTTGTCTGATGTTTCTCCCAACAGAGGCTGTGGAAGCTTGTCGTCCTCCATCTTCACAATTTTAAAACGTCGATGATTTGACGCGACGAATGTTGTCGTTTCCGTGGGTGGTATCTCGGAAACAATGTGTTGTTGGGTACGACCAACGCGACAGCCGTACTTGACACTAATAACCAAATACAGAATACGCCAAAAGATTAATAGCACATATTCTGTACCGACGATATTTATATAGGTAGCACTAGCCGACAACTACACCGAGAGACGCAGCCATAGCACTGAGCGAGCGAGCTACCTAAGTTCAGGTTTCTGCTCAACGGAATCTTATAGGTAGAATACTCAATTACTGCAAAAATAAAAGTATATGTACGCAGAATGCGCTCTGGAACTATATATTATGGAAATGTGACTTCTCATTCTGGCGCAGCTCAATCCTCCTAAACCACATCCCAGGGAGCCATTACTCCGAGAGTTGCAGCTATGTTGAATACTAATTTGCTGCGTACTAGTTTGTGTGCTACAGTAGTTGGATTCTGTCATGAATTCAGCTGTTATTGTGAATCTAGTGTGCGTAGGATGCTGTGTCTTATAAGGTTAAAGACACAGATATAGTTCGGTCAGTTATAGCATCAGCCGACACTTTCGTACATGTGTTTTTTCCCTATTAGCATTTCGCATATCCAACACTTTGTGTTTGAATAGTCACATGGCTAGGTTGTAGCATTGTGAATGGCTAGGCAATCGTCAAAACCACAACATTGTGTTGTTGTGACTGTGCGGTACGCCGGAGATATATGTATATTAGATCTGTTGTTTCAGTTTTCTTTGCGGGGAAACGAGTGGTATTGTGCAGATATTCTATTAAACATTAAAATCACCCCCAAAAAATGAGGGCGGTTTGTCCGAGCGGTTAAGGAGATGGACTTGAAATCCATTGGGCGTTGCCCGCGCAGGTTCGAATCCTGCAGCCGTCGCCATATATGACCACTAATTTCATCACAACGCACTCATATCCACTTTATTATTTAATATCGCAAATGGGAGGTAGAAGGAAAGCACGGCATAAGGGTATCGGAAAGAAACGTAACCTTAAGCGTGGAATCCGAGACCTAAAACACCGCAACAAGGACATTGATCAGGGTATGCTGGAATTTTAGTTGTGTATATTATAGTAGTCTACGAGACGGTTATGGCAAACGATATGGAAATCGATCGTACCGGAGAAACTTCTGATGATGGACGTGACGGTAAGTCACACTAATGCAAAAAACACCATTATCAGGGCCGTATTGCAAATATTGTGATCGATATTTCATAGATGATGATGCAATAGAACGTCATAAACGTGAGAAAGTTCATAAGAGAAGAGTTAAAGAAGTTCGCGCCTATCAACCGATGGACTGAATGACCTTGCACATTTCGAAATACAATTTCGATATGAATTAAAACAGCCACTAGGCTGCATCTATTCATTTTCTTTTAGTTCATAGTCACGTAACAGAAGTGTGTGTACAAGTTGAAGGTACCACGGTAACCTCTCCAAAAATGGTTCTTTAAGAGCCAAAATTTGAGGCATTACATCGTCATCAGGGAATTCGCGAGATGATCCAATGTTTACTTCAGATGGTGTCACTGTCGGTTGACCATTGACATAACGTAGCAACAACTCTGTCAAAAAACGTTTGTTGTTGTAACAAAACTTTAGCCGTTCCGCATCATCAAGTGTTGCCATAGACGCTGCATCCAAATGCTTAAAAATGCAATGCGACTCGTTGCTACATTCGCCACATATCACATTGTTCCGACAAAGAAACAATCCAGGGTCATGAGAATATTTACATTCACTCGCCGAATACATACAATGAGATGGACCTCGGAGGTAGTATCGACACAATTTCAGCTCCTTAGATGTAAGGGGAATGCAGTCATGTGAAAAATTACAATCAGAACCATGGACGCAATTGCCGGTGCGATAGTAATATTTGCATATGGGACGTCGGTCATCCAAAGATTGTGGAGCGACGGTCGCGTGGGAAGGTTTAGGAAAATGCGATGCTGACACAGCCACTGCCGACATGTTACGACGTTTCAATATATCCATATACCGTTGGCGATGCCGAATAGCGGCCTCTTCGGATCGTCGGCGTTTCCCCTTCATCAAACGTACCCTGGCAGTGGATGATAGGTTACCTCACCGAGCGATTATAGATAATGAAACACCTGACAATCGACGATCAAATTAATCTTGTTTGAAACTAACCTGGTGGATAGATGTGTCACCTAGATCCACAGGAAGACACTGTTTTTTAGGGAACCACGTAACAAACATAACATCAGTTATATTTGGAAAAGGCGAAACCGCGTCCTTTGTCACGTTCTCGCCCACATTTTAACTTTACCTTGGCAAATCTCGCACAGAACCAGTAGCGTGGCAGCCCCAAGCAATCAGGCTAAGATAAGACACGCCACACCGCGACTATAGCAAGTCCGAATCGTCGATATAAAAACACGCTATGACAGGAAGCATAAGTTGTCAATAGATATATATTGAAATGACACATTAAATTTTCTAGTATCGATGGTATTTAGGCCATGTATTATGACGACTAACAGTAACTCGTCGGATGTGGCCATAAGCAAGTATTGTCACACACCTACACTCTAAGGTGCAATATAGTGTCAAAATAAGTACATAAATCCTACTAGACAAGGGATTCGACACTCCGTAGAATCCATGTAACGCGCGGGACATAGATATGTGCAGGAAAGTGCTTGAATGCCGGATGCACAAATCGCCTTAACGATACACAAAACACTGGTTGTACACTGATAACTACTGGTCTGTGATCGGTAGATATACATAGACATTGCCGATACGATTTGAAATCGATAGGCACTAATTATCCGCTATAGTATAGCTTGTATTTGAAAACGAGAGACGCTAAACTGTCAATATTGCCATAAATATTGCTCTAGACGATCTAGCTTTCGATTTCATATCGGTGTGTAAACCTGGCAAGGAGTATAGAGAGTATACGGGAGGCCAGTATTTCAATGATGTGTAGACAGTAATCGAGATATGTGGTGAATATATCGCCAAAACAATCCAATCATCGCGCAAGAAATCAATGTGAATAACGGATTATAGATCATGGTGCTGAAACTCACCAACAACCGCCCAGGGCGGAAATATTGGACATTGCTAATCATTTGTATCGCCATCATACAATCCATGCCCATAGCAAATGCATGGAAAGGCGACAGGCATCTTAGCACTGCAGACACCACTGATGTTCATGATGGACAACAAAAAAATGGAATGAACATTAATCATGCAGAAAATTCATCACTGACCCCGAGGTCACCCGATGTAGAAAAGGATAAGGTTCAAGAAAGTGGATATATAGAGAATACACTTCCAAAAAATGGAGAAGAAACCAACAATAGAAACCACCTCGAAGGAACGTTTGGTATGTCGTGCTATGCCTCTATGTATATTTGCTCACAGGGTTGCGATCAGAGTCCAAAGAGAACTCAGGAACAATGCGAAACAAAAGTATGAAAATGCAAGAAGGGATGCTGAATACCGAATACTTTAACACACTCTTAGTAGTGGTAGCCATAGTTGTTGCGGTCCTCACTATGGTGTCAAACATAGAAATGAGGATTCAGGCCAAAGATAGATTCATGAGGCAAGCCTTCGACATATGTGTCAGACAGGTAGTTATAATGAGCCTTGTGACACTAAGCCTCTATATGGTCATGCATACGGATTTGGCGGAACGATTGGATATGCTTTTCGTTAGAGAATCGAAACATATCGAGGTATTCGACACGCTACTGCAAATATCATTCTTCCTTTTTTGTTTCTTCTTCCTATACTGTATATATATAGGTATTGTGGTCAGCAGAAGCAGCAAATTCATCAGGGAGGCGGACGAGGCAGACGTTGTAACAACGGCAAAGGAATACGATTTTGTCAAGAATAGTTTGATCCACTGTGGAAACACCGTTGTAGACAAGACAAAGTACTTGGTCAACAGAATGGAATTCAGTGATATGGTCAAACAAAGGGGATATTCTGATAATTGCGGGTGTTACTTCATGGACTACATGAGGGCGTCACTGATACAGATAGCCACGACGTTACTCAAAATATCGCGGATAGCACTGTTGGTTGCACTAGCGGTACTTGTAGTATTGAGGTAAGATTGCGTATAATCTAACGTAAGCGTTTCAGGATCGTCGGGACCGTGCACATATTCCGGACGATATACTACGTCACAGTGCTCAACACCCTTGCGTTCGTCGCTCTGGCGCTAAGATTGTCGTACTTGGATTCGCAATTGTATCCTCTGGATTTATCGCAATACCTGTTGTTGAAGCTCAACGTGGGAAACGCGGGAAATGCGTTACAACCACTCTATAAGGAAGGCGAACAGGAGGTAGGTACATTCGTATTCCAAGTAACATCTGGCAGTCCTTCGCCTATGACGCGGTACAATCCTGGCTATTTGGAGAAGGGACAATCAATGCACATCAAAATATATTCTTGCTCAAGCAATATGGTCCGCTAGTTCTACAAAGCACATTCGGGACTGTCCTGTTTTGTCATCTCATGATTCTCGCGGTTTGGTGCTATTGTTTAAGACACGGCGGCACACTGTTGTTCGAAGATGTGCATGTAGCTGCGCCGTTATTCGCAACGGTACTCATCATATGCCTCGTCCCGAAAATACTATACTCCCTACTAGTAGTAACCAGGTGTGGACATCTCATTGATTTCGATCTCTTGGACAACATCTTGATGACGCAGAAAAACGAAAACGGGAAGAATGCAGCGCAGTTAATTGATGCGCTGGCAATGGAAAGTGTAAGATTCTCTTTGGAAAAGGGCGGTGATGATTGCTGGAGGATGTTGATGGCCAAACAAAAGGCGCTACCTGAAAATATCACCAAGCAAATACGATCACACTGGGACGCTATATGTAGTGGACATTCCAAGGTCAACGTTCACCAGCTTGTTAAATATCTTCAATCACAATGGGGAGGTTCGGGTACATCTAATAAACATAGGATGAAGGTATGTCAAAAGATTTTAGCATACCTAAGGTTCTCACCATTTATCAAGTGTGGAAATAACCACCCGTGCATATCAAATGTGCTGTTGCTGAAACATTTATTACATTGCAGGAGTTCGTCAGTCAATTTATGCGTCATGATCCAAGGTCCATGAACAGAGAAGAGTTCATGGTATTAGGGTATACCATAAAGCACATGATTTTGGTACCATTGGAGGATGAAAATCTCACGGTATGCCAATCTTGGTCTCGTTCACATGAATTTCAGATTTTGTTTGAGCATAAATTTGAAATTCCATGGAAGGCACCTTGTGGAATCGATCTGAGCAATTTTGATTCTATCATACGAAAGGTGGGTGGTGGAATAATACTTGTACACAAGGGTACAGCTGAACCTCAAATGGACAAAGAGTGCTCAAAGGCACTTTTTGGAATTCATAGGTGGGGGGGCCGCCGAAGGGCTGTCGCCGGAATATCTCATACATCAGCTCGACAACTTCCAGCAAGCCTGCCAAAAGAACTATTTTAGTGCTGTATAGTATCGATATTAACAGGGTTTTAGAACTCTTCAAATCTAAATTTTATATCTCTAATATGAACCACTGCAATGCTATCGGTGGAGTGTATAGACTTTAGCGGTCCATTTTCTAATAGTCACTCAATCATGGGGATAAAGGACTATGTGATATAATCCAAATATACACACTACAACATATGCAACATAAACTTTGGGGTTACAAGACGAGGATTATAGACGCCGTCTCTAGCTGGACTACATATGAATATCTGCAATGAAAATATGGCGGCAGACGAATTGTTCTTAAATATGATGCAATCAATATACCTATGGAATTAAGATATTTCATAGGTCATGAAATGATGTAATGTGAACGTGATTTTGTAGTACCAACTGTTCCCTGTGAACATAGGTTCTGTATTTTGCAGAACAACTAAGCTCCCTATTGAGCCTGAATGCCGATATTGCAAAATTCTGAAATTATCCTTGTCTATTCTAATTTACATCGATGATATAAATACCTTTGTCGTGTGTTACCATAATATCGGTTATTAGGATGACGTATCTGCTACTGTTGTTTGTTATGTGAATATTTTTTGTACACCC